AATGATAATAAAGCATTAATCACTTCATTAACAACACCAAACAATCAAAAGAATTTATTTGGAGATCACTACAATAGATTTAAACAACTTAAATGCTACAAAGAAGATAACATTGTTACATTCCATCATATTTCAGGTATCTCAAACTGCTCAGATTTTCTCACCAAGAAATACTCAGGTCCTGAAATTCAAAAGACATTAACCTCCACACCATTCAAGAATCATTTCTTTTTAAATCTATAGGTACTTCACTCATTCTTTCATATTCAATCACAACCAATTGAACACCGGTTAACAAAAGACAACACAATATAGTTCCAAATCAAGTTTCATCATATTTAATATTATTACATTCAATAAATACTCAGAAATGAGGGGGGGAATGTCAGGTATTACATAACCAGAATAACCAATTATGCACAATTCATCAATACTCAACATTTCACATCAACTATAAGAAGAATCAAGAATCCACTAATTGTAACATTATATGTATATTAATAGAACATCGGAATTACCTTATATACACACAGTAGAGGATATTCTGTCAAAATCCGTCGGTTACCGGGCCGAACCCCGGACTTTGGAGTACTTTACTAAAATGGGCTTTAGCGAGACATAAAGAATTGAACGAAAAGAAATTGACAATAATCAAGTGGATTTTGTTGAATAATTGGGAGCTTATAGATGGTGGTATTATACATTGTTGCTTTTGTCTCTTTTCAAGCTGGTTGCAGCTGGATCTGTTCAAATTCTTTTTGTGTTCATTTGTGGAAAATAGAGATGTATACTTATTCAATTTAAAGCGATCTTTCTATATGATAATGTTCTCAAAGGTTTCAAGCTATTTTTTCAATACTGTGCTAGACAATGCCAAGTGTTCCAACTTCCACCACTAGATTCTTCAGGACTCCTGGCCCGTTTATTGTTAATTCAAGAGATAGAACTTTCCAGAGATATACTGAAGCTGAATTGGAAATAGGACCAATTGCCAGTACACCATCAGCCAACATTGATATAGTATTTGGAGGCCCGCTAGTTGGGTTTATTGATGTGACTGGTTTTGATGATGGATATGACCCTGATATAAGTGAAGGTGAAACAATTGAATCAATCAAGACTCCACTCGTTCCAGTTGAAGGTGATAACGTTAAAGATGGTACTTTATATGCGGTCAACTTAGATAATTACTACAAGGAGTATTGTGCTTATTCTGGTGATGAAGATACTGATGAGGAAGATGAGGAAGTTTGCACTGAGGTTAGAATGCTGCTGAAGGAACCAATTGATGAGGCTTCACAACGTCAAATGCTCGAACACCGTGCCACAAGCAGTGAAGAAGAGAACTTGGTGCGCAATTCCTCGGATGACAGATTTGATATGGAGGAAGAAAGAAGAACCACCTCGAAAAGCTCAGAAATGTCCCGTTTCGTTGAATAAAGATCTGATAATTTGGAGTTTGATGGTTGTAGGCATTCGCGAATTGGATCTATGTTGTTTTTCCAGGAAAAAACATCAACAAATCGAAAAAAGCACCTGGTGCAGAAGATCAATACAAAACGAAAGGTCAGTTCCTGGTTCAGGCGATCAGCTCAAGAGAAGAATGGTGAGCTCGACAATTGAGTCGCTCAATAACGTCAAGCTGGATAAAGCTTCTCAGGATGAGCAGTATACTGACATTACTCAACTATTGTTCACCAAGGCCCAAAAGCTTAAAGTTGGTACAGTTGTTAAATCTCCATCATTCTCTTTATTTGAAGGTACACATGCTCTTGAAGTGACTAATGATAAATTGGATTCAGGATTGATCGAATTGAGTGAAGATGAACTACAATTTGATTTCAAAAAAGGTCGTTCATTGAAAGAAGTGTTGCATATTAGTGATTATATATTTAGATCGGTATTTGTATGGTTGAACAATGCTTCATTACCTGTCACAGTGTTCAGTTGTCGTTATGTTGAAAATATTTTGGTCAACTATACCAACAACATCAGGGGTGGGTTGTCTAGTTGTAAATTTTATGATCCAAAGGAAACTATTGAACAAGTTGGTAACGTGGAAAATCAATTAGTTCATAAGGTTTTAAGGAGTGTTGTATTGGGGGTTTTACATTTTGTTAGATTAAGCTTGACGTTAGGACAAAGTGGTGTTGTCTATGAAGAAGAAGCTATAAACACTCAGAATATGAATCTTGATGTCTTGTCATTAATCGGATCTGATCAAGTCTTGGGAGAAATTATAAGTTCAATCAATTTCTTATCAAAACATTTTGCTGGAGAAAAAGATGCAACTTTAATTACCAACATTTTACAAATATTAAAGAAATTGATTGATTTACCGTTTTTCCTTAGTGTTAAAATTCCAAGAAACTCAAATGGTAAAACTGTTAATGTGGAAGTTTTAGACTCATTATTGAGAAATTGTGCATTGCTACAACAAAACCTTGACTATTTAAATGCACTTGATGAAATTCCAGGTTTATTTAGTCTGGGGATACAAAAAAGGCTAGATAATAGATCACCAACAAGATCGTTAATATCGCCAAATCAAGAAGATTACTCTTCATTAGAATTGATGTTGAACGATTTTAAACAAATATTTGAAGTTAGATATAGAAGTGATATTTTAGAATTGAAAAATTATACTTTGAATTTTGCAAATAAGTCTCATCATACAGTTTCTCGTGCATTTTTCCCATTGTTTTTAATAAGAGATGATAGATCAGTCCTTGGTGATGAACAATTTGATGAACTATTAATGGAAGATTTATTAACTTTTACATGTTGTGATGCCGCTTTATTCAATACTGATAATCTAGTTGCAAAAAACAAAGTTAATGGCTTTATGGAACAAATGAATATTGCATATTTTGAATGGTATAGTGCAATGAGTCAAAATCCTTGTCGTCAAAGACAACATTTTTCAAGAGCAATAGTTCTTTTTGACACATTACAAGCTAATTCTGAAGAATTGGAAATGGAATTAGAGAATGTCTTCCAAATCAAAGATCATTTTGAAGACGAACAAGGTAATTCAATACCAGCATTGCCAATTTCTTCATGGGTTTATTATCAAAAGTTGTTTATAATGTTGCAAGTTGTTCTTAGAGGGTTTGAATTGGATGTTTATAAAATCTGGGAATATCAATCAATGTATTGGTATGCAAGTTATTTGATTGATCACATTGAAGCTTTATTGAATAGAATTACACAATACAATAATTATAAAATTGAAAGTATTAAAGATATGAGCAAGAAATTGAAAAAGAAATCAGGTGAACAAAAGGCTAGATATAAGGAAAAATATCACTTCAAATTGGAAAACATTTTACCAATTTTGGAGAGAACAAATGAAGTTATCAAGAATTTGATAATTAAAAATCAAATCTTTAGAGGAATTTGCCATTTACAATTATACAACTTGGAATCCCTAACTAAGAATGGCTATGTTAAAACTCCTGATTTCCCATTCATCAAAGATGATTCAATTTTATATGATTTAAGAATGAAACCATTCTCTACAGTTGGAGTTCCATCATGCCCAACATTTGATGATTTCACAAGAGAAATTCAACATATAAGTATCACCAAAGAGAAGGCGAATGAGATAAAAACAACAATATTAGAACAAATCAAGTATTTTGTTGAAGAGATTGAAAAAGATAGCAAATCTATTGGAATGAGATTAAACAAATTAGATTGGATCAATTGGTTTAAAGAATTACAGAAAAGTACTATAGGTATTACTTTGACTTCTATTAAAAACCAAGAAGCAAATAGTCCAAGTGATTATAGAGCTGTTGTATCTTCAGAAGGATTCCATAGATACTTCCCATTAGTAAAGGTGGAGGCTAAAAAGTAATGAAATGTGAAACGAGTATATTAATTAACCTGTAAGCCCTAATCGTGTCATGTGATCTCATCAGCATTGCCAGCCCTAACATCCAAACACCTCAGTAACAAATCTGCTTTTCTGTGTTGCCCCCACCGCCAAAAAAATCAAAATTTCCAAAAACGACAACAAAAAAAAATCATCAGCACTTTCGCGAATTCGAAAAACCGCCCATAGTTAAGAGATTTTTGGACAAGGGACACACCAGCGAAAAAAAAAGTACCCATTCTGAGGAAAAGCATATTCAAACAATTTTTCAACTACAATTTCAATCTAGTTTTAGTTTTACTTCAACACCAAGCATCCAAAGAATCATTCAAAATGCCTCCAAAATTCGATCCAAATGAAGTTAAATTTATCTACCTAAGAGCCACTGGTGGTGAAGTCGGTGCTTCAGCTGCTTTAGCTCCAAAAATTGGTCCTTTAGGTTTATCCCCAAAAAAAGTTGGTGAAGATATTGCTAAAGCTACCACTAAATTCAAAGGTATCAGAGTTACTGTTCAATTAAGAATCCAAAACAGACAAGCTGTTGCCTCTGTTGTCCCATCTGCTTCATCATTGGTTATCACTGCATTAAAAGAACCACCAAGAGATCGTAAGAAGGAAAAAAATGTTAAACACACTGGTAACATTCCATTAGAAGAAATAATTGAAGTTGCTAGACAAATGAGAGAAAAATCTTTTGGTAAAACTTTAGCTTCAGTCACCAAAGAAATCTTAGGTACTGCTCAATCCGTTGGTGCTAGAGTTAACTTCAAAAATCCTCATGATATCATTGAAGCTATTAACGCTGGTGAAATTGATATCCCAGAAAACTAAGTTTTAACTAACTAAATTTTAGATCATTGTTTTATTGGGTATCAAAAAAAAGAAGGTAAACGAATTTTAATATTTTGAAGAAGGAGTTTCTTTTAATTATATGTATATTGATTAAATGGGGTGTTTTCATGAGAATCTTTTTGTTAAAAATCACTTGTAAACATCTAAATCAGGGTGAAAGTGATCAAGTGTTTTTAAAAAAAGAAAGTTCATTATTGTTGTTGTTATTCAAGTGTATCCAAATTGTGTGTGAGTTCAAAATTGTATAAATGTATAGACAGTTTGCCAACACTCTGGTGCCTAATCAAGGATATATTTATATGTCCTTGGAACTATATTAGGTTCCTATTTTGGTGCAAACAAGAGAGAACTGCTACTTACTCACCAAGATATGCTTTTTATATAACTAATACTTCGGTTTTGGTTCCAGATAGTTATATTGGTCCATTTCAATAGCTAACATCATTACATTCACACTCACAACAATTTTTGGATTACACTTGGATTAACAATCACTTGATGGCTTCTTTTTTTTTGCAACTTTGATCACTAAAAAGGAACCCTCTCGCTTGTAAATTAATCCATTAATTGTAATCTCTAGTATATAGTCTAATATAAAAAACTTCAACTGCTTCACCAATAGCTTCAACTAAATCGGTAAAGGCACTGCTGAACAGCGGTTTCTGCCATTTTCTCCAGTTTGTTTTTCTTTGCCAAAATCAAAATATTGGGATCCTTTATCGAAAGGAAAAACATAAACAAACAGAATAACAAGAGAAACCCAGTCTATTCGAACATGTCGGATTCAATAGGTATGTTTATATTGATTTGTCAGTGCCAGATTTCGTATCGTACTAACTTTTAACTTTTACAAAAGACCGTGTATTCGTGAAGGCAATTTCCACCATAAGAGCACTATCCACCAGATCAGGATATGGATCTTTACCTAGACCACCAGTGGAAAATCGTATAAGACTATATGGGTTATATAAACAAGCAACAGGTGAGTATAAATGTTTCCAGAACCTGGTATTGAGATAAAGCAGCTAACAACGTTCATAGAGGGAAATGTTGAAGGGATAATGGAGAGACCAATAGGTTCAACGCCAGAAGACGAAAGTGCACGTCGAAAATATGATGCATGGAAATCAGAAGAAGGATTGAGCAAAACAGAGGCTAAGCGTCGGTATATTTCTTATTTGATTGATACTATGAAAACATACGCTAGTGGTACTCATGAAGCTCGTGAATTATTAGGAGAATTGGAATATCTATGGGATCAAATCAAAGATGTTATACCAACTCCCTCACCTCCAATGACACCAATACCGCAATTGATAGGAGCTGGTAGTCTTGGTGGTAGTTTGTATGGTGACTCGTTCTTGGATGATAGAAGCGGGTTTTTACACAATAGCTCTATAAGACATCATCATCATAATAATAGCCATGGGGATAATTCTTATCTCAGTAGAGATGTTGCTGTATTGAAAAAAGAAGTTAGTGTTGCACTTAGAAGAATCAATGATGAATTGAATCAAATCAATAATAAAAAAGATGAAGAGGGACATTATAAAAAGAGATCAAATCAATACGGTTCAAAAGGAATCTTTGAAAATGAAACATTGAAAAGATTTGGTAGAATTTTGTTAAAAATTGTTGGAGGTGTTGTTAAAAGATTTATAATTGATATTGTTGTATTGATTAGTGTTATAAAATTTATCAAGTTTAAGAATGGGTTAGATATTAACCTATTGAATGGACAAAGTGGGTCCACAACAGCAGGTGATGTTGGAGTTGAAAAAAGTTTAATAACAAGATTTTTGTTCACGGTGTTCAAACTGCTAAATAAAGTGAATTTGGTGAATTTCAATCGGCTTTATATTGAAATTGATTGAATTGAAATGATGATAATGATTTAACGAAATTAAGGGCAAATGGACAGTTGAGCTGTTCTGTACTGAAGTTATTAGTATATCTACAATTGACACTTAATCAATATTCATTCAACAACATAGTATAATTGATAATATTTTTTTTACATAACCTTAATGTACAGATGACACTGTAACCTTTTCTAATTTTTTTAGTGATTTTATGAAATTTTTACATCATAAAACAAAAATAAACTAAAAGAACCTATGAACAAATTGAAATAAAAAAAGAGTTGAATATTAATCAACAAATAAAAAAAAAACCAAGAACTCCCAAGAATTAAAGACAACAAAACCTTATAGACATTTCCAAAAACCGTTACAAAACATGACACATAATAATTTCTAGTATGAGTAAACTGAACTTGACAATCTTCATCTAAGCACGTTTAGGTATACTGTTATTTATCACATTATTAACATCAGCATAATCTATCACAACACCTTTATCTGAACATTTTGCCTTTGATCTTAATTCAGTACATAATCCATCAATATCAATCTCACTATATTTAGGATGAGCAGTGATTCTATCCCAAATTTCAGTACACTTCAACATTTTACCATCTGTTAATGGAACAACATCACTATAATCCTCTATTCCCAATTCTTGTTTAACTGTTGGTTTAGGGGTTTCTTTTGTAGCAGTTGCAGTTGATGTACGTCTCTCCACTAGTGGAGATTTAGCTTGGTTGAATATACCAAATGGATCATAAATAGATTCTTCAGTGGTTAACGAGCTTAATGGATCATCTTGTATTTGTTCATTATTACCTTCATTGAAAAATGTATCAAATCCATTATCATTGACAAAAGCTAATGTTGGATCAAAAGTGGTGTTGAAATTATCATTATTATTATTCAAGAAGGATAATGGATCATCATTCAAATTCAACAAATTGTTATTATTATTATCTGTTGTAGTCTTTGGAGTATCATCAGAAGATGTCAATGGTGTACTTGCATTTGAAATTCTTGAAGATGATGTTCTCTTCTTTGGAACTGGACAATCTTTTGTACCACAAGCTTGATTCAAATCTTTACAGAAATCACTTATACCTTCATCAAAATGTTCGTTGAATTTGAAATCATTTCCATCATCTTGGAAACCTTGATGATGTTCTTTAACTTTGGTAAATAATGGGAGATCACGTTGATCATCAGTATTGTATAGTTCAAAAGGAGAAGATTCAGCAGAAGAAGTAGTTGAAGAATCAGAAGCTAAACCAGGGGCAGAGCTAGTGTTTTGATTATTTGCTTTAGCACTTGTTGTTGAATTTTTACGACTCCATGGGAATTCAAATGAAAATGGTTGTTGAGGCATTTTTGTGTTGAAATCATCTAATGGAGAAGAATTTGTTCTTGAAGATTTGTTATCATCACCACTAAAGACTGAAGAATTTGAATCATTTGAATCATTTGATGAAATAATACTTTTGGTATAACTATTACCAACAGGAGTTGGAACTTTTGGTAAGTTTAAATCACTTATATCATGAGTTCCACGATGTTTAGCTAATTCATTCATCAACATTTGAACTTGTAATCTTAAAAATTCAGATTCAGTATTTGCAGACTTTTTTTCATCCTCTAAATTTTCAATCTTCTCTTCCAATTCTTTCAATTTACGCTCTTTACGTTCTCTGAATGCCCTTTGAGCAGCTCTATTTTGAGCAGTTCTCTTATTCTTAGGCTCTGTAGCTAAAGGTTTACGACCTGGTTTATTAATCTTCTTATTGTTATCCTCTTGTCTTTTGGTGTCAGCCTCCTGGCTGCTTTCTCTGAGCTCTTCAGAGAGCAATCTTTTAGGTACCACGTCAGCCATTATATCTTGAGCAGGGTGTTTAAACTTGTGAAAAGGTAAAAGCAGTGATGTATTTGAATGAGATGAGATGGTGATAATACAGGTATCAATCAATTAGTAATCCAAAGCAGCTTTAATTAACAACGTAACCTTCACTAACAGCAGCAGCAGCAGAACCCTATGGTTGTGATTATTGGGGACTAGTACCTGGTATAATGCCAAAAGCTATTCAACTAGATGGCACCTGGTTATGGCTAAAGACAAGATGATTCATTCAGTTGATGCTTAAACGAGTCAATTAATTATTCGCCACTGGAGATGACAAATCACAGGAGGTTACCTGGCTTTACAAGGTGTTAACGGGTTTAGATCCCCTTCTAGAACCGGTGAGACAAAAAGAATAGACCTCATCAGCGAAGAGTACGAGCACTTCATACTTTGACATGGGTGGGTTCAATGAGTCAAAGGCCTAGAATCTTTGTATAGCATCATCTCTGGATCGATTGGAAATTGTCAGTAATAATATCGAGTGACGATGTGATGATTAATCTCCAGACTGCCAACCCCCAGCTGCTCAACAAGAATCACATGTATACTACAGACTTTTCAGCACTGCTTCATTCATTAAAAGGTCAAGATGGAACGTGTCCAACATCATCAGAATTCAACAATCTTTGATGAGGTTTCTCTCTCTCAGTTTGCCCACCAGGCTTTCCATTTGGATCAATGTCATTTTCCTTCCTCGTCGATGCTGGCTCTGGAAAGAAGAAAATGGTGTCTAAAATACGGTAGGATTTTTCAAACCTTGAGACATGACCTGTAGAGGTACCAAAGCTTAAAACCATACTGTTTAATCTTCTCAATATTTGTACAAGGTACCACAAAAGTTGTCTCAAACTGCAATTTGTTTGCTTAACTATAGTTATTGGGCATGTCTTTACATTTGGCGAAAAAATTCCATCACGACATTTCAAATGGCAAAATGCTATACTGGCCTTGAATTCTGGAGGCATATAACTAAGCTGTCTTTCTTTCAAAAACCCTATGAAGCTGGAGATGATGCTCTCGATATTGAAATCTGGGTCATCAAACAATTTCTCAATCTTTAAACAAAACCCATTTTGTTGAAATTTTTCAAATGTCAAAGATTTATCAATAACCAAATCAGTTGAAACGCCATCAACACAATTATTATGCTTGTTCTTTTTCAATTCTTCCAAGATCCTCTCCAGGGATTTCACAGGACAAACATTAACCATTCTATAGTATTTCAACTTGTGGAAAACACTGTAATGTTCACAATCACATGGGAGATTTTTATGAGACGTACAATTGTCACTTAAGAAAACCTTCTTTTGATAATCATCTGTATTGTCAAAGACATCACGTTCAAATTCAAAAGTTCCTCCATGAATAATATATTCTCGGAAATTAGGCAAGTTATCATCTTCATCGGGGTCTTTTATAATTGAATCATCAAGCAAAAACCCATGATTTTTAAAAATTGGTGGTGGTTCAAAATATTGAATAAGTCCTAGTGTATCCATGAAAGCCCCGGTTGTATAGGTTCGAGATGACACTATGGACCTATCTGAGTCTTTGTCAACACAGTGTCTTTGTAAAACATAACTGTGATATTTGTTATTCCAGATTTCAGAGGCTGACATGTCCATTGGAAGTTTAGATTGGATAATCAAGCCATGTCCTCTAAAGGTTATTTTTGGTAACTTCATCGTTATCTACTGAGAGTCCTATGGGAATTGATTGGGAAGAGAGAAATCCTTTGATATTGACTATTAGATCACTTTTTACGTTGTTATAGGGCACGGTGAAACCCAATGATCATATGAGATGATTAGCTGAGAAGATAATCTCTACAAGCCGAGTCTATAACAGAACTCTTTGTACTACTACTATACTTTATCCTGTTCACTACAAACATTAGTATCTTGTTTTCTAGCTGCTCTTTGATATATATATATTAAGAGTGATGTAAGCCTGTATTCTTGAGCAGAAATTACCAATAATGGCTTTTTGGACGTCTAATCAAAAACATGATTTTAGATGAATTTTAACATTTCAAACCTCTGGTCAAACCAAAGTGGTGCTTAATATCAACAAGCATTGTATTCTTCATAATGACAGTAGCCGCTTCAAACTCATCTGGAACTATGCGCCGCTATCGTTTGTTAGGAACCCTCGATAGACTTTTCAGAGCATCATCAATTGAAATTGGTAATATCAATTACACTCTTCAAGCATATTGTCAATGTACTTCCCAGGATAATAACAACTCAAACGGTATTCTCAAGTATGACTTCAAGGAGATCATGAGGTTTGAAGAACAAGAAGGTGCTTATATGATGACAGAATCCAGACATTCAAGTATGGGTAATAAAACTTCAAAGTTCAAAATAATCATGACCAAAGAATTGTTGAAAGAGCTATATGAAAAACCCAACAGACCAGTGAAATTAATGATCATCTCTGAGATTGAGACACCTGCAGATGGAATTTTGTTCATTGATAATGAGTTGAAGTTTAGTTCAAGATTTGTTAGACAAATGAATCAACAAACTGAAGAACATGCATATGAATTGAACATTGAAGTAAGCACCTCAAAATTAGATAATCCGAAAGGATTGCTTCACCTTACTGAATTCAAGATTAGGATTGTCTTTCCTTACTTTTTTTGGTTTTTCCAGGAATTATTTTCAAAATGATTCCAAGTTGTAAAATGTTCGGTGATGTACTTTTATTGGAATTTGGATTAAGATATGGAATCTTTGCCAAACACAGAGAGCCAATTCATCCAAGAGGTGATGATTTCACTTGGTCTGATGTTTTGAGACATCATTTGAACTCATTTATATATGTATTAATCATGTTTGCATTGTCTATTATCAGCTCAAAATATTTATGAATGTATGCTTTTTTTGCTTGAGAATTCTGTAGTATAGCAACATCACGCTTGATCAATCCTAGAAATACAATATCCACAAGTTCTTATTATATTAAATGATGTTATTATTATTTCTATACCCATCTGTATTTTGATCTTCACCTAAATCAATTGAATCAATTTAGAGTAAGTTTTCTCATCAATCACACCCATATTATAAAGGAATAAGTGCAATTTTCTAACCAACTCTAAAACTTCTTTAGGTTCCATATTTGTAACAACCAACTGTAAAACAGACCCAACATTAATTCTACTAGTACTAAGGAATGTTTCATAGTACAAATAAGCAAATGACCCCATTAAAAATTGACAATCAATACGATCAGTAATACCACCATGACCAGGAATTGTATGACCAAAATCTTTAACTTTAAAAGTTCTTTTCAATCCACTTGCGAAAAATCCACCAAATGGTGCTATTAAAGAAGCAAATGAAGCTAAATTTAATGTATGGAAATAGATTGGTCTAATTGTAATTTTGAAAATTCCAATATTTTCACCAATAATTGGAGGAATTCTAAAATCCTGGGCAATGAAAATTGGATTCTTATCACAAACTATATTGGAAAAAACATTTTCATGTAAATCTTTAACTGGACAAATTAGGTAATTGAAATTTGTTAAGACTTTAGCTAAAACAATACCAATAACAATAGTTGAGATCCAAGCACCAACAAAACCTTCCACAGTTTTCTTTGGAGAAATTGCAATCAATTGGGTTCTTCCAAATGTAATACCACATAAATAAGCCATGATATCATTAGTGATCACTAATAAAACTGGTAATAAGAACCAAATCAACCCATTAAAGATATTGTTGATAATAAGGTGTGCTTGGAAAACAACCAATAATAAAACCATATGAGTAATACATAATTGTGAAAATTGAAATTTATAATGACCTTTTTGTAATGTAGCAACAAAGAAAACGAATCCCAAAACGTAAAGACAATAACTCAAGAATTTATGATGGGTAGCTAATGGTGTAAGGAATTGATTTGTAAAAATTAAATGATTGAATGAATGAATAAATGATTCACCATCAAGGTAATAAATTGTTGTGAATAAGAAATACCAATTCAATGATTTAGTTAATGGCAAGTTTTTCTCTTTTGAAGGTTGTGAAGCAACAAATATACATTCTTTGAAAACCAAGATTTGACATATGAATACTAAAACAACAGTCCATATATGACCTAGTGATAGAATAGTAATAAAGAATAAAAACATAACAATTGTCCAAATTGCTCGAACAATAAAGTTTTGTTTCTTCTTTTCACGTTCACTCAATTGAACTTCATTCTTCGGCTGTGACGATTGTTTCTTCTCTATTATATCTGATGCTGTAGTTGTAGTTGTTGGTGGTGAAGTCTTTTTTTGCTTAGACTTTGGAGAAGTCTTTTTTGGTGCCATTATGTTTGCCCCTAGTATTATTGTTATATTATGGAAAGGACTCAATCAGTGGATAGAATATGGAATTGAGGGTTGATCAGGATCAATTAGTGTGATAATTTAGGAAGCAATTGGAATCTATTGAATCTCTGTGAATGCTTTATATTGTTTTGGATAGCAAAGAAACAATCAACAATAATCAGATTTAAAGTCAAACTGATTCGAAGAAATTTTTTTTTTTTGCCCTTTTTTCTCGTTACTTTTTTTTTTTTTTTTTTTTTTTACTTTGGAACGTGGAAATTTACACATGAAAGATTTCAACATTTTAATTCATTTTAGTTCATTTTAATTCATTTTAATTCATTTCGTCTCTATTAACTTTAAAACTAGATTCTCGATGTTTTTGAATCCATCTGAATTCTCTCCTGTTTTAATCATGATTTCTCGAATCAAATTAATAGCTTTATCCCCCAAATATTTCAAACTTCTTTCGGTATATCCAAAACTATCAGTCTTTTCTAAATAACTCAATGCAAACTTCTTTATATCATCATTATGTGTTCTTTGTTTCAAGATCCCTAACAATGTTTGATCCATAGGGTTCTTATTTAAGGAATGTACTATGGGGAATGATAATTTCCCTTCACTTATATCTTCACAAAATCCTTTATTTAATTGTAATTCATCATTCTTCAAATTCTTATAATCATCTTTAATTTGATATATTATTCCCAATAGGTTAGCCAATGGTATCAAAGAGATCTTGGTCTCTTCTTGACTAAAATGTTCCATCATTCTAACAGATAATCTAAACAACCCACCAGTTTCTAATGGGAGAAGCAAAAATTAGTACTCACATTCCTCACTCCATAGTATATCAAACATTACTCACTATTCATAACCATATTAATGTACTCTTCCTCACTAGGACAGCTTAAATTTTCTCTCCAATATAAATCAAGACTTTGACCTCTATGTAAATTCAACATTTCTTCATTGAAAACATCAACCAACTTGGGGTCCAGTTGTAATAAACAATTCAATGCCTTAAAATACATATAATTTGATGAGTTAATAGTGTAGGGAATCCCAAATATCAAATGTGCAGTTGGTTTACCACGTCTTAAATTTGAATCATCTTCAATATCATCAATCAATAAGGACGAAGTATGTAGTATTTCAATCACTTTGGATATCTGCTCAATCTGTATAGGTGGTACTTTGTATATTGTATTGAATAATTGGATCAATAGAGTACGTAGATGTTTTCCTGGGGTTGTTGTTAAATAATCATATGGAGCTGTGATGAGCTGGAACAAAATTGGTTAGTATCATCATTTCTAGGAAAGAGTATATAACTAAACTCACGTTTTCCTTCTGATCTGACCATTGTGGAGTCTTGATTATTTCCTCTATATTACTTTCCATTTCAATTGATCTTTTATTAGCTCTTTGTAATGAAATTCTGAAATGTGTCAAGTTTTGAAGTGTTTTTGCCGTTGTGAAAAATAAACAAAAGAAGCATTTCGCGAAATTTATATGATTTAACGTGGAAAAAGGTCATTTTTGTTTGATTTGAGAGGTGGAATTGTGCTGAAATGGTGTAATAAAATGACAGAAAATAGATGAGGGTAATTCATGAATTATTATCAATTAAAAATGCTGTTGTTTCTTATAAATTTGAGAAAATAGAGCTCATGATAGCTAGTTGTTATGGGCACGCCTTTCAATTCAAGATTAAAATTAATATATCTTCAAATTTATATAATAAATATAGGTTAATTTTACTATTAAAATAATTAGAAAATTATAAATTTTTTATTACTTAAGTGTTTTGGTTTGATTTTAACAACTTTTGAAAAACAAATAGAATTATTCTAACTTTAACAACCTCCTTTACTATATTTCATAAAACAAATTAAGAACCTTGAGGTTGTACTAGAAAAAAATTTGGAAAATGTTAGATATTAATACATAAGTACATTTAATAGGCCATTCTATAGTGTATAATCAATTATTCAAGGTATCTTTTTCATGTCGTTGTTGAATAAACCTATCTTTTATTTAAAGTGTCGGCTTTTTGCGGCCGCCTGCCTTGTGCTAAGAACCGATTTCAATACACATCGACAATCAAAAAAAGATGTAAATTCATCCAATTAACGAGTTACTAAAAACACCTACAAATAATTAAATATATTTATGACCATTCATGCATTAAGAAATTGACAAAAAAAACCATTATAATAAACTGGAATAACTAAATTTAAAAACAAAATTAAAAAACTATAATAAACATTCACTTTCTCTCTCTCTTTTTTATTTCTTTCTTTAAAAAACAACCAAAAAAACACACATATAACCAACTTAAAAAAATTTTTTCTTATAAAAAAACACACACAAAAATACCTTAACATAATAAATAATAATAAGTTCTTTTTTTCTTTCTCCTATGCACTTCCCCCTTTTTAATTCATAACAATAATATTTTATTCAGAAACAGTATAATAACTTCCAAAAACGTTCCAGTGAAACTTGGCCAATAATGAAATTCTTGAAGCAATAGAACCAATATCATCCTCTTCATTAGTAGTGGTAGTGGTAGTAGTAGCACTAGCAACAGCAACATTACCATTCCCACTAACAGGCATGACATTGTTTAATTTTTCATGTTCTAAATCAACAACTTTCTCTTTAATAATATTGAAGACTCGTTGTTCCATTAATGAATAAACTTGTGAAGAAGGTTGAGTTTGTTTAATCAACCAAGAAAATGCAAATTCCACAGTTTTTTCATTAGGTATAATCATTAAAGGATTTGAACGTCTAGATATTTGTAAGGCGATTGCACCTATATTTCTTGTCCATTTGACATTACCATTTTCATCAGTGATTAAAGCCAAGATTTCCTTCTTGAGTGATTCTATTGATTCATTTGTGATTAATTGATTATTATTAGATTGATGGCAAAGTTGTTTGAAAAGGGCAATGCATAGTTGTAAACAAACAACTTGACGAACATTTGCTCTAAGGACAATTAATCTTGCGTGATCAAATGCTAATGATGATGGGAATTCACTAACCATTTTGGAACATGATAATAATGATAATATTGCTTGTGTTGTAATGATTCTTGGTGTGGTTTCACTATTGTTGAACTGTTGGAACCATTTAACAGAATCTGATATATCTAATTTACAACGAGCAATCATTTGTAAGAAATAATCTCTTTCAAATTCCACAGCAGTCTCCACTAGGACAGGTCTTAAGATTCTAATTTGATGGTTTGCAACATCTAATTTCATAGCTTCCAAGATTGTGAAAATCATTCTTAAACCTTCAACTAATTTTAAAACAGATTTTGATTCATCAGCTTCGACAAATTTCGTCAACATTTCATCAACCCAAGAATCCCTCATTGGTGCACAATGTGATTTGAAAATAGATGATAACCAATTAGCCAGCTTAACGAAATCTAATGAATGGTTTGATAATTGTTGCATGATTAGTTCAATATCTAAAACATCAATAACCGTTTGTTTATCTTTAGAAGGTAATAATGAAATCAAAATATCTCTTAGTGTTTGAAACAGATTTGGTAACCTTGATGAATTTTTAGAAAAAACATGTTGATTTTGATAATATTCTTCAATTTCTAATTGAACTCCTGACCAATATTTATCATAAGTGACTTTTTTACGACGACCTCTTTCACCATCAAGATTTGGTCTGAATTGTAATTGTGGGTCAAATAAAATATCATGTCTTAGTTGAGGGTTTTTCAAAATTTCAGCCAGGTCGATTTCACGTAATGATTGAATATTTACTGGTGGTAAAGGTGCTGGTGGAGTTGATGTTGTTGATGTAGTTGTGGAGAATATGTTTGTAGTTGATGGATCCTTGATTTTGGATTGGAAGAAATCCAAGTTTTTAGATGAGAATAAAATGTTTGGTAATGATCTTGATCTATATTTACGTATTTTGGAAGATGATGGTTTATGTTTTCTTTTTTGATTTGTTGATGATGATGCTGTGGTAGTAGTTGATGGTGGCACAACAACTTGAACTTTCTTTTCAATAATGTGATGATGATGATGGTCTTCTTCTAAAGAGGGACATGCAGTTGGAGTGGATATGAATGAGTTTTGACTAGTTTCAAATGATAATGGGGGTATATCTAATTTGCCATCTTCGGTAGAGTCATTTGAAGCAGTTGTGGAATGAGGGATAGGATGATGGTGATGATGATGAATATGAGCTGTAGCAGATGGAGTAGACGGACCAGCAGAGATAACAGAGTTGACTTGATCAGTGTTTGTAGTTGTTGAGTTGGTGTTTGTTGGAGTTGAAGTTGGAGGTTGATTTAACGATATTGTAGAATCCAATCTAGCTCTTTTGGCATGGGTGGACTCCTGAGTTGCAGTGGGTGCCTGAGGCATGACTCTTTTGGAGGAGTCGAAGAAGACTGTTCTGAAGGTGTTTTCCTCTGAAAAGATCTGGTCGTTGTTGTCCTGGTTGTTGTTTAACTGGGAGTTCATGATGATGGTAATATTCAGGAGTGGAATGACTCTAATATTAAGGCTAATTCCGTAGTTGCAAAGCAGTGGGTATATTTATTTGGTGGTGATGATAGTGATAATAGTAATAGTGTGATAACAGTATGGTAATAGTATGGCAATAGTATGGAGTAAAAATGGTACAACAGAAATAAACAAACTTGTTGTTATAAATATCCAAATTCCCTTTCGTTGTCTTTTGAATTCAAATTTCAACACTTTTTTTTTCTTTGGAAAAAGAAACAGACCAAAAAAAAAAAAAGGAAAAAAAAGAGGATAATGGCAGAATGCGGTAATACTCCGTTTGTGGACATGTCCTATAGTAAGGTTAAAGTTAGGATATAGGCTACAGAGGATATGACTGAGTTACGAAGGATTGGTGGTGGTGGTGGTATTACTTGTATTGGTATTGGTTAATCTATTATATTATATGGTTTTTCTATTATATCATCTCCTTGATGTCTCCTAGTCCATGTATTCACCAATAAAGTCGTGGGTATTAATGAATATTTCACCTCATCTCGAGACCTTCAACCTTCGTCAAACCTCCTTCAACGGGCCTGTGCAAACTTAATCCAAGAACCATAATCACTCAGCATATCCTCTTAGACCCACACTACCAAATCATCTGGATTAACTCAATAAACCTAATTACATAGATGAGATCATAGACCTATTCCAACTGAAAAAAAAAACAGTATCGAGAACCTTTAACATCAAGATTAACCTTCACCAACTGACATCATGATCCTAAAGCGACTATTCTCATCATCATCTTCATACTTATCACAATCCACAATATACTTTGGTGAAAACTCATTAAACAGATTATCCTTCCTAAGAAAAGATCCAATCTTCATTGCTAATGCCCTAACATCCCCATATTCTAAAATCATCTTTTTGAACAATTCAAATCCAATAGTTAAAGATAATCAATTATACACTTCAAACTATTCACAAGTTGATTATAAATTCCGTCAAGTATTAGATTCTTGGATAGATTCAAATTCAAAATCCAGTAACCCACCATTATTATGTCATTTCTTGGGATTATCCAATAAGCATTATTCACCATTCAAATATAAACAATATTCAGGAATCCCCTTTTTCGCAATTGAATTACAAGATCATAAATTATCATCAATCACTTCAGAGCCGGCTCTATTAGAATTGCAAACAAGAGAAGAAATCAACACCCATTTATCTAATCATGATGCATCTATTATATCACAGGCTAAAATGTATTTAAACTGGTTACAATCAACAAAACATTGCCAAGGTTGTGGATCATCAACAATCCCTATCCATGCTGGTTCTGAATTGTTATGTTCAAGTTCTGAACAGATCAAGTGTCCTGTGAAAACAGCTCCTGTTTCAAATGCTTCATTCCCAAGATTGGACCCTGTTTTAATCACTTGTGTTGTGCATAATGACCATGTATTATTTACAAGAAATTCCAAATTCCCCAAGGGGATGTATACCTGTATTGCAGGCTTTATAGAACCTGGTGAAAGTATTGAAAATGCAGTTAGGAGAGAAGTTTGGGAAGAGAGTGGGTTGCAAATTGACAAAGTTGAAATTGTTCAATCTCAACCATGGCCATTCCCAACAAATATAATGATTGGTTGTATTGGATATGTTGCAGAGAATCAAAATGAAATTGAATTAAATCATGATGAAGAATTACAAGATGCTCAATGGGTACATTTTTCGAAACTACGTGAATTAATTACAAATGGTGAAGAGAATAAAGATTTAGTTGTACTGATTGATGGATTCTCCATGGGTATTCCAAATGATAAGACATTGGCTTATCAATTATATAAATATGCAGTGGATCATATATATTCATAATTTTATACGAACAGCTTTCACTTGTGTATAATTATCTAGTGCTTCTTGACCCATTTCTCTACCAAATCCACTTTGTTTAACACCACCAAATGGAACATTTGGACTGAAATCATTATAAGTGTTTATCCAAACGGTTCCACTCTTGATCAATTGAGCAATTTGTAAAGCTTTTGATAAATTTGTAGTTTGGATACCTGCACCTAATCCAAATTCTGAATCATTAGCCATGGTGACAACTTGATCAATTGAAGAAAATTTTGAAATTGTCACCACTGGTCCAAATATTTCCTCTTTATTAATTTGAGAATCTTGTTCAACATCATAGAAAACTGTTGGTTTGATGAAATATCCAACATCACCAATTCTTTCACCACCTGTTAATAATTTAGCATGACCAGATTTTAAACCAATATCAATATATGACAAAATTGTATTGAATTGTGATTTATTAGTTATAGCACCTTGATAATTTTCAGAATTGAATGGATCCCCAACTTTAATTTCATTTTCAATATAATTTTTAAATTTTATCAACATTTCATCATAAATACTATCCTGGATATAAATTCTTGAACCACTTGAACAAATTTGTCCAGCATTTTTGAAAATACCATCAACTAAAATCTGTAATGTCTTGTCCTGGTCACAATCCTCCAATACAATATTTGGAGATTTCCCACCCAATTCCAATGTGATTTTTTTCAAATTACTCTTTGCAGCTGCAACCATTACATCTCTTCCAATGCTTGTTGAACCTGTAAATGCAATTTTCCTAATCTTTGGATGTTGTAAAATTGCTTCACCACACGTACGTCCACTACCTGGCAAGATATTCACAACACCATCAGGTATACCTGCCTCTTTAACCAAATTTGCGAAAAACAATGCATTTAAAGGAGTATCACTAGCAGGTTTCAAAACAACAGTATTACCAGTTGCTAACGCTGGTGCAATTTTCCAACTCAACATTAATAATGGGAAATTCCATGGGATGATTTGTCCAACAACTCCTAAAGGTTCCCTGATTGTGAAGTTCATATATCCATTTTCAGAAATTGAACGACCATCTAATTTATCACAATAACCTGCAGTGGAGCGGAAATAATCAATAACTAATTGGACATCACCTTTGGCTAATGCCAAAGTTTTACCATTATCCATTGATTCGATAGATGCCATAATTTCGAAATTTTCTTCAATTTTCAATGCTAGGTTGTTTAATAATTTAGCACGATATAATGGATCAGTCTTGGACCAATGTTGGAAAGCTAGTTCAGCTGAGTCCACTGCAAAGTCAACATCTGTTTTAATTGCAGATGATACTGAAACTATATCTTGTTCAGTTGAAGGGTTTATAACTTTTATCTTTGATTCATTAGTTTCATAAAATTTGTTATTGATGAATAAACCTGTTGGTTGATTATATTTCAGGCCATTTGGTAATGTTATTGGGATTGTCTTAGCCAATTGTCTTGAGAATGTGCTTTGGAAACGACGTAGGATTAACGACGACTGGTGATGGGTTAGAAAATGTGTTGTGATTATGGGTATGATTTAACACTCACCATTATTGATTGATCCTGAGGAAGAAAAAAGGTGTTGGGAATGGTCAAGATGGATTGTTTGGCAGTTTTATAGCTCATCGATGATTCATTCGACGACACCTGAGTCGAAGATGGATGCATAATCTTAAATTGAAGAAGGTGTAAAGTTGGGCAATTGATGAGCCCATCCAATCAAGGGACAACGGCTATTCAGCCATTCGATCTAGTCATATTCAGATAATCTGTAATCTATAATTGAACCTATAATCTCATTATAATCTCATCTGTTATTGATTCTATAACCTCCAAAGCCCTCTTCAACGGTGTTTAGCCATTTCACTGACAGCTGTATCACCTGTACCGGTCAAGGACTCAACGTCTAATAATTCACTAAGTTCCCATAATCAACACTAATATGAGTCAGACTGTGATTTCTATTACCAACTGATGATACATCTTCTCATAACCCATTATAAATCCATTATATTCCTCAAAATTCACCATCTCTTATTAATTCACCAATCAATTTTTTGTTAATAACAACCTCGTCATCTTACTAAAAATGAATAATGTATCGGTTTTAAAGGGATTTCTCAGGGCTTAATGAGTTCTTAACTATGTGTTATGTAAGCAGATGAGGTTGCAGTTCTAGAGGGTCTATACTAAACAGTTGGGCAAACGAGTATAAAAGTGAACAAATCCGCAATTTATTCATTTGAATTTGAATTTTGGGAATAATCAAATCAAGTTTAAATCAAACTATTATATCAAATGTCAGAAATGGTTTCTCCAAGATCAATCCTCAAATATTTCCTTGCTGTTGCACAAGAAGAAGGTGTTGGTGCAAAAGTTAGAAGATCAATAGGTACGATGCAAGTTCGTAATTTCACACCTTTCTTAATGTTGGATCATTTCAACGTTTCACCTCCAGCTGGGTTCCCAGATCATCCTCATCATGGTCAAGAAACAATCACTTATCTAATCAGTGGGAAATTCGCCCATGAAGATTTCACTGGTTCCAAGGGGATTTTAAACCCAGGTGATTTACAATTCATGACTGCTGGTAAAGGTATTGTGCATAGTGAAATCCCTGTTGCTGCTGAAGATGGTAAACCTGTCACTGGTATGCAACTATGGGTTGATCTACCAAAAGAATTGAAGAATTGTGAACCTCGTTATAGAGATTTAAGAGCTAAAGAGATCCCTGTTGTTAAACCAAATGATAAAGTTACTGTTAAAGTCATTAGTGGGAAATCTTATGGTACTGAATCTGTTAAAGAATTAGCTTATACTCCAATTGATTATTATGATTTTGAAGTTGCTCCAGGTGGTGAGTTCCAACAAGAATTCCCAAAGGATTTCAATGTGTTTTTATATGTTATGGATGGTAGTATCTCTATAAATGATACTCCAATTAAACAATACAATGCAGTGTTTTTCAACACTGATGGTGATGGAGTTGTTGGTAAAGTTCCAGCAGATGCTAAAGAAACTGCAAGATTTGTTATAATTGGTGGTCAAAAATTAGATCAACCAATTGTTCAACATGGTCCATTTGTGGAAACTTCTCGTGAAAAGATGTATGAAGTATTTATGAATTATCAAACTGGTCAAAATGGGTTTGAAAGAGCTAGAGGATTCGCATCTAGTATTGCTAGTGGTGTTAAAGAAGAAGATTTAGTTAATGGTGAGTTACCAGAGAGAAAAATAAAGATCCACAAAGACGAATTATAATCAAATCTCATAATATTCATAATTTTCTATTTATTTATTAGCAATTTTAATGGTTTTTGTATAGATTTTTTATATCTTTAATTGAAAAAGTTTTGACACATATATTTTTTTTTGGGTAGAGACACGCAAAAATCACTGTATACAAAAAATTTTCGAAGCTCATCTCTAAAAGAATTTAGTAAACAACAACACCGACAAATGGCTCGTACAAGATCTCAATCCACTAAAGTGAATATACCAATAGTGAAACTAGAAGACGACAATCATCATGATTATACTCTAGAAGCAATTAAGCAACAGCAGCAACAACAACCTCCACTGAAAAAGCTAAAACTTGGATCATATTCAAATTATACAACTTCAATGATTAAACGTAAAATAAATAGTCTAAGGCCTTCATATAATTCTCCAAAATGCAAAACTAAAAATAGTTTAAATACCAAGATTGAAAATATAAGCAATTCAGTGACTAGCAATTTGCAAAATGTGGATTTTTTACAACAACAAGTTGAAACCATAAATAAATTTCAAATTTTGCAAAATTTTAATATAGATTTAAAGACAATAAAGATCTTAACTTCAAACCTTGATGAATATAATGAACATGATTTAAAACTAATTGAAACATTGCAAACTGATGACCAAGACATGACAAAATTTTATGAATTTTATGACATTAAACCACCAATCCTTGAACCGGAACAACACATCTCAACAGAGCAACAAGATGATATCCCATTCCTATAACCAATTCCATGGTGCAGCTAAAGGGTTAAACCCAAACACTTTTGCCCAAACTGCATCAAAATAAAACACAACATGACCAATAAAGAATGGGGCCAATTCTAATTTATAATCCCAACCAGATGGGTTTCTTAAAAAACTCATAAATATTAATAAAAAACTTAGATATCCAGCTTTAAACTCAATCAATCCTAAAAACCCCATCATGACATCTGGGTTTTGTCTACTCCATATATAATTCAATGCTTCATTTAAGAAATTGCCCAAAAATCCTAAATTTCTAATATAAGTTGAATATAAAATTAATAAAATTGAACACGTTGTAATAAACCATAAATAATCACGAGTTCTATTAAAAGATTCCTCCAATTGTCTCGAGTACTGGACTATCAAATATAAAGAGAGTACTAAATTGATATCAAAATGACCCATGAATAAGAAACATGTTATTAATCTCCATGGTTGTTGTCTGATCAAATTTGGAGTCAGTATTATATCATGTAATTTAATGATGTTGGAGTCCACCAAAACGGAGGTGAGCAAGATGGAGACTGTCCATGTTCTAGTGACGATTGGGATATCCGTGATCCAATTGACTGGGATTCTTTCCATTTTTTTAAACGGTATTTTGATCTTGATTTTGGGTGTAGTTTTGGTTTTGGTGTTCTTTTTTTAACATTCTCAAATTGAAAAAAACCAAACCAAAACAAACATTTATTTAATACTCACCATTAAAACTCACAAAACAACTTCACAAAGAGATGGACTCACTCTCATCGTCACCTCTGACACCTGCAACGTCAATAGCACCACCGGCAACACCTCCACCACGCTCCTCAGCAAGAGCCAATCCTTCCACTCCCTTAATAAACCCACCATCTTCAGATTCAGAATCAGAACATGAATCTCCATTACTAAACTCTTTACAACTATCACCAAACGAACAATCCTACCTAGACCAAATAAGCTCAGCTCCTCGCACCCCTGTCAGACCTCCCACCTTCACGAGGTCTCATAAGCACACAATGTCCATACCTGCTTACAAGTTCCCATCTTTGAGGAATTTCAACGTGGTTAATTCTTCACCAAGCACGCCAACGGGCTCCAGGGTGGATATTTTCAAAGATGTCAAGATTAATGAATTGCCGCAAGGTGGTGTGTCCAAGTTGCAGGGGAATAGATATAGTGTGTATGTACAGAATGAGGATTTTGAAATACCGGAGAGGAAGAAATGGTTTAAGCATGGTAAGAATAATAGTTTTGGAAGTCCTGGTGGTTGGTTTCTAAAGAATCATAAAAAGAGTAGGAGTGAGTTTTAGATAGGGCTGGGCCCCATATGTTTATTTAATGATTAATATTGTACATGGTGGTTTAATTGCGTAGAAAGAATTCATTAAATATTAAAAATAAGAACTAAAAAATAAACATCTATAAATATTATCATAACCTTCAATTAACATGATTAACAATCTCATGTGATGCTTTAATTTGATTTTCCACATCGATATGAGATTTTCTCTTTTTAGCCAAAATTTTAGAGGCTTTAATATTAAACCCACCAGTTAATAATTGTTGAGTCTCCTCCAATTCTAACCCACTCAATTCAGGATAACAAAACCAAACGAAAACCCAAGAAACTGCACATAATGCAGCAAATAATGCAAATGTCCCTGGTGGTGTAATGTTTCTCAACATTGTTAAGAAAGTTGAAGATATAACTAAAGAACCTGCCCAATTAGTTGCAGTGGCAAATGAAGTACCAATACCTCTAACTGATTGAGGAAACAATTCAGATTGTTGCCATGGAACATTACCAATCCCAATAGCATAAGTTGCCACGAATAAAATCATACCAATGATAACAACAATCCCCCAACCTGAGATTCCACTTGATTCGACAATTGCTTCACCACCATCAAATTTAACACCTAGGAAATGGAATGCAATTGCACAGACAACTAATGAAACAATCATACCCGGGATAGCTAACAATAACATCAAACGACGACCAGCCCAATCAATAATGAAGAATGCAATAACTGTAAAGACGAAATTCGTACCTGCAACAACAATGGACACTGCGGTGGAATCTTTAAATCCCACAGTTTCGAAAATTGTGGAACTGAAATACATTAATGAATTGAAACCAGTGAATTGTTGAATACCTTGTAATCCACACGCGATTATTAAAGCTCTTAAGTTTGAAGGAACTCTATGAACTTCTTTTATAGCATTCCAAGTTTGGATCAAGATATTTGAACCAGGGATTTGATTATTCAAACGTGATAATTCCTGAACTTTCAATTCAATCAATTCCTCAGTCGAGTCTAAATGGGTTCTTTTCAAAACTGCACAAGCTTTCTCCAATTGACCCTTCATTATATAATATCTTGGAGTATCTGGTAACCAAAAAAACACAAAGAATTGGATAGCAGCAGGGATCAAACTTAGACCGACAAGGATTCTCCAACCATGAGTAACATGGGTCAACCCAGCACCACAACCATACGCGACTAATTGACCACCAGTGATACAAAGACAGTTAATAACAGTTAAACGACCTCTGAATCTTGATGGAGAAATCTCACTAATGAATAAAGGAGACACCAAGGAACCAATCCCAATCCCAAACCCCATGATGAATCTCCCCACGGTCATGACCCAGAAAGTATGAGCAGCACATTGTAGGGCAGCACCGACTAAAAACAAGATATTTGAACTCATTATAGTTGGTTTTCTACCAAAGAAATCAGCAGAAAGACCAGCCATAGTCGCGGTGATCAAGGCCCCCAACGAAGTGGCAGCAGTGATCATTTCCTTTTCACCATATGTCAACACTTTATTGTCCAAATCTGTCCCGATGGCAACTAGTGCAGATGATATATAACCTGTATCGTAACCAAACATGAATCCAGAGATTGAGGAGATGATAGTGAGGACGATGATCAAAGGTGAAGGTTTTGTGTTGTGGAAGGTCATGAGGATGGAGGTGTCGTCCTCGTCGTTGACTGGTAGTTTGATTTGGATGTTTTTAGAAGGGTCATCATCGTGGTTGTTGTTTGATTCATGGATATCATCGTCTGAAGTTGTAGTTGTGTTGATCAACACTTCCTGGTCGGAGTGCTTCTGTTGGAAGTCGGTCTTGACTGTCTTGAAGTCCTTCTTGTCGTTGAATAGAGACATAGCGAGTGACCAGCGAGTTGAAGATGGATTTGTTGATGAAGTTGTTATTGAGTTTGTTGATGTTAATTTGATAAAGCTTTTTCCTGTTTTTTTCGTGTGACAGTTTTTAATTCCTGTGGAAGTATTATGTCAGCAATTGGCTTGTGATAGAAATTGGATTAATATTAGTTAATGAATTAGTTAATATTATTTGGTTATTTGGTTATTTGGTTATTTGATAATTGTATTGTATTTATTGTATTCTAAGAATGTATCTCTTTGTCTGTTTATATACTGGTTATTGTGTCTGTTTAATTTGTTCTGTGTCGTTCGATGGAATCCAGATAACTCCTGGGACATAATCATGTTCTCGAGGATAATAGAGTTAAGTATGGGGAGAAACCCTTAATGTTACACTTTAACTGACGTAGTAGGCACTGGTGATTTGGTTAAGGAGCTAAACACTAACAGCTTTTCCATACAACTTCTAGCTAATTGAAATATCACAGTCTGGCTGTTTCGGTTTATTGTTGAAAAATTTGATATTCACTGAACAATTGAAAAACAGAAGCCAGTTTTAAACTCCAGGTCAAAAAATAAAACAATAAGAATCCCACCTAACCCAGATGCACACTAGCTTCTTTGGCTTACTTCTTTTAGGGGGTTTCTATTCAGTGGTCACAGCTACTAAACAATTAGATCCCACCAATTTATCAATCAATGGATCCATAAACATCCATCAACTTCGGTCACATCCTAGTGAAATGTTAGAGGGAAGCTCAAATAATCCAATTGTTGATGCTGTTTTAAATATACACCAACTGCTAAACGTCTCCAATGCTCAGAAAACCCTCAATAACTCACCTCCTGATTATGAAGCTTCTTTGTATGATATACAGGGAATAGAATCCCCATCATCACCAAATTCAAAAGCTAGACTCATCTCAAACATTTTATTTACTTATTCAGTATCTTCAGGATCAATAGCTGTCATGAGTGCCTTTTGTGCAAATCAGAAAAAACATAACAAGATGTTTGCAGAGAAAATTTGTACAGTGTTTGCTTCAAGTGTTGTTATTGGAATCACTTCAATTTTATCATATATGACATATCTTGATATTGGTATTCTTGAAACTTTGATACTCCCAGTGAAATGGTTATTCAAGTCAGTACTCTTCAATGGTGGTGCCAATACGGATCAATTAGTTTATAGTATTCCACAATATCATTGGCAAAATTATTCTTCAGTTTTAAATGAATTTAGCAAAACTGGAATAACTATTAATGATGTTAGTTATGAATACGGAATCTTGGGGATTGACAATTTACCATATTTTTACAATCCAAGTTTTAACATTACCCTAGGGCAAAGTACAACAAACATATAGCATGCATAGAAATCAAGAGCTCATCAATTACTACAAAATTCTCTTCATAATGCCATATCTACTCTCTTATATATTTAGCCTTAATATATACATGCTTTTCCTTTTCAAATCATTATTATCATACCAGGATCATAACTCTTACTTACTTCTTGTTACAATAGCATTAGTCAAGAATTCCAATGCACTTCTTGAATCACTTTCAGGCAATACACTTCTCAAATTCTCCAAGGCCCTATGACAATAATCTTCAGCCATTTGTTTAGTTTTAGTTAATCCATCATGTTTATAAACTTCCTTCATTGCAATTTCCACATCTCCTTCATGTTTAAATTTTCTTTTAATCAATTCTCCCAATTCTGGATTCTCCCTCCAGGCAAACAATATAGGAGCCGTAGCTAATCCTAATTTCAAATCTGCATTACCTGGTTTCCCTAAACTTTCTGAAGTTTGAGTATAATCCAAAATATCATCAACCATTTGGAAACATAACCCAACATTTCTACCAAATTGATAACAATTATCAATCACATTTTCATTAGCACCACTTAGGATAGCTGCAGATCTGCATGATTTGGATAATAACGCTGCGGTTTTCAAATATGTCTTGTGGATATAATATTCAAATGCTGCATCAACTTGTTGAGCATGAGTGATTCCTTGACCCGACGGAACTGAAACGCTATATTCATGGACCGTAGTATCTATTGCCCCTGTTGGTTTTGGAATCAATTTATCCTCATCGATTAAATCCTCATCAGGTTGGAAAACAGTATTTTTCAATTGCATAAATTCTCCCTCCACTAAATTTGCAATTGAAGTACTCAACAATTCAATAACTTCTGGGTTTCTTAATCTTGAAATGGATACACTAGCTCTACCCAATAAGAAATCTCCAGCCAACACGGCCATCTTGTTATTGAATGCAATATTCCCACTTGGACGATTTCTTCTTGAATCTGAATTATCAATAACATCATCATGTAATAATGAAGCAGTATGAATCATCTCCACGATTTCTGCCAATCTTCTTTGTTTTGGTAATATCCCTCTTTTCGAATCAAACTCTGGCAATGTTTCATGAGGTTTTGTTAATGGATCCAATATAATATTTGGATTAATACCATGTAATATTCTTAATGGAGATATTTGGCCCTGAGAATGTTGTTCTTTCAAAATAGCACCAAGGGATTTCGTACCTTCATAAACAGGTTGTTCAGGGATATCTAAATCATCAATCTTGATTCTATTTCTCTCTTCAATTGGGATTTCACTAAGTGCTCTACTTAGTAATAACACTAATAATGGTCTAATTTTTTTCCCTTGACTCTCAAAATAATATGCACTAATTCTATTCAATGTTGGATGTCCCGAACCTATCAACGTCCCGATATTCGAAGCCAATTGGGACATTTCATGAGAGACTAATGAGATTGGATCTTTTAAAATCATGGATGGTGTAACTAATTTAGCTGCAGTTTCTATAGCTGTGGTCCAGCTAGATTTAGAACGATTGAAACATCTTAGCGAATGATTGTGAGCAGAGCGTATCTTGACTCTTTGTAAACCTCTTAGCATACTAAATAGAAACCCGTTCTGGATTGAATTGAATGTTGCTGCCTTTTTTGTTTAATTAATGGTTACCATCTTTTCAAGGAATGAAAAAAAAAGGCCATATTGGAAATTTACCCTGTGAAGCCCAAGAACCGAATTGAAATAACAACATAATCAATTAATACCCATCAGCTTATTCAAAGCATCCAATAAGAACTCTTTCTAAGGCAAAATGGACTGGCTAACTACGTTCCCCGGGTTCAACTACACCCAAGACCTCGTCAAGCAATTCCTTGCTCGTATAATAATAACGGGCCCAGTACCTAAACATGTTGGTTTTGTTATGGATGGTAATAGACGTTTTGCTAAAAAGCACAAGATAGAATTGAAAGAAGGTCATAATGCAGGTTTTGAAAGCATGGCCAAGATATTAGAGATTTGTTATGAATGTGGTGTGGAGAGTTGTACTGTGTATGCTTTTTCAATTGAGAATTTTAAAAGAAATAAATTTGAAGTTGATTGGTTAATGGAATTGGCAAAATTAAGATTTACTCAAATTGTTCAACAAGGTGAATTGTGTGAGAAGTTTGGTATAAAGATTAAAGTGTTGGGTGATAAGGCATTGTTACCTAATGATGTTTTAAAAGTTATGAATAAAGCTGAAGAAATGACTAGGGATAACAAAAGAGCTATATTAAATGTTTGTTTCCCATATACTTCAAGAAATGAAATTACAAATTCAATTAAATCAATAATATCGTCTAAATTGCCATCAGACCAGATTAATGAACAATTGATTGAAGATAATTTATATACTAAAGATCAAGCACCTTTAGATCTATTAATTAGAACAAGTGGTGTTACAAGGTTGAGTGATTTCTTATTATGGCAAGTTGTTTCAAAAGGTGTTGAAATTGAATTAGTTGATACTCTATGGCCTGATCTAACACCATTACATATTCTTTGGATCTTAATCAAGTTTAGTTTTAGGAAAACTTATTCACAACGATCCAAAACAAACTTCGAAGAGGATAAACAGGATTAAAATAAAATCTTAATCATTGATTTAGCTTGTAGTTCTACATTATCATTCATTTCTATGAGCACATTAATTATATGGAGTTATACTTTATTTTTTGTTTGATTCTTGAGCTTTTTCAAAAGTTTCTTTGAATTTATCAGCATTTTCTTTATTACCAAATCTAATGGCTAAAGTTTGAGCTTCAGGTTCACCTTCAGAAACATCAGCAGTAACGTTATAAACCCATGATCTATCAGAACCAACATTTGGTTTTAATTGATATTCTGGACTAATGAAATGATTTGCACAAATTTTCAAAGTTTTATCTCTTCTCATCAAGATACGAACTTTTTTAGTTTCTTTATGTTGTAAGAATTTAACATCACCTACACCTCTTTCTTTCCATTCTTTTGAATCTGGATGGAATCTGAATAATTTAGCACGAACTTTAAATAAAACTTCTTCATTTTCTTCATTTGTTTTAACATCAACTTTTTCTAAATGGACTAATGGTTCGAAATGAACATCTGGAGATTCTGGAGCATCATCACCTTCAGCAGCAGCTTCACCATCTTTTTTCTCATCTTTTTTCTCTTCATCATCTTCTTTCACTTCCTTCTTTTTAGAAGCGCCACCAAACATGGAGAAGACATTAGCAGTTGGAGGGTTTTGGGTGGTGGCAGCAGTTGGCTTAGCTTCTTCAGTGGCAGTGGCAACTGGTTTGGTTTCTTCTTTAGCGTCAGACATATCTTGATTGGTGAATTGGTTTAAGGATCTCTGACCTTGAAAATGTTGATGTTATTGTTTTTGTTTTGTTTTTTGGATCGAAAATTTTCTGAATTTTTTTTTTCTCCAAAGCAAAAAATGGAAAATGTTGAAGAGGGAAAAAATGGTTGAAACAATGTTAAATGGTTTGTTAAAAGAGATGTTAGATGATTGAATGTATATAAATATGACATAATTAATCATTAGAATAACAATATCATTCTGTAAACTATATTTTACATTCATTCCTCAGTATATAATATTCACCGTCACGTGACCACCCTTACTGACCCGTGTCATCCATAGTTTAGCAAATGGCAGACTGCTCGTTGGCATTTTCGTGAAATCAGTTGCTTTCAAAACGTCGTCAAATGATCAAATGAAGAATTATTAAATCACAGACTTTTAACCAGGAAAGTTTACTCTGTTGACTCAATTCAACTATTCTTTGAATCCACAATCAACTGGTTTAAACACTGCCAATTCACACAAAACAATATCCCAATCACAGCAACTCCCACATCTTCCATCACCCCCAGATCTCATCAAGTCTGTCACATAACTCGTTTTTGCCCCATTATCATCCGAATAAACAACATCAACATCAACTAATGGCTGACCCAACTTTCAAAATGAACAATCCGTTCCGTCACCATTCTCGTCGTAAATCATCCAATGATGACTATGACCCCTTTTCTCATCCAGATGTTTACTACGGTCCTCAAACTGATCCTTCAAAAGCAACTAGAAATTCAAGAGCTGGTAGGGTTCGTACAATGAGTATTGTGGAAAATGGTTCCACTCTGAGAAATGAGTTTAGAAATGAAATCAAAGCGGATTTGAAAAGACGTGGTTCTCAAGATGAAGCTGGTTTAATGAATGGTGGTCGTGGTCGGAGATTCTTTATTAGTGATGTTAATGGAACTTTACAAGAATTGTTAGATAGTGAAGATACTGATAAAAACTTTCAAATCACCATCGAGGACACTGGTCCAAAAGTTTTAAAATTGGGGACAATGAATTCAAATGGGTATAATCAAATTGATGTTCGTGGTACTTATATGTTGTCAAATTTATTACAAGAATTAACTATTGCTAAAAGATTTGGAAGAAATCAAATGATTTTAGATGAGGCAAGGTTAAATGAAAACCCCGTTGATAGATTATCAAGATTAATCTCTACACAATTTTGGAAAAATTTAACAAGAAGAATAGATTCAAACAGTATTGCAACTTTTGCTAAAGATACTAAAATCCCATCAAATCCAAGAATTTATATCCCTTATAATTGTCCAGATCAATATGAATTTTATATCAACGCCTCTAAAAATCAGCCAGATTTACATTTAGAAGTTGAATATTTACCAAAAGATATCACCCCTGAATATGTTAAATCTATTAATGACAAACCAGGTTTATTAGCATTAGCCATGGAGACAACACATGATCCATCAACCGGTGAGGAATGTCTTGTTTCGTTTCCTTATGTTGTCCCAGGTGGTCGTTTCAATGAATTGTATGGATGGGATTCATATATGGAATCATTAGGTTTATTAATCAACAATAAATTAGAATTAGCTCGTGGTATGGTTGAACATTTCATTTTTGAAATCGATCATTATGGTAAGATTTTAAATGCAAATAGATCATATTATCTATGCAGATCTCAACCTCCATTCTTGACAGATATGGCTTTAAAGATTTTTGACAAGATGGGTGGGAAATCAAATCCTGAAGCTATGGATCTATTACATAGAGCTACTAATGCTGCGATAAAAGAATATAAAACCATATGGACAGCATCTCCAAGATATGATGAAGAAACTGGATTATCTTGTTATCATCCAGATGGGGTTGGTATTCCACCAGAGACTGAACCTTCACATTTTGATAGTGTTTTAGGCTCATATGCCTTGAAATATAACATCTCTATTGAAGAATTTAGAGAACGTTATAATGATGGGACTATCAAAGAGCCTCCATTAGATGATTATTTCACTCATGATCGTGCAGTTAGAGAAAGTGGTCATGATACTAGTTATAGATTAGAAGGTATTTGTGCAAACTTGGCCACTATTGACTTGAATTCATTGTTGTATAAATATGAAACAGATATTGGGTTTATTATTGCAACTTATTTCCAAGATTCTTTTAAAAATGAATTATTACATGGTGAAGTTTATAATTCAAGAGAGTGGATTGAAGCTGCAATTAAAAGAAAAGAAGCAATTGATAAATATCTATGGAATGAAGAAAAAGGATTATATTTTGATTATAATGTTAAATTAAAATTACAATCAAATTATGAAACTGCAACAACTTTTTGGTCATTATGGTCAGGAGTTGCATCTCAGGAACAAGCTTTGAAACTATCAAAATCTGTTGAAATTTTTGAACAACTGGGTGGGCTAAGTGCAGGTACTGAAAAATCAAGAGGTGAAATTTCATTAGATAGACCAAGTAGACAATGGGATTATCCATTTGGTTGGGCTCCACAACAAATTTTAGCATGGGTTGGATTTGCTAAATATGGATATGAAAACATTTCAAGAAGATTAGCTTATAGATGGTTATATCTAATGACTAAGGCATTTGTTGATTATAATGGTATTGTTGTTGAGAAATATGATGTTACAAGACAAACAGATCCTCATAGAGTCACTGCAGAATATGGTAATCAAGGTTCAGATTTTAAAGGTGTTGCCACTGAAGGTTTTGGTTGGGTCAATGCTAGTTATGTTGTTGGTTTAACTTATTTACCAAAGCATGCTATTAGAGCATTAGGTTATTGTACACCACCAGGAGTTTTTTTCAAAAATATTAAAGATGAAGATGAAAGAAGACAATTTGCCCTAGGATCTTTTGAAGAGGAAGCTAAAAAGGAAGAAAGAAGAAGTCATTTAAATAACCGGGCAGCTAGTTAGATGAAATTACTGTATACAGTACACCACATATGAGTATTTTGATGAGATTATACACGTTAACGAAACTTTTAAAAATATACACAATTGATATATTTAAACATGTTGTGTAATAATTTGGTAAACAAATCATGTATACGAACAAGGCCGTTTTTAAGACATAAATACTATGTGTCTTACTTTTGAAGATCTATTTATACTCCATAGTTATGATAAGATCGAAAACATGTTCTATGAAAATCATCAATCGAAAAAGTCAACAACATGTACGAAAGCAGAATAACATCCAACCTGATCGGTGTATAAACTACAGTTGAGCTGTTGTTTATTTTTGCAAATAATATTTCGACGGACGTGTTTAACCGTTGTTTATGGTTCTCGTGAAATAAAGTTTCGACTAGAGGGTATAACTATTATTAACCAGCCATTCTCAATGGTCCTTTAGTACCCAACTATCCAGGTACTAACGAGACAAAGACTCCCCTAATCAATTAACATCACCACCAGTGACCACCATCACGGGAGAATAAAACTAGGGTGCTCACAACTGAACAACAGGATCTCAACAGTTTTCTTCTATGCGTTTTGCTCGTTTGAAAAGATGCCTTTGAATTTGAGTAGTAAACATTACCCACGCGCTGTAAAAGGACATAAGCACCATCGTGTTCACTCTATCGTTATGGTGATATATCCAGATCATTTGTATAAAGCCTAGAGAAGTATCATGAGATCAGGGGAGTATGTGTGGCGATTAAGTAAGTGTCCAATTGGCCCAGGCCGAAGGTACGCTGTTAAGGTGTAAGGCATTTGAATGAAAAGTGAAGGTGAAACCTATTCATAGCTACAGACTACACAGCTATCATGATAGTTATGCTCAATTCTATTTCAAATATTTCAACTCTTTCAACGTAGAAATTAGCAACTAGCTCATGACATGTTGTCAGTTGTAACTTGTCAGCCATTTGCTCTGATGCCCATGGCACACGTACCTTTTAAAACACTTTTTCGCGTTTCTACGTGTGAAATTTGATCCCAACATCATGACCTCAGAAAAGATCAACAATAGCTTTCATTTGTATGGAGAAGTGAATTTCTCCAAAGCAATTGACACGTCCTTCTCCATCAATTGCTAGTGCATTAATGTGTACCAAACTGCCGTGTAATATTAGTCCTCGACCACTCAAGAGCGCTGGCTCATCATGAATTTGATTTTTCATAGCTGCTCTTTTTGGAGAAAGGTAAATTGAAATTGATCCTTGGGCAATACGTGATGGAATAGGGGGCAAAAGTGAAGAGAATAAAACAGTCAAACTACCACTAAACCAACCAACTTCACTCTAATTCTCTCCCACCACCACTCTATCCATTCTATTATTACCTTCTTCTTCCCTAGTTCAATGCCATTTCCCATCTATTTTCTATTTATGTCCCGTTTAAAAATGGAAACCACATGTACAGCTCATGCAGCCTCATGCGGACGTTATCAACTTTAAACTTGAAACCCGGTAAGGCCAATACCATCGACTTTTCGAATCATATATAAAACCATCAATTATCACCTCTGTAGTCCATCTATGGGTGGCCCAATTTCCCACTGTTGTACAAAGAGGGAAAGAGAGATAGTTGATTAATACATTCACTTTTTATAATTATCCCAATTCACGATTTGGATACATATTATATTACTGAGACAGATCATTCGTTTCATCTGATTCTTTTCCCATCTCATCCCTTATACCATAAGCCATATTAAAGATGCTTATTTCAACTTTTATCATTTCTTCATTGCTCTCTATAGCATTAGCAAACCCTATCCCTTCAAGAGGTGGAACACAATTTTATAAACGTGGTGATTATTGGGATTACCAAAATGATAAAATCCGTGGTGTTAATTTAGGTGGGTGGTTTGTTTTAGAACCTTTTATTACTCCTTCTTTATTTGAAGCTTTTGAAAATCAAGGTCAAGATGTTCCTGTTGATGAATACCATTATACCAAAGCCCTTGGTAAGGATTTAGCTAAGGAAAGATTGGATCAACATTGGAGTTCATGGATTGTTGAAGCTGATTTCCAAAGCATTGCAGGTGCTGGTTTAAACTTTGTTCGTATTCCAATCGGTTACTGGGCATTCCAATTGTTGGATAATGATCCTTATGTTCAAGGTCAAGAGTCATATTTGGATCAAGCTTTAGAATGGGCTAAGAAGTATGATATTAAAGTTTGGATTGATTTACATGGTGCTCCAGGTTCTCAAAATGGGTTTGATAATTCAGGTTTAAGAGATTCTTATGAATTCCAAAATGGTGATAATACTCAAGTTGCATTGGATGTTTTACAATACATTTCAAATAAATATGGTGGTTCAGATTATGGTGATGTTGTTATTGGTATTGAATTGTTGAATGAACCTTTAGGTTCTGTCTTGGATATGGGTAAATTGAATGACTTTTGGCAACAAGGTTATCATAACTTGAGAAATACTGGATCATCTCAAAACGTTATTATCCATGATGCTTTCCAAACTTGGGACTATTTCAATGATAAATTCCATACTCCAGATTATTGGAATGTTGTTATTGATCATCATCATTACCAAGTTTTCTCTCCAGGTGAATTATCAAGAAGTGTTGATGAACATGTTAAAGTTGCCTGTGACTGGGGTACAAACTCTACTAAAGAAAACCATTGGAATTTATGTGGTGAATGGTCAGCTGCAATGACTGATTGTACAAAATGGTTAAATGGTGTTGGTCGTGGTTCTCGTTATGATCAAACTTTTGATTATGATCCTTCACAAAATCAAAACTATATCGGTTCATGTCAAGGTTCTCAAGATATTTCCACTTGGGATGATGATAAAAAATCAAATTATAGAAGATATATCGAGGCTCAATTGGATGCTTTTGAAAAAAGATCTGGTTGGATCTTTTGGACTTGGAAAACTGAAACTACTCTTGAATGGGATTTCCAAAAATTATCATACTATGGTATTTTCCCATCCCCATTAAATTCAAGACAATATCCTGGTCAATGTGATTAAACACACACCAGTACGTTTATTATTTTCATGGTCATATTATTTGTATATTAGGTCAAAAAGTTTTTTAATTCTGTTTCATACGTGAAGGTTGTTGGCATTTAATCATAGCCTTTATTATTTCATTATAGGCTCCAGGTTTTAGTTGGTTAGTACATGGTATTTTGTTTATGTTTTTCTTGTAGATGGTCTTGTTCATTTTAGACTTTGTACTTCTGTAGATTTCACAGTTCTAGTACCGAATATCATTACCACTTTAAGTGATTGAAGTTGTCAAAAATGGAAAGGTGAAAAAGAAAAGATGAAAATCCAAAAAAAACATGGTTTAGCTTGATATACACGCCTGAAAACAAAAAGAAGTTGTGTAGTACAATCTGTCCCACATTATTGTTGACTTGAATGAAACTCAATTCCACTAGGGAACATCACCACATGTTGTTTTTCAAAATGTCCTGAAAATTATATATCAGTTTGGGACAGATAAACGTGAGGCTTAAAACAATCAAAAGTGCAGCAAGATAGCTTCACTGGATAAGAAGGCCAGAGACAGCCTGATAGCTCAGCTTACACGTAGTTCAAAAAGCAAGCTACACTTTGTTCCCACCAATCATCCCTCCACAACATTTGCTCACAGCTCTGCCCTTTTTCCCTCCTTTGATGTGAATTGTTCATCCTTCACTTGCGCAAGGAAAAAGGTTCCAGAACCAGTCGCGTCAATTTCATCGCGAATTCGGAAAAACTTTTTACATAAGCAATTACATAATATTTTGACACAATTCTGTAATTTCCCAAAACAGAAGCTAAAAGCCGACAAGCACCGAACTTCCTCATTGGGGAAATTGTGGCCCCAGTACGCTGCGATTATGCCATTGCTGGTGATTGTTGAAATATATTTATGAAAAACGTATTCCATTTGATCTCGATCTTACATAAATAAAGGAGAAGAAGGAACCTATTACTCATACTTCAATTCAATTGATCAATTATCAATCAATCAACCATGTCTGATCTATTCGTTGACATCCAATTACCAACAGGAGAATCATATAAACAACCAATTGGGTTATTCATTAACAATGAGTTTGTTGAAGGTCATTCAGATGAATTAATCAGTACAATAAATCCAACTAATGGTGAATTAATCACAAAAGTCCATTCAGCAAATGAGCAAGATATTGATATAGCTGTTAAATCTGCCCGTGAAACTTATGAAAACGTTTGGTCCAAAACATCAGGTTCTGCAAAGGGCGAATTATTATATAAACTAGCTCAATTAATTGAAGAAGAGAAGGAAATTTTAGCTAAAATTGATACATTAGATGCAGGTAAACCTTATCATTCAAACTCTTTAGGAGATTTAGAACAAATTATTGAATTGACCAAATTTTTCGCAGGTTATGCTGATAAAATCAATGGTAAATACATTCCAATCTCTGATGATAAATTTGTTTATGAAATTAAAGAACCTTATGGTGTTGTTGGACAAATTGTTCCATGGAATTACCCATTAGCTATGGCTTCATGGAAAATCCAAAGTGCCATAGCTGCAGGTAATACAGTTGTTATTAAATCTGCTGAAAATACTCCATTATCTTTATTATATTTTGGTCAATTGGTTAAAAAAGCTGGATTCCCACCTGGTGTGATTAACATTGTTAGTGGGTTAGGTCCAATTGCTGGTAGTGCAATCGCTAAACATGAAGATATTGATAAAGTTGCATTTACAGGTTCAACTAATGTGGGTAAAATTATTCAAAAATTGGCCACATCAAATTTAAAAGCTGTTACTTTAGAATGTGGTGGGAAATCTCCAAGTGTTGTTTTCAACGATGCTAATTTGAAAGAGGCTGTTAAATGGAGTAGTTTAGGAATTTATTATAATACTGGACAAAATTGTACAGCAAATTCAAGAATTCTTGTTGAAGAAGATGTTTATGATGAGTTTTTGGTTAAATTCAAGCAATATGTTTTGGAAAATTGGATTACTGGAGATCCATTTGATTCTAAAACTACTGTTGGACCATTAATTTCCAAGGTTCAATTGGATAGAGTTTTAGAATATGTTAAAATTGGTGAAGATGAAGAACATTTGGAGAAATTAGAATTGGGTGATAAAGCAATCTATTCAAAGCATAATGGATGGTTTTTAAATCCAACAGTGTTTTTAGATGTTCCAGTTGATTCAAGATTATTCCAAGAGGAGATCTTTGGACCAGTTGTTACAATAACTAAATTTAAAGGTTATAAAGATGCATTATCCAAGGCAAATAACACTCAATATGGGTTAGGCTCTGCAGTTTTCACCAAAGATATTAAGAAAGCCCATAAATTTGGTAAAGGATTAAAAGCTGGTACAGTTTGGATCAATTCTTCAAATGATGAGGATATTAGGGCCAGTTTTGGAGGATATAAGATGAGTGGTATTGGAAGAGAATTAGGGGAGAGTGGAGTTGATGTATATACACAGATCAAGGCCATTCATGTGAATTTGGCTGACGATGATTGAAGTAATATATGAACGTCTTTGTATTGATTTAGTTCCTTTTCAGGGTTCAAATTGTATTTGGCAAGTTCGGGAACGGCAATATCTCGAAGTTGAGGATTAAACGAGATCAAGCCGAAACAATAAGGATGGAATAGACAATAGTTAGACAGAATAAACAATAGAAAGAGCACTCAATTGGATGGTAATAAGCGTATTAAATCACCAATTTAATTGTAATAATCCAATATTTTCTTCGTTTAAAGCAGTCGCGTGTCTGCCATCGCAAGCCGTGTCGCATTCTGTTTCAAACCAGCGTTGTCCATAATATCCGACGCATACTGAATAAATTAGATGCGTCTTATTAATCTGAATGGAAATTATAAAATCACCATCTTTCAAAGCAAAAAAGACATCTTGTTCGATACTTTCACTTTCCATATCAAGAGGGCAACCTTTTTTGCTAGTCGGATACTTTTAAAATATCCATAATCACTATAATATACCAGTATAAAACAAGTGATATAATCCACCTATACGAGAAAAGTTTCATATCAGTCCATCTTACAAAATCAACAAATAAAGATGCAAACATTAACCGACTATTTGTCCTCATTATACAAAGATGATTTAATATCATCAAATGAACTATCATCATCCCTCCTAATCATCAGTTTATTGTTCTTTATAGTGATGGTTATTTTATCATTTTCAATAACTATAGTTTTCTTATTCATCAAATTATACAATTGTCATGAACAGCCATACTCTGAAAAGGATGAAGAATCATTAATAGACTCTCCAAGAAATGCTGAAGAGGAACCAAGATCACCAAAGAGAATAGTTGTTATTGATGTGATACGGGATGATATTTATCATGAAGTGAATAATTAGTCATAAGCCCATACAGCTATTCTTTTTTTCTAAACAATCTACAAATATCCAATACATTAATCATACTAACTCAGGACGTTCATTACCATTTTTATATCCATCAACATATATACCTACCCAAACTCAAACAAAGAAATTTTCACGATCTATTTACCCAAACAACACTGTTCAAATCACTCATTTCAATCATGTCTATCATTTTTGCTTTTCCAAATCATGGAACTTCTTACTCCATTTTTCATTAGTCTCAATAGCTATATTCAAATTCTTATTCAACATTTCAATTTCTTGTTGTAATTGATGCACTTGATTTGAATCGTTATTTGTTATTCCAATTGATGATCTTGATTTATATTGATGAGAATTATTATTACTATAACTTGTCGTGTCATTGATTATCAATTCATAAAATTTTTCTAAATTTATGAATGTGGTTGATTGAAGTTTTTTGGAATCTATTATATGACTAATTTTGGTACTGATTTCATCATTTTGCTGTTGTTGTTGAGAATCTTGGAAATTTTCATAATAAAATTTTGGAGTTGGTGGTAATGCAATCATTTGATCATTATTTGTTTGATCTTCATCTAACCTTCTAATTAAATAATCACTCAATATTGTTAAATAGTTTGTCAAATAATTTATGAATTTAATATTTTGATCATTTTGTAATGTTAGGTTTGTTATTAAATTACTTAGGTTAATCATCATTTTTTCTAATTCTTGATCCATTATGGTACCACTATTCCCATTGTTCCCATCTTGATATCTTTCTGTGAAACTTGCATTATTCCCCTCAATAACATTCTGGAACTTCTTATGTCTAGTTAATAACTTATCTTGTAATTGATTAATCATTATTGTTTTCCTTTTAATCTCAATTTCAAATTTTGTCTTTATTGATAAATTGATATGTTTTTCATTTTGTAAATTTCTATCTTGTAACGATTTATCATGTTTCATATTCTTTAACTGTTGTTTCAAGAATTGTATTTCGTTTTGTTGTTTATTATTCAATCTTGTTAAGTAATCATTCTTTGAATTCAACTCTCTACTAGAAGCTTCATAATGAGTTATGATCTCTTTTTTATCATTCAACTGCTCCAATAAGAAACTTCTCTCCTGTTTGGATTTATCATAGTTCTGTATTAATGCATAGATCGTATTAATCGTAAGTTTGTCATTCTCTTGAATTTGTTCTTCATTAGTTAACTGTTCGTTATTTATTGATTTGAATAAAAGCTTATCATGAGTGGAACCTTCTTCAAAAAACCCTTTAGCAAACAATATGGAATTCACCAGCTCAGAAGCTCTTTTAATAGAATCAACATCAACCATCTTGTCCTTTTTGATCTCTCTGCTTTGGATAACTTTATTGTTTTCGAAAAAGTGTAAACAAATCTTGATTCACGATCAAAAAACAAAAATATCAAAAACATCCGATTTGGGAAATTATCCCTTTCCAGAACTCGAGATTTTTATCAATCGTACAAAGAAATTACGTATAAAACTACGTTTAAATTCAATTCATAAAAATTAATCAAGAACTTCAATTCTTGATCCCGTAAATTTGTTAATTTTTGTTCTTTTTTTTGTTGAAATTATGTATAGTAATTGTTTTCTTTTCAAATATAAAATCCTTGATCTAGTAATAAACAGTAAAAAATTTAAATGTGTATCATCAATTAAGAAGAAATACTAATGACAATTCACAAAATTTAAAACACAAACTGCAACATTAATATCTCCCTTCTTTTTCCACTCCGTCTTTATGCAAAAACAACCTATTTGTCACCCTTTTCTCTCTCTCTCTCTTTCTTTCTTCCCTTAAATCTAATGATGAGTTTCTTCAACTTCTTCTTCTAAAACAAACCAATCATCAGCACCAGATTCACTAGCAGCTTCACCGGCTGGAGCAGAGTTAACTTCAACAGGAGCACTTTCATAGTCTGATAATTGAGTAGTGGCATCAGCTTCTAAACCTGGAACTTTTGGAGCAGCTGGAGCTCTCCATGGTTTAACTGAACCTTCAGCATCGGCAGCAGTTAATGGAGTTGCCTTGAAACCTTTCAATTCTTTGACATATAAATCTTGAATGACATCTATAAATCAATTGTTAATATCTTACTTGGGTGTGTCTTTCACTCATCATAACTTACTTCTTCTAGCTGGCATAGCAGAGAATGAACGGACAGAGACTCTTTGGACTAAACCACGTTTGACTAATTGTGACAACATCTTTGAATTTGAAATGAATATTTATAATTGAAGCTATCTTCTCAATACTCTTCTCTTCACAAAGGGGGTTTTCCCATTTTCTTTGGTGGTTTTTTTCAAAATTCACCAATTTGCAATTCCGGTCAAGGTATTCCCGGATCTCCCAATTGGAAATTTTCATTGGCTCGTGAAGAAAATGGGTTTAGTTTATAAACATTTGAGTAGTTAATCAGTGAGGAAAACTTTGGTGTGAATAGGATTTTGGAAGTGAAATAATGGTGAGGTTTTATTGTGATTACTGTAAATGTGAGTGATTCTTTTTTTTAGCGGGAAAGTGAATTGGTTGGTCAAGTTACTAACACGGACTTAGCTTATTTGACACATGATGCCACAAGTGTTCGTAAGAACCATTTGACTGGTAAGAACCATGTCAAGTTTGTTTGTGACTACTATGAAGGTATGTGGACTGTTTGATATAGTTGTCTTGTGGGGGAATACTAACAATTGGCTACAGAGGAAGCTAAAAAACTAGGAATATGGAATCCAAATAATCTACCTTTTGAAATAACAACAGATAAACTATACAGAGGAATACCTGGATCAGAGTCCAAACAACCCCTTGATCTTTATAGACTAGCAGAGACGAAAACGTTGCCGCCTCCTCCTACACTACCCAATTTGCCTGGTCCTCCTCCAAAAGTTTTACATGATGTTAAAGATGAAAAAGAATTACTGGGGAATATATTGAAGACAGTGAACTAAGATGGTTGAGAGTGAGGGTGAGTTATTCTAATGATTTGGCTAATGAACATTATTTATCTGAATGGAGTATGTAGCTGTTGTGTATTTTATTAACAACTATACAGAAAGGTGTCAGTGAATTGCGATTATCTGAGTTGTTGATTCACTTGTTTTGAAGAGACACGAATATTTGATTCGTCTTAATGATCATACAAATAATCTTGAATAGCTTCATGGATCTAGTAATCCGTATCTTTATCACTAGATCATGTTGATTCTCGTTTAGTAGACTACTCATCTGACCAAAGATCGTGAATTCCACCAATACCTTACAACAAAAACATGAAACATTCTCTCTATCAAACCACTAGTAAATATCAACTAAAAAATTACAATAAACACTCTTCAACTATTAAAATCACTTTCAAATATAATGAAATTAATGATGCTTTAGAATTTTAATCACATGACCAACACGTGACTTACTCTCGTTTCCCTGGCAATTTTCCTCTGTTTTTCCAAAACAACAAAAAAATTTTCGATGGCAATTTTTTTTTTCTATTTGATTTGATTTTTGAAATTTTGCAAACATCCCTTTTCAAAAAGAGAACAACATTTTTAACAAACAACATCAACTTTTACAAGTACAACAACAATTTGTATTTGTTACCCATAAAAGAAATTGATACAAGTTTGATTAGACAAAATGGCTCAAGAAGTTCCAACTTTTAAATTAGTCCTTGTTGGTGATGGTGGTACCGGTAAAGTAAGTTGATTTGATGATTTATTGTTGTTTACCTTTTTGGATCGAAAGAGTTTTCCACTGGATTCAAGCTCGGGCATACTTGGAATGTTTCAAGTGATTCAAGTTCAGTCATAAGAAGAAATTCATTTGATGAAAGATTTGGAGCTTATTAGGATTGCATTGATTGTTTTCGTTGTCCATTTCTATGTTGATCTTTCGCAAGATCTGAACTAAAATTAATGGACGATTCAGCAACAATCCACCATAGCGCTTCCACTCTTGAGAAACTTTTATGAGGTAAACCAATTGATTGAATCGAATACTAACAATTCTTTTAGACCACTTTCGTTAAGCGTCATTTAACTGGTGAATTCGAAAAAAAATATATTGCTACTTTAGGTGTTGAAGTCCATCCATTAGCTTTCTTCACTAACTACGGTGAAATCAAATTCGATGTCTGGGATACTGCTGGTCAAGAAAAATTTGGTGGTTTAAGAGATGGTTACTATATTAACGGTCAATGTGGTATCATTATGTTTGATGTTACTTCCCGTATTACTTACAAAAATGTTCCAAACTGGCACAGAGATTTAGTGCGTGTTTGTGAAAACATTCCAATTGTCTTATGTGGTAACAAAGTTGATGTTAAAGAACGTAAAGTTAAAGCTAAAACCATCACTTTCCACCGTAAGAAGAACTTACAATATTATGATATCTCAGCTAAATCAAACTATAACTTTGAAAAACCATTCTTATGGTTAGCTAGAAAATTAGTTGGTAACCCACAATTAGAATTTGTTGCTTCACCAGCTTTAGCTCCACCAGAAGTTCAAGTTGATGCTAACTTGATGCAACAATACCAACAAGAAATGGATCAAGCTACTGCATTACCATTACCAGATGAAGATGATGCTGATTTATAGATGAATGGCATTAACACTTTCTCATTACAAAGAATTACAAGTTTTTATGTTTTTTTATCTTAATATATACTATTAGCACATCGTCTTTTGTTAAAAAGAAGAGTTTTGATTGATTCTTGCTTTATTTAAATATGGTTATTGTAGAAACTATTAAAAAGCATGAGATTTCAAATCTGATACAACTTATTCATAACCAAATTTAATAAGGAGTTATCTCTTCCTACATATAACACATAACAACGAAAAAACTTTATTCATTTGTGGGATTTCATGGTTTCTCATTGACGATGTTTATACCTTCTTCATTTATTTCCTAATTTGAGTGTTTTTCATCTTTTTTTGATTCGCGAATTTGTCAAAAAATGAACACGAATTGAAAAGTCAATCTTCAACCTGGAACAACGATTGAAAGCATCATCAAATACAACACAAGAGGACTTATCAAAGTCATACAAAACCTCACCAATCATACAATATGTCCCTCCCAATAATATACGATCCAGTCTCAAAACTGGTATCTATCGAAGAAACAGCTGCTGAAGATAAAGAACTACAAGAAGAAATTGATCAATTGAACAGATTAGCTAAAGATTTAATATCAACAAATTCAGAAATCCCAGAATCTCCAGAGCCATCAAAACAATTATCTCCAATGATTAAAAAACTAGTCACATCAGGTGTTGAAGCTCTTAAAAAAAGAAAATTCCCAGAAGCTATTAAACAATTAAGTCTTGCCATAGAGATGGCTAGTAGAAGATCAAGATGGGAAGCATTTGCAGTACAATTACAAGAATTAAACAGTATCTTGGCTGTGAGATGTGACGCTTACATCATGAATAAACAATGGGCGGAAGCTTATAACGATGTGGATATGTTGTTGGGGACTCAAGTTACTACACCTGAGAATTTCTTGAGAAGATCCGTTGCTGCTTTTAATTTAGGTAGATTACAACAAGCTAAAGTTGATTTGGAAAGAGGATTATGCTTTGCTGAAAATGACCCAAGATTGAAAGAACAATTGAATAATGTGAATAAAGCTATTGCTATGGAATGTGGTGATTTATGAGTGTGTGGTGTGTAAGATAATGGAAATAAGAGGTTTCAGTGTGGTTTTCTAGGAGTTTCACATGTAGTCGTTAACTTCTTGGATGGAAATATGGCTATTGATCCTCCACTTTTTTCAGTAAGGCTTGAGTGGATAAAATCAATATATAATTAATTGAGAAGCATATCTCAATTACATAAAACTGCAAGATAAAATTTTGTGACATTAACCGTCACTTATTCAATCAGAAAAACATAAAATTTCTTTCTTTTTCTATTGTAGATATCATATAAAGGTAAAGATTTTTAGTCAATGGGTTTGGTGTATTTCAAGCAAATTTTGCGTGGGCTTGATGAGTTCAATCAGACGTTGAATTTCATCCCTGAGCAGATGGTATGAGCTCATTGTTTTTGGTGACCGCTGTACAGCGAGTATAAACAAAGGTCTAGCTCTAATAACATGGAGCAAATTGTATCTAATATTGAAAGCAGAGATTAAGAGTTTATAGCTTGAATTTTAAAGCGATGATTGTATCTGTCAATGTGTACGTGTCAATCTCAGATTGGAGCTTAGTCATCAATGTGTACAATTTTTTTTTCAAGCTCATCGGAGGTGTAAATAAATAAATACCAATCAAATTACAAAGTAACAAGACCTTCCAGGGTTGCTACAAGATGGTGAAAGTGAAGCCTCCAAGAAAGAAGAATGCTCTATCACAGTCATTAGATGATAAATTAAAAAACCTGATCTATAGACTCTTGGATGAAAAGACCGAAGAGAACAAGAGAAACAATACTGAAGAAAATGAAGATGAATTTGGAAATATTGCATTAGCTAAAGATCTAAGAGTTGGTGAGATCTTACTATATTGTCAACAAAAGGATTTATCTTTGCAAAGAGTGAAGAAAGTTTTATTGGAAAAGACTTTGGATAAAGTTTTGAAAGATATACGAACAGAAGAAGCTATTGAGATGCAAAGTTTTAAAGGTGATGAACCTGAGGAAGATAGTGAATTTGAAGGTGTAAATGTTGATGATTTGATGGATGTTAAAGATTCAAATACTTTTAATAAAAGTGTTGTAAGCTTGTGGGGCACTAAGAAAGAAACTAATGATACCCCAAATGATACAGAAAAGGAAGAACCTGAAACTGAAATCGTTGAACAAGTTGATGGTTCAAGTAAAGAAGTGAAAAAATCTAAAAAAAGATCAAAAGATTCTTCAAGACCATCAAAAAGACAAAAAGGTACGTTTTGTGATAATGTTTTTTTTCTCTCCATTTTGGAATCATAACTAACTAACTTGCAAGTAGAAAAAGATAGAACTCCTCCAACTTCTTCATTATCTCAAATGGGTGGTATGGATGATGTAGTTACACAATTGATGGAACTTGTTGGTATGCCAATTTTACATCCAGAAATCTATTCAACAACAGGTGTTGAACCTCCAAGAGGTGTGTTATTACATGGACCTCCAGGTTGTGGTAAAACCACAATTGCCAATGCATTAGCCGGTGATTTAAAAGTCCCATTCATAAATATTTCAGCACCATCTGTTGTTAGTGGGATGTCTGGTGAAAGTGAGAAAAAAATTCGTGAATTATTTGAAGAAGCTAAAACTCTTGCCCCTTGTATTATATTTTTCGATGAAATTGATGCAATTACTCCCAAGAGGGAAGGTGCTCAAAGAGAAATGGAAAGAAGAATAGTTGCTCAAATGCTGACATGTATTGATGAGTTAAGTATAGACAAGACAAATGGTGCACCGGTTATTATTATTGGTGCTACTAATAGACCAGATTCTTTAGATCCTGCATTAAGAAGAGCTGGTAGATTTGATAGAGAAATTTGTCTAAATGTTCCAAATGAAGCTTCAAGATACCACATATTGAAAAAAATGACTGCAACATTGAAAACTGATGGTGAATTGAATTTCCAAACATTAGCTAAAATGACACCAGGTTATGTAGGTGCTGATCTAAAAGCATTAACAGCAGCAGCAGGTATTTGTGCAATCAAGAGAATTTCCAATACACTATCTGATGATGATATTCCAGTTGAAGGTGTTGATACTGAAAGTTTATTGAAAATGTCCACTATTCAACAATTTTTATTAAAACATCCATCTCCATTAACTTTAGAACAATTGGCACCATTAGCCATCACATATGAAGATTTTTTAACAGCATTACCTACTATTCAACCAACAGCTAAAAGGGAAGGATTTGCCACAGTTCCAGATGTTACATGGGAAAGCGTTGGTGCGCTAACACATATTAGAATCGAATTGAACATGGCTATTGTTCAACCGATTAGAAACCCAGGTATATATGAAAAAGTTGGTATTCATGCCCCAGCAGGTGTATTGATGTGGGGGCCACCGGGTTGTGGTAAAACGTTATTAGCCAAGGCAGTTGCTAATGAATCAAGAGCAAATTTCATAAGTATTAAAGGTCCAGAATTGTTGAATAAATATGTTGGTGAATCCGAAAAGGCAATTCGTCAAGTTTTCACTAGGGCTAGAGCCTCTGTTCCCTGTGTTATATTCTTCGATGAATTGGATGCCTTAGTGCCAAGAAGAGATTCATCATTATCTGAGAGTTCTTCAAGAGTTGTTAATACGTTATTAACAGAATTGGATGGGTTGAATGATCGTAAGGGGATCTTTGTCATTGGTGCTACAAATAGACCAGATATGATTGATCCAGCAATGTTGAGACCAGGTAGATTGGATAAAACATTATTTATTGAATTACCAAATGCTTCAGAAAGATTAGAAATTTTGAAAACTGTTATACATGTCAACAAGACTCCACTAGATCCAGTAATTGATCTTTCAGTGATTGCACATGATGAAAGATGTAGAAATTTCTCAGGTGCTGATTTATCTGCATTGATTAGAGAAGCTGGTGTTATTGCATTAAAGAGAAAATTTTTCAAAAGTGGTGGTAATAGTCAAGTTGATGGTGATCATGATATGATGGTTGATGATGAAGATGAAGTTGGTGATGAAATCATTGTGTCTAGTGAAGATTTTGAAAAAGCTTTGAATAGTGTTAAGCCTAGTGTCAATGATAGAGATCGTGCTAAATATGATAGATTGAACAAGAAAATGGGGTGGTCATTGACATCAGAGAATACTAATGATTCTAAAGCTGACGAATAGACTATATGTGAAATAATTAAATTAATTAATACAAAAATTAATGTAGTATGCTATTTCTATTGCTGTCCTCTTCTATGTACATTTTTTCTAACTTTCCAAACTTTATCATGAGTACTGTTTTTTTCAAAAGTGATGAATGGTAAATCATGTTTTTTAAAATGTTTCAAGATTGGGTTCGATGCTAATTCCCATATTGGTACTTCTGTTCGACCTCTTATTAAAATATATTCTTCATCATCTGATTTGTTCAAATTTGCAAAAGGTGGTGTATAAAGGTTGATCAGTTTGTTTTTTTCATCTATTGAATGAATTAATGCTAATGATTTGAGTGATAACTGTTCTGGTGCTATTTTCTTTACAAGTTCTGATGAGTCAATTATTGGGATATTTTCAATATTTGTAAAATTTAACTCATCAAGATTTTCTCTAGTTATAGTGTGAATTGCCACGATTGTTCCCTCCAAGATATCTTTAACATCATCTTTATGAATTTCAGAAAGTCCTAAAACAGAGATCCCTTTAATACCATTATTACCGTAGCTAACTTGTAAAGGTGGTGAAAATAATAAAGGCTTGAAATCAAATTTAAAGTTTTCTTGTTTATGCAAATATGAAAGAATTTTCAATATTCTTAATTGTGAAGATGAATATTTTGATGCATTAGATGATGAAGTTTGATAATTTCCTAATAACGGAATCAATTCAGGACCTTTAATTGATAATTCATCAAGTTCTAAAGACCCAGGATTTAAATATATGATATGAGTTGGGTTTATTTTGGAGATTAATGAATTTGTTAATTCAGTTCCATAACCTTTTATCCAACCTGGTGTATTTATCAATAAACTTTCATTTTTGACCAAACCGTCTGAATTATATTTGTTTATCAAGTCTGAAACAAGTGAATTATATCTAATTGGTTGATCTTTTGGTGATGAGAATCCAACATAGTGTGAATGTTGATGAGATGGTGTAGTTAATGATAAATGATTCCCATGTTGAAATTCATCAAGTTTACTTAGGGATACAGAATCTGGTAATGAATATTCAGCTTGCCCAGGATCAAGATCCAAGATATTAACAGGGAGTTGATTGTTAACACTTAGTAAATTTTGTAATAATAATCTTAAAAAAGTTGATTTACCACAATTTTTACTTCCAATGACTAGTATTTTCAAAAGTTGATTTTCTTTATATAACGAAGTTAATGATTCAATTTGGGGTAACCAATTTTTGAATTTAATTATGGAAACCGAATTATCAGGTCTTATTATAGGGAAGAATGAATATCCATTAAATGCTAATTCAAAATCACTCAACCCATCTAAATCTTCTTTTGCAAAATTATTGTTGAAATTCCAAAATAAATTTTTAAACAATGGACAAATTTGACCAATTTCTTCTAGTCCAGTGTTTAAATTTGAAATCTTGATAACAGATTTATAATCTGAGGAGAAGAGATGTTGATTTTCTGTAGTTTGAATGTCTAATGTTTTAGATCTATCAACAACTTGTGTAGCTGATATTAAAGGTAATGCATTTGATTGAGGGTTCAAGAATTTCAAAGTTGGCGTGTTTGAATGATAAATCACATTATTTATAGTTATTGCACCTCTTTGTATATCTAATTTGAATTGACCTCGTATTATTAAATTTTGATTATTTCTCAAGCCAAATATCACATAATCATCACCGTATATTATATTGTCATCTGTGGGTATGAAATTTGAGGATATGTAATTAGATTCTTGTATTTGAGGTATTGGAGTAGCTGGGAGAGACCTTATTAATGGAGTTTCCAAGAGTGGTTCAGGTGCATCTATTTCATCTAATTCTTCATCTTCATCTGATGTGTTTTGATCGTAAAGTGGGAGTTGGTTATCCATTTTCAGGGCTTCAAATGCTGGAGATAGCATGGTGTTAGTGATGTTTGAATATGTTCATTTCATAATACTCACCACTCCTGGACATTCTTTCGTTAAAGTGAATAAACTCGATGTAAATACAATATTAAGATGATTATTCCTATAGAGAATATCTTTTTCAATGTCTGGTCACGTGATATTTTTCACTGAAATCAGATAAACACTAACTGAACATTAATTCTTTGGAATAGAGCCATAAGAGATTATGAATATTAAAATCAATATCAATATTAATTAACATATTACAAATTGGATTATTACCATAATTATCACCACTGTTATACAATTAATCTCTGCCAACTCCCACTATACACTCTCGTTTCTGCCCACTAAAGTCACGTGCCTCTGGGCCAATCACAAGTTCCAAAAAAAATCACCTTTTCAAGGCCAAAAAAATCAAACGTTACAATAATCATCATCAATTAATTCACTTCAATTCTCTTCAACCAACAACAAGCTCAATTCAACAATGTCCGAAGGTAGCCCATTAAGAACAGTCGGTTTCGACGCCAGATTCCCAAACCAAAACCAAACCAAACACTGCTGGCAATCATATGTCGATTATCACAAATGTATTAATGCTAAAGGTGAAGATTTTGCTCCATGTAAAGTTTTCTTTAAAACTTATTCATCTTTATGTCCTGTTGATTGGGTCGAAAAATGGGATGCTCAAAGGGAAGCTGGTAACTTTGCTGCTGATTTAAAGAGTGATTAGTTTAATTCAATCAAAAAAGGTTCATATATTCAAAAAAAAAATCCAACAGAGTATTATATTCAAATCTTGAATTGAAAAAAAGATTCACAAATATATTCAAAGCAAAAAAAATAAAAATCTATTATTATTATACAACATTTATCACTGTTTATCCCCACCTCAGTCCATTTTTTTACAAATCGTTTTATATTTATTACAAAGCATAAATTAAACTTCAAAAAACTATTTTCTAATGACATTAGTTTTCAATAATGAAATTCAGAGTTTGTAGAATCACCAAAAATCTTCTTCAGGATCATACATTCTTTTTTGATTACTAGTTTTATTAACTTCATTATCATCCCATAAATCATCATATAAAGTTTCTTGTCTATGTTTCTCCTCTGCAATTCTTTTCTTTTCTTGTTCTTGTTGTAATTTCTCTTGATATTTCAATTGTAATAAATTAGAAACATGTTCTTTGTCTCTATTATTTTTAGCCTCTATTAAATGTTCTTTACCTTTAATTTCTTCTCTTGTTTTTTTCAATCTATTTATTATAGAGTTTTCTCTAAATTGAACATGAATTTTCTTAACTTTTTTAGAGTTTTTAAAAGAGACTTCACCATCAGCCATACCTTTTGTTTTCTTTAAATTGGCCCATGGAGTATATATTATAGTTATATTATCTCGTTTATTACCATCAATTGAATTTGCCTTAGTTAATTGTGCACAATCTATAATCATTGTTAGGACCATTTTACCACGAACTAATAAAATACTAACCTATTAATAAACCTTCAGGTATCTCATCCCATTTCTCACCAATCTCCAATCTTAGGTAAACATGAGCAGAACTTAGATTATCAACATGAAACCAAACATCTTCTTCAAATCCATACTTTATCAAATCCTCATTTTCATATTTATCCTTCCCCATATAAATGAATCTTGGATTCGATTCAAATGAACCATCAGAACCAACAGATTTGAAATAATAAACCATTAAATGCAACTTAAATGATCTAATCCACCAAAATTTGTTTGCTTTCTATTCAAAAATTTGTTGTTCAAAATTCTAAATGCTCATCGGTTCGCACCGCAAAAACACGATTTTTCAAATCGCAAGACACGTTAAAAAGAATACAATACAATTTTTTTTTTTTTGCTTTACCATCAACAAACCAACGTATTAATTATCAAATATGACTATCCCATTCCCAGATTTAAACCCTTATGAAACATTACAAGTCCCGCAAAGTGCCACGGAGCAAGATATAAAAAAATCGTATAGGAAACTATGTCTTTTACACCATCCTGATAAATTAATCAATAAAACTGATAATGAAATTGCTCAATCCAAATTACAATTTGAAAAAATTCAATTTGCTCATATGATTTTATCCAATGTTGATAAAAGAACAAGATATGATAAGACTGGTTCATTAGAAGAGATTGATTCAGATGCATCATTTGATTGGTTTGAATATTTTACAAATATTAAAGCTGAAATTACTCAAGAATCTATAATGAAGGATAAATCTGAATATCAGGGAAGTTCTGATGAAGAGGAAGATATTATTGAGATGTGGCTTGAGAATAATGGTGATTTTTTGAATTTATTTGAAACTATACCTCATACTGAAATTACATGGGGTGATGAATCAAGATTATTTAATAAAATAACTGGATTGATTAATGATGGTGTCATTGAATCAACTAAGAATTGGGAAATTTATCAAAAGAATAGGAAGAATCTATTCAAGAATTTACTAAAATCATTAAAAGATGAATCCAAAGAAGCTGAAGAATTACAAAAAGAGTTATTAAAAGACAAGAAGATAGATACTGAAGATGATTTGAAACAATTGATACAAAAAAGAAATGCAGGAAGAATTGATGATTTGATATCAAATCTTGAAGCTAAATATGGTGCAAAGAATAGTAAAGTGAAGAAACCTAAAAAGAATACAAAGAAACATGGCATAACTGGGTCTAAAAGAAAAGAGTATGAAATTAATGATGATGAGTTTGCCAAATTACAACAAAAGATGATGAACAGGAAGAAATGATTTAAATTATAGATGATGTTCAAGACTCTAATTGACTTGTACAAAAAAGGAACAACGAGAGAATTGAAATGTGAATATCTAATATCAATAGTACTAACTATACAACATTCACATATAATGAATAATTGTCTATTTAATGATTAAATTGTAATTCATTAATTCACTATTGTATAATCTGCCATTCTCTCACGTGCCACCTCCCCCAGTTTTCGATCCGATGACTCGGATTGGACAAGCGGTTTTCTTCGGCTTTGACCTTGACATTTGCTATATAAAAGACTCCTTCAATTCAATTTCACTTGATTTCATTTCTAATTAATCAATTGCAAGAATATTACCAACAATGTCAGGTGAAGAAAACTTACTACTAATCCCAGGCCCAATCATCGTCTCTGAAAGGGTCAGACAAGCTCAAGCCATCCAATCCTTGGCTCATACTTCTCCTGAATTCATTGCAATTTTCCAAAAAGTTTTAATCGACTTGAGAAAATTATTCAAATCTGATGATCCAAAAGATCAAGCAATTGTTGTTGCAGGCTCGGGGACTTTAGGTTGGGATATCACTGCTTCGAATTTGGTTTATCCTGATGAAGACGTTTTGGTTTTATCTACTGGGTTTTTCTCTGATTCATTTGCTGAATGTTTAAAAGTTTATGGTGGTAAAGTTGATGTTTTGAGTGCTGAACCTGGTGATGTTGTTCCATTTGATAAAATTGAACAACAATTATCCAAAAAGAGTTATAAAGTTATTACAATCACTCATGTTGATACTTCAACTGCTGTTGTTTCAGATGTTGGTAAAATTTCTCAATTAGTTAAAAAAGTTTCCCCAGAAACTTTAATTGTTGTTGATGGTGTTTGTTCAGTTGGTGTTGAAGATATTCAATTCTCCAATTGGGGGTTAGATTATGTTCTAAGTGCTTCTCAAAAAGCCATTGGAGTTCCTTCAGGTTTATCAATTGGATTTTTATCTCAAAGAGCTATTAAAAAAGCTGAAAATAGACCTGTTCAATCAACTTTCTTCGCATCTTTGAAAAAATGGTTACCAATTATGAATAATTATGAACAAGGTAAACCTTCATATTTTGCCACACCAGCTATTCAAACTGTTAATGCTTTGAAAGCTTCGTTAGAAGAGATTTTAGACTCTGGTTTTTCATTAGATTCAAGATTTGCTAAACATGCAGAAACTTCAACAAAATTCAAGAAGAATTTAACTTCAATTGGATTAAAATTAGTTCCAGTTAATGAACAAGTTTCAGCTAATGGATTAACAGCAGTTTATTTCCCACCTGGTGTTAAAGGTGGTGATTTATTACCATTGATTTATAAAAAAGGTGTTGTCTTGGCTGGTGGAATTCATAAAGATTTAAAAGATAAATATTTCAGAATTGGTCATATGGGTGTTTCAGCTATTGATGATTCAAGAGGTGATTTAGATAAAGCTTTTAAAATCATTAAGGAATCATTGACTGATTTAGGTTATGCTCCATAAGCAATCCTGCTGTGCAGAGGTTTATGAGTAACAGATATATTATCTACTTTATTGTTTAGTTACAGTGTAGCCAAATTAGCTTGCAATATCGAATTGATGATGATCTAGATTAGGTACACTTCTCTGTCATTTGAACCCGTGTCATGATTGCGTAGTACAAGGTCATCATCATCAAGAATTAATTCAGAACTAGTCAAGATGTTGAGTTATAGATGAATTAGATAGTGGCTTACAATGCTATTATTTACTACTAGCTATCCATCACTCTGTAGTTACTACTCTATACTCCCTTCCAATAGACTCTTTTTCTAACACATGCCGGTACACACCACACTGTTCCTTGCTGAGTCACTGAATCTTCAACGAGAGCATCTCTACAAGATGATGGGTACAATTCATTAAACTACCTACGTAATATTTCCCATACTATACTCTCTACTCTGACTCCTCCCAGACTCTGGCTTACTCGCACCATTTCCTGTGACCATACCCACGCCGTTGTCGCTGCTGCTTCTCATCGTTCCAATTTGACTCTGTTGCTCGAATCTTATCGTTTTCGCAACGAGGGTAAATTGGCACATTGATGAATCCATGATGTTAGGAAAAAAAATTTTAACCTCTATAAAAAGATCCAAAACCACCCAATTACAACAACTTCATCTTTGAGTATCATCATCTATTCCCAAAGACAACTCTATTCACAATGCCATACGCTTTACCAGAATCCCACAGACAATTAGTCGAAGGTCATTTAAAAGATACCGATCCAGAAGTTGAATCAATCATTAAAGATGAAATTGAACGTCAAAGACATTCAATTGTTTTAATTGCTTCAGAAAATTTCACTTCCACTGCTGTTTTCGACGCTTTAGGAACCCCAATGTGTAACAAATATTCAGAAGGTTATCCAGGTGCAAGATATTATGGTGGTAATGAACACATTGATAGAATTGAACTTTTATGTCAAGAAAGAGCTTTAAAAGCTTTTAACTTAACTTCTGATAAATGGGGGGTTAATGTTCAAACTTTATCAGGTTCCCCAGCTAATTTACAAGTTTATCAAGCTATTATGAAACCTCATGAAAGATTAATGGGTCTTGATTTACCTCATGGTGGTCATTTATCTCATGGTTATCAAACTGATACTAGAAAAATTTCAGCCGTTTCAACTTATTTCGAAACTATGCCTTATAGAGTCGATTTAGAAACTGGTATCATTGATTATGATACTTTGGAGAAAAATGCTGTTCTATTCAGACCAAAAGTTTTAGTTGCTGGTACTTCTGCTTATTGTAGATTAATTGATTATAAAAGAATGAGAGAAATTGCTGATAAAGTTGGTGCTTATTTAGTTGTTGACATGGCCCATATCTCTGGTTTAATTGCTGCTGGTGTTATCCCATCTCCATTTGAATATGCTGATATTGTCACCACAACTACTCATAAATCATTAAGAGGTCCAAGAGGTGCTATGATCTTTTTCAGAAGAGGTGTTAGATCAATTAACCCAAAAACTGGTAAAGAAGTTTTATATGATTTAGAAAACCCAATCAATTTCTCAGTTTTCCCAGGTCATCAAGGTGGTCCACATAACCATACAATCACTGCTTTAGCTACTGCTTTAAAACAAGCTGCTACTCCTGAATTCAAATTATATCAAGAACAAGTTTTGAAAAATGCTAAAGCCTTGGAAGAAGAATTCACTAAATTCAACTATAATTTAGTTTCAAACGGTACTGATTCTCATATGGTTTTAGTTTCATTAAAAGATAAAGGTATTGATGGTGCTAGAATTGAAACCGTTTGTGAAAACATCAACATTGCCTTGAATAAAAACTCCATCCCAGGTGATAAATCAGCTTTAGTCCCAGGTGGTGTTAGAATTGGTGCTCCAGCTATGACTACTAGAGGTTTAGGTGAAGAAGATTTCAAAAAAATTGTTCATTATATCGATTGGGCTGTTAACTATGCTAAGAAAGTTCAAAGTGAATTACCAAAAGAAGCTAATAGATTAAAAGATTTCAAAGCTAAAATTGCTGAAGGTTCTGATGAATTAACCAAAATTAAAAATGAAATTTATGAATGGGCTGGTGAATTCCCATTATCTGTTTAAGTTCAAAGAATAAAAAAAAAACTGAAAAACCAAATACTTTTTAGTAATTTAGTAATTGGGTAGATGGAGCTAGTGAATTAAGATGTTCAATTGTATAGTAAATGCTAAAGATTACTACAATTTTGAATATGGTTGGAAAACTCAACGTTTTATTCCAATTTCCAATCCTCACCATACTTAACAGAATTTGGTCACGTGAAAATGTGGCCCGTAACACCAAAAATCCACTATACAAACCTTCAATAAAACAATCTTCAATAAAACCACCATAATCAATGATATTCACCTATTTCAACACTCCAAATAACATAATTCCATCTTCTACAAATAACTGGCTTCAAAAACACATGTATTTTGGCCTCAAAATACCTATATTAACCAACTACCTTCCCTAGTAGTACTACCGCCAGTGATCCAATCAATCAACCAAACAACAACAACAACAACAATACTTCTAATAACCACCGCCCACTCCCAAATAGATATCAATATTAATATTAATCATATTAACTAGGCCCCCAATGATTAACTGAATACGTAGATTTCTGTTAAAACTTTGAATTAAAAGATAGATTCAACGAAAATCATACTCTATTTCTCTGAAATTTTCAAAAAAGTTTCGCGATTGTTTTGGCCATACCAGTGTTGTTTATGTGTTCAATTTTTTGAGTTTTAGGTCATAAAACAACGTTGAACAACAATTAGAAGGTGTCGATAGTATCAAAATGACCTCAGGAGTGCGTAGAGAGCACATAGGAAGGCGCGAATTTAGGGGTTTTTTAAAAGCGGCCAAAATAACGTTAAAATGGTTGTCGTGAGAGGATTGAGATAAATGGGATGGATGAATTTTTGAGATGATAAAAAATCTGGGCCCCCTGTTTAGTGAAGTCCAGTCTCCAGATGCTTATAATGGAAGGGGATGAGTCCTTTTCTGGCCTCTTTCATGAGCTTTAATTCTTGATGTATTGGTTATTGCTAGAGACGTATCGGCCTAACTTCTCAAGCTGAGATTTCGCGACTCCTTCTGTATTATAGATCAGATCCTCATCGATCTTCAAACAATATAAAACATTGATTCACTACAATTTCAGGAAGTCATCCCAAATAGTACTGCTGTAGATATAATCATCCCAAATAGTGCTGTAGATATAGTATCAAAGCTCAAGTAGTACAGAGCTGTTATGATTCACAACAAGATCGATGATGATTAAGACATGCCTACACTAATCCAAACAACACATGAAATGCTTTAAAAAATATCAATATACACAACAATCAAACAAGGGAATAGAGCATGTACTCCTTCATTTTGAATTAAATTAACAATAGGTCCAACCATGTATAAGGATAACGTGGAGAAGAAGATCAAAGAGAGGGACCTTCAATTCCCAAATGAATGGTTGATCTCTTCAGATAGACTTCCAAAGGATCATGATATTTCGCAATTTATTAAGTCTTCAAATTTACTTAGTGATGTTGAAGTAGAGATCACAGAATCAACATCTTCACACATTCTTTCTTCAATAAAATCCCAAAAATGGTCAGCCTTACAAGTTATTACAGCATTTGCGCATAGGGCAACAATTGCTAATCAACTTGTGAATCCATTGAGTGAAGTGTTTTTCAATGATGCCTTTGACCAAGCTAAAGGAATTGGACCAATTACTACAGGAAACAGGAAAGTTGAAAGGGAAGTTACACGGTCTACCGATTTCATTCAAAGATGAATTCAATATTAAAGGACAATATTCAACTATTGGTCTTGTATCTTTCATATCAAACCCACCAGCTTCTCAAGACTCACCAATTGTGAAAATTTTAAGAAATGAAGGTGCAATTTTCTATGTTAAGACTAATGTTCCAATAGGTGCTTTTAACATTGTCACATTCAACAATATTTTTGGGAAGACTCTCAATCCTTTCAATAGATGTTTGGCATCGGGTGGTTCGTCCGGTGGTGAAGCTGCTCTAGTTGCCATGAAGGGGTCCCCATTAGGTATTGGTTCTGATCTTGGAGGATCTGTTAGACAACCTTCTAGTTTCCAAAATTTGTTTGCACTGAAACCATCATCACTAAGATTCCCACACAAGAATACCTCAATTGTTTCAGGATTAGAATCATTGAATGGAACCAATGGGCCTTTAAGTACCGATATCGATTCTTTGAAATTGTATGCTCAAGTCATCGTCAAGAGTAAACCATGGTTACAAGACTTCAAAGTGGTCCCACTAGAGTGGAAGGAACTTGATCTTTCTTCTGAAAAACTAAGGTTTGGTGTTTTGATCGATGATGGGGTTTTAAGGCCTACAGCTCCTGTTAAAAGAGCTTTGGATACAGTTATGGCACAATTGAAGAAGGCTGGACATGAAGTTGTTATTTGGGAAGCTGAAGATATCAGTGAAATAGCTCAATTTGCTAATAAATTTATGACAGCCAGTGGCAATAAAAAGCTGGTGGAAGCTATTGAGGAATCTGGTGAACCTTATCCAATATTACAGACTATGAAAGACATGCCAGATATTCCTACCTCTACAATTTGGGAATGGCAAGAACAGAGATCTAATAAAGTGAATGAGTTCTTAGCCAAATGGAATAGATTGAATCTTGATGGTTTGATTTCTCCAGTTACGGCTTTAGCAGGTACTGATTTTGAAAACTTTGTTGATGTTACTTATTCTCCATTGCCTAATGTTTTGGATTTCCCAGCAGGGGTATTCCCTGTTTTAAGAGCAGATGCTAATATTGATGAACCCTTAGATATCAAACCTAGAAATGAAACTGAAAAGAAAGTCCATTCAAATTATTCACCAGAAGCTATCAATGGTGGCTGCGTTGGACTGCAAGTTATTGGCCGTAAATATGAGGAAGAAAAAGTTATTGAGATGGTGAGGTTGATTTCCACTACAATTGGAACAATAGATTACTGGAAATAAAAGGTATACAATAGAAGGCACAAATATCCGTAGATACGGGAATATATCCGAAATGCGTAATCGAGGCGATCTTGAACACAATTCTCCCAAAGTTAAAGATTATTAACATAACCAGTAAAGGGGTATCTTAAATCAACTTTTATAATAAAGGGTACTCTTGATTAAACTATCCAAAGATGTCAGCAAGCGAGTTTTATGATTCAGGTAAAATATATGCCAAATTATCAGGAACACCATATGAAATTGGGTTCCAACATGGTCAAATTGCCAAAAAATTGATTAGACGGTGCATTGAAGTTTATTCAAAGCTATATTCTGAAGAAAAGAATGTTACATGGGATGTAGCACGCTCTAGAGCTTTGAAATATCAGGATTCAATCAAGGCAAACTATCCAGAGATTTGGGATGAGTTAAATGGGATTGCTACTGGTTCAGAATTGGATGTTTTAGATATCTTAGCCTTGAATGTTAGAAGCGAAATCACATTGATTGATGTTGCTGATGGTTGTACTTCAATTGCTCAAAGAAATTCCAAAACTGGTGAGGTATTTATTGGGCAGAATTGGGATTGGATTCCAGAAATTGATGAAGCTACATTGTTTTTAGAGATTCATCAAGAAGGTAAACCAACAATCATTATATTGGCTGAAGCTGGTATAATTGGTAAATATGGGTTCAATTCTGAAGGAGTTGGTGCTATGTTGAATGCCATTCCTTCTGTTAAAGTTGATCCTAGTGGATTACCTGTCCATTTTGCCTTAAGAAAAGCTTTAGAACAAAAAAGTGTGGATGATGTTTTGAGTTATCTTGAGCATAATAAAGTTGCGAGTGCTGCTAACTACCTTTTAGCTGATCCAAATCGCTACCTAACTTTAGAAGTTACTCCAATTGGTAATAAAGTTATTGAACCAGATGAAAAAACTGGAACAGTTTTACACACAAATCATTTTCTCAGTAAAGAGTTATTTGAATCAATTGGCTCAGATAAACCAATTTTAAGTTCAAATCCAAGGTTTGAAAGAATTAAGGCATTGTCTACTCCTGATTTGGATGCAAACTATGAAAGCTTCAGATATAGATTATCTGATGTTGATAATTCCCCTAACGGTATTTGTCATTTGCCTAGTGGTAAAAAAGGTCTTGCAAGTTGTATTACCTTATACACAATTATCATCAACACTAATAAAAAAGAAGGAATCATTACATTAGGACCACCAAATGATCAATCATTACCTAGATATAAATTATCTTTTGAATAAAAGCAAGTCATTTGATTATCAATCAATCAATCAAACCCAGCTTGGTTACCAATTTCATTAGCAAGTAAATTTTTATGATCAGCAGGGTTTGCAGCTGATTCGTATAGCGTAATAACTGGATCCTTACTTAATGGTGATGTGAACATGCCTCTTATCTCCATGTAGTAAACTTTTGTTAATTCATCTTCATCATCTTCCCAGTTATTTTCAACAAATAGTGATAATTGAGTGGTTGATTGGAACAAATTTCTTGGTAAATAATGTTCAACAAATGATGATTCGTCAACATCATCTCCATTTTCATCACCTAGATGACCAACTTGTGGTTGTTCGATTTTATAAGTTGGTTTTGTATCATTGATATTATCAAAATCCAAATTTGTTTTGTTTTTGAACAATTTAATAGTTTTTGGACAATTTGCTGCTTCACCATTTGTTCTCAAAATGATTGAATAGAGTTTAACATTCCCAGTGAATGGTATATTTAGGATAAATTGTGCATCAGCATCTGATTCTATGTAGTCAGATACTTGGTATTTATTATCACCGTCTTTGAAAACTTTTTGAATCTTGTCATTTGGTTGTGCGATGTTTAATCCTGTTAACTTGAAGACATCAACATATTGCCTCAATGATTGTGATTCGTTTGTCGGTATTGGAGCGACGTGAGAATGGTCGTGGTCATCGTGACCATCATGGCCATGGCCACCGTGGTGATGTTCATGTTCGCAAGAGTGAGACATGATGGATGCTGTTTGGATAATAGTTGTTATTGTAATGGTTAAAGTAAAGGATCATAGATCATGCTTTTATTTATCCTGTTTTTTTTGGCAGCGATGAGCTTCTCGAAAGTTTAAGCTCAAGCCTGTACGATTAATTTGAACAAATAGTGGGTGTCTTGGCTTGGAACTGCTTCTAATTGTGGTGATTCAGTTGAGTTGTCGTGTTGTCTAAATATCGTGAAACTCTGCTGTGGTAATTATGTGTCAAAGGCTTTGAGATTATAGTCTTAAAGCACATTACAGCAAAATCTAGATACCCACGATAAAACATGAAAACAACGAACCATTGAATATTCCATCTTTAGTCCTCCAATTAAGATCACCTACACTGTTCATCCTTATACTTAATCTCAGCTCATGGCTCAAAATAAAACCCTTCAGTCACCGCTTCACTTTACCTTTTCTGTAGTTTCTTTTTCCTTTTTTTCGAGATTTTTCAAGATACAAAATATCATCGACGACCCGTTTAAACTCCAGAACTTTGAAAAACACATTCAGGAAACTCAATACAATTTATTATGGTTCACCAAGCAGAATTCCTACAAGGAAGAGGTACAGAAGTCTCCAGCATTCTAGCTGGTGGTTATGCCCATCCATTAACAAGAGAATGGCAAAACGAACGTCAATTAACTAAAAACATGTTCATTTATCCTTTATTCATATCTGATAACGATGATGAGGAAACCCTTATTGAATCATTACCAAATCAAAAAAGATGGGGTGTCAATAAAGTTGTTCCTTTTGTCTCTAATCTAATTTCGAAAGGTCTAAAAGCTGTCATTCTTTTCGGTGTTCCTTTAAAAGAAGGCTCAAAAGATCCAGTAGGAACTTCTGCTGATGATCCAGAAGGTCCTGTTATCCAAGCTACCAAAATCTTGAAGAAAAACTTCCCAGATTTATACATAATGGCTGATGTTTGTTTATGTGAATACACTTCCCATGGTCATTGTGGTGTCTTATTTGATGATGGTACTATTAACAGAGAAGAATCTGTTAAAAGAATCGCTGCAGTCGCTGTCAATTATGGTAAAGCCGGTGTTGACTGTGTGGCACCATCTGATATGATTGATGGTAGAGTTCGTGAAATCAAACTAGGTCTTATTGAAGCCAAATTGGCTCATAAAGTGTTTGTCATGTCTTATGCGGCTAAATTCAGTGGTAACTTGTATGGCCCATTTAGAGATGCTGCATGTTCTCAACCGGGTCAAGGTGATAGAAGACGTTATCAATTACCTTCAGGTGGTCGTGGTTTAGCTAGAAGAGCTTTGAAAAGAGATCTCGAAGAAGGTACCGATGGTGTTATTTGTAAACCATCAACTTTCTATTTGGATGTTATGGCCGATGCTGCTGAAATTTGTAAAGATTATCCAGTTTGTGCTTACCATGTTAGTGGTGAATATGCAATGTTACATGCTGCTGCTGAGAAAAACATTTGTGATCTGAAAACTATTGCATTTGAAGCTCATAATGGGTTCTTGAGAGCTGGTGCTAGATTAATCATTAGTTATTTCACTCCTGAATTCTTGGAATGGTTGGATAACTAAATTTGTAACGAATAAGATTTATGTGTAAATATGTATATAGAATGAAGTGAAGATAAAATATTATAATGAATTACATTGTATTGGAATGAAATGCTTAATGATTGGAACTATGCCAACATTGCTGTCTTTTGTTTAACTTTGACAGGTTCACTCTTCTTTTCTTCTTCCTCTATTTGAGGTTCATCATGCTTAATATCTGGAAGACCATCCACACTTGGTAATTTACCGATCAATTCTTCCTTCTTTGGGCCATTCTTGGCCGCTTCTTGTTCTTCTAACTGTCTCAACTCTTCATCAATTTCATCTTCAACATCTTTACCAACAATAGAGGTTGATAAAACTTGATCAATTTCCTCTTGATATTGGATATTATCATTAACATCATCCATTAACTTCTCAACATCATTAATATTCATTTCTTTATTTAATTTTTTCAAAATTTCATTCCCGTTTGTTAAACCTTTTAAAAATTCCTTTTCAACTAATTTGAATTCTATATTTTGAATCATATTTTCAAGATTCATTATTTGACTCGATACATTCTCCAAGAGAGTTTCTTGATATTTGGTTCTTTTCAATAATACTTTTGCACTTCTTTTATCATTTTGTCTAAGATATGTCTTTATTTGTTCAGTTTCTGATTTTAGCAATAGATTAGATTTTTTTTGATACTTCAATAATTTATCTTTTTGTAATTTCACCTGCAGTATGGCTTTGTCTTGAGCTGTAACCTTGGGACTTGATGGAGCATTACCCATGATTTGATCTATAATATTCAAAGTAGTTGTAAAATGGTTGTTTACCAGGGCCTCTTTTTGTTATCGTAATTTTATCGCACCTTTTCTACAAAACGTCAAAAATAATCTGTCATAATCCAATGTGTCATTAAAATTTTCAAAAGATGAAAGAATAAGGCATTCAAACACTTGTATTGACTTCTACAGAGTGTCAATGCTTCCAGTATATTCTTTATAAAATTTGGCATCTTTTGAGTGACTTTGTATTCCCCAGCTATCTAAATTGTAGAAGTTAGGCCATAGAAAGTTTGAAAAAATCGATCCCAAAATTTCAACAGCAGTTTACGCAAAATATTGTTAAGGATTACACTAAATTGAAGTATGCATTATATCTGGAATTTCGAGGAGATTTTAATGAAATCATTCAAAGTCAATTTTTCAGTCAATTAATAATTTTCTCAATCTTTTTCTCTTCATTTTCGAATTTAAAGTAAATTATACAAGATTATTAAAATTTCTTGAGAATATCTTTTGAAAATTAAAATGCATCAAAATTAAATAAAAACTATATTAATATAAACTGTAGAGCTTATTTAATACCATGATATATCAATTTCTTATAATTTAATATATAAACATTGATTTAAACGAATAATAAAATAGGCGTTCCCGTACCAATTTTGCATAATGTAGAAATCAAGCAGTTTTCAAAACTCATCCAAAATCCGATGTAGTGTAACGGCTAGCACGGTTCGCTTTCACCGAGCAGACCGGGGTTCGACTCCCCGCATCGGAAATTTTTTTTTGTTGCCCCAACCAATTTTTTGTTTAACCTGGAGGTGCCCGCGGGCTTAGGTGCTCGTTCTGTCTAGAGAGAATTCCTTCAGTGGGTGCTCTGCTTAGCTTAGGCGGATCGGACTGACTGAGGAACCTCTGGGGGTAAGCCAGCCAGGCGGAGCAGGCAGAGAAGTTCCACTGCACAGGAGAAAGAAAATTCGTCATGTAAAGTTGATGAGTTTAATACCATCCCTCAAAACGAAGGATTTTTTGAATTCTGCAAAGGATTTTTTCGTCGTGGCCATTACTAAAAAAAAATCCTATGTGCATATTTTCATGCAAGAGCTCGTAAATTTGTGAAAAAAAATCCTATAAGGTTTGATAGGGACAGTTCAAAAAGTTGAAAAAAAAACTATCTGTGAAAAAAAATCCTGTGAATGGTTCAATCGAAAGAATTCCCAACAGTAGACATTTATTTTAACTATAAACTAGTTGAGAAAAGATCCTTGCCAATTCTTAATGGAATGATGTATTTTTTTTCTAGATTTAATCACGAATAGACCATGTTTTTAAGCTCTAAAAAATATGAGTTTATTCGTTGAGGTTGTTTTGTGGGATGTCTGTCAAAGTCGTTGCGAGAATTCGCGACATACAGGGTCACGAAAATTTGTCCAAAAACGGTAATTTATAGGATTTCTGCAAAGTCTAGGTAGAGACACGATCGCGCATCTGCCATTATGTTACGTGTTTTAAAAAATCCTTCGTTTTGAGGGATGGTATAAAGCTTAACATTACAGATGGCTATTGAGATTTGACAGATAAGGAAAGCAGCAGCAGTTATTATTAAGGGTCTATTTTTTAATATTTATTGTTGAAGTCAATAGACTTCTACTCTTTCTAAAACCCATTTATAATGTCACATGAAAGCTTTGCAATTGCTAAATACTCAACTCTGATCAGCTTGTTCAGTAGTGGTGAGTCAAAATTTAACGCGCATCTATATATGGCGTTCTTAAACACTTGTTCGGTCTAGAATCTTATAGGTTATCGTTGAAACAGCTACGTGGTAATTATTGACCTCAAGCTAATGGACATAGTGATTTCGTTGAAGTTGAGAGCATCGAAGTTCAAATATTTCATGAATCATGACTACACTTTTCTACAATTAACTTGTTGTTGGATGAAGGAGTTCCAATTCCGAATGTCATCAAATGCCAGTAATCGTCAAACATTTGATTCCAATTGAAGTTTGAACTCATCTCACTTTAATTGAAAACCATATGAATTTGTTTCAAAATCATGACCAACTATTTGTGAATTTGATTTCCACTCTTCGACACGTCGACCCAACAAAAAATCCAGTCTAGTGTAGTTTGACATGATCTTGGGATGGGCTTAATTATGACAGATGAAATTGACTAAAACACCACCACCAAAACACACGGTAACAACGCACAAACAAGATCATACAAACATGGACATAAACTCGACATGATCCATATGATCTAATCTTCAACTCTCTGTACAAATCACCCAGCCAAATCCATCTTTTCCAATGGGATTGTCCTCGGGCTTTTGGTGTCGACCCGAAACTTAAAAATAGACTACACAACCAGAATCTCGAGGAACTGGAAGCTAATCGAACAACAGATACTTCTTGAAATTAAATCACTATCAACTTAACCTTCAAATTAATACTATCCTAATAACCATCTATATAACTCCATCATTACATAACAGCATCCACCAAAAGTGCACTATTAAATTATTTAATCATCAGCTTTCGTGTTGCACGCGTCATTTTTCCTTGAGACTTTCGAATTTTTTTTTTCTTGCTACTTTGAACTTGAACCAAAATTCATCTCTCTTTCTTTGACAATCCCATCTTGAAATAAGCTATTCTTGCCAAAGAACCAACAAACTAAACTTATCCATATTATTGCATTGTGTACTGGAATCTTTTTTTGAAATTGAAGTCTCATCTTTTTCTTAAATCAAACTCCATCAACTAAAAGTCTCCCTCTAAATTTCACCTCCAATTGGTACCTGAATCTCTATATATTTTAGAAAAGGGCAATCAATCAAAACAACCCATTACAAGAACCAACAAACATTGAAATTGATGAAATAAAAAGATTTTCTTGAATTCATACTTTACATTTTCAAAAAACCACATTCAAGTTTACGATTCACGAATTCATTGTTTTGTCATTATTTGAAGTTCATCCCATCAAAAGAAGCGCTACACTATTTCATCAAATTGTTGTCTACATAAAGTTATCTGCTTTCCACCTACATTAGTGTTTCATTTTGCTTATTGTTTTTGTTCCCTTTTTCATTTGTTTGTGCTACCATCTGCTTTTGAAACTTGTTCCATTTAATTTTGTTTTAACAACTGTTTTAAGTCATTCGTATCCATCATTATGTCAAATTTCAACTCTAGCTTTGATGAAAATTTATCATCATCAACTGATCAACATCAACAACAACCAACAGCTCAACCTCAAGAACATCAAGATCAACAACAACAACAACAACAACCTGATGTTGCCCCACAAGTTGGTCCTCCTCAACCTCAAATTGGTCAACCTGATTTCTTAGCTCCTTTACCAATCCCAAACCCTCCAACTGCAACTGCTCAAACTTCATCATCCCCTCCAAAGACCTTATGGATGGGTGATTTAGATCCTTGGTCAGATGAAGATGCCATTGCAAATTTGTGGTCTTCATTAGGTAAAAGAGTTTTAGTTAAACTGATTAGAGCTAAAAAAGGTACTCCAGCTGCAACTTTAAATACTGGCCATGCTGGTTATTGTTTCATCGAATTTGAAACTTATGATGATGCTAAAAGCGCTTTAAGTTTAAATGGTTCTCAAATCCCAAATACAAATAGATTATTTAGATTAAATTGGGCTTCTGGTGCTACTTTATCTTCTCCAATTCCTCAATCTCCAGAATTTTCATTATTCGTTGGTGATTTATCTCCATCAACTACTGAAGCTCATTTATTGGCATTGTTTCAAACCCACTTCAAATCTGTTAAAACTGTTCGTGTTATGACTGATCCAATCACTGGTACTTCAAGATGTTTTGGGTTTGTTCGTTTTAGTGATGAAGAGGAGAGAAGACGTGCTTTAACTGAAATGCAAGGTGTTTGGTGTGCAGGTAGACCTTTAAGAGTTGCCTTAGCTACACCAAGAAATCAAGCAAACTCTCAAAATGGTGCCAATTCTTTGATCACTGGTATGAATGGATTAAATTTGGGTGGTGCTGGTCAATTCCCACCTCCTCAACAACAAGGTCCTCCTGGTCAATTCAACCAATTCCCATCTCCATTACAAGATCAACAACAACAATTACAACAACAAATCCCAGGCCAAGGTCAACTTGGTTCAAATCAACAACAACAACAACCTCCATTGAATAGTAATGATATGTTGATGTATCAATATCAACAAGGTCCACCACCTCCATTGCAGTTTTATCACACAGACCAAGCTCCAAGTGCTAATTCTCAATCAGTTCCATACACTGATCCAAATAACACTACTGTTTTCATTGGTGGATTAGCATCAGGAATCCCAGAACAAACATTAGCTGCCTTGTTCCAACCATTTGGTAACATCACTCATGTTAAGATCCCTCCAGGTAAAGGTTGTGGTTTTATTAGATTTGATAAACGTGAAGATGCAGAAGCTGCCATTGCAGGCATGCAAGGTTTCCAAATTGGTGGTTCAAGAGTTCGTTTAAGTTGGGGTAGAGCACAAAACCAACAACAAAGAGTTCAATTAGCAATGGCTGCTGCTGCTAATAATGCTGCTGTTGCAGGAATCCCACCTCCACCACCTCCAGGTGCTGTTGGTCCTGCTCCTGGATTGGCTCCTGCTGGATTAGCTCCACCTCCACCACCTCAACAAACCCAAGGTATGCCAACTGGGTTGCCAACTGGTTCTATTCCAACTAATGGATTTTCCACTCATCAACCATTGATTGCACCTGTTAATAGTTTGTATTATTTACCAACTGGTAAAGGTTTTGATCAATATCAACAACAAGGTGGGTATATGATGGATTCTGGTTATATCCCAGAAGCTCAACCAATTCCACAAGAATACACAGGAAATCATCATCATAATGGTGGTGATTCTCAAGATGGCGGTGCAGGAATTGACGGTGAAGGTGAAAGAAACCAAACACCTTCTTCTCAACAACAACAACAAGATGGTTCTCATGATGGAAAACATGATGGTGTTGATGTTGATGGTGGTGATCAGATCTCTAGTGATGGTTCAAAATTACAAGAGATGTACAGAGCTGCTGTTGCTGGGAAATTGGATTCTTTGAATTGAAGATGAAGAAGAAAAAAGTGTTTTTGCTGTTCTCATGAAGGATTGAAAAGTTTTATTAATTTATTATTTTTATTATTATTATTATTATTGTTCTTGTTGTTGTTCTCTGTTACTTTGTTGATTGATGATGTCAGGCTTATTGATTTTTATGTTAATTTTTGGAATCTTTTATTATCTTAGTATTTTTTTTTATATCATCTGTGTTTTCTCTTTGTTTTCACCTGTTTTTGAGAACTTGCTGTACCCAATTTCTCTATTTGTTTTGAGGAAGGTGTTACTTTTGTTATGGTTTTTTTATTGACTTTGACATTTGAATTCCAGTTTATGATTATTGTTTTGCTTCAAGGCTTCAAGTTCTATTTGTTCATCCCAGAGTTTTCAAAATTTTTTATCGTTTACTGAATTTACAAGGATTTTTCAAGATGACTGAAAAAAAAAAAAATTGTTTTGTACATGTTTATCACGTTATTCATATTATATTTGTATTGCTTAGTTCATTTGAAATTTGATCATATATTTATGCTTTTTATATTTCCAACGTAGCTAATAAACTATTATTTTTCAATTCATCATAACTTGGTGGCATTCCAGGAAAATATTCAATAACTTTCCTTATGTCAATATCACTCCATTGCTTAAAAGTATAAGAATCTGTAACTTTTGTCATCCATTCCATTCGTACTTTAATTGAATCATTATCACTTCCTGAACATTTAGATCTTAATAACTTTCTCAAATCCCCTATATTTTTGATAGTTTTATCAATTTCATAATCACTAAATGAATCTGCAATCTTATCTTTAATTAATCTAGCCATTCTTGGTCCTTTACCATTTGTACTAACCATAACTTGTAAATCACCTTTTCTGAAAATTGCACCAAAATAAAAATCACATAATGGTGGCACATCTGCTATATTAACATTTAGGCCTTGTAATTTACATTTATAATAAATCTTTTTGCTTTCAATTGGATCATCAATTGCAACTAATACTAATTCAAATCTTGATTCTCTTAAATATTTATCAATTTTTTCATATTCCTCTTCATCAAACTTCTCCAATTGTGGTGCTGTTTGTTCATAAAGCTTCAAATCCGAATCTTGGAATTGACGTCTATGAACAGCATGCAATAAACCTTTTGATTCCCTATATTCAATTTCTGAATTCATTGTTGGAGCAATCACTGTTATTTTTGCATTTGCATTTAATAAATGATAGATTCTACTAGCAGCAACTTCCCCACCGCCTATAACCAAAACATGACGGTCTAAGGATTGTTAGTTCTGATTTTCTAAATGTTTGGAATAGGGTATACGAACTTTTAACTTGCCATGCAAGTATTAATGATCCATTTGGTTGAATTTCTGGAAATTCTGATTCTGACATTTTGAATGTGAACTTGAATAAGCGATTGATGTTTATTAAATTGAACGAATATGAAAGTAATGGATAAAGAGATAAATGCAATTCTCACAAGAGAAGCTCACCAACACTTTATCTTTCCAGAAGTTGAAACAGATGAAAAGCGGATGATAAATTCTGAAAGATCTATCATATCGGCCTTTTTTTTTCACCTACTGTACATTCGCGAAATTTATCAAAACTTCAAATTACGCCTTTTAACAACTTTCAAACGACATTAAATCACCTTCAGAGACATTGAAACGATTAAAAAAACAGATAAAACAATAAAATAATTGTCAAGGTTTGTATAGAAATGAAAAAAATAGCAAAAAAGACAATTTTCAGCGAAATAAAAAAATTGCTCCACGGCAGGTTCGAACTGTCGACCTTCAGATTATGAGACTGACGCTCTACCGACTGAGCTAGTGAAGCCAATTATATAAGTTGTTAAGGCGCAGGAATACTGTGATATATGGAGAGCAGTTGGAAAAACTCACCAAATAGTGCATTTGAGGACACTATAGTTAATATTTACCATAAGTTTATATTCAGGGAGAATAGATTCGAAGGTTTTATCAAGATTAATCACGATTGAAGCGTTAGTAGCTGTTTGAAGATATGGATTTATTTTTTATCTACACGATCAGTTTGGCAGATACTCGAATATTTGAGTTAACTATTACATCTTGTCTCATTATTCACAGATCGACAATTTTTTCACTGCTCCTGCAGTTTTACTAAACGTATAGGGTGTAATGTGTCTAATTTACCTTATATCTTTGGTTTTAGTATTGGGTTTCAATAAGAGGATTTGCTGTCTGCTACTATAGGTAGGGAGGAAGCTGGGGATAACGACAACAAAAGTTTACTCAGACGTTTTTGTGATACAATATATATTGGCCAGATCAAATTGAACTAAGAGTGAAGCTGGTTAAAGGCAATTTAAAATCATAATTGTGGGGGTTGACAGAGAAATGGTTATATGGTGTTAGTTCTACAAGGTGTATTTCTAAGGAGAACCAACCCATTACTAGATCTGATGAAGAAATTTTAAAGATAGATGTTTTTTTATGCTGTTAAGAGAAAGTACTTATCATTATGGTGTTAATTGGATTAATGAATACTGACCATTTTAAAGAGGTATTTAACTAGGCAAGTATCCTTCATGATAATTTATACAGCAGTTAGTTGTTTTAATACATGCCTCGGATTTATTGCTTGAACACAGTGCTTTCTGATACAGTTGTGTTGGACGTGGATTTCCTTTTGTATTCAATCAAACCTATTTGTCTCATATAGGTGCACTTCTTGTCATACTTCAGCACTAGTAGACAATACTAGTGCATTTTGGTGAGCTTCACAATTTTGACACTCGGAAACGAAAGAGCGGAAGTGTTTGTTTTTCTTCACGAATTGTGATTTGAAAACACCAGGAGGCGAAATTTGTTCAACTTGTTTCCATTTCCATCAAGTATCGTCATGTTTATGTCATTTAGACAAAAGCAAACAGCATCCATGACTTAAGATATTCTGTGCTTTCTAGCAGTAATTACCAATTATCCGCAACCATCATGGATGGTAGCCTTTTAGCTACATCATATTTATACTTTTAAATTTTTAAATTTTTGAATGCTTTGAGTCGACCTTGTTGACCATTGCGCCAATGGTATAAACTAACTAATATAGCTGTCATCAACTGGTCCCTCTCAAGTGTCTTATCCTGTTGTCAATTCGGTATTCCACAGTTTGGACTGGGCGTTATATATGTTACTGATTTGTTTATATTGATTAGACTCAAGCTTGAGATGTTATTGCTTATTGCTTATCTTCTCGATGCTACAGTCCAATGTATAAGACTTGTCAGTTTAGCAAAAGGTTTAATGTGTTCAATTGTCTTGATATGGATTTGTCAAAAGATCCATTCAGATTGTTTCGAATGCAACCCAATATAAGTTTTTTTCACTTCAACATCAGTAGTAGATGGAAAGTATACATTGTCGAACTCTTTTTAAAGATAGAGTAGCCAGCTGTGTAGAATCGCTTCTGTGACTATTGATTTCCAAACGATTGGAATATATTAGCCCGTAAGTGTTAATGGTTAAAGAACTTGTCGGGATGTCTTTGAATTTGTATGTTAAGCTATGGGGCGAGACAGGTTGATTCTTCTAGTTTCAATTATTTTTCAGAATTCATCAAGCTCTTTCATAATTACTGTCAATTAATGCTTGTTCAAAATCTCCAATTAAAAAGGCACACGATTCAAATATGTATACGATCCAAAACTGGTTAAACTTATCTAGTAAACAAGTGTCTTGAATTTTCTCGCTTTGCTCGTCTTTAGTAAATCTGAATTCCACCGTGATTTGAAAATTTTCAAATTCGATAGATGAAATCTTTCGCGTTCTCATTTTCATAACAATTCAAAAAATTAACAATTAAAAAAATGAGATTCAGTATATATTTGAGTCATATTTCATCTGCTTGGTGAGGATTAAACTTCTTATTGATTTGTCTGTGGGTCCTGTTACAGGGTCATAGCCTGATCCTTTGGTAACAAATAAAATGAATGATACCCCTTGATATGCCCGCTGAACATTGTGTGAGATAATGAATATGTTGTTTGAATACCAGAGGTCTTTTTGACTAAACTAGGGAGTGCTCTTTCTAGTCTTTACTAGTTTAATTAGATCTCCAGATAATGGTTTTAGATTACTATTACAAGAAAGAGAAAGAGTTTTCAACTTCCAGTATTATTAATTGTATTTTTTTGTTTGATATGAATTTGTTCAAGATTTATTCACAATTTGAAATATACAATTTACCAATTTTCAACTCTTGTGTAGAGGAAGGTATCGAGAAGTGTGTATATCTTGAAGGGCATTTCACTAAGATACTATGTTTAGTTCAAATTTGCCTTTGGGATTGTTTTCAAAATGTTAGATACGCGAGCATACGCGTTGCAATATTCTCTGACGAATCTTGATGGAAACGAACTACAAACGAATCAACCAATAGACTGAAAGGATAAACATAAAATGTGATCAATCGTTGCTAGTGTGAGTTGATTCAACTTTTATCAAGTTGTTGAAGTTTATCCAATGTACCCGGGTAGTTACTCTAACTATCTACAATTCAAATTCAATGCAAAAATCAACTGTTCATTGTTTCTTTCTATTTATATCCCATTTTCCAAAATCAATACCTTTACTAACCCATTAAACTAACCAAAAAAAAGCCATAAGCATCATCCCAAAATAAATTATTCATTAGCATCATTAAAAACTCAGAGACCAACATATAATCAATGAGTTGAAGTTGATAACCATCTTTTATAATTGTTTTGTATAGTGATAGAACCTTTTTTAATTATATCTTGAACTTCATTTGAATCTTGTAATGAAGACATTATTGTTTTTGGTTTTGATTGATCAAATTGATTTAATTCTGGTATTGTCTTTGGGATATAGTTTGAGGAAGTTAAATCTAGATGGAATTGATCCACATCTTCGTTATTGTTTGATATTATTGAGTTGTTTCTTGATGAAGGTATCTTGGATTCATATAATAGAGGAGTGCTTATTTCTTGTAAGTCTGGTAATGAATCAGTTGTTGAATCTAGAGAACAAGAGTATAGTTGTAATTCTTGTTGAGGGTTGAAGTTGGAAGAGTCCAATTCAAAGTCAAATTGTAGGAAGTCAGCCATTGTTGTTGTTGTTGTTGATGTTGTTGATAATTAATCCATCTCTAAAACCCATGCAGAACCATTTCCTTATATACACCACTCTGATAACCTCTGTTATCACAATGACTAAATTGCAAAATCAATGAGCCAATTTTGTCATCACGAAACGCGGTACGCCCAACACACTTCCGATTGGCATTTGCAAAAATTTTCAGTTGTGGCATCAGAGACAAAGACACTAAAAACGGGTTTAAAGAGCTGGGAAAAAGAGGTTGTATGAGTGGTGGTGATGGTAGGAGTAGTAGTAGTATTATGGTTAGTTGGTTATGGCTATTGGATCAATTGCAGTGTAGGTTCTAAAGCCATGTGACTAATCCCATCCGAGTCATACAAGCCATTAATTCCTTATCTATTGGTGAAATCTACACAGATATGAGCAATAGAACCTGTATCCGAATAATTGATAATTAATTTCACATGACCTGTTGACTTGACTTGACAGGTTTTTTTCGAGATGAGTCAATCTGTGGTGAGAATTTTCACCGTGATGACACAAACATTAGATTAATCATCATCATCATCCACAATTACACATCACAATCAAGTTTCAACACAATCACAACTATAGAGAATGAACTCTTCGTGATAATTTCATTAGATTACTATTTAATGAGCACAATCAAACCACAACTAGCTAGACCCATACACTGTTTAACCGTTAAAGGTCACCTGAATAACCGTAATGGTACCCACAGTTCTCACACCCTGAAAAAGCTTTTATGTCAAACAAACTCGTAGATCTAAATGGTTATTCGCTGTACTTTAAGAACAATAGACAACCCCTTGGGTGCGAAATTTTGGTTTAGTGCCTCGATGAGATGATCCATTAGAATCCTTCACGTTCTTTGGGGTTGAAGAGGTTTAAAATATTTGAACCAACAGCTAGGCGCTGACCAACTGACTATTATATCACGTACTAACACTAGTGAGTAGTAAAATACACCAATATATCAGCATTCACAGATCATTATACATTGTATCCAAATGAAACTACAAGTAATTCGTGTATAAACTTTCTGAAATGGTGAAAACGTGTATAAAAATATAGTTAGATCATCAACATGTAGTAAAATGAGTCTTTTACAAACCCATATTTAACTTCATGAACGACATCCTTCAGATATTGATACCTGATTAATTTGAACAATCGACGTTTAACATTCAAAGATGGGCTTTAAATGATCAAATATTGATGATGTACTGTTGACAAAAGTTTTGATATAAGAACGATCATGAAAGACACTGGAGAGCTAATTTTCACATTCATTGATTCAAATTTGAGCTGTAGCAACACAAATTGGTACTTACAAACACAACAGATTGCCCTATGACTAGTTCTTCGGATATATACTTGCCTTCGTTGATGATTGCATGCTGATAGTTTTGGTTGAAGAACTCAAAAAACTGTTTCAACTCAAGATTGTGTGGTGTTATAGATACATTCGATCAAATTCACGAATCCATAATTACACAAAATCTCACAAATCCAACCGCTATCACTCAATTAGACAAACCACCATAAAACATCATCATTTGAAGGTCCATCACAATCCAGTTTTTTCAAAATATTGACCCAGCAAATATTGGTGTTCTGATGTCGTAGCTGTTTAACCAAACGAACGTAGATACACAACAAAACTTTGAACTTCATTTCTCTTTACACAGTACAATTGTGGACTCAATTCAACGAGAGGATACCGTGGAATCATTACTGATCTACTAGATAGAACCGTGGAATTACCAAGAGGGCTAGAGAATATTTTAATTCTATGTTTTCGAAAGAAGGAAGTGCTCTTAATTGGATATAGAACGACCTTGTTTCTTAACAAAAGGCTCAAGACTAGACTCTGTAATACATAATGCTAAACAGCTTTATTCTACACTGATCTTTAGTTCATTGCTATGTAGATTGTAGGGCACACGCCTTAGTGCTCGTTCATGTCAAAGATCCATTTCTCAACATTTGAAATATTCGAATCCAACAAGTTCAATCACCAAAAACAAAACAGACAAACCCACAAACACTTGAACCATCATCATAATAAACAAAGAATCCACTGATTCAATGCAACAATGATCTCTTCAAACGCCAAAATATACAATGAAATGATAACCAACCCATCAATAGTCGAATTCGATTACTCTTTCAATGAATTAAGCGCCCTATTGACTTTCCCACGCCCAAGTGGTGGAATAGCCCTTATCTTTGATGCATTGCTTCTATTGTTCAGATTCTTCAAAGATTTGATATTATATCCAAGTTTCATCAACAAATTATTCACCAATCCAAATGATGAGTATACTCAACAGAATCAACCAACTAAAATCAAACATATTGGATATTTGATTAAAGAACTTTCACCATCAGTTTTCACACAAATCACAAAATTGGTGGAGTTTTGCACTGAATGTGATATACCAGTATTATCAATCTCATCTAAATCAAATGAGATTAATCATAGTTTTTTAAATGTGTTAAAGATTTGTCTTGAACAAACAAATCTTGATCATAAAGACTTCAGGATTGAAATACTTGATTCCGTGAATTTGGAAACAACAACTGCAACTAATTGCCTTAGAGACATTGAACCAACTTTATATTTGATTTTGAATGGGCCTTTATTAGAGGTTGATGTCATGCTTACTCAAGATTTATCAATGGCCAAAGATGAAGCCAATATTGAAGGTCCTGAAAATGTCAGGGTTAGATTCCTTAATGAATTGACAATGAAGAGGTTCTTAGAAGTTGTTCTTGGTGCACATAATTTGAAACCTCATGATATTGAAAGATTGATTGCACAATTGAATGAACATGATGCTGATGAAAGTGATGATTCAAGTTTAAGTTAAGATGAAGGTTCGCGAAGAATTTTCATCAATGGATTTAGGTTTGCTCGAGAACCATTTCATCAATCAACTTTACACTTTAGCTATTTTTAATAAAAAAACTTATCGAGAATGTCCAAAAACGATCCTTGTAAACCTCAAGCTTGTGCAATTCAAGGTATGTGTATCGTCATCCAGGGCTAGTTGTTGATACTAATATTTTTATATCCAGACTGTCTAAAGGCAAATAACTACAATGAATCCAAATGCACAAAAGTTATAGATCAACTATATGAATGCTGCACAACTTTTTATAAAGACCAAGGTCAAGATTCAAGATCCCCATGCTGTCCAACCCCTTCATTATTAGAACTCAAGATCAAACAAAGAAAACAAGAGAATAAAGATGCAAACCTTTATCAGCGATAAGGTAAAAAAATTACAACACATTTCATTAAATACACTCATTGATTAAAACTATTTAAAACCCTACAATTATCATCATTTTGATAATCATCAAGTTATTCTGTACGTTTAGAACCGCGTAGTCAAACAACAAGAGTGACACGACATTTAAAGGTTGGTCAAAACTAAGAAGGCCACGATGGACAACAACTTATGGTTTGATCTAAGGCTACCGCGAGCACGAAAAAGAATAACAAGGCTATCCTTTGTTCAACTAAAGAGGAAAAAACAGATTGAACCGTGACTCTGGGTGCCTAGTAAAAGACATTGTTAAAGAGTTTTTAAAAGAGTTGGGTTTATACTTCTGAAATTTTTTTCCAATTTTTATACTACAAGTTTAAAAGTAGGGTGACCCCTGAGAAGTCGCGAACATCGTTAATTAACTAGGGCATGATGAATTTATTAAATTGTATTTTGGTGATGAATATATACAGGATATTCTCTTTATTTCTATTTCTTTGTCTCATAATCATGAATATTTGGAACATATGCCTTCATTGCTGTAATTTTTGGTTAGTGAGGAGTTGGATACAAATGGTTTAATTATACTCACGAGATTCATCAATGACCCATAATGCAGTTCCTGATACATTACTTATTGAATTCTCCATCTTTACATTCTTTTCAAATTCAGAAATTGCTTCATCAATTTCCACTGAGAGGATCTAGTTAGTCTCTAGTTGGCCAATGTTTTAAAATATAATATACTCACCTGGCTTTAAACCAGCATCAATCAATTGCTTTCTCAGCATGGAAATATGATAAACCATCTTCATCTCTCTTTTCTGAGCATTTCTTCTTTCATTCAATACTTGAGTTTCTCTTTTCCTTCTTTGATTATTATAATTATTTTGTGTCAATGCTAATGCCTTCATATTATTCATTTGTTGTTCTAAAACTCTAGCTTCTAATCCAATACGGGATCTATAATTATCCACTGCAAAATATGTTAATGTTACAATGGAAAATATTACAGAAAGATCTTTAAATGTTGATAATCTTGATGATTGAGATTCTGAGGATGATGATGATGAATACGTGGATGATGAAATTGGGGAATGCGCTGTTGAAGGTGGTGTAATGTGTTCATTGAATATAGGTTTTGGAGATGATGATTGATCTAAATGTTCACTGAAATAAGTTGGAGGAGTTGTAGAACTTGTCGATTTGAATCTTGTGAATTGAATCCATTTGGGTGATCTTATTGATAATAATGAATTGTTGAAACCTTTTGAAAACATTTTGAGATTCCTGAAAGATTAGTCAAAGTATTTGATTGATGCTGGATTATGAATTCGTTTGTCCTTTCGAAGGATGGCAAATTGTGGGATCAAGTTTTATTGTTGATGTGTTTACAATCTTTAAAACGTATCGGTTAGCTAAGCAGGGCTTCAAACCATATAACCTTACAAAATTTCAAACATTCGTTTTAACCGTTACAAATCTAGTCTTTACAAATAGAAACTCATGATTTAATTTACATTAATTTCAACACCAAAGCATTATAAAAAATAAAGATATCCGAACACAAATAAAAATGTAATGTATTTTATAGTATTAATTTCATTCCCCTTTTATCTAATGACCTTGACGACGAGATTCTTGGATAATGTTGTTCATTTCTTCAACTTTAGCTTTAGCTCTTTGGAAAGTACCTAATCTCTTCTTAGCGACTTTTCTAGCTCTTTTTTCACCAGCATTTCTGATCAATTCAATTAATCTTCTTTCATATGGGGCTAAACCAGAAACTTCTCTGACAATTGAACGAACAAATTTAGCTCTGTTGGATAAAGCACCTTTTCTGTATGAGATTTTTGGAGCTTTTTCCAATTGTTCAACTTTTCTACCTTTGTTGGTACCAACAGCAATACCTATAATACTTGTTAGTACTTGTTATCATTTAAATCCACATGAGGTCTACGAGGTTCTTTAGAGGAAAGGTCTTTGAACATGGGGGGTCTCCCCTGGAGTTTCACAAATCACATTTAAATCATCTACTTCATTGTATGGTCCTGGTCTGTTTTAATCCTTTGAATACTCTTTCTTGTCTCTTGATAGATGCTCTCTTTGATTTCTTTAAATATTTAATTTATTGATTCACAAATCTCTACTTTATTTCGATATCATGACCTCCAAACATAATACAACTGAACACTTTCTCTTTGACTCTCTCGTATATCCTCTATTTCCTATCTTCACATACCTGATTTTGTAGCCATCTTTGATATTATTGTATTTGATGCTTCACTATTAGTATTGAGTAAAGTTCAAATTTGATTTTCTAATTTTCAGCTACACCGAATGTTTGTTGAAAATTTGTGAGCGTCACAATTCGCACCTTTTGGGAAATTTACCCTGTGGAGTTGACTTCCGGAAAAAGAAATAAAAATCGGTTTGGCTGGGAAATGGCAGAATAGCGGTTCAATTACCGTGCAGTGTTGCGCATAAACCAGAAACTTAGGTAATCATTATGGTGTTGAGGTGTTAGGGCTACCATTGGAGTCACGTGAAAGGTATTTCAAACCCTAATCATAATGTGTCAAAAATACCTACAATTTTGTTTTACTTCGTATTCATCGTACTTATTCAACAAGATACTATATTCTATATACAATAGTTGAACCTAACCTTCCCAGCTTTTATTATACATGTAATGGTTTCATTTAAGCTCTTAAAGCTTTTCTCTTTGGGCCTTTAGGTATTATGTAGTCACCTGAATAACTTATTTCGTTTAAATCATATCCAAAGTTATGAAGAGCAGTAGCTAATTGTTCAACTGTGTAGTCTAAATATTTGTCAGCTAATCCCTTAAGAGTTATTTTTTCACCTTTTGCTTTTGCTTCAAGGATTTCACGTTTAAATAAGATCTTGGTCAATTTTCTTTTACCAACTGTTAGATTTAATGGAGTTTCATAGCCATCAATTTTTAAATTTTGGAAATAAACAGTACCCAATTTACCATCTGTTGTTTTAAAATTTGGAGCATCTTTATGTGGTGGGTTTTCTTTTTGATATTGTGCCTTTTTAACAAGATAACGTAATCTCCACCCTGTTGGACCCAATTCTTTAACTCTTGCAGATTTATCTTTGACTAGATAGTTATCAACACCACCTTCTTTTGAAATTGTTCTAACAACTCTTGCTGCAACTTTCACTCTGATATGTCTATTTAATGCTTCACTCCATAATGACTTTCTATTAACATTAACTTTCCATGTTCTATTAACTTTGTTTTTAGATTCTGAGATACGATGTCCTGATCCTTTGAAAAGACCACCATACAAACCTTTATTACTTTGTTTGTAAACTAAGGCATCACCATATTTGTAGTCAGGGAAGGCTGCTCTTTTCTTTGGCATGTATCTTGGTCTAACTTCACCAACTTGGAAATCATGTCTTTTGGCGACACGACGAGTTGTGACAAGTTTAAAAGCCTTGAACGCAACTAGTGCTGTGGAGAAACATCTTACAGATGCCATTGGCTGAGCAGGTCTGAATGACTTCAGACCAATTGTGAACATCGTGGTTAAATGAGTGATAATTTGTGGGTAAATTCCTATTATTTAGTTCACCTTGGTCTTTTTTTGATTTGTCGAAGTTTTTCAAAAAATCGAAAAATATTCGGTATGGACACTCCTATGATACAATATTTCGAAAGTGAACATAAAAGTGTGTCATTAAAAAAACATTGTTAAAATAAGCATTATATATATATGTACCATTCTAGCTTATTTGAATAATTTTTTTGTCCAGTGTGATTGTTTGTGCACCGGAGAGGATGGTGGTTGTGGTTCAGGGCTAACACTTTTAGCTTTCAAATCTTCAACTTCTTGTAATAATTGGGAAATTTGATCTTCAAGTTCTTGATTCTTTGTCATTACTTCAAGATTTCTATCCATTGTTCTCTTAAGATCCTCTTCAAGATCAGTTGGCACAGGAATATTTTCTTGGACTTGATAACTTCTAACACGTTCACGCAAGTTGTGATTTTGTTCTTTCAAATCTTTGTTTTCATCCTCTAATGTTGCAATTGTCATTCTTCCATTGATCATCTCATTAGCAATTTGAACATGTTCCCTATTCAACAAAGTATAACCAGATTCAATCTTTCTAATTTCTTTCCGTAGTTGAGTGTTTCTTAGTCTTAATTCTTCAACTTCCTCTTGTCTTTCTTTCTCCACACGATGAATTTCTTGATATTCTTCTTCATATCTCTTTAATGTGATCGGCAAGACTTTAACATTAGTTGCATCTTCAACAAACTTATTCACGTCATAAGTATCAACAGTAATAACTGGAGCAGGTGTTTGTCTCTTCTTAGTGAAAAACCCACCAACACCACCATGGAGAGAAGCTTCATCATCCTCATCTTCTTTTGTACCATCGTGAATCAAATATGCACTAAACAAACTTTCTTTGAGGAATTCCAGAAGATCATCAAAGTTTAAAGTTATCAATTTAGATTCATTGGCTTGCATTAAAGCAACAGCAAATTTTAAAATTGATTCAAAACCTTCAGTGATGATAATATCAAAAATCCTTAAAACAAACTCAAGTGGGAATTTATAGGCAAAAAATGTTAAAAACCATTGAGATGCATACATTGACGATCTAACACCTTGTCTCAAAAGATGAGAATGAAGATTTGGCAACATATCTTCCAACAATCTATCAAATTGATATAATTTCAAATGAAGACCTGGCATTTCTGGCAAATATAAGGATCTAATGTTATAACCAAACATTAATTTATGTAACAAGCTGAAGGATTCAAGTTCACCCATATTCATCAATAATGGAACTGTGATAAATGCCATACCTTGTGTGTAACCAACTTCTGAATCCAATACTGAATAAGCCTTGATGATTTTAAACAAAGAGTCAACATCCAAGCCATAATCTGAGATAAACGTTGTTCTTGATAGATCTTTATTGATATTTTTTTCAAATGGACTAGTTTGTGATTCTAATTCTTTGAATTTTTGCTCAAATTCTACCGGATTTGAATTTGCAACCAATTGCCAAACAATACCTCTAATTTGCTTTGGAATACCACTAGATAATTCTTTTGCTAATTTAGATGGATCAGATTTAACAACTGAAGCATAATCATTGACAACTTGAGTCCAGAATGGCCAATCAACTTTATGAATTTCAGAATCATCAGCAGTAGTATCACCTTCGGTTTCCTTTTCCAATGTAGACACTTTTTCAGCAAAGGATGTTCTTAATGTGTTTGCAGATGTATTGATTTGTTCTTTGGAAATTTCATCTTTTGCTTGATATTCTTCATTATTCTCACTTAATCTACTTAACAACAAATCATAGTTTTCTTCAAGTTCAACCGATTTTTCAGATTCTGCTGGACCTTGAATTGAACTTGAACTTCTTTGGAACCATGATGGTAACACATTTGAACGATGATGTGCCTTTTGAGCAGCTGATAGTTGTGGAGGTAATGGCGGAGGAGGTAGTTCAGCAGCACTTTTGATCTTGAACTGTTTTAAGCCATCATCATGTCTTTTTGGAAGCTCTGGTGGAATATTTCTATCTGGCACCTCTGGTGGTTGTTGTTCATGTCTTTTAGGCAAAGCAGGAGGTGCCACAATAGATCTATCAGGAAGTTCTGGTGGAGTAGCTTTGATAGGAACAATGGATGAAGGTGATTGTAGCACTTTCTCTTCAACCTTTGGATCAGCTTCAGCTTCAGCGTCCGTAATAATCTCTAATTCTTTCAATTTATCTTCCAAAGTGGATGTCTCGTTCTTTAATTCTTCAGTTTCAACCAATGGATCAGTAGATTGACTAATTGGTGGTTCTGATATTTGGGTAGGTTCATCATCAACCTCAACGGCTTCATCAACTTTCATTTCTATTTGTTCCTCTTCGTTAATTGGTTCTGGTATGATCTCTTCCAATTCTTCAGGCTTAGTTTCAGGTTTAACGGAATCTTCAACATTCAACTCTTCACCTGCTTTCTCTTTCACAGCATCATCAACTTCAGCTATGATATTTTCTGATTTGTTTATTTCTGTTGGAATGACATCCTCTGTAGGCTCGGATACAATATTTGGGTTTTCTTCCTCAACTTTAGTGTCTTGTCCAGCCTCGTGACTTTCTTCAGGCTCTTGCGGAATCTCTGAATCATGAACATTATCCACCAAGCCCGCCTCAGTAGTATTTTCTGAAAGGTCAATTTGACTATTGTTATTGGATTGGTTCTTTTTCTTGTTCTTCTTTTTGTTTTTCTTCTTCTTTGATGGCGACGAACTGCGAGCTTCAGATTCCTCAGTTGTAATAGCTGTGTTGTTCTTATTTTCAGCTAAAATTTGGGTTTCAATTGATTCTTGAGCGTCTTGGAATGAATCCAATTCATCGGTATTTGCCGTTTCTGACATGCTGAGTATCCTTTCCAATGGAGTATAAACACGAATGAAAAGAAGCTTGAATCAAACGATAGAAATTGGTGTCACTTAGGTGTCTTTATTTTTTTGCCAAATGTTTTTTTTTTTGAAGCGAAAACAAAACATTGAACGTTAACACGAAACCGCGACTGCATTCTGATTTCAAGCCTCGAACATGTAAAATTCCAAGCTACTACAAAAATTTCATAAAGCATAACATAAATTTAGTTGATCCAGTTTATAAATTCCTTAAATGTATTGAAATCGTAATAAAATAATATTGATAATAATAAAAAAATACCCAAAATAACTTCCTTCCTATATCCAACCTTCATAATCACGTAAAAACCATCACTTTCCATCACACAGATATCTCACTAAAAGTATGAGGATATGTAATAATAACAGGCGAAGCACCATCAGTAAAATATAATGATTCTCCGGATTCTGAATGTGTTTTCAGCTCTTCTGAACTGGATAAGATTGGCAGAAATTCTCTTGATTCAACAGTTGATGTTTCACTACCTGTGGAGATTAAATCAGGTATAGCATTTTCAACCATATCAGACAATGATGTCAAATCATCATCAGTAAGGCTACCGTAACTGCTGGAATCCCTTGACATTTCTGGTACATCGTTGACTTCATTTGAATAAACAATCCCTTTATTGACACCAAGTTCAATTAATAAACGTTCAACGTCTTCAGTATCTGAATTGGGGAAATGAATCCGTATTGAATCTTTTCGCCTCTCCAATGGTAATGAGCCATATGAATCAGAAATAACTTGAACTTGCTTAGAAATTTCATCAATTTGTTCCTTGATCAAATCTAAATCATTTTGAATAGAACCAATAATTTCGGAATTAATAAATGACATTGTTGGAATAGATAATCTTAATTTTGGGAAAGTGAATTCAACAAAAGAACCAACACTTGAGACATTTGTAGATTCTGTTCTAGCCAAAGCAAAAGTTTGTGGAGCTTCACTCTGACTGACACAACCATGATAGGTCATATGTTGACTTGGAGTCTTTGTCATTTTGGTATTTATGATGATATCACCACCATTATTTAAAAAACATCTTAAATTGGCTGTCAAGTTTTGAACAGCTTCTCTTGAAGCACTTCCACCAAATGTTGAAAAGTTTCTTGAATTTAAATTGACAAAGTTTCTGTATAATCCACTAGGAAATGGACCTTTACCGATAGCTGGTCTTCTAAAAGCTGAATATGGCCATAATTTACCAGCGATGTTACCACCTTTGATTGGTTTAAAGAACTTTGGTTGTTTGAAGCTATTGATAGTTGAAGCTGATCTAAATGCAGTTGCAGTACTAAAATGACGCTTATTTGGAACAGGGAACCTTGGACCTCTTTGATTTCTTATTGGTACTCTAACCAGAGCTGGTTGTGGCCTTGGCCCTAGGGAGTTTATCAACTCATCAAGGACTTGACGAGCATCCCTTACAGCACCCCTAGTTAAGGAAACCAGATTCCTTAAACGATTTGCCACCATCGCTTAACGGGTGAATATGGATTTCTATCAAGAGGTTTGTAATGACAAGTTTACCACTTTGAAGGAAACAATGAATATTAAAAAAGTCTCTGAACGTAACAAATCACTTGAACTCTGAAGAAACGAAGATTGTTGGGTTTGATAGTAAACGAGCTTTTTGAGATTTGGGTGTTGCAAAAGTGATCATTCCAAATTGCAAAACCGATTCGCGAACAGCCGATGACGGGAAATTGGGATGACGTATTCTGCCAAAAAGGCAAGTGTCATCAGGAGGTTAGGTATAAACAACTACAACAGCTAAATAATTTAGTCATTACTCGTTATATATTAGCAAAATTAAGCACTGATTCCAACACCTGATATGAGAAAATAGTAGATACCGATTCATGATTTGAAGTTCCAAGGATCTGTTGGATTCATATTTTGATCATCATTAAAAATCAATGAGTAAAAGTCATTTTCGAATTCACTTTTGATTGGTGCTTGTTGTTGGTTTGATTGTTGTTGCTGTTGTTGAAATTGATCCAATCCAATACTGTTATTGGCTTGATTGGTTTGATTCAAAGATTTTGGAACATGAGAGAATAAAGATGCGGTTTGTGTCATTGGACTGAATCTTGTTTCTGTTGAGGTTGGTTTAACTTGAGCTGTTGAATCACCAAACTGGCCATTATTTTGATAGGACATCCCTGATGCATTTTCAATATTAGCAATATCTGATGGTAACAAATTGATCAATTCATTAATATTATTTGAAGATGGAATATCATTAAAATCAAAATCTTGTAACGGTTCTTCTTTGATAGAGGTTTTGGAAACATTTGGGAAAGACATTTCTGTATCATTATCATTTGCCTTTGGTTTCTCAATGATGGTTGATAAACTATCTTCATCTAAATATTTACCACACAAGTTATCAATAGCACAAATGAACTTATTCGCTAATGAATTGACAGTAGCTAGCGTAGCCAAAACTTTCTTGGCCAAAACAATATCATTTCTCCAACTGACTGAATGCTTTGAGGTTGGCTCAGAGCATAGACAAACCACTGAGATTAAAGCAGCATGGAAAAGGAAAAAAGTAGAATACCAACTGGCAATAACTGATATTTCATGATTGCTAATGAAGTTTGAAACTGATAAAATGGTTTCATGAGCACATTCTAAACATATTCTTCTGCATGCTTTACCTTCTGGAGAATTAGTCATTTCTGACGATTCTGGGTTCTTAGCTTTGATAACTCTTTGCCAAACAAAAGCTCTAAATAAAATGATTTGTAAATTTTTATATCTCCAAATCAATCTATATCTTGTTAATGCTAGCCACTCTGGAGTTTTGGAAACATTAGGAATCTGTGAAGCGTTCTCTGCGACAAAATTATTCTCAGAAAAGAAAGGAGGTAACTGATTGATGAATTCCACAATTCTATTATTCATAGCCAAGCATTCATTGGCATTTGGTGATGGTTTTGAGATCAATCTATTGTAAATGTCTGTAGATATCTTTGTGAATTTCACCTGTTCAATCAATCCTGAATAAATAGTTGGATAAGAAACTGGAGTGACTTCCTGCCTTAGTCCAGTGAAACTATAATCATCATCATTAATATTAGAAACATTTTCAATATCCATCATTTGTTCATCTGGTAAATTAACAGGTCTACCAAAAGTAATGGCAGCACCACCGTCGAATATATAAAGACCCCACCATAACCTCCTTCTCATTTCTAACTGTAATTGATTCTTGGAACTAGACCAGTTTGAGAATTCTTTATAAAGACCAAGACCCATAGCCATTCTAACTGCAAGCCCCAGATAATTCCACCCGGTATTTGGTTTGTTTCTCTTTTGGGTATAATTACTCAACAATGTTAAAGCTTGAAGTAACGGTATACTCCCACTTTCAAAAACATATGATGAAAGATATGATTTAGCATTTTGATAATAGTGTAAATCAAAATTTGAAGATTCTCCATGTAAACACCAAGCACCCAACGCCAACACTGTGTTCAATAAGATTTGCCATATTTCATGTGTAGGTGTAGGTATTTCATCCCTATATTGAGCCAAAAAAGTTTCCTTATGAATGAATGGATAAGATGTATGATAATTAGCAAAATATGAATCAACAAATTCATTAGTCAAGTATTTGGCAGTCAAAGATAGTGTAGAATCAAAGTCTAAACCTCTTGAGTTGCTTCTTGAATCAGTAGTACTATTTGAATCCTCCTCATCTTTTTCTTTGGGTATTTTTAAAGCTCTTAAAACCACAGCACTACTAGCCACACCGAAATAACCTTTGTTTGAAGGATTTAAACTCAAGGCAGCCATACCGTCATTGACAGATGATTCGACATCTTCTTCAACCCAGTCAAACCCATAAATAGCATCTTCTGGGACATCATCTTCTGGAACCTCTGGGTGATAACTATTAGAATCAGAAGATCCAACAGATACAACAGAATTAGCCAAAGGTGATTGTGTAGCAGGTGACTGAGCTTCAGAATGAGTTCTTGGAGTCACACTTTTTGGCACCTGTTTACTCAATAATTTATCAACATCAGCATCTGGTAATAGATCGTGAACTAGATTTTCTAAATCACGAACTCTATTCTCCACTTTAGTCAAATGAACTCTTGTTAATGGACTTCTAACCACTCTTGGAGAATATGTACACTCCCAATTATGCTGCACACATTTGGTACATTTTGGCAAGTCTTTTGAACACTTTAGCTTTCTCTTTCGACAGGAATCACACTTTAAAGAGTTAGTATTTCTTGCAGGAAACAAAGGAGCAAAAAAAACACAGGGTACATACAGCTTGTTCAATAAAGACAGCTCTCATTCTACCTTTTGAAAGTTGTGAGCTAGTTTATAGGTGAATCACTCAAGATATGAATTTGGATATTCAAGAAACTATTTGTATAGAGATGAGGTGGAACCGTAGATGATTTTAGACTCAAGAGTTTCTGACTTCTCAGTTTCAATTTTTTTTTTCGGATTCTCCGAAGCAGACGCGATATGGGCAGCATTTTGCAACATTTTTATGGTGAAATCTTATCGACGAAAACGGTCATTTTAGACGGTGAATAATTTACATAAAGAGGAGAATAATTTCAGGAAGAGTCCAACATTTTTTTAGTTCGTTGGGATTAGAGTGCCTGGTGTTTATTGTAGTACTGGTAAGCCATCAATGAGTCAGATCTCGAGAGATCTCAGCACCTGTGAAGCTTGAAACGGTACTTGTGAACAAACGAAGCACAGAGGAGCTTGAGAACTACCTTTTAATCATCAATACACTTTCATTATCCTACTAGAGAGTCGACATTACTCAAAAAGGCCCTTCAAATTGAAGACCAAATCGTTAGCCGGGGGTAAAATCACGTGAACACCCTCGAAAATCCCTAAATCAGCCTTGATTTTAGTATAATCTGATTTCGAAATGCTCAAACTTTTCATTTAAATGCCGAAGAATTACTGATCATATCTATTGTGAAGCAATTGGTTGAGGTGAAAGTAATGACAGATGATAAAATATCAATTACTATTCGCTTTGATAGTATCGCTTTGCTTGAGTGGCACAGTTGTTGCAATCTCAAATCATGATGAACTAATATGGGACATATGGAATAATGAAGAAGGTGAACCATTTGACAATAACCAAATATCTTGTTCTTCGATAGAAGACCTCAATACTAGAGAGTTATGCTATAGAAATTCTGGAGAAGTGCAGAGTAAAGAAGAAGGTTCCTTCAGTCTTGAGAAAAGAAAAATCAAAACCTCAAACGTTGTTCATGATATTTATAATGAAGCTCCTATTTCAATCCAATTGGAGCCCGGTTCAAGAATTAATTACAGATATTTGATCAACATGAGTGATCCTGCTGCTCAACAATTTTATGAAGTCATGGTTTTCATCACAGGGAACCTTTGTAACTTTCCTCAAGGGCTTTCAGATCCAAACAGTTATTTATCATTGTACACCGCATTCAATGATACTGGAATCTTTACGAATTCATCAGATTCCCCATTCTATAGCCAAACATATAACCAGAAAGACTTTCAATATGGATATTTACAATCTTTATCAGACACTAACGTTAAGACTAATGAGTCATTCTATTTGAACATCGTGCTAGAGGCTGATGAAATTGAGGATGTAAATGGTACATTCACAATACAGCTTGGTCTTTCACAAGATGATTTGATTTATCAATGGGATAACAGAACATGGATCAATCTGGTTGATACTGATGATACAACCGCTTTATTCATGACTGGAAATTTGACAACCGCTTATAACAATGCTACAGATATTTTGGACTCTTCAAGTAATTATTACACAGTTCATATTTTTCTTGATGAAGATGATAATTATTTTTCCAACCTTAATAGAAGCTGGTGCTCAATTGTTAATGGTAATGAGCTGGTGAAGCAGACCAACATTTCATATTCATTCACACAAAGAGGAGGTGGGTTGAAAGAACAAATGTATGTCAAAGGTTTACAACCATCAACTGATTATATTGCATATGTCACACAAGATTTCTCCAGTACACAACATGGAGGTGTGGTATTCAATAGACTACAATTTTCAACACAAGAACCAGATACATGCAAACTAGTTTTCAATTTGACCTTTTGTGATAATGTGGCATATTCAGTACCTAGATCAAATAATGTTCAATTGGATTCAAACTTTCAAGAACTTGCTGATTTATATGACAGTAATGTCAAGGACATGTTTGGAAATTTCAGCAAGGCCTTACAGCAAATACCTTGTCAAGCTGAAGATGATCAACGTTATTCACCAATAGTGACTTGTGATGACTGTGCGACATCGTACAAGAACTGGTTATGTGCTGTGTCCATCCCTCGTTGTACCACTAATAATGAAACAGAATACAAATATAGAGAATTGAACGAATCAAGAAATGATTACATCAACTCTAAAGTTGACCCTCCATCACCCTATTATGAGATATTACCATGTCTGAGTATGTGTCATGCTATTGTACGTGATTGTCCGACTGATTTTGGGTTTGCATGCCCAAGAGACAATACCTCAATTGGCAAAAGCTATTGGTTCATGTCTGATGACTCTACATATGATACTTGTAACTATGTTGGTGCTTTATCTACAAGTGGCGCTTTGCCTACAATAGGAATGAATAGAATTGGGTTATTTATAAGTTTTATGGTTGTTTCTTTGGTTATGTTTTAATAGAAGGTTTATATTTCTTGAAAGTCTACATGTAGCCAAATCAAATAAATATAGTATTATACAAGGTTGGTAAGCTTGTTTCATGTATCATTATTATAATATTATTCAAGATTGATTAGCAACTTCTTCAACAGATGGACAAGTACATAATAAGTTCAAATCACCATAAGTATCATCCAATCTAGCAACGGTTGGCCAGAACTTGTTGGTTTTCAAATGTTCTAATGGATAAGCAGCTTGTTCTCTTGTGTAACCTCTTGATTCCCAATCGTTTGATGAAACAACATCACTTAATGAATGTGGAGCGTTTTTCAAAACTTGACCTAATGGCTCACCTTTCAAGAATGCATCAATTTCACCTTTAATCGAGATTAAAGAATCAACAAATCTATCCAATTCTTCCAAGTTTTCAGATTCAGTTGGTTCAATCATCAAAGTACTTGGAATTGGGAATGCTAAAGTTGGTGCATGGAAACCATAATCTTGTAATCTTTTAGCAACATCAATAGCCTCAATACCTTGATCTTTATATTTTCTTAGATCCAGGATAAATTCATGCCCACAACGTTCAATACCATCTAGTCCAATAAATGCAATTTCATAATGATCTTTCAGTCTATTCATCATATAATTGGCATTCAACATAGCGATTGAAGAACTGAATGGTAACCCAGTTGAACCCAATAGTTTGATGTATGCATAAGAGATTGGTAAAATTGAAGCAGAACCATAAGGAGCAGAACTAACAGATTCAATTGAAGTTTCAGTTTCAGTTCTTAATTTGAAAACAGAATGTTTTGGTAAAAATGGGACTAAATGTTCAGCAACACAAATTGGACCAACACCTGGACCACCACCACCATGTGGGATTGCAAAAGTCTTGTGTAAGTTCAAATGACAAACATCTGCACCTAAATCACCTGGAGAAGTTAAACCAACTTGTGCATTCATATTGGCACCATCCATATAAACTTGACCACCATGCTCATGAACCAAATCAATTGCACGTCTAACTGTTGGTTCAAATAAACCATAAGTGGAAGGATAAGTAATCATGATAGCACCCAAGTTTGCTTTATGTTTTTCAACTTTTTCTTCTAAATCAACCAAGTCTAATGAACCATTTTCTAAACATTTGATTGGGATCACTTTGAAATTACTCATAGCTGCAGAAGCTGGATTTGTTCCATGAGCAGAAACTGGAATCAAACAAATATCACGATCAAATTCACCTTTAGATTCATGGAATTGCTTAATGACTCTTAGACCGGTGAATTCACCTTGTGCACCAGAATTTGGTTGTAACGTAGTTGCAGTGAAACCTGTAATGTTTGCTAAATCTTTCTCCAAGATTTCAATCAATTCTTTATAACCTTTAACTTGATCTTTTGGAACGAATGGATGAATTGAACCAAATTCTGGCCATGATAATGGTAACATTTCCACAGTGGCATTCAATTTCATGGTACATGAACCTAATGGGATCATTGTGTTTGCTAATGAGATATCTTTGTTATGTAAGTTGTGTAGATATCTCAACATGGCAGTTTCTGAATGATGTAAGTTGAAGACCGGGTTTGATAAGATTTTATCAGTTCTTGTTAATGAGCTTGGAAAATCTGGGAATTCATTTAATGATTCAATTGGGATTTGTTTACCAGTGAATAATTCGGTCAAGTCAACTAAATCTTTGGTGACAACACTTTCATCCAAACTTAATGAAACTGTATAATCATCAGCTTTGAAAAGATTGATTTGATATTGATCAACAGCTTTTTGTAAGATTTCATCAGCTGAAACACCATTTAATTTAATAGTTAAAGTATCAAACCACTGTCCATTCTCAATTTCATGTGAGCTGTTTTCTCTAATGAAATTTGCTAAAATTGATGTAAAGCCATAAACTCTTTTAGCAATTTTTTGTAAACGAACAGGACCATGATAAACTGCATAATTAGCTGAAATATTTGCTAATAAAGCTTGAGCAGTACAAATATTTGAAGTTGCCTTATCTCTCTTGATGTGTTGTTCTCTTGTTTGTAAAGCTAATCTCAAAGCTTGGTTACCTAATCTATCTTTAGAAACACCAACAATTCTACCTGGGATCTTTCTATTCAATTTTTCAATAACGGAAAAAAATGCAGCATGAGGACCACCGAATCCCATTGGAACACCAAATCTTTGAGAAGAACCAAAAGCAATATCAGCACCAAATGATGATGGAGGTTTCAACAAAGTTAAAGCTAATAAGTCAGAAGCAACGGCTAATAAACCTTTTGAAGAATGTACAACATCTGCGATTTTTTGTAAATGTTCATAATCAAAAATATCACCGCTTGAAGTTGGATATTGTAATAGGGCCCCTGAAATTTCATTTTTAATTGATTCTAATTGTTGTAAACCTTCTTTTGAATTCAAATCTAATTGAACCAATTCTATTTTTAATGGATAAGCTCTAGTTTTCAAGACTGATAAAGTTTGAGGGTGGATATCTTTATCAATGACGTATTTAGTCTTCTTCTTTCTTGAATTGTTGAATGAAATACTCAAAGCTTCAGCAGCTGCAGTACCTTCATCTAGTAATGAAGCATTTGAAACTGGTAACCCAGTCAAATCTGAAATAACAGTTTGGAAATTCAATAAAGATTCCAAACGACCTTGTGAAACTTCTGGCTGGTATGGGGTATATGAAGTGTACCATTCTGGGGATTCCAAAACGTTTCTCTTGATAACAGGAGGTGTGATTGTGTTGTAATAACCTTTACCAATAAAAGATCTGTAAACTTTATTCTTTTTAGCAATTGATTCCAAATTCTCAATCATTTCAGTTTCTGTGAACCCATTCTCTGGTTCAATATTCAATTTTCTTTTAACCAACACATTTTCCGGGATTGTATGTTTGATGAATTCATCAAGATCATTATAACCTAAAGTTTCCAACATATGAGTAACATCGTTATAGTTTGGCCCCAAGTGACGTCTTTGGAAATTATCTAAAGGTTTCAAACGATCTTGTGCATTGACAGAAATTGAAGGATCATAAATTTTTTGGAAATTTGAAGATGAGATATCACATGTCTTTGTAGAGTTGAAACGAGCAGCAGTCAAGTTCAAACAAGTGATCTTTGTAGTGGATTTGAGAGCATAGCGTGATAATAAACGCGTAGAGGCTCTTGATCTGGATAACATGATGTGTATAGTAATGAGAACCAGCTCAGACTTTTAGCGGCAGTTGAATAATGGTGCAAAAAATAAAAAAGTGACACCAAATATAATTGACCTAGTTGCTGAATGGGTGTAGCGAGCAGCAGTGGTAAAGCCTTTTGTAGCGTGTGAAGTGGATGGATCCAGAGATGATTTGTATGAGATCTGGAGTGAAAATAAGGGTAGAAAAAGTTTTCGATTCGTGTTCAAGAGTTTATCATAAGAAAAAACTGATAAACAGCAGCCAGAGTCAGATCCCCAGAGTCAGCTGCGAAATTTGGAGTGCTGCCAAAACAGAGTCAAAAAGCAGGGAAAACGGTTTGGAGATGCGGTGACTCGGAATACGCGTTCAGCAGAGTCAAGAATAAATTTATAACAATAGGAATATAATATTACACACTTGTTTTAACACCTTGGAACCCTTTACCACTGACAACACCTATCCAGTCACCTTCAGAGTTCCAGGTGACATTGTTGATCTCTAAAGTATCGTTGTATGCGAAATCTGGATATTCAACAACACCACCACCATTCTTTGGTGCACTATTGGAATTACTGCTATTTTGTTGTTGATGATGATGATGGTGTAAATGAGGATGTGGTTTAGCAGAAGTCAAATCCCAGATTAATGCTTGACAATCATCACCTCCTGATAATAGTTTCTGTTGAGTTGGATGCCATTTTATTGAATTGATAGGTCCATTATGGCCATTCAACACCGTGGTGGGTACTCCAGGGTATCTCATATCTAAAATGATTATTGATTCTGATTTAGCAGCAAATGTTGCGATGACATTTGGATCAACATTTGAAGTTGCTAGTCTTAATAATGCATTTGAAGGTCCAGTGGTTGATGATGGTAGGGAAGTTGTGCTTGAAACACCTGGGATCACTGGAGGTTCATAAATAATTGTAGAATGTTCTAAAGATCTTAGATCGAAAACTCTCATGGATCCATCATTACCAACACTTGCAAATATTTCTGCTGAATTCTTGATGAATTGAACATCGAAAACTTCACTATCATGTGCAATTAGTTGAGTTTTAGGAGAACTTGGATGTAATATATCCCAAACTGTACATGTGGTATCAATACTTGAAGTGATGACAATATTTGGTTTAACTTTATTCCAATCAAATGAAGTTAAAGGTGGTAATGATAATGGTTTATTAGTTGTCCCTGAATGTCCATTATGACCATGTTGAACTCCATTAACCAAATTTAATCTCTCCACTAATTGGTTATTATAGTCAATTTCCCAAATTTTCAAACGATCATTTGTTGTTATTAACCTTTCCGTTCCTGAAGGGTCCCATTGTAATTTTGTAACCGGTAATTGAACATTAGCTTCTGAAATCTTGGTAAAATTAACACTTTCACTAGTAACCCCATTTGCATGTTCTATCATGATCGATGAACCATCCAATATTTCAATTTTATTGATAGAATCTTCTCTATATGTTGAAAGTGCAACTGTTTCAGTGCCTGTTGAATCATGCCTACTCCAGTCACTTGAAAAAAGAGGCCAATGGGTTTCATAATATGCAGAACGAATAGGTAATTGTGATTGCGGGACATTTGGTGGTATTATATTTTGCTGAGGAGATGATTGAAGGTTTGTAAAACGATCATATTCATTAAAGTTATCTATGTTTAAAAAGGTTAGTTGATTTTTACCTATCTTCAATAAAGTACATACTTTGTTTGAATGAGCCCACAGAAAATGAGCTTCTCTTGGATCTATTCCAATCCATAATATAATATAAATATTGTTTAAATGATGATTGAAATATATAAATGTAAATAGATCAAAATGATTTTATTGCTTCTTTAGAGATATATGGGAATAACAGGACACAGCAATATTCTCAAAGATAGTTAACAATAAAAAGGGTTTATTAATGATGATGGATGAATGAAATAATCCAATGGAATGCAAAATGCTATGAAGATGATATTAATGTGATAATGATGATAATTCTATGAGCTGATGGTTGTTTACTTTTATTCACATCAACGTCAACATTTGACGTGAAGGAGGTCAAAAAGCAAAAAAGTGACAATTCAAAAAAAAAAGTGACTGTAGGCAAAAAAAAAACAAAGCAAGATTCCATCTCTGAGACTCGAAATGATGGTCTGCCATTTTATGTAGTGTCACTAGTTCTTGCTATAATGACGTAGAACAATTTTAGATCATAATTAGATTGGTGACTGGTTGTAGCTTTTAGAAGTACACAACTATGGTTTATTGAACTAAACCCCATCATGGATTCATTAACTCGGTAATTATAGACATTTTCACCACCTATTATACCGAATTTAAACTATTCACTATGCACCAGGGCTTCAAACCATTATGGAAAGTGTAGCATAAACCAAGTACAATTTGTATGTGTATCTTTTCAAAGCAGCTCTCCTATTTATCCTGTGTATGCTAAATAACTCAACTATTTTTATACTTTCGGTTCACTCGTTGTACCTGATTGCCAATTGTTTACACGCTGTTTATGTTTATGTTTGTTGTAGGCTGTAGTATGACGATAGGATTCGTGCTCCAAACGGTGCCTGAAGGCAAGATTTTCACTGAGTTCACCAGATTTACTTTACAAAGATACATTCGGCTACACCGAAAGCTCCAGTTTACAAACAGAGATGAACAGGTTGAGGTCCCATGGTGTGCCACTAGATCGTCTATACGTTGTGTATCTCAAAGGCTATACAAAGTTCTACACAGTGTTGAGATGTTGTTGTTAAACGGATCTTTCGTGCTGTGGGAGGGCCTAAGAGAACTCTGTGTACCTCGTTTAAATAACATGGTACTTAATATGAAAGCTCTCAGTGCTGTATATTTCTTTGTACTTTGGTGTTCAATTTGGGTCTCTTTGATCGTAATTACGCTGTTTCTGTAGAGCAACAACTAGAACCAACGCGTCTTTGTAATGCTTCTGCAAGAAAAAAAGAGTACCGGCCTCTTAATAATCACCAGCATCTCCAGCCAAAACACAGCGTATTATTGGGCAACGTCTGCTACTGTCTGAGCCTATTGCTCATCACTTGTATTCTCGACAACAACAACAACAACCTTACAGATCACAAAAGTTGACAAATACAGAACAGCACATTCTCGTCATGAACCTTTTGACGAATCCTACACATATATAACCGGCTCCATATCCTCTAAAACACATACAAATGAACATGAACCTCCAACTCCATCATACACAAATACTTTACACACTCTTTTGACACAAAACTTTGTTAAGATTTCCTGATCAGCAAACCGTTTACAAAATATTTTAAAAGAAAAACAAAAACTGAAATCCGGAGATGGCTACCACACTTATACAATCAACTTTTGATTCAATCAAAACAGGCTGGAAAACAATGTCAATAAGACAAAGAATCCTTAAAGAATACAGAACTTTAGAATACAACAAACTTCCCGGAATAGAAGTCATCTTAACTGAAAACCTTCATCAATTTTATGCTGATTTGAAAATCACAGATAATGATTTATACCCAAATACTTATCGTCTCAAAATAAGTATACCTGAAGATTATCCATTTGTTGCACCAGTTGTTGTTTTCGTTAGAGATGAAGATGAAGGTATAAATGAGATCCCAATACATCCTCATATCTATTCAAATGGTCATATTTGTCTTGATCTTTTAGGTCCAGGTTGGGTACCTGTTCAAACTGTTTCTTCATTGCTATTATCAATCCAATCAATCTTAGCAAGTAATGATAGAAATGAAAGACCTCCAGATGATGAAAGATATTGTAAAGGTGCTCCAAAAAACCCTACAAAGACTCGTTTCACTTATCATGATGAAACAGTATAGATTTGTTGCTTTAGAAGTTTTTACTGGTTTAAAAGATTTCTTTGCAATATGGTCCATCCTTGATACATACCACAATGCACTTATTGTTGGTTCTCAATAAACAGCTAGCTCATATCAATATTCCATCCATTATTTGCATATCTTATGATTATTTCCCCTCAATCTTTTGTTAAATAACTTACTTAGTGTTATGTATTATGTTCCTACATTCATCCAAATAAATTTATTATATACAAATACTTTTTTGAAATCTTGTATTATTAAACGAATATTAGTACTCTTAAATCGGCATGGCCGATTGTATTGGTTTGGCTGCTGGTTTGGTTGGCTTCTTGGATTTTTGAGTAGTTGAAGATGTTGAATTCAATTGTCTTTGAGTACCACCATTATTCTTATTACTCTTGTTACTACCACCACCGCCACGGCTACTCTTGGTCTTGGCTTTACGTTTTCCTTTACCACCACTTTGTGACGATTTGCTTTTCTTTTGAGTTGATGTTTTCATTTGTGATAAACCTTTCAAAGTATCAACAACAGCTTTATTTTGTTGAGTTTCAGCATCACTCACGAAATAAATAGATCTAGTATCAGCAGCAGTTCCATTATTCCCACCTCTTTGTGCTGGTCTTGGATTTGTTTGACTTTTCAATCTTATCAATGCAGATTTAAAATATCTAAAATATCCCCTCTGAAGTAAGGTTAACCCTCTAATTTGTTTAAATTCAACATCAGTTTGTGGTAAAATTTTGGCCATTTCTCTTAATCCATCATCATTAACAACATTACTTGCAGATTTAATATTCAAATCACTCATTGCACGATTTCTTGCATCTGCTAAAGTTCTAAATGCATTGGCAAAATTGATTTTTTCCGCTTCATTATTAAATGGTAATTCTCTTAATTGAATAGGTGTAGCTGGTGAATTATTATTACCAACATTTGAAATGGTTCTTTGTAAATGAACTCTTGCACTTGTGAAACTTGAAGTTCCTGTAGCTGGTACTGCTTGATGTTCATCATATCTAAACCCATTGATTTCTTCATGATTCAAAGTTCTTGATCTATTCAATCCATTGGTTGGTGCTCTCATTGGTGTACTTGTATTATTATTAGCAGTGTTTGGTCTTGAACTTCTTTTGGAACGAGTAGAGAAAGTCATAATGATTTTTTTCCTATTATTTAGTAGTCTTGAAGATTCGGGTCCAATTCTAATATAACTTGATGCAAAACCAGCTGCATTAAATACCGAAAACTCTTCTAGAATTTTTTCTGCAATCAAATGAAATGCAATTCTTTCAATATCAACTTTTTCTAAATCTTTACCACCACCATGTTGTGGTAATGAATCATGACCTGCACTTGTGATCTTACTACTCTTGGATCCTTTGAAAATATCTTGACAGTATATTAATGTAACTCTTTGATCCTGTAGTGATTCAACCAACTGTGTCATCTTTTTAGCATACTCAGTGACATCTTTTTCATACATTGTTGAAGCATCCGTACCTTTTTGACAATTATCACAATTTTTTTCACAATCTTTTTTATCAAATTCTTCATTAAAATATTGTAACACTTGTTGACGACGACAATCTGTTGAATTTTCACAATATTGAATAACTTGTCTTAATTTGGTCGAATGTTTTTCTTTACCAATTCTATCCAAATCCTTATCTCTAGAAATCATTGTTTGTAAAGTTCTTGCATCTCTAAAACTGTAATACATAATACAATATGAATAATTACCATCTCTACCAGCTCTACCAGTTTCTTGGTAATAACCTTCCAAAGTTCTAGGTAATGTTAAATGAATAACAAATCTAACATCTGCCTTATCAATACCCATACCAAATGCAATTGTAGCACAAATCACTTTTATTGTACCCTGTTGCCATTTCTTTTGAATATCTAATCTATCTTCAGGAGTCATACCAGCATGATAAAATGCACATTTAATTCCACTATTGATTAATTTCTCAGAAGTTTGTTCACATGAATTCTTGGAATGACAGTAAATAATACCGGTTTGATCTCTGAATTTTGTGCGTATCATTGTTTCAATCTGTTTCATATGATCTTTATCCTTGGTGAGAACTTCATAAAATAGATTTGTTCTATTGAAACTTTGCTTTAAAAATAATGGATCCCTCAAGTTCAAATTATGGATAATATCCATCTTAACATGATCATTTGCAGTAGCAGTCAATGCCATAACGGGTATATCTGGATAATGTTCTTTGAAATAACTCAAATGTTTATAATCTGGACGGAAATCATGACCCCAACTACTAACACAATGGGCTTCATCAACAACAACTCTTGCTAACTTCCCCTGTTTATAAAGACGATCAATTGCATTTTTTGCTTGATTTGAAGCACTAATCATTTCAGGTGAAAGATAAACCAAATCTAAAAATCCATCAATAAATAAATTGAATGTTGTCTTCTTCTCCTCTGCAGATCCTCTAGAATTGATCATACCAGCTTTAATGTTTTTCTCCCAAAGATGCTCAACTTGATCTTGCATTAATGAAATCAACGGTGAAACAACAATTGTTGTGCCTCTTGTTTTTCCTGATTTAACAACTGCAGGTAATTGATAACATAAAGATTTACCACCACCAGTAGGCATCAAAACAAAAGTATCCCTACCAGCTAAAGTATTATTGACAGCTTCAAGTTGATTCTTTCTAAAAGATGATAATTTGAAGATTTCGTTCAATTTAGCAAACACTTCTGGAGTCCAAGGATGATTCTGGCCAGGTGGAATGTGGTTTCTATTGGGGATTTCTTCAACTGGCGAACTTGGAAATGTAGCATCAAAAAAATCATCATCTTCAATGACTGGAGCTGGTGCACGATGTATTGGGGTAGTAGCAAGAGCTGTGGTTGGAACTGGACGAGGAGCAGGAGGAGGCAGGTCGAAATTATCAATATCACTATCTATTTGAATAACTTCATCAGGATGCATAGTTTCTCTCTCATCATCAAATCTACCAGCCTCTTCAATTTCATCATCCTCATCATCCTCTTCATCATCAATGTAATTTTCAGAACGAATGGAATGATGTGTGATTTCAATATCATCTTCACTTAAAATTGTATCTTCTCGGGCATCCTCAAAAACATCATTATCATCATCATCATCCTGATCACCTTCAATTCGATCTTCAGGTTCATCATCTGAGCTATTTCTCAAATTTTGCAATTCATGTTGAGATACCTGTAATGATTCTTCATCCGATTCTTGCTCTTCACTATCATTTCTATTTTCCGCATATTCATTATCCACTTCATCTTCTTCTAGATCACCAACAACGAAGTCTATATCACTTTGATTCATTTGTTCCTGTGCTTGGCTAGTCATCAATCCATCGTTGGTCTTATCACCCAAAACATCTTCCATCTCTTCATCTTCGTCATCACCATCATCATGATTTCCGAATGCGACATTATCATTAGCTGTTGGTTCCAAATCATCAGAATTTATTGATTGAATAGCAGTCGGTGGTGGAAGAGGTTGTCTTCTATCTCTCGTCTCTCTTGTGTTTCTTGATGATTCTAGGACTTCCATCGCAGCCCTACTACTCATAATATTTGAAGCACTTAAATTTGAGACTTGAGGAGCAGCTAATTGTCTTGCAGGGGGTGCAAAAGAACTGATGGAATTTAGTTTAGCTTTTGATTGCTTTTGTTCTTTTTCTAATTGTATCAATTCAGCACTCAATTCGTTTCGTTTCTTCTTTTTATCATCTTCTGAAAGTGCAGTTGACTCATTAATGACAACTCTTTTCACCAAAAGTTCAATTCTTCTTTCACAAATTGCAATATAATCATTTTGAGCTTGAACCAAATCACTGGGCACTTGAGTGTTTTGGGCAGGAAGTGTTCGAGGGGGCGGTATAACTGATTGAACGGGTAGAGGTGCAGTTGTTGTGACTGTGGTATTAGAAACTGTTGAATTTGCGGTAACATTAGCAGCAGCAGCAAAACTGGTTTGCTTTCTTATTTCATGTAATCGTAGCTCTTCATTGAACTCAGTGTCATCAGAATCATCATCACTCGTAAAATCATTAGTTTTTTGCTTTTTAGAACTTATTGTATTTTCATGAACCATTTCATTAGGTCTTCTTCTGGGTACAGTGGGCGTTCTTGCTTCGGCCTCATCATCAAATGTCAAATCTATCACTGCGGGTGCCTGCCTTATACCTGGAGCATGAACTGGTGGTTGATGTTGTGGTGATGAATGTTTACTAGTACTTGATGTGGATCCCGAAGATTTTGTTAATGAGTTTTCTCTTCTTGCAAGCCTTAGACCTGATGATTTTCTAGTAGTCTTTTCAACGTTAGACAAGATGGGGCTAAAGTCAGCATTGGTATTGATCCTCTGTATACTATCAGCTTGATGTCTGGAAGGAGCACTTGCCACATCCATCACACCAGTGGAAGATTTGGAAGTTGATATGCTGTTTTGATTTCTGCTGGGTACGCCATTGGCATTTGATATTACTGCACTCGTGATATCTCTTAGAGCCTCCTTTGTGGGTATATAAGCTTTGGTATCATCTAACCACTTCAAATGCTGATTAAGATTGTTCTTCATTAGCGCCATTCACCGTAGTCCCCCCTTCTTTGAATTCTTTATTGTAGCAAGTCGCACGAAATAGACCTGCAATACTTAATGACAGTGAATAGATCAATAACCAGGTATGATGATGACTTTGGGGAAATGTTTCTCGAGCTTCTGAGCCTTTGAAAGTCTTTATGTCCTTGCTTTGTTTACATTTTTTTTGCACTTCTTCTGATCAGTTAAAAATCTTGTACGCGTGAAAGATCATCGGTAAGGGCACTCTTCAGAGTAGGAATTGGGATGAAAGAGTATTTTTTGGTAGTAAAGACTAGCTAATACATTGTGAAATCTAAAGTAAAGTCATTAAATAACAGTCCGCTCCCTTTTCAGCTCTTTTCATCAAGATTTGTATGAATGTTGTGTGATACAATAACTATATGTCTAGCTTTTACCCTGAAACCTGGACCATCAAATTCGCGAAATGTTTCGCGTTTCTTTAAAAAAGCGCGTACGTAGACAAACCTTTAACATAGTTATCGTAAATTGTACCCAAATCGACTAAGGTTGAATTAAGAGTCATCATCGATACAATGTCTAGAGAACGTACTACTGAGAACCTTCCATGGTAAGTCAAGCACACTTCAAATACATTGCAATAGTTACAAACTAACATCTAACTTAGGGTTGAGAAATATCGTCCAGACTCGTTGAATGATGTTTATGGTCAATCTGATATTGTTGATACAGGTAAGTCAATATTACACTCTATGCCATCGAATGGATTCTAACAAGCATTTAGTTCGTCGTTTTGTTCACGATGGTCGTTTACCACATTTATTATTTTATGGGCCACCAGGTACAGGTAAAACTTCAACAATTATTGCCCTTGCCAAAGAAATTTATGGCTCAAACTATAAAAACATGGTCCTTGAATTAAATGCGTCAGATGATCGTGGTATTGATGTTGTGCGAAACCAAATCAAGAATTTTGCAAGTACTATGCAAATCTTCTCAAAAGGGTATAAATTAATTATATTAGACGAAGCAGACGCAATGACAAATGTTGCACAAAATGCATTAAGAAGAATCATTGAGAAATACACCAAAAACACAAGATTCTGTATCTTGGCAAACTATGCTCATAAATTAAATCCTGCTCTATTATCACGTTGTACAAGGTTCAGATTTTCACCATTAACTGAAAGTTCAATCAAAGAAAACATTGCAAAAGTTATCATTAAAGAAAACTTGAAAATTAGTTCTGAAGCTGAAGCTGCGTTATTGAAATTGTCCAAAGGTGATATGAGAAAAGCATTGAATGTTTTGCAGGCATGTAAGGCTGCTGTTGATGAAGGTGAAGAAATAAGTGAAGATATGATTTATGAAAGTGTTGGGGCACCACATCCTAAAGATATCGAAACAATTTTAGATTCTATTTTAAAAGATGATTGGAGTTCTTCAATTGCAACATTACAAAAGATTAAACAGCTGAAAGGTTTAGCATTGATTGATTTATTACAAGGTTTTATTGAAATCCTAGATCAATATGAATTGAAGACAAGAACAAGAGCAGAAATTCTTAAAGGGCTAGGTGAAATTGAATATGCCATTTCAAAAGGTGGGAATGAAAAAATTCAATCAAGTGCGAGTATTGGTGTGATAAAAAAGAGTCTTGAATTTGAAGTTGTATAATAAGTATGGTAATAAAAGCATCGTTAATCATAGTAGTTCAGTCTCATTGAATAAGGCAGTTCATAATCCTGTCATATTGTTGTGAAGGAATTTCTGTATACAGGTGTGGTCTAAACAAATATGTGCCCGCCTAAATCTTGTATCATCTATATGTTGGATTGAATGTCTCTTGCTTCTCTTTAAAACAATCAATCAACCACAAAGCAATATGATTCAATACATCAAAAAAGATCTATTCAAGGCAGCTTCTCCTTCAATTTTAGCTCATGCATGTAATACACATGGTATGTGGGGTGGTGGGATTGCACTTCAATTTTCCAAAAGATTCCCATCAACTGAAAAAATATATGTCAACCATTGCTCCAAATATTCAGCTGAAGAATTACTGGGTACCACGTTATTAATCAATTCAAGTCCAAAAGATCCTGGTAATACTGGTACAGATTCGACCCATGTGATTGCTTGTTTGTTCACAAGTGAAGGAGGTGGTGGGAATGCTGATTCGCCTAAACAAATTGTGAACAATACTCAAAAGGCTATAAGTGATCTTGAAACTCAATTGGATAATGCTAAAGAAGATTGGCTAGTTGCAACTCAAAAAGAAGGAGATTGGTTAGTTGAAATGCCAAAGATCAATGCTGGAATATTTAGAGTCCCATGGGAAGATACAGAGGCTGTCCTGAAAGGTAGTAAGCTAGACTATAATGTCTACGTTATTTGATTGGATACCATCTCAATTGTGTGTCTTGCTGCTAGCTACTTTGTACTAAGCAGAGGATATTTGACTGAATAAATTAAACAAATTGTATGTGAAGAATCAATGGATCAAGGTATAGCCATTCTTGTTGATGCTTGAAATTGCTATCAAAAGGCATTTAGAGAAGCTTAACAATAAAGAAGGGATAATTATTAAGTTCAAAGCAATAATATTTGCAATAGGATATTAAAGTTCTCTGCTTCAAGACTACTGTACTGAAAATCATCACCTGCTGGCTTCTATGTATTGAGCGGCCGATCAAGTAGGTCAAATAACATGTTGAAGAACCCCAAAGATAAACATATGCCACCTGTTATGAGCTTTCAAAATCAACGCCATTCTGCATTTCAAGAGTTTTAATACTCGTAAACTGGAGGTGGAGTATTCACATCTAAAGCTGTTTCACCACCATTATTATTATTTGGTATGAAAGATCCATTTGGCAAAAGATGAATTCTAGTCCTGAATTTGAGCTGCTCCCTCCAGTCATCCAAAGATGCAGTCCTTATTGTATAAATGCATCTTTCCCATAAAACACCTCTTAAATCAGCATTTAAATCCTTAATCAATGTCAAACAAAAATCACGACCATCTTTATCAACAAATTGACAAAAAGATATTGTAGTTTTATATTCTTTATAAGCATTTGGCGGCAAATTCTTAACAGCTTCAAGTACTTCAAAAATACTCTCTTCATTTGACAATGACAACACAAACTTGTTTTTTTGAAAAGTTTCAAAATCTAATACTTCGTGTTTATTATAAACCCAAAATTCATTTTGAGACTTCAGATTATCCTCAATCTTTTGTATGCAATCCTTGGTGTCAACACCAATAAGTTTATGAATCATGATACTAGTAGAAGTTGGTTTTTTGGAATATTCCTCATTAACACCAGTACCAGTCTTGATAACAAATTCAGATGAACAAATCACATATTCTTGAAAAATTGGAACGTTTTTACGGACATTATAGTAATTAGTTGAAGTACTTATTCTATTCGTAGTCAAGTTTTGAGCATTAGAAGGAATATAGCCTTTGAAAACATCAACAATCCCGCATTTACTCGGATTGAATTCAAAACACCGATCTTGAGTGTTCAAAATTTCAAAAATGTTGGTTTGATCTAAACATTGAGCTAAACTTAAAGGTGGTTGAAAAATGCGAGTTTTCAATTTCGGATATTCACGACAGTACTCAAACGAATGTATGGGTGAATGCAACACTCTGTCTCGTTTACTAATTGGTATGTTTTTCTTCTGGAGTTGCACGAGAGGGTTCTGAATCTTTTCCCAAAATGTCGATGATTGACCAAAAACCATGGTGTAATTTTTTGTGTTTTATTGCCTTAGCTTGTGAATAATTAGTTCATTAATTAGGCTTCTTGGTGAACTATAGCTGGAGGAAATGATACTTATATGAGTGGATTAGATATCAGTGAGACAGGCTATTCCTCTCGAGAAACAGAGGTGTTTTTTCAGAGTAGTTTACAACGCCAAAGCTGAGATTACAATTACAACTATCTGTGCATGCAAATGATCTGTTGTTCCTACATTAAATAATTTACATGACAGTATTTTCTATATTATTATCATTAAACCGAGTATAAATTAGGGGTTAGGTATGCTTGTGAAAGTAGAAGCTAGCTGTACGCTACAGTGATCAATATATTGTTAAATATTTGAAAAGCACATCCATGGAAACCGTCTTTGAAATTCCCCCAAACAGTACTTGATGCTTATGCAGCTTTGCAGACGTTACAATATTTAATATTTCTAGCTGCATTAAGGTCTTTTATATTAATTCATTAACTTTCTGAAAAAAATAGTGTTGATTCTGGTGTTTGCTCAAAGAGTAATGACAATTTGAGTGAACCAATCATATTTATAACTAGGGGTTCTCTTAGTTTCCTGCTAAGCTAAGCACTTAAAATCATTACCATTCTGCATTTCAATAGCTTCTTCATATACTAGTGAATGTGAATTATTCACAACTAAAGTTTCATCATTTTTTGATATATTAAAAGATCCTTTTGGCAAAAGATGAACTCTAGCCCTGGATTTAATGATCTGTATCCTCCAATCATCCAAATAGGAATTCTTTGTATTTGGTCCAATGAAACATTCCCACAAAACTTTTCTTAAATCTGCACTTAAATCTTTAATCAATGTTAAATCAAAATCACGACCATCTTTATCAACCAATTGACAAAAAGATATTGTAGTTCTATATTCTTTATAAGCATTTGGTGGGAGCTTCCTAAGAGCTTTAAGTACTTCAAAAATACTCTCTTCATTTGACAATGTCAACACAAACTTGTTTTGTTGAAAAGTTTCAAAATCTAGCACTTGGTATTTATTATAAACTGTAAATTCATTTTGAAACTTCAAATTATACTCAATCTTTTGTATGCAATCCTTAGTATCTACTCCAATAAGTTTATGAATCATGATGCTCGTAGAATTAGCTGGTTTATTGAAATATCCAACACCGGTCTCAATACTGAAGCAAGTTGAGCTAATGACATATTCTTGAAAAATTGGAATGCTTTTAGGGTCAACGTAGTAATCAGGTAAAGTTTCCGTCTTGTTCTCAGTCAGTTTCTGAACACTAGGGGGATAGCTTATGAAAGCGTCAACAAACCCACAGTTAAGTGGGCCATCAAATGGTTTTTCATTAATGAAAGTATCAAAGAAATTTGTCTGATTCAAATATTCACTTAATGCAATACCTGATTGTTGAACACAAGCGTTAAATTCTGGAAATCTATAATTTGAGTACCACCCGCGTTCATATAGTTTTGAATGCATCATTTTATTTCTTTCATCAACTGGGATTTCCCCTTGGAGTATTCCTATGAGACGAGTCTGACTCTTTTTCCAAAATGTCGATTGAAAAGCCATGGTGTTTTGTTGTGTTTTGTTGGTTTAGCTTGAGAACTTCAAACAGGATTCCTGGTGATCTATTATAACTCGAATATATATATATGACTTTTAGCTGTGTGTATTGATCAGTAAGTGGGCGTGAGACCATTTGGGGCTGACAAGAACTCTATGAGGTTGTTTGTATAGCTCTAGTGTATAGTTCATGGTGATAAGTTCTCAAATTCTCATATCTTGATGATCATTGAATATGGTAATTTCTCCTCAGGTAGAAGTGTATAAGATTAATAGACCATGCTGCTAACTAATCCAGCTCAAAAAAACACTGAGGCCATTTGCTGGGGATTATATTGTACAATAGTCAAAAGTCAAAAGGACATGAGATCTTATTTTATTACAAAGTTGCCTATAGTTTAGATCAACAAATCGCGGATTTCCGCGGATTTCTCTGTAAGAAATTAGGTAATCATTGTTGATGTTAGTGCTATGTGTCAGAGACTTTTAATTAGGCTCAGTGCTTACCTACACTTTGATACTATTGGGTAGGGCGTTTGTTGAACCATAACATAACAGAACATGGGTGTAAGTGCAGTTAGAGAAGAGTAAACTCTGACTTGTTAAGCACAATGAAGCTAGAATTCGAGTCCATTAAACGATTATTTACATCCAAGATTTGTATTCACCACTGAGATTACAACATTACCAAATATACATAACTCAAAGTCTCTCTCAGATCCCTCACTCTATTCAAAACTACTACAAAACTGCACCCGATTCAACTTGGGTGGAATGCCTTCTTATACTTAAATTCATTTCCATAAGCTAAACATAGACCACCAATTGCATTGATCAGCTATTTCACCAACTTCCACCAGATTATTTTAAGCTGCAAGCACTGCAAGCACTGCATTTAACAGCATTTAGCAAAGACCAAATCATAATGATCAATAGTGACGTGACCAAAATGTATCGTAAAGTTTTTATCAAATTTTCTTTAAACGGCTCCTTCGCAAATTTTGACAAGACTAAAAAAATGATAATATCATCTTGACTAACTGGATCCAAAACGTCTCTCGGTTCTTTATCATCAAGTATTTGACTTTCCCGCAAGTTTTTGTTGATCAATGTTTCAAGCTTTAAGAGGTCTTGAAAGGTATGGTGGCTCTGACCTTCATTGTTAATTTTACTGGCAACAACACCAGCAATATCTTCTCTTGTAACCAATTTTTCATCACAAGTGTTTAAAACTTTCTTCACAAAATGGAAGCACAAGTCCACTAAATTAATTGCAGAATTATTATCAAATTCACCATATATGTAATTATTATAACCAGTCTTGTAATCATCTTGATGAGTCCACCAATTATCTTCGACTTTAGCTTCACTGGCGTTGAACTTGAGTACATGATTCTGCAATTTTTTTCTAGTGAAACAATTGGAATCATTAAGCTGTGAAGTAAAATATTTGAAAAAAATGTTTATATGAGTTCGAAAGATTAGCTTGTCATCGTCATCAATATCTTTGACCTTGAGAACTCTCATTTCTTGGATCTCTAATCCTGTATAAGAAATCATCTTTTCAGATACGTCGTCTGGAAGTGACATGGTTCTTCTGGTTTCGGTGGCGTTGACCTAGGTGTAAAGTAAAGTCATTTTGTAATAGTTTCATCTTTTGTAGTTTTACAAAACATTAGCCGCTGAAAGCTTTCCATAGTTAATACAAATTTCTGGACCTGTATTAAATTAGTTTTTCCGGTGTTGCGCGTAGCAGCTCACAATAACTGATGCTTTTGATAGTAGACTTGAATAGAATATGCTTAGTTCTCTACCCTTTATTCAGTAACATATCTATTCATGGAAGTAATGTGCAGTAGGTATACTACCTCCCTTTTGAATCACTGCTCTGACAGGAGCTCTTTGAGATTAATTTATAGCTTTTTGTAGCTCATTGTGATTTCTCATATGAGAATCGAGATAATTAATACAGATGGTAATTTCTGCTCAGGATAGTGTATAAGACTATAGGCTTATTCCAGTATTTAAAACTGATGTTGTCTGCTGTAGACTATCTCCTAATAGTCAGAGAGCCCAGAGAAGCACTAAAATATTTCTACTATGGTAGAGGGAAGTTCTACTCCAGGCCATATCCTGACACTGTTGTCGCGTCTACTATTGCTGCTACTGCTGATGCTGCTAACATGAATACAGCTGAAGAGTCTCAGGGTCAAGAGGATTCAGACGGTTCTTCGTATGACATTCCAGTAGTCCCAGATGGTTTTAAAGACTATAAAGTCATTCAAGATAAAGACAAAATCCCAGCCCAGGTTATCCTGTTGAAAAGGTCTACATTTGAACAAATCTTTATGCAGAATCCCCAAAATGATGGTTGTAATCTTCAAGCTGAAGATTACGATATTGTTTTGAAAATGTACAGCTTCTGTCATCTAGAAAACGTTCACTTTTATAAGAAATATGCTTATATTGAGGGAAGGTGCACCGACTCTAGGTTTTATAATGCTGATGACTATATTGATCACATTCTTGAAGATAAATATCAAAATGAAGTGGAGATCAACAAAATTATATCAAACCATAACAAGAGTGTGGAAGCTGCAGATTCAACAGGTACCAAACGCAAAATCAACTCTCCACAAATGATAGCATATGGTCCAATGGTGACAGGAGAATATCTTAGTTCATTTTCTGGCTTCTTTATTGCTTTTGAATACATAAAAAGTGGTGGTGATTTGAAAGCAAGACATTTGAGTCAATTGCAAGCCCAATTGGAAGAATTACATAGTTGCAATATAGCACATTGTTCATTGTCATTGCGGAATATTATTGTGGATATAAATGATGAAGCTAGGATAATTGACTTTAACAATTCTTATACTGACGAAGTATCTGAAGATGGACGTTATCCTATTCTATTGAATCATTTGATGGATGGTGACTATGACCAATTAGTTCATATCCAAGAGAGGCTTGTCTCTGATGATAATGATGATAATAATGATGATAAATAGGTTGATGGATTTGATCTATTATTATGCATTTCAAACTGTAAGCCTAACCCCATCGAAACATTGGTATGTGTAATTAGTAGAATCCTGATAAACTGCATCACCATTTTATAGTCAATCCATAGCAAAGAGCGACTTAAAGGTCATTTTAGCAGATCTCACTGGTATAAATTGTACTGCAGATTCAACCACAACTCCATCAACTTCTATATTCAAACCCAGAGCTATTTTTGCATAATCTCACCTATCTATTTTTCATATTTGGATAAGCTTGTATAAGTTAATATTTGTGACGTAAAAATTCGGAACAAACGTATTTTTGGAACGATACTTTTTTTTTTCGTGAAAATTTGGAACGTTACAGCTCGAAATCGTGAAAAATTGGAACGATACAATTTGAATCTGAAAAAAATTGGAACGTTACAATTTCTCTAGCTGAAAAAAGTAGCGTTCCAATTTTTCACAGTGAAGCAGATTTGGAAAAAGTATCAACTTCTTAACAACTGATTAATTGACTAAGATCACGATATCTGGTAGAGCAATAGGATCTATCGTGAATAGAGGACAGTCTTTGAGGTAAAACACTTCTTAAAGCAGCGATAATGGTTGGTTGACCGACCAAGATACGATGCTTCTTCCAGCCCAAGAATCTTTACATCGATGATCGTAATTTAGATGAATTGAAAGGGAATACACTTGAAGAGGACTTTGAGGATGTTGAAGAGGTTGAAAACAATAATTCAAATCCATTGAAGCATTATTAGTATAACATTTTAGTGGGGAAAGATCAGTTGTTGTGTTGATTATAATCTATGTAACAGTTTCGCATCGGGGTGTGCTTTGAAAACTGTTGTGCTAGAACATGGAAGTGTACTCTTATATGGGAAACCTTGTTGAGAGGATAACCTTGACTTATGACTTAGCTGTTCTAGGAGCTGATGGCCACTTATAAAGACAATTATCCATCAAGTGAAGTAAAGAGAGAACATAAAGAATATGTAGAAGTATACCTATATGACAGGCAGAAAAGAGCTAGAAGGTCCACAGAAGCAGGTACAACTATTACACCAGGACTAGAAGATCATGAAGGTAATGGTTTATCGTAGCATGAACATTTACTTTTAATCTAGATGCAAAAAAACTAGAGATCAAAAAGTATCTAAGCTAGAAATAATCATTTTAGATGATTGACTATTTTTATATAGATACTTTTTCTCAAGAGTATCCTTGTGAAAATTCGTATCGTTCCAATTTTTTACAAGCACATTTGTGAAGATTTGTAACGTTCCAATTTATTACGTGAAAAATTGTATCGTTCCAATTTTCGAATTGAATCTTCGTGAAAATTTGGATCGTTCCAATTTTTTATTTGTTCCAAATTTTCATGCGACATATTCATTAGTCTCAAGAGCTGAATATACTATAAATTGGTCTCCTGGTATGCCATGTTGACTGCTAGATAAAGCATTGCAGAGCTGTGATGTTTCTTCATGTATACATCATAGATTTTTGGTCAAGTTGATGTACCTCTCCGTGTTCCATCATTGTATAATCTTGGAATTGATTAATCACATGTGTGTATCCAAAAAATTCTTTGATGCAACAAAGCTAAACCCATTAAACAATTCATTATCAAATAGATCGGTTTCATCATTTTTCGATTGGTCATTCTCAGCTTCCACATTATCAAGAATTTTCTCCTCTTTAGCCAATATGAGATTGATATAACCATGATCAAAATTATTAGCTTTACTGATGTCTGTAGTATCAGGTATGATTGGAGGTTTCAAATTTCTTAAATTTTCCCAATCAATCTTTCTGAAAAATCTATGATTTGATAAATTTTCAAAATCTGAATCAATCTTCAACCTTTTTTCAGGTTTTTTATTAATTAATTTCCTTAATAAATCTTTAGCATCTTCTGATAAATAATCTGGAATATTTAACTTTGTTTTCAATATTTTATTGAAAATCTTTGCACGATTATTCCCACTAAATGGGGTTTCACCAACCAACATATCATACATCATTATACCAAAAGACCACCAATCAGCTGGATAAGAATATTCCTCACCTTTCAAAACCTCAGGAGCAGTGAATTGTGGGGTGCCCAAGATTGAATGACAAACTTCATCTAATGAAGATAATCCAAAATCAGTCAATACAACATGGCCTTGAGCATTCAGCAAGACATTTTCAGGTTTCAAATCACGATAAACCACACCGGCAACTTTGTGAAGATGGGTTAAAGCTTGAGAAATCTCAGCTAAATAAAAAGCAGTATCAAATTCATTAAATCTTTTAGTTTTGGATAAATGATAAAAAATTTCACCACCTGGGATATATTCTAAAATGAAATTTATATCTTGGTAATCATGGAAACTATAGAAAAGTTTAACAATAGATGGATGATTTATTGATGATAAAATCTCACGTTCATTTTTATGAGTTTTAAATAATTTTTCATCAATTGAAATTTTGGCCTTTTTAATTGTCTTTTTAGCATAAAGTTTTTTGGTATAGACATCTTCAACGAGGTAAACACGACCATATGAGCCAATCCCCAATATATTGATCTCTTTAAAATCATTTATAGTTCTTTGTGATAAATCAGATGAATAATCTTGAGTTATTGGGATATTTGTTGAATCTTTTGCAGAACCATTTATTGAAATTTTCGATCTGACTGAGTTTCTTCTTGAAATGGTGGAGAATTTCCTTCCAGATGGGATATTGAATGAATTTGGATCCAAGAATTGATCATTATCATCATCTGAATCATCATCTGAATCTGCAATAGCTGTGAATTTTAATTTATCCTCATTAGCTATATATAGACCGGATAACTTTCTAGAATTTGGCATGGTATTGGAGGGTGAGTGAGTGTGTGTAGTTCTTTTGTCAGTCCAGTCTTTACATAGTATGGCATCTGTTGTTTGGAGATGTACTAGTTATCTTCAATTGTTCTCAGTATTAAAGATTGAAATTCACGGGTATTAATTGAATTTGTTATTGTTCTTATGTCATCTCTTATGTAATCACAGGGTAACACTTCCCGGAGCAGCCAATCGGAGTGTGTTTCCCAATGGGGAATGAGCCACCGGATAATTAAATTAATAATGAATTAGTCTTTAGAGTGTGACAGTGTAATTGGATCTGAGAATAGACATAGTCATAATGTACTTTAATAGTATAATATAATAGTATAGTCTTAACATAATACAGTGTATAGTCTATAGTATACTAGATCTCAGATCACCCTGCCTCTCCAATTTCATCTCGGAACAACCTGGATCTCACTGTATTGTAATACCTTCGAGCATCTTATCGAGAACATCAAAAAAAATTTCAAAAACATACACACTTTTCTCTATAAAACCCTCAACCTCTAAACAACCATGTCTCAACTCCAGGACCTACCATCATCACTGCTCATACGATCCTATGCCTCCCTCGAGAAACACCATAAAGGTATGAGGTACTCTCCAGAGACATTCACCCATAACCAACTGAATGCTCTACGGATAATCACAATAACAACTTCATCAATCTCAATATTATCATGTCTCATAACATTCTATACATACCTAGCAATACACCCTTCAAGAAAGAAGTTTCGTCATCAACTGATCATATTCCTTATAATATTTGATTTTTTAAAAGCTTTAGCAATTTTATTATATCCAATTTTATCATTAATTAAAAACACAAAGCAAATTGGTCCAAGAACTATAAATTTCCTAGGGTTTTTCACAGCTTTTGCAACAGAAGGTGGTGATTTAGTTATATTATCATTTGCCATACATACATTATTGACAATTTTCTATCCAACACAAACTGGTGGGCTATACATTATTAGATATTATATCTATGTTCTAAGTATTGTGGGACCGGCAATATTGGCTTCTTTAGCTTTTATTAATAATGTTGGATACGTGGAGTTGGATATATGGTGTTATTTACCTGAACGTCCCATTTGGTATAGAATTGCGTTGAGTTGGGGGCCAAGATATGGTATAATGTTGGCAATTTTGATAATTTATTGTACGATATATTTTTATATAATTTCACAATTGAAAAAATTGGAAAATATTCAAACTTCAGCATCAGGGAATGGGAATAATAATGATTTTAATATTAATTTACAAATTGGGAATGAAGAAAAGTTGAAACTAAGATATAAAGTTATGGCTCGTCAAATTAAAATAATTTTCCTTTATCCAATTGCATATTTTTTCCTATGGATGTTCCCACTAGTTTCAAATTCATTAAGATTACAATTAAAATCCAACTATGGCATTGCGGTACTAGTTTCATTCATGCAACCTTTCAACGGTACAGTGGATACTTTAGTTTATCTATATCGTGAAAAACCATGGAATTTAACATATTCTAAAACTCCAAAATCACCATTCATGACTCAAAAGCAACAGCCACCACCTTTTTGGAGAGTATGGCTATCATGGTTACCATTATATGAATTACCTAATGACGATGATGATCAACAAGTTGTATCTTCAGAGATTATGACAAATAATGCAACTATGTTGAGTGGGTTGAATCCTGAGGAATTTTTGAAAAAAAATCCAAAGAGTGATGATGATGATATTGATGATTATGGTTATAAGAATAATGAACATGTTCATGTGGAGATGGATTCGAGTAATTGTACTGGTAGTTTACAGAATAGACAAAATGATGGGTCAAGTGATGATGATGAGATTGATTTATTGGATTTTTTAAATAAAGGACCTGGTGCATAAATGAGGAACAGATATCAGGACATTAATTGGGGGTTTGGCATTTTAAAGGATAAATATTCACTGCATAATAAATAATAATAATAATACTTCATTTTGTACCTTCACTTATCTAACCATTTCGTCAAGGTTGAATAATCATTGAACAATTCCTCCAATTCAGATATTTTCAAATCTTTAAATTTCCTATTCTTAAACTTGTGAATATCAACAGGCGTGGAGTTCAAAGTTGATGATCTTGATCTATTCAATGTATTTGATCTTGAGCGATTAGTAACTGTACCATTATCAGGTGGTGTTGGTGTATTACTTCTCCATTTCATCACCCCAACAAGTTTATTTATTGGATTGTACCCATCATTGCTTGGTTCAACTTCATCTATCATTTCATTTGTTTGGGTCGGTACTATACTCGATGAACCAAATCTATGCATCATTGATTTAAAAGAACTATCAATTGCAGAACTTATTAATTTAATACCATCTGTGGAATTTGATAAAATATGACCATCTGATGGAATATGAATATCAATTGATTCATCAATTTCTAAAGAAAGTTTTAATTTCAAGAAGTCTAATTCATGTTGAGTTAAATTTGAATAATCAAACCCATCATTTAATAATTCTAAATGTTGGATAAATGTAATTGCAGCTTCGAAATTTGTTAAACAGTATAAAGATTCACCAACCAGTAATGAATCTTGTCTAAACCTTTTGATATATATGAAATTGGAATAAAAATCAACATCATCTTCATTGATCAAGATTAAATAGATTAATAAAGGTAAGAAATAATCTCCATCAACAAATTCATTTGATAATTGAGTTTTGAGAAATTGATTTATTGAAGAATGTATTGAGATCAATACTTTTAATTTGGAACATGGTGTAGTGAAATGGTTTAGTTCATTGAACTTATGAGAAATTTCTTTAATTATTGGTTGATCAAATTCAATTTTGGCAATATCAAGCAAGACATTATAATCAATACCTTTAATTTTTTTAATAATTGATAATTTTTCAATTAAATATGAATTTATCTTGATATCTTTAGGGAATTTATTAAACAATTTTTCAAATAGTTCAATACATATTTGTTCCTCTGCAATCTCAATATATCTTCTTATTTTCAATTCAATGGTTTTATTAAATTTCTTATCACTTGCAATCTCATTTCTTGTTTGTAATTCAATCCTAGTTATTCTTTTTTTATAATAAACAGAACCTTTAACAAACAATTCAGCTCTCTGGTGGAATTTCTTGTAAAAAGTTTGGAAAGTTGAATATAATTGTTCAGGAGTTAATGGTTTGTTATATTTTGGGGTTTTCAAATCTTTTAAAAAAATGGTGATTAGTTCATTTAATTGTGGTGGTAGTTCCTGAGGTAGTCCTTCATCGTCATTATCATTACCTTCATTATTATCAGCTGGTTGTTGGTTGATTATCGTGTGCAATGGGTCTGAATAAGATTCTTTCGTTGATTCGTCTTTGAAAGAAGAGTCTATTGGTGGCGTATGGAACATGATAACCAATTAACCAATAAGTGAAATAAATAACCTAATAACCTAATAACCAATAAAATTACCAATAAACTATCACCAATTAAATCACCAAATCTCTTTATTCCTTCACTTTCAAATTCTGGTTAAATCGGTGGCTTTTAGAAATTTCTGGAAGTCAAACTTTCTGTCAAAAAAAGACATAATTAAAATTGCACTATAAAATGGAATTAAACAAATATTAAATCAACTAATTAGCTAATGAATAAACTAATTAAATGATTAATTCACTATGACCAGCACAGCCAAAAGATCCTATTCCCCCACAATCGACGACATCCGTCAGTTCAACATCAAAAGACAGCGAATCCTCAACGATTTCGAAGGTCTTTCACTATCATCAGCATCAGCATCACCAGCATCAAAACCAAAACCATCATCTTCAAAACATAAAGAATACATCCCAGACATCGAGGAGTTCCTAATAAATAACCAGGATGACCAAGATATCCTAGAATCATCGAAACATATCGATATAGATAATCAGGATAGTGCTCATTGGATAATACCAAATTCAATAATCAGTATACCTGGTGTTGACTCAAAACAAGTTGAATTTAGTTATGATCGGTTAAAGAGTCGTAAGTTGTTTGAGAATAGGTATAATATAAAGAATCATGATCAGTATATCACGAATGATGAGATTTTATATGATTATGAGATATTGAGGTATTGGAGTTTGATGAAATATATAAAGTCTCCATCGTTATACATTTATGAACATTGGAAACATTGGTATTTTAATGATTGTGTGACCCATTTGAAACACGATGATAGGATTGAAATGTTGCCTGATGATTATTCTGGTGAGATTGACCTGACTAATGAAATCCAAGATTATGATAATGATTTAATGATTGATGATGATGATCAAAATAGTACAAGTTATAATGCAAACCCATCACTCACGGATGAAATGGATATAGATTAAAAGCTACACATACACTTGTTGAATATCATTAGCAGTAGATTTATACAGTCCTTGTCCTCGTTCTCTCCTTCACTCATCATCAATGATAATCTTTAATTTATTCTTCAAAACATGAGAAACATCATCATTTGATAAAATCTCCTTCCCAGGTTCATCATCATTATTCTTTATAAAGATTTTAAAGTCATTCTTCCCATCATAATCATCATCGTCATCATATATCCTTGTACGAATCTTTTCACGTAATTCATCCAACAATACATCTTTATTAATCATTAGTGCAAAGATATCATCCCTATAATAAAACTTCAATTTAACTGGAGTGCCCTGCTGTTGATGGTTGATCTTGTACCCACTCTCCGCATTAAGTGTCTTTACTGATTCATCCTTCACTATTGTACTATTTGGATCTTCATCTTCATAATACCCAGAATTAACAACTTTATTCCGTTCCAATTGAACAAATTGATTATCAGAATCGATCAAGTGATCATATTCATGTCTTGTTTCAAACAATTTCTTAACATAATTAGATTGTGAAATATATTTCGGTAGTGAAATCAACTCTTTAACATAATCATTTAAATCAACTTGTCTCTTTTTAGTAATCTTATCAGTAACATAAGTTAACGGACCAGGTATGAATGGTAATATTCTCTTGGATTGTTGTTGTTGACGTCCAGCTTCATTAGGGAAATATTCCAACAACTTGATTTGGAAATCATAAAAATCTTCATAATATCGACATAATGATCTTGATTCCCCATTATTTAACTCTGCATTAACATGGAACCAATATCTCCCATTATCCACATTGAAAGAATCCACAGAGGCATCAACGATATATGGTATTGATTCATCAACTTGAGTCTCATTTTCAAAAGTGAATTGAGATTGTGCCCTGGATTCTCTATGACCATCTTGTTGTTCCTGCTGCACAGGGATTGTAGAATCCTCTTCCACATTTCCTAATGGGATCGAACTTGCCTTATACCTAGCATTTTTATTCTTCCAATCATCCACAGTGGGTAAATTAGCACCATTTATATCATCAACAACATCATTCCCCGTTGAGTTCCCCGTCAAGATATTAATAACAGAAACATAACTAACTGGAACTAACCCAGGACCACCTAATCGATCTATAGGTTTGGCTATAAACCATTCATAGTTATGATGGGCACACAATATGATATTTTCTCCAATGTTTACATCCAATTCATCAGACCTTTCAGCCTTGAATTGATACAGTACAATAGCATAAAGCATATTACTTGATGAAGATCTTGAAGATCTTGAAGTTGGCATTGAATCCGTTGATAGTTTCTTATTGGATCTTGGTGGTGATGAAGTGGATGATGTAGTGTTCACCCTGTTTGATATTGGTCTAGTTTTACCAAACACTTCAAAATATGGAACAGGAACCATTCCTCTAGTGTTTTTGGAAGGGTTTGTGGCTTCATACCATTCAGGATCGTCTTCGTTCCCAATGACATGGAAGAAGTCACCTTTGTTGAATTCTAATTCTCCAGGACCTTGAGGTTTATAATCATAAAGGGCTTTTATAACTTTTTTAGGAGATTGTAATAAATTGTTATTTGTTATTTGAATTTCTTGAGCTGAGGATATTGAAGATTTTTTATCATTGAATGATTTGGGGGAAGAGATTGAAGAGTGAGTTGATTTTGATTTCTCCTTGAATGATTTTCTCAATCCTTTAATCATTTTAGTGTCTAATTAATTGTGAATTTGTTGATGTTTTCGATTATTTCAACACTAAAATTTCAACTTGTTTCATCTAAAAAAAAAAACACTCGATAAAAAAAATATTTCGCGAATTTTAATTATGAATTTTGTTAGTGCTCAAATTTACGCGTAAATTAAGAGAAATTTAATGAAAAAGGCTTTAAATGATTAATTAACCAATTAATGAGAAGTTGAATTAGTTGAAGTTGGTTAAGATTGTAATTTACTGGTGATGTTTTTGTTTTGAAATGAACATGTGTATCAAAAAAGGCCTTAAAAGCCACTGTTTTATAAAGGAAATAACTGAAATAACTGAAATAAATTAAACCAATCAATGATTTAAAACAAATTTAGCAAATGTTGACAAGACAAATTGTACAACTCTATAACCAGTCAATTGATTGACCACAACAAATTCGAAAACACGAAATAGGAAAAATAACGTTTGGATCTTTAAATTCTTGAGTGTGAAAGGTTTAGGCTTTTCGTATAATACTCCCTTTTGTTGAAATAATCTAATTTCTGCAATAACTTGAACAGGATCATCTGTAACCATTCCATCAACTTTAACAGCTAGTGATTTTTTAATATCATCTGGAGAATTAACAGTCCAGAGATATAACCCAATATTATTTGGTTTCAAAACGGTTTCTCTATAATTATCAAAATCATTAGCCCATGAAGAAACATCCAAAATTGAAATTGCATTCAATTTGAAACCTTTTGGCACGGTTTGTGAATATTCAATCAATGTGTTTGAAATGACTGGTGATATTGAAATGTTGATGATTTCGAAATTTTTAATCAATCCAGTAACAACACCATATTCATAAAAGTCTAATCTCCATAACCCAAAGATAATTTTATCATACCAAAATGTCAAATCATTATAAACGTTTTTCAAATCTCTAATGATCTTGACAAGTATTAATTTATTATTATATGGTTTAATATCCAACATTATCTTCAAACCATCTTTTTGAGTTATAACCCATTCTGCTAATTCTTGGAAAGTTAGAAATTTTTGACTTGGATCACTCTTATTTGTCAAGTCTTTCAATTCATCAAGGTTTGAATCAGCAACAACTAGATCCTTATCATAAACTCTTCCAGTAGTTGGATCCTGAATCTTGGTCAGTATATAGCTCCTTACCACCTTGGAATGGAAGAAAGTACATACATGATTAATCACAACAACACCATCTTTTGTAACTTGGACATCTTGATACGAATTAGTTTGCTCCTTTCTTAAAGATCTCAAGACCTTAACTCACCAGTTTCCAATACATCAACACCAGCATCAACGGCACCTTTGAAACCGATCAATGTATTTTCTGGATATTTATCCTTATATCTAGGTTCTGTTAGTCATTGTGATCTTATGTGTCTAGCCACTATGTTTACATACCCTCTATGAGCAATAACTAATGGAGTAGACATTGTTGATCTGATTCTGCTGTGAAATATTTAAGGAAAATGGAATTTTGATGGGTATTTATTACTTCTCGATCGGGTTTAAATGGCACATGGCCTCGTATTGGATAAGAGATTAGTCAGGGGTAGGTTAGAGATTATGTTATCATGATGTTAGGCTTAGTTTGTTGGGCATTAATTGAGGCTACTTTGTATGGGGAAATTAAATTAAGTGTTACTTGACGTCCATGCTCAATGGTTTAAAACTCAGCAAGTGGATCGTGGTTATGGCTGATGAGATCAGAGTAATTTGATGGAATTATGACTCTGTTTAATGAGAATATCTCCAAAAGAATATTTAATTGTGTCTGTGACTATTTTATACTCATCATAACCACTAAAACACGCTAAAATAATCCAATCTAATCTCAAATTAAACCCATTTCATCACTATTAAAAGCTCTTTTAAGCTTATTAGTATTACATAATATATTATATAATCCTATTTCAGATGACATAATCCATTACGTAATATTACCTCCAAAAAAAAATGTCGAGACTCATCGCAAATTAAAAAGTCAACTGAAATCAATTTAATAAAGACTTCGTTTGACTATTGAATAAGAGGATATAGAATGACTAATAGTACCCATGCCTCACCGCATTTCAGCGATGTCATACTGGACAACAAGGCCATCAGTGGTATCACAGGGTATGTCTTGACTTTTGGTTAGAAGGTTTCTATCAGTTTATACTAATTATGACTCAAGGTCTATATCTATAAGTTTTTGGATTATTGTGTTTGTTCCCCAGATATATGAAAATGTATGTATATATATGATGATCTCTTTGGCTTTTCAAACTAACACCATCAAAGTACGTCAGAAAATCCTCTGAAGGTTTATCTTTGTTATTTGTCGTTTTATGGTTAGCTGGTGATGTCTTTAATGTCCTTGGTGCTATTTTACAACATGTTTTACCAACAATGATCATATTGGCAATTTACTATACCCTTGCTGATCTAATACTACTAGGTCAGATCTTCTTATACGGTGATGGGTCTCAAGTTGATCCTGTTCATTTATCTCCAGCTAATCCTTTATCTGAAAATATATTTGATGAAGTTTTAGGTGATCAAGAATCTCAATCAACTACATCTATTCAATACTCTCAACTGGAACAAGGTGGTGTTTCAAACACAAAGCAATCAAATAAGAAATCAAGAAAGAGAACTTTGATTGAAAGTTCATTGATTTTTTTCGTTATACTTTCAGGTATAATTGGTTGGTACATTTCATATAATCCTGACCAGGACCAAGATGGTGATGATGATGATGAATTAAAATTTGATTTCCTTGCACAGTTCTTTGGTTGGTTATCAGCTATATTATATCTAGGTTCAAGAATGCCTCAAATTTTATTAAATTTTAAAAGAAAATCTTGTGAAGGTATTTCATTTTTATTTTTCCTTTGTGCATGTCTGGGTAATTTAACCTATGTTATCTCCATTTTATCAATCAGCGTGGACCCATATTTCTTATTGGTCCAATCAAGTTGGTTGGCTGGCTCAATAGGTACATTATCCTTGGATTTTGTCATTTTTGTTCAATTTTTCCTGTATAATAGAGATGGTGAAGATAGTGATGATAGTGATATTGATGAAATCACTGATTAGTTTGAAATAATTTCAGTTCTCATTTTGTATATTAGAGATTATAAAAAAAGAATGGGTTGGACGTGATTTGTAGTAGATTTCATATAAATAAATTCATTTTATATATCTGAATTCCTTTAAAATCCATTAAATTTCTTTATAAACCAATTTTCAACCTTTATATCATCGCGAATTCGCGAACCCATACACGAAAAGATCAAAGAAATTTCAAAACCGCGTCTTGTTTCTTTCCAAAAACACCAACATCAACAATTAAATCAGTCCATCATGAGCTCAAGACCCGAGTTGAAATTCTCAGATACCACTGATGAACGTTCCTTCTATAAGAAATTCCAAAAACTACCAGCACGTCCTGAAAATACCCTCAGAGTAGTTGATAAAAATGATTACTATACAGTCTTGGGTGAAGATGCAACTTTCGTTGCAGAAAACATTTATAAAACAAACTCAGTGATAAAAGAAGCTAATGGAGTCTCATACGTGACACTATCTCCAGCAGTGATGTCCAACTTATTACAGTTGTCGTTATTTGAAAAAGGTGCCAAAGTTGAAATTTATGATAAAAATTGGGAATTGATTAAGTTTGCAAGTCCTGGGAATATTGAAAATGTTGAAGAATTGATAAATATTTCAGAATTGGGTGGGAGCGCTTTAGTCGTTGTTGCCTTGAAGATTGTTAATAAATCAGATTCGAAAACTATTGGGTTTTGCTTTATCGATACAAATGGTAAAGAGATTGGAGTTTCTGAATTTATTGATAATGAATTATATTCAAATTTAGAAAGTTTATTAATTCAAATCGATGCCAAAGAATGTATTATCCAATCACCAACAAATACAAATGATCCTGATTATACTAAACTTATTGGTGTTATTGATCGTTGTGGTTGTGTTGTTACTGAATTGAAAAATAATGATTTTAATAGTAAAGATATTGAACAAGATTTAACAAGATTATTAGGTGATGAATTAGCTCTTTCAATCGGTGATGTGGCAACTTCAAGTGCTGGTTTAAGTTCTGCATCTGCTATTTTAAATTATTTAGGATTATTAACTGATGATTCAAATTTTGGTCAATTTAAATTGAAAAATCATGTTTTAAATCAATTCATGAAATTAGATTCAGCTGCTGTTAAATCATTAAATTTGTTCCCAACTTCCAAAACTACAAATGGCTCAAAAAATTCAAATATATATGATTTGTTAAATTATTGTAAAAGTGTTGGAGGTTCAAGATTATTAAATCAATGGATAAAGCAACCTTTAATTGAATTAGATGACATATTGGCTCGTCATCAATTAGTGGAAATGTTGGTTGAAGATACCCAATTAAGAAGCACGTTACAAGATGATTTATTGATTTCAATTCCTGATATTCGTAAATTGAATAAAAAATTAACAAAATCAACTTATGCAAATTTAGAAGATGTTGTTAGAATTTATCAATTTTTAATTAAAGTTCCTGATATTTTGGATCAATTAGAATCAAAATATAATGAAGCTGATGATGAATTGAAAATTTTACTCGATGTTAATTGGATCTCACCAATAAAAGAACTATCAACACCTTTATTAAAATTACAAGAATTAGTGGAAACAACAGTGGATTTAGAAAGTTTAGATCGTCATGAATTTGTTATTAAACCGGATTATGATGAAAAATTATTACAATATAGAGCAAGATTAGATGAAATTCAACAACAATTGAAAGAAATTCATTTACAAGTTGCAGATGATTTAGGCCTTGATGCTGAAAAAAAATTAAAATTAGAATTAAATTCAAATCATGGTTGGTGTATGCGTGTTACACGTAATGAGGAAAGAGCAATTAGGGATAAGAATTATTTAAAACAATTACAAACTGTTAAAGCTGGTGTTTTCTTCACAACTGATAAAATGTCTGAAATTTCATTGGAAAGTTCACAGATTCAAAATAAATATAATAAACAACAATCATCATTAGTTAAAGAAATCATATCAATCACATCAACTTATTCACCAGTCTTGGAGAAATTATCATTAATTTTGGCTCATCTTGATGTTATTGTTTCATTTGCTCACGTTTCAGCTTATGCCCCAGTTCCATACGTTAGACCAACAATGCATCCATTATATGATCCAAATGGGAAAACTATAGTGAAGGAGGCAAGACACCCATGTGTGGAAGTACAAGATGGTGTTACATTCATTGCAAATGATGTGGAATTTATTAAAAATCAAGTTGAGTTTTTAATAATTACAGGTCCAAATATGGGTGGTAAATCTACATATATTCGTCAAATTGGTACTATTGCATTAATGGCCCAAATTGGTTGTTTTGTCCCTGCAACTGAAGCTGAATTATGTGTTTTCGATGCCATATTGGCAAGAGTTGGTGCTGGAGATTCTCAATTGAAAGGTGTTTCAACATTCATGGTTGAAATGTTGGAAACTGCATCTATTTTGAAAACTGCAACTTCAAATTCTTTAATCATTATTGATGAATTGGGGAGAGGTACAAGTACTTATGATGGGTTTGGTTTAGCTTGGGCAATTTCAGATTTTATTGCTGCAAAAGTTCATTGTTTTACAATGTTTGCAACTCATTTCCATGAATTGACTAAATTATCTGAAAAATTAAATACTGTTAAGAATTTACACGTTGTTGCTCATGTGGAAAATAATTCAAATACTGCACAAGATATTACATTATTATATAAAGTGGAACCAGGTATTTCTGATCAATCATTTGGTATTCATGTTGCTGAAGTTGTTAAATTTCCTCAAAAAATCGTCTCGATGGCGAAAAGAAAAGCTGCAGAATTGGAAGAATATAATGATAATAAAGAAGATCCTTATGTTGCTGATAAAAGATCAAAATGTACAAATGAAGAAGTTGCACATGGTTCTGAATTATTAAAGAAAATTTTAAAAGAATGGAGAACTTCTGTTGATTTTGATAAAGTTTCAAGTACAGAAGCTGTGGAGAAATTGAAAGAATTGGTTAATGGCCAATATAAAGATGATGTTATGAATTCAAAATATATTCAAGAAGTTTTGTCATTATGAAGAACTTTGGTTTAGCTGGATTTAAACGGAACTATGTCTTGATTGAAAAGTGTAGCTGATAACCGCAAAGTCTTCAACAATTGTCCAATATCTCAAGTGAATTGTAATTATGGCACCAAATTTCGCTATACTTGAAGATTCTTTGCCAATGATATCGTTTTTCTGAGTAGAGAATACACATCTACACAATTGCCTATTTTTGCTAACTAAGCGATGGTGATGATCGGCCTAAACCAGGGGTATAAAAGATGAATGAAAAAATCAACTTTTACCACAATTACACTCTTCAAAACCACTCAATTGAAGCTATCATAATGACTGAAAAGGCTACAGATATCCAATTCACTTTCTACAACGGCCAAAAGATACCAGCTTTGGGATTTGGTACTGCAAACGTTGGTGACAGAGCACCTCCAACAAAAGAAGCTCTCAAGATTGCAGTTAAAGCAGGTTATAGACACATTGATACTGCTTGGGTTTATCAAACTGAAGACTATATTGGTGAAGCATTGAAAGAATTGTTTGAAGAAGGTGTTGTTAAAAGAGAAGATTTGTTCATCACTACAAAAGTTGGTACTCCATTATATCAAGACCCTGAACGCTCATTGAATGAATCATTAAAGAAGTTGGGAATTGATTATGTTGATCTATTGTTACAACATTGGCCATATGGGAGTGAACCAATCTTTGATAAAGATGGCCAATTGGATCGTACCAAATCAATTGAAAGTAAAGATGCTTTGAATAAGGATTATATCAAATCTTATCAAAGAATTGAAAAGTTATACAAAGAACATCCAGAAAAAGTTAAAAGTATTGGTGTTTCAAACTATTCAGTGGAGTTTTTGGAAAATTTGTTAAAAGTTGCAGAAGTGAAGCCAGTTAATAATCAAATTGAACTACATCCGCATTTACCTCAAAAAGATGTTGTTGAATTTAGTGAGAAAAATGGTATCCTATTAACAGCCTATTCACCGGTTGGCTCTAGTGGAGCACCAAATCTTGAAATTCCAATTGTTAAAGAGCTAGCTGCCAAATACAATGTTACTGCCAATTCAATCTTGACATCTTATCATATCAAAGAAGGTAGAATTGTCATTCCAAAATCTATCAATGAACAAAGAATAAAAGATGCTATCGTCTTAGCACCTTTAACAGAAGAGGATTTACAAAAATTGAGCGAGTTTGGTGAAAAGAACCCAAAAAGATTCATTGCACCAGCATGGGGTAAAGATTTAGGTTTCAAGGTCTGGTAATCTTGTATAAAAATCAACATTTATCTATTTTTTCCCACTATTTAATGTATCATATTGCTTGACAACATAATCTACCAAGCTATGAGCAATAGCAGTGGATGGTGGTAGGAAAATTTCATCTTTTTCACCATCTAGTAATCTTCTAATCTTTTCAACATCAAACCATTTAGCATCCAATAATTCAGGATCATGACCTAGATCAATCACTTCATCTTTTCCATTGAAATCCACAAATGCAATACATCCAATCATCAAATTTGCAGGATATGGCCAAGGTTGACTCTTCAATATTTGAACTTTTGAAGCTTTAACACCAGTCTCCTCCCAAACTTCACGTAATGATGCAACTTCAATAGTTTCTGAAGGTTCCATAAATCCTGCAATACAACTATACATTGGGCCTGGGAATCTTTTACCTCTTCCTAACAGTACTTTATCAAATTTTTCATTAGTAATTGCAGTTATAATTACAGAATCAGTTCTTGGAAATGAAATATTTGAAACACTTGCATTCTTCACTGGACATTTTGAATCAGCATCACTTGAACATTTCAACTTCGTACCTGCTTGAATCGCAACGTTTCTTGAACCACAACCAGCACAAAACTTGTTTCTATTTAACCAATCAAGGTACATTCTCCCGTGAGAGAAAATCGAAGCATCAAAATTACCCAATTTGAAAATCAACCCACGATCCGTATAATGTGTGAATTTATCCAAGAATTGTGCTTTCAGTTCAACATCTTGTGTAATGTCAATAGCATAATATGGTACACCTTTATATTGCTTATATTCAAGTCCGGTTCCAACTCGTTCATCCATTCCCAAAAATACAAACTTCATTTCATTCAAACTTAGATCTTGAACTTCATGTAATTTGATAAAATGGTCCACTGCTGGTTTCAATTCATTATAGTTTGAATAGTATAAGGCTTGTTTATCACTATAACCTAATGGGAACTCATTAATGAATAAAACAAATTTTGTGAATGGACTTGTCAATGATTGTTTAATGAATTGCTCGTCAGTACGAAGAAAAGAGAATCTGTTGACGGTATCGTGGCCAAAGTATATATAATCTGAATGTGACATTTCTGGTGCTATCTTTTTCAAGTGGTTTTTCAATAGGTTGAGTCTTTGAGCCATTTGTACCAGGAGGGATTTCAATTGAACTGCTCTTACTTTACTAATCCGATTTTCTATTGTGGAGTTTCAAGTTTGAACAACCTTTTCAAATGCAAAACGGATTCGCGAAGCAATCTAAACTACGATAAGCTGAGCGTGTATAAAAGTCTTGATTAATTATAGCTAAACAATTTAGATCAAACATGAAAATGTATAATTCTATCCTTCTCATCTTGGCTTATCAGGATTCTTCAAGGTTTCTTTAAAACACCTGAATCTGGTGTCAGTTGGTTCAAAAATAATCTTCAATATGCTTTACAGAATCTGTATTGACGTTTCCCTCAAGAACAAAGAAAATCTGACAAATAACATATATTTTATGGATGAGTTTTAATGCTGACTTGCTGATGTTGATGATGATGGAAAAATTGGGTGGATCACTAGAATTTTGAAAGACACAAGCAAATTTGGAATACCTAATGACAAAAGACAAAAATTAAGAATAGAATAAGAAAAATAAAGTATGAGTAAATAAAAGCCAACCACTATTGATGAAAGCGCAAATTAGATCAAAAGACAGTCTTTTAGTTTATGCTTTTTCCATGATAGTAATGTTGAACAATTAAATGATGCAAAAATAATGTTTTCTTGATGAAAAAAAACCTGATCACAACCAATGTGGATTACCTGCTCCAACTGTAGCATTTTGTGGTGAATCATCATTTGGTTTTATTCCAAAACGTTGAGCTTGAGCCTTTGCTTGTGGCACAGCACCTTGCTGCTGTTGTGGTTGTTGTGGTTGGTTTCTATTCACTTGAGGTATCGTAACATCAGCAGTCCAGTTATTTATTCTGGTAGCGTTTGCCCTAGGGTTAGTTCTGTAAGATTGACCTTGTGTACCAAGTTGTTGTGCTCCAGCTTGAGGTTGTTGTAATTGTTGACTGGCAGCAGTTGCTTGTGGTTGTAATTGAGCTTCATGTTCAATTGGAGTCGTATGTTGTTGCTGTTGCTGTTGTTGTTGTTGCTGCTGTTGTTGTTGCTGTTGTTGGGCTAGTTCTTGATGGTGTTCTTGTAGTATATTTTGATCACCATTGCCTTCTTTCTCGTTTTCACCACCAACTTTTTGGGCTTGTTGTTTTTGTTTTTGGACGGCCCAATCAAATATATAATCATACTTGTAACCTTCTCTTAAAAATAAATCCCTGAATAATCTTCTCAAATATGTATAATCTGGTTTATCTTCAAATCTCAAGGACCTTGTATAATTCAAATAATGAACAAATTCCACTGGTAAACCTCTACCTAAAATTTCAGCTGGTGTTGACATTTTTTTCTCCATAATACGATCATATTTTTGTCTTTTAGTGCCAGCTTTCAAACCTTGCCATGGTAAAGAACCTCTGCAGAAATAAATCAAAACATAACCCAAACTTTCTAAATCATCTCTTCTTGATTGTTCGATACCAAGATGTGTGTTTATACTGGCATATCTAGCTGTACCTGTCAAATTCTTATTTTCTCTGTATGGTATATGTAAATGAGTTCTAGGGTCTCTAAATTTTTTGGCTAAACCAAAATCAATAACATTAACTTGTGATCCTCTTTTACCAATACCCATCAAGAAATTATCTGGTTTAATATCTCTATGAATGAAGCATCTTGCGTGAATATATTCAATACGACAAAGTAATTGATCAGCCAAAAGTAAAACAGTCTTGTAACTGAATTTTCTGTTACAATAGTTGAAAAGATCTTCTAAGGAAGGACCTAGCAAATCAATAACCATTGCATGATAATCACATTCTGTACCATACCATCTAACAAAGGGGATACCAACACCACCACTTAAAGCTTTATAAACTCTAGCTTCATATTCTAATTGTGGATGTCTAGCAGATACACTTTCCAATTTGATAGCAACCAGTTCACCACTAATGATATTTGTACCTAAATAGATATCACCAAAAGAACCTGAACCGATTTTACGACCAATACGGTATTTTCTTCCAACTCTCAAGTCCATATTACCAGTAGCTTCACTTACAACTCTACTCATAACTCTCTATATTCTTCTTAAAACTGAAATTAAACTTGAACCAAAGGTATGAAGTTGATTATTTGAATTTGTGAAACAGATAAGTAATCAAGGCCAAAAAAAAAACAGAACCTGGCGGGATGATGATAATAATTATAATGATAACACTCTTGAAATTGAATCCTCTGTATGAAATTGAATTATAAACCTTTTGAATGAGTCAATCCAAAAATTTCCAAATTGATTTTGTTGTGGTTACTGACTGTTAGCTGTTCTCGTTGATGATATACGTAACACACTAGCTTTCGGGTTAAGAAATCAACAAAAAAACCTGTGAAGCAAAAAAACAGCTTGTGGGACTAGTCAGGAATATGGGGTGAGAAAACCAAAAGGAATAGAAAATGGATAAAACTTGATGTTTATACCCTTAAAAGGTCTTGTTTGAGATGTTTAATCTTCGATGAAGTGAAGGGGATGTTGTTGTTGTTGTGGTTGGTTTTCAGGGAATTTTTTTTTGGAATTTCTGTTTTTGTTTTTGCGACTTTGGGCAATGGAGCCAGTTCCGAGGGTTGGGTTTTCTATTTACAAAATGGGTACTAAAAAGGGAGAAAATATAGGTTTTTAAAGCTATTTTTGTATTTTAATTTGCTTACTGGGTAGGTGTAATGGTTTGAGTTAGTTCAATCTTTTCTATCAGCTTTTTATCACCTAATCTCTCTGATTTCATCAAATTCTCAAGCCCTTTGGGTCTCTCATGACATCAGCTTATTCACGTGACTTTCGGCCCTCGAAACTTGCTTTTTAGTGTGTAACAAATCAATCCGAACAGAGCTGATTTGTTTCATCGTTGATTCATCAATTGATTGAAACCGAATATGTGCATTGATTGGACCTCAGTTGTCCTTTGTCAAATTTCTCATGTTGTTTGCTGAAAAAAATTATCTCTTGTTACTTCTATTGAGTCCTTTGTTTTTTCTGCTCAGAGGTCTAGATCAAAGTCTATATAAACTCCTGTCCCCCAATTAGTTTGCTTCCAATTTCACTTCTTGTCTTTACAATATCATATAAGAGAACAAAAAAGCACATAGAGGTCCTCTGTTATATTAGTATTTGTGGTATCAGATAATGAGTGATTCAATCAGGAGTTTGAATGGCTCATATCAATATCAAACATTGTAATTAACGGATTTCACTAGTGCCAATTTATAGGTAGTGGAGATATTGAATATTATTCAGTTTGGTAACTGTGAGTTTATGACTTTACTCATTTGTATCATGATCAGTTGATCGTTTTGCTTAGGCTGATGAAATAATTTGGTGATTTGCAAGTATATAACTGGAATGTCGATGAATAGATGCATGCAAAGCAGTTGATTACAGTATTTGCAGTGTAGCTCAAATTTTAGAAATTATATAGTCTTTATTCGATGCTCTTCTCTTCGAGTTGTCCTTTTTTAGTTCAATTGTTTTTTGTCAGAGTTTTTAGGCACAATCAGCTTGTTTTGGATCCTTCCTAGCCTCTGACTTCATACTGAACTTCTCTTTAACAAACAATTTCTTCATAACTCTTCAACTGACCACCTTCTTCATAATCCAATCCACCCAATCAAGTAAAAATCATTGATCAAAAGTTCGATTGCAATCTGCCAGAACCCCACGGTTATTACTTTTCTGCCCATACCGACTTAATTTTCGCGCACTCGTCTTTTCTTGAAAAAAAAAAGTCGTTGAAAATTGAAGGTGAAGAGTGAAGGATCAAGTTTGAAATTAGCATCAACGATACAAGTGCTGCTCTAGTTGTTGTTGAAAAGATCGTATCAGAGATGTCTGAATTCGCAAGATTATTGAAGACATCCAGGCTATCAGCTTTGCCAAAACCACAAGCTAAAACTCGTGGTAGAAATTATCCTCAACAACCAATCATTGAAACTAGAGCTAATGCATTGGCCAGAAATGAATGGGGTTTAAAATATCCTTTACCATCAAAGATCAAATCACGTTATCTTTCGTTCAACCAACTTGATAATATGGAACATATGGTTGATTTTGAAACAAATGCGTCATTCCATCTTAAGAGACAAAGATTTCAAGAAACTGGATTAGTTCCACAATATGAAACTCCAAGGGAAAATCCATTATTTTATGATTCTTCAAAAAGTACATCCAGATTCGTTACATTAACTTCGTTGTGTAATTTGACTACAAGAAGTGATCCAAAAATCGTTATGAAGACGATAAATGAAGTTGAAGGATTAAGAGAAGAATTTAAACAATGGTTATTAAAGAAAGATCCTTCAATATTACTAAATAAAAATTTCAATCAAAATGATATGGTTGGTCCTGCTGTGGAGTTTTTAAGTGAAATTAATGCTAAAAAACCTGTTGATACAGTTTCTGACATTCGTCATCACAATAAATCACAAACTCGTTTCCAAGGTACTGGTGGGTTATCATATAGTTTAAAAGGTAGATTACCAAATAGTCCAAATGGTGTTGAGCAAACATATGTTGGTCCAGGTCGTATCACAAACTCTGGTTTAACTGCTAGAACAGTTGCATTTGGTGGGTTCACTGCTGAAGTTCCAAATACCAGTAGTGCTTTACAAAATACAAAAGCTCAAGCTGATGGTAAATCTACAAGGGAAACTGTCATACCTTTTGCTGTTGAGAAAGCTGTATTTACAGATGAGGGTCAAATCAAGATCAGAACTAATACAGTCTCTAAGAGATCAGAAGGTATGAGTGATGTTGAATTCAACAAAAAACAATATGAACTTTTAGCTGGTAGAAGGGCTCAAAATGTAAGACATGAGAAAGCTGAAGTTGATGACTTGTTGAAATTGATTCAAAGCACTGCTAGAAGATAAAAAGTGTGTGTTTTTCCTTTATGTACATAGGGTTGCTATAATATCATGAAATTAAATAGAATTCAAAAATCTATAAACAGTTAATGTAAATTAAATCAAAACAACACACCTTTTGTAGAAGGCACTTCATTAGTACCATTACTTGAAATGGATTCCTTGATGGCAATGGCTAAAGCTTTAAATGCTGATTCTGACCTATGATGATCATTAAAACCTCGTAGACAATCAACATGTAATGTAATATGAGCAGCTTGAGCAAAACTTTCCAAAAAATGAGGAATCATTTCACAAGATAAATCTCCAATTTTTTCTCTTTTAAGACCTAATTCAATAACAGCATATGGTCTATTGGATAAATCCACAACAGCTCTAGATAAAGCTTCATCTAAAGGTGCAAACCCTGTACCAAATCTCTTAACACCTCTAACTTGTCCTAGGGCTTCTTTAAATGCCATACCTAATGCAATACCAACATCCTCTGTTGTATGATGGTCATCTATATGTAAATCACCAATACATTCGACAATAAGGGACCAGCCACCGTGTTTTGCCAATGCATGGATCATATGATCTAGGAATCCAATACCTGTATTGATGGAAATGACTTGAGAAGAAGTTGATTGGGTTGCATCATAAGATTTATCTTTCAAGATTGATTTTTCAATAGTTACTGGTCCACCATTTAATGACACTGCTATTTGGATCTTGGTTTCGTTTGTGATACGACTTATTGTGGCTTTTCTTTCATTACTTGTTCCGTTAGCTGACATCTTGAATATCTATCTTTTTATAACCTGGATCTTGAATGAATAAATAAATTTGTAGTGATGATGACTGATTACTTTTGACGGTGCTTTTGATTGGAGGTCGGAAGTTGATTGTTTCATTCACGTGACCTTCTCGAGGGTGAAAAATATTTTGATGTCAAAAGTTTAGTACGCACAATTATCTATACTGAGATGCTTAGAAAGTCATATCTACAATGGATAAAGTTATGATGCTATCTGTTAGAAGATTCAGTACTTCAACTACACTTTATAAGCGTATTCTTCCAGCAGTTGATGTATCTCATATCACAAGTCCAGGAAATGGTAGACCTGAAGGGTTTGAAAGAAATTTCCCAATAGCAAGAAGACAGAAGGCATGGGAGAAAACTGGTGAAGATAAAGAAACGTATTTTAAGAGAAAACATGCACATACACATGCTATGCAAAAGAAGAGAGCAGAGTATGCCTCAGAAAATGGGGATTCCAAAAGTGGAAGAAGATCTGATAAAGTTGATTTCAAAAAAGAGCCACGTCCAAGAAGATCAGAGAATAATGATAATAGTAGAGAATCAAGGTATTCTGATGACCATAATAGAAGATTTAGAGATGGTCGGTCCAGTGCAATGAGTGGGAAGTATCGTGAAAGAGAATCTTCAAGATTTTCTGAATCAAGAAGTGCTGAATCTAATGATTTTAATGACATGAATGATTTCGAATCAAGACCAAGACGTGAAAAAAGAGAAGTATACAGTGGTATTAGACCTTCACCATTATCTGAATTTATCTATGGTACAAATTCAGTGTTTGCTGCATTATCTGCTAAAAGAAGAGAGTATTTTAGTAGGTTATTAACCTTCAATCCAAAACCTGAGGATCAAGAAATTATTGATTTGGCTAAAAAGGAAAACATCAGAGTCCAAAGGGCAAAAGATAAAAATGAATTGAATATATTATCAAATAATGGTGTTCATAATGGATTTGTTTTAGAGACTAAGCCAATGACACCTCAACCTATTCATTATTTAGATGAATCCAATTTTGAAAAAGGTACTTATAGAATCATTGATGATGAACTTGGTGAAAAAATTACAAGGGAATGCAAAACTGAAAATCCACATCCATTTGGTGTTTACTTGGATGAAATTAGTGACCCTCATAATGTTGGTGCTATTATAAGATCTGCTTATTTCCTTGGTGCTGATTTTGTTGTTGTTTCAAGTAAAAACTGTGCTCCATTATCTCCAGTTGTTTCTAAAACATCTGTGGGTGCAATTGAATTTTTGCCAATCTATAGTGCAACTTCACCATTAAGCTTTTTAGACAAATCAAGAGAAAAAGGTTGGATAGTGGTTAGTGGTGCAGAAGCTTCACATCCTACAGATTCTAAGATTAATCAAACATTGCGTTCTAAAGAATTTGAATATGGTGCATTGAATAGTTTATTAGGTGAATCCCCAGTTTTATTAGTTGTTGGTTCTGAAGGTAAAGGTATTAGAACAACAATGAAGTTAAGAAGTGATTACCTTGTTCAAATTGCTAGTCACCAAAATGTTAACCCAATGGTTGATAGTTTGAATGTGAGTGTTGCAACAGGACTTTTGATCCAAAAGATCATGGATATTTAGATGAGATACTTTGATGAATTTTGTGGCATGGTTATAGATTAGTTGAAGCGTGTAAATAGGAAAGGAATTAAACTTTTAATTGATGATTACATACCAGTGGAGTAGTGTCTAATAATATCGAAAGGATCAACAACTTCTGACTTGAGGAAGCTTATATAAAGTAAAAGATCTTTATGAATCGTGTTACATTCATGATCATGATCGATCTAAAGCTAGTAGATAAGTAAATTAAATTTATCGGCGATAATCGGACAATCTTCCAACACTTTAAAACTGAACTGAACAATCAATTTGAATGTTTTGAAACTGAAACTTCGACCAATGGAATCCTTAGCACTGTTATTTGATAAAAATGAATTAATCCGTCTGTTTTGGGTTTTTTCGATAGAGAAGTTAGCCAGAAAGACGACATTGGTTTTTTTAATTTAACTTCAAAACTATGTAAAAGTTTCAAGATTTTGGAAAAATTCCTGAAATACACTATTTTAACTCAAAAAAAGCATCATAATCACCAGGAAATGCTATTTAATATAAAAATAAATTCAAATCATACTAATCTCACTAAAATAAATTAGATATTTACAATTATTGTAAATTCCAGCAAATCGCCGGGTCTAGCCTTTGTTATGAAGAGATTCCCGGAACGTCAAATTTTTGCGAAAAAAAAAAACGACACTTCAAAATTTTGCGCGAAGGGTTTTTTTTCAATTGTTTTATGCTGGTTCATTCACTACAAAGTTCAAACTAAAAGTGTATAAACCATATCTCTAGATCTTATTCATAACTTGAAATGGCAATTCATATTGTGATAAACAATTGGAGTTCTCTGAGTGAAGAATCTTTCTGTTCATTTAGCCAGCCAAACAGACCTTTTCCTTCTAGGCAGCCAGCTGCTCTCTGCCTGAAGTGACTCGTCGTGAGCCTCATAATCTGGAAAGTTCCTGCCTAGCCTGCCTGGCTTCAGGACCCAAACGGGTAGAGTCCGTGCCTACGCCAACTTTTTTTTTTAAATTTTGAACATTCGATGAGGTCTGCATAAACTATGCTCTTTGAAAGGTTTGCAAAACAATTGATGGTGATTGGTGGGTCAATTATAGAAGGACAGAAGCTATGGATATTATAGAATCATTGAGGATATTTGTGTTGAAACTTTAGGTTCTTTTGGGCTGGTTTAGGTTATCCAATTGAGTCACATCTGGTTTTGTATTGTTCGCTTTGACATGCGCGTCGTGTTGTCAATTGCATGATTTTTAGCTGGCTTTGTTTTGGTTTCAGTGAGAATTTTTTTTTGCCTCTTCATTCCTCATAAAAGAACACGTCAAAGAGTCAGAAAATGTAGGTGGTTTTCAAATGAAATGTTGATTCAATTAATCTACAGCGCTCTATAGGAATTGAAGTATTTAGACGGATGATTGTATCCTGACGGAATGTTAATAGAAACAACTACAATTCACACGATCATTAGATTCAAAAAGCAATTGCAAAGTCAAAAGCTTACATTGTATTAGTATTAGTTATTAGAATAGACTTGATCAATAATAAATAAAAAGTATAACCAGCCGTATGGTTTTTAAACAAAAAAAAAACAAAGCACCAAAAGAGAACACGATTTCAATAAAAAAATAGAACAAAAAGATAAACACCGCTCATGAATATAGTATAACAACAATAAAATGATCAATTATATGTTCAATGTGTGTGTTATATATCACTGACAAACGTGATATTTAACATGATGATATAATAATAATAATGATGATGGATAATCTATCTAGTTAATTGATGAAACAATTGATTTTAATTTGGCGGTAAATTTTTTGAAGAAAGATTTCTTTTCAGTAGCGGCTTCACCTTCTTTATCAGTAGTGGCTGATTTTTTAACTTCATCAACTTTCTTTGAAGCTTCTTCTTTGACATCCTCAGCTGAATCAGTGACTTTCTTTTGAGCATCTTCAGCAGCTTCAGTAGCTTGTTCTTTCAAGTTTTCAGCGGATTCCTGAACTTTGTCACCTAAATCTTTAGCTTCAGTTTGAGCATTTTCAACTTGAGGTTGGACAGTTTCTTCAACTTTCTTTTCAACGGCTTCAGACATATTTATTAATTGTTGTGGATGTTTGTTAATACAGATTGTATGGGAAAACAAGAGGGAAAAGGGTAGAATTAAGATAAACAAGGTGGCGGATTTCGTCTAGTATTTATATTTGGCCAGGGCTTGACTGAGAGATACCTGCTCATCAGTTTTTAAAGTTTGTCTGTATGTGCTCTGCCATGGCGACCAGTGCCAGCAGCGCGCGTGAAACATGCCCGTAATTGCCTCTTTGGGAAGGAGCGTAGCACCGCTGCAGAACGTTGTGGAAAGTTTTGGCATGTCACTTCAAAACAAACAAACACGAAACAAACACAATTCGAAGGTTAAACAGCTTGGAAATAGAGCGCTTATGATGAGTCCATCTTGTTGGGAAGGATAAGTGGAGTTGGAAAAGGCTCTCTTTTTTCAGCCCTTCTTTGTACGGACTTATCTCGTTGAATTCTATTTTTGGACAGTTATGCCAAAACCTTCCAAAACAGTAATGCAAATATTCGCAATTTTTCTCACAAATAGGAAAATCTTGTAGGGCTTGAAGATCCAATTCACAAAACAGATAAACAACAGAAGTGTCGATGCTCTACAACATAGGGAATTTGGGTCATAGAATCCAAGCATGGAAATGTAGAAACCAGATCACGCTCTCTGAAAGATCTGTTGCTTGTTGGAAAGCTCAGGGCATAAATCATCTTCCGTTCCCAATAAAACAATTCTGAACCAAATTCTAAAAGGGCATCTCGGATGAGTTGTAAGTTTTACACCATTAATTATCTGATACGATGGAGCAGCTACACCTTGCACAAGGCTCTATCCTAGACTGCCTAGAGACAAACAAATTATATAATTGTTTCTTTCTGGCACTCCTTCACGATCCAATTCTCTATGCAAGAATCAGAACATTCTGGTCCAGATTTCGCGTCACATAAAATTTTAGAGGAATTAGGTCCAACAAGACCCACTATCCTTACCAGAAAACACGGCTCTACTCTAATATGACTTCAGAATAAAACATATCCAACTAAATGAAGAAAGAGGCAGTATTACACTTGCAAAAATGTCCAATTCTGAGATATGACCCTCGTAAATTGCTCTAGTCACGCTTTCAGCCACCTCGGAATACACGAACATCGCTTCCGCGAATTCGATTTTTGCCATTTCATCGAAAAAACAGGAAAAAAGTGAACAGCATAAAAAACGTTATTAATGTGGTGATTTGAAACAATTGACAACAATCTATTTATTTTGAATTATCTATCAATTCATCTATAAAATTCACAAATAATAACCAAGCAAACAATATTATTAGTCAACAAAGGAAGATAAAAGTCCCTTCTTATTAACAAGAAAAGATTCAAAAGTTGGGCACGCCATATCATATACAAAACACTTCATCTTTGATCAAGAAATCATGTATCAGCAACGTCCAGTTTATCCAGATACAAATCAACAAAGAAATGTTTCACAACCTATCCAATTGTCATCAAATAACATGAATGCTGCTTTACAACAGCAACAACAACAACAGCAGCAGCAACACAATTTGTTAAACCAAGGTCAATTCCCAGCTTTCAATCAGGCTAATACAATCTTACAAAATGCAAGTCCAGCTACAGCTGCTCAACAATTACAATCTCATTTGACTCCACAATCTGCTCCAAGCACAATGTTCAATCCTCAAGTGCAACAACAACAACAGCAAATACCACCACAACAAGTTGGTGATATTGGAGCACAACAACAGCAGCAGCAAAGTCAAGGCGCAAAAGCTTTAGATGATGATAAAGTTTATCAATGGATCATTGAACTTTCATATGGCCCAAATCGTGAACAAGCATTATTAGAGTTGGGAAAGAAAAGAGAACAGTATGATGATTTACCATTAGTTTTATGGAATTCATTTGGTGTCATGACTTCATTATTAGACGAGATTGTTTCTGTTTACCCATTGTTATCACCTCCAAACTTATCATCTGCTGCTTCAAATAGGGTTTGTAATGCCCTAGCGTTATTACAGTGTGTTGCAGCACATCCTGAAACTAGAAACTTGTTTTTGAATGCTCATATTCCTTTGTTTCTTTATCCCTTTTTGAATACTAATTCAAAACAACGTTCTTTTGAATATCTAAGACTCACAAGTTTAGGTGTTATTGGTGCATTGGTGAAGAATGATACACCAGAAGTTATTTCATTTTTATTAACTACTGAAATTATTCCATTATGTCTGAGAATAATGGAGTCCTCTTCAGAATTATCTAAAACAGTGGCCATTTTCATTGTCCAGAAAATCTTGGTTGATGATGCTGGATTAGCTTATGTTTGTCAAACCTATGAAAGATTTGCTGCTGTTGCTTCAGTTTTGAAAATAATGGTTGATCAATTAGCTACTCAACAAACTACAAGACTATTGAAACATGTTGTTAGATGTTATCTGAGATTAAGTGACAACCCTGATGCAAGAAAAGCCTTAAGACAATGCTTACCTGAATCTTTAAAAGATGCAACATTCCATGCTGTGTTACGAGATGATGTTGCTTCCAAAAAATGTTTGGCTCAGTTATTATTAAACTTGGGTGATTATGAAGGTCAGCAAGCTCAATCTTTATCTCAGCAACAGCAACAGCAACAAGTACCACTACAACAGCAACGTCCATGAATGAAAGATGATTTAAATGATTTACCATGTTATTTGCTTTTCTACTTTTTCACTACAAACTCTTTTTTTTTAAATTGGCATTGGGGATTTAGTTCTTCTACATTTGGTGGTTTTCTATATTTTTTTCAACAAACATTTACTTTGGAATTTCAAAAATAATTAATGCATACAGACCTGTATGATAGAGGATAATATTAACATAAAATTGAATGAATTAATTGAATAAATTGTAGTTCAAAGTTCACCAAAATCTGAAATTTACCCGGTTTTCTAATTCGTACTTTGAGCTTTCGCGAATTCGATGAATTTTGAATCTCAACACTTGTCAAAAATCCTCCTTTCATGGACGCGAGAGAGGACAACAGAGTAAATATTAATACTCAACAACAACAACTGCCCATTGTTGACTTGGAAGCCATTCGAATTGACATTCAAGGATATACATCTGCTGTTCAATCATTAGGTTGCAATCTCAGAGAATAAGATCAAGATAGGGTGTTTCAAGTGTTGTGTTGGAAAAAAAGTTACTGATCTGATCTAAAATGTCAACACATTCTTATAAAAAGTTTGAAGATGTGGAATCAGGCGCAATGCCTGACAAGATGACCATCTTTCAAGATTGTTTGCGTGCTTTCAATTCTTCTCCAGTTGATGCTAAAAAATGTCGTACTTTAATTGCAAGATTGTTAAGATTGTTATATAGTGGTGAAACTTTCCCAAAGCAAGAAGCTACTACATTGTTTTTCTCAATTTCAAAACTATTTCAACATAAAGATTCTTCATTAAGACAAATTGTTTACCTTGCTATTAAAGAATTATCCTCAATTTCTGATGATGTCTTGATGGTTACTTCTTCAATTATGAAGGATGTTCAAAATGGTGATATCATATATAAACCAAATGCCATTAGAACATTAGCTAGAGTCTTGGATGGATCTACTGTTCATGCTACTGAAAGATTGATGAAGACTGCCATTGTTGATAAACATCCTTCAGTTTCTTCAGCTGCTTTAGTTTCTTCATATCATTTATTACCAGTTGCTAAAGATGTTGTTAAAAGATGGACCAATGAAACTCAGGAAGCTGTTTTAGCCTTAAAATCATTCCCTTCCACCAATGAAGTATTTGTTACTGATTCATTAATCACTCAATATCATGCATTAGGTTTATTATACACTTTAAGAAATCATGATAAAATGGCATTGAGAAAAATCATTCAACAATTTTCCAAGAATTTAAGAAATCCATTGGCTATTTGTCAATTGATTCGTTATGTTCATGAGATCTTAACAAATGATCCATCATTAATCCCAACTTTATTCCCATTATTGCAAGATTGGTTAAATGATAGACATCATTCTGTTAATTTAGAAGCTATCAAAGCTGTTGTTTCATTACCTGTCACCAATGAACAATTTGCCTCAGCAGTGTTGAGATTACAATTCCTTTTAACTGCTCCAAAAGTTGTTTCAAGATTTGCAGCTGTTAGAATTTTGAATAGATTATCTTTGAAGAGTCCTGAAAAAATTGTTGCTGTTAATAATGAATTGGAAAGTTTAATTAATGATCCAAATAGATCAATTGCAACTTATGCAATCACTACATTGTTGAAAACAGGTACCTCTGATAACATTGAAAGATTAATCAAGACAATTTCTAAATTTATCAATGATATCTCGGATGAATTTAAAATCATTATTATTGATGCTATAAAGACATTATCACTAAAATTCCCACAAAATTATAAATCAATGCTTTTATTCCTTGTTGATATCTTGAAAGATGATGGTGGATTTGAATTCAAAAATTCTATTGTTGAAGCATTATTTGATATGATTTATTTCGTTCCTGAATCTCGTGATTTAGCATTAGAAAACTTGTGTGAATTCATTGAAGATTGTGAATTTACTGAACTAAGTGTAAGAATATTGAACTTGTTAGGTAATGAAGGTCCAAAAACTACAAATCCAACATTATACATTAGACATATTTATAATAGAGTTGTTTTAGAAAACTCTATCATTAGATCAGCTGCTGTTATTGCATTATCAAAATTTGCATTGATTGATCCAACTATTAATAAATCAATCAAGATTTTATTGAAAAGAATTGTTAATGATGTTGATGATGAAGTTAGAGATCGTGCCACTATTTCATTGAAATTTTTGGAAAGTCTTGAAAAAGATGAAGAATCAAAGAAAGATATTGTTGAATTGACTAAACCATCTTATACTTATGATTTATCAATTTTGGAAAGTAAATTACAAACTTATATTTCTGGAGATCAAGCCAATTTCGTTACACCTTTCAATATTGAATTAGTTCCAAAGATTTCTGAGGATGAATTAAGAGCTATACAATTAAGAAACAAAACAAGTAAAGTCGAGGAAGAAATCAGATCAAGAGATCAAATCAAAGCTTCAGTTGATGAAACTGCTCATAGAACACATTTGGAAGAAAGTCAAAATGCAGATTTATCCAAACAACAATATATTCAAGAATTGGGATCAATTACGGAATTCCAAGATTATGGTGCTGTTTTACATTCATCATCAATTATTCCATTAACTGAAAAGGAAACTGAATTTGTAATTGAATCAATCAAACATGTCTTTAAAGATCATATTGTTATTCAATATAACGTTGAAAACACCTTAGATGATTCATTATTAGAGATGGTTTCAGTTATTGCCCAACCGGAATCTGATGAACTAGTTGAAGAATTTATCTTATCAATTGATAAATTACCACCACATGGTAAAGGTACCGTTTACGTTTCATTCACAAGACCAGAAACTTCAACAATCATTACAACTCCATTCACAAACACTTTATCCTTCACTTCTAAAGAATGTGATGCACAAACATTTGAACCATTTGATGATGTTGGATTTGAAGATGAATATCAAATTGAAGATTTAGATTTAACTCCTGGTGATTTTATCATTCCTTCATATATCGGTAATTTCAACTTGGCCTTTGATGAATTAACCTCAGAAGCTATTGGTACTTTCAACTTGTCTTCTAATTCAATTCAAGAAACTGTTGATCATTTGATTGATGTTCTTTCATTGCATCCTGTTGAAGGTAAGCAAGTTGCCAACGAAAGTTCTCATACTTTGAAATTGTTTGGTAAAACTATAAAGGGTGATAGAATTGGTGCTTTAATTAAGTTTGTCAAGAGTGCTAAGAGTGGTGTTACTTTGAAAGCTTTGATTAAAGCTGATGATGAAGAAATTGCAGAAACCGTCTTGAATGGTATTAATTGAATTGAGTTTTTTTTAAAAAAATCTTGTATTGGAGGGAATGAGACCTCTTGTTGTTTTAGTTTTTTTGATTGATAGTTGAAATATATATAAAAGTATGAACGTTGGATATCATGTAGACTACGATAAATACAAACAATAAAACTTTTCTCCATTCATTAAAAAAGAAGCACAACAAGTATATAATAATATTCCATCACAATCGTTAAAAAACACATAAAATAGTCGAAACAAATCAAAACATTAAGAAACCTCATAAAAAACATACTATAATACAACCATATTTATCATTAAACCATTTTCAAATACCTTGAAACATAGACATCAAAATCTTATCATTAGCATCAATACCCATAGCTTTATCCAAATTCTCCAATTCTTCAAAACTATAATTAGAGTTTGTCGAACTTAACAAATACATCAGTGGATCATTATCCTGGATCTCCTCTTGTTTGATATTCAAAGAGTTATTGTTTGAATGAGTTGAAGTTCCTTGTAAGTGGAGTGATGAATTGTAAAGTTTTTCAAAATCATTGTTAAATAATTGCAAGCTATGGGTATTTGAACCATCATCATGAATTGGAGCATTTTCAAATATCGAATTTGATGTTGTGGAGTTTGTACCTGATGATAATGAATTGGCTAATGAGGTTTTAATCATAGCATCATTGGAGAATGGGAAATTATCAGATAATGGATCAGTTGAAAGATCATCGGTATTTTGGCCAGCCAAAGCATCTGAAGCTGAACCACCAGCATAAATAAAATTCAAATCATCATGTAAATTGATTGCATCAATTGGAAGATTTGAATTTTGTAAAGATCTTGGTAATGATGATAGTTCCAATGGTGTTGAATCCAATGGATCTATTTCGTTAAACAATGGAGAATGATCATGATGTTTTGGTTTCTTGAAAGATGGTTCATAATCAAGAAATTCATGTGGTGTGTTTGTAGTTGAGGAGGATAATACTGGTGAGTTTGCATAAGATGAATAATTTGGAGAAGGTGTTGTCGAACTGTAATATGATCTCTTTTGTGACAAACCAGGTCTAGTTCTTTGATTACCATAAGCATTAGCAGCTGCAACTGAATCATGATCAAGTGGGGATTCAAGACCAAAATTCGAACATAATGAAAGATTGTGCTCATGTTTTATTATATTGACTGACCAATTTTTGTATTTGACTGAATAACTAACTCTTAGTCTGAATGGGCATGAATCTTCAGGTATTGATCTTCTAACTCTTTTCAAAACGGGTTTCCCATTGACAATTTTTGTTGTTGTAGTTCTTGGAGCTGATGATTTTCTGTGAAGATTTTTACATTTGAACACAACTTTGGAAGCATCTGATCTTTCAATAACTAAACTTATACCTCTTGGGTCCAAATTTTCATGGATCCAAGGTTTAATGTCATCTCTCGAAGTGAAGTTTGGAACAGGGTCCAACGCTTCCAAAATTTCCTCATTAGTTGCGATTTTATTGATGTTGTAATCCATATTTGTGGTTTAAGCTCCTTATACCTATGAACAGCAGGGTATATTTTGTATTGTAATTTGAATATGTACAGATATAATATTTGAAGCAATTGATCACAACGTTGTATGACGGAAGGAGAGTACCAGGTTCTGAAAGGGTTTTCCACAACGTAAATTCATGAGGAAACTCTCGACTGATGGAATTGATAATTTATTTATACTGGGAGAATGCTGCCTCTTTGTTGATTTGGAAAAAGGCCGTGATCGCTCAGAGTAAAAATTTTTATCGATTCCATCACCGACCAATAAACGTTGAGGCTCCGGGACAAAAAAGATGGAACCAAAACACGCGTTTGGAGATGAATCAAATAGGAATAATGAAATGAAAATTATATGGAAAGATAGACCGCAGCTCATTGAGTATTATCCACTTTTTTCCATAAAATTTCAAACATCACTGCCAAAGTTATGGAGCTAAAACTACGTTCTGGGAGGTACGGGTAAATGACTGATGGTTTCGATTAGATCGCATAAGATAAAAATTTGTTGGACAAAAACAATTTGTATGGCTCGTTCCAAATGGACAAGCTTGGATGCCAAAAGGAATTATACAAGAAGCTTAGCCCAAGTTAAACGAGAATAATTGGTGGGAGTGCACAACAGTTCGACGTGGTGAATACTGGAAGTTATTTGGAAACCGTAGCCCGTAGCACTGTCTCGATCGTGAATGGTTGAACCTTGATGGTATTGTTCTCACAACGTCCTCCCATTTCCCAATCCCACGTCGCAAAAGCTAACCAAGTAGACTGAAGTTTTAACTAGCCTCTTTGCAACTGAGCTCTACGTCCATGATGAGCAGAATTGGTTTGCATCTTCTACTTTGGCTGCAATAAATTTAAGCTTATGAAAATTTTTATCTTTTCCATCAGTTGAAAGTTTGGACAAAAGTGTACGTCTCGACCAAAAAATGTCATGCGGAAGAGTCAATTGTCCATTTCTGGTTACCAAAGTGTCTACCCTGGGGAACTTTTGGCGTAACTGGCTACAACTTTAATTTTGCTAGGCAGATGTTTTGATAGACAGAAGAAGAAACTAGAGTCACTGATCGAATAGATAACTTTCTTTTGAGAGTCAAGAAATTCGTATAGAGTTTACCGAATAACAGAAGTGTTGTGTCACAGCATCCCGACTCTCAAGCAGCTTGCAAATCATGATTCTCAACGGTTCATCAAAACTTGTTGAGCTTCGATCCATGAAACTTCTGAGAGTCGATGAGCTTAACTTTAATGATCAATTGTACAAATCACAATCCTCCAAACCTTAGAAGTCAGAAGCCCTAAAGATACGTACTCGAAATCAACCATGAGAATGGGTACAGCTGAATCTATAGAAGATGGTAGGAAGTTGGCTCAGTTTTTCAGTGACCACTGACTTGACAAAATACAACTGGAAATCTATCAAGTGCTATAAAGTCCTTCCTTTAAACGTCTTAAATCGAGATATTGGATCCCAAAGTTGAGCTTCATCTCAGGGATTGATTCAAGTCAAATTCTGATGGAAATGCTGATATTGAAAGCTAGTAGTACAAAACAATTTGTTCTCAAATTATCCAAAGTACATGAGCAGATTAACCGAGAACCACCAATCAAGCATCAGTGAGCTATAATGCCGACTGAATAGAGCTATTCTGGGAGAACCAAACAGATTACAAAGAACTTGATTCTTGATTCTTGAAGCTGAATATCCAATTTGGAAGCTGTATATGAAAATTTCAGATATTCGATCTAGTTTGCTCAGAATCAATTGGTGTCACTTGTGGATGAAACAATAGTGAGATCCTGAGTAATTTAAGCAACCATAGAATCACTTCGACAAGGTTTCCATTCTGAAACCATCTGGTTTTGAAAGTTCATTCCTTAATTAAGAAATATCTTTGACTGCAAATAATAAAAAATAGTTTGTTGCAAAAGTACATCTTTGCACTAGCAGCTAATCAGCTTCAAGATGTGATAAAAGATCGATTGGACTTGACTTGAAGCACTGAGCTAATGCTCCTCTCTTATCCTTTACCTTAACCATATTCTATAATCACACTCTATACCCTCAACCCTCAACCCTCAATCTCTATACCTTCTACTTCAACCATCGCGTTGGCACAGATGAAATTCGCGAACTGAAATCAAAACAAACGCGATCACGAACTAAATTTTTTTGTTAGTCGCGCTCTGGAAAATCGACACGGTACGAGCACTCCGTCACCAATTAACTGAATTTGATTAAAACTATCAAATCTTTTATTTAAGCTGCTATTCTTCTTTTCCCAAGGTGAACCCAGAACCACAAGGGAAGAAGAAAAAGCCAGTCGTTACCACATCTCCAATCCCCAGTACCACTCACCCACATCTCTTCTACTTCATTTCTACATCCAGTTCACTCGTGTCAGAGTTCATACAATTAGGGTTTCCTCAGGATAAACAAATCCTCAATTCTGTAAAGTTTTCAGGGAAAATTTTCACAACAACAACAACATCCTGAACACATCCATCATTGAACAACATCAACAACCAACACATTCACACAAAACACAATGCGTGCTTTTCATATGCCCTCATTGCCAGAAATGCCATATGAGCATGTAAACAACAACAATGATATAGGTCAAGTCTCCAAAATGAAACGTGAGTTGTCATATTTGTTTACTTATCATTTTCATTCATACTAACGCCACTTACAGTCAAAGTTTTATATACCTTGGATGATAATACTTTTCTAGCAAGATCAAATGATCTAAACGATGTGAAAACCGCCAAAATCCCAATCCCAGGCCAATCTAGTATGATGACTTTAGGTGTTGTATCTATGAGAAATGTTTTATTGCCTATATTATATTCCAGTCCTGAGCTATTTGGTGATGCATCAATTGATTATTCTGTCTACGTTAAAGATATTTCTGAAGAAGATGAACCTTTTGTTGGTCATGGATTGTTTACAAAATTAATTGTGCAAAATTTAAATCAATTTGATGATGAGATATTGATTCCTGGACGTGTTTGCTCAAATTTTGCAGCCTTGTTAAGTAACAGAGGTGGTTCTAGTGAAACATTAGAAGTCAAGTTAAGATTAGCAAGAGTTAGATCGAATAGACAACAAAATAGAGATGCTAATCCACAACCTCAACAACAACAACCGGAAGTTCAACAACACACACCTGTTCCAAATCAACCAATCCCTCAACAAGATTTCAACAAAAGATCACGTAATGATTCTGATACTGAAGATGAAGATGGAGAATTTATACAACCAAAGAAAATCCAACCTCAAATTCAACAAAGACAAAGACTACCATCTACTTCTTCAGCTGCAAACCCAATAAGGATTACAAATTCAAACCCTGCACCAAAAGCTGTAAGAACTCAATCATTACCAGCTTTCAACAATCCTTTGAGTCAAGTCATTCTACCAAATGGTGCCATGCCATCAATAGGCCAAAGATATCCAAAAAACTCAATTGCTCAAAGGATAAGACAAGCTGATAATGCAAACTCTGGTAAGATCACTTATAATTTCCACGTTGAAGGTATTGATGAAAAAAATGCTCCAATTGGTATCACTACAGAAGTTTCTAAAAGATTTGCTGATGATTTTATCACTAAGAAACCAGAAAAGAAGAAGCAGGTTAAGAAAGCTGAACCAATTATTAAACCACCACAACAATATCAATCTAAAATGGCCCCATTTACATCTGCTCCAAAAGATAATAAATTACCACAAATGGCTCCAATGTCAACAAATAATTCAGTTCCAAAGACAGCACCAACTTGTATCAATTGTAAAACAAATGAATCAAAAGCTTGGAGATGGAATGAATCAGATGAAGAATTTAAAAGAGGTTTATTCTGTAACAACTGTTATATTTATTTGATTGATAAAGGTGTCATGAGACCAAGTTATTTATTTAAGAAACGTTCAAAGGGTAAAAAGAAAACTTCTGCTCCAACTACAACTAATTCATCATCTGCAGTTTCTACACCTTCTGGTTCCAAAATGGTTGTTAATCAAGCTATACATGAAAAATCAAACAACTCTTCTGATCCAATTGATGAGTTTAATGATATCATTAGCAGTGATTTAGATTTCCATTTTGACCCAATGACTGATATTGATCCATTACCACAACATCATCAACATCAACAACAACAAAACTCACAATCTGAAGATAAAGAAAACATCCCACCACCTTCAGCAAATGAAGCCATACCCATCAAGAAAGCTTCAAGACAAACTTCATTTGAAAAAATGCTGGCAAAATCTTTTAGTGGAGTCCCACCAAATATGGCAAATACTCCTTGTGAATGGATGTCAGAATTCTTTGAACCAACTCCAAGGGATCAAGATGATAACACCCCCAAAGATTTTGAAAATAATACTCCAAAGGATTTAGCAACTTGTAATACATTACCTTGTGAAGATGATTCACCACAACCTCCATCAGATGACCATACAAAACAACAGCAACAACAACAACAACCTGAACCACAACCTGAACAACTAGCTACAAATACCACAACTGATGAATTCAATGAGAATAGAAATATGAATAAAATCAAAGCCACTACAATGCCTTCATCTCCATTTGCTTTACAAATAGGTGCTACCTCATCTCCAAACAGCATGCATGACGGTTCAGATTGGTTAAGTGAACATACCAAACTGAGCTCTGTGGGGAATGAAGCAATTATCACAAACAAAGCTTCAAATAATGATGAACAATTTACGAGTAATGAAAATTTAAAGGCTTGATGGTTTTTTTTCCAATATTTTCTATGAACAATTTTTTTGCATATATTTATATATTACATTTCCAGTTTTTGCTTTCTGCAATGCCTTTCTTTTTTAATTCAATTCTTTTTGCATATAGACCCAAGTATTTGTGATGGCTAATTTAATGAAAATGTAATCTTAATGAATTTGGATGTTATTGTAGATTTTTCAAGTTCAGGTACACTCGTGTTTTTCGAAATGGACACGAAACTTTTTTTTTATTTACATTTTTCAACGTTGAACATTAAAAAATCAATACAGAGCTTAAAATAGACCCAAATTAGCCAATAGATATAGATCATGGTGATAATATCCACAGGGATAGCTTTGACTTTGGCGAGTGGTCTCTTGACTCTCTTGTTTTTGGCTCGTGGTGATTTGCCTTATGCCATTGGTGCTGGTGTTGCAGCGTTGACCACGTTACTCATTCACATACTGGACTATTACTATGCTATTGCCATCATATCAACTGGTATCGTACTAGTGAGTGCATTGGAATACTATCTAGAATTATATACTAACTGCTTAAAAGGTTTACTCCACAATTGTGTTATTTTCACACAACCCAAGATCACCACATGAATCTGAACTACATTTCATCACAACAAACACTGAAACGTCAAGAGATTCCACAACATACCCACTACCAAAAAGGGGCATAACGACACAGATTGAAGAAATCGAACTAAGTGTGGTGATACCTTGTTATAATGAAACTAAAAGATTGAAAATAATGTTGGAAGATGCAATTTCATATCTACGTACAACTTATGATACAAAATTTGAAATTTTAATTGTTGATGATGGCTCAAAAGATGGAACAGCTGAATATGCCCTTGATTTAGCCTTCAACTATTTTGAATTATACCCTGGACAATTGAGAGTGGTCAAATTGGTTAAAAATAGAGGTAAAGGTGGTGCAGTCACTCATGGTATCCAACACGTTCGTGGTAAATATGCCGTGTTTGCAGATGCTGATGGTGCTTCCCAATTCAGCGATGTCTCGAAATTAATTAAAGCTGCTGAATCTATAAAAGGACCAGCAGTTGCAGTTGGTTCAAGAGCTCATATGGTTAATTCTGATGCTGTTGTCAAGAGATCGTTTATTAGAAATTTCTTGATGTATAGTTTGCACACTTTGGTGTTTGTATTTGGGATTAGAGATATTAAAGATACTCAATGTGGATTTAAATTATTCAACAAAGAAGCTATTGTTGAAATTTTCCCATATATGCATACCGAAGGTTGGATCTTTGATGTTGAAATCTTGATTATTGCATTGAGGAAGCAAATTCCAATTAAAGAAGTTGCAATTTCATGGCATGAAGTTGATGGATCAAAAGTTGATTTAGCAAAAGATAGTATCAATATGGCCATTGATTTAGTTGTTACAAGGTTAGCTTACATTTTTGGTATTTACAAAGATAACTAAACATCTCATTTGATATTCAGAAACTATTTACCAGGTTTCAACAATTCTCTGTTTAAGATTCTAGCATTATCCATAAATGTTTCAGATAACTCTTCAAATGTAAAACTATCAACATCCAATTTTTCATAAGCATCGATCAATTTAATCATATCAACTTCTAGTTCGACTTCTAAAGATTCAAATTCATGAGAGTTTTTACCTTTACCACTTTGTAAAACATCAGTTATATCAAATCTTGTTGCAGTTAAATCATGAAATATGGAAGTTCTTCTCTTATGTCTTTGAATTTCTGGAGTAACATCTTGGAATCTTTCAGGGTTTTCCTGGCTTGGCAATTCAATACTCATAGTTAATCTAAAGTCAAAAACCATATCAGGGTTATGAATAAACAAGCTTGCCAACTTTCTCTTTTCGATATTTTGAACCGGTCTCCCCGTACTCTTGTCTGTAGTTAATCTATAGAATTTAGGCATCTTGTCCCTTTGAGCTTCTCTGTATTGCCTGTCAATATGATCAAACTTCACTGTCTTGAATTTATCTTTATTTATTTTGGTTAATCCAACCAAGAATTTTTTCAACTTTTCATAACGATCCTTATCCAATCCAGCTTTGAATGTCATATTTAAAGCATACCCATCATCAAGAATAGATTCAGTAGTAACGGGTATATGAAGTCTTCTATCAGTTTCCTTATCCCAAATTCTACCAAATTTTGTTTCCAATTCCAAATATTGACGTAATTCCTTAGGAGTTGAGTGGATTTGTGCATAAATCCAATTGGTAATTCTTCTTGTGATATCATTATAAGGTTTCACACCTGTTATTGAAACAGCATGAGATTTAGGAGCATCATCGGATCTCTGGAATCTTGAACTTGAGTGATTAACATGACTATCTTCTTTGAAATTTGGTACCCATTTTTGAGCCCAGATTGGTGGTTTAGAATAACGTTTAGGTTTACCTTTTTTGCCATTTTCTTTTTGATTTTTCTCAAGTGATTCCAATTTTCCGAGCTCAGAGTCAATCTTGGAATGTCTTTTACCATTCGATTGTTGTTGTGGTGCTTCTGTGCTTGAACTTCTTGGAGAATGTGGTTTTGACTTATTGTTTGGTGAATCAATTTTTGGTGAACTTTTTAAACCTGTTGGTTCCTTTTTAGGTGCCGTGTCCCCCTTTGGGATGCTCTTCGGTTCTTTATAAGTTGGTTCATCAAATTCAATTGGTTTATCGGTATTCATAACATCTTGAAGTGAAGGTTGTCTAGGTATACTTTTTCTTGGGATAACTGGGGAATTTGATTCACTTGTGGATACTTCCGATGACATCCTTCTTGCAATACTTGGTGTTTCTTTACCATCAATATCAACATCTGTGTCATTTGTCAAGCTTGTAATACTATTACGAGCCCTTATCAAGTCTATTGGTTTATTTCCTGGCGTTACTGGATTTGACCCAGCTTGTTGATATTTAGCAGCAACAGCTGGTGAATTCATGAGATGAATGTTTGAAGAAGGTGAAGATGAATGAGGAGGATCATCGTCATTGTTCATTAGACTTGTAATTGATGAATAACGATGTTTCAATTCTGGACGGTCATGTGTCTGAGGTTGTTGTTGTTGAGGTGTCTGTTGAACTTGAAGTTGTGGTTCCTCTTTAACTTCCTTCCTTGAATCTGCGGAAGGTCCTAGTAAACTCTTCAAATCCATGTTTCAATGACTACCAATTGGCTTGAAGCTTTGATCAGTTTAATTAGTTTCTGTTTTCTGTCAAAGTCGGTGAATAAAACAATTATACCCGTCATTTTCATCAGATCTTCAATTTCACAAAAAAATTCGCGAACGTCAAAATTTACCCGGAAGCACAGAATTGTATTAATGATTTTAATGGCTTTTGATGTTTTAAACCATCAATATGGCTCCCGAATGCTAAAATAGGAGACTTCTATCTTCTTTGAATGTTATGAAAATGTCAACAGTGTTTCTGGGTACGCATTTTGAAGTTTGAACTGATGTGCAATGTTCTTGACACTTCTATTTGGCAGACTCGTTTTTATATTCTGTTCGACTCTTGAATGCTGTTAATTATCTCAATGCTTCAAAAGCAATATCGCTCTTCATCTAGTGGTTGTGTTTTTCAACAAAATAGACTGATGCTTCTAGTCGAAATGGAGACTCTTTCAAAGAGAAAGCATGTGAATCTTGTATTCAACTCTTGTAGAGAAGCAGTAGAGCGAAGTAGTACACAAAGCATGACTACAAGCTAAAAGCGAAATCTAAATAAACAAAACCTTAAATTTAAATACAAATCTATCCAATGTATAATTCATCAAAGCAGGCAATCCAAGTAGAGCCAGCATTCAAAAGACAGGAGAAAAGTTTCAATTCATTCAAAATAAGAAGTATAAGCAGTAGTATATAAACCAAAAGATGATTCAACGATAGCAAAAATACCAATGGAAAGTTTCATGGTATTAAAGCATTATCTTTGGTGTAACAATTAATTGGAGCAACCTAATGGAAGATCAAGATGGCAAGGGTAACAATAATAAAAGTAATCAATAACATTTTGTTGTGAATTTGTGTTTATAGTTTTTTTGTTTGTAAAGTAATAACTTTGATGAATCTCTAATAGTAGTGATACTGAGCTAGAAGAAAAATTGGAAAGCATTGGGTTCGTTGAATGCCTCTTTATATAGTCTTTTCTGATGGCCCTTCAAGACAGAAAAATATAATTTTCTTAAACCCTTGGACTTTGATGCAGACGAACAGCTGCTAGAGACCAATACGGTGCTCTATATTCAAACAGCCACTACCACATATGGCATTCAGTCAGACAGATAATCCTGGGTCAGCGAGAAGCTTTGGCTACCAGCTTAGTTCCTTGGATAGTTGTTTGTTCAACGTAAAGGAAAGATCTCTTACAATTTTCCTTGACGACCCGAGAGAAATGGCAGCTCACAAGCTTTCGCCTACAAAATTGTTTAAAATCTAAGTCTTTAATAACATAACTCAAAGTACACAACATATTTTTTTTCCAAATGAACATTCTCAAAATAGTAAAACAATTAATAAGAAGGACAGCTAGATGAAGAAAAGCCAGTAAAATGAGAGCAAAATAAGGGTATAAGGTGTTCTTTTTTTTTGCTTTAATGGAGTTGAAATGATAGAAGCCCAGCTCCATTTATCTTTAATTTAACAATATAATCACACACACTCTCTTTCAAAATTTGTATAAAAAAATAAAACCAAAATAACAATAAAACAATAAATATAAGCGTCATTAATGATAACATGATGAGAACTAATTAGTTCTCTCTAAACGTCTAGAAAAACTCATTATTTATATGGGGCAGGTGAAGCAACTCTTAATCCAGTAGCTGGATTAACAATCTCTAAAACCTTCTTTGCCCTTGGAGTGATGACTTTTGGAGTATCACTTTGACCAAGATCTTTCTTGGTTACTGGTGATGTTGTATGCGCAGATGATGCAGATGGTGAATTTTGAGGACTGAATGTATGTGAAGTGTATGGATTGAATCTATGATGTTGAACAGTGTGATGTTCATGGATTTCAGGACAAAATTCCAAGTCATCTTCAAGATCAAACCCTTTGGAGGCATTGAATCTTGCTCTGGTTGAATATAATGATGCAAAGTTTAAACCTGGTGATAAGTTTGAAACTCTTGGTGTTGGATAAATCCCATTCAAGTTATTATTTCTTGTAGACAGGTTTAAATTATTGTAAGGTGATGAATTAGTTTGGCTATTAAGAACAGCATTATTAGCCAAAGGGGAGTTATTATAAACATAACCATTTGAGCTGGAACCACCAGCACTGGAAGCAGAGCCAGAACCACCACCATAAGGATAAACTTGATTAGCTAAAGGAGAATAATCATATCCATTTGTTTGTTGTTGCTGTTGTTGATGAAGTGTTGAATTCGATTGTTGACCAGGTAACGACATTGTTGTTGTTGCCCCCATAGGTCTATTTGATCCGTAGTAACTCATAGTTGTTGTTATGTGATGTAGTGTATTAATTATTCAAAAGCTATTAGAAGTTAATGTTAGTACAACTAGTTTTAAGGGATAAATGTTGATGAGAATAATCTAAATCATCTCATCACTCATCACGATCTCAAAGCTAGGTACCTACCCCTGATGTTTTGAAAGCTAAAAATAACTCAAAGTTGTTTGTTTGAAAGCTAAGTAAATAAGTTTTTGAATAGCTGATAGTTTATTTGATTGTGATAGTTTGTAAATTTGATGTTTTAATAGTTTGTAAATGGGATGATTCTATCTTATAATTCTTTGAAAGGTTGTCAAAAAGGTGGTTGGTTATCATGAAATACAAGGTTCCAGAAAGTGTTGCGCGAACCAATAGAACGTCATCACTTTTGGAAAAAGAAACTCCTTGATTGCCCGATACGGAAATAAGCTACACTTAATAAAACTGTATGGGAAAAATAATCATAAATTGTTACCAAAGTAGAAGCGAAAATAGTAAAAAAGAATACAAAACTGGAAGAATAAACAATAATCATTTATCATCATGCAAGGTCATTAAGGAAGGAGAAGAAGGTCTATCATTCAATTCTTTGTGATATCAATTCCAAGGTTCCCAACGTGTGGTAATTTAACACGATCATTTTCATTATTAGTTGTAGTTGCTGAGCCATTATTCGAACTTCTATTGCCTGTTGGGTTTGAATTCAACAAGTTTTCAATACGAACCCTGTTATGCTGTGTAATTTCACTTGATGGTTGACGAATATGGGAGCTTTTATGCTGATGAGTTGGTAAAGAAAATGTAGGTTGATATTGGTTGGAATTGTTATATTGATATTGTGGAGAAGATGAAGTTTGGTATTTTTGTTCATTGTTAGAATTATTGATGGCTCCGTTGCTATTCAAGACGTTATTCAACCAAGAACGACGTTGAGGCTGTTGGGATGATGGGGTTTGTTGGGTTTGAGGTTGATGATGTTGTTGATGATGATGTTCATGTAATTGGTTTACATTATTTGAATCATAATATTGATTATATGTATGAGTTTGTGGATATTTTGTGAATGTGAATGTTGGGTTTGTTGGAGTTCTTGAAGATGAATCAAACGAAGAATTAGTTGGTGTATTTGCATTTGAAATGTTTGAACTAAAGCTTGAATTATAAGGACTTATCAAACTATCAGCATGTGACCCATTAGAAGTTAGAAATTGTACAGAAGGTAAATGTTGTTGTGATGAAGTTGCAGTTGTTGTTGAATGAGGATAATTTAATTGGTGAAAACTGTTGGCTGGTGATATTGGACTCAATAACAATTGACTTGATGAACTTGCAGATCTTGGGGTTGGAACGGTGTAAGGAGCATCGTTATAAACAGATTTTCTTGAAGGTAAAGCGATCGGTCTTGGTCTATGTTTAGATCTGAATTGGGTAGGTCTTAATAATGAAGTGGCAGCAGCTGGTAAATTTGAGGAAGTTGAAGGTTGTTGTAAGAACGTATTTTCTTTATTTGGATGATGGTCTTCATTATAAAGCTGCTTGTCATCTATCTGTTTCATCTCTGAGTTGTTACTACCATTTTGATAATCACCATTCAAGTTATGTTCATGAGCATGGACCGTCTGTTTATGTTGCCTTAGGTTATCCAATCTTGAAAACTTTCTTGAACAATGAACACATTCAAAAGGTCTTTCACCAGTATGCTTTCGTATATGTCTTGCCAAATGCTCAGATCTTGTGAAAGTCATGTTACAATCTGGATATCCTGTACATTGGAAAGTTCTTCCCTTGACCTTCTTTTTGGCTGCACTTGTAGTATTGGATGGTATCATGTTGCTTGTCATTCTGTGATATGAGATGGCTTGATGATGCTCTTCTTCTTTTCTTTTTGTCCTCTAGGATATATTGTATATATATAGGTATTTCTTGTTGACCGTTATCGAAGCTTTAGTACTTATTAATAGGCACCAGGAACGGTATGGATAATGAACAGGGGCTATGGGAAACGAAGATAAAAACAAAACGAATTCTCTCTTGGAAACAACGCCTTTCAGATGTTATGAAGAGGATTCTGACTTCTTGATGTTTTAGCTATGCAAATGACTATTAGTCAAAAGGTTCAGCAAGTATAATCTTGATAAAATGTGGTGAAACAGTTGGAATATTTCAAGCAAACACGTTAATATTTTTTTTTTGGGTTTCCTGAAAATTATTTTTTTTTCCCTGAAACTGAAAACCACCGAATGAAAAGGAAATTAACGTTTGAATAAATCAACAAAGAACAAGCAGGTCCACGCTAACTATTAAGGTCCAGTACGGCTTGTATGTTATTGGATTGGATCGTAATTTGCCCAGTGATTGTACAATGGAAGACGGCTAGTTGGAAACCAGGGATCTTTGACCTTTTTATTGGGAAATGTGTAGTGAATTCCGACGTGTTTTTTTTCTTTGGAATTTGCGTCCCTGACTAAATGGTAATCAAGGTACGCACGGTTAATCCTATATGCTCAGCTTGTGGAAGATGTACCCAAGTTGAGTTCAAGTAAGATTGGTTAAGCCCTTTTTCATTTAACCAGAGTTTGGAAAAAGGAATAGGGTTGTATTTATTTGTATCGAGAGTTGTTGAGATAACTGTTGATCTCAAAACTTACACCACGGTCCACCAACTACAGGTCTACACTTCGTTTATCATGACTTCAGGAAGCAGCTGGTCCAAGTAATGAGAGCCCTTGACTAGTGAAAACAGTTGATTTGGATGCAACTTATTGTTTTATTTTACGTACAATCTCATAAAATTTCAGCTTCCTCCCATACAAATTTCGACAAGCTCAAGTGCCCTCAGGTATCTATTGGCATATGCCGACGCACAACCTGCATGAACTGGCACCACTGGAAGGACTAGGCTCGCTTCAGAGAGGACTTGGTTCTTGACCGTTTCACTTACCAGGTACCATACCCCTCTACAACGGTCTCGCTCTGACAAAAGCTTTGTAGCTTCAACAGTGGCTTCAAGGCAGAAATAATAAAGAATAAAAGGTATTGACAATTACTTTGAAAGATCATATCAAGTTTGGATTCCTCCAGATTGATATGTAACTGATGCATTCTTTTAGAACCAGCGCGGTGTAGAGTGGGCCCAAAGGGTTCGGTCCACCTAGGTATTTCCCACTAGCTTCCCTTCAAAGAAGCGATTGCCGACAGGGAGCTGGTGAAGCTAGGCCGAGGATATCTCAGTCCATTTGTGGCTGGCTGAATTGAATTTTTGAAAAGATTTCTGAGGCAAAATTGTAATTTGATAATGCTATCCTCAATGAATAGTCCTCTTAATACCATAAGAAGCCTGTATTGCGAAAGACATTCTGCTGATAGCTTGCGTAGGTTGGTAGAGCTTTAATTCTTTTTCTCAGCTTATACGAACTGCCCCAGGAATTAAGGACACACTAAAAAGTTCCTGCTTCAGCGAAAGACGCCCCTCTGCCTATAAAATTAATCTGGTCCTTCTGGAACTTCGTTTTCCTAGGCAGCCTCTCCCAAAAATCCCTTCACAGGCACTAGAACACTAGGACCAAAGCCCAAATCCCAAGGCAGACCTGATTTTAAGGGGATTCATACAAAGAGTGTGCAAAAAAGGTTTCACCATGAAACTTATATAACCTCTCATACATACCCAAGAGCTTTCCCTCCTAGCTTCGGTTCCTAGTTCCTACTTGAGTAATTCATCAAACGAACACTAGAATAGTGTGGACTCTGGAGTCTGAATTTCGTTGTTGTAATAAGAGGGGGGTCCATATCTATTGAGAACATGTTAACTCTTTCACAGAACCTACATATTCATAAGCCAGCTTGTGCACTTATAGTGCTTTGGGCTGATAAAACCATCTTTCATGGTACAATCTCCAGCATGCTCTAAATCTCTGAAGGCTTTAAACTTCACGAAGAGTACTTGTGAACTAGCCTCAAGGTACAGATTTGGATCTTGGTGAGTGCTCTGTCGGTCTTACAGTAGAAATCAGTTTGTTTGTACACTTACTTCTTCAACACAAGCTGATAATTCCCAAAACTTTTGAGCTTTCACAATATTGAAGCTCGCTATAAGGTAAAGTGTATGGCTTATAAGTCACAACTCTACCACTCTTCCAAACCAGCTTCTCATTCACGTCAAGCCAAAAAAAAAGTGGAACCGTTTTATGCAACTGGTTCTTGTCAAAAAGAAATCTCAAAATGAAACAACATCGAGGAACTCCAGAATTTCGTTAAACAGTTTGTGCACCACAGTAACGTTCTCTTTAAACTTGAAACGTTTATACCACGTTCAATGGATACAAGTATCATAAGGTCCAATCTACAGTCCACCTTATTCCTTTGAAAACTTGGGGCTCCAACGTTCAAACTCAATCTTGTATCTGACCATCATCAATCTTAAATTTCGAGTCATCATTTTCAAAAGTGGTTGTGTACAGCTTACCAGTTAATGTACCAGTCAACTGTGGTTGTAGATCAATCAAGGCTTTTCAACACCTTTTTCAGTGCGCTCTTCAAATATCTCAAGAGTGCAAATTATGTATCCAAAACATATTACTTTGGTTCTTCCAATTCAAACTTGAAAGAAACGATGAGATGTTCTGAACAAGTATAAGCCTATCTTGAGAGCCCAAACCCCGATCAAACTAATTGAATTGTTTCAACTTGCATGGTATAACAAATAATATTGACCGTTCAGTCTCTGTGCAATATGAACGCGGTCTCTTTCAGGGCTACAGTGATGTAGACTTGATGGAGTTAACAACTGTACAAGACGAGACTGAACGTTGGAAAGCCCCTAGAAATACACAAGTAGCACAAGGTCAATTGGTTCCTCTTTGATCAGTGAGATTTCAAAAAGGTCTGTATTGTGTCTTGTTCAATGAAATTGCACCCAACAAAGTCGACGATTTAAAATCTGATCGAGAAAGCTATGCAATCTTTAGGGTCTTCAACAACTAAAGCTCAACAAATCAGGGGCAACTATCAAGGCGTTCCCTCCAAACCCTTGTCTTTTAAAACTGATTGCAAGTTTAAACTACAAGTCTCTAAATTTCCGTATCTGCACCTCGATAAGATTCGAGATCTACGCTTCGAAGAAGATGTACAAGTGTAAAACGTTTTACCGCAAATTACCATTCATATTAGAGTCTAGGAAAATTAAGAGTACTGAGCTTTCATTAAGCTGATTAACTCAAGAACTGACGACAAGGTAAGTATTGAATGGCCGCATATTCATGAATTGGCTTCGACGCCATTAATATTAATATACATAGAGTACAGCTAGCTGATATTAGCTCCTTTAAGCTAGTGGTTCAGTCACCTTAGAATCAACTAATTAACAAACCATTAGGACTTCATCAAGAAAAGTATTAGGAATATCTTGGTGATTTCCACAAATTTTACAATTAATATTGTAATTAATCCAATTATAACAATGGCCAGCGCCTTTCTTACGTCTAGTTCAATAATATTTCAGCTTATAACCTAGCTGTTTTTATTCTGATCATATTAATTTAAAAAATCTGCACTAGTACGTCTCTCAGTTGGCTGAGAAGCTGGATATCATATTATATCATGAGGAAGCCTGAATTCCAACAATATAGCGAGATCAAGCCGTACAATCCAAGCTGCGGTTCGTGCGCAATTGCAATATTCGACTCTTGATCCTGCTGCTGCAAGTTCACCAAATAGTACACTAACAGCTAAATCATGAATATATTTAATATTAATTAACAAAAATTATTAATTATTCCATTATCCATATTATTGCAGATCGACCTTTAGGCGCTGAACCATATAATAATATGAGTCAGCTTTAAATTGAGTAATATGTAGAAATTGAATATCAATAATATGGATCAAATTAATTAACAGGTAGACGTGCACACAGCTTAAATGTAGTCGCCGAGTACCTCGACGACGACGTACTTGATCCAACGAGCGCTATACATATATAAGTCGGTGATAAACGGAGTTAATTTTATAGAGGCTTACAAAAATTCAAACCAACTGTAATATAACATAGTCAACCTAATCAGAGAAGATTAACTCCCTTAAAGCCACCACGAAACATATAATTTGAGATCTTCAATTGGATTAAGTTAGAGCGGATCTTCATTTGGATTAAGTTAGAGCCCATATATGATTATAAATAGTTCAAATTATTGCCAATCTGTGTGTGTGAAAGTGACAAGACATTTCTGAGCACGAGTGCGGATTTAAAGGAGTTGTTGAAGAACAATAGTAAAACTGGACTAGTAGCTAGCAAAGATATAAATGGCTCTAAATATCCTTCTTTTAATTTTAATCAAATGATCATCTAATAGTCAATACTGGTATTCCTATCCATTCACGAACTATTGGATATACTAAAAATCATGACAGGGAAAGTTTACTTTATCTCAGGTGGGAATCGTGGAGTTGGGTATGAGTTTGTTAAACAACTATCATCGAACCCTGAAAACACAGTCCTTGCAAGTGCAAGGGATGTTTCAAAAGCTACAGAATTACGAAAACTAGCTGACACTCAAGGCAATGTTAAGATTGTGACTCTAGACGTTGGTGACAAAGCTTCAATTGATGCATTGGATTCCCAGCTGAAGTCTGTGGCAAAAGATGGTATTGATGTCATGATTTCAAACGCGGGTATAGCTGAATCATTAGCATTAGCCATTGATACAAGTCAACAAGTTTATGAAAAACATTATAGAATTAACACACTTGGTCCGATTTCCTTGACAAAGGTTCTATATCCATATTTGGAACAAAGAGAGACAAGACACTTGATTTATATTTCAAGCATTGCTGCTTCTATTGGTGCTCAACTTCCATTCACCACTAACGCTTATGGGCAATCTAAAGCAGCTTTGAACTATAGTGTCAAGGAGATTAGCTTCGAATTAGGATCTGAAAATTTCGTTGCAATAGCTTTACACCCAGGCCAGGTAAACTCTGATATGGGAAAGGCTTCAGTTGTTGCTGCCACAGAATTCAATCCTGCCACCATGGAACTATTTAAGGACATTAAGCTATTAGAGCCAGAAGAGAGTGTCAAGTTGCAACTGGAAAATGTTATTTTGAAATTAGGTAAGGAGCAAAATGGTAAATTTCTTGATTTTCGAGGACAAGAGTTGGTTTTTTAAGAGCCGAGAAAGAAGTCGACAATTTTGACCAACAGGTATTTGATTATAACAGATATAATGTTACATTTGATACTAAGATATTTTCCATTTTGGATAAGAGAATATTTGAAGCTAACGTAGATCAACCTTATTTACATATTGCGCCTGAGAATCTTTAAACAACTTTCCTATTAAAATCAAACTTGAAGTCTCTCTAGTAATTTGTCAACACAGTAGAATGTGGCAACATACTGAGTATTGAATCTTTGGTTTTTGATGATGCTTTGATGTTCAATGAATTCAATGCTATCGAATTTCCCCAACTATGACATTGGCACACAACAATAGCCCAAGTTGCTTAAGTGTTGATAGGGTCTTCTACTTTGACAGAAAAAAATGGCAGACAGCACTTCAAGAAAGTTTAGTTACACACGTCATCTGGAAAAGGCAGCAAATAAAAAGCATCAAGATATTTCCCAGCTATCAATGTAAATTGAATGGATCTGTTTAGCATTGTATTGAAACTGTGGTGCTTGTCTATTTGTTGAAAGGCAACGAAGGAGGTCACATAAAGTTGATCATATTATTGACTTCATAACTATACAGGGTTCTTTTTAAATAATGAGCTACATCAGTGAAGTTGAATATGATACATGCCATCTATTAGATATTTGCTTATAGGACTCTTCTTCTCTTTTTGGTTTTGAAAGGAACAATATAACGCACTGGGGGATCAAGCTCGTCATCAGGAGTTGAGGTATTTGTTGGCTGGAGAACCCTCCGCGTTGGACGAGAACCGTTGTTGTTTGAAGAGCCAAAGTCTCTATTTGGACAAGTAATAACGTTTTTTGGATAGTTACCAGGATGTAAACCTTCATTATCAGTATCATATTCCTCCTTGGGTATATTAGTGGATCCAGGAAACGAATGACAACCTATAATATTGAAATCATCAGCTAAACCGTCCGCGGCCCTACTAGCCTCATCAAAAATTTCAGTCATTCTATCAAAATTGGTCTTTAAAGGTTCAAACAAACTCCAATGGGTCTTGAAGATCTCTTCAAAGTAATCTTCTTCAAATCCTTTTTTATTAAATACGCCTGAAAAGTGACTATGGAAGAAAATTTCATGCTCTGTAGCTAGAAAAAGCTTTCTTCTATATTCCTTCTTAGTCAGTTTTTTCCCTTGATAAGTATACTTTGATTTGCGTTTATTTTTTCTTTTACTTATCAAACAAAGATCACCAACGTCATCTTCTTCGCTGGTCCCTATCACAGATTTGTTGTCAAAATAACGAACTTGAACTTGACTATTGAAACAGACAATTTTACCAGATTTTACTGTTGAGTCATTTTGTTGATCCGGTAGTTGTATTCTGATTAATTTCATACTCAATGTAATTGCTGCAGTTATAGTGAAGTAGTACGTTGCTGAACTTTGGAGGCACTCTAGAACGTTTGATAAATAATTCGACATTTGAAAGTGAAACTGTTAAAGATTTTGATGTTTTTTTTAGTTAGGAATTGAAAAGTATACTACACCATCGTCAACAGAAGACTTGTTGCTTTTATATAACTTTTTCTTTCAATTGTTCTCTGTTCACAGGTTTTTTTTTTCTGTTGAAGTAAGATCATCGGTATCTGTCAGATGAGACGTGACTCGTGGAACAAAAATTACATAATCATAATAGATTAAAAAATGTGTCAAACCTTAAAAGCTATAAAAAAAAGGTCTGTTCAACTATAACCAGCTTAAAGTGATATCACTGATGACAGGTCTATGATCACTCATATGGAATTGCAAGTCCCAAAAAGTTTCACCAGTTCTGTATCTTTCAATCTTGTGTTGTTTCTTTGGAATATTCCAAGCTTCTTTGTTTGGTTTACCAACGAATTGGAAATCAATTCTATCACCAATAGCACTAGTGTCACCCCATGGTTTGAAGCCATCCCAAGTAGCAAAATGTCCAGATCTTTGCAATGGGTCAGTTTCTGGCAAGAAATCTCCGAAAGTGAAAGTGTCGGCAATTGGTGAATGGTATCTTTTAGCAAAAGTTTCATTGATTGGAACGGCTTCTTCAAGACCAGTAACAATTCTATAAGCACCTGAAGCAGAACCATTAGCTTGAGAGTTGAAATCACCAGTAAGAAAGACAGGACCTAAACTGTAGCTGTATTCATGAGCACCAATTTGTTTCAATAATGAAGCACCCAATTTTCTTTGATCATCAGATCTGTCATCTAAATGAGTATTAATCAATGTGAAGAAACCACCACCCCAAGTTGACATATGGGCAATAGTAGCAAGTCTATAAGATCCAGCCCCAGGGTACTTTGAAGGTTCAAATGGAGTGTCCGATAACCAAACCTGATCAGAATCCCAAAGATGAATTTTGTTTGCATTGTAAAAAATGGCTGAATATTCACCTTTTTCTTTACCATCATCACGACCAACACCAACATGTCTCCATGTTTGACCGCTCATCTTGTTTAACAAATATTCCAAGTCGTCAACTTGTCTTTTCAAGGCTTCATTGACACTGAAAATATCAGCTCTGTTGAAAACGACATCATTAGCAATTGCAATTCTTCTTTTAGACCAAGTTTCTTCACCATAGTTTTCATAAAATGGGCCTCCATCAGCAGGGATACCCCATTCTAAAGATTTGATGGTATCTTCAACTGGAATACCATCTTTGACTTTATCAAAACGTAAATTCCAACTTTGAAGACGGATTGTCTCAGAAGCTAAAGCAAATGTAGCACAAACTAACAAATAAATGAGTGACTTAGTGAGCATTGTTATTGTTTGATACAGAAGAAAGGATAATGGTTTCAAATCCAAGATTTCATGCCTCTTTATATACCCATATTTTTTCTTCGAACCTCAGCTCTCTTTGATTTCCACGTGTAATAATACCCACTTACCTGAACAATTCAAACACTGCATTGAGCTCTTACCATTTCAAAACTTTCAACAGTTAATTTAGGTTATCCACCAAATATTCCAAATGTGTGAATACGAACGCATTGGTTTTAATTTGAAGAGCACATGTTAGATCGATTGATCCCAATTGGTAGAATCTTGATCTCAAATAGTATATTCCAGTGAAGAAAACACCAGTTGATCTTCAATGCTTATAGTGCTGGTGTATTTGGATACGAGACAATTCAACTTTTCACTCGATTGAGAAGCTAACGTATACCGGACGCGACTTTGGATCAGAAACCTGCATGGTTCGGTTTTCCAAGGAGTTTGAACTTTGGGGGAATAAGTGTAACCTTCAGATGTGGAATGAACTTGGTGAAGGAGTATCGTCACCTTTGAAGTATTAGCACCAGCAACCAGAATTTTCCATGGACTGAACAAAGGTTCAAGAGCCTGACATAGACGACCAGTGTTCGTGCTTAGAGTTCCTCTCAATTTCAACGGGTTAGATCATTTCTTGAAATTAAACCGTTTGTTTAACGTCCTTAGATCACCAAGCGAACCCTGAAAACCCTTTCAAGATGCAACACAAACAAACACTCAAGAATTGTAGAGATATCACGGACCAAAATCAGTGTACCGCAAAACCATAATACAGCATGTTTACTGTTAAAAAGTTTTCCATATCTTTGAAACCAAAGATACAAACAAGTTGAAACGTGCTCCAACTTTGAGCCCAAGAAACTCAACACCGGCCGTTAAACTTTACACAACCAACCATTCTGAGGTTGCCCGCTTATACCCATCCCTATGACTAGTATCTTCCTGTTTTGGTGAATGAGGCGACCAATATTGGAGTTGATTTCAGAAGTATTGTTGAAAGTTGAAGGCTGGTTCTTTTTCAAAAATTTCCAAAATCAACGCTTCGGATATAAAAGGAACTTCCAAAGCCATAGAGCGAACAGGGCTTTAAGACATTGTGATAATAGAGCCAGTCAAAATACAATACAGGTCTCAATCTAGACAATACAACCTCCTACTGAGCATGGCTAAACTTGTTACCTCACAAGGATAGAATCTAGACTGAAAGTACCAGAGGCCCACGTTACACCTTTTGATTTAGCCTGTAATCACGTTTTCTTCAAATTGAACCGAGAACTCTATTTTAGTGTAGATCCCGATGAATGTAACTTTAAACTTCATCATGTGCCATGTGGCTTTACGGTTTTGCACAGATATGGAAAATTTCAATGATCCAGGAACAGATCAGATTTGAAGTATTGTGTTGTTGGTAGATAAAGAGGGCATGGAGACAAAGGGTATCGTTAGATAGCTTCGTGTTGCCATCATACTGCTCAATCTATATGTATCGATTTGAAAGCCTTAAAAGCAATACAGTGAAAGACAATTGATTGAGTTTTGACCTCGAGAGGCTACACGTGGATAGCAGAAGCTTGACACCATTGGAAATTAAGTTAGTTTACTTGACCAATTGATGATGCAATTCAACGCGAATCTCTGATGAAATATTGGTGATAGCTACGAGATCATTTGAAAGGTGGAAAATCACTTTTGTGATGAGTGTATTAAACAGATGCAAGCTAAGAAAAAAATTGATGAGCATGTGAACAAAAGAACAAAAGTCTATAATAATTGTATAAACGGAAAGAAGAATAATTAAAAGGGTTAGAAAAATTCATGAGTGAACTGAAGGTCATTAAATATCATCAGTAGTTGATTTAGGCAAGGCTAATATCACTAATAACTGGTCTATGATCACTTAAATGCCACTCCAAATCATAAAAAGTTTCACCAACTTTGTGGGTTAAAGCTTTGTGATATTTGTTTGGAACATTTTTAGCATTACTATTTGGTTTACCAGCAAATTGGAAGTCAATTCTACCACCTAAAGCGTTAACATCACCCCATTTTTTGAATCCATCCCAAGTTGAGAAATGACCTAATCTTCTTAATGGATCAACTTGACCATATAAATCACCCCAAGTGAATGAATCACTGATATCAGAGTTGTATTTCTCAACAAATGTTGAATTCATTGAAACTAATGGAGCAGAACCTGTAGCAATTTTGTAAGCACCTGAAGTTTCACCTTCAGATTTTGAATTGAAATCACCAGTAAGGAAAACTGGACCATCAGAATTCATATATTCATAAGCACCAATATGTCTTAACATTGAAGCACCTAATTTTCTTTGATCATCAGATTTATCATCAAGATGACAATTAATCATTGTGAAGTTTGTTCCCTTTTTAGTTTGCAAATGACCAATTGTAGCAGATCTATAAGAACCAGCACCTGGGTATTGAGATGGTTCAAATGGAGAGTTTGATAACCAAATTGTGTGGAAATCATGAACTTTGATATGATTTGGATCAAAGAAAATAGCTTCATATTCACCTTTTTCATGACCATCATCTCTACCAACACCGACATAAGACCAATTGGTACCACTAATTTTGGATAATAAATCTTGTAAATCATCAACTTGTCTTTTCAAAGCTTCATTGACATTGAAAATATGGGCCTTGTTGAAAATAACATCATTAGCAATACCGATACGGCGTTTTGACCAGGATTCTTCACCATAATCAGCATAATAAGTGACTTCATCATCATTTGGAACGGAGCTATTCAATGATTTGATTGTATCTTCAACAGAAATACCATCATGTTTTGAATCAAATCTAAGATTCCAATTTTGAAGACGAATAGTGTCAGCAGCTAAAGCAGCAGTGGATAATGTTAATAAGTTTAGGAAGAGCATGGTTCTAATGATGAGAAGAATAGAGCTGATGTTGAACTTGAAGAGGATTTTGATCTCTTTATATAGTTGAAATGTCTTCAACATTCGAGTCAGTCCATTACACGTGGAGTAAAGTACTTGAAAGCACATCGTCTTGTAGTGGTTCTTCAGTATGCTATGGATCACCACATTTAACCCAATAAGGCAACTCCATGGAGTAGAGGGCATGTAAATTCAAAAGAAAGACACGGTACTTGAATCCACAGTAGCGAACCAAGTTTGATAAAGTCTAAAAATACTTGGTCGATACTGTTTAACCCCCCAGTCCTTCAACGTCTTCCTCTAAGATTGTGCATAAAGTGGGTACTTTTTTTGAGGCGGAATATTTAGCTGCATGCTGAAAATAATTATTGGTTTCATAATGAATCCTGAAGGGGGCTGACGTTGAATAGTTGTTGATGTTGAATAGATCTTGTAAAGAAGCCTCTTCACCGAGGACTTCATTCGTGTTGATGATGATGAGTGAAAGAAGTGATTGTGCTTAGCACATGGGCCTCAACTTTCTAGCACATGGTGAAGATCTTTGTAAAGGTTGATGAATAAGTTCGATGAACTTGATTCACAGGAACAATGTGTACGTGAGTTGATCTCCTGCAAATAATTAGATCCGAAGCTTCAAAAAAAAAAGAAATCAAAAAAAAAACACAACGTCGCGCCTGACGGGGCTACAAGTTTGGAAAATTAAACGGTTTTCTGAACTTTGAATTTTTAGTTTCAAAGAGAGAAACGATTTGATTGGACAAGAGAGGTGCTTGTATACCTGTATGTCGAGTTAAAAAAAGTAATCGTGTCCACTGAAGACCGCTAGTGGCTATATGTACACGATATTCAAATCACTTGGCTCTGTGCTTGACAGCTGAGGGTACTCAAGCGTGTGGAGTCAGGACGCGATATGAACATTCATAAATAATAATGCTCTCTTTTACTGAATCCTGGTCAACTGACTATCAGTGTGGCTATTATTAGGTGATTGATTTCTCATAAAGTGGACAAGTACGATGACTCGATATCTTGTATGTTGTGTATTTATAGATCGAATTACTCTGCCGCGTCATGTTGAACTTTCATTCGTACTTTCCTCAAAACTTTGAGTTTGAACTCCGTCAAATGCATTAAATGTATATACACCAACTGCGCAAATATAACTAACTCAGCTTTAAAACGTCTATATTGTGGACACTGTAGTACTAATATTGAATATTTCCAGGCGAATCTGGTAGCCATGGAAAACCTTATTGTACTTTGAAATGTTTTACAGTGTATAACAAAATTAATACGCTGCAGCTAATTAAGGTGTCTACAGTCATTTTGATAATACTCATGAAGGAGTAATTACGAGAGCTACGTTTTGATAGCTATAGCTAGGATAGGGTGTTCTTATGAATAATTATGGAGCCAGATCAGTTCTTTCAAGTTGGGAGACTGTCGAAGATGAGTTATGTATGTACTATGTGGCCGGTAAGTCAAGACTCAAATGGTTGCGGATGTTAGCTCTTCAGATCAAGTTCCTTTGTGATTGTGTGAAGATTTTTCCTCTTGCACAATATAGTAGTATATTCAGAGTCTTTCGAAACCAGAGTCTGTTAATCCAAAGCTGTAAGCTAAATCAAAGTTTAGTTGGGAGCAAATATGTTTCTCCCAATACAAAAGTGAAAGAGACGGATGAAACTTTGGATATTGAACTTCTTTTATAGATGTAGTTTCCTTAACCGCTGTAGCAGATGTAAACAATACAAATTTTTTTTATGTGGTCATGGGTTGGAGTGATCAAAATGCCATACAAAGGGGATGGCGGTAGGGCCACTGAGGGGAGTAGTAAGCAGAGAATTGCAACATCGTTTAAAGCGTTGATCAGATTTGAAAGGTGGATTACGTGAGTGTGATTGGTATAGATCTACTATTGGGTAGAAAGAGAGTGGTCAACTTAGTGATTAGCTGGTGAGAAAGAGCTGATCATGATACAAATCTCAATTAGTTATTAGAACTTGATCCCTTGGTGCTTGTGTTGTGGGCCCATGATCTTTACTATCCACCGAGGAAAGCTGTTCTTACCTTTCCACCTTAATAACCCACAACATTATAAACAATAACAAACTCTATGACGATGTTGAAAGCAATTGAGTTGGCAACTTTTAAACCATGGCAATTATTTCTTATCACCTAGGCATCCGAGATTTCTAGGGAATGAGGGGAGGGTAATATTCTGTCGATTATCTAATAGCTTATGTCATTCTTTTGATTTTTCCACCTGTCAAAATTGAATCATCAACCTGAATTTTGAAACGTTTGTAATTGATAAGAAGGATTTTAGAAAAGATAGATGCATTAGTCCAATCAAGTTGAGGGAAAACTGGACAAAGAAAGTTGAACTGAAACTAGGGGTGTACATATTTAAAGGAGCTGCTACAAAGGTACAACCTGACACTTGTATCTATCGATTCTACACACTTGATGGCGTTGATCTTTCTATCGTTCATCTTTTGACATCTCCTTTTGAGGTGCACATGGCACAAATTTAGAGCATATTACTTCAGTATGATTGGTTATACACCTTAAATGGTACCTATGAAACGTTCAGGGTGCTATAACCCAGCTGTTGATCAATATATGAAGGGCATTCCAATAATCAAAAGATTCCAAACCCAACCAAGTTATCCTGTATCGGCTAAAGTTTTTCCACTTACAAGTTACAAGTCTATATTGATTAGATTTCATCATATCACAGGTTGATTATTAAACTGTGAAGGAAGTGCTGGCATTACAGTTCACATCAAGTGTTGGAAAGTAGCATATGTACATGGTGTCCATCTATTCATTTATTTATTCCTAAATATTCAAAACAACACAACAACAACTACTACATTACAATGAAAGTCACAGTCTGCGGTGCCGCTGGTGGTATTGGCCAACCTTTATCTTTACTATTGAAACTTTCCCCTTATGTTACTGAACTATCTCTATATGATGTCGTCAACTCTCCAGGGGTTGGTGCTGATCTATCTCATATAGATACAAACACCAAAATCCAATCTTTCCTCCCTGATAACGATGGCTTATCAAAAGCTTTACAAAATACTGATATCGTCATTATCCCTGCCGGTGTCCCAAGAAAACCTGGAATGACCAGAGATGATTTATTTGCTATAAATGCAGGTATCGTTAGGGATCTAGCTCAAGGTGTTGCTTCTTTTGCTCCAGATGCCTTTGTATTGGTTATTTCAAATCCTGTCAACTCTACTGTTCCAATTTTTGCTGAAGTTTTGAAGAAAAATGGTGTTTTCAATGCTAGAAAATTATTTGGTGTTACAACCCTAGATTTAGTTCGTGCAAATACTTTTATTTCTCAATTATCAAATGATTCTTTGAACCCAGAAAACTTGAAAATTCCAGTTATTGGTGGTCATTCTGGTGATACTATTGTTCCTTTATTTTCTTTGGGATCTCCAGAATTTTATAAATCCTTATCAATTGAACAACGTGATGCACTAATACACCGTGTTCAATTTGGTGGTGATGAGGTTGTTCAAGCTAAAAAAGGGATGGGATCCGCAACTTTATCAATGGCTTATTCAGGTTTCAAATTAGCTGAAGAATTAATGAAGGCTATAAAAGGTGATTCTTCAATAGTGGATTCAAGTTTTGTTTATCTAAGTGATGATATTAAAGGTGCTAAGGAAGTCAGACAATTGTTACCAGACTTGGATTATATCTCATTACCTGTTAAACTAAGTGCAAAAGGTGTTGAATCTATTGAAATTGACGTTTTAAACAAGATTAATGATCATGAAAAAGAATTATTAAATGTTGCAATTGACCAATTGAAAACAAATATCTCAAAAGGTATAAATTTTATTAAAAACCAAGCATAGAAAAAGAGTTGATACTACTATTGGTTTAATGATTATTTATGAGTTTGAGGTCGGTTTTCTATACAATATATGCAATTTTAATGGGATTAACTACACTTTGTAGATGAACAAGCTCTTTAGCTACACAACCACATGTACCACAATTGAACCAAAAAGTCCATCAAAACCCCAAGAACGATTCTCAACAACACTCAACTAACCATCTTCTCTTTCAAAGCTCTCTGTTTCTCATTTCTCATAACATGCCCTAGTTTATATGCCCGATAGCGCTGTTATATAATCAGATCTGCCATAAAAAAATTACAAACTTGATCATGGAAAAGGTGCCATATTGAGAACAACTTGAGAAGAAGCCCTACCAAAGGCACAAATGAATGAAAAATTAGAGCCGCGTGGATGCCATGAAGAACTTTGAGCTTAGCTTATAGCTTAACCATGGTCCACTGAGGTAATGTGTATGTGAAGATTCAATGGTTGGGTTTCTTTCGTGATGTCTAACCACGGATCAACTTCTGTTAATGATCATCACTAGGGTTCCCTTGTATTGGTTAATTTCTAGAAGCTGGACTGTCAAAAGGTGGATCAACCTGATGAAATGCCAGAGGAATCAAGAATTAGAGGTGGTCATAAAGCATAGAAATGGAATATACTTTTGATGAACTGTGGACAGTTAGTTGTTAGTTGTGCACCATAGCTGGTGCAACATGCGACTGACACTTATTCGAAGTGAATCAGAGATGTAGATAGAGAGTCGAGACTCAGTAGTCACCAATTGTGAATTTAGATGTGAACTGAGAAATCGATTCAGCAGACTTTGGTATATAGTAAGTGTGTGTATTGTCCAAGTAAATTAACTAAAGTGTATGTATTTCACTAGCTAATAAGAGCTAAGCACCGACAAGAACATAAATCAAAGATGTACTAATGAACTACACATCTAAAAGACAGCAGTAGTTTCAAATATTGAGGACCAATGGTTTCTTTAGTCAACTCTTCAAGTCACTACATAATTCCATCGTTTTTATGACTCCAAAAATTAATCATATACTTTTATACAAAATTACACGTACTAACCCACTTTTTATTCTTTATTAAATATATAACCAATAGTTTAGATGTAACCAATCTTGTTAGCAATATCTAAAGCATCATAATCAGCAGTTAATCTAACATAAGCTTTTTTGGTACCGTTTGGTCTGACTAAAGTGTTGACAGATAAAACATCAACTTCGTATAATTCTTTAACAGCTTTTTTGATTTGATGTTTGTTTGATTTTAAATCAACTTGGAAAACTAAAATGTTAGCTTCTTCAACTTTTTTCATAGCAGTTTCTGAAGCAATTGGGGCAACGATAACTTTGTAAGAATCTAATCTTTCGTAATGTGGAACAGATTTTGAAGCATATCTTGGAGATCTGGCTAATTTTAAAGTTTTTGGTAAACGGAAAGTAGTGTTGGTTCTGATTTTAAGGGTTTTTTTACCATTAGTACCTTTAACAACAGCTTTTTTAGCAGCTTGAGCTTTAGCTAAAGAAAATGAGTTAGTAAACATGTTCAATGAGATATTAATGCATTCATGGATTCATATGGACGTAAGCGAAATGATGATATAGTCTTGTGTCTTTTCATGGTAATCTTTCACTAATCTTCACACTCAAAACTGGTCTTGTCTACTAATGATATTTCTGACCTTGATTTTTGCAAATAATCTCTTTGGAACTTTCATTTTACTCTGAATTCATAATAGTCTTCTCTTTGCTCTCATAATGATTCTTTGATACATTTCTTTATTGGTGTTGCTTATAATCTTCACTTCATCACTCTTTGACAAAAATTTCTTCATTCAATATCGTGTTAACGCTCTTTGATTCTCTTCTTTCCTTATATCTTTCATTTCCTCACTCATATGATCATTCCATTATGCTTATTGAGTCTCTTCACTTACTTGATGGAGCCATTTTTAACTAATATCTCTGTTTAATATGTTCTTCTATATTAGAAAGGATTTTGTTGTGAAATTAAATTTCAACTTTTTTGTTTTTCCCAACTGAGAGAGTCTGTGGGACTGTACTGTTGAAAAAAAAAATTATTATGTAAGTTTTTCTTACAAAGAGGAAGTTGTGTGCAGCTACCAAAGAATTTGTGGGACACGCACAGAGGACGCTGAGAGTCTAGGCAGAGATCCTGCTGGGAGTTGTTTGGCTGGGAGGATGCACAGGCAGGGATCCCTCGACACCGCAGTTTCGGGAGTTAGATTTTTTTTGTTTGGTGTTTATCGGTTAAGAACACAAAACATTCGAACACCACATGTCATTAGGGCTTGATGTTGAGAAGTCACATGACAAGATTAGGGCTTTTCAGAAAAAGTAGTACTTTACAGATCTACCAAAATAAACTATATTTACATGCTCTTTTCATTAATTTATATCCGATGTATATACATAAATCACAAACGTCTTCTTCTTGGTGCTCTAACACCACCGAATTTCAATTTGGTGTTATCACTTAGTCTAACAACTTTACCTCTGATTCTATTACCTTCTTTACCCTTTAATGCATCAATAAAGGCTTCTCTACCTTTACCAAAGTTTTTGACAATGATTTCTAAATCCTTATCCAAATATCCCTTTTGCTCCATCAATTGAAACATCTTTGCAGCAGCTTGGAAACCTGCTTCATATTCACCTCTTGCAGATTTACGGAAACCAACATTACCACCACTTAATGAGATTTTAACTTTTTGTGGTAAATGAACATAATATAGAACTTGATCATTATAAGTCAAATTTGGATTTCTGTTTAAATAATTTATATCTTCTGTGATGGCAGTCAATGTTAAATGTGTGTTATTTCTTGTAAATGAACCATACAAGACATATTTATGTATTAATTCAATCTTTTTGGTGGATGAAACAGTTTTTGGTGTGGTTGATTGTCCTGGACCTCTAATATTTGAGATATCTGATTCTCTTTGTGTAAATTTAGCAGCTGTTTCAGCTAATGTTGGTTTTGAGTTGTTCGTTATTCTTGATGTTGAAAAGTCTATTGATATATGCGTTAGTTTCAAACACTCTTTAGGTTAACAATGTGAACAGCACTCACTTCTTGTGATAAATTGTGGTCTAGAGATCAACCCTAGTATTCTTGAATTACGAAACATGATTAGAAACCTCCGGAATCAAGTATATTGTACGTATTGTTTCGATTTCTCTATATAGGCTTCAATTCATCAATTTTGTTCATTTTTCTGGGATCGAAAACTCAAAATTGGAAGCCCGGGTTACATATTTCGCGATTTTTCTTTGTTTCTGGTTTATAGACCAAATTCCGTGCAAAAATGTTCCAAGGAGAGGGACAAACCGTATTCTGGTAGCTATAAATTAAGACTACTGCCTAAAGTCTCAAGCCAAAACAATTCTATCCCAGAATTGAACGTTGTATTGTGGCTTTACATTTTCGTCAAAGTCAAGTTTATCCGGTTCGCGATTTTTTTTTGCGGTTGGTCATAAAAGTTCACAAAATTTGATAAACAGCTGTCAGTTTTTGAGCTACTTTGAAGCACATCATCTTCAACAGCAACACCGTTACCACTTACGATCCATCACATCCGCTCTATCAGAACTCAGTGAACAACACCGTCAGGTTCTCCAAGATTCATATCCATATCCAGTGACCAGAGATACTTTGAGAGTGTTCTGTTGTGGTTTTAATTCAGTTCCAAATTTAGACTTCATTCAACCACCCATAAATACCATCCCGTTCAGCGCGTTAATTGGAGAATAAGTTTCAATTCTTTCAAATCAATTTCCTTTTTACTACTTCAATTCTCCTAATTGTGTTTTGATTCTATTTGGTTTGATTTTTGTTGTATTTGAATCATTGTGTTTTACCATTTCTAGAATTACAGTGGTCAAAATTCAGCCTCAAAACCATATTTGTTTAAAAGTGAAAGAAATATCAATCATAATCATCAATACAATTCATTAGACAATCTTTCCAAGCTTGCATATCCACCCCATTTACTAGAATTTAATATAGAACTACAATGTCATCATCTTATGTGGATACAGAATTTGTCGCCGATGATGTGACCTCAAACAAAACCAACGTTACAAAGAAGATGCTTATAAAAGAGTACAAGAAAATTGGTGAAGGTGCTTTTGGTACAGTTACACAAGCTAAATTGTTATTAGATGGTGAATCTTGGTTAGGTCCTTTTGCCATAAAGAAAGTCCCAGCACAAACTGAGTACAAAAGTAGAGAATTGGAAATATTGAGGTTAACAAACCATCCAAACATTATAACGTTGGAATATTTTTTCACCCATAAATCTCCAAGTGATGGTAAGATTTATCAACATCTAGCTATGGAATGTTTACCAGAAACTTTACAATTTGAAATCCGCCTCCATTACTCAAATAAGCTGGAACTTCCTCTGAAACATATCAAATTATACACCTACCAAATAGCAAGAGCAATGCTTTATTTACATGCATTGGGTATCTGCCATAGAGATATCAAACCTTCAAATATATTGGTTGATCCAAGCACTGGTGTTTTGAAAATCTGTGATTTTGGGTCTGCAAAGAGATTAGAACCAAGACAGCCTTCAGTTTCATACATTTGTTCACGTTATTACAGAGCTCCTGAATTAATTGTTGGATGCCAATACTACTCTACCCAAATTGATATCTGGGGTCTAGGTTGTGTTTTAGCTGAAATGATTTTAGGTAAAGCTATTTTCCAAGGTGATGATCCAATACTGCAATTGAGAGAGATTTGTAAACTGCTAGGTCCACCAGACAAAAGATTTATTTATAACTCAAACCCTAAATACGATGGTCCATTATTTTCAAAGCCTTTATTCAATGGAAAAGTTTCTACAAGATTTACCAAGATTTTAGGACCTGTTGGTGAAACAGGTATTGATTTATTGACAAAAGTCTTAGTTTTTGAACCTGAAAAGAGATTGAGTCCAAGAAGAATTTTAGCACATGAATTTTTTGATGATTTAAGAGTTGATTCACAATTTGTTCCAAGAGGTTCTTCAACCCCGGTTGAATTGCCAAAGTTATTTAATTTCAGCAGTTTTGAGTTGGATGTTATCGGGGAATTGAGAGATAGAATCACCATATGATAATGAATGCCCAAGAGCAAATTACATAATTTTTTTTACTCCTCACAGGTTTAATTGATTTATTTTTTTTGATGAGTTACACGAAAGTTTTTATAGAGATCTTAAACAAAAACCCACTGCTATTTTTCTCTCACCTTTTTATTTATTTTTGAAGTGTTTAATTTTGAAGACAACTGACTCAATTTTTGCCATGAGTTTTACGTTGTTGATTGATCTTTTTTTTTTATATATAAAATTTGTTAGTTTTAATCTGTTTTTAGCATGAGAGAGTACATGATGTTTTTTTGATTGTTGTACTACATTTAGATCTGAACATATCCGCCATCAATTTAATCTTATAAAGCCAAAGAGTAAGAGTACTCATCTTCAATATTTTGAGCAATCCATAAAACAATACAACTCAACATTATTGAACCATTTGCAACAACATTTGAAACACCCATACCTAAAGTTGGGAAAGTGTAATGTTTGATTAAGAATTTCAAAATTAAAACAACAATTGAGCCAGCAATACCACCAGCCAACAAACTAAAACCTAAGAATAAGATAACACGAGCTTGCCATGTAGTTGAGCTTGAGCCACCGAAACTTGAACCACCACCTAAGGCATCATTCAATAGTTTGTTTTTTTCAATTGAATTAACAATCAGCATCCCTAATGTTGAACAAATTATTGGAATCCAATCAACAAATGTAACATGAACATCTGAAGCATTCACAGTCTTACTATATATAACTGCATCAATGAATGCCCAAAATCCTATAGCATACTAGATAATTGTGGTTAGTTTTGCTCAATAGTTTAAGTGCTTGAAAGGGTTGTACGTACTAATGCACCAGATGTATAAACACCAATTGATCTTAATGCAGTTGAGTTTGGAAGTTTGAAAGGTTGAAATCTGAAAAGTCTGTCTTGTTCCATGTTTGAATATTTAGAAACTAGGTTTAGAGGTTTTAACATGTAACTACTTTGAAGCTTGGTCTAACTCAATCGTTGTAATCATAGGAGGCTTCACTGACTTTTGGATTTGGGCGCGAACACTGATTCATTCGGGGGTGTTTGAGGATATCCGGGGCCTAAAACATAGAGGTGAAAGATGAATATTCATTTTATTAAAGTATTTTTTAAGAGACTATTTGAGTAATGGAAGAGTGCTAGTTAAAGATAGCCTTTTTATTAAAAATTAAAATGATTGTTTTCTTCTTATGCAAGTTTAGATGTCTAAAGCAATCAGACTCTTTCGATTTGTTCATCAACTGAATCTATAATCAATGGTTTACTCTTATCAGCACTGAACCAAGCTGGTAAGTAAGAGTCAATCTTTAGAGCACCATTGAAGACCAATGTACCAAAGACTAAAAAGATGAAACCAACGAATTGTAAGAAAACAAAACTTTCCCAGCCAAGATATATGGAAACAAGCCAGACTAATAATGTTCTGCAAGTGTCAATTGTACTTCTAGCTGTTGCACTTAACTTACTAGTTAATGTGATACCAATGAAATTGAATAAACCAATAGATACCATGATTGCAAAAGAGCTATATATAATTTGATCAGAACTGAATAATTCATTAAAAGAGTTCTTCATATCAAAAGGACCCTTTGTGTTGTAACCAACTGCAATATATAATAATGACATACCAATTAATGTTATGACACCGCCAAAAGTACCTTCCCAGCCGACTAACCTTAGTGGTTCAATTGTCCAATTCTTAATTATATGTTCCTCAACAACAAATTGTGTAGCTGTAAACACTTGAGCAAGCAAAATCATAGAAATACCGAGAAATAACCTTGGATTTAAAGCTGGTTGAGCTGTACTTTCATCTGATGCACCTGAGTTTGAATTACCACTCAAACCAACAATTGTGATACCTAAGACCACAGTGGCTAGAGCTGTCCACTCAATTCTTGAAATTGTATGCTTGAGGAAAACAATACTGAATAGTGCAACAAAGATGATCAATGCACCTCTAGTCATTTGGTAAATTGAAACTGGAGTATACACAAGACCCAAGTTCATCAATGTTGTGCCCAAGATATCACAAATGGCTGGGATTGATAAAATATATGCTTTAGCTAATGGCAAGTCTGGAGTTGCTGATGCATCATTTATTCTTGTATAATCTTGTTTACTTTCATTCAATTTAATGATTCCCAAGAATATAAAAGCCGCAGCTTCACCAACAAACATTTGTAAAGTTTGCAAGACTGGTTGTTCAAACTTCTCATCCGGTGATACATATTGATTATCCTGATATTTGGTAAAGACTGAGTTTAAACAACCGGTGATGATTAGACCAATGGCTAATGCCAAAACCTGGATAACCTTGTTAGCCATACCGTCTAGAATTGACACATTATTGCATGGTCCTCTCAAATACTCACTAGAATTCTCATGGTTTTTATAGGTTTGGTGATGTTGTTTGAGGTTGTCACCAGATTAGGATCTCAATGGGGCAAGTTTTGACACAGTAACCTCAGTAGGAATCAAACAGCAAAGAATATTCAAAATGAACCTCTTTGATGGTATGGATTTAGATAAAAAGCGAATCAAGAACTCAGGGAGTATAACCTTTTAGTACAAGCTGTTCTTTCAGAGGTTCAGCTCAGCATTTTCCCTATCAAAAGCATCTCGAGATGGATTTTAGACAATATTTCGCGAATTCCAACCCAGTTCCAACTTCCGATATCGTCTTGCGACTTCCGACACCTTCAAATTTTATATGTCACTTCATTGCTCACAATTACTCACAAGTGCACACAACACCAGGAGACTACGCAGAGATATAAGAAGGTTTATTTCACGAGCGAAGAATCAGATCAAAGGGTTTAAAGTAAGGGAGAAGAGGCCCAAGTAAGGTTAGAGAAGCTGTACAAGTGAGAGATTGTTCAGAGCAAGATAACAATATGCCAATTGCAACATATGCACCAAGAAGAAAGTCTTCATTATCTCACATCACCACTGATGAAGTACAACCAGTGATTGAAAAACCAAAGAAATGTTATAGATGTGATAAAGAAATGAAAGCTACTAGTGCTAGCACGAGCTCCAAAAGATCAAGCAGTGGCTGTAAGTCACTATTAGGATCTATGCGTGAATCCCTTTTACATGGCAAAACTTCAGGATTTCAATCCAAACCAACCCCATTCAAAGCTATGATTTCAGCAGGATTATCAAAACCTATATTGATGGATTTCGAAGCTAGTTTTTATACTTGGAGTGATGGTAGTGAGTCACCATATGTTGGTACTTTAGATATGAGCGCTAAGCAACTGAACAAGGCAGGATTTCCTGGTTTCAAAGTTGAAGAGAGAGGTAAAATACAGACAGTTATATGTAATGAGGAAGGCTCGGTTATCAAGATTATTATTGTAAATTACAATATAAGGAAGTTGAAAAGCGGGTTTAAGGTTTTCATCAGACAAAGTAATGAAAATTATACTATTCACCTGAACTTTATGAATTGCAAAGGCAGATTTTATCTTTTCGATGATATCAAAGTCATATTCAATAATCATTTGCTAAGTTCCAATTCAAAAGATGTGAAATTTGCTGGGAAACCTTCAAAAGTTAATTTAGATTACTATCTCAAGAAATGTTATCTTTGTGATCCTGATCAAAGTGCAATCACTGATGATGAAAATGTCACTAAACTGTCTGATAAGCTATCAAGCTTGGAAATGATTAAAGATACTTCAAGTGATTATGAAAATGAGAAAAATAAAGAAAATGAAATGAATATGAAGTTCAATGATGAATACCAAATGAAGTGTATTGATGATGATGAAAGCACTACAAACAACGACTTTAATGAAAACGGAAAGGGAGAAAAGGGTTTAGGGTATAATTATGGGAATAATGGTTTTGGAATGTTGGTTTTAGGTTCAACAGAGTTTAGATAGAATTAATAACAAAAACACTTCGAATTACAACTATGTAGCCAAATTATCTTCTGAGTGAGATTATTTTTTCAGCGTCTAGAAATTTTATGTAATTACGAATTGCCTAATCTATTGAAAATCCTCCATTCATCTCAAGTATATCTAATAGATGCAAATAACCAAACCAAACCAAGTTTTCCCAAATTTCAAACAAAAATCTCATTAAATCTCCTCTTTGCAACCAATCCGATATTACAACCAGGTGCAATACATTTAGAAGGAGCATAAATGAATGGATTATCAATATCTTTATCTGTTTTTTTGAATTTGTTCTTCTTTTCCTTCAAGATTGCTTTGACACCTGATATGTTTTTAACACAACGTCCACAATAAGTATGTCCACACGTTGACATGAAGATTCTCTTGGCTAGATCACGATCAGCATCAGTGATCAAGTTTAAGGCCTGATACGGTGCCATCACATCATTTTCTTCCTGAAGCTTTTCAAGTTTTGCATGCTTAATGTTCCCTCTAAATTCTTCTGGTAGACCTTCACCCAACGTTACACCACACAATATACAGACGTAATCTTCCTCGGGATCTAAAAATGTAGTATATGGTGCCTTTATGCTCTTTATTTTCTCCTCACAATAGTCGTGATAAGCCTTTGTAGCACTCTCATTAATATTTCTTTTTTTATCAGCTTCTTGGTTTTCTCTTTGTTCAATAATGTTCATAATATGTTGATCAACTCCACCATCATCATGCAAATGATGGTGATGATGAGGGAATGCCATTCCAGGATAAAAATTTGGATCATCATCGTCATCTTCTTCGTTGAAAAATATGCTATTGAAAGCTAGTGGGAAATTATCCATCTGTAACATCATATCTAAGAACGAAGATCCAGGTCCACGACGGTTTCTCATCTGTCTTGTTGGCGGAAGTGGAGGATAGCCTCGAACTGGACGTCTTTGAGCAGGTGGTGCACGTCTTGGACGTTGCACTGGCGGTGGAGGAGGTCTTCCTTGTCTGGCTTGTTGTGCTCTTATTTGCTCTTCTCTTCTCATTTGCTCAGCTCTGCCCGCTACTTCTTGAGGGTTTCTATAGCTTTGTGTTGGTATTGGACCCCTAGCATTTTGGAATGATCTTCTTTCAGGACCAGCTGAACCTGAACCTTCCCTATTTTCATAAACAGGTATAGGGCCATTGGGCGAATGTATCACATAACTTGGAGTCGAGGGTACCTCAGGGACATTGATTCTTTCCTCAACTATTTCGACATCATCATCATTTTCATTATTGTTCAAATATCTCTCAACGGGTATCACATTGTTGATTCTAACATCACTTGACCGACTCGCACCAGTGCCTTCTCTGCTTCTCTCAAATATCACTTCGATATCATCTTCACCATCACTGTCATCCAAATCTATCACCTCCCTATTTGCCATCTTGTATATGCCTTACTAATATTGAAAAAAGTAGAAGTGTAAATAAATGTTTTGAATTGTGAAAAAGGTTGTGGCAATAAAAAAACATGATCGCGATTTCGCGAAAAAGAAATACACCATGAGCAAAAGACGGATATACTCGCCCATAGATGGTTGTTGACTTGGCTTAACCATTGAAAAGTACAAAAACGTTTCAATTAATATTTCATGAATTCAGACAAAAAGTATATTTTATATATAAAAAAAAGTGTGTAAATATAGATGCAAAAATACAAATTTTTTTGATTTGATTCCTTTCGTGAATTGGATATATGGTGGTCAATCTTCAATGGGTTTGATGGGTAAAGGATTGTATCTTTTGAAAGTTAATAGTACAAAGGTGAATAGGTATGATCCCCCATTAGAAATGAGGCATCATTGGTAAAGGAAAAGCCAACACAAAAAAAAGTGTCAATATAAAAAAAGAAATAATTAAAACCTAACAAAAAACATGACAAGAACAATTATTAACAACCCCAAAATTAAAAAATGATATGATTAATTAATTCACTTATAAACCGCTTCTCATGTATCTACCAATAACGATACAATGGTCACGTTCATAAGGTTCTAAGGTCAATTGTTCTAATGGTTTAATTTTTTCTTCTCTTAATTTTTGAACTTCTCTAGCGAAAACAGTTTCAGCATCAACAGTAGAATCAATACAGTTAGCTTTGATTGAGATGACAACACCACCTTGATCTTTTAAGAATAAATGGGAGTTCAAAGCAATGATACGGGCTTGATCAGGTTGGGCAACATCTGCGAAAACAGCATCAACCATACCAATCAACATTCTGTATTTTTGTGGATGTCTAGCATCTTCAATGATTGGAATGACATTTGGTCTCTTTTTAGCCATACCGATTAATTCTCTACCTGGTCTGTGTGAGAATTCAACAGCATAAACTAAACCTTCTGGACCAACAACATCAGCAACATGAGAAACTGAGGTACCGGAGGCAGCACCCAAATATAAAACTTTTTTACCTGGAGCAATGAATAATTCATCTAAACCACCCATAATACCAGCAGCCAATTTGGATCTGAAAGGATTCCAGACACGGTATTCGGTTTTAGTTGGTGGGACACCTTCTTCGGTTGATGGATCTTCAACAGATATTCTCTTTTCACCGTAAACTGATTCACCTGGGGCAATGTTCTTAGTAACTAACAAATCTTCTTTACCTCTGGCAATGAAGACACCAGCATGTTTATGTTTTTCAATGACAGTTTTGGCACCACCTCTAGCACCACCTCTGGCACCACCACGACCACCTCTGGCACCACCTCTTGGACCACCACGGCCACCTCTAGCACCACCACGACCACCACGGTCACCACCAAAACCACCTCTGGAACCACCTCTAGCACCACCACGACCACCACGGCCACCACCGAAACCACCTCTTGAACCACCTCTTGGACCACCACGGCCACCTCTACCACCTGGAGTAAAAGCCATTTTTATATATATGTAATTTGTGTGAAAAAAGTGTTTTTAAACTTGAAAGAAACAACTGACAACTAGTCTAATGTTTTCCTTTTGATGAATGAATTAATATTAATGAGGATTAATCAAATATTAACTCTTGATATGGATTGATCAATTTCTTTTATGAAAAATATAAACTGATGATTGAACGAATTGAAATCTTTTGTAAAAAGGAGCAATTCAGCAATAATGTATAGCTTATATGTGATGAATAAGAAAAGTCAAAGAAGATTGAACAACCTGTTTGAATAAATTGATCAGTGATTAAACGATGTAAATAACCTGCAATATTTAAGAAACATATACAAAAAATTTTTTTTCCTTCTGTAGGTGAAAAAAAAAATTTCTAAAGCGTTACCCTGGAAGATGACTTGAGTTACGTAATAATTGGTTTTGAATTATGTAATCACCTGCTTATATAAGTTTTGGCTGAAAATTACATAATTTTTCTTTCGAGAATTTGGCCCGAGGGCAAAACTTTTACCCCGGTTTTGCCCCGATATGGAAAGGCGTGCGCCTTATCAGGAATCAGGAATCTCCTCTGGTTGATCATCGAGCATATAACCGAATCTGAACACTATATTAACCTCACAAGAAGCCCTTTTAAAAACGCGTGAATAACCCTCAACCCAACAATTGTTTCAATCACTATAGCGTGATCTTGAAGGTCCTGCTGCTATTACTTGGTGTATTATATATTGCAAAAGCCCTCCCTTAAGAAATCTTTTAAGATCTTTTATCATCCATAACCTCAATTGAGAATATAATCAGATGTCATCTAGGAACAAGTCTTTGAATGTCAAATACTTGGAGTATTTGAAAAAGTACCCTTTGTTAACGAAGTCTGTTACTGCTGCTGTGTTGGCTGTTTTGAATGAAACGATTGCAACTACTATATCCAAGGATTTCAGAATCTCAAGAGTGTTGAATCAAAAGATAAAGCATCCATTTTCCATAAAGATTCCATTAATGGCACTTTTCGCATTTGCCATTAATGCTCCAGTATCACATTATGGGTTTTTGTTTTTGAATAAATTGTTCAAAGGTCCTTTATCAAAGCGTGATAAAATATTACAAATCTTGACCATGTTGATGACAGTAACCCCAATCCAATGCTCTTTGATCGTGTCATTTATATCATTGATCAATATGAGACCTCCAATTCAATCACTATCTACTGATGAGATCAAAAGAACTTTATCCAGTGTTAAAACTTCATTAAAAGCTTCTTTGTTAAATGTTTTGAAATCATCTTGGGTCACAACTCCTATTGTTTTAACTATTGCTCAAAATTATATTCATCCAGATATGTGGGCCGTCTTTACAAATATTGTTTACTTCTTTTTGGGTACTGGTCAAAACACTTTCTTGAAGATTCAAGCAAAGAGAAACCATGAATATGCAAAGAAGAGGGCCGAAGTTGAAAAAGAAGTTGAACGTGAAGTTGATGAAAAGAACGAAGAGGCTACTAATATTGCAGCCGAAGTGGAAGACCAAGTTGCAGGTGCTTTAGAAGAGATGAAGCCTGAAGATATACAATAACAACGAAAGGGTGTTAAAAGAGAACAAAAGACTAAAGGGCTAAGCTTAAGAAACCACGATCAAGTAATGAGGCTATTGTACCTCGATGTGAAACAAATTATAGGGTTATTTATGTGGTTTGTTGTGTATAATGTGCTTTGAAGGGCATTATCACGTCAGTTGGTGAATTGATATGTATCTAATTAATATTTCTATTTAATGTCTACATTGCTTTGTAGCTTCAAAGCTAAAAGAGCGTAGGAGCTCAAGAAGTATCTTGCAATTCAAACCTTTCAAGTAGATCTAGCATTCCACCAGTGCACGGCACGTTGATTGTCTGATAATGTATAGCCCATACTCTTGTTGTGGCTACCATCAGGATCTACGTATAAAACTGAATATAAAGACAAAAAGTTGCACCTTTGGAAATGCTTCACTTCAAGTTTTACAGGACCAGTTACTTAAAAGCCACCCTGCTGAAGTCAGATAAATCAAAGACAGAAGTGTTGGTATTTCCTATTAATAAAGCCGACCAACAATGTCAAGCTATACTCATGAGAAAGGACCAAGCGATACTAATATCACCAAGGAGGACTTTGAATCTCTGAAAGAATTAATCGAAAAGCAAAGTGAGAGCATTGAGAAATTGTTTAACCATTTCACCACCAATGATTCTCCTACAGATAGCTCCAGCTCAACATCAACAGCCCAATCCGAACCGATTAGTACAACAACAGTGATACTTTCCACCATAGGGGTTCTTTTGTCAATCTTCCTTTTACTTTGTCTTTTCTACGTCTTTACTAGGATTTTTGCTGATCATGTGCTAGTTCAACTAGATGCTTTTGTTGATTGGATGTTCTGTTAATTGCAAGAGTTTACGAGCTTATATAGCATTCTCGTACTACACATGTTGAATACAATTGAAGTTATTATCATTCATGTAACGTATTAAAAGCCAAAAAGGTAACATAGCTACCAGTAGATTCAAGCATATTACCACATTGAACACCTCATTTTATAATTGTTCGCCGTTTCATTGAAGTTTATCCTCGACGTTTCACTAATTTTCGTCTAAAATTCTTGGAATCCCGCTGAAATGCACATCAGGCACCGTCGCGAAAAGAATATCAAACCAAAACATGCTGAAAAATCTCAAAAGATCTTAATATGGAACCATAGCTATTTATATCCAATGAAATGCACGAAATATTTAGTTATTTCTATTCTTAACTTTGTTAAACGAGCCAAAAAAATCTGTACCTGACCGTATTAAAATTTTACGCGTCTTCACGCCCTTTCAAAAAAAAATCATTTGGACCAGACACGTAAAAACAGGATCAAAGAAAAAATTGTGACTTCAAACACAACTGAAATCTAACGAAAACAACTGCATTTTAAACAGAGTTCCACTAGTAGTTGAAGTTGGAAGGAGCATCTGGGTGATCAATCATTAGTTGTTGTTGAATATACTGCCACTACACGTTTTTTTTTATTTGAATCATATATCGCTGCTATAATTATCAAAAGATCAAAAGTTATTTTTAAAGTCATTACTGTTTCACAAATATGTCTGATACTAAGCTGAAAGAGTTATTGAAGACAATGGGGTCAAAGCTTCTAGATGATGATGAAGATTTCAAGTTGACTGAACCGAAAAGGATAGTTTCAACCGGCTCAAGCAGTGCTAGTGAAGGAAGTGTCGTTGTCCACAAGAAATTCGACCAAACACTACAAAACATACAAGATGGTGACGAAGAAGCCTCGGAGGATGATGAAGGAGAACAACCACTCAGAATAAAGACAAAGAACTTACAAGAAGAAGAAACAGACGAAGATGATGATTTCAATGATTATGTTATCGAACCTCCATTGCCTCCACCAAAAGAACTACATCCAGGTAAATTATATGCATTATATGAGTTTTCTGGTAATGATCCATCACATTGTGAGTTGGAAAGAGATGATGCTGTCTTCCTGCTGAATGACCAAGACAGTTATTGGTGGTTGGTGAAGAAAGAATTTGATGGCAAGATTGGGTTTGCGCCAGCAGAGTGTTTGGAAACATACCACGAAAGATTGGCAAGGCTGAATTGCTGGAAAAATGAAGAACTAGAAAGAAACTCCAAAGAGACACTAGAGAAGTTCCCAAACAGATTAAGATCAGATTCTAGGGTCAACAAATGTGTTGCATTTTCAAATAATGTGATTATAACGGATGAAATCGAAGATGAAAAGAGTCAGTCTGATGAAGATAGTGATGATGAAGAGCATGAAGAAGATGATGAACAGGAAAGCAATTACGACGATGATGAATATAATGATCAAATACCGACAGAAGAAGATGAAGTATTAACTGTGAGTGATAATTTCCCAGTTACACCATTGACAATAGCAAAGAAAAATAAACCAAAACCAAGAGCATATAGTGAATCAGATTTTGATGATGAAAGTCCTTTAGTGGCCCCAACTGCATTTTTCAACATCAATAACAATACCTCAGGCTCAATAGGGACATATTCACCAAGTTCTTCAGAGTTTGATTCACCAGGACATACACCACCTCTCACTCAATTCAGAAAACCGGTTAAAGAACAATTGGATGAACATTCTGAGAAAAAAGGTAATATACCCCAATCTAAAGGCACAACTGATATGTTCAATAGTATACGGATGTTGGATGAGATTATTAATGATGAACTGAATACAACAAAATCCTTGAGTGACGGCAACGAAGGTGATGATACAATAACTTATGATGATGATGATGATGATAAACTCTCATCTCCAATCACGCTAGATGACGAAAAGAAAAACCTATCAAACATGACAAATTCAACTTTCACCAATTCAAACACTTCTTTGCAATTAACAAGCACAACAACTTCAGTTGATAACGATTCAATTTCAAAAGATTACTCATATAATGATCTAAGTACGCCAAAACTAGAAAGCACATCACACCCTGACATTGAATCGATTTTCCAAGGATCACTCTCCAAAATGGATGAATTGGCTGAAAAGTTAAGATTACTAAATGAAAGATTCAGCTAATATTGTTATGTTTTAATTTGCATTCTGTTTTTTTGATTTTAAGCATTCAATTTTCACTTCATGGTACCTTTTTCTGCCTTCAAAGAATGAACTTCTTTCTTCAATACATTCCAGCCATACCTGCTCTATGTATGACCAAACATTACATTGAAATATTCAACGTAGATGCTACTTAATCTGACATCCTGCTTATACGCCTTTCGCGAATGTGACCTGTACCGGATCGAGCTCATCGCCTAGGGTAACAATTTTTTTTGACGGCCCCATCTCAAAAAAAAAAAAATTACAAAAAAAAACAAAAACCACAACAATTAGAGAATTTGAAAGGTTTTCGAAACAGTACATCAAATTAAAACCAGAGGTTCCCCTTCATTAATGCTAAATATAATAATATAAACTGAAGAATATGTCTTGGGAGCCAAATCCAACTGCTATTGAACAACTAAAGCATATATTAGCGGGTACACTTTCCCCTAATTCCCATGAAAGATCACAAGCTACAGAAGCTTTAGATCAAGCAAAGATCCAAGAAGATTTTCATAATTATTTACTCTTTATCTTGGTTAATGATAAATCCACCACTTCACAGATCAGAGCATCGGCCGGTGTGAATTTAAAGAATGATATGATCAAAAATTTCAATGTTAAGACTAATGATTACTTATTGGAAAATATACTCAAGGGTTTATTAGATGATGATCCGTTTGTTAGAAATATTACAGGTACTGTTATCACTTCGATATTTTCCACTCTGGGTGTTGCCAAATGGCCATTTGTATTGCCTCAATTGATGGAGTTAAGTGAAACGGGGAACGTTACAAGTCAAGAAGGTGCTACTGGTGCATTAGCCAAGATCTGTGAAGATTCATCACATATTTTAGATACAGATTATAATGGTCAAAGGCCTTTGGATTTCATGGTTCCAAAATTTATTGCATTGACCGGATCCAATTCTCCAAAAGTTAGAGCCAATGCATTACATTGTTTGAATCAAATCATTTTAACCAAAACACAAAGTTTCCTGGTTCATATTGATGATTTCTTACAAAGGTTATTTTCATTGGCTGGTGACCAAGATCCAGCTGTTCGTCGTAATGTCTGCACAGCTTTTGCATATGTTTTAGAAGCAAGACCTGATAAAATAGCCCCTCACTTGGATGGATGTGTCAATTATTGTTTACATTCAATCACAACAAGTGAAGATGAAGTTGCACTTGAAGCTTGTGAATTTTTATTAGCATTAGCCACTTCGGATATTCCAGAAGATTTGATCAAACCTTATCTACCAAATATATTACCAGTCCTTTTGAAAAGTATGGTTTATTCAGAAATGGATATTTTCTTGATGGATAATACAGACGATGCTGATGTTGAAGATAGAGATGAAGATATCAAACCAACTAATGCAAAAGTGAAAGACGCTCATAATCAAAAGAATGGTGGTGGAGATGATGAAGATGAGGAAGATGAAGATGGTGATTACAGCACAGAATGGAATTTAAGAAAATGCTCTGCAGCTACATTAGATGTTTTAACATCAGTTGCTCCTTCAGAAGTTTTGCAAATAAGTTTGCCAATCCTTAGAGAAAATATTGTATCCGAGCAATGGCCGATTAGAGAGGCTGCTATTTTAGCATTTGGTGCTGTTTCTGAAGGTGGTATTGAACTTGCCTCACAACAATTACCAGCTTTAATTCCTTTCCTTGTTGAAAGGTTACAAGATGATGAATCAAGCGTTAGACAAATAACATGTTGGACCTTGGGCCGTTATTCTGCATGGATTTGTTCTGAAGCTCATAAAGGTGGGTTATACTCAAATTATTTCATTCCAACATTCCAATCCATTATAGCTTGTTCCTTGGATAAGAAGAAGATGGTCCAAGAAAGTGCATGTTCTTCCATAGCTCAATTTATTGAAAATTCTGAAACGGATCTAATTCAACCACTAGCTGCAGATTTAGTTGAAAATTTCAAAAAATGTTTCCAGTATTATCAAAGAAAGAACTTGGTTATATTATATGATGCTATCCAAACTTTTGTTGAAAGAATTGAGTTAGATTCTGGTGCAATTGAAGCAATCCTACCACCATTATTGAAGAAATGGGAATTGCTAAGCGATGATGATAAAGAACTATGGCCATTATTAGAATGTATGTCATCAGTGGCTGCATCACTTGGTGAAAAATTTGCTCCATATGCTGTTCAAGTTTATGAAAGATCATTAAGAATCTTGCAACATTGTATCGAAATGGATAAGCAATGCAAATCTGATCCAAATATTCAAGTCCCAGAAAAAGATTTCATTATTACTTCACTAGATTTGATTGATGGATTGTGTCAAGGTCTTGGAGAACATAGTGGTGAATTGATTAATGAACATTTGATTAAATTGGTTATCGAATGTTTTAATGACCCAATAGATGACGTCCGTCAATCAGCTTATGCTCTATTAGGTGACATTGCCATTTATATTCCAAATACTTTAGGATCACATATTGATGAAGTCATTATATCAATTGGAAGAGAAATTGTTGCTAGAAATCAAGAGAACTTTGCTGTATGTAATAACGCAACTTGGGCACTAGGAGAAATTTCATTGAGAATCAATTTGAACAATTATTTGGAGAAATTGGTTGGTATTTTGATTGATTTGTTAAAGTCACAAGCAATGTCCACTGTTCTGGAGAATGCAGCCATCACTATTGGTAGAATTGGTATATCATCACCAGAATTCTTCTCACCACATCTTAATGAATTTTTGTTGGATTGGTCTGCTCATATGATGTATTTGGAAGAAAATGAAGAGAAAGAAACAGCATTCCAAGGGATGTGTAATATAATATTGACCAACCCTACCGGATTCAATAATGAATCATTAGTTGCTTTTGTTAACACAATAACTATGTACTTGAATCCAGGTCAAAAATTGGCTGAAATATTTCACAAGTTATTGAGTGGATATAAAGAAATGCTGGGGGATAGCTGGACACAATTTTTACAAACGATTGATAATGGTGCAGAATTGACAGGGAGATACAGTATATAGGTTTCTACACATAAAATGATTTACATTAATACCAAAAGTTTTAACATGAAGAGCATAAGGAAGTGTAGTACAAAACATTTTGTACTGTGCGCACAAAAGAACCCTTCTATGTGCTGATAATCCTTCTTTTCAGTAGCTCATCTGGACTTCAGTACGCTTCACGTATGCCATTTTAAATGCAAAGTTCGACATTGAGAAGCACCTATGGTAAGTGTCAAGTGAAGTAGAAACCCAAAACGTTGAGGTTGAAAACGTAAAGTTTCTAGAATTACAGAGACATACTTTAAATAGACTGCTACATACACAACAAGCGAGTGGATGAACAATAAACTGATACCCATAACCTTTGAGGTAACCATGAAAAACTCGTTCTCCATACAGAGAAATTAGAATCAAGTTCAGTTTGAGTCTATGTATAGTAACACGGACTTGGCCGTCCATCGGATATAACATTTCTTTTTGGGATAAATCCGTTCAAGGGCAAAATCTTATCTGAGAAAAACTTTTTTGGTAAAGCCGATTCGACCATACAAAATTTTCCATTCCTGAAGCGGTGAGTTGGTGAAGAAAATGTTGGAACTGAGCCATGTTGTTTGATTCCTTCTCTTTAAATATGACCTCTCCATAGATTTCAGCACTTCATACTACTTGGTCATCCTTGTTAAGTCCTTCATTTGCTTGGTTTCCAGAGTTGTCATCGTTTGTTTTGTTTTGTTTTTGGCTTTGAGTTACAGATACTGATAAGCTGATACCGTTGGAAATTCACTTACGTGCTTAAAAATTGTCATCATTCCAGCTTGTTTTGACTTGAAAAAAAACCGTTGCCTGGAGAAGTACAGAAAGAAGAGAACACCTATTTGACAATGTCCAGAGCTCTTTCATCAACCAACGTCGTTATAGATGACAAGGTTGTTTCAGCTACAATCATATTCTCCATAGAATCTGGGAAGATTTTAGAGATAGTCCATGAAATCCTACACAATGAAGACCCGCTATTACAGCTTTATGATGTGGATATCAACAATTATAGAAATGTGTCACCTTTCTTCATCATCCCTGGTTTAGTTGACTCTCATGTTCATTTGAACGAACCAGGAAGAACTGAATGGGAAGGATTTGAAACAGGTACTAAAGCCGCTGCAGCTGGTGGTGTCACTACTGTTATTGATATGCCTTTGAATGCTATTCCTCCAACTACAAATATCAAAAATTTCAACATTAAATTAGAAGCTGCTAAAGGTCAACTTTGGGTTGATTCTGGGTTTTGGGGTGGATTAATTCCTTCAAATTTGAATGATTTGATTCCTTTGATTAATGCTGGTGTTAGAGGGTTCAAAGGGTTCTTGATTGACTCAGGTGTTGACGAATTCCCAGCTATTGATTCTCACTATGTTGATAAGGCTTTAAAAATTGTTGAAGGTAATGACACTCTGATCATGTTCCACGCTGAAATGCAACCGGTTGATCATAGCAATAGTGGTCCTCAGCTTGTTGATCGTCTTGAAAGTATAGATGAAATTGAAGACTTGGATATTGGATTTAGCCATTCAAATAGAGGCTTTGATTTGACCCCTTCCAATAGTCTTAGAACAACCATATCTGGGAAGAGATTGCTACCAAGTCACCAACATGAACATGATTATATCAATCAAAACTTGACAGATGACCAAATAACCGCCCTAGCTGCCTCTCCAATATTAGCACCAGCTGATCCGATCACTGGTATTCCTTCAAAGATGGTCCATCATGATGATCATACCTTATCACCATTATTAGAAGCTTCAAAAACCAATGATGAATTGGCAGATGTCGATCCAACTAGTTATAGATCCTATTTGGCTTCAAGACCTGATATTTTTGAAGTGGAAGCCATTAAAACAATCATCAACTGTGCAAAGAAAACACCATCAGTCCCACTACATATTGTCCATTTAGCAACTCAAGATGCTGTTCCAATTTTATTTGAAGCCCAACAACAAGGTCTTAAGATCACAGCTGAGACTTGTTTCCATTATCTATCACTTTATGCTGAAAAAATTCCAAACTGCTCAACTTATTTCAAATGTTGTCCACCAATTCGTACAAATGATAATAGAATGAAACTATGGGAAGCTTTAAGAAACGATATTATAACAACTGTTGTATCTGATCATTCTCCATGTACTCCAGAATTGAAAAATTTGGCTAAAGGTGATTTCTTCTCAGCCTGGGGTGGTATTGCTTCTGTTGGGTTAGGATTACCAGTTTTATACACAGAGGGTTTAAAATTATCACCACCTGTTACATTAGTTGATATTGTTAAATGGACATCTAAAAACACCGCTAAACAAGTTGGTTTATCCCATAAAAAAGGTGATTTGAAAGTTGGGTATGATGCAGATATGGTTATCTTTGATCCATTCACCACGCAAACCATCTCTAATGCAACAACCTATTTCAAAAACAAATTGACCGCATATGACGGGTTTGAATTACAAGGAAGAGTTATGGAGACTATTTTGAGAGGAAATTCAGTGTTTGCTATTAATAAAGGTCATTCCAAAATTGCAATGGGTAAACCAATCCTTGAGAAAAGAACACAATATCAACCACAAGCTTTATGCTAAATTTTAATCATATACAACACAAGCTATTTTATGTCATTCTGCAAATTGTTATTTATATCTCATACATCATTTACGTTCGCTTTGTCACTATATTTAATGCATGTTACCAATGAGCAACAGGATTATATACTTGTAGCTAAATAACATACATGTTCATTTTGACCAGTTAGTTGCAATTAGATACTATGGTGAGGTTACTCCATTAGAGGGAAACATGAATAATGATAATTCAAAAACCAGATTGACTGCTAATTTTATGAGGGTTAATATGAAAACTCAGAATAAAAGTGTGTATGGAGAAACACCAGGTGAAGTTTTGAATGAAATTAAATTCTATTGTGAACAACAGTGTTCAATTGTGGAATTCAATAGAAGATGTAAAAGTCTAAGAACTGGAGATTCTGTGAATAAACAATCTAGTGAATCTTTCATTGATTCTTACGAGCAAATTTTGGAGAATTATAAAATGGTTGAGAATACCACTGGTGTGAAATTTCGTCGAATTGGAACATTCATGAGAGGATTATCACCAAGGTATCAAGGATTTAGAGCTCATATTCAAAATTATGTCAATGGTCAAGATGAAATTGCCAACGTATATGGAGTCTCATCATCAAAATTAGTTGAACTATTTCGTAATTCTGTTGATGATGGAAACCGTTGAAAACTTTACCAGTTATTATCTTCAAACGGAACAGACTTCTAGGAAATCAGATGGAAGACCTGGAAAGAAAAATGGAAAGAACTTCAATAGATCCAGAGGTGAAAGAAATGATAAAAGGTGCTGGGTATGTGATGAAGAAGATCATCTAAGTTTCAACTGCCCAAATAAACATAAGGAAAGTGAATGAACTTGATGATTTAATAAACTGAATTTATCGTTTTCCAAATTCTTTGTTGTAAAGTTTGGGTTCAGTCGTTCCTGTAACAATAAGGGATTGTGGATAGATTAACTTGAACTTTGAATCATCTTTCATTGATGATGGTTTAACTGAAAGTCATGGTAGTTCATTGAAGCGAAACTGAACTTTGAATCATTTGAATGTTGATGTTGTTGTTGATGATGACATAATCATCGCGAATTTGATGGTCCAGAATTACAGAATTAATAATATGAACTTTGTGGAATCATTGTTGAACAAGAAAATGATTTAAGGCTAGCATTACTGATGTTGGTCTAGTTCATGAAAGCAAAACTAACTTTGATTGTTAAATGATTTAAGCTGGTGGCAAAGGTTGCTATACAGAAAGGTTGAAACCAATCTCAATGATCATGATGAGATTTGAGATGAAGAAGAAGTCTACTTAAGCCATTGTAAAATTTCATGGTAATTGGCAATTGACTGAGTGAATAAATCATTGTGTTATTGTTGTTGCTTTAAGTCAATTCAGCTGTTGTTAGAACTGACAGGTAGTGTCAAAATGAACTGATGTTGTCAGGATGAACTGGGATGGAGAACTCAACTGATAAGTGATATGAGGTAAATTGAAAGATCAGTATTCTTGGAATTCCCTAGGCTGGCGGTAAAATATTTAAGATTGGAGGTCTATGAAGATGAGAAGGTGGACCTGTCTTGAAGTGAAGATGGAAGGTACTAGTTTTGGACAACTTGGAGTCTGGAGATCCTGGAGGGCTTGAACTGCCTTGGATTTGACAATGAGTTGTGCCATGTGTTTGTCTGGATACCCTAAAGGGGATTTGACAATGGAAGGAAATCATCTGAATGAAAAGATTTAGAAGACAGATATCAATTAACCTCCGGAAATGTTCACTATACTGCTGAATTATGATCAAATTGTCTGATTGTAATTATGGAAATTGACAGAAATTGACTTGGTGTTGCTAGAAGGAACCATAAGATGAAAAGTATTTGACTTACTAGAGGTCAGTGTGATCTTGGAGGTAAGGTTCATCTGGGATTGAAATTAATCATTAGAATTATTGATGATTGATCTGTGTCGTTACAATGTTCACAAGTTTTATGTTGAGTCAAACAGTGTGAACAGGGGCTAGAGTCTACTTGAGTTAAGGAAGGATAAATGAAACCCAGGAGAATGGTTGAGTGAGATCCTGTATCATATTAGAACTCACTGGAAGTAGAGCAGCTCATTGTTGTTGCTGTTAATAATTTATTATGAATCCAAAAGGAATTCCAATTGTTACTATTGAAACTTTGGATGTTGATTTGATATGAATTGCTGGATGTCAACTGGTCAACAATTCAGGAAGAAAGGGGTTCATATATAAGCAGCAGATCATCAAATGCAACAATACCAAGTATACTAGATGAAGAAAGTTATCTAGAATGATTCATCGTGTGTGTTTTGAGATGGTGGAAGTCTAACAGTTACAGCTACAAACTGGATAAAGTGTGATATCTGATAACAAGCTGTTGATTGATTCAGGCTATTGCGTCAATCATAGTGTAAGACCAGGTAAAATTACTGGAATGAATGGAGACTCAAGGTGGGTCTGATGAATCTAAGTTTGGAAAGAGAGTAATCAGTATTGAAAGATGAAATCTTGAAGTATGAGCTAATAGGGAAGTCTCTTGTGAATGAGATAAGAGAGATAGCTTATGTTCTGGTATTGATGGAACCAGAGGAGACTAGTGAAATAAGTACTAGCTAGGAATGAGACTTAGTAACTGATGAGAGTGAACAGTTGTTGAATATGTGTGACTAAGTAACCTATGAGGGTGAACAGTGGTTAACTGAGTAAATCCATGGGGATGAAAGGTTGTGAATGAGTAACCGTGATGGTGAAAGTTGACCTGAACTTTGAGTTTAGATGGAAGAATCTCAATTGATGGAAGTTCAATGAGATTGAATAAAGACAGGTAAGTAAAGTCTTTGAAGGAATCAAACTGAATGTGGAACAAAGTCATTCAAAGGTTTGAGATCAAACAGACACAAGATGTGAAGAAGCTTCATCTTGGTTTGATGGTAATCTTATGGTAGATTACGGGGAATCAATAGTTAAAGATTGATTTGTGCATGGTATATGTTGACCTATCCAACGTGTAAGTGGACTACAGCCACTAGGGAGCCACATCATATGTGAGATATGATGTGTCAATCTTAATTGATTGAGGTCACCAGAGATGGTTTGACACAAACAACAATTAGCTACTGTTGCGGCTGACAGGGATCAAATGGGATCGTCAGTTAGAGACTCTCTTACCGTCCTAGGAGGATGGGCTACATGACTGGATATTAATGTCCGATGGGTGGATAGGAAAACCTAAATGTGACAAATATACAGAGCTTGGTGGAGTTATTCATAGACGTTATGATAACTCATTCAACTATACATGCAATATGGACTACTTATAAGAGGAGTTCATGGATTCTATAGGACATGTTTAAACTATAGAGGTAGAGGTTTTCATCCTTTATAAGGTTTCCTCTGCAAAAGACTAACTGAAGGTTTTTACTTTTTTCCTTCAACAACCGAGAGCTTGATATTATCATCTTGGGAAAAGAGATTGATGCTTTGACTGGTAGGAGAACATCTTCTTTGTCTGGTGCTAAGGTTTGTGTCGTGATTGTTAGGAGAACATCTGTGTGGACCTATGTGTATAGTTCGCTCGTCTTCCTTTGTTAGATAGCCTTTGGTTCTAGGTTCACAGATATATTGATTAGTTAAAATGATAATTTCAGCTCTAGGAAGTGTATAAGAATACAGGCCAATTCCAGTTCTGAGAACTGAGGTCGTCTGTTGGGAACTATCAAGTTTTGCAATATTAGTCAGAAGGACCAGATACACTAAATATCTGTAAGAGAACTCATCATGTCAACTAGAAGAAGTACTTCCACTAGAGATGCTGCTGATGTAGCTACTACAGAAGAGGCTCAGAGTCAAGAGGTTTCAGGCGGCTCTTCGCAGAATCTATATTAGGATGTTGATGATGGTGGTCTGTGTGCTTTTGGAGCTCAGTTCAAGTTATTTTGGTGTTTGCTTTGAAAGTGACTGTGGCATGTTGCCTCAATAAAATGGTATTGATGGTAAAAGCTAGTTGTGTATCTGCTCTGATGAAAAATATAATGATACTCACCTCGATGAAAAATTACTGTTAATTAATATTTGTAACGGTATAAGGCTTTTAACGGCCTATTGAGGTTTCGCGAGTTCCTTTTCTACAAAGTTTTACTCAGCTAAAAACCTGCACTTGTTTATTAAAATAATATATTTCTAATTTACATTTACATGGGATCCCGGGATCTCACTCTCCTTTTATAATCTTTCTAACTGAAAATCGTAATATTCTCTTTCGGGCTGGATGCTCCCTGCCATTACTGGCTATCAATCAAAGTTGTGTGTGTAACATAATCTGAAGTCATAGACTATTGTATAAGTGTGATGTACACAACGTGACACTTGTGCTGTGGTTAATAGGCGCGACTTCAACAAATACTGCAGCTAAATTAAATATTGTAGAAGAAACAAACAACTAGACTGCACTGCACACCAATTATTTTGAGATCAAGTACTATTTGATATTACTCGTTTCCAATAGTATAAAAAGTTGGAACTTCGCCCACGAATACACAACAAATTTAGACATATTATTTACAGGTTTCCAGAGCATGTGAGGGTGGGCCTACCATTATTTTACCGATTTGACCTTCCATGCAGCATTGTTTACAAAAGGAAAAATATTCTCTTGTGAAAAGTACGATAAATTTGCAGCATGGAAGTTGACCGGAGGTGCTAAAAGCCCAAGTAACTCAAAAATCCCAAACTTTCCATCAAGTCCACATCATTCGCAAAGCAAATATTTAATCATTTTCCAACATCACTATGTCTGCAGAACCAACAGCCAATGACACCAGTTCTCTGGGTATAGATAACAATGCTCAGCTCGTGGACGAGATAAAAGATATTATCCATGCTAATCGTGACCAGCTATTTGAAAATATTGAAAAGGAGGTGGAAAAAGACTTGGTTGAAATCAATCATTCAAATCTCTTAAGAAACTTTCACCATGTTAACTCTCCAAGCTCTGTTGAACCCCAATTAACAAACCTGTGGATCTCTCAAATTTATACCTTTATCGTACTGGAAGTTTTGAAAGTTGATGCAATGCGCTTTCCTAAGAATAACAAGATTAATGTTGATTACGGTCCCTTCAGTTTTACTACCTTCATAAATTTATGGAAACTTCCTTTTTCCATTGCAACCTCAACCAATGTTTCACTAGATGGAAGAGATAAGATGATCCTGAAAGGATCATCAAATCAATTGACCAGAAGACTAGCAGACATAGAAATTGAGAACTTTTCCAAAGTCAATTATGAAGGCTACTTGTTGAAAAACATTAAACAAATGGAGGATGAAGTTTTTGATAGGGTTAGGAAATTGAACATAAGCTCGTACATACCAAAATTGAAAACTTTATTGGATTTAACTTCAGCTATCTGCTTTGATTGCCATGAATACAGGCTAGCTGCTGTTCCAGAGAAAGATCTTGCAAGTCAATTTTGTTATAGAGTTATAACTCCGGTGGTGGAATTTCTTTCATTTGTTTTCAGTATAACATTAACATCCCAAGAAGACTGTGGTTTAAAATTTGACAACACTTTACCAGTTGATGCCTTGCAAAAAGAATTAGAAGGTTTAGGAGCTACTAGTTTACATGCTGATACGGTTGTTACCATGGTTGATCCTGATTCTAGTGATAAAGATAAGAGTGACAAGAGGGTTTTATTAATTGAACACAAGAAGCCTCCATTGGTCTCCCAAATGCGTTTACCAGATGATTTGGAAAAGATCAAGGGTATTTTGTTGCAGGTATTTTCCTACAAGGCCTGCTCAAATGAGTTAAACTGTGGTATTATCAATGATCTTTATGGGTCTTTGTTGGTTTTTTTCGACTCAAATGATTTCAAGCATACTGAAGATGGCCTGTTTACTTTGAAGAATGTTCAATCTTATCAAGTTAACGATGTTGAGTTTTTCCATCAGGTGGATGATAATGAAAAGCATCATCTCACTTCTAGGATTATTGTTTCAATGATGATTTACATGGAAATAAAGAAATATATGAAAAAAGATTCTGAGAAAGGGACCAAGACAACCCAGCCTGTTTCTGGTTTGGAGCTCAAGATGGATCAAAGCAACTATAGGGTGCCTCTGAAGGTCCTGAATTCAAAGGTTAATGAGTCCATAAAAGATCTGAATCTAAAAAAGGATAAAAAACTTTCAACCTTGAAAAGTGATGAAAAATCAAAAGGCCAAAAAAGGGTATTGAGATCAGCAACAAGTGGTAAAGCAAAAAGAAAGAAAGGTCTGAGACCCTGAGATTTGTGCCGAAGCTGGATCATACGCTAGTGTAAGAAAAGAAGACAGTAGGTGTATTGACATTGACATTGATTGAATGATTGAATTTATACAAGATTAACGTTGCAACAAAGTGTCTGTAGATTTGACTTTTTCCAAACCAAAATGTTTCGAACTAATATGATGAAGCTCGTCACAACACTGGACAAATCTTGTATTTCAGCTAAGTTGAAATCAGGAATAGAACCAAATAAGACATTGATAACTTTGAATAGCAAATGCATAACTACCATTACAGATCTCATGAATCTACAAACTCAAAAATATAGATTCTATAGCCCATTGGTTTATGAATATAGCTATATAGCACTCAGAAGCTCGTCAGAAAGTTTTTGATAAAATGTATCCAGACAGCTTGACAAACCTTCAAACTCTTGTAAAGGAATAGAATCAAGTTTCGTATCATAACGATCACCAAACATTAATGCTAGTTCAGTAGCTGTCATATGTAATCCACTTGGAATATCAAACTCCTCTGCATTCGACTGAACTGTTTCTAGGTATCTCAAATTTGGTAAGGCATGAAAAACTTTTAATGATTTGAAAATATTGTAAGAAAGATTCAAATAAACCAATGAATCAAGATTACCAAGATGTAACTCTGGCACACGATGAATGGACAGTCTTTGAAGCTTTGGAAAGGTGCAGATGTATAGTTCTTTAATATCAACATTGATGATCTTGTAATCCAAAAGTTCAGGAGCTTCAAAATCAACAGTAGTTGGCGTTGCAAACATTGTCCCTGTTATTGAAAGTCTTTCAAGTTTGGGGAACTTACAACCTTCAATTTGCATCATTTCACCTTCTGTAATGATTTCTAGTGCCTTGAGGTTTGGGAACGTGAGGCCATTCAAGACCAAGTCACTTTCATATAAATCAAGCCTCAACTCTTCAATGGAGCTGAAATCCGACGGGATGTTGCTCAAAGTTTCTAGACCTGGACAATCAACAATTGCAAGCTGTTTCACGTTTGGTGCATGTATATGTGGTAGCTGTGTGAATGAATCCGAGAGACTGATCTCTATTCCTTGTAAGTTTGGAAATCCAAAGTCAAAAATTTCAGTATCATCATCTTCAATATCCACACAGAGATATTTGAGGTTTCTAGTGTCTATTCTTTCCAATAGTGCTAAAGGACGTTCTCTTATGATTAAGCCAGGTACCTTTTCAAACAACTCAAAACTCTTTGGGTCTTCAGATGCAACATGCTGAATTTCTGCAAAAATATACTCCAACTTTGGCGCATAGAAATTTCTCACGACAGGTAGCACAGTAGTTGTTATATCCATATGAATCAAGCTTGGTGTATTGATGTTATCTAGTGTAACAGGATCTGAGCTTGAACTTATTGAAAGTCTAATTAATTTCGGCGCATCCAATTCCTGTAATAGTAAAAATTTTGTCTGATTAAGGCTTGCATCTCTTAATTCTGGGAAAAAACAATCCTCTATAGTACACAAAGTGTCATGTTGAAATGAGCGAATTGTAAGTTTCTTCAATTTTGTAAAGACTGTGTTTGTTCTGTACCATCCTTTCGCCTGATAAAGCTCTAGATTAGTAGGATATTGAGAGTAGTCAAATGATCTATCAAGTGACTTGATCATCCCTGTGACTTGTAAATACTCCAATTTTGGAAAATCAAAAAATGCACTTTCATTGGAACTAGTACACCTAACAAAATGGATTGCTCTCAAACTTGGCAAACTGATTGATAATGGGTCTACTTTAACCTCTTCTAGCGCTAAATTGGTGAGATTCTTAAATGTTAGAAATGAAAACCCACTATTTTTAAGCCCTTGCTCCTCAACGTATCTTGTAACCATTGCAGAACCCCAGTCTTCAGTTGGTAGCAGTCCAATAACTTCATACTTCATATGTTCAAACTCGTCAAGAATTGTGATGATTTTGGGTATTTGATCTTTAACGTGCAACAATTTATCTGCATATTCTTCAAAATTCGTTATTTCAAAGACTTCTAAAAGACCGGCACTTGGAATTTCACTATTTGGACGAAGTATAATTTCTGATTTTGATGGAATGTTGGTGAAATATTGAGTTTTAGGTTGATCTTTAATCAACTTGACAACATTTTCAAGTCTTTGACGAAACTGACTGATGGAGAATACATTGTTCAAGTCTTCCGGAGATATATAGATGAGGATATGCAACATAATCTCATTGGGGAGATCCGCTATAGTCAATGCCATCTCTTTCGAACCATTGATCGCTTCAACATGAACATTTGCATCTTGTTTGGTTTGGAGGAGTCAATATCACTGTCCGCCAATGCAAATTTCTAGACTGCTAAAAAACGACTGTTCAATAGTGGGCTTACCGTACTTGATTTTAAAACACACTTTCAAGTTAAATAAGATCATCATTGATTTATATTATACATTTATATTATACATTTATTCATCTCTCTATTGGATGATTTTTTAAACTAATTGCTTTCTTGAGCCCTTAAAAAACAATTGCACAACGGTAACTTGTAAAATAGCCATACCAACTATTAGACCCACTTCATAAATTGAAAAATAAAAGATTCTGGACTCGGTAGATTTGACAGTTGATTGATTTCTGTTATTTCTTGTTTTGTAGTATTGTAATGTCTTTAGTAAACCATTCAATTTACCATCAATTGTTTCCACTGATTTCACTATACCTTCCACGGCAACAGGCTGTGATTCAGATTTTGGCAATGAAGCTTTGAAGTCATTCTCTAGATTGATTTCAAAATCAACAACTTTTTCAGCAAATGTTGACATACCATTAGAGAAGCAGAACTCATATTCACCTGGAACCTCTGCATTGAATACCCAGTCACCTTGTCTCTGTTTTTCCTCGTTAGCAATCAATTTACCTTCTGGACCTTTAATAGTATAGTCTATATCAAATGAACCACCAGATTGAACGGCAAAATAGTAACCAACGTTTGTTTTTGGCTTTTCAGTGAATACGTAGAAACAAGATTTTTCTTCAGCTCTCAATACAAATGTCAAGGCAGAGCACTGAACAATGGCCAGGAATGTGCAAAGTAGGGCAATTTGTTTCAACATGATGTATGGATGTATAATAACCTAAGACTCTATAGCTTGTCCAGTTGATTCACTTGATAGACCCCAGTTTCTTGTGGCCTGAATTGTATCAGATTGTCAAAGTTTGTGCTGTCATCAATTAACAGCTGAACACAAAATGTTCAAAACACTGGCTGTGTAAATCCGAGGCCTGGTCGGATGTCGCGTTTGTTGTGATGTTTTTTTTTTACGCGCTTTGATCTGTTTTGAATTCAGATCAGAGAAAATTTCATAGCAGTGAATTATCATTCAAAAGGACAAAAGAGTTGAATCAGTTGAGGTCTCTCGAGCGGTTTGGTAGTCGTTTTCCAAGTCAGATAAATTTATCAAGATGTCAAATAATGGGTCTTCAGAGAAGGAGGAACTTCACTTATACCGCCTTCCAAAGAATGGTGAATCAAAGTCATCAAACACTATACTTCAAGGACAAGTTGCTCGCAAACCACAAATGTCACCTAAGAACTCTAGAACTCGTGCCATTTCATATATAAATGTCCCACCAACACTCAAAGGCAAGTCAGCTCGGCCCCTCCACAGGAAATCTGATGATCCTTTTATAGATCATGATTCAAACCCAACAACAAAAGAACTAAAGATCAGTTCACCATTCATGAAATCCAATAAGCCTATTGCATCATCAAATACTTCACACACTAATAACCCAACTGCATTGAAACATGAACACGCCACAATTCCAAAATCTAGAGATATTAAGAAAGAACAACCACTTCAACAACAGCCGCCATCCAAGACCAACCAAATACGCAAGTCAGAAACAAGAGAAGCTTCAGATGATAGTGACATTCCATTAGAAATTTTGGAAGAGATGGATAAAGTTCAAGAAACTTTCCAGGATTTGGATAAGAAATATAGACTTATTGATAAAATTGGTGAAGGGACGTTCTCCACTGTTTATAAAGCTGAAGATATAACCGGGAAAACAAGATATCTGATGGGTGATTCGATATGGAGCTCGCCTGATATCAAGAGGCGTAAGACTAAGAAAAAATCTACAAAAGTTTATGTTGCATTGAAACGAATTTATGTCACATCATCACCCCAAAGAATTTTCAATGAATTGAACTTACTCTATATGTTATCTGGCTCTTCGAGAGTAGCCCCTCTACTGGAAGCTTTAAGGTATCAAGATCAAATTATAGCTGTCTTACCATATTATGCACATGCTGATTTTAGGGAATTTTTCAGAGATTTACCTTTGGCAGGTATCAAAATCTACATGTATGAATTGTTTGAGGCTTTGAATTTTGTTCATGATAAAAACATTATCCATAGAGATATTAAACCAACAAATTTCTTGTATGATCCATTCAAGAAAAGAGGTGTCTTGGTTGATTTTGGTTTAGCCGAACAAGAGTTTCCACCAAATTCTACCGATATGAATGCAGTTGGTTATTGTCCATGTGTATCACATGAAAGATTTTCAACAGAGGAAACTCTCAAGGGGTATCCAAAAGATGATCCAAGACCAGGCAGAAGAGCAAATAGAGCAGGTACTAGAGGTTTTAGAGCGCCTGAAGTTTTGTTCAAATGTCCAAATCAAACAAGAAAAATTGATATATGGTCTGCAGGTGTGATCCTATTGACTTTATTAAGTAGAAGATTCCCATTTTTCAACTCACCAGATGATATTGATGCATTAGTTGAATTAACTACAATCTTTGGTTTGAAGAAAATGCAAGAATGCGCCAACCTTCATGGGCTGGGGCTTGATTCCACTCTCAACACATTGAACAAAACGACAACTTTAGATGAATTGATTCATTGGTGCTTAGCATTGGAAGATAATGGGGACACTTTGCCAAAAGATTGTGTTGCGTATGACACTTTGTCTGTATTCAACACTGATGGTCATATTGTTTTTGGTAATTCTGATGATGACAAGACTATCTCTTTAAAGAGACAACATCAAAATGCTATAGAAGTTATGAATCACTGTTTCGAATTAGATCCTTCAAAAAGAAGTTCGGCTGCTCAAATATTGAGGCTTCCATTTTTCAGTAGTATGAATGGTGAAGAAGACGATGAAGTTCTGATAATCGATTAAGATTTGGGTATATTTAATGATATTTTGCATCTAATTTGAGTACATTGTAGACGTCATCAATATTGATACGTTCTTTCGATTCTGAACTCTTGATTCTGATTAATTGTAATAACTGAGTCTTGAATATTGATCACGCTTGACCTTAAACTCGGCCATTTCAATTTCTGTGAGATGAACTACACAATGTATCTAAAGGTCGCTAGTAGCACCATGTTCAGCCTACAGCAGCATGTCAGTGAAGTTCTTTTTTTCCGAACCAAACATAATTTTATCCACCTTGGAGCGAGTTCGCGAACCAGTGTGTGTTTGTTGAAAATAGTCGCACAGGGAAGGTAAGTGGCTCTCTTTGTTTTGGAATGGTGTATAAAGGACGATAAACTTGTTTTTAAAAAGTTACATGTTTTGAATCTCAAACTATCAAGTGGTTGAAGTTTTTTGTGCATTGTAGCTTCGGACTTTGAACAACCACGTACATTTGAAAAATTGGAAGTTTGTTCGGTCCACGACAATTTTTGAAAAAATCCGTCAAAACTGCGTTGCAAAGGACGTGGTACATGTTGAATCTCTGCGCTGTATCACAAAAGCTGGTCAACTTTGGTAGATTCTGGTGAATAGCTTCTAAATGATCTTTTGGCTGTTGGTGTATTAATTTAATTGTTCATTTGGTATTCTTTTGTTAAGGTTTGCTGTTGTTTTCAAGTCGTGATGTTAACTGGGGTATATCTTGGATGAGTTGTACGTGTTATTGAAGGTTTATTCTGCTGAACTGTATCTGCATTGTTTGGTTCTTGATGTACAGTCCATGAGAGTCTGTGTGCTGATATGGTTGGCTCTGTTGTACCTGTGTATTCGAAGTTTGGTCCTTACAGACGCGTTAATAAATCAATGATAGGTTGTCAGATCAAAAAGCAGACTTTGAAGTCCAGGCCAGAAAAATAACAAACGACCTGGCCAGTGACCAGTGACCAAAAGGAGCTGAGGCTCAAGATGAAGCTCGAGCCCGAGATTGGCTCAAACTGGGCTATAGGTTTAAGAACTTTTTTCTAGGATAGGTTTTTCACGGTGCTGCTCCAGATGACGGTTCTTTCAGTTTAACCCTTGCTGGTGCATTTCTCGGACATCCAGCTCTTGCGGAAGAGATAGTACAAGTTACAACTACGATTCATAAATATGAGGTCCATTTGTTCCGCATAGGCCTGTTCACCTGGCTTATTCCCCATGTGAAGTTTGGTCTTTGAGGGCTGTTGCGATGTGTTGCTTGTCTTGAATCTTGGATAATTGTTGGTTCTTACTCGTCCTTTATTATTGGTGCATATTTTAGGCCCTAGGTCTCTATATTGAATCCAAAAACCATTTGAGTGTTGACCACCTAAAGTGCGCTGGCACAGCTTGTTTCTGGATAACGAAAGCTAGACCCTATGGGCCTCAATGTTCGTATTGACCTCATGGCAATAGCATTTGTGATCGTCATACAGATATAACTTGGTCTTGTTTTTGTCCCAACTCTCAAGCCCTAGAATTATTCGTTGTTATTCGAATTTCTGTTCTGGTCTTCGTGATTTGTCCAGAAAAAATGGATTTACTTCGGCGCTTTATTGAAATTTCATGAACTGGGGCCTTGAATACACCAACGAGATGCAGTCTCAAACTGGGTCTTTCTATGGACTTGTGAGTTTTGCTTGTGAGTTTTGTTTCGCTTTGCAATTAGCTGGTTTATAAAAGTTATCAAATACCCACGGACCAGATTTCATCACTAGTACAGAGGAGTTTTTTGAAGAAGAATTTCTGTGGTGAATGTTTACAATAACGCTGGGTGCTTTCAGTCTAAAAAGGCAAGCTACAACGTTTATTGTGATGTCTTTATGAGATTCTACCAATTAGGGTTCTTCATTCACAAATCAGAATTTGAAAACGCTTGAAAATTGTCAAAAATTGGAGATGCAAAGGCAAACTATAGCTACTCATTCAGTCTTCATTCCATGGTTTCATTTGATGATGTTGATCTGATTTTTCTAGGTAGAGAAACTGATTAATTCAACACTACTATATTGTCAATATTGTTATTCATTTTAGAGTTTTTTGGAATTTAAAGCTTTCTTTCTGTTGGTGCTACATTTCACTTATCAACTTGATAGTGCAAAATTTTGATGGTTGAGGTTGAATTTTGAGAGGTTAGATCGTCTTTAACAGACCCTGAAAATATGATAAAAGCTGTTCTATATGCTGTCTGGTTTGGTCTAAGGTTTATCAGCTTAGGTGTATGTTAAAAAATCTGAGGTATAATGAGTTTGAACTCTTTTGAGATAGCCCTATTTGGAATCAGGCTTGGAGAGCCATAACCATGTTGCTTCTTCGTTACAATCAGTTTTACACCTCATTTTGTTTGTTTACTGGCATTGGAGTTGGTTGAGATTCAAGTTAGATTGAGGTCCGAGCACCTTGATGAATATCCACAAACTTGGCTTTATAACTACCTCGTTTGATAACTTTTTGAATAGTTAAACTGATTTGATAGCACTGTGACTGTCACTAAAGTGTGAATAATCTTCAATTATTTGAAACATTCCTGTTTGAGGTGAAGTCAACCCATTACATCTATGATCAAGAGGCTCTGTAATTTGTGATAATCGTTCACAAATCACTATTGAACTCAAAGAATTAATGCTGGCTTCAAATTACCTGAATATTATCGAAGTTTCAAATCAATCTTCAAATCTGGCGTAGATACAATCCTGTTTAAAGTTTAACAAAATGACTTGCATTCACTTAAATAAGTTCCAGTACTTGTTACTTTCAATCCTCGAATCGACTAAAACAGCAACAACATACGCCTTTTCTTCTGTCGTGTACTCTGATCAAGGTTTTAGTGTCCCCTATAGGACCCCCGTCAAAGCTTATTGCCGCCAGCAGAGTGTCGGTACCAGGGCTTTAGATTTCGCTGAAAAAGATCTATGGATACTGACAAACGTCGAAATGTGGATTAAATGCGTGATACAATTGAAGAGAGATAGCGGTTACTATCTCAAAAGTTTCGATATAATTCCTCGAATGGTCGGTTAGTTATTTCACTGATTATTGTGCTTCAGCTGCCAGCGTTTTGCTAAAGTTGGGTCCCTAACACATAGAAACGTTGAAGGCACTAGTTCTTGTGGTGATGAATCTCAAACAGAGCTGCTCAGTTCATTTAATGCATCTGGTAATGTTTATTCAAATGGTTGCTTTGTGAATTATATTAAAGTCATTTTTTGGCGTCACTCATGTTTTTTTTTAGATCTTATCCATCGGATTAAATGCATGGCTCTCAGGTTTAGGTCTACAGTGACAGGCTGTCAGGGCTTTTGCTGGATTCACAACATCATCAAAAAGTGCTCAAATTTTACCAAACCCACCCATTCTGATGATGATACTGCTTTGAAATGGCTATATGAATGGTTATTGGTATCATGTTTGTTATATATTGGCCAAGTTTATCATATTTGTTCGTTCTTTAGAGATGTTGCATTACTGTCATAGCGACAAGATTTAGTATGCAAACCTAAAATACACTTTCCTTCAAATTAAAGACCATATCAAGCAAGGCACAAAGTTTTCATGAGCTGGTTAAGGACCGGTTCCTGGTCATCATCGAATATTTTTACTGATTGTTATTATGGAGCCTTTGGGTATGTTCGTATGTCGGTACCACTTATTACTGGACTTTGAACTTGCCTTGAGTTTGGTTTTCCCTTTGAAAGACGTCGTTGATCGATGGTGCCTGTCTAGCGCAGCAGCAGCTGAAAATTATAGTGCGCTCAAGGTGTCTTCTAAGCACGAATTAAACTTTAAACTGTTACATCAAAAAAGACATTTGGTTGATCATAGACAATTGGCTGCTACAACATTTGCGGTTTAGAAAGGACACCACATACATACAGGGCAAATTCTCAATACAATATGATTGGATTGTGTTTGTTGGTGATCATAGTTGGTTGTTTTTTGCTAGAACTGTATAACTTGAGAGTTTCGTTGTGGAAAGACAAACGGGTTGTTGAGTTACGAACGAGAGAAGAAAAACACAAATCTGGATCAAAACAATAAGACTGATGATAACCTTTGTCCAATAAAGGTGAACCTGAATTAGGATACTCACAGGATGATCATCGAAGGAGAGTCTAGATTTTATGAAACTTTACAAAACAACCCTCTCTAGTTTCAACAAACTGATCATCTCGTTTGCATAGATGAGACTGAGACTCTTTTACGGAAGAGAACCGAGCACAACAGCTTATAATCAATCACCTTGACAAATTTTCAAATATCAAGTCCATGGCTAAACTCATCCAAAAAGAACAGCTCTAACCTTTAAATGGACTAACCAGCATCAAATTCCAATCAAGCAGCAATGCAAACAATTCCATTTGCAGAAATTTTAATTCACCAGAATGCTAGGAACCTCAACTGTTGAAAGATGGGAGGTTTGCATAAGCGCATTTAGTAGACAAATCTTATCAATAGGAGTTGATGAATTTTTGAATGGCTTATTGGAGTTCTTTGTTAAATGGAAAACTCATGAATGATCACAAAGTTTGGGTGCTTTACTTTTTATTTTGAATCAATAAAGGCTGTTGAGGGTTAAGCGGTTCTTTCACAACAATCATATCCAGCTAAAAACTAATAGTCATTTATATTTCAACATGAAGTACCCATTTTGACACCAAACCAGCTATTTTCAAAATCTAGTGGATCGTTCCAATAAAAATCATTTTCAACTTGAAGCAAACCCAATAGAATGTCCCATTGCCACCCACGAGTCATGAGGATTGACTTTTATACCAACATTGACAACATAAATACGAGATGGTTGATTTGTTCCCATCCCAAACTCTGGAATCCCATCACTATTGTTGCTGACAGTTGTTCATGTTTGAAGTTGTATCTTGATCAAGGTCTTTAAAATTTATTCTATGCTTGAAAGTTGAGAGTCCAAATCAATCAAATTCATATGTTAGCTGAGGATAGGGCCAACTAAATTGAAATTGTGAAATTGGAAATAAACAACTACCAGACTGAACATCATTCAAAATAAATTCAATTGATTTGAAAGTTCTAGACAATTATCGTTTCAGTGAAGTTACAATCTGTTCAAATTGGTTTCAAACTCAAAGCTGTTCAAAATCAAAAGAACTTGAAGAGTCAACCTTAAAAACTTCGTTGAAGCTGTTTATGATTCAGTAAATTCAACGGTTTGGTGAAAGCGAAGGTCTTTGAAAGTTTAATTACGTTTCATTTAGCCGTTTGTACTAATAAAGTCTCCAATACTACGAGAAGGACCCATGTTAAAGTCATATGGTTAAAAGTTTTTTTGGTTTTTTTGCTCATCATGGCATGAAAATGGTTTGATTTTTTGTAATTTAGCTGAGTTATTTCTTGTTTTGTTTGCTTCAAATGGTTAACTAGAGTCGGTGATCTGCTTGGTTTAATTGTTCTTTAGTCGGGGGTTAAATGCGGCCCTCCAAAATTGAAGAAAATTGCGGGATCCTCCTCTTAGAAAGGTACCAGATTTTGGAATTCATTTAGGAAGTTTCACATATTATGTGCTTTCTTATTGTTGAATTTGGGCTTTCCAAGCACACAAGGTTAGATCAAATGGCCATAGAACTACATTTTGAGCCGATGTTGCAGTTGCGGACCTTATAAAAGTATTCTAGAAACCTTTATGGTCGTTCGTTTGAATAACTTACAAGTGGTTTGATGATTGAATTGTACGTCAGAAGTACGAGACGTTATTAGAGGGTTTACTTTACGTTCTTCAGTGTAATAGAATATCTGTTTTAACGTTGCCACCTTGATTAAAGAAGTGCTATTCACCAAGTAGATATTAGATGTTCCAATAGATACATTACAGATTCACTGACCCGTCAAAATCAATAGTTAATCTTATCTTCAATGAATTAAACATCATTTAACCGTGTACGATGGAAAGTTGATTCAGATTGTTGTAGACCTAAATAAAAGGTCCATGATGATAGTCCCACCTCTTCTGTAGCACCCGACCGGCGATTGTTTCTTGTATAAGTACCGCATCGTCTTTTTCGATGCTGCAGCTGTTGAAGCCACTCATCTCTCCAAGCGAAACCAGCATAGTATGATATGACTATTTGACTCAACTCTTCACAGTCACGTAGAGAACTACAACCATCTTTGAATAATGGGGTCATAGAAAAATGATTCATGTTTTTCGATGGCGATTTTCTTGGTCTCGGGATTACAAATTTAGCCATTTGTGTTTTCCAGCTGAATGCGGCAATCTGCGATACACGGAGAGACACAGGCACTACGATGCAATTATTCTGCGGCCAACTGTATCATTTTTCTTGCCTCTCAAGGATCGAGAAGAATGGTTGGTTATATTTACGAACACGTAAGCTGAAAATATACAAGAAAAACTTGTTTGTTTAACTGATTTTCTGTTTTAAATGATATGGTTCTTTGATAACAGGTGTTTTTAGTAATAACCAGGGCAGTCTATTGTTTGATGTGTGAAGGCTTTTATAACTGAATAGAGCAGGCTCATGCGCAACAGACAGTCAAATGGAAAATAAACAATCTGAGAACCTAAAAGCCGCAGAAAGTTTGTCTCTTTTTGCTGCAGTCGATCGGAAACTTTAATTTTCGGCCTGTGAAAGTAATCAAAATATCAAATATCCAAAAGGTGAAAGCTCCAACAACCTTGAAAACCGCAATGTGACTAGGATATGAATAAGATAATGACATCTGGCGTTGATTTCTGCAAATTTGTAAGAGTAGCGGTGTGTTATTGGCTTGCTGATACTATAGCTTTGTGAATGGCGCATTTTTGTAATCTGTATGTCCCAACGTTCAAGTTGAACGTATGGGCGATTCAAATGAGACTTTTATCAGGACCTTGTACGTAAATCGTAAATTTAAAAGACCCAGCAGAGAGAAAGGGGTCACAAGTCACGACTCATTCAGGACTTAACTAGACTCAAATTTGGCTGTCCTGTCTATAATAGTTGATGTTTTCACCGTTTACATCCACTAGTTAACTTTTTGGGTGAGCCTTCCCGCCAATATCCTTTGTAAATTCTGAGAAGTACTTCAGCTCAGTATAAGTTGCTTGAGGTTTTTATCTTTCCATCTTGAATTGTTAAGATTAATGAACTATCGTGGTTTTAGATCAGTCTCGTCTAGCTGTTCTCTTATAGTCTTATTTTCGGTACTGGGATTCCTAAGGAAGTATTAATAGAGCCCAATCGGAATTGCATCGCGCTTTAATTAAAATTTATTTCCTTTGCACTTTTCAACGATGTGGACATTAACGATGCCTGTGATATTGGCAATTAATTCCAGTTCCAGGCTCCAGGATTATAGGATCCTCATACCGGGAAAATTATTCGACGACATTATTATTCAAAGTGTTCTGTTGGTTCGACTTGGGCTCTTCAGAGTCTTGACAGAGTGCACTTGAAAAACCTTGATACACAGGTCTAGACTATAGAAAGCTTGGGACATGTACTTCACTGATGCCCTTTATTGGCGTTGTAGTGCTGTACATCGACTCATCATAGAAATGACCTGTCTTCTTGTATAACATCATTTAACCGACTTTATGATTCAGTTCCTGATCCCTAAAACCAAGGTTATGTGAATAAGAAACTCTACATGTACGACTAAGTTTAACACACAACAACGGGTCTTCGATGAGCTGAGTGCTTCATAGAGTTTTTCGACAAGAAACCATATGAACATACATCGGCGACCTCCATTCCCGTCCAAGTTATAGCCTTCTACGTTTCTCAAATGGAGGCCACTTAGTTCCATCATTTTCTTCATACTTTTACTTGATTTCCGTTCAAATTGTTTTATTCGTTTTAACAATAGAGCCAGTTCTCTATAGACTAGGCTTTTTCTGACAGCAGTATAAATACTAATAGATCTTCGCCCGACTTTGCTCTCTTTCAAGAAAATCAGAAACCACAACAGGACACCAGTATCTCAACTACTCTGTCATTAACTAGATTCAACCAATTGCACAGCTATAGACAGACATCAATAGTCTTCTGTTTGTTTTGTTCAATCTGCCATATTACTCGAGCCAAAGTTTTCCATTTCTTTTGGGCCCCGAGACAGCTGGATAATGCTCAAAGCTTAAAAAGTTCCATCCAAATACATCCAAATCTAGGTATAAAGAGACCAATAATTACCATCTACATCAAAACAACAACTTCACACAACTTGAAGTTTGGAGCTCATCATTCAATTACCCAGTTCCAAAGCTACGTCTTCCAAATTCACAGCCGTCTATACTTTGTCCCTCTAGAGAATAGCCATACAGACATATACCAACATCCAGGTGTACCAAACAAACTCAACGTCGGCTTTCTCTCACCACCAAGAAGGGCTTAATTTCCAAAATCAGATCTTCATCTAGTACCTGTTATTTGTGTCTAGCTGAAAACCTTGAATTCAAAGTTGGAGGTTTATCTTGCAAAGAAAGGGCTGGTGTTCACATCTTTTTTGCCTGCTGTGCTTAAACTTGTCAGATAAACTTTCTTTATTGCAACCAAGTTCCAACCTTACATTAATTCTCTCCAGCTTCTACAGAAACAGCTCACTCACACCATCTTGGAGAGTTTCCTAATTCCACTGCATTTAATAAGCTTAGGTACTCAACCAAATATAAAAAGGGATTGATGATTGAATTGTCAAACAGCAAAGGGTATATTTATAAGCATTAAGGACCTCAACCTCAATTCATCAATATAAGCTTCTCTTGATACCAAATTAAGTTGTGAAACTTTCATTTATTGGGTCCAACTTTTGTTTATTTTGGTTTCAAAACTTGTCCCACTTTAACAAGACTATGATATATTGGAGAAAAAGTCAAAATGAACACAAACGATCCATTGCAAGACGCTCAAGGGTCATCATCCATAGTAACAGCACCAACATTTCAAAATGCTGTCAACATACCAGGTGCTAATGTTAGCAATCCACAATTATCTTTATCCAAAAATGAATTGACAAATTTACCATCTTTAACCAGTATACCCTCAAGTGATTTGTTGGTACATCCATTGAACTCATCATCTTCATCAGCTTCAACTTTTGAGAAAACATTGAGTGCTACCTCATCCTATGCAGATTCTGTTGATAGTCAAAGAAAATCATCAAATGAAGATAATAATGCATCAGCTATTGTTCAATTGGCAAGAAGAAGAAGATCATCAAAATCTAAAGAAAAACATCAGAGGAAGAATTCAGCATTGAGCAGACCTCAAGGACGTCCATTATCTAAAGAAACAAGAATCCGTTTGACATTAGTACCCACACTAGGTATATTATATTCAATTTTAGTATCTGATACAATGAGAAAGACTTTGAAAGTTTTGAATTATTCAGATGAGGAGAACGGTATGCTTTTAACAAATGAAGAATTATCAACAAGAAATGTCATATCTGGGTTTTCATCTTTGTTGAATGTTAAAACTGCTAGGTTTAGTGAAGATGGATTGAGTTATAGTCCTGAAAAAAATGCCAATATCCCCAAATTTGCCTCAATTGATGAAGCTGTATATAATTTGTTTGGTTTGAATGATTATACTTTGATCAGAGTATCAAGAGCTGCTGCAACTGAAGTTGGTGGATCTGTTTTATTGAAAATTGAAACTGCAATGCCTGGATATCTTTATTTGAACGATGATGAAGATGAAGATTATAAAACAGTGGTGGAAAACAAAGCTATGTATCTTGAAGCTATTGGTTCAAAAGGTGATCGTCCTTCAACAACTTTTTTGAAGAAAAAGGTTGCAAGACCAAGATATAAATCTGATATGAGGATTTATCTCATTCCACGTATCAATTCTTGTGCAATTTATTGTGAAAAAAGAATGTTTAAAAGAGATTTGTTGAGAGGGTTTTTGAATATGAACAAATTGGATAGAAGTATTATTGTTGCTTTCAATTATCAAGAAGCTATTGAAGAATTGGAAAAAGAAGGATATGGTGATTTGATTAAAGAGATGAAGTTGCCAACAGTGGAGGAGTTTAATAGATCAGCACATGTTCCACATTCTTCTAATTATCCAATGTCATCAGTTGGACTATCCATTTCAAAACAATCTGAAATTCAACATCTTCAACATCTTCAACAACAACAGCAGCAGCAGCAGCAGCAACAACAACAGCAATTTAATCATGTTCCACCACCACCACATCAACAACTATATCCAGGCTATCCTATTCAAAGACCTAATGAAGTTCCACCCTTTTATGATCCAGCCCAACCACAACCACAATTGAGTTATGGATTTCCTCAACAATCACCTTCTCAAATTTACCAACTTCCACACCATCCACAACAACCATCATCACAAGCTAACCTGTTTCCACAATATAATTCATACACATATTCTCAAGAAGTGGAACCAAATCAACAGCCAGCGACACAGCCAGGATTTAGCTCAATGGATCAACAATTTGTACAACAGCCTATGGAAGAAATGGTTGGTGCTCATGATCCAAATCGAAGAATCAATTCTCAGTCAGTGAGCTACTTCAATCAACAGCAAATGTTTCCCTCTCAAGTTATGAATCCATATTCTAATATACCACATGGTCAACATTTTATCAATCCAGCAACAGCTGCTCCAACTGCTACTGCTACTGCTCAATCCTTCCCACCAGCTCAGGACGCCAGTGGCCAGTATTATCAATGATTATCAATGATTATTTATTATATTTTTTTTTTTTTTTATCAATGATTATTTATTATATTTTTGGTGTTTTTGTTTATTTTGTTTTGTTTTTCAGCTTTGTTTTCTTCTTTGAAGTGACTGTCGGTTGCTTTTTTTGATCAAGAGAAGTAGCTGTTTTTCTCATCTTTTGAAGATTAATAAATCCATCTTCTTATTTGGTTATAATTAGCGTGATTTTTTTATTGTTTTTATTGTTTTATATGAAAAAAAGTCTATTGGTTTTAGGCTTGGACTCTATCATGGAAATTCCATGTTATTAGGGTTGAATTAATTTATTCTAAGGGAGAAAACAAAAGCCCTGTGCCATTTTAATACCTGTGTTATAATTACCATATGATCATAGAGCTATTCTTATCAACCTATCTGTAGTTACTGCTAAATATGATTTGCAAAATTTAGTCGTTGCCATACAAATTCAACTGTATAGTACGTTTGTTGCCAACCTCTCAGGCTCTCAACGTATATCTCCGCCTGGAAAATCTGTCAATTACAAACCATAATTTTTGCAGAACGCATTCGCGGCCACAAAATGGATTTATTTTGTATGAGGATTTGTAAACACGGTAACAAGATATATCACTTTTTGTGACAGAAGTTGTTTATTGAGCTGGTGTGGTTTTGGTGTTTACATTTTGATTTGGAAAAAAAAGAAGATGTGGGTTACATGAAGCTGAGAACAATAACCACAACTGGTCTACTAGCTAGAAGGAGGTGCCGCTGTTTTTTCTATTACCATGAGTCCACCGTCAAGTTCATCCTCAGGTTCAGTAATATCTTCCATGGATAGTGTCCACGAAGAGCTCACATCCCTTAGAAGGTCATCAACTCATTTGGATCAACAAACTAGTGTCCGAAAGGGACTCTTTGATTTTGCAAGAAAGTCTTTCAGTACCAACTCTTCACCAATAAAGCAAAAGGTTGATTCAGCGGATAACTATAGTCATAATGAATTGAACGGTTTTGATGAGAAAGAGAATGCAGAGGATGGTTTATTTTATCCAGATTGTGATGATGATGAAGAATTTGATGCCAAAAGTCTCGAATTTGACCCATTTGTTGAGAACACTGGTGTTGAAGTCCCTATGGCCAATAGCACCTTTCTAGCAACCAATCCAAAGTCCACTCATAAGAAGATCAAATACAAGACCAAAAGTGTCAGGTTTCAAGACTGGGAAAAATCACTGGATGAAAATAAATTGAAGGTTCTGAAATCAAAGCTGAAACAATTTAAGAAAAATAAACAACCAATCTTGAAAACAATAAATATCAAGCAATTCCCAAACAATAACAAGGAGAGGATGTCATCAAGTGAATATAGTGCGACTCCAGATACCACTGAAGTTTCTGAAATTCAAGACCATTCTAGTGCTTTGTCTGCAACTCAAAAGAAGTACTTATTACCATCTGAAGAAGACTTTAACGGGAAAAGATCACACTTGAAAAGATCTGAACTATATAAACCATTGACCGATCTTACCAAGACTCCCAAATTGAATAAATTATCACCCACTGAGCCTGTTGTCTCGGCTTCCACTGATGAAAGCAGTGTCTTCTCCAAAAATGAAACCCTAACAGAACCATCTGCAAAAAATAGTGATTATACAATTGAGGATTCACAGGAAGTCACTGTTACACCTAAACCTAAAGCATGGCGCAAATTTCATGCTTCACAAAAACCAACAAGCACAGTCAATGATTCCCAAAACGATACCCTTATTGGTGATGAAACCACAACCCATTCGATTGGCCAAAAGTTTAAGTCAATGTCAATTGAAGATTCTGGACCAAACAGTCAATTGAGACATGCATCAAGTGACAAACCATTTTCTTTGAGACTTCATAAAGTTGCCAAATTAGATTCTAAGAAACCTCACAGTGAAGGAAGCAATGAAGAATCATATGATCAAGTTGATATTCTAGAGCAGTCACCACCTCAGCTACCAGACATTTCTTACCCAAACTCAACAACGAATGTCTTCAATAAACTTGAACCAGCAATATCAAATACACCTGAATCATACCTTGAGACATTTGAAGAGTTTCAATTGGGATCTGATGAAACTTGCATAGTTAAAATAAACAGTGAAGTTCAAACTCAAATGAAGCAGATAATTGAGACGCTATCGCATTCATCAAATAGCCCCATTGTCATTGATGATGGACAAATTAAGGATGTTGAACAATTTACGTTCAAAATTAGTGAAATAAAAAATTTGTCAGATGCATGTCATAAGCGGGTTGACAGCCTCAAAATCCAACTTATAAAACTCAACAAACAAATCAATGATCATGAAACTTCAATCAAAGAGAAAGACAACTCAAAAGCGTTATTACAAAAGAAGCTCAATGATGTTATTGATGAACTTGAAGGACTCAAAATAGAGTGTACCAGATGTGAAAACAAGATTTCAAATCAATCAAATTCTTTGGCTTTTGAACGCCAGACAAACGAAGAACATGAGCGGACTTTGTTAACTTTGAAAAAACAGTTGGTACATTGTCAAACAGACTTGGAAAACAAAGAATTGTACATTGAAAATCTTACGAGGCTCACTCGTGCACATTGTTGTGAAGGAGAACTTGATCTTATGGATGAGAAGAAAACTTTTGATGTCTTGAAAGAACTCCTACTTGATCTAGATGAATTGAGGGATAAAGCTAAAAATCAAGGGAAAGTTGAAAAATCTTTAAAGAGGGAGATTTCAAAACTATCTGAAGAAATTTGTGAATTGAAAGATGAAAATATTGATCTCAAAGACTCATTGAAGATTTCAAAGGATCAATCAGCCAATTATAAAGCTTTAGTTGAAAAGAGAGACAGTCTTTTGCAAGATATCAAGCTGGAAAATGAAAATTATGGGAATCTGTTGAAGTCACTGGAGTGTAGCTATTCAGACTTGAAAACTCAACTTGAAAATGAAAAGTTTAGAACTAAAGAGTTGGAAGCAAGAATTCAAGAATTGGAGATCGAGAGACTGTCACAAGGTAGTAAAACTTTGGAGATGGACAAGGTGTTGAAAGATCAGCTTTCTTTGATAAATGATGCTCAGAAAGAGATTGATAATCAAAATATCACTAATACCAAGTTGAGTGAGGAAAACCACAAGCTTAAAAAGACCAATCTGGATCTAATAAAATTTGAAGAATCTTATAAGTCTGAAATTAACAGGCTACAGAATGATCTTGTTGAGTCAAAATTGCTGATTGAAAAGGGGACTAAGTTAAGTGAAGATTCACAACGCAACTTTACTCGTTTGGTAAGATCTAAGGATGAAGAAGTCACAAGTTTAAAAAAGAGAATCAATGAACTACAAGTTGTTGAGGGAAATCTTGCCTCGGAGTTGAAAGACACAAGATCCAAATTAAGTGATAAGTTTTCCCAGTGCTCAATCCTCGAGAAGAAGAATGGCAGTATAAGCAAAAGTTTAAAGGACTCCAATGAAAACAATAGAATTTTGAGATCTGAAATCTTGAAAAACAATGGATTAAGGCAAGAATTAAAACGTACCTTGGTTGGTCTTTCTATTGGAATCATAAAGGAACTTGATGGAATTATAGATAATGACTCGTTATCAACAGTTCGTCAGGATTTGAAAAATGAATCTGATAACAGAGAATTGGAAAAGTTGCATGACGTTTCATTGTTTATTGAAGAGGCTGTTGGGTTGATTATTAAGGAATACTGGGCATTGAATAAGAGACTATCAGAATCACAAATAGGAAGCTTATCAAATAACTCACTAGGTGCTTTACAACAGATAATTGAAGGTCAAAACGACAGATTGAAACAGTTGCAAGCAAAACTACACTATTATGAAGGAATTTTCAAAAAGATCAATAAGGCTAATTCAAGGTCTCAGTCTGTTAGAACAAGACCATCTACGTCAGCTGCTAAAGATACAGATACGAGAAGAGTAAGAGTGCAAGTGAGTAGAGATTCAGAGGACTCCATTGGTACAGTGCGCACGATGCGGACCAGTGTTCTGAGAGAAAAGAAAGAGAATGAAATAAACAGACTCTTATCCAAAGTCAAAGATGCAACTGAAAGTGAAAGTACAAGTGACTGATCTTACAATTGGTGGTGTATAAATCATTTACAATCGTTATTATTTATGAAGTTTTTCTGTACCATCACAATTCCCTTTCAACAAAACTTTGAATCATACCAACTTCAGATTCTTCATATTCTTTCAAAACAACTTTACCATCAATAATTTCTGTGTTTGCTTGAATAAATTGTTTTCTTGGTAGTCTGGCCTTTAAAACGGCTGGTCTAAATTTAGCCAACTCTGGTGTAACAGAAGATCTATCAATGAAGTAATTAGAACCATTTTCAACATCACCAGAAGCCTTATAGATATGTAAATGTCTCAAGTAATCTTTAATGGCTTCATGACCAATAGTTTCAATTTTTGATTTATCCAATTTGACATATAAATCACTGTAATCTTCTTTAGTGTAAACTAATTCAACTAACCCAGCATTTAATAAAGTTTTCAAAATTGAATATCTAGCTTGCATGTGAGGTTGACCCCATTTTTGAGAAGAAGGATCCCAGAATTCTAAAGCCAATAAACCAGCTCTTGACATTTGCAAGAAACCTGAATAAATGATTGCATCTTGATCTTCTTTAGAATCAAAGCCGAAAATTTTCAACAACTCTTCATTTGTGATCAAATACAAAGCAATAACCTCAGCTCTACATTCCTCATACGCACCAGCTAATGAGCCGAATTTTGAGCCCCAAGTTTCACCTTTTTTATAGAAAGTAGTGACTGGTTTACCATCAATACCTATTGGAGGATTAGAATGATCATAATTGAAAGAACCATCATGTAATTCACTTAGTAATTTACCTGATCCGTGACCTAAAAGTTCATGAATACCAACTTGAACCTCAAATGAATCATTACGATATTTGTTAAACAACTCATAATCATCATCATGAATAAAAGTGATTGGTTCTTTACCAGATTTGGCATTCAAAATGTTACCTAATGAGACATTTTTAAACCCAATGTTTAATCTGATATCATCATAGTTTGGAATGTTAATACCAGCTGGGATACCAGAACCTGCAAATGTTAAAACTTCTAAAGAAGTGAAATCAGGTGCTTGAAATTTATCCTTCTCGTATTCTTTTGTCCATGGTAATAATTTGATGAAGTTTTCTGCACTATTAACCAAATTTTGGAATTTCAAAGTACGTTCTTTGTTTTGAATTGAAACTAAAGCTTCCCATTCACCAGCTACACCACCTGGTTCTCTATAAGTTTCAATGAAACCAACATTAGTCTCAATGACTGGGGAAATATCTTTAACCCAGTATTTTTGTGATTCTTTATGGGCATCAATTGATCCGGTTTCAAAAGATTCAACATAAGCATCAATCATTTTAGATTGAGTTTCATTGGCAACAACATCTTTAGCCTCTTTGAAATTTTCAATGATTTTAGTAAATTCTTTTGAATGATCACCAAACTTCAAAGTTAATTTGATACCATCAGCTTCAATTTCATTTGGATATGAAGTTTTATTATTTGTCAATTCAGATGCAACTAAAATGATGAATTCAGTTTCACTAATCTTTTTAACTCTCAAGTTTTCATACAAGACTTTATGGTCTGCTAAAACTTTTTTGATCAAATCAATGTTTTTCTTTGAAACATCTCCAAAGTAATAACCAGAAACATGACCATCACTTGGAAATCCTAATAGAGCAGATTTTTCATCAATTGAATATAATGGTTCTTTGATTTTATTGAACAAATCTAAATCAGAGTTTGACAATTTAACAATTTTTTCAAAATCTTCAACAGAGATTCTTGGGATGAATTTTTTATCACCAAAAGATTTGTAATTACCTAAATTACTCAAGAATTGAGATGCATATTCCAAGTAACCTTTTGTAACATCTTCATCAATTTTCAAACTTGAATAATCGGACTTCAAATTCTTGTGAATTTGTAAAATCAAATCAAAAATAGGTTCAGATTCATGAGAAACTTGTCTTAGCACAATTCTTGAACCCCAATGACCAGCTTTTGAAAAAAAATGAGCATATTTTTGTTCTTTGTCAGTCAATTGATCAAAGAAAGATTTAGCGGTTAATGAAACAATAGGAGCTTTAGCGTCAGCATGGAAATTGCTGATATCAATGTTTGTAGATGACATTCTCTTGATGATTTGACTAGTGATTCTTGATGAATTTCTTCTCAATTGATGAGTTAAAAGATGATTCATCAACTGGGTCTTTATAGTCTTGAGTCGTCGTCGAGTTGAAGAATAATTGGTGCCACTTTGTTCTGATCGGTGAATTTTGTATGGCGGGCCAAATGTTTCTTGAGCGATCTCACATGAATTTCACGTGACTCTAAGCGTGACTTGCACGTGACAGCCCTCATCTGGTTAGGGCACATGATGGCAACCATTTGAAAAAGAAAGGAAACAGCCAAAATCAATTTGAACTTATCAAGGGGAGAAAAGGGTTCAGAGAGGTTTTACTACAGTCTCAAAACCACACTACGTGAACAGATACAATGGTTTCATTTAATAAATTATTCATATTACCACTCGTTATATCACAAGCTTTAGCTGCTTCTGTCTTTGCAGCTGATGAACAATCCCCAATAAGTGCCAAACTATTACCAGGTGAGAAACCAATCCCTGGTAATTCACCAGTTGCTATATGTGATGTTACAGAACCTCAACTATTAACTATTGATTTGGTTGAATTATCACCAAATCCTCCACAACGTGGTGTTAACTTAACAGTGGATGCTGTTGGTCATTTAAGTCAACTCGTGGAAGAAGGTGCTTATGTTGATGTTGATGTTAGATATGGTTATATCAAATTAATCTCACAAACTTATGATTTATGTTCAGAAGTTGGTGAAGTTGATTTAGAATGTCCTTTACAAAAAGGTGAATATAAATTATCAAAGACTGTTGAAATCCCAGATCAAGTGCCACCTGGTAAATATACCGTTTATGCTAGAGCTTATACTAAAGATGATGATTTCATTGCTTGTATCACTGCTACTGTTGTCTTTAGTGTTGATTCTTGGAAAATTATCAGTTAGATTATTATCATAGTCATATTTCATACTTCATTTTATAAATCCTAGAGAAATTCCAGTGTGTTTTTTATCTAAAATCGTCATTTCAATTCGTCAGTTGCTCCAGTGTTTTTTTTTCCTTTTCAATTATAATTTTAGCAAATTATAATTATTATCATTATTATTTTTTTTATTAGTATCATGAATCCTTGCTAATATTCCCTACATTGTCATCATTTCAAATGCTATAATGTGTTTTTTATTTAATGTATGAATTTTTTTTAACTAGAGTTAATATAAACAGAATGTAAAAGACGTTAAAATGCTGTAAATGTTGTCAATTCAAATGCCTAATATCGCGGTTTATCTTGATGCAGTGTGTTGACTTGATGCTAAAAGACTGGTTGTAGCATCACTATTATCATCATTAATAACATCCAATCTTGTGTTTTGTAGATTATCAACACTTTCGCCACGAACACTGTTATAACCATTTGAGCTGATATTTCTTGAGTTGTCTCTTGATTGTAATTCAACTTCTGGACGTTTATAATTATCATTATTTTCTAGATTGAATTTAATAATTTCATATCGTTTAGAAATTTTTTTCAATTGCCATTTGATGGGTATGAATGGAATATAACCATGTCTTTCTTGGTATAATTTCACATTTAATAATATCACAATGAATAACCAATAAAGATTATAACTAATGACTGAACCATAAGTTGCAGTATTAGTCCAACCAACTAAAGCATTAAGCAACATCCAACCACCATCATTAATACCACTACAACAATTGACATGCCATATGGTATTAGCAACATCATAAGATCCTGGACCATTACCAACTTCTGTCATATCTTGTCCATGGCATTTTTGAACATATTGTTCCAATTCAAAGAACCATACACCACGAGACATTAACCCAGCAGAAACCAAATAAAGGAAACATGTTGAGAAAATCAAGAAAAATTGTAATCTCATCTTATTACCACCTTTGTATAAGAAGACACCAATCAATGAACCTAAAGTTAATGCAGAAATTATTGATAAAGGTAATGAACTTGCAGGTTCAGATGCCGAGACACCACTAATGACAAAGATTGCTTCAAGACCTTCTCTTAATAAAGTGACCATTGGTAAGATCATTAATGAATTTTTTTCTGTAAGTCTTTTCAATTTCCCTTTTAAACCTTTTAATTTTTTTCTATGAGAGATAGCATCAGTTTCACTATTTACAATAATTCCATCTTCATCAACTTGTTCTTGAGTTTCAAATCTTTTACGCATATTCTTACCCAACTTAACTTGCCATTTTTTTTGCATTTGATTGATTCTTAATAATGAAAGACCCATTATGGAAATGATCAAAGAAGAAATAACACTGAAAATTGCTTCCCAGTTACGTTCATATTTAGACCAATAATTCTCACCAATGATATAAAATAACGCCACGAAAACACTACCTATTAGCAAACAAATGAATAGCCCAAAGAACCCTCCTAGCCAAACTTGGGCTTGTAAATGTCTATAGATCTTTTTGTCTATTGTAAGAGTTGTTTGTTGTGAACCATCGTCATTGACAACTTGTTTTGTAAAATTCTGCTTGAGAAATGATAACAAGATGGATATCACGATTGCAGACTCGAATGTTTCTCTCAATAAAATGAAAAACACTTTCAAGCTGAACAAGTCACCGCTCATATTGAGATTAATACTGGTGATCTGGGCGGCTTTGTTGTGGGAAGTTGATCAACTGATTTCGATTGATCTTTGATTTGCTGGAAAACGAAAATTTTGATTTTTTCGATAAAAAAAATCTACAAATTTTGTATGGGAGCCACGAGCCAAGAAGTAATTGACAACCATTTGAATGAAGGTCTGGAAAGTGAAAAAATGAATTAGTTGAGGGTTTGATTGAAACCATTTTGTTTATTTTCAAAATCACAGTGCTTCTGAGACTCGCTTCCTCTTGAATTTTAAAGGTGCCAGATCATCGGTCTTTGAGCAAATAATTATACCTATCGGACTTTTTACACCTTAGAGTTCAAATTCATAATGTATATATATCATTGTATTCAGTTATCATAAAAAAGGAGCTGTTTATTTAACAGTGATGAATTGTTTACCACCAGAACTATTCTCCAAGGCATTAACAATCAACTCTTTGATTTGTTCATCAGAAAATTCATCATAGATCCAATCATTACTATGAACAGATAATTCTTCCAATTGTTGATTTTGATACAATTTGACTAAATCTGCAACTGTTCTTCTTTTGGAATCTGGATCTTTCTTATTATTTTCAGTGACCCAAAATCCAAAAGCTTTTAAATTTTTGAAAATAAATAATGAAGTTGGGAAAGTAACTGGTTGTTTGGACATACCACCATATGTAATAATTGTGGAATCTGGTGCTAATTTTCTTGCAATGTTGGAACTTGATTTACCGCTAACAGAATTCAATGCAATTTTCAATTTACCTTCAGTTAATTTAGCAATTTCTGCACTAACGCCACGATCACCATTTTGTTCTTCAGTAATAACTTTTGCAGCACCTTGTTTGGTTAATTTATCAATAGTTTCTTGTAAGTTTGGACGATCTCTAATAACACTAATGACATTGATACCTTTTGTTTTAGCAATCTGTGCCACAGCTTGAGAAACAGCACTAGTACCAGCATTTTGAATCAACCAATCACCCTTTTCCAATCCAAAATCATTAACTAACTGATAGGCAGTAGTTGGATTGACTGAAATTGTAGCACCAAACACAGTGGAGATATCTTTTGGTAATTTGATCAATTTATCCTCTGCGGCAATACTATGGGAAGTCCAAGTACCTGAATTTGAAAACAATGGAATGACACGATCACCTAGTTTTAAGTCTTGTACACCGGAGCCTAACTCAATAACTTCATATAAACATTCATTTCCTGCAATTGCACTTGGTTTTTCAGTACCATATTCAAGAGTCTTTTCAGGTTTTGAAGGGTAAACACCTTCCAATTGGTTGATATCTGATGGATTGATTGGGAAACCTAAACTTTTCAAAATGACTTGATTACCCTTTGGATCTGGTAATTGATGAGTATGGACAGAAATGACATCTTTTGGAATACCATGTTCTGAATAGATGATTGATTTAGCAGTGGTTATGGATCTAGTTGACATGATTGTTGAAGTGGATGGGCTAACAATTGATCTTTTCAAAATGTTTCTTGAGCTCAATCTAGCTGAATTGGATAGAATTGATCTTGAAAGCATTGTGGACTGTTGTTGTTGAGATGTGTTGGTTTATATATTACTTGTTGATGATTATAAATACGTTCAAGTGGGTAAAGAGTTGATGACTGTTTTTTCAATAGAGTTAAGCACGCTATACCAAATTATTTATACCTATATCCAACTGTATGTTCAATCGAATGGAGTGTTACAGTTGACGGCTTTTAAAATTCGATTCTGGGATTTGATTGAATTTATAAAACGAAATCAATTGGCCTGAACTATTCTGGAAGCGTAATTGGAAAGGTTTCGACACAATTTGCTTTTCGTTTGTGTGGAGCTGAGAATCCGAACAAGTTGAATTGAATTGAAATCATGGAAAAACAGCACAAATCCACCGGAAACCCACCAAATTTTGAGGAAATGTGATAAGTAAAAAGATACAATGATTTTTAATCGATCAATCAATATAAACATTCTCTTTAAATGATCTAAAACTCATCTTTTACTCGATTTTAACGAAGTCCTGCTGTCAAAGACCTATTTTAGTCCCCGGATTATACCCGATAAGGATATTTTGGGAAACTTAGATCCGACTTTTTTAAGGACATTTTGGAAAACAATAACAACAAAAAATAAACAAACCCAGTTTCAAAGCAAAATATTGAGACAAGAACTCATTTTCTTCATTCAGCTGCTGAAGAATTAGTAGGAATCAAGAACTTCTGTTGCAAGAAGGCTTAGGTCTTGTCTATCAGTGCTGCTTTGAGAACATTTTAGGAGTTTACACGTGAAAAGGGAAATCAATCCAACATGCTTACATCTTCAAGTCCTATGCAGGCTTTATCACCAACAACTTCACTAACAGGTAAAAGTATGACCTCTGATGAAATAGTGGATATCACAAACAGCAGGAAACTTCTGCGACCAACAAATGAATTCGGATCATTAGTGCTGACCCCAAGGAAAAGAGCTTTGGCAAGAAAGAATAACAACAACAATAACAATAATGATCCTATAACTTCAACTCCAGCTTCTTCAAATGGGATGGTATCACCTCCACTATCATCTCAGAAATCAATTGAAACTCTCAACTCTCCACAAAAGGCATTAGAAGACCCTATAAAGATTAACTCAGTTCATGAAGAAGAAACATTTGATCCAGAAGAACGTATAACTTTATTCCATTTCTTCAAGGCAAATATTTACTCATTTGAAGAAATGGATAATATGGAAGAGAAACAAGGAAGATTATTAGGTCATGGTAAATTTGAAGTTTATCAAATGCATATGAAAAAAGTTAGTTATTTCCAATGTGGTTCAGTTGTTTATCCAATATTACCAAGATTGAAAATATTGAAAATTTCGCACAACCAATTTATACTACCATTATCCAATCCTGAAAGGTATTGGAGAATAGTGATAGAAACAAATGATTCTTTGATTATCAAAGAATTGGAGGAAGTTTACAAAAAAATATGTCATTTTAGAAATCTTTATATTCAATCAACTTCTGAATTACCAATAACAAAGACATTACCTCCACCGATTACCACATTACCAACTTCAAAATCACAAGCTTCCCTTTCATCAATAACAACAGCAGTAGCATGTTTTGCATTAGAATCTGATTCAAGTACTTTTGTTGAACAAATATCTACAGAATCAACACCTTTACCAACCCAAGATGAAGAGGAAACTGATGAAGTAGAATCAGTTGTATCCTCACTAGATTCTGCCCTGGAAGATCTAACAGAGGATCCAAAACATTTCATCCAACAAGAACAATTAGAAACATCACGATACTTCACACCAAGTTCATCAGTACAACATACAACATTAATTGATGAATCAAGGGATACAATTTTATTATCACCAACCTTCCAACATGAATCATCACGAATCTTACCAAAATCAAGATCTTCACGCTCTGCTTCGTTATACATTGCAGAATCAAGTTGGATGGATCCTACAGATGATTTGATAACTTCATCACCAGGAACTGATCGTTATATCAAATTGAATTTGAATCCAAACCCAAGGTTTTTAAATAAGAAGAAGGAGAAAAACCTACAAAAAAGAATAGTTACAGATTCTGTATTAACAAACAAGAGTCATAGGTATTCTTCTTATGATGTTTATAATATGTTGTGTGATGAAGACCTTGATCATCAGGAAAAAGATGCTGGGTTTACTGGGTTTTTAAAATCGTTTTGGGCATGAAAAAGTAAAGAATTGGGTAAAGGGTTTAAACAAGGACTATTTAATGATGATACGAATACGAAAATTACATTATTGGATGATATATATTGTAGATTTTTATGTCATACTAAATTTTATTCACAAGGTTATACAAAATGAAAAACATGATCAATTTATAATAAAAAATTATCTTTTTAATACATTAAATGTTTTCTTCAACATGAGGAAATCATAAAAGAGAAAACACCAGAAAAGAGTGGGAGGGTCATGATGATTATAATTGTGGAGCACCTGGAACTGGGTTACCATTAGCATCAACTAAACCTTGTTGCATTAAAGCTAATTGTTCAGAACCAGCAGTTTCAAAAGTTAAACCAACACCGATTTTAGAAGCTGATTTAACTTGATCAATTTCACCAGCAAATAAAATAGAAACAGTTGGTAAAATTCTTCTTTCTAAAAATGCACTAACTTTACCTGATGAATCTATTTGACCTCTGAAAACTGATTGACGGAATTCATATTTAGCACCAATGGTAGTATTACCTTCGAAAACGGCTTGGATTGATGGCATACCACCCATTAAAGCATCACCTGCAACTGGAACCAATTGAGTTTGTAATTGGGTTTCAATACCAGCTTCAACATTTTCAGCAACTTTTCTCCAGAATGAGGCAACAACTGAACCTTGAGCTTGAACTTGAGCAGCAGCAATCCAGTTACCAGCGTTATAACGAGCAACATATGAAACAGCAGAGTCAGCTGGCATGGTTGGTTGAGCAGAGTAAACAGTTTCTAAACCAACTGATAATTTTGGAGTAATAGCTTGTAAAATTGAACCAACTGCAACACCTGTAAATTGACCTTCTTCTAAGAATGATGGGTTTAAAGCTTTCAAGTTAACAGAGAAATCACTGGCTTGGAAATCTTGTTCCAATTGTACCATGGTTGGTTGACCTTTAGCGATTTGTAAAGTGGCTTTTGAAATGTTTGATTTATCCCAACCATAGTTTAATCTACCACTTAATGAGAAATCATTATCAATATTACCTTGAGCAAAGAAGTTATCAGTAGCATATAAGGCACTGAATGCATATGGAGGAATTGATTGAGAACCTAATGAAAAAGTGTGAGAAGTTTGGAATGCTGGGTTTAATGAAAATGCTTTATTTAAATCAGCTCTTAAACCAGTAAAGAAATATTGGTTCAAAAAAACATCTCTTGTGACTTCTTTGTTTAAATTTTCAATTGTACCTGGATTTGTCAAGTTTAATGAGCGACGATGTTCATGAACATTGTTGTAAACATTATTTAAATATGAAAAAATTGGATTTGATGACCAGAAACCTGATGGTTTTGGTTTTTCTGGGGTGACACCTGGAAATTGTGGAACTTTTGATAAGTCACCTAATGGTAAAGGTGTTGGAGCTGACATCTTTTCAAAAATTTATTAGTAATTATTCTTAATTATGATTGTATTGAATTAAACCCACTGTTTTCTATATTATGTTTTCTTTCTTTCAATCTTTATGAATACTTTTTAGAGGTCCAAATATAAAACACACAAACGTAAACTTGATGTTCAGGAAATAAATCTGGAATGTATAATGATCAATCTGTACCGACTAAAGACTGGAATGAAGGAAAATTTGTATCAGAAAAAATTGAACTTTCAAAACCAAATGTAATTCAAACCTTTGCTCTAAGATCTCTAAAGCCTTTTTTTCACAAATTACTTCGACGATGATTTGGAAAAAAAAAATTGTAGTGGCCAAGTTCGGGTAATGGTTAGGGCCACTCCACACTATATAAAAACTAATTCCACTACCTTTTATATTTCATAATGAATGATTGTATATTTAGTTAGGAGGTATCCATATTGATGTCGCCATCCTGGTCGTTATCCTGGTTGCCAATTGCTGGGAAATCGTTGAAGTTTTCAAAGTCAAAGTTGGCAGTGTCTTCGGTCATAAATGTATCACTTTGTTGCAATGGTTGGCTTTGAATAGTGCCATCATTTTGTGCTTCAGTTTGGGGTGTGGGAGTCTCCTTCCTGACATTGTCAGCTTTCTGTTCGTCCTGTGGTGATTGTGGTTCGACAGACTCTAACTTGGTCTCTTTCATTACTTCATCTTCGTCCTCTTTTGGTGTAGGTGGATCTGGTAATGTGATTCTTTCACCAACTCTTGCTCTTAGTTTTTGCAGAGCTGCAGTTTTCCTGCTTATATTCTTTGTTAATCTTTCCACTCTAGCAGCTCTTTCATCTGGTGTTTCTGATAAACCATGGATGTTTCTCAATATTTCTCTTGCTTTATTTATCCTCACTTTCAAGGTACCAGCCTGATAAAATTTGTTAGTGATTCATCCGATTGAATACATAAATTGATACTTACAGCATTATCAACATCTTTTGGTAATAATTTACCAGAATTGACATCTTCCACAATATCCAAAACTAGTGGTAGTAATTCCAAGTTCTTCAACTCTTGAATTGCAGCTTCTGCATCTTTTAGTTTTGACTCTTCATCCAGTTTCGATTCTTCTGATTTGAGCCGTATATCTGGTGTAAATGGGCTCGAATGTCTGAGATTGCTCATTATTGATTTGGTTTTTGTTTGGATTTTACTGATGTTGTTGTGATGCGTTTTGATTGTAAAGTGAACTTTTCAGTTTTTGAACATTGGCCTTTTTTCGGTCGCGAATTAATCCTGATAACATGGGCTACACTCAAATTATAAGGTGATGAATATAATAGATTTGAATAGTACTTATACATCTATATTATATGATCTATTGACTCAGAATTTCCCGCGTAATAAATGCTTGATCATGTCATATCCAGTTAGGTATGTGGTTCTCAAGAAGGTACCAAAATCCAAAGTTGATGAAACTGTATCCAAGAAACCAAAAGGCAACATGGCTGGAATCCAACCTTGAGCCAATTCCATTGCAAAAGATCCAGGAGCTAATGAATATTGAGTAACTTCACCTTTTTTCATGAGATTTGTATCACCTGGATAGAAAATTCTTGGGTATAACTCATTTGGGAAAGCAGATTTTTCATGACCTTTTAAAATTGTGAAATAATCATCAGCGAAATGAACACCACTATGACCTTCATTACCAGTAGCAGTTCCAAAGAAGATCAAGTATTCTGAGATTGAAGCATGTAGGATGAACATTGTACCCATTGCACCACCAGCATTGTTGAAAACCCAATCATCAAAGTTCAATGGATTGATCAAATCACCATAACGTTCTCTTATATCAGCGCCTAAATCTTGTAAGATTAAAGTAGTATTACCTTCTGGATGTTTTGCTATAACATTTTTTGCCAATTGTTGCAACACTTCTGGTTCGAAAACATAGTTTGTTGGTAACCAGGTTGAATATAAAGCTTCCAAGAAGAAGTAAAAAAGGATTGGTGATGATAGCGCAAGTAGTTTCATTTTTGATGATTAAACCAACAACGGAAGCTTATGGGATTGGTGAAATTCATCTCTATTTATAATTTGGTATTCTTCATTGATTTATACAGTTTTTAACTGGCTTGTCGCAGAAAGCGTCGTTTAAAGATATTCTTGTTTTGGTTTTAAACGAACTTGTTCCACTACAGCGCTGTCATCTCGGAACGTGTCATCAATATCAACTTCTTCCCTTTATCTCGACATCAATTAATGCTATACGACAAGAAACTCTTGGATTGTAGAAGTACAGCTGCACTAGATTGGCAATTATATTGCTCAAGGCTACCGACCACTTTGAAACTACCTTAGTATATGCACTTGACTTGGGAATTGTCCATCTACACTTAAATGGTTCATAATCATAAGTATATTACAAAGAACTTTTTATAAGTATATGTATCTATAGTATATGTGTTTCTTCTAGCTTATTGATGTTCATAGTTTCTGTATTAAAATTTACCACGTAACAAATTCTTTCCCATATCTAAACCAGTTAAATAGGCAGTTCTGATGAAAGTGTAGAAATCTAAAGTTGAAGAAGCAGTATCCAAGAATCCAAATGGCAACATAGCAGGGATCCAACCTTGAGCCAATTCCAAAGCGAAAGATCCAGAAGGCATAGCATATTGTTTAGCGTGACCTTTAGTCAAATGATGGGTTTCACCTGGTAAGTAAACTTCTGGGTATAAAGCACCTGGATAAGCAGCGGTTTGTTCACCTTTCAAGATTGTGAAATAATCATCAGCAAAATGGACACCACTATGACCTTCAGTTCCAACAGCAGTACCAAAGAAAATCAAATATTCTGAAATGGAAGCATGTAAAATAAACATAGTACCCATTGCACCACCAGCAACGTTAAAGATCCAATCACCTTCATTCAATGGGTTGATAATGTCACCATAATGGTTTTTAAGACTGACTGCCAAATCTTCCAGGATCAATGTTGTGTTTCCTTCTGGATGTTTAGCTAGAACTTCATTTGATAATTTGTTCAAAGTTTCTGGGTCAAAAACATAGTTATTTGGTAACCAAGTATCAAATAGCAGGTTCAAGATGTAGTAAATGATAACGGGTATGGACAAGTAAAAGAATCTCATTGTGATAGATCTGGATTCCAGTAAAATTAAAAGATGAAGGTGATAATCTGACTTGGATTCTTTTACAACTGCTTAAACCGTTTAAATTTTCACGATGTTATGATTTTTGTCGTTTATGCCAAAAAAAAAAAATTGAACGAGATCGCGCACTCTGCCAGATTTCTATGTGTCAATGTTAGTTCTGATTATGTAATACACCAGGGCTGATAACCATCAATTTTGAAAGATAAACTAATTATAACGTTGGACTTTATTTAACCATTCATTACTCAATCATCAACCAACCACAATGTCATCTAAAGCCATTTTGAAAATTTCCGCAATCTCCAACAGTGATTCTACAAACAAAGAACAAGAGATACTGGATTTATTGAACCAAGTTTCAAATGATCAAGAAGCAACTGTGCATTTAATTAATGCCCTTGTCAAACAACAAACTTTACCAGTAAAGCAAATATTGGTTAAATATATAGATTCAATTGAATCCACATTCCCACAAGATGCTAAAATCAAACTATACGAAGAAATGATATCGATATTTTCACCGCCAACTGCAATTGTTTACTTACCACTTATGAAGACAATTTTAAACCTCACTTCAATATATGAATCTCATGATCAATATTCAAAGGCATTAGATACTTTGAAAACATTACAAATTGACTCACTAGTTCAAGATTTTGATGATTTATTAAGTTTTCAAAAGTTTAAAGTTGAGGTAAATACAAGAATTGCTAAAGATTCTTTGAAAATTGATGATTTTGAAAATGCTGAAGCTTATATATCTAGGATAAGTCCAATTTTATCAGAGCTAGAAAGTAATGGAGTTGATGACTTGATATTAAACACTTACAAGATTTCAGTGGAAACAATGGTTAAAGTTGGTAAATGGTCTGATGCTGCAACAAAACTTTTGATACTTGATAAAGAGCAGTTTGATATTCCAACTTTGAAGTATGCAATTTTGTCACAGCATGATTCTTTGAAGACAAGGTTGTTGAATAATATAGTGGAATCTTCACATATTTTACAAAATGTTTTAGATACCCCGTTATCAATAATTTTTGAAAAAATGTATGATCAGAGAATCATTTATTATGATGATTTTTTACAAGTTTTGGAATATTATTTGGAAACGAATGATTTGGGATTATCCAAAGACTATATATCACAGGCATTATCAAAAGCACTTGTGGAGAATAATTTAATTGCTGCTTCCAAGATATATGATAATTGTTCTGTTAAGAACTTTGCAGAAATTTTACAATTGGATGAAGCTTATGTTGAAGAGATCGCTGCGAATATGATCAGAGACCAAAGATTAGATGCGTTGATTGACGATATTAACATCGTCATTGAATTCAACTCTCAGAAAAGAAGTCCCTTAAAAGAATGGCATGGGCATATGATTGAATCTTGTACGATATTGGATAAGATTGTCGATAAGATTAGTCAAACAAAGCCAAGTTTGGCTGATAGTTATCTAAATACTTGAAGATATGCGCCATTTTGCTTCACTAGGTGAGATATTGTGATAATAATATTTGCTCGGTTTACCTGTTTGGTTATAATACATATAAAAAACTTTTATTTGCCTTCTCTTGATAAAAACCATTTTCCATAAATAAAATAAAATGTAATGAGTGATGTTTGATATAAAATAAAAACATGAAATGAAAATCAAATAAAGCAGGACACACGCTAGTTCTAGAAATGAGAGATCTGTGAAAGCAGACATATAAAAAAGCAACAATTAATTAAGAACCTCAATCTAATTAGGTATATGAATTTCCTGGGGAAAGTATAGCACACTATGATAGAAAAATAAAAACAGTCATGAACATAAATGCAACATCAGCAGCAGCAGAAGTAGGTTAGTTGGAGCTGATCAATGATAATTGTAACAAAGATTTAGCAGCACCATAAGATCCAGGAGTTGAAGAATGAAGTTTTTTAGTTGGACTTGACATGATCAAGTCACCGTTTTCATCAGCACGACCTTTAACTGGGGTAACATCAACACGAGCTTGGGTTGTGTTGTTGACCAAATCTTCAATTTTCAAAGAACGATGTTGATGAGCAGAATCTGATTTACCCAATTGTGGTAAAGATAATGATCTTAAATTACCAGGTCTTTGATATTCAGATATTCTTGATAATGCAGCAGATGATGTCTTTGTTGGATTTGTTGAGAATTTTGAAGTTGGAGGTAATTCGATTGGTTTGAATGAAACTTTTTTCTTCTGGTTGGTGATTGGATTGGATTGTAATGGAGTGGAAGCAGCCAATAAACTGATATGACGAGTTAAAGAAGGTGTAACAATTGGTTTTTTAGGTTGATGATGTTGTTTTTGTAATTTGGCTTCTTGTTTCTTGATGATTTCACCAATTGGGACTGAAACCTGATCAGTGCGTAGCTTATAATAAGCCAATTGAAGTCTATATTTCAATTTTTCAGCATTTTTAGTGTATTTGGATGATGGTGTTGGTTTTTTGATAGATGAAAGTGTGGTACTATAGTTTGAATTGGAGAATGATTTAGATGAAATGATGGATCTTAGGTTTGGTAAAGTTGGTTTGATGTTACCCAAGTCTGAGTTGTGTTTTTTGTTCAGAGCATTAGCAGAAACGACACTTAAAACAGGGCGCTCAAATGTAGACATGATTGAAGTATGGTAATGGTGAAGATGATTGTTCGTTGGAAAGAGTTTATATGCAAATGAATTGAAGAGTTTAGATGTTGGTGTTGATGGTTGTTAAGCGAGCGTGGTGGGTATTTGGGCAGGAAGTGTTTTTTTGGCTGCGTAATGGTTGGTTGTTGGGTTCAAGTGACTCAGGTATACCTTTTGATGAAGCTGGCAGTAGTCTCTTGTGTGAGTATATCAATGGATGTATTGCTTGAAGGTAGCTTTGGAGGATGGTGAAAGCAGAAGTTGGGTTGACGAAAGTAAATAAATAAATAAAAGCTCCAAAGGCTCTGTGTTTGACTGCACGCTTGAGCTTTTTCATTTGTGTGTTTTTGTTTTGTTTACTTTTTACCCAAAAGCGCGCGTCGCGTTCTGGTGTGTTTCCCCTGACAACATTCCTCTTTTAAATTTTTCAAAACAACAACAAAAAAATAAAAAAAATCACGAATTTTTTACGTGGCGTTTGGTTTTTTGGAAAACAAAACAAACGTTTTTGGAGATCGATGAAGTGTAGATCGGATCTAAACTTTGAGGACAATTAGGACCAAGTACATACGCGAACTTTGAAAGGGCTGAACATGATTGAGTCCAGGGTACACTTCAGAATGTACGACACGCTACACGTAGTACACGATATCTTTAACGAGTCCATGTTTAAACAATACATCGCCCATTTCCCAAAAAATAACGTCGCTTACGAATCGAATGTGTTGATTTCCTAAAGAGGACCTCCAACGCACGCAAATACACAGATTTATACATCACCAATGACAAACAAAAGATCAAGATCTCAGCTTTTGAGAAACACGTAGGAATAAAACATCTACAAACATTTCCCAGATAAAAAGGTTCACATACCCTTTCTTTTCAATTATACTTTATTTGTACTGATTCCTAATATACACTCCCAACCCGAATTCACTTTTTTGAATCGCGTCGTGTCTTATGTTTTATTCAAACCCAAAGTCCATAGACGCAACCCATTCAGTCATGTTTGTAACAACTCTTTCTTGAATAAGATCATCACGCCCACTGGCAACTTTAAGCACCAATTCATTCAATTCAGCACTTCCCAAAATATCAACATGTTCAGCAGTTTTAGCACCTCCTCTAATATCAAATCTATCTGGTGCATGCTTCATTTCGACAATCTTAATTTGAGATCCACCTGGATTATAATTTGGCGAAGTTTTCCATTTATGACACATAGCATGGGTCATGATTGGAATTGTACCATCACCATCTGTGAAGAAAACCGATTGTTTATCACTCTTGGACAAGATTGAAACGTTAAGTTTGGAAATCTCTTTATCTTCTTCTTCTTGATAGATATATGATCTCTCAGTTGGGTTACCAACACCGTAGAAGCAAAAAATCTTGAGTTCAGGAGCATTTGGTAATGGAACTTCTAATGGATTTGACCATTTGTTGAAAAACTTTTCATTCTCTTTCAACTCTTTTGGAGATTTAGCAACACCATATGAATAATGTTCTTTAGTTCTTCTGTTAAACCATTCTGGTGAATTATCCAATAAGAAGTCAATACTATCACTCATTGTTAAATTTTTAGCTGAAAATTTACCAATTGGTTTTTCAAATCTGATAAAATTACCAAATGTATCAGTGTTGTTATGCAAAACATCTTCTAAGGCTCCATTCAAATTACCCCAGATCAAATCACCGCCTTTTGGAAACATACTTGCAAGACCACCAAAAGTTCTCATCATATCCAGTCTTTCTCTTCTTGAGAAGAACTTTTCCAACCCATAAACAGCTAAGGCATTCAATTGAACTGTATCTTTCATTTCACCTGAAATCAATGCTGGAACTGCTTTTGGCGCACCTAAAACCGATCCTGAAATGTCAATAAATGCAGCAATATACTTATTTACCCAATCTTTACCACCATTACCAAAGTGTTCGCCTTCAGCTTCAACCCATTTCATAAAATAGAAAACAATTTGTGATCCCATTGAATGACCAATTAAAATAGATTTTTCACCAGAAATCTTAAATCTCAGTTCAATCTGTTGTTTCATTCTTGAGAAATATTGATCTCTTTTCTCAAGATCTAAATACGATAATCTCCAATCATAAGCTGCAGTAACCATCTTGTTTGGTTCATATCCAATAACTGACAAGTTTTGTAAAATCTTATTCCAAATCCAATATCCAGCCATGAAGAAATCAACAGCTTCAAAACCTTGAGCTGCTCTCAATTTAATACCAGGAGGATCTAATCCAGTTTCCTCATCTAGCATGATATGTTTTAACCAACACGTTTTATCTAAAAACATGGTTCTCAACATATACATTGAACCCCATAATCTTTTTCTATAATGAGGTTGTGAAGGACAATCCTTGGTGCCTTCAAGACTCCAAGATTCAATACCAGTGGAAATGACACCTGGAACCATAATAACTGGATATTTATCAGTTAAATTATTTTCAGCCTTCATTGCCTTACCAACTGAAAAATCTTCACTAAAATCTTTACCATCACCAGGAGACGATTGCTTGAAGTCATTAAGAGCATTCTGTACACCATTTGGTATCACATCTTTCCAATCATCAAGATAATCTTGTAAACTTTCAAAATTCACCAATTTCTCAAAATCTGTAGCACCATGTTGTACAGCGCCGAAATAAACAGCAATCAGCACACCAACCAAGGCACCTAGTAAAAACACAAATCTTCTTGATTCCTTGACAGCTTTCTTTGCTGGTTTTGCACTAGTTGATGATGTTATTTTAGATCCACCATTCTTTGAATTAGTTGCAGGGGTACTTTCTGAATCTTCTGATATTTCAATCAATTCATCATTATCGAGTCTCGACTTCTCCTCCAAGTTCTTGTGCTTGGAGGTCTTATTGCTCCTCTTCTTGAGTGGCATCTGTGGTTACTGGATCGTTTATAATGGTTTTGTGCAACGTTATACGATGTTTACGTTTTGTGGTTGTCAAATTTGATTCCTGTAAAGATTTCGGTCCGTTCGATGATGGCTCTTTTCTCCGGGGGGCTCCGCCTAAACTTTGGCAGCTGGGCTCGTGGCCCGTGGGCTCGTGGGCGGGAGCCTGGAAAGAGCTCTCTGTGCGTGGCCCATCCATTTCGCGAATTTCAGAACCTTTTGACTGATAACAAAAACCATCTTTTAGTACTCTTCAATTATAGTAACTTTCAATACACTTCACCAACTAAAAAGACATTGGGAATTGTTCATTAGTTTAATTGAACTTGATTATCTCCAGACTGATACACACTATCGTCCCATTACTACCTGCAAATTTCCAAACTTGACACGACTCTGATATACCCCAGATAGAATATTTGCCATCAACAATGCTAAGATCAACTTTCAACTCTTGGAGAGAATACCTAACACCAGCTTATCATACATCCACATTCAAATCCACAGGTGAAATCACACCAGAGGAGTTTGTAGAAGCTGGTGATTATTTGGTGTATAAATTCCCAACATGGCAATGGTCCCCAGCTCCACCAAGTAAGAAGAGAGATTTTTTACCTGATGATAAACAATTTTTGGTTACTAAAAGAGTTCCTTCATACGTTAGAGCTTCTGAATATTTAGGTGTTGGTTTTGATGATGAAGAGGAAGTTGATGAAGATGGCTGGACAAAGACCAGAAAACCAAATGTTGGAACAAGAGATGAAAAAGCTAAAACAAAACCTGAAGAAGAGGAAGAAATTGAAGAAATTGATGATTTAATTGATGAAAATGCTGAAGAAGATGAGGAGGATGAAGGTGAAGTTACAGCTGGTTCAGCTTCAAACCCAAATAAAAGATCATATGATTTGTACATCCATTATTCAACTGCTTATAGGGTTCCAAGAATGTATTTGATTGGATTTGATTCAAATGGGAGCCCATTAACTCCGACTGAAATGTTTGAAGACATTTCTGAAGATTATAGAGACAAAACTGTCACAATCGAAAAAGCACCATTTTTAGATGATACAACTTCAATTTCAATTCATCCTTGTCGACACGCAGCAGTTATGAAAGTCCTAATAGGTAAGGCAATACAAGCTACAAAGCAAAAACAAGCAAAGGATAAGAAAACTGAACAAGAATTGATGAAAGGTGTAAGTAAATTAGGATTAGCTGATAATAAAGATGAAGAAGAATGGGAACAATTAGATGAACATGATACAAATGGTGAAGTGGATGACGTTGTTAGAGTTGATCAATACCTCATTATTTTCTTAAAGTTTATAACAAGTGTTACACCTGGTATTGAGCATGACTATACTATGGATGCCTTTTAAAACAGGCTAAATGAAACTGGTATAAGTTTTTCAATAACAATGAATTTATTTATTTTTTTAAACTCTCAGGGTCTCATGGGATTCTAGAAATGACACCTTTTCAGCGATACGATTCCATCGAATCGACGGTTCCTTTCTTCCCAGACTTTATAGTGTAACTGCGTACTCATTGTTCAAGCGAAGCGAAACGTTTTTCTGCTTTTAAACATTTATCAAACACCCCCGATACGAGTTGATAATATTTAAGAAGTAGCACATAGTTGATATATATTTATACCAGCCAGAACCACTACCAATCACCACTTTCAGCTCCTCTTTGGTCACTTTAAAAATATTTTTCGCCCTTTAAAGAGCTGGAAAAAGCGACGTTACGCAGACGGCTTTGAAATTTTTGACGTTTTTTTGGATGGGGCAACTGGCTAAAACATTATCCTCTATTGTTTTAATAGGTTGGCTACACATATTTGGCTGTTCAGAGTACACGGATGTACATCCTGCTACTACTTATGTTAATTATCTTTTTTTTCTGGGGTAGTTATTCGGGTTGCTTTGAAGAAGATTTGAGTGAGGGATTCTAATCAAAAGATAGAGGAGATGAGTAATAATATTGAATTTGGATTATTATGGATTAGGTATTTTGAAGGGCTTGGAGCTTGAGAATATCCACTATATAAAACGTCGAATCGACGCTTTTCCAGTTTATTGTGTCTTATATTGGTGCTTAATACCAAGAAACATCAAGACCTGTCATTGTTTCGGTTAAAAACATAATGCAATCAGGAGAATCTATTGAAAAACCAGCAGTGGATCACGCTGATTGGGCTGACTATAACAGTGCAGAGAGTGAAAGTGCAGCAAACCATCATGAGATTATCTTCCACAGAAAACACATTACTCCAGAGCATGAAGCTTTTCTATTAAAACATCATGGTCGTACTGATTTAAATCCATTACCATCACAAGATCTTAATGATCCTTTGAATTGGCCCGAATGGCGTAAAAATGCACAACTTGCACTTGTTGCCTTCCATTCATTCAGTACAACATTTATTGCTAGTGGTGTCATTCCAGCTTATTCGAATTTTGCAGAAGATTATGGTGTCTCATTACATGCTTGTACTTATTTTACATCCTGTCAAATTTTAATGTTGGGTTGTATTCCAATTTTTTTCACTCCCATTATGGTTAAATATGGTCAAATCAAGATTTTCCTAATAAGTACATTAGGATCTTGTGTTTTCAATATTGGTTGTATCTTTTGTAAAACTTATGGAGCTCAACTAGCTTGCAGAATCATGTGTGCAGTTTTCATTAGTCCAGGTGTTGCAATGGGTGGTACAATTGTTCATGATGTTACATTTGCTCATGAAAGAGCTGCAAAGACTGGATGGTGGTCGTTATTATACACTTTGGGGGTTCCCGCTGGTCCCTTATTTATGGGATTTGTTGTCACTCAAACTGGTCATTGGCAATATATGTTTGTTGTCTTTGCAGCTACAAATTTTATTCAATTTTTGGTTTATTTATTTGCTGGTGATGAAACGGCTTATGACCGCTCAAAAGTTCAGACTGATGAGGTTATTGAAGCTAAAGGTTATTGGAGCAATCTTGTCACCAAGTTATACAAATCTCATAATTACCATCCTGAAATGAATCTACTTTCACTAAAAGTGTACTTGCACCCTATTATACTGTCAATCAAAAACTATAAAGTCTCTGTTGCTGCTGTGTCTTATGGTATTATATTTGGTTATTCAAACGTTGCATGCTCGGTTGAACTTCCATCAGTTTTCGTTACAAAGTTTGGATTTGATGCTCAACAAATTGGTTTACAAAATATTGCAGTGATCATTGGTAGTTTCATCGGTGAGATTATTGGTGGGAAATTATCTGATATCTTCATGGCTTATTGTGTCAAAAAGCGCTCTGGCGGTGATAAAGAAATTGTCCATAAGAAGATCGAAGATAGATTTTGGATTGCATACTTTGGTTATGTTATGGCAGTTGTTGGATTAATTGTCTTTGGTGTTCAAACTCAAAATGCAAGACAAGATCATTGGAACGTTACTCCTCTTGTTGGTCTATGCTTGACATCACTAGGTAACCAAGTTGTTACAACTACAATGATTACATATGCTATTGATTCAGATACTGCTAATGCAACTCATATCAGTTTATTTATTGTGTGGTTAAGACAAGTCATTGGTTTCGTTGGTCCTTTCTATTTCACTGCTATGTTTAACAATTTGGGTTTTGCTACAAGTTTTGGTATCATGGCAGCTATCGAAGGATTTGTCGCATTAGGAATAGTTATTGTCACACATATCATCAATAGATGATTTATTCGATTACTTGTTTTTTAATTAAATAAAATACATATTCACATCCTTCTGATACAATTTGCAGCTTGTAGAGACGTCGCCGTTTTCAAGTTTAATTATTTTGAACAACCAATTTATACATTAAAATTCGAAAGCTGCTTCACAGTATTAATATGGCAGCTTATAGTCGTCGATCAGCTAGAAATATTTAACATATAAGTTATATCATCAATATTATTTCATGTGCCGTTTCTTTCGTCATGAGCTGCGTGCAGACTTTTAACATGTAAATAGTATTATAACATCAACTGTCAAATATATAATTAATAATATTATTAATATTAATTATATCCATTATTTTAGCATATTTTCTTAAATACTCATTAATATAAAAATATACGACGTCGCCAATTTATGATATTTATCAAAAAACAAAAATTGAAAAAATGAATTCCAGCATAGCGAGAAGCCTACAATCCAAGCGGTTCGTGCGTAATTGCATTCCTCATCCAAGTTCATCAAATACATCAACTAAAAAAAAAAAAAAAAAAAAAATACATTTTCCATGATATAATTAATTCAATTCAACATGCTGTTACATATTTTTCATAGTGACCAGCTCTATATATAGCTAATACTGGAGTATTAATCATGGATAATCAATATGACTAACTGATTACATCAGCAAAACCTGTTTGCGCACGTAAAAATTGTGTCAAATTTAGATGCTCGATTGGCAACAATTGAAGACTTTCAATTTCAAAGATGGGTTAGATTCCCTGGACATGCTCAAAATGATATGCTCATGGTGTAGCTTGTAAACTTGTGAAAAAGCTTGACTACGATAATACACACGCCTCCGCTCATCACGTCTAGAGGCAGCTCTTTCACAATTGTGTGAAGCAGAGAGCCTCAATTCGACCACCTTCTATTGATCACAGGTATCGCGATACAAACATACTGATATATCTAAATAAAAATGGAGATTGTGAAGCTCACAGACAAAGAATCTTTAGATCTACAATTTTCAATTGTTCTAATAAAATGCGTGTCATATATTGGTATAAAAAATTGATCGATCATGAAGAAATTAAAAAGTAGATGTGAATGATGGGGGATATCATAGAACTGCTAGTGGAAGTTGTTCTCAAATGACTAGATGAATGTCATCAATAACTCAAGCAGTTGCTGATTGAGCAACTTTAACCTTGACTGGGTTGACATTGGAGTAACCAGCAGTGGCAGCTGAAACTGAAGAGCCAATGTTTGGGAATAAACCAATTTGATAATTGTCTTTAGAGTAGTTGTATGGATCTTTGGTATCTTTAGCAATGAAGAAAGCATCGGAACCGTTACCTTTCAAGTAACCATCTTCGAAAGTCCAAGTAGTAACTGGAGCACCTGAAGCAGAAACTTGTAAACCTGGGAAACCGTTTTCTAAGACACTCAAAAATTGTGGGAAGCTTTGACCATCAGAATTTCCGGCTGATAAGTAAATGGCACCACTAGTAGTGTTCAAGTTCAAAGTTTGAGCTTCATCAGCTAAGAAAACGTAGTTGATAGCAGCGCCTTCATGACGAGAGTATAATCCTTTACCATCCAAATCTTTGTTTTCACTTTCAATGGTAAATTTGACAAAGTTTGAAACTGGAGCAGCTGAAACGAAACCAGCTAAAACTGAAGCAGCAGCGAATAAAGTTGAGAATTGCATTGTTGGTATGATTTGATTGTATGTTTCTGTGTGATTTGGTTGACTATTAGTGTCTGATGAATTGAGGTAAGGTAGATTTGTTGATGAAGTTGGAAAATGACATTCTTATATAGTTTTCTAGAATGTTAAAAATAGTGTTCCATAAACGACAGATCAAGGTATCTTACTACACCTATCTCACTTTGTTCGCCTCTTTCCCAGCTCAAATGTAAACAGTGACGAAATACACTAAAATAGAACATTGGATCTCGGGGATCTTCTTCATGAATTGATGGATTGTGGCGAACTCATGCCGTTGAAAATGTTGTGCATATGCCAGAGAGTTGCCAAAAATTAAAATCAGGCACCGAGATGCAAAAATTGCCCTTTTGACAAAGTGAGGTTATTGCCACTTTTCACAAACAATGCCAGATCAGGTTCATAACTCAAACGTCAATTCAGGTCTAGTTACGTGCCTACATTTAGGTAAACGCTTGTAGTTCCTGATGGTATGAGCTTTGTATAGATTGAAACGATAATAATATTAAGGGAGCGGTGGCAAGATACCGTTGGAATTTCGACCAAACCTACACAGCGACAACTTGAGGCGTCATTCTTTTGACTCCATCTGAAATTTCTCTTCACATAGTAGGTGGAGGTGCCTACCTTTGATTTGAATTCAAGTTTGTACTGCGTTTATAAACCCTAGCTCGAGCCTCATGAGCTTTCCAATAATTTCCTCGGTATGCATAATTGCGTCACCTCATCTCCTCCAACAAATTAACCACAACTTTTAATTTTTATACAACTTTGAACTTACAAACATGTCAAGTTTCAACTATCACAAGTCACCAAAGAGCTCGAAATTGATTTATAAGATTAATTTAACTTCAAAACGATGCTCAATTGACATATTGTAGTATGTACCGCTACAACTTTAAGATTGGATCGCTCTGTACTGAAAACTAGAGACTAGATAGTGGATACCAATAAACTCAGGTACATACCAGACTCTAGCTACACCTACTTACTTACAGATGCTAACTGACACATGTTGTAGGTTCAGAAATTCAACAATTTAAGTCTCTATTTTTAGTTTTCTATCGATCCTCAGATTTGTCGTACAACTGTTTGTGATCTGTGATTTGTGGATCGTGATTTGTTGGAACTTGGAAGCTCCGTGAATGATCACGATGATCTACAAAAATTTGCAACGTTTTTATGATCGACTAGTGCTCACTGCTTTTCCTACCCAAGCTATGCACGACTTATAAGAATTCAGAAATGTAATTTTCAAGAAGACAACTTACGTCTTGGATCTTTGAGCCAGCTATACTATTAATAACACTCAGTTAAATTTGCGTTTAGATCAAGCCTAAATTAGCACCAAGATCACCATAATAAACTTGGTTACTTATCAAAGTAATCACATCTTGAACGGATGTATAGTTTTGCCGAAGAAGTAGAGAAGAAGGGTCGGTCTAGTTGGAGTTTGGAGGCTGGAGTTAGTTGAGAAGTAGTCACCAGAAGTTAACTGCTTACTAGAGTTGAGGACACAGGGGTAAGGGTCCAGTGCAAATTATAGCATCGCATCAAGAATTGAGAGGAGGACAATCGAAATACTACACGTACCTCTCGAATAATCCCACTGGATACAAACCTATACTCGGTGTTTTAATGTTTTGTTTACTGCTGAATTGTAGTTGTACAACTTGTAAATTAGTTGTGCACAGTCGGACAAAAAATTAAAAATAGAAAGTAAGCTTTTTGAGGGTGCGACCGTCGACGTGCGACATGCGTCGGTTTCAGGTACCATACCGCTAACTCCAAACCTTCTATGCAGAGTAGTGCAGAATGGAAGCTTCGAAGGTTGAAGTACAACAGTTCTCTACTTCTGAAGTTTACAAAGCACAACTGAGTAGTTTGTACACTGTAGTATATTTTGGTATACACCAGGCTTCAAAGTTCTACTTTAGAAATTCGAAGCTCGTGCCCCAAGAGTTAAGGCTCTGGTTTTGCGAACCCGTAGACCAATATTATCCCGGTCAGTTTCTACTTCTCTTCCTCACCATCATCTGTCATGTGAATAACTGATTTAGCTTCTCATCAGATTCAGAGGCCGTATAGACTTAATATTTGCCATATAGTGAGCTTCCAGCAGCAATTCTTATGCAATCAGCATAAATGATCAATGGCGGATTATAAGATCAATTTGATATTTGTCTTTTGAGTAAGGAGAATGGTGTTCTTGTTTGCGTGAAAATTGTAAGAGAACCCATTTGCAAAGTGCCATCAGCAAATATTCATCGAACGTTTCTAGCACCTGAACAAAACAGTCAACTCTGAATATACACCCGTGGTTGTTGACCATTCAACCATCAATCTCCCTTTCCAAGTAGTAGTGCAGATAAATAAATAGATCTTCCACAATCTCCTTCAAATAACAAAATCAATCTGTCACTTTCTCATTTGTTCTCAGTGAAGTTCTTAACTTTGGAATAAGAGTGGGACACTTGAGTTGACGTGAAACTATAACGTTGAATGTAACAACGATGTGGACCTCATTTTTATCTGTGTAAATAATAATGATGATGATCCAGGGTGATCTAGCTGGTTGAATGTTGGCAAAGGAGCAGCGTGTTTACAGTATTGATCTAACAGTTTTTCCAAAATCACATGAATAAAGGAATATTTATTAAATTCGTATATTCCTTTAGCAAGCGTCTATACAGACCAACACTTGCCTTTCACATTATCCAAAAGCTTACAAGTCATTAGGCCATTATAGGGGAAACAAAGACCAGATGCCTTAAAGCTTAGTAGTATTAGCAGCTGGAGCACTGGTAGAAACTGGGCATGTAATAATTCATCACCAATACCTTGTGGAATCACTTGCACCACTCTTACCTTTGGCATAATAAAACCCAATGCCATGAGCTAATACTGACAGCGTATGGCCCAAATTCAACACAGCGAAAAATAGGAAGAGCCCAATTGGTTGGAAATCCAAAGAAACCTATGAACAGGAACAGGTTTGTTGAAAATATGATCAGTTATATTTCAAGGTAAGGCCCTAGGAGCAAAACCCGGACACCACATGAGACTTTGGAGATTTCCTAGGTTTTTTTTCTATGGCTCCCTGAATTTTCACTTCTCCTAATTATGGTGATCAAAAACTCCCAAACTACAATCAATCAACAACCAATGAATGATAAATTTCCTTGAAGGAAGATTCAGACATAAGATCTAGGCAAATGAGCAGCATGAAGGTTGTCCCTTCAATCTTTGAAACTGCCTATGTTGCCGTTTCTTTTTTGCATTACTAATTATAAGGACCATCGTGATATGACGGAAGTCCGTTCAGCACTTGTTATAAAGGAAGTCCGTTCAGCACTTGTTATAAAGGAAGACCTATTGGCATACAAACCAGATTCACTAATTCATCTTCCACTTGTTTTTACTGTCGACCATATAATTTTATACTTTAAACATTATCTTAAACAACATGACTGCAAATGGCAAATACATCACTGAATCAGCTGAGAACCTTCCTTATTTCTTGCCAAAAGTTAAGATCCCAGTAGGCACTGTTATCCCTGAAAATGATTTCTCAATACCCAAGCTTTTCACACCATTGAAAATCAAGAATCTCCAAATTCCAAATAGAATAGGTATCTCACCAATGGTTATGTATTCCGCTCCACATGATGGTGACAAAATAGGCCAGGTTACGCCATTCCATTTGATTCATTATGGTTCTATGGCACTCAGAGGTCCAGGTTTCATAATTGTTGAATCTACAGCTATTTCACCAGAAGGGAGAGGTTCTCCTGAAGATTGTGGTATTTGGAATGATGAGCAAGCCTATAAATGGAAAGAAATTGTAGATTTTGTTCATTCCCAAGGTGTGAAAATTGGAATGCAATTAGGCCATACTGGTAGAAAGACAAGTCTTGCTGCTCTTCATCATCGTTTGATGAAACCAGTTGGAAAAGATCAATATGGTTGGGCTGATGTTCCTGAACAAGTGATAGGACCAAGTCCATTATCTCATAGACCTGGAGTTCTCATCGAACCTAAAGGGTTGAGCATTGAGGAGATTCAAGAGCTGGTTGGGAAATATAATAAAGCAGCCAAAAGGGCCATTGAAATTGCAGGGTTTGATTTTGTTGAGATTCATGCTGCTCATGGATATTTGATTAATAATTTTCTTTCAGGCACTTCAAATAAGAGAACTGATGAATATGGTGGTTCATTTGAAAATAGAACTCGTTTTCTTTTGGAAATCATAGATGCAATTAAAGGTGATAAATATCCTTTATTTGTGAGAATCTCAGGAACAGAAGATGCAGATGACCAAGAAGGTGCTTGGAAAATTGAGGACACACTTAGGTTATCGGATTATTTTATCCAACATGGTGTTGATGTTATAGATGTTTCAGCAGGTGGTAATAATATTCATGCTAAAAGAAGAAAAAACACACCAGGACATCAAATCCCATTAGCTGAAGCTGTCAAAAGACATGTTGGTGATCGATTGATTGTGAGTACAGTTGGAAATATCGATAGTGCTGAATTAGCCAACTCAACAGTGGAGGATGGTAAAGCTGATTTGGTGCTCTCTGGTAAATTGACCTTGAAAAATCCTGGGATTGCTTGGAATTGGGCAGATGACTTGGGAGTCAAAATACAGCCTTCTTTACAATATGGATGGCCATTTTATCCACCGCCTTATAACTGAAAGAGTGTGCAACATAATATATGGTAGAATATAGTTTGTTATGTATTCGCGAATGTTGAAGATGAAGAGCCGCAATCTCAAACAGATTTTTAAAATTGAAAGAAATAATGAACCGCATAATGAGAGAAGGGGAGAAATCAAACTTTTAAGAGCGACAAATGAAGGCAAGCACCGTGAATTGGTACGTTACGCAGATAAGTACAATTGTAATGTAGCTTTTATGTAGACGGATTTAGGCGGCTGGTTTCTCCGAGGGTTCATCGCGTATAAAGTGAAAAAGAGGCAAAAATTTACCTTTCACAATCTTTTTCACTTCACCAAACAACAACGATGGGGTTAACACCAGAGCAGCAGAGGAAGATAGTAAGTACGATCGATTCGATCAAGATGGTATGATTTCTAATAATGATATAGGATGAGAATAGAAGAAAAGCTCTCGAACGGTTGAAGCAGAAAGGGTTTAATACTAATCATATTTCAAGTAGAATCTCCAAACCTGACAACCTTCCAAGCACATCTGAAAAGAATACTTCAAATGGGATCAAGCTAACAGATGAACAAAGAAAGAAGATAGATGCTAATAGACAAAAGGCTTTAGAGAAAATAAGGCAGAAACAACAAAATTTTAGAGATGCTTCGGCAAATCAAAATCCATCATTAGTGAAAGAAGTATCATCAACAACAGGTGCCGTGGCTACAAAATCATTTGATGGTATACGTCCATCTATTCAAAAATCATCATATATTGATTATGATTTATCAACAATGAAGGATTCCAAAGGTGGGTTCATATCTGGTGATCCAAGTACTAGCAATAAGCAAGAAAAGACATTTGATGAATGGAGAGAGGAGCAAAGAATCGTTAGGGACTTACCACCACCGATGGATTTGGAAAATGCAATTAAATGCTATGAATGTGGTTCGTTTGAGTTGAATCAAAAACTTTATGATGTTTTCAAATGTCGGGTTTGTAAGAGATGTGAAAAGGATATCCCTGACAAATATTCATTGTTAACAAAGACTGAATGTCGTGAAGATTACTTTTTAACAGACCCAGAATTACGTGATGATTCCATTTTACCTCATATGGAGAAACCAAACCCTCATGGGACATTTAATAGAATGCAGTTGTATCTTCGTTATCAAGTTGAAAAATTTGCATTCAAGAAATGGGGAGGTGCTGAAGGGCTAGATGCTGAATGGCAAAGGCGTGAAGAGCAAAAGATCAAGAGACGTGATAAAAAATACGAAAACAAGATGAAGGAGATGAGAAAGAAGACTAGAGCTGAAGAGTACAACAGAAGGTTAAGAGAAGGAAAGTACAATGAACACAAACATGAATGGTCTAATGAGCTTGTCGGTGGTAAGAATGAGGATGGACTCGATGTCGTCAAGAGACGGTGCATTGACTGTGGATTCGAGCTTGAAGAAGTTGTTATATAGGTTTAATTACTGATAAGATCACGTGCTCACGGTTTTCAGCTGCCATTTTGTAAAGTGTAGTCGCGAATTGCAATGTAAACAAACCAGACCAAAAAAAAAAAATCAAAACAAGCTGAAAATCAGATTTTATAAATACCCATGGAATTAACAACTTGTTTTAGGGAATTCCAACCACTTCAACAACCCATCAAAACCATAATACCAACATAAACAACTTTCCAGAAGGCTTATTTTCAACAAAGACCTTTCACCACATACTTGATACCCCAAATACCCAAACCCTCCCCCTTTTCAACCCTTGCTGCTTCTGTTGTAGTTGTTGTTTTTGTTTATCAATCCCTAAATTCTCAACATGGCTGAACAACCTTTAGCTTCAGGCCCTGGTCCATACACAGACATTCCACCTTATGAAGTCGTCACTCAGCAATTATTCTCCATCGGTTCAAGAAGAGGTTCAGTTCACTCAAACACATTAGGTGCTGGTAATATCTTGGACCTGTTTCGTCCAACCAGTTTCCATGATGGCGAAACACATCATCATACCCATGAAGACAACGACGATGACGATTTCATTGACCCTCGTGAACCTCATAATTATCATAGCGCTGCACCTCCAAGTGGTTCTTTGAAACCAACCATGTCTACCTTATCTCAAAATTTAAGAAATCCATCATATGCAGCCCATGAACAACAATCCTTATTAGATAATGATATCATCAGTTCATTCCCAGCAAGACGTGCTTCATTGGCAACTTTGAAGAGAATTAGATCCCATAGCACCATTAAACATGTTATTAGCACTGGGTTTGTTCCAGAAGTGGAAACTTCATTAGGTACTGAAATTAAAATCCTGGGAAAATATTCAATCCCATTAATCATTACTTTCCTTTTACAATATTCTTTGAATGTTGCTTCAGTTTTCAGTGTTGGTCGTATTGGTAAGACTGAATTGGCTGCTGTTTCATTGGCAGGTATGACTGCTAACATTACAGGGTATTGTTTATTTCAAGGTACTTCAACCTCATTAGATACCTTATGTGCCCAAGCGTTTGGTCGTAAAGATTATAGATTAGTTGGGTTACATTTCTTGAGATGTACAATCTTTTTGTTATTATTATTCATTCCTGTTGCGTTCATTTGGGTCTTCTTATCAAAACCTATCTTGACTTTATTAGTTGATGATTTGGAATTGATTGATTTAGCTTCAACTTATCTAGGTATTTTATCTATTGGGTTACCAGGTTTTATCTTATTTGAAAATGGTAAACATTACTTACAAAGTCAAAACATTTTCCATGCATCAACTTATGTTATCTTGATTGCTGCCCCATTCAATGCAGTTTTAAATTATTTATTAGTTTGGGATGATCATATTGGGTTAGGTTTTGTTGGTGCACCAATTGCAATTGTCATTACAAATTATTTAATGGCCATTCTGTTATTCATCTATTGTTATTATATTGACGGATATCAATGTTGGTGTGGGTTCACTAAAGATGGTTTCAAAAACTGGAACAGAATGTTGTCATTATCATATAATGGATGTATTGGTGTCCTTAGTGAATGGTTAGCATTTGAAATCATTACATTATCAGCAGCAAGATTCGGTACAGTTGTTTTAGCATCTCAAAGTGTCATTGCCACGATTTGTGTCTTGTTGTATCAAATCCCATTTGCAATTTCCATTGCAGCATCAACAAGAATTGCCAATTTCATTGGTGCAGCTTCTAAAAAATCGTTAATCGTGGCCACAAATGCAGCATTATTAACATCTATTGTCTTTGGGTTTTTAAATGGTGGTGTTTTAACCATTTTCAGAGTTCAAGTCGTGGAATTATTTAGTTCAGATCCTGAAGTTATTAGCCTTGCCTCGAAAATCATCCCATTAGGAGCCGCTTACCAAGTCAATGATTCATTAGCTGCAGTGAGTGGTGGTATTCTTAGAGGTCAAGGTCGTCAAAGATTAGCAGCCTACTTGAGTTTGATTGCTTACTATTTGATTGCCTTACCTATTGGGTTCAGTTTAGCGTTTGGGTTAGATATGAAATTGTATGGGTTATGGTGTGGGTTATGTATTGCGTTATTCCTTGTTTCAATCTTGCAAACATGGTCAGTTGTTAAATCTGATTGGGATGAGATCATTGAAGAGAGTATTCAAGAAGCTTTACATGATGCTAATTATATCAATAGTGAGATTAATGAAGTTAGATCCATCATTTCTCATAGTATCCATGATATTTCTGAAGAGGCTTGAGAAACTACAAGAAAATATATGTTTCAAATTCCCCAAAAAAAAACAGTAACCGTAGATATAAATAAAAAACTAAAAAATGATTATAAATAGAGAAGTGAATGTGGATATAAGATGTATTTCATAACTGATCAACAGGAGTCAAAGGAGGTGAATAACCACCATCATTCATGACAACATGATGATAATGAGGATGTGGAACATGATTTGAATTCATTATTTTCAATTTTGTTTGATCAGTCGTCCCAGCAGGACTACCTCTTCTTGAATTAGGAGGTGTTGGTAATGCAGGTCTTTTAGCCATGATTGGTGAATGTGCAGGGGATGATGAATTTGTGATGTTTAATAATGAATTTGTTGATTTGGAAGGGGTATTGTAGATTGAAGTTGAATCTGATCTTAAAACAGATGTTAATAAGTTGTTATAGAATGATTTAACTCCTTTGAATTGGAAGTAATAGTTTAGGATGGAATCTGATGTTGATAAGATTTTGTCCAATATTAAATTTTTGTAATATGTGATTTGATCAGGTGTTAGAGTTGATGGGTATAATAAATCTGATTGGAATGATTGTTGATATGATGTATTTGTGGAGAGTATTTCCAAAATGATGTGAGATAATTGAGAAGGATGTAATTCAATTAATTTATGTTCAAATATTGAAATTTCTGAAAGGAATTTTTTCAAATTTATTATTTCACATTTTTCATTAAATTGTAAAGATTGTTCAAATTGTAAATAATTATTTTCATAAAAATTTAATAACCAATTGTTTAATTGAGGTTCACAAACATCCCAGTTCAAAGTGTTTAAGATGTGTCTTTCCATTTGAATAATCATATTTTCATCAAAGATTAAAGAATCATCACATGAATTTGTTCCACATAACTGGGCCAATTCAGATAATCTTGGGATTCTTGCTCTTGGATTTGGACCATCGAATCTCCCACCAGTTGGGACATTTGTATTGTTGATGATATGGTTGCAACCACCATAAGTCTTTGCACTTAACCAAAGACAAGTGACAAGTACCAATTGAACCTGGTCTTTTAAAACGATTCTTTTGGAACAATATCTATCAAAGATTCGAACACTTTGAAAGAAAATCCCATTAGAAACTTTTGTTTTGATTGAAATTTTCAATAGGAATTCTAATAAATTTGTTCTTAAGTAAGGTTTCAATTCTGGTTGTTGATATATGAGGTTCAAGTCTGGTGAATATAATTTGGCAGATTCATACATTGAAGATGATATTTCTTCTTTATAGTCATCCAAAAAGTTTTTATGTGCTAGTAGTTCATTTGTGGATAGTTGGAAAGGGTATTGATGTTGAGTAGCCGTGACTCTCAAACCTAGTGACATGGTGTGGATAAGTAGTTGATCTTGCTAGTGAAAAGAGTGAATGGAGTTGGGACTGAATAGAATTGTAATATAGCTAGTTGGGAATGTAGATTAACGAGTGTGGAAGTTGAGCATGTATAGTTCTATTCTGAAGTGAAAAAAAAGTAGTAGCAAGAGGAATGGACTAGTTGAAGACTTGGGAAAGATGAGAAGCTAATCTATCTTTTGTATTGTGTATGTTGTAGTTGTGATAATACCCAGGTGTCGAGGAGTAGGGATTGGAGCTGTGAGAAGATGGGAGTGAATGGATATATATATGGACACAGAATCTGAAGGGACGAGAATTCTCGTAGCCTTTGGGAATTAGCCCTTGATTTTATTTTGGAGTTGTTCAGATTTTCAGTGCAGTTTTCGTGTCTTTTTTTTCTTTCTGTTTGGGAAATGTCGAGGTCCCAAGGCACGGTCTAAAATTCAAGGCACAGGAAAGCGAAGAGATGGAATTACTATGGGAGAGATTAAGAGAGTATAGAGGGTTTAGTTAATGGGTATGTCTGATGGATTAGAGTGTGCTGTTGGAGTTGTTTTGTTCTGTTTAGCCTTAAAATCTGTTTCCTCTCGACGTAACTTGTGTCTGTGGATCGAGTGCTTTGCTGCAAGTAACGCGACCATTCAAGTTGGTGATCCTGACCCAAACCATCCACAAACAGGCTCAAAACAGAACAAGTCAGGATGGATTGGTAGAGGGAGAATCTGGCGAAGACGAGTGATGGCTCTGGGAACAGTCTGCCAGTGCTTTGACTGTCTGAAAGACAATTGTCAAGTTATGTCGTTGCTACTCCCAGATCTAAAGAGCCATATCTCGCTCACTGCCTTAACAGGGAATGTTTGCACTCTGTGCAGCGCGAATACAACAAGTAACATCATTTACAAATGGTAGCTGAGTACAAATAAGACGGAATTATCAGACTATTAATTGAAGTTTTATACTGGTCTCTTTGTTCCTTCCAACTTGGCTCTCGTCAACAAATTATTTCGTTCAACTTGGCCCTCTAGATCGTCACATTCCGTTGGTGTCCGTAGGCATTAACACAGAGAATGCTCAATCAACCTACGGCAAACCACCATGAAAAGCACCTACGTGAAGCTAGCTTCATAGCACTTCTTCCACGCCTCCCAATCGAGACATCTACTGGATCAATTGAACTAATACTACCTCTTCTTCTCACTCAACTGTTCCTTTCCAAAGGGGCCTGGCACTGGCAGAACGCGCTCAAAAAATTGTAACCATAATATTCGCGAATTATTTACAGCAAATTGGTCAAAGGCTTGAGCTCCTTTTGACACATCACATTTGCTCAACGGAAAATTTAGATCCCACATTTGGAAGAAGGATATGCTGATAATTAAAGCAAATCATACAGAGCCCTTCAATCCCTTTTGAACGTGTCTTCTTGGATAGATCAATTATGACCAGATTGATTAGGTATGGTCCTCAGGATTAAACATTAAAAAATTGAACATTCAGTACCGATGGCAAACACAATCCAGTGTAGACCTATTAGAATCAATACAATTGAATATCAACTAGCATTACCGACTCTTAATTCTATGATTTGATTGCAAAACAGTAAAAATTCAATACTGATGGTCGGTTTTATGTCCAATCTCGTGACTTTACCCTCGTATATTCTCTTTCGCGATTGTTTTTGTTTTGATTTCAAAACGCGAAGATGTATAAATCCTTTGATCGAGTACAAAAGAGATCAAAACACATCAAGATTGGTTGAAAACTGTGGGTATGCTCTGGAGTAAAAGTGAAGACGATTACACGCGAGCAAGTATCGGTAAGTATCATATGATATTCCCATTTCTTTGTGAAACTAACGGGATTAGCACAACCACCTCCAACGCCAGGTCTTGCATCATGGGCTTTCAATTCATTATTCAATAGACAAACACCATCCTCTAAATATGCGAATCTTCAAAAGCAGCCCCAGAGGGCAAACAATACATCAATAACCCCAAGAAGAATTCCTAAAAGATTCAATGATGATACATTACTTTCAATGTCAAATCGCAAAAATGTTGCATGGGGAGGTGAAGATTTTAAATTAAGAAGCCGTTCTTCAAGTTTTTCAGAAAGACCAATCCAACAAAGGAGGTATGTTGATGATAATGGCTCGATCCATTATAAAGACTCCAAATATTTTAAAGATAATGAACTATTACCTGATGATATTGATGAAACTGATTACAAAACAAAAAATTATCGTTATGATCCAACACCAATCAAGAGAAACTCTAGTGCAAGAATCAATACAACCCAGGATTATCTAAACAATGAAAAATATGGTAAAAGTTCATTACCACAAACTTACCCTGGGAAATATCCAAGTCCTTATGTCCCGAAAAATTCTTCATTTGATGATTTATTGTTAAGTTCATCTGCTGTTAAAAATTTAGCAAAAGCTAAATCAAATACTAGAATAAATCAATCCATGAGGGAAGAACAAGAAGAGGATGATCCAACGATTCCAATCAGGAGAAGAACACTACATCCATTAAGGGAACCTTTGAAAGAAAATATAAAGTCTTATAAGGAGAAAGAAACTTCAAGAGGGAAAAGCAATAGAGAGATAAGATTGGATGAACAGTTGTTGTTGGATTCAATTGATCAAAATATTATGGAATTGGATAACATTACCAAACATGTCAATGGTCTCAAACTGAACAATAAAAATGATAATGAGCTGGAGAGGAAATATAAAGAAATTAGACAAGAGTTGATTACAGAATTGAAAAAAAGTAAGAAACTATATGACTCTTATTATGAATTTGTGGAGAAATATAAAGATTTGAAGAAAAAATATAAAGAAAGTTCAACTGAAGATGTTGATTCTCTGTTGATGATTAAAAATTTGAAGAAAGAGATAAATTTTTATAAGGAAGAAAATGAATTGTTGAACCACGAGTTGAAATCTAAAGAAGCCAAATATCTGGAGACTGATACTACTATTCATGATTTAAAGTCAACATTACAAAATTCTTCAAATTTTGAAGCAACACTGAGAAGAAAGATAAAATATTTTGAAGATAAAATTGAACAAAAAGATGAGGATTTTAGAAATGAAAGATTTCAATTGAATGAAAAAATATTCATGTTGGAAACAACTGCAAAAGATGATGAAGAAAGATATAAATCTGATTTGAGGAAAGCTGAAGAAAGAATAAAACAATTGGAAAGAAAATTGGAACTGAAATCAACTATTGCCAAATACGAAAACTTGAGTGTCATCCCAGAATACAGAAACAATGGGTACAACGAAGTTAAATATGAGGAAAATGATGATACAATTAATTTGTTAGAGAGAAGATATCCAGATAGAAGACCAAGTTATGCGAAACCAACTTCAGAAAAAAGATATAGTACTGGGAATTTACCAAACCTTACAAGGAAAAGACCAACATCACTATCACCTGATTTCCAAAGAGATAACCAAGAGCTGTTCAAGAATTTTGATGAATCCACTGCATATGTTAATAATGAAAATTATGCTCCAAGAAGCACCACCAGATCAAATTCTCTGAGGTCAAATAATGGTAGATACTACAACTTTAAGGACACCAACAACAACCACAACAACAACAAGGAGAACCACCATAAACGATACTCAAACCCTTTATTACCGGACCTTACGTTTAATTCAAGTGAAATAGGATTTCGTTACATCTTTCATTGTAGTATCTTCCCAATACGGTAATGGTTATGGCTACACTGTACTTTCCGCGAATCTGTATTTTTCCATTTTCTCGCTTTTCAGGAAAAAAAACGAAAAATTACTTGAACGCTTTATCAACGATCGAGCCCTACTAAGACACAAAACAGATTGTTCAATTCGGGAAATCCATCAAAAACCCAAACATATCCATCAATTTAAAATCATCAATCAATATATTGGGCATTAAGCTACCTATTGGCGTGGTATTTGTGATAATTTTTGATACTTGTTGCTGTTTGTTTTGGTTGATTTTAGCGCGCTCTAGGAATTTTGGGTCATTGTTGTGTGCGTACGGGTTTTAAAAGAGACGTGAGAAGTATTGGGAAATTTAGTTTAGTCAATTCCAACAAAAACATTTGATAAAGAGTATTCAATATATTCAATTGAAACTAAGAATTGATAGATATTTTGAAGGTTTTATTGGGACTTTGGTTTAGTTATTGAGATAGAGAGCATAGAGTGAAATTTGTATTATATTGTTCACAATATGAGTGAAATATCATCTGCAAAGATTGCATCACCATTGCCTGTTTCTTCAAACACAACTACTCCTACAATTCAGCAGAATACGATAGAGACAACACCCAATGCTAAAAATGGTGGAATCAAGGCTAATGCTAATTCATTATCTAAAAGAATTGAAGTTGAGAATTTAGCTAAAGAATTTCAAAAAAAATTGGGAAATAATTGGGACAAATATCAAAGTACAATTAGTGCCTTTTTGGTGGGGAAATTATCAAGAAAAGAACTAACTAATGTGCTAGATGAATTATTAACAGATTCTAAAATGGTTAGAATGCATAATCAATTATTATTGGCTAATTTAGCAAATTCTTTAAGAGATGGTCCAAATTCAGCATCTGCAAATTCTGGGTTTGGTGGTGCTGGTTTAAATAAACGTAAAAAAGATGGTCGTGTTAAAGCTTCTTCTCAATATGAAAAGTTGAAAAAAGATATAATGGGATTACCAATTAGAGAAAGACGTCGTATAAAATCAATAACTAGAGATTCTGGGAAAAGATCAATGGCCAATTCTGCATTAACTTTAACTAGACAAAGTTTACTCCCCAAAATCCCATATGTTAGTGATAAAGATAAAGCCGTTACAGGAAATACAGTAGAATGGACACAAGATATAAGTCATGGGATTCAAACTTTATTATCAACAGAAACTTTCACATTACCGGATAATGAAAACTTGAAGAGTAGGATGTTGGGTATTGCAAGAGAACATGGGCTAACTGGTAATCTTGATAAAAATGTTGTTGAGTTCACTTATCTTGGATTAGAAACTTATTTGAAAGGTATGATTGAACAAGCTATAGATACAGTACGTTATAGAAAGCAAAAATATGCTGCTGATGATGTGCTGGATACATCAAATCCTAAAGAACCACTAAAGAGGAAAAGACAGAGAAAAGTTACATTGACCAATGAAGATATGGTTGATACTTTTAATTTATTCCCTTATCTAATCGAGCCTGGTGGTCCTGTTTATAGATTGCATGATACTCAACTACATGATGATACATATGTTGAAGAAAAGACTGCAATAGATTCAATACTCAAACCAAGATCTGAAGTTTTCAAAACACCATTAATAGCAAAACCACATCAATCACCATTATTACAACAAAAACATGCTGAAAAACCATCACCATCACAACAACCAGAAACTAATGAAACCAAAGTGAAAACAGAAAATGGCATTGATGCTCAAATTAATGATAATAAAGAAAATGGCAAAAAAGATGAAGCTCAACCCGAAAACACTTCAACTCCAAACAAGCCCCCTGTTGCTAATGGAACCAACGATTCAGTCAACTCTAATGTTGGTTCAAAAGATGAGTTGAATTGGTTAATTTATGACATCCTATCAACTCATTAAAATTGGTATGGGGTAATTATGGGTTTATGACTTTATCTTATGAGTGCAATGTAATTTTTGTTTTACTAAAGTTAGATGTAGCGTTTCTACATTATCTAGTATCTCATAGCAAATCGATCAATCACGCAATGAGGCTTTTAATCAGTGTATCCATCTCATTAAAGTTTATTTTGATGAAGGGGCATTATATACTCTTTTAACCGAAATTGAATCAGTTTGATGGACAAATGTAGCTAACTCTAACAATTTTTCATTCTCTTTCAAATTACCAGCACTATTTGATAAATTAACCAACGTCAAAGCTTTAGTGTTTGAATATAAGAAATGAATCAATTGATACATTGGTGATTGGGAAAACTCAGTACTCGAGAATTTGTTTTCTCTAATCTTGGTAACTGCATGAAGTATCAAATCTGATGATTTTATTTGTGACAAGTTCATCAAATAAGTTGAAGCAGTTATAGACTTTTGAGAATTAGAGCCTGAAACTGTAATTTTGATCAATGTTGAGGCATCATTTGGTACCTCAATATCTTTTATTTCTTCAATTGAGGAGATGGTTTGTGCATCTGTTTGGATCGATCTGTTTTCGAGTTTGATGCTCGACTTATCACCAGACAACAAATCAACAACACCTTCCGTTGTGATTGATAAATATTGGATTGTATAATTGAAGCACCAATGTTTAGGTTTGTATTTTTCTTCTCTTTGAATCAAATTCTTCATTGTTGCTTTAAGTAGATCATGAATTAACGTGGTTTCTTCAAACCCCGTGACAACAATTGAAACGTTAGCACCATTCAAGTTATTTTCACTTAAACATACAATCTCATCACTTAATTCTTGGTCAGAAAGCTCTGCATCGAAAACTTTATCAAATGTGTGATAAGTTTCACCAATTGTCAAATTTTGCCTTTGATCATCATCTTGTTGATTGATTTTGAATGGAATCTTTTCATCACTGTCATGGTTTAAAATTTTTGTATAGACCCGAAGCTTACTGTTGAGTTCTTGTATGGTGTTTTCAATTCTTCTTCTCAATTTCTTCTCTTTGTCAATTTTATGAAGTGATTCATTATATTGAGTCGTGACCGTTTTACATTCCTGTGTCACTTTTCGCAGTTCATCGTCAACACCTGAATTTTGTATAGTGAGATCTTGAATCCTTTTCTGTACTTCAGTGAACTTGTCATCATATGAGCTTTGAAATTCCAATTGATTTCGTATTCTCCCACTTAATTCTTCTCTCTCATCTTTAACTTTTCTCACTTCAGATTTGACAGCATCAACTTTAGCTTTGAATTCCTCCAAATCATTAGACTTTGATTCAAAAGTTCTAGCTAGCTCATCACCTTTGGCCTCTTCAGCAGCTACTATTTTGCTCAATTCTTTCTCGAGGTGATCAACCTCTTTGTTCAAGCGCTCTTTTGTTGCTTGGTTCAATGAGCTCAGCATATGAGACAAATGATTAGACTCTTCATTTAATTTTGCAATCTCATTAACCGACTCATCATCCTTGTAATCCACTGCATTTTGAAGCTCTTGGTTCAACATTTCTTCGAATTCATCCAACTCTCTGATCAGAATGTTTTGCTGTTCTTTTAGCCTGATTGTATTCATCTGTTCTTCATGATTGATAGTCTTCTCAACGCTTTTCTCAAGCATTTCAATCTTATGATCCATATTGATGACATTGACCTCTGAATCGTCGATTTTGGATTTAAGATCTATAGCATTCCTTGAAAGACCATTTTTCAACCGAGTCAACTCTTCAACTTTTTCTTTGGATTCTCTAATCTGTCTATTCAATTCTTCTAACTTTTGCCTTTGAACATCCACATATTTTTCAAATCTTTCCTCCATCTGTTGTTGTTTCTTTAATGCTGCTGGATCTGTTAGGGAACTAGTATCAAATATGTTGCTTTGTCTATTTGATTTTTCAGTTCTTTTGGATGCTAACTTCGAAGCAGCTAAAGAGTATTTGCGTGCAGTTTGCATTGCCTCAGAATTAAAGCTTCCTGTGGGTATACTCGTTTGGGGTATCCTTTGACTTTTCGATTCAATTTTCAGTGAACGTCTATTTGCTAAGTCTTTGTTCAGGGTACTGTGCTTTGAGAAGGTTGGGGAATTTATCACCTGTGTTATATTGTTTAATGCTTTTCTATTCTTTATGGGCGGTGAGCCCTGATTAGTTCTAGTTGTGTTGGATATTGGTAGTTTTGACATTCTTTGTATAAGTTTTTTTCCACGATTATGCTGAATTTTTTTGACCTGTAGTATTCAAACAATCATGAAACAAAAACAAAGCTTAATAGAAGGTAGCCAGTTTAGTGTGTAATGGTGTGTGTTATTGCAACGATGGTGGGTATTGGGGTATATTAGGTAAATGATCAAATTAACAGCTTGAAGTGTGTCTATGGAGGTTCTGGCGTTTGATCTTAGAACAGTAACTTTTCTATTGTTTTTGTTTACATTTCAAAGGCGCGCTCTATGACATTTTTACCCGGTGTTGAGATTATATAATCATACTATAAAATGTGTCACCACGACAACCGATAAGTAGAAATAAGATGGCTGAACAACGATAACTTGGATTAAAAGCGTAATGAGGTGATATGTGATATATAGAGTGGATCCGTATATTTTTATGAGAAAGTGCTCAATCTAGGGAGTATTCAGAGGTGAAATCATTTCTTTCTTGATTAAAGCCGAAGGTGTTAGCAGTATTTAATTCGATTCTATCGGCCGTCATCCACCATCATGGAATGGAACCCGAACGGAATTGAACAATAATATACAACAGCCTCTTACCATTTAACTGTGTTGACCCGGTATGTGTCAATTAACTATATTAATATTGCACCTGATTGCTGAAAAGGATGACTGATCAGCCGAAGCCGGACTCTACAAAATCATGGAGTTAAACCTAACAAATGTACAAGTCTTTTTCAGTAATAAATAACCCTATGTATAGAAACCACAAATTAAACCTGCGATGTGATGATATTGAAAATTCGACTGATTGTCCTTTTCCTATAGATTCTTTTGAATGTGTAACTTGTGTACCATTAACGTAATCCTAACCCATCTAAAATCTGATTCTATGCTCCTCCTCACCAATGAAACCCTCTACTAGCTCAATAGTTCTATTGATCTGAATACTTGGCCTTAAGAAAAGTCTGAAGATTGTAAATTACGGGTCATTGCTGGTAATGCGACTCTAATACCATCAATTTCTTTTGTCATTTTAATTTGACATCCCAATCTTGAAGTTTCAGTTAGACCAAAAGCTAGATCCAACATATCATTCTCATCATCATCAGGTTCAGGGATTTCATCATAAAATTCTGGATCAACGATAACATGACAAGTTGAACAAGCACATGAACCACCACAAGCACCTTCCATATCCAAGTTATTGGCTTGAGCAATATCCAAAACTGTATCACCTTCAGCAACTTCATATGTCAATTGTTCACCTTCTTTAGTGATGAACGTTATATGCAATTCTTCACCAGCTTTTGGCTTATGTATATGGCCATGTTGTTGAACTTTTGAAGTGTTGAAATTTCTAATATGGGAAGAATTATTGGCCAATGAAATTCTTTGAATCATCGATTGATTTAGCCTTGATGAATGCCATATGGAGCTTCTAATTGGTGCCATTCTACTGGCACGGACCAAATTTCTCATGAACATGTTGCCTTGTGTTTTCAAATGAAACTAAAAATATAAAACAATAGGACTTTTTGAAGTTTAAATATCTAGCTCTGTGCTTGATAAGCAGCAGCTCTTCGATTTTTTTTTTCAACGCTTCCCGCTTCAAAGTAAAAGAGGAAATACGAGGATGGAATCATCACATGATGACTAGCCTCGGATCTGAAGAAACTGGCAGCTTTCTTTAAATTTGGTGATAGGGGAATAGTTGAACAATGAACTATTCATGTTAACAGTGAACAAACCAGCGCAATATTCATCAAAGAACAATAGAAAAAATGTCTAACGCAGGGCTTATAGATTCAGCTAATACTGAGTTGTTCAATACTTATGAAAATGATTACCAAGTGTCCTATAACGAGGCTCAACAAAAGTTGACACAAATTCGTGATTTAGATGGTGGTATGTATACAACAGAGATCTTTTGCTCTAAGTGAAATTTTATTAACCTGGTGTTGGAAGAACCTCGTAGTGAGGCCATGAAGGCTGTTGAGAGAGCCACTGATGAGTGTCTTGAAATCGTAAGTGGAAGTTTTATCATGGACCCTTAGGAATTAGCTAACATTTTTCTCAAAGCTTGATCAATTAGCAATAGAAGTTCAAAACATACAGTCTGGTGCAAGATCCTCATACAATGCAAAAATTAGATCATATCGCTCTGATGTTGAGAAGACCAAGAAAGAGTTGAAAAGATTAATGGATGATGAAGATCGTAGACAATTATTTGGATCAAAGAATTACGGAAAGGATGAACAACGTTCACAATTATTACAATCAAATGCTGCACTAGAGAGAACATCTGAAAGACTTAGAGACTCATCAAGAATTGCCAATGAAACAGAACAAATTGGGTCTAATATAATGTTGGATTTACGTAGCCAAAGAGAACAATTGAATAATTCAAGAAATACATTGTTTGAAGCTGATGGCTATGTTGATAAGAGTATTCAAACTTTAAAAAGTATGACTAGAAGAATGGCAACAAATAAGATAATCACATACTCCATTATTGCAGTTTTAATCATATTGATCTTTTTGGTTATTGCAAGCAAGTTTTGGTGAATGTTTTTTTTAATGATGATTTGTGATGATTGAGTGTATTTTGTTTTACTTTTTTTCAACATTATAATTGATGTCTTTAATGGTTAGAATAGCGCTACGATACTTGTAGTTTTCAAAACATAACAACTTTGTTTCTGATCCGAGTACAACATCTATATTAAAAAAAAAGTATATAAATAACAAACAAGCAGAAATACCTATGAATGTGCTTCAAATTCATCACTTGAGATTTGGTCTTCACCTTCATCCTCATCATCATTTGTATGGAATCTATTGATGGCATTCTTGATTTGTTCAATCAGTTCCTTTTCATCTTCATCTTCGCTACCATAACCACTAGAAATACCACTCTTTTCTTCTTCCTGACCTCTTGTAGTGACTCTTGATAAGGTAGCACTTGAAGCCAATGATTTGTTTTGTAAAGTATTAGCCAGAACTTGACTTTCCTCTTCACTCAATTCCAACATATCGGCAGTTAAAGCCATCAATGATTTTGAAGAACGACGTCTTTGTAATTTACCTGGTAGTGGACCTTGTTTTGGGAAATAAGAGTGTTGTCCTTCAGATGTTGGACTACCAGCTGCTGGGGTCTTTGATTTACCAGATAAACTTAAACCTGTATCATGGATCATCTTGGCAACTAAACCTGTCCAACCTAATTGATGTGAAGCACCAAGACCACGACCTATAATAAAAAAGGTTAATAATCAGTGTCAATAAAGTTTGTTAAAACACTTACCTGTATCACCATCGAAATACTCATAAAATAAAACAAAGTCACGGAAATTTGGATCTTTACTTGCAACGACATCATCGCCATTACATGGTCTTAACCCGGTATTTTCATCAAATGTGAATATCTTGATCAAACGGTGTTGAATGAATTCTGCAACTTGTGCCAAATTCATTTTCTTACCAGAACCTTTTGGACATTCAACTTGAAGTGAATTACCATAATACAAATAGAAACGCTGAAGGGACTCGATTAGTAAAAAGTTAACAGCCAACCAGATAGAACCTCTCCAAGAACTATTACCACCTATTAGAATATTGTTAGTAAAACTTATAAAGAAAATAAAAGACGATAACACTCACCAAATAAACCAGAGTCACTTTCACCTGGTAAATAACCAATACCATATTCTTGACCACCGGCATGCATTGAAAATGGGTGCTCCTTGTGGTATTTAGATAATGATCTGATACCATAATCAGACAAGAATTCTTCTTCATCCAACATTCTATCTAAAATTGCAAGCAAACGATCTTTATCGACTAAAGCCAATAATAATCTTTCACCAACACCTTTGTGTGACATACTTGCAATATTTCTATCAGCAACTGATGATCTTTTTTCAATAAACCAATCCAATCTCTTTTTGAAACTTGGGAATTTCTCCAATAATTGGGGTTCTAAAGTTAAAGAAGCATATAATGGAATTAGACCAACTAGTGATCTGATTGGTAGTTGTTCTTTATGAGCACCACCATCCCAAGAGATAGAATCATAATAGAAACCATCAGTTTCATTCCAAAGTGATTGTTTCTTTTCATCATCAGAACCTGCAAATGTCATTGCATCTGAAATTAACAAAAAATGTTCAAAAAATTTAGAAGCAATATCTTCATAGACTGATCTTTTCTTAGCCAATTCCAATGCAATATTTAACATTTGTAAACTGAAAAAAGCCATCCAACCAGTTGAATCTGCTTGTTCTAAACGACCACCTGTTGGTAATGGTTCTGATCTATTGAAAATACCAATATTATCTAGTCCTAAAAATCCACCTTCGAAAACATTATTACCATCCATATCTTTTCTATTAACCCACCAAGTGAAATTCAACAATAATTTTTGGAAAACACGTTCAAGGAAATCATCATCAGTTCTTCCATACATTTTTCTTTCCAATTTATAAACTCTATAAGTTGCCCAAGCATGAACTGGGGGATTGACATCACCAAAATTCCATTCATAAGCTGGAACTTGTCCATTTGGATGCATATACCACTCTCTTGTTAATAGATCCAATTGCTTTTTAGCAAAATCAGGATCAATCAAAGCAATTGGAATACAATGGAATGCAGTATCCCATGCAGCGAACCAAGGATATTCCCATTTATCAGGAAGGGACAAGATATCATCAATATACATATGTTTCCATTCTTTATTTCTACCATTTGCACGATTTGGTGCAGGTTTTGGTTCAATTGGATCACCTTGATACCATTCTTCTTGGATGAAGTAATAAAATTGTTTTGTCCATAATAAACCAGAGAATGCTTGACGTTGAATTTGACGTAATTCATCAGTGATTGGCAATGGTGTAATTCTCCAATAAAAATTATCAGCTTCGTTTTCACGACGGCTGAAAATGTTGTCAAAAGCTTCTTCATCAAACACACCGATATCCTTTTTAGTGAATTTATAACGAACAGTAACATAATCATGGGCAGGGACACCACCATCTTCATCAAATGAGAACCATGCACCAGCTTTTGTACCTGTTTCCTCTGGGTTAACCACATCATTATCTTCATTGACAATGTATTCATGGAAGGCATCTTTGGTATATTTTGCCTTATTTTCTTGACCATAAAGTTTTTTCAAATTTGAATCATTATCAGTGAATAAGAATTGTGGCTCAACATCAGGATGATCATCAGTTAAACCTGGGGATGGAGCAAAGACCCATCTTCTTTTATCACCAAACTTCTTATGATCAACACAAATGGAATTTTCATTTTCTCTTGAAAGTTTCGGTTTATAAGAATCACGACCCCAACCCCAAGTGTTTCTGAAAACTGCTTGAGGTAAGATATGCAATGGAGCAGGTTTATCAGATCTGTTATAAGCTGTGATTCTGAAATATAATTCTTCATCATCATCCTTGGCCATTTCGAAAACAACATCAAAATATTCATCATTATCAAAGATACCAGTATCCATTAACTCATATTCTCTCTCCTTTTTGGATCTTTTAGCATTAGTTTCTCTCAAATCGTCATATGGGAATTTTTTGTGAGGATATTTATAGAGGAACTTCATATAAGAATGAGTTGGAGTGTTATCCAAATAATAATAAATTTCTTTAACATCTTCACCATGATTCCCCTGAGGACCAGTTAAACCAAATAATTTCTCTTTAAGGAAATCATCCTGTTCGTTCCATAACCCAATTGAAAAATTTAACAACCCATGATTATCACAAACACCAGCTAACCCATCTTCACCCCAACGATAAGCTCTTGAACGACTCTCATCAAAAGTGAAACTATTCCAAGCATCACCATCATATGAATAATCCTCTCTAACAATACCCTAGTAGGAAAACGTTAGTACAATTCGCATCTAACCAAATCTTTGCATACTCACCCATTGACGCTCAGCAAGATAACTTCCCCATCTTCTCCAATACTTTGTTTTATTTCTATCTTCTTGTAACCTTCTCTCTTCAGCAGTTAGACCAGCCAAATCAGCTCTACTTTGAGATCTTTTAACCATGATTGAGTCAATTGAATCCAAAATATGCCCCTTGTTTCTTACAAATCAAATCACTTGTAAACCCTTGTCTCAAACAAAGTTGATGATGGATGTATGGTGAAGTGTGTATATGTGATCAATTGGATGGTCAATTGAGGTTTCTATGATCTATATAGTATTGATATAAAGAGAAAGAATCAGCTCAAGACTGAAAGAATAAAGCGCCTTGTTGTTTTTAGATTGCTCCTTGAAATCAATTTCAAAATTCGCAGCTGTCGGTATATTTTTGACGTGCCCCGAATTCTCGCTACGTTTAGTTGCACTACAGCTAGTTTAAAGACAGGGTTGGTGGTGTTTGTATAATGAAATCAATCAATAGTCAATAATAAGGATTCATAGCGCTGATTGTTTGTTCTTAGCTAGACTAAAGCTTGTTTTTCCAGCTGAAATGCTTGTTATTGGTGCTGCCTAGCTGTTGATATTAATTTGGAGGTGTGTTTTTCTATGCATCTCCACTAGGAAGAGACAGCCGCCAGAACCAGACGAAGATCACAAGCAGAATGAATATGAAAGTGATCGACTAGCTGAAATAGCTATCTACGTCAAATATCTTCTCAACCATGATAAATATGTGTATAACTAGTATTGAAAAAATGTATCAAAAAAGAAAAAAAAACCTTTGAGTCGTAAAACGTATATACTAATATTATAAATAAAAAATCACATCACCTTTATAAATTCCATTATCCCTAATCCCTTTCAGCTTGTTATCTACTCAGCTTTTTTTGTAAACCCAACATTTGGATCAAAAGTGTTGTTGGTTGCACCTGAATCTCTAATAACTGCAACTCTCATTGTAGCCAACAAGTTATGAGCAGCATTAGAATGTAAGTAAACACCACCATTGAAAGCCTTAGTAGCATCTTTACCTAATGAAGATTTTAATAATGCTTCACCACCTGGATGTTCTGAAATATAACCTGAAACATCATGAACAATACCACTAATGATAACCAAACCTTTCTTATCCTTAGATTTTTCAAAATATTCAGATTTATCCCAAATTGGTAAATGAGATAATGGTGTACCCCAATTCAATTTTGATCTTGCAGCATCTAATTTTTTCTGTTGTTGTTGAACTAAACCTTGCTCAATAGCATTTTGTGAAAAAGTTTTCAAGTTTGAAGCTAAACCTAATTTAGAATGGATATAAATAACAATTTTTGTTGGATCATATTGATACCATTTGATAGCATTTCTATAATCTGTTGGGAATTCATGATGGAAATTATGATAACCTTCACCAAATGTAACTAAGGCTGTCAAGAAATGATCTCTTGGAGTTCTTCTATCATCAAATGGTTGAACACCAATCCAATGAGCCAATGAGTTAACACAGAAAGTAGCTTGTTGAATGAAACAAGCTCTTAAGATACCAGCATAGATAAAACCTCCAAGATAATCATTAAAGAAATAACCACAAACTAAAGTTGGGAAAATAAATGACATGAAAACCATAATTCCCAAATAATGTCTATGTTGAACTCTAACAACCCAGTCATCAATTAAATCTGAGATATCAGCTCTAGCTTTATATTTTGGATTTGGTTTCATCAACATCCAACCCATATGACTATACCAGAACCCTCTTCTAGCGTCATAAGGATCTCTTGGAGTATCAGTGTATCTATGATGAATTCTATGAGAATGACCCCACCATTTAATAGAACCTTCCACAGCGGCAGCACCAAACAAGGCATAAAAGATACGAACTGGAGCTTTAGCATTATAAGATTTATGGGCCCATAATCTATGATAACCAGCTGTGATTGATAACCCACCAAAGACATACAAGACAATAGCAGTTAAAGCAGTGTTTAATTTTAATGGAACACGACTTGTTGAGAATAAACCAATCAATGGAATAGCAACAACTAATACAACATTTAACCAGTTAATATGTTGGTGCCAATTTTGTAAAGTCCATGGTTGTTCAGAAATATGTTTATTTTTGGAGTATTTTGCTTTTTCAGCACGATCTTTGGCTAAAAGAGATTCAACATTTTCCTTCTCTTTCTTTTCAGCTTCAGCAGCAGCAGCGGCTTCTTGTTCAAGGAAATGAGGTGAAGTAATCTCTTTTGAACCCATTAACCCACCGAATCCATTAACGATTCTTCTGGTCTTTTTGTTTGTACCAGCAGCAATGATGTTTGCTTGCAAAACATCAACGGATTCCAAATTGTCAGTCATGATGTGATGTGATTGAATTAAACAATTAACAAGCAACAAATCGAAAAGGAAGTGGTATCAAATATATACACCTTTCCATCAAAATTTTCCAGATCCTTTTTGTCATAAAGAGCGTGCGTTTCACAATTCAAGAGCCCAACAAAAAAAAATGTTGTTCACCACTCGCCACACCTGATTATGTCACTAACTATGGCACACTTCGCGAATATTGTGGCTAGTGCAATGCTTCTGGTGGTGGTTGGGCTGTGGCTAGTGTACTATATTCACCGTATCGCAAACATCTACATACAAAAGAAATGAACAATTACAAAAAGAAAACACAGAACAAATTAAAAGTATACTTTACCGAGTGTGCGATTGTTGAACTAATCCAACCAACATGTCAGTATTGCTTTCTTTTGTGGAATTGTACCTGAAGGTACGAATAATGTTGAGATGAATTTGAATCAGGCTATAATTCTGTCATGAGATGGTGTGACACAACAACGTTAATTATTTGGTGTCACAAGATTAGATGATGTTGATATGACTGCAAATTGATGGGTCGTATTAGAGGCATAATTAAGGGACGTCTGTTGAGCTGGGGAAAGTACGCATAAGCTGAGGGTATTCAATTGTTGTTCAATTGGTTTATGTTGGTTATGGGATGTCTTGATAGGTTGGTCCTCGGAGTATAAGGTCATACGCTTCGAGTTTCAAAGATGAAAAAGTCCGAGTAGTGAAGGGTTTTCGGGGCAAGTTTGTTAATTCAATAGTTATCGCTGAGTTAATGGATCCTTTTCAGCTACATTAATCTGACCATTAGATGGTATATCTTAAAATCGTATATCAAAATATTATTTACATCAATTTTGAATTCAAAATCAACAATAAAACCAAACAAGAAAGCAGAATAATATCAATCTAAAATTGTTCAAGAACAATGAGTCTCACCATTAGCATGTGTATGACATTCTGAACCACCAGAGGTTTCAGTTGAAGCTGTTGCAGATTCAGATGAACTTGCATGATCATGATCATGACTTTCACCATCACCACTACAACCTTCACCAGGAACAGCCACATCATAAGCATAAACTTCAAGAGCATAATATCTCAAACTTGCAGAATTTCTAACAGCTTCTTCAGGGCTTGATTCTGCCAATTCAACACATTCATCATAAGTATCAGCATAATGTCCAACAACATCTTGTCCAATTTTAGTTGTATGCCATATTCTATGTAATAAATCACCAGCCCAATAAACTGTTGTTTTATCTTTAGTCACTTGATAACCTTGGGAACACATTTGTGAAAGGAATAATCTACTACTAAATGATAGATCACAAATAACAGTTTCATCTGAACCATTTTCACCTCTCCAATGACCTGCCCAACCTGCTTGATGACAATTTTGATCAATATCATCACATCTGAATAAAACACCAGTTTTATCTTGATCAACAATATTAGTAAACCATCCAACAACTTCACCAGTGGTTGCATTACCAAAATACTTTTGATAAAATTTAGATTCATTACCATATCTTAAAGTATGATCACGAGCTTGACCTGCTAAAGCTTTAACATCTTGGAAAGCAGCTTGCAATTGATTGAATTTTGTTCTATTACATGATGTGTGAACTGGGAAATCTTTATACCAATCTTTACTCCAATCATAGGCTGATGTTTCACTAGCTTCAACCCAAATTGTTGATGTTTGTTCTGAATCGCTTGATTGAGATTGGGCAAGTGTTAATGCTGGTAATAAAGAAAGTAAAACGGTTGAGAACTTCATTGTATCTGGATGATTGGGTGATTAAATATTGGTTATGGATTGATTTTCAACTGGGATTCATGATGGTTTTATACATATTTTTTTTTCCATATTAGTTTAGATCTGGAGATGAGAGAAAGAGATTCTCAAGGTACTTCCTCGTGTATGGTCTCAAGGAATTTACTAAAGTGAAAAAAAAGATCAGTACAATAAAGTTTTATGGCCCCTTGGCAAAGCACCGTTGTAGTTATATTGAAAAAACAGCATATGCATCAATTTCATCAAATAAGGCTAATGAAGGACTTACAAACTCCACAAGATTTCCTAATGAAGAACATATTGGCTGCTTCATTCTTCTGCATTCATTTAACTAATGCCTGGGCATATAACCTTGCAAGCTATTACACGCTGGGCAAGTGGTTGTACTTGAAGCTCTGGTATTCTTTTACATCATTCTTATTCAAGTTTTGACTATTCAGGCGTTTGTAGAGAAGCCTTTCCTTTACGAAACAATCACTCTTTAAGTTCACAATGATGTAGCTAGTATTAGGTCCTCATCAATTCAGTAGGTACAGGTAACCTTATTGGTTATTTGAAAGGCTCTTATTTCATACACTTGAAACAGAGGCGGAAAGAGTCCGAAAACGGCAGAACACACAAACTGACATTGATTCTTGAAATTCTTTGACACATTTTTTCAGGGTCTACAGCTGATTTTCAACGATCGGACATAAAAGCCTTTTCGAATTTTCCAGCCTTCCCATAAGCACTTGAAAAGCTTTCCTGGATCAATTACTTGATCAACTAATGCCACCAATAGCTCAATTCACTTTCAATGAAGTACCATATGGCCATCGAATGGCTCCAAAGCTTCAAAGTGATAACTTGAAAGGTATCTTTTTAGCATTTCTTGGTCTTGAGGATTCAGCTTGGCACTCATAATTTGAGTGAACAAAATTTTTCATCTACAACACAATAAGAGTGTTATACCAATTGAAAGCTTACGAAATCACAGTGATGAAAAAAAGGTTACTCAAGGAGGATCATGAGATTCCAGATATATAAAACTCAATGTCTGCTCTATTTCATATCAATTCAGAGTGTTTCAAGATATTATTAAAGATTATCAAACATGAAGCTCTGTACAACATTACCATTCCTAATCACAGCTATACAAGCAGCTTCTGTGGTTATGACTGTGTATCCACAGCAAACATCGAATACTTCACCAGGAAATGTTGTTTATGTAACACGTACTAGAGGTCAAGAAGGAGGTGCTGTTTCCTCAAGTTCATCCTCAATCACTGGCCAAACCACTGCAATCACATCATGTCATTATCATGATTCCAAACAATTTTGTGTTAATGGTCAAGGAGAAGAAGGTTCAGTTGTAGGTGCTCCAACAAATACAAAAGATGCTCCAACTGAATATACTGGATGTCATGCACATTCTCCTCAAGAAACTTTTTGTGTCGCACCAAATGGTGAAGAAGTTCAATTCATGGCTGAAGGTGGTTCAGCTTCAAATTCATCTTCAAGTCATGGTTCAAGCTCTGGTGGGAGAAGTTGTCATTTCCATGCTGGTGTGGAGCATTGTGTTGGTGGTGATGAAGAAGAGCATGGTGCTCAATGTGAGAAGGTTCAAAGAGATTATGACATCCCATTAAGAATTGGTTTGTTGTTTGTCATCTTGGTAACTAGTGCTATTGGTGCTTTTGGTCCAATCTTGGTTAAAAAATTGTTCAATTTATCCACTGAAGGTATAATCTTTGTTATTATTAAACAATTTGGTACTGGTGTTATCATTTCAACTGCTTTTGTCCATTTGATCACTCATGCTAACTTAATGTGGACTAATAAATGTATGAAAGAGTTAAGTTATGAAAGTACTGGTTCTGCAATCACAATGGCTGGTATCTTTTTAGCATTCTTGATCGAATATGCAGGTAATAGAGCTGTTCATTGGAGAGGTAATAGATTGTCAAAAGCTAATGCTGGTGGTCAATTGGAAAAAAACAACAGTGTTGATGTTTCTGAAAATGATTCAGCCAACTTGGATAAAAATGCCACCACTGTTTCAAATACTCAAGTTCATAATCATCATGAACATGGATTATTAATGCCAAAGGATAAAGTTTCAGTCTTGATGATGGAGATGGGTATCATCTTCCACTCTATTCTTATTGGTATTACATTAGTTGTTGCAGGTGATTCTTCATTCATTACTTTATTCATTGTCATCTTATTCCATCAAATGTTTGAAGGTTTAGCCTTGGGTTCAAGAATAGCTGAATTAGAGAAGTCTAAAATGATTTCAAAATTATTGATGGCATTTGTTTATGCAATTATTACACCTATTGGTATGGCTATTGGTATTGGTGTTCTATCCAAGTTCAATGGTAACGATCCAAGTACATTAATTGCATTAGGTACTCTCGATTCGTTTTCTGCTGGTGTTTTGATATGGACTGGTTTGATTGAAATGTGGGCTCACGATTGGTTGTTTGGTAAGTTGGCACATGCCAGCATTATCAAGACTTTGATTGCATTGTTCTCATTGATGTCAGGTATGCTATTGATGTCAGTTTTGGGTAAATGGGCTTGAGTTTCTTCATTAATTTGTACATGTAATAGATGAATATTTGACCAATTTTACCATAAACGGTATACGCACGCTTTCAGTCACATGATATATCACATGATACGGTATATACACGCTTTTTTCTTTTCATAGAGCCAGCCCGACTAAGCCTAAAAATAGATCTTCAGATTTTAAATCTCGTAGAATTTCAATCAGCGAAGGGTTGATTAACAACAAAATTAAGCGTAAAATATGGCCAATGGATGCTACAATATTTCTCTCCTTGAGCAGATCCTTGACTGCTTTAACAACGACATCAGCATCTCCAAAGCTTCCCAATTGGGCTGTTTCCAGGGCAAATCCAGATTCAAGCACTTGTTTATTTTTGGCACCGAGGTGCTTCCCCAACCGGATTTTCCAACTTTCGAAGGAATTTTTTTGTTTTTGTTTCTTTCGAAAAAAAAACCATAACAAATCTTGAACTTTTACAAAACCTTTCTTTCTTTCCTCATCGACTTTGTTTGGATATCATACATTCACTCATTTAAATCATGCGTTTCATTTCAACTTTAGTCGCATTGGCAGGTGCTGTCTCCTCTGTTCAAGCCATTGGTCAAGTAAGTATTGGATTTAACCTTCGTCTGCCTTTTTGTGGACGTTGTTGTTGTTTTTTTCCCCTTATTTAGATGAAGTTCTGAACCACTAACAACAACAATAATAGTTGGCTTTCAACTTGGGTGTTAAAGATAACCAAGGTAACTGTAAATCTGCTGATGAATATAAACAAGATTTCAGTCGTTTAAGTTCATACACCAAAAAAGTCAGAGTTTACGCTGTTTCAGATTGTAACACTTTAGAAGTTTTAGGTCCTGCTGCTGAAGAAGCTGGTTTCACCGTTTTCTTTGGTGTTTGGCCAAATGATGATGCTCATTTCCAAGCTGAAAAAGAAGCATTACAAACCTATTTACCAAAAATTAAAAAATCAACTGTTGAAGCCATTACTGTTGGTTCAGAAGCTTTATACCGTGATGATATGTCTGCTTCAGATTTAGGTGACCGTATTAACTCTGTCCGTGACCTGTTGAAAGATATCAAAGATTCTGATGGTGAATCTTATGAAGGTATCCAAGTTGGTTTCGTTGACTCATGGAATGTTATTGTTGATGGTGCCTCTAGTCCAGCTATTTCCGCTTCAGACTTCGTTTTTGCCAACGCCTTCTCATACTGGCAAGGACAAACCCAAAACAATGCTTCATACTCTTTCTTTGATGATATCATGCAAGCTTTACAAACCATCCAAACTGCTAAAGGTGAAACTGATATCACTTTCTGGGTTGGTGAAACTGGTTGGCCATCACATGGTACTGCTTTTGAAAGCTCTGAACCATCTGTTGACAATGCTAAAGCTTTCTGGAATGATGCTATCTGTGCTATCAGAGGTTGGGGTATTAACGTTATTGCTTTCGAAGCCTCTGATGAAGCTTGGAAACCAGATACTTCTGGTACTTCAGATGTTGAAAAATACTGGGGTATTTGGGATGCTAATGGAAACTTGAAATATTCATTATCTTGTGACTTCTCATCATAAGTTGATTAAGTTTCACATTCCTTGAACATATTATTATACCCACTTATTTAATTTAACATTTTTTCACTTTCTTTTAACGATGTTGGCTTTGAACTAGTTCAAGCAATTGTTCTTTTTTATTTTTTTCACTCTTATTCACGAGAGATAGAAACCTTTCTTACACCATATAATTATTACGTATCATAGCATATAAATCAGTTGTAGTTCTACATCGTTTTCAAGTAAAAATGATCTATCTGTATTAAGCTTTACCCAAGTTATCAATTTGTGCCATCAAATCATCATCATCGATTTCATTCTTTTCTTCAATCTTTTCGATACCATTTGCCTGTATCCATGCAACAACTTTATTGACAAAATCTTTATTATTCGGCACGTAATGGCCACCTTGATGTTTCAATAGAGTTTTCTTTTCATCAATACAGGAATCCAACAATCTTATTGAACGACCTTCCTCCACAACAGTATCTAATTCACCAATAACATGCAAAGAAGGTAAATCAATCTTTGAATCATACCAATGGTCAAACTTAGCAGGTTTCAATCTGAACCCACTGAAGAAAACAACCCATTTTAAAGAAGGTAAAGCTTCTTTATATTTAGCCACTATAGCACCACTTAAACCAGCACCTTGACTGAAACCAATGATACCTTCAACTTGTTCATCACCATTCGTTTGGCCCAAAACAAGATCAATAGCCGGTTGGACTTCATAATCATCCATCCCATATGGCCACCATCCGTATAGGTCTAATTCTTCTGAAGATGGATCATGAAGTTGATCGCCTTTCAACTTCATTGGGGCATTGATGTAAATGGATTCATATCCCTGTTTTTTCAAGGTTTTTCGAAGACCACCTGTTTTCCCTGAGAATATTGAGGCCGATTGGGCGTATCCGTGTAGGAATATGACTTTTTTAGCAGACATTTTGAAGTATAGTTGAGGATTGAAGATGGTTAAAAATGTTGAAAAGTTTGTTGATAATGAAATTTTCATAGATAAGTTTTTTTTTCGCGTACATCAAGATTCAAAACCGTTGGGATTTGTTCGTATACTATGTTGAGGCATGAGACTACTACAATAGCTTAACGATGATGTTTATTCAGATGTCACTAACTTTAGCACCGATACTAGTGTCCTGATAAACGTCAAACCTTCTGTGCTGCTCCAAGGGAATCCCAGCTTTCATCATGTCCTGAACACTGGAATCAATCTCAGCATAAACAATTTCCTCTCCTTCACCAGCTTCACACAAGATCTTGCCCATTGGATCTATGATCATAGAACGTCCATATGCAACATATCCTCCACTAACAGTGTCTCTCGCAGGCGAACACATTATTACAAAGCATTCATTATCAATAGCTCTTGCCTGTGCCAAAATGTGCCAATGTAAAGGACCTGTAGACATGTTGAAAGCAGCTGGAACAATCATTGCAAATGCATTATTTGGTGGTCTACATGCTATGCTGAATAACTCTGGGAATCTGATATCATAACAAATTGCCTCACCAACAGTGCCATATCCTTCCAATTCGAAAACAGTGGCCTTGTTACCAGCTGTGAGACTATCAGATTCTTTGAATTGAATTCCATTAGGAATACACATATCAAATAAATGGACTTTACGATGTTTCCCGATTATTTCACCCCTTGGATTGAATGTCACACTAGTGTTATAAATACGCTTGTTTCCTGATTCATCAAATGCCAGTTCTGGTATTGATCCACCAACTAAGAAAATTGATAACTCTTTAGCTAATGATGATAAAAACTTTGTTGTTTCTCCATTTGGTATTTCTTCTGCATACTCTTCGAATTTATCAACTGCGTATGGTGCATTGAAACATTCTGGTAAAATGATAAGTTTGGCATCGTTTGAAGCAGCTTCGATGATGTGTTTCTTTGCATTTTCGAGGTTTTTCAACTTGTTGGTTGATCCCATCAATTGACAACATGCGATCTTGAGTGGTTGAGCTAATGGTGAAAGTGATTGAACTGTCATCGTGTGCTTTGTAACGGTGAAACAGCTTGTAATGATTATTGGAAGCTGACTCCTTTTATATACTCATCTTCCTAAGTGGGTGGATCTGTCCACCTAATCGGCGCTATCTACAATCATTTTAAGTTGCCCATTTATTGGATTACTTACTGCCATCATCACCATCCTCATTCAAAGCTTTCAACACTTTAAAGGCTTCGTATATGATAGCCCATCTAACTGTCATCAAATGACTTCCTATCTCATCAATCATACCTGAAAGGTCACTGGAATAAATGTTCTTCATTGATCTTATTTCATCAGGTGTACCACTTGTAACTAACGACACAAACTTTCTCATAGAAGTTTTAGTATCACTTATTATGGGTTCAACTACACCATCTATTCCCTTGATTTGATCATCGGAAGTCGCAGGGGTATCTTCTTTTGCAGTATACTTGTTCCCACTTTGATCTTTCAAAATTTTAAAGAAGCACCAACAAGTCAAAACAGCTAAATACAAACACCATGGATAATGGAAAGTACCATCAACTTCCCAATTTTCCAAGTTTGTTAGCCCACATCTTAATAATTGAGCAGCATTCATAACAGCTTTGTCTGAAATACCTATCTGATAAACCCATTCAGTAAGTTGTCTTTTAGATTTCAAAAAAGTTGAATCATTGACTGACATCCCCAAGATAACTTTACTACCAGCAAATATTTGCAAATCAATCAGATTTGTCCAAAGGCACAATACAGCAGTATGATACATTGCGTTGTTCGTAGTCAAGTATTTCACAAAAAACGTCTTGTTGGTGGTATTTTCAAAATTGGTTGATATCTTGAGCATTATTCTTCTGCTAAATTTATCAAAATCTTTTTTCCAATGATCATAAGCCTTATTCAATTTAAGTTTCCATTGTGAAGGGTCTATTTGGAAATTTAACGATGTTTGATCTCTTCTCTGCATATCCCAAGCTATCCCCATGAGGCCATGAAGTATCAATACTCTTGATAATGAATTGATATATGGAAGTGATTCTGCACAGTTCAAAAACTTTTTGAGTGTTGACAAGTAAGGTAATGGATGGGTTTCAGAGCGTCTATATCCTAGCCATTCGGTGGAGTCTCTTGAATTCCACAAGTTCAAATCAGATGGTAAATCAACTTTCAATTCAAATGCAGACATACATAAAGTTTGACTGAAAAATGTTGCATGTTGAACGTCCCATAAAAATGTCATCAGTGCTAATCTTTTCATAGACTCCATATGGATCCACGATCTCCATGACTTCTCTGGATCATTCTCATCTACTGGTCCATAGCACTCTGTAGTAGCTGATTCACACCCACTTCGACGAATCAAATTAATAAGTAATCCATGAAACAAATGGGCCATTTCATGTTGCTTTAAACCTGCTCTGCTTTTCCCAAACACTTCAATCAATAATAAAGCTTGCAAAACCCATAATTCTGGAGATGGTGAGAAATGACCAGAGCTGAATAAGATACCGCGTAAGCAGTCATGAATCTTGACTGCTGATTGATGAACCTTTTTAGAACCATAACTTGCGCCAATCAAAATTATACTAGCTAACAATAAACTGTTGACTTGAGATGGATTGAAAGAGATGCAGTGAATCAAAGGGTATGTGATATTAAATTTGGTGAAATAACTGGTGACACATTCCTGTAAGGTATTTGGTTGAAGAATCTCATCTTTCTCACTAAATAATGAAACACCATCTTGAACTGTTGATTTGATGATAAACTTGACTAATCTTGCTCTAGTCTCATTATCCAGGACTGGTATGATAGGCTCTGCATAATAATCGGAGTCAAAATTGTAATTTTCAGCTGAATCAACCCATGCAGAGCTAAGTTTATGAGAAACAGAACCGTGTATATCTTTATTTTGATTGATAAGTGGGAAACCCAAAGGAACTGAAGAGTTGAATTCTTTCAAAAAAGGCGTATCTTCAAATATCCAAGAATAATCATTCAATGTAGTGAATGGTAAATTGAAAGAATGTGCAGTATCAATGAAACCTTCGTGTGCAAATATATTTTCAGCTGAACTAGACGAAAATGATCTTGTATGTGCAACGGGGTGGGAGGTTGTTTCTTCATCAAGGCTATTATTATTTGTACCGGCTGACTCAACATTTGGAGATGGTAAGATTGAAGGCAATGACTCTGCTTCATCGTTTGGTGTACTTGTTGTTTTCGGAGAAATCGATTCGGCCGCCTTCTTTCTCTTTCTCGAAGTGTAACCAATTTTAGGATCCCAGACCCTTTTTCTTGTTAACAAAATACCCATTCCTTTACCTCCAGCTTCTTCATCTTTTTGCTCGTGACGTTTCAAATGACGACCTGGCAAAATGTTAGCCCCAAACTCTGAAAAGTCTCCGTTTTTACATACTCAAAAGGTCCTTTCTGGCAAATTCTGATTCACATCTTGAGCATTTCAGCCTTCTCTGATTATGATTAAGCTTGTGTCTATCCAAATGATCTCTTCTCGCAAAGTTCTTATCACATCCATCTATATCACATCCAAATCGTTTCCCAATCCGCACATAGTCCGTGGCTTCTTCTTGAGGTTGTGTGTATTGTTCCATAACAGTAGTACTCATTGTCAATTGTATCTTAAAAGTTAAACGGTCAACACATTCCACTTTAGCCTTGTAACATGGTCCATCACCCCCAATTATATACCATCACCATCCCCAAATAAAGTTTACATTGATAAGGAAATACCAATGGATATCAATTCGATAAGGAAGCTGATGATCTTGGTCTTTGTTGAAGAGCGCTTCAAGTTCTGTTTTCGGGTCGAATTGTTTTCGAAAAATTTACGGTAGTCTCGAGTTGGTGTATGGATGTTTCTCTACAGTCCAGATAAGATAAGATCTAGCTTTTATTAAATGGGGAAAGACTCTACCATTTGGTAACACCAGCGTCCACAATGATATCCTCACCGCTCATGTAGGTGCTGGCATCTGATGCTAGAAACACACAGGCACCTTGAATGTCTTCTGGATCACCAACACGCTCATTCATAGTGAGGTCTTTCCAACTCTCAATCAAATCTGGGAAAGGTGCTGTCATTGCAGTCTTTATGTAACCTGGACTTACAGAGTTGGCTCTGATTCCATATTTTTGAAGCTCTGCTGATATAGGAGCCACCATAGAACGAACAGCACCTTTTGTAGCACAGTACGCACTTGAGTTTTGTGATCTGATTGCAATATAACTACCCATACTTGCAATGAATACAATACTGCCCTTTGTTGTTTTGTTTGCAATCATTTGTTTAGCAGCTAGCTGGGCACTGAAATAAGCACCTCTTGAATTGATATTGGTGAGTTGGTCAAATTCTTCAAATGTAGTATCTAGAAATGGTAGGTTCTTATTCACACCAGCACAAGGAACACAGATATCCAATTTTCCTTCAAAATCTTGAATAAACTTTGCAAATCCTTCTCTCAATGCCTTTTCATCAGATATATCGCATATATAATGCTTCACTTTCACGTCGTTTGTCTTTGCCAGTTCTTCAACGTCTATAGTTGAATCGATCACATCAAATATGGCACAGTTGCAACCCGATTCTATCAAAGCTTGGGCACAAGCCAGACCTATTCCACGTCCACCACCTGTGACCAATGCAGTTCTTCCTTTGATGTCAAACTATTCGTTAGTGAGAATTGGATGATGAACACAAAGGCAATACTCACCTTATTGAATGTCATGATGATCGTTGTTTTGCTGCTATGAAAGACCAATTGGTTTGTCAATGGCAACCCATGCCATTTTATATGATTCAAATTTCAAACCACATATTTCCTAGATCAAGAGTAATGGATCTCTACATTTGTTGTCCTCTTGAGTCCACGCATCTTAAGTGGACTCAAAAGGTCGAGGGTCTCCAAAGACTCATCAACTCCGCGAACGTACTCTTCAGGATAACGCGTCCTCGAAACTTTAATTACCTCTGCTTCATCTACAGTTTTGAATGTGTATCTTCAATTCAGTAATCTCCATAAAATTTTACTTTTTAGCTAAATCAATACCTAATCTTTTCAAAACTTCGGCTTCAGGAGTTGGTAAGCGTGCTCCTTCTGGGAACGGTGTCTTGGATTTGAAGTCATCAGAGATTTCACCCATGGTAACCCATTCAACACCTTCATGGGAATTGATATATTCAATCAATCTTTCATGCATCAAAATCACATGCGCACGGCCACTAGCATCAGGGTGTATAGTCATTGGGAAAATGAACTCATCATATTCTCGATAGAAATAGTCAAAGTGATCTCTCCATATATCTTCCAAATCTCTTGGATTGGTCCAGCCATGACCATCTGGATTGTTCTTGATAAACATGAATGGTGGAAGATCATCTAAATGCCAATTAGCAGCAATTTCAACTAATCCAATCTCTTGACCTCTGACTAGTGGTTTCATCCACTCATCTGCCTTCTTGGTATAATCAACATTAGTCCAAGTATCACCGACCCTCAACCAGTAAGGTAAACAATCATGATGACTCATGGAATGATCATATTCAATACCATAATCTAACAACATTTCAACACCAGTTTCACTAGTTTCCCACCATGGTGCAACACTACCTTTTGGAGGTTTACCAGCAAATTCAGTTAGTAACCTGAATGTCTTATCAAGAACGTCTTTTTGCTGTTCAAGTGTCATATCAACTGGGTTTTCATGTGAATAACCATGTAAACCAATTTCATGACCTGAATCTCTGACTTCAGCGCAAGCTTCTGGGAAGGTTTCCAATGAATGGCCAGGAATAAACCATGTTGCCTTGATATTGTACTTGTCAAACAATTTGAGTAATCTTCTTACACCAACTTCACCTGCCCAAAGACCCCTTGAAATATCATTAGCAGAATCTTGGCCACCATAAGAACTGTTTTCAATGTTAGCAATTCCAATCAATTGAAGAAAAAAAGAGACACATACCCTAACCAACCTGCAACAGCATCAATGTCAACACCGTATGAAACTAAAACTCCTTGAAACTTGTTAGTCAATGGCCTTGAAAGATTAGACAATGATCATACTTTTTTTACCCATTACCACCTATTATTTTAATGAATGTTTGTTGATAGAATTGTTCAATCGATACAAAAGCTCTGTAAAGACCAACATCTCTTTAAATAACTAAAATCTCCACCAAGGATAATCTTATCGCAACAACTAACTCGAAGCCCCCGTTTAGTGCATTTGCGCTCGAGATCAATCCAAAATGTTTTTGTCCGCTTTAGTGCGCGAACGTTCAAACCAAAAAAAAATATTGCACTTGAACTTAGAAACTTATCTTGAAACTAATAATCTTAAATGTTCACTGATGAAGCTTATATGGGGTAGCTAATCTAATAACCTCTGTATCTAGGAATAATCAAGTCATCTCAACATCCCTAATATAAAAAAAATGGTGAATCCTTCATGGGGAAAGGCATGTACCACATTTTAGGACCATTAAAAATCAATCAAGTTGAAAATGCACATTATCGTTGTTGGTGCTGGACTAGGAGGCTTGAGTGCTGCTATAGCCATTTTACAAGCTGGTCATGAAGTTACAATTTTAGAAGGTGCTCATGAAATCAATGAAGTCGGTGCAGGGATTCAAACATTACCAAATGCAACCAAAATTTTATTTGATTTTGGATTGAAAGATCAACTTTTAAAGCGTGCTACAAGACCTCAATTTGTATACATGAATCGTTGGAAAGGTGATAATTTGACAAAGATGGATTTCCACAAACAAGGTGAAAGGTTTGGCTATCCGTTCTTAGACTTTCATAGAGCTGACTTACAAGCTGTTATGTTGGAAAGAACTAAAGAATTGGGTGCGGAAATCGTTGTTGATGCAAGAGTTGAACAACTCTCTTATGATTTGGTAAAGAAAACAGTCACTTGCACCACCAAGAATGGTGACAAATTCACTGCTGACTTGGTTGTTGGTGCAGATGGTATTAATTCGAAACTTCGTGAATTACTTGTTGGTCACTCTGATCCTCCATCTCCAACTGGTGATTTGGCATATAGATTATTGATTCCTACTGAAAAGATGCTTGATGATCCTGAGCTTCGTGAATTTGTGGAACGTCCTCAGGTTAACTACTGGATTGGTCCCCAGGCGCATTGTGTCAACTATATTTTGAAAAATGGTAAACTTTTCAACTTTGTTTTGTTATGTCCTGATACAGTTCCTGATAATATGACCATTTGTTCTGGTCAAGTTGATGAAATGAAGGAGTTTTTCAAAGATTGGGATCCAAGGATCACTAAATTGATCAACCTAGTCCCAACTGACACTGTTGATAAGTGGAAACTTTGCTACAGACTAGGTATTGATAATTGGTCACATCCTTCAAATATGGTTACACTTTTAGGTGATTCAGTTCATGCTACCTTACCTTATTTGGCTTCAGGTGCTGGTATGGCGATTGAAGATGGTGCTGTCTTGGGTGAATGTCTCTCAAGACTGTCTAGTAAAGAAGAATTATCAAAAGCTTTGGCTGTTTATGAACTTTGCAGAAAGAAGAGAACAGAAAGAATTGTTTCAAGGGGTAATGAACAGCAGTATTTGTACCACTTAGATGATGGTGTTGAGCAACAAGAAAGAGATCGGATTTTACAATTAGATAACCCGCCAACTGGTGAAGCATTGGTTTGGAGAGATGTTGAAATGGCTCCTTGGTTGCTTGGATATAAAGTGAAGGAGGATGTTGATAAGTATTGGTCTAATTCGGATGCTCCAGTTCATGAGATTGCTGCTCTATGAGCTGTGACTTTGGAGCTTTGGAGCTCTAGTTATTTTGCAGTATCTATAATATTATTTGTGCCACTCTTTGAATTTCCGTGCCGTAGTGTAACTACTACTCAAATCGATAATGTTGATCTCATATGTTGTTCTCGCTGGTGGGTGCAACCGTACTTCTGACTCTTAAAACTACAGTGAAGTGTTATGTGGATTTAGATTGTCCCCTTTTATTAATTGATAAGCTGCCAGTTTTCGCGGGTGAATAAATCAAAAAAAAGTGTGTGTGGATTAATTTTTGCGAACTGGACGTCTTCAACTCCATTTAAGACATGTTTCGATAAACAATCATCACTTTCATGTGGACTCTCTAACAAAGTCAACTTAAAATATGATGTTTTCAAACTCATATAAGACCAGCTATATCTGTTCTGCGTTTAAACACGAACTTGGACACTACCAATTCATCAACTGAAAATGGTTACCTCAAAACAAGTGTCTGCTTTATTCGAACCATTTCAACTTGGTTCTTCAAAATTATCCCATAGAATCGCTCTAGCACCATGTACTAGAATGAGAGGTGAAGCAGTTGAAGACTTTTTTGTTCCAGGTGAACTCATGGTTGAGTATTACTCTCAGCGTGCAACAAAAGGTGGTTTGTTAATCACAGAAGCCTGTCCAATCTCTAAGACTGCTGCTGGATATCCTGGTGTTGCTGGTATTTTCAACACTAAACAGATCCAAGGTTGGAAAAAAGTTACAGGTGCCGTTCACGAGAAAGGTGGTGTTATCTATTGTCAATTATGGCATGTTGGAAGAGCTACCTTAGCGCAACTGATTGGTGGTATGCAAGCAATTTCTTCTACCACAACTTCATTGAAAGGTGGTTCATTGGCAGCAGGTGTCAACTTTGAGGACTCACCTCCAAGAATCATGCTGGAACAGGACTTCAAAGATGTTACTAGTGACTTTGCTCAAGCTGCTAAAAATGCAATTGAGTTGGCAGGTTTTGATGGTGTTGAAATTCATGGTGCGAATGGTTATTTATTGGATCAATTTTTACACGATAATGTCAACCAAAGAACAGATGAGTATGGTGGAACTGTTGAAAATCGTTGTAAATTTCCTTTACAAGTTATTGAATCAGTGGTTGAGGCAGTTGGTGCTGATAAAGTTGGTATTCGTCTTTCACCTTATAATTATTACCAAGATACCAAAGACTCAAATCCTAATGAACACTGGTCATACTTATGTCGTGCAATATCATCTCAAAAATCTCCAATCAGTTATGTTCACATGATTGAAGCAAGATTTGATGAAGTCTTGACAGAAGAAGATAAATTGAAATCTTTGGAGGAACAATGTTTGAAAAAGGATACATTCTCTTTGAATAGATTTAGAGATATTATAAAACAGAAAGGTATTCATTTTATTGCAGCTGGTGGATTTGATAAAGATCTGGCTGCCAAGAAGGTTTTAAGTGATGAATCTGATATTGTTGCGTTCGGTAGAAATTTCATTGCCAATCCTGATTTGGTTGAAAGGTTCAAAGAGGATTTGGAGCTAAATAAGTATGATAGATCAACCTTCTATGGAGCTGATCCTCCAAGTAAAGGTTATGTTGACTATAAGTTTTATTCCGCTTAATAAATTTCTTGACGTTTTGTTTGAAAATTGTTTTAGTAGTCAATCGAGCAATTGATTTCAAATAGTACCGCGTTCTTGGATATTATTAGATCAATGGTTTAACCTGATGAAGGAAAGTTTTGCTCTTGATTTTGCTTTTTAGGTAGCAGTTTATTTCGAATCAAGTTACGTCTACTAATGTAAATCAAAGTCAAATCATATATTATCAAACTAGTAATGGTGAAAAGTAATTATGAAGCCATTCAACGGCATCAACCGCATCAGAATCAATTCCAAATGACTTACTTGCCCCTATATACCCATCAGGACGTAAAATAAGCAACGAAACAGAATCTGTAGAATTTGGAAACCATTTCTGAAACGGACCTCTTTCTTCTTGATCATCCAAGTAAACAGTCCATTTGTATGGTTTGAAAAAGTCAGGCAGTTCATTCAACTCAATTTCTTTCTTTGAAGATTCAGTGACAAGGCAAACGGTGAACAATTGTGAGATTGGAGTGTACCTTTTATGATTAATTAGATCCTTTTCAAGTTTAATTTGATTAGAGTCCAACTTTGCAATCCTATAAAGATTTAAAAATGGAGATTTCTGAACCTTTTCACTGAACTTTTGAAGAAACTTTTCACTCATTTTAAAATCTTTTGCAGCAAAGTATAACTTGAACTGACCAAGAGTAGGGACATCTGTTTCCATGTGAACAGGATTAGCGTCAACATATCTGTGAGCATCAACAGGAGGTGGTAAAGTACCCGGCACCAACAGTTCATTATCAGAAGATTTGTTAAGCAGGTTCATATCATATTCAGCACCAATACCAGAGATGAACTTCACATTTTGTTCAAAGTTTTTGGCAAGTTCAACGGGGTCTCCCTTTTTAAAAGCTTTCGTATGGACCTTGTCAAAATTGATCAAATCATGAGCAACCTTCATTCTCTCTTGTTCATAGGTTTCCAGTAATCTTGGGGAGCCAATATTTTTGATAACAAGAGCAAGTTTCCACCCTAGATTCCAACTATCGTGCATTGAGACATTCATACCTTGGGCCGCATTAGCTGAATGAGTATGTGAAGCATCACCAAGAATAAAAGCTCTTGATCTATCAATAAATGAGGTGGTGACACCTTGACGCACTCTATAAATACTGAACCATTCAACTATATCCCACTCAAGTTTAAATGGGCTTATAATGTTTCTAGCCTTTTCCATGATCACTGGTTGCGCTGTTACCAAATCTTCATGTTCAAAGTCACCAGGCAATTCAATATAAAGTCGTGTCAAGCCTCTTTCACGTGGAATCCCTAATATTGTACCATTATTCTGTGATCTGATTACTGTTTTGCTCCAAAAGTCTGGAAAATCTGTGTTCAAGACCCCATCGATGACGGCCCAACGAAGATCAGTTGTATCTGCATTAACTTGACTGTTTGGCATTGAAGCTCTGACAGCAGAGCGAGTACCATCGCATCCAACAATATATTTGGAGCTGGTGACAAAATGTTGGCCATTTGTAGAATCAACAATTTCTGATTGGACTTGATAAGCATTGGAGTCATTAATTGAGTACGAAATGAACTTCTGATTTCTTTCCACCTCAAAATCTCTGAGTTTCAAATCGTTGGTGAATGCCTTTTCCACGATACCTTGATGTAACAATAAAATGTACGGATCTCTAAGGTCAACGACCGAGGGAAAGTGATCCTCTCTGCCTGTTCTCACCAAATCTGAACCATCTGTGCTTGGGTTCCAAAAGGTAATATCAAAAATTTTGACACCTTGAGATTCAATCTGTTCCAATAACCCAAGTTGTTTAAATGTTTCCAAAGTCTTTGGTTGGATCCCATCTGCCCTACCTGAGGAAGTTTCACTTGGTCTATCATCAATAATTTTGAACTTCACACCAAGTCTAGCTAAAACAACACCTAACATCAACCCAGCGGGACCAGCACCCACAATCAACACATCAGTATATTCTTTTGTTTCTAATGTCATCTTTAGATATTATCATTAGCAATGAACTTCTCGAGCTCCTCGACTCTTCACTATGTGATCTGGATTTCTTTGGTTATTTTATAAGATCATCAAAACAATCATCGTAAGATCAATAACCCCAGAACCAGCTACTCAATCCGTCCATCTTTTGACTTATCAAAGTTCATATCAATACCCCATTCTTTAGCCTCTAGAAGAATCCCACTTTATCCTTTGTTCTTATCTTCAACACCATTAGAAGCCCAAATATTGTTGAAGAGTATTGATGTTTCGCGAATTGTTTACAAATTTTTTCAAGTGGACTAGATCTTGATAAGACCCACGTATCCAATCTTATCGACCGTCTAAAGTGGGACAATGATGCTGGTCTCGCTCCGTTGGTGAGCTGGTTGCATTGACACACAGTCATACTTGGGAAAAATAGCGGATGTAAACGACCTTGGACATCGATAAACCACTCAGTGCTAAGATGGTTCAAGTTGTTCAAACTTTATCAGTAACTGTTGATACTTTAGATGGGTGATTACGAAAATAATATCTATTTCATTCAAGTATCAAAGGTCAATGTATCATCTGTGTATAAAAGTAACTATCAAAGACCTGGTTGACTCTTATTTGTTAAATTGTGTTTGTTTATCTTTGTTATAGTTTGAAAGATGAGTCTTGACAAAGAACTTGGTGTTACTGCTGTTAAATCTAGTTCAGCATCCGCTGAAGAAGGTGCTCTTACTGAGTCTTACTACATTGATCCTGCTCTCCAAAGAAAATATGTGAGAGAAGTTGATTTTAAAATCTTGCCAGTTATTGCGGTTATGTACTTTTGCAGTGCTATGGATCGTTCCAATATTTCTAATGCTTTTTCTGATGGTATGACAAAGGACTTGAATTTTGAAGGGCAGGAATATTCCTTGTTGTTGTTATTGTTCTATATTCCAGCTGGTATTTTTGATCTTCCTTTCAATATTTTGACTAAGAAGTATGGTGCTAAATGGGTCTTGCCATCTTTGATGATCTCCTGGGGTGTGTTAACTATGATTACTGCTGCTTGTAAGAACTTTGCAGGTACTTTGGTTGTGAGATTATTGATTGCCACAGCTGAAAGTGGTTTCTTTAGTGGTTGTGTCTTTTATATGACCCTTTTCTACACTAGAGTTGAGCTGGCATTTAGAATTGCTTTATTTGTTACTGCTTCAGTTCTCGCTGCTGCATTTACTGGTCTTTTAGCTTACGCTGTTTTCCAGATTGAAAGTACAGCTCTACATGGTTGGTAATATTTGTTCTTAATTGAAGGTGCAGCAACTGTTGCAATTTCATTGTTTGCCTATTGGTGGTTACCATCTACGCCATCAACATGCAGATGGTTTTCTCCAGAGATCAAGGAAGTTGCAAGATTAAGACATTTGAAGAATGGTAGTAACCAAGTTGACTCCAAATTTTCATGGAAAGAATGTAAAGAGAGAATTATGACTTGGCAATGGTGGGTTTACTTTTGTATTTCATTTACTTATCCTTTACCTTGGACCACTGCTTCTTTATTTTTAACTCAAATTATTGGTCGTTTTGGTTTCCATACTGTGAAGACTAATTTATGGACAGTTGCTCCAAATTGTGTTGGTGCAGTCGCTGTTCTTTGCATTGCCTATTCTTCTGATCATTTCCGTGAGAGATCATATCATTTATGCTTTGTCTTGTCCCTTTCATTGGTTGGTTTGATTATTTTGGCTACTGTTGATGGTTATGAACATAAAGCTGTAAGTTATTTTGCTTGTTTCTTATTATGTTGTGGTGCTTATTGTCCTTCATTCTTGGTTCATTCCTACCATAATAATAACAATTTGTCTGAATCTTCAAGAGCTTTTGATTCTGGTGTTTTCGTCGGTTTAAGTAATTTGGCTTCTATCACAGCTAGTGCAACTTTCCGTACAGAATATGCTCCAAATTATACACCAACTATCATTGCAACTTGCGTTTCAGCATTTATCTGTTTCTGCTTGACTTTTTTCTTGGGTACATGGCAAAAACTTGAAAACAAGAGAAGAAATAAAGAACAGGGAGTTGAGTTGAGGGCAGAAGATGTTGATACTAATCAATTAGTTAATGGAACAGCTGATCCAAGATGGAGATATTTCACATAGGTTATTATCATCAATGACACATTCTTCATTATGCTACAATACTTCTTTATATAGTGATTTTTATTGGTTTTAAGATATGTTAATTTGGCTCAATCTGTACAAATCTCCGGTTGAATTGTATGGGCTCCTAAACAGGCCCGGTGTCGGTCACGCGATTCTATTGTACTCCAAAAATGTATGTACGTACACTTCAACTATGACAAAGAACTATAAATAATACATTCTTTCGCTGGAGTTGATTCAATTGAAAGGGTTACAGCTATAATTTTCTTTGAAATAGCTTGTAAACATGGCAACATACGCTGAGAAAGACTTTGACTCAAAAAACTACGTTGTCAATAGGCCTGGATATCCAAAGGAACTATTTGACGCTATTTTTGAATACCATCAAGGACCCAAAGTTTTGGCTTTAGATGTTGGATCTGGACCTGGAACTGCCTCCTTTCCATTGTTGGACTATGTTGACAAAGTTTTAGCTACTGATCCATCTTCGGTGATGATTCAACCTGGTGTTGAGTCAATTACCCCAGAATTGAAAGATCGTATAGAGTTCAAAGTGGCACCAGCTGAAGATTTGAGCAATGTTTTACCAGAAGATAACAAAGTTGACATAATTATTAGTGCTGAAGCTTTACATTGGGTGAAACACGCTCAATTTTTCAAGGAAGCTTCCCGTGTTTTGAGAACAGGTGGTACATTAGCATACTGGGGTTATGTTGAGCCAAGATTCATTGATTTCCCAAAGGCTAATGAAATCTATGAAAAATATGTTTATGAGGACCCAAGATACATGGGTCCTAAGTGGGTTCAGCCAGGGAAGAACTTTTTAAGATACTTTTTCAATGATGTTCACATTCCCACAGATCAATTTGAAGCAATTGAAAAGCACGACTACTATCCAGGTATAACAGAAAAACACACAGCATACTATCATGGCGATCACAACTATACAATGGCAAAGTTCCTTGATTATTTACAAAGCTGGAGTGCTTACCATACATGGCAAAAGGAAAATCCAGGTCAAGATATTGCAGTTCTTTTCGTGAACGAATTGAAAGAAACGTTTGGCTGGACAGATGACACCGAGCTCAGAGTTGAATGGGGTACTGTATATGTTTTAGCTAGAAAGTCCTGAGCTTCCATAATGGAATATATTCAGATCTAACTTGTTTCTTGAAGCGTATTTAAACGTACTTTTAATATTTATGTGTCAGAGTGGCCATGCTAGACTGCGTCCCTGACCATCGACCAAGACTTATCTGATTCGGAGAAAAAATCTATAAATTTCATCCAATTTCATAATTTACAACTCATCAATTCTTCATAAAGGATAGATCGATAGACTAGACAATGTATCCAGGTCAAACAAGACAGCAAAATACTTATAACGGTGGCCAATACGCACCTCCTCAAGGCCCTCCACCTCAAGGTTTTGCTCCTCCACCGGGCCCTCCTCCAAGTGGATATGGTGCTCCACCGCCAGGTCCTCCTCCTAGAAGTTATGGCCCACCATCAGGCCCTCCGCCAAATGTTCAAATGCAACAACAAGCCTACAATTCACACCAAGGTCAATATAGTTTTCAAGATCCTCGTAATGGCCAACATACAACTTTTGATAGACCACAAGCACCTCCACCACAACAAACTCAAGTCATTGGTAATGGGTACAGTTATCAATATTCTCAATGTAATGGTAGAAGAAAAGCTTTAATAATTGGGATAAACTACATTGGGACAAAAAATCAATTGAGAGGTTGTATTAATGATGCTAATGCTATGTGTAAGTTTCTTATTGACAGATTTGGTTATAAAAAGGAAGATATTGTCATGTTGACGGATGATCAAAGAGAAATGGTTAAAGTCCCAACGAGAGCTAACATTATAAGGGCATGTCAATGGCTTGTGTCAGAGGCTAGACCAAATGATTCTTTGGTTTTCCATTTTTCAGGACATGGTGGTACTCAAAAGAATCTTGATGGTTCAGAAGAAAGTGGATTCGATAGTACTATCGTTCCTGTTGATTTTGAAGCAGCAGGTCAAATTATTGATGATCAATTACATGATCTCTTAGTTCGTCCATTACCACCAGGTGCAAGATTAACAGCATTTTTCGATAGTTGTCATAGTGGTTCTGCTTTAGATTTGCCATTCGTTTATTCCACGAAAGGTGTTATTAAAGAACCAAACATGTTGAAAGCAGTCGGTTCAAGTGGATTGAGTGCAGTCATGAGTTATGCACAAGGTAATATTGGAGGTGTTGTATCTTCGTTAAGTGATGCATTCACAAAAGTTTCCCGTGGTGGTTCACATAATAGAGAGCAGGAAATTGCTAGAAATTTCTCACCTGCCGATGTTATCATGATTTCAGGTTCTAAAGATGAACAAACTTCAGCTGATTCGACTGAATTTGGTGTCGCTACTGGTGCTATGTCGTACTCTTTCATCAATGTTATGGCTTCACAACCTGTCCAAAGTTACATTTCATTGTTGAACAATATGAGAGCTGCGTTGTCAGGCAAGTATTCTCAAAAACCACAATTGAGTGCCTCACATCCTATTGATGTGAACTTGCAATTCATTATGTGATGATGGTGATGGTGATGGTTATAGTGCGGTTGATATGTGTAATAGAAGTACACGGCTTAATATTTTGCATTGTGTAAGGTTATTTAATAGCACGGGTTATAACTTAAAACTCTTTTTTTATTTAAACCTCATTAACTCAGTTGTACAATCTTTTTTTATATATAGGAGCTTGTGCATTCACTTTGAGAAAGAATCCTTCAAAATGAATAAGCACAAGTGTATTATCAAATCAAATTTAATCAGTGTATGGATATCTCAGCCTACTGTGGATCTATTCTTGATCAGCAGCTTCTTTGGATTCAGCTTCCTTTTTAGCTTCAGCTTTAGCAACGGCTTCAGCTTCTTTAGCGTCTTGTTTAGCCCAACCAGCTTCTAATTTAGCAATCTTTTCTTTAGCAGCTTCAATGTTTTTCTTGGTAGTTTCTTCTTGAGTAGCAGTGAAGGTTTGTAATTTAGATTTCAAAGCTTCAACGGTTTGTGGGACATCATCTTGAGATAATGGTAATGGGATTTCTAAATCACCTAATGAAGAAATAACATCTGGTTCCAAAGTAAATTTCTTTGAACCTTTTTTACCCTTTTTAGATGATTTATGTGGACCTGAACCAGCAAAGAACAAATTATCGTCTTTCTTGATGATTTCATCTTCAGTACTTTGTTCAATAACTCTACCTTGTCTTTCAGTAACAAAAGTGGACTTTTCTAAAGCTGATTTGTTTGATTTGGTTGGTTTAACGTAAGATGGGTCAAAAACATTCAATAAAGTATGAACAGTGTCAATTTCTTCTTCAAAAGCTGGTTGAGTTGCTTCAGCCAAGATTTTAGAAGTTTTACTTGAACGTTCAGATTTTTCCTTTTCAGCTTTAAGCTTAGCTTCTTCATCAGCAACTCTTTTTCTTTCATCAGCTAAAGCTTGTTTGAAATGTTTGTATTGTTCATCAAAATCAGCTCTAGTCTTTCTGATAGAGTTGTAAAGGGCATCTTTTTCTTTTTGTAAAGCGTTACGCTTGTTGTATAATGAAGTTCTTTTATCGTTGACTGATTTGTTGTCTAAATTCAATTCATCTAATTGTTTTTGGATTGATTCATATTTAGCAGAAACTTCTTTTGAGTTTAAACCTGATAATTCTTTCTTCAATGCAGCAATTTTTTCCTTATCAGCATCAATTGATTTTTGTTGGGTTTGAATACCGGAAAAATCTTTACGTAATTTACGCAATGAAGTGATTTCTTTAATAGCTAAACGTTCTTCAACTAATTTCATATCACCTGAAGAAATGTTATCATCAATTTTCTTAATTCTAGCATCAATTTCTTCAGCAGATTTGAAGTTGTTCTTTGAAGTGGTGGCTTGAACTTCTCCAATTTTTCTTTTCAATGAAGCATCGATTTCCTTGATCTTGTTGTTGATTAAATCACGTTTACCTTTGAAATCAGCTTGAGTTTTTCTTAATTCATTCAATTCACCAATCAAGGTTTTACGTTCATTGGAAACTTTTGGATCAGTAACAGCTTTTTTCAATTGAGCATTGATTTCAGCTAAGGCAATATCTTTTTGTTTGATTTCTTGGTTTATTTTGGCAAGAGTATCATCACGAACTTTACTATCTGGACTTTTGATAAAACGTCTTTGAACACGAGGTTCATTAGAGGTGGCAGAAAATGAGTCTGAAGACATGTTAACTCAAATGATCGAACTGTGAAGTTAGCTGTTAGTACTGGTGGTCCATTCAAAATACCTGGCCGAAGAGAGATCTTGGTGAGTTTAAAGGATCAGAGCTTTTGAACACATGATACCATTCAAATCGAAACCACCAATGTTGAGGAGCACTCCCAAAGAAGAAAAGCAGGACCAGCAATCTCATCCAAACTGCACAAAAGAGCACATGTATACTTACTAGAAGAGCAAATCAAGTTTGACAACGAAGCTGGAAAAGAGTGGAACGTCTGCTTTGGATTACGATACACACCTTGATCAAACTGATTTTTCAACGTCGAGAAAATCAAAGAAAATGACGTGGCTTTACCAGGAATTCGAAACGTAAACACGCGAAAATAATTTTTTCTAGTTAGGTCTCAGATTTACTGTGGAGTTTATAGAACATAGTTGTGACCGTGCTGAGAATTACTTCTAAAATTCTGTTGATAATTTTCAACTTTTTAAACGAGATTCTTGAGACAAATTCAGAAGTTGTGCTTGAACTTTGGTCTGAAGACGTGGTTTAATAAGCTGTGAATCATATTGGAGAACCTGAAGTTAAGAGAGACAGTCCTTCGTTTGACATATCTGACAGGTATTTATTTATTGATTTGAAAACTACGAAATATAATTCAACCTCAAACATCAACATAATCCAAAAAGAAAAGAAAAACATGTCAACCACTCAAACACTCACATATGCCCAACTTGTTGAAAGCTTAAGTGCTGAAGATATTTTGAGAGAATTTCCAGAAATCGTCAACTTAGCTCGTATCACTGGTGCTCCAACTAGCTCAAGTTCAAGTGAACAAACTGACGATCTTTTCAACGGTCATGATGAAGAGCAAATCAAATTAATGGATGAATTATGTATCGTCTTGGATAATGATGATAAACCAGTTGGTGCTGGTACAAAGAAACTTTGTCATATTATGGAAAATATTGAAAAAGGTTTATTACATAGAGCATTCTCTGTGTTTTTATTCAATGATGAAGGTAAATTACTTTTACAACAAAGAGCCACTGAAAAGATAACGTTCCCAGATATGTGGACAAACACATGTTGTTCCCACCCTTTGGCTGTTCCATCAGAGCTGGGCTCTGATTTACCAACTTCTATTGAAGGTGTCAAAGTTGCTGCTCAAAGAAAATTAGAACAAGAATTAGGTATCAAAGCTGAGGATGTTCCATTAGAAAATTTCAAATTTTTGACCAGAATTCATTACAAAGCTCCAAGTAATGGTAAATGGGGTGAACATGAAATTGATTACATCTTGTTCATTAAAGCTAACCCAACAGTTGTTCCAAACTTGAATGAAGTTAGAGATTATCAATACGTTGATGCTAACGAATTGAAAGAATTGTTCAAGAAACCAGAGCTACTATTTACCCCATGGTTTAAATTAATCTGTGAAAGTTATTTATTCAAATGGTGGGAAAGTTTAGATGATTTGGATAAATTTAAAGACGACAAGATCAACCGTCTTCTTTAAGGTATTTTACAATCAATAGTCACATACATAGCAACACAGGTGAACATTCACCGTATCTAATAGAATCAAAAGTTAATGTTTACCTTCAATACGTAGATTCAAACGAATTGTACACAAAACTCAAATGTGACTCTGGATATTCCCAGTCGCGAGGGTGGGCCGGCCGAGTCAAATCCGATACCCGGACACCAGAAGGCATCCCACGGCCGCGTATACGAATCAAATTTTTGGTAAAGGTAAGTGCTTAAAGATTCAATGAAATCATCAACTTGACTCAAGATAGTTTGTGGAACCCCTGGTCTTGCTAAGATATATCACTGAGATCTATCTGCTCAGTCTGTTTTGATATTCACAAAGTTTTTCAAAAGTCAAAAAGATCAATTTTTTAGAATAGGAGATAGAAACCCACATTTTAGGTAATGCTTTCACAAAAATTGATAAAGAGTGTCATAGCTCGTCCTGCATCATTAAACCAAGCTTATAGATCTCTTGCTCACTTATCTGGTGAACAGGAAGTCAGTAAAGATAATGCTTCAGTTGATGGTGTGAATCCAGCTCCAAAAAGAAGACGCAGAACTGTTTTTTCAGATGCTTTGAATAAAGGGCCATCTTTTGATGATTTTGTTAGTGGTAAAGCTGCTGATTTCAACATTGATCCAATTGAAGCTGCAAGAGTCGATCCAAAAGCACGAATCCCAAGTTGGTTAAGAGTCCCAATCCCAAAAGGTGAATCCTTCCATAATTTGAAGAAAGATGTTAGAGAATTGAAATTAGCTACTGTTTGTGAAGAGGCCAAATGTCCAAATATTGGTGAATGTTGGGGTGGTAAAAAGTCAGAAGCTACTGCAACTATCATGCTTTTAGGTGATACATGTACCAGAGGTTGCAGATTCTGTTCGGTGAAGACTAATAGAAAACCTGCTGCTCCAGACCCAATGGAACCGGAAAATACTGCTGAAGCTATTTCAAGATGGGGGTTAGGTTATGTTGTTTTAACCACTGTTGATCGTGATGATTTGATTGATGGTGGTTCAAATCATTTAGCTGAAACGGTTCGTAGAATAAAGCAAAAAGCTCCTCAAATTTTAGTTGAAGTGTTGAGTGGTGATTTTAGAGGTGATTTGGAAATGGTGAAGATATTAGCAAGCTCAGGCTTAGATGTTTATGCACACAATGTTGAAACTGTTGAAGCATTAACACCACACGTTAGAGATAGAAGAGCTACATTCCGTCAAAGTTTGGCTGTTTTAAATACGGCTAAAGAAACAAACCCAGACCTCATAACAAAGACTTCAATCATGTTGGGTCTTGGTGAAACGGATGAACAAATCATGGATGCATTGAAAGAGTTGAGAGCTATAAATTGTGATGTTGTTACATTTGGACAATATATGAGACCAACAAGACGTCACATGAAAGTTGCAGAATACGTTAAGCCAGAAAAATTCGATTATTGGAAACAAGTTGCTTTAGATATGGGCTTCTTATACTGTGCTAGTGGACCATTAGTTAGATCTTCGTACAAAGCTGGTGAAGCTTTCATTGAAAATGTATTAAGAAAAAGGGGCAATAACCAAGTCAACACTGACTCAATTCAAAGCCACACTGTAACTACCAACATATGAGCAAATCAATTTTTTTAGAAGGGGATATATTATTTAGGGGCCATTAAAAACATATAAAGTAATGCATATTTTTTTGGGATTGTCGTAAGAAAAAAGCGGATGATCTATTTACAACAAAAAGCTATCATTAATAACGTTCTTTTTAACTTATTTATCCACTTCTTTTAAAAGGTTGGTATATTTATATCCAATGTCTCCCTGTCATTATTGTCTATAGGATCAGCACCTTCGAAAATACATCTGAAATCAACCAGGAATGGGATTATCACTTCACTGGCAATGTTCAAAGTAGGTGAAAACACAATACACAAATTCCTCAAATTCATTTTATTCGACTCTTGATTTTCAATGACTTCATTCAGGAATTTGAAAAGAACATAAAGGAGTGATTGGTTCACTTCTGGAAGCTTTTGAGTAATGGTTTTAAAGTTCAGTGAAAGTTGACTTGGGTCTGTTTTCTGATTGTACGCGTCTCTAAACTCAGGATAAAACTTTCTTGTCAAGATACTGCTTGGTAATTCTCTCAAGTATAATTTCAAAAGACCAGCAATTGAATTGATGTCTGGTTTTGGATCCATCTCATTGAAATCAATATCGTGCTGCTTATCAAAATCCTCACGAAGTTGTTTAATTAATGAAGCCGAACCATTTAATCTGAACAACCCCTCTTGGAAAATAGCACCAGAACTTATCAAGAATGACAAGCATCTATAGATTATACTTGGAACTTCACGGCCATATAGCGTGTTGCTTGATAATTTGAAAGAATCGGAAATCTCACTATGGAACACTTTTTCAGTGGAATTTTCATTCAACAAATTCATACTCTGAAGACTTTTCTCGATATTAGATCCTGATTGTTCCTTTTGGAGAGAAGTCTCTTGTTCATGTTGGTTCTGTTGTTGCTGTTGTTGTTGAACTTTGAAAGCCTCCATTTCCTCGTTGAAAGCTTTTTTGCTGAATGGGAAGAAACTTCTTTTCTTGTTACGCTTACTTTCTTTGGCTAATTCTTCTAATTCATCATAATCATCTCCTCTAGTTGTGGCACGAGATGGTGAATGTAGTGTTGAGGTTGGTGAGGGTAATGGATCTTGGTTTATTATGGTTTGTGAAGAAATACTTGAGGAATCAGCAGAATAAGTTGAAGCAGCAGATGACTCTTCAACAAATTGAACAAGCACATTAACCCAAAGATCCCTTTCTTGATCAGTTTCAGCACAGAAAATATGCTTTGAGTAGGATGTTGATTTGATATTTTTCTTTGGTTCCATAACAGCAAATGCATGTCTATAAGATGTTTTATCATCTGTCGGTTTGACGTTATCAGGTTGTCTACCTATTTGAGACCCACTTAACTTGATAATTTCCAATAATGGGCCATCCCTAGCATCAAAAACATTCAAAAATGGTCCATCAACTTGGCAATATCTTGCCTTCCAGTTATTTCCCAAACCTTTGGAGCGACGCAAGAGGTAACCATCTTTTAAAACCTCTGTATTGGACTCATCAACTAAGTTAACCACATCTTGGGACATGAATCTTGATATTTTGTAAGCAGCATCTAATGGCAAGTGAGGTATGGTGAACAATGTGGAAAAGTAATCTCTTAGTCTAAGTCTTCTGAGATCGACTTTAACAGGGATATTTGATAAAAATAATGCCTTTTCAGGGACTGGCGGTAATGAAAATGAATTGATTAGAGGCCTTATCTGAGTGTCCAGCATAACTATACTTGATAACGTCTTCTTGAATCTCCACATTTCAACACCAGTTTGACGATCACATGCAGCAATTACAACATGAGGATCATCAGATTTCTTTGATAAGTTACCACATATTGTACTGATGACATCAGTTCTAATGGTAGATAGTTCAGTTGGGCTCACAAACAATGGTACATCAGATGGAAATCTTTGATGCTTGACGTTTTGTTCAGGTGTTCCAACTTGACTGACACCTTGACCATTATAACTTCCACCAAGCCCATTGTGGTTTTGATAAATCTGTTGATGTTGGAAGTCACCTTCATATGGGTCGTAAAGGTTGGACTTTGGTAATTGCGCGTTGAACTTGTTGTCTAATGGAGATGAAGGAGCACTGCTGTTCAATGAAGTTGCAGCGTATGGTGATGCAGTAGAAACAATGGTGACTCCACTAGCCATTGGGCTTCCTTGAGATTGTTGTACAGGCTGAAAAGCTAAGCTGGTCTGAGAGGAGTTTCCAATTTTTCTGCTGTCACTTATTGATCTTGAGGTTGTGACAGGTGAAGATTGTGTTTGTGATGTTTCAGATATTGATGGAGTTAAATGAGATAAAGATGATACACTTTTTAATGGTGATGTGGAGTTCTGTATTCTACCTTTGTATGGAGACGATTGATTGGTAGTCAGCAAATTCTTCTTTGGCGATTCAGATCTTGGTTCGGGTGTGGCAGAGTAAGCTGAGCTTTCCCTTGAGACTTCAATTGGTGTTTTCAAAACGTCAGATTCAACCTTCAAATGTGAATTATCTTTATATTTATCATCATCATTCAACGTACTATCATCTTGTGCCTGTGTAAGTGTTGTGTTCCCAGTGTCAAACGTACTTTTCAATGGGCTTGGTTTTGCTCTATTTGCAGATCTTGGTGGAGGTGATAACTCTGTTAGCTTAGTATTGGCACCTTCATCGACTTCTTTAACTTCTTCTTTTCGATTTTCTATTCCATCCCCAGAACTGTTTTTATTCTTCAAAGCCTGTTGAAGTTCATAAACTTCATTTTTCAAATGATTAATGATTTGTGTTTGTTCTGAAACTTTTGCCTTCAGTTCCCTGTTTTCCTTTACCAATCCTTCAAGCCTAACTGGTGATTTTGATGGAGATCTTAGAACGTCTTGTGATCGTGGAGTTGAGTTCAGTAATGCATCATCATTATGCTCAAATGAAAATTCTGAGAACCCTGACTGTACGGATATTCTATTTGATGTTTCAGTCATTTTTATGCTTGTCTTCTCTTAATAGTAGTAGTGCAGACTGTATTTCTTCTATCAAAATATCTCAGCTATTTCACTATGGTAATGACCTGAAAATTTTTGTCAAAATAATAAATTCTGATGTATATTTTCAAAGAAAAACAACCCTGAAGCAAAGAAACCCTTGTTTTATAATGAAAGAATTGTAATCGGTTTGAAGTTTCAGACCTTATTCAAATATACCACAAGTCCTTTGGGGGTCAATATCAAGTAACAGTGTCCCAACTTCGCTTTAATTGTCTCGATATGTGAGCTTTGTAAGATGATGATGCACCTATACGTTTCCTCATTTAAACGCGTTTTAGATTTTTTCCTTTGAATTTTGCCCCGAGATTATATAATATACGCGAATTTTCGCGACTCTTACAAGTACGAAACTCCATGCACTATTCTCATTTATTAAAATAAAATACAACCATCGATGGTGACATCAATTTGCAATTCCAGCCCCTTCATTCTCTTTAAACTGATCCCACAGCTTGATAATCTCATTCTTTTCGGCCTTTTCCCTTTCCAACTGTGTGTTTAGACCTTCAACCTCTCTTCTCAATCTTTCATTCTCAGATTCAGCTTTGTTAACCTTACTTTGCCATTTGTTTTCATAATTCTTTTTCAAAACTTGCACCTTTTGCTCGTGCTTCTTACTGTATTGGATATAAAGGTCTTCAGCTAGCTGCTGTAATCTCTTTTCGGTTTCCTTTTCAAATGAAAGTCTTTCGTTCTTTAATTTTTGAACTTGATCTTCTAAATCTTGACATCTAGCTTTTGAATCATTTATTTTCATCTTTAGATTTGAGACTCTAACATCTGAATCACTAAATTCCTCTTTAAGTGAAGAAAGTTCGTATTTGAGCAAGTCATGTTCTCTTTGAAGGGTATCTCTTTCCTCTCTTAGTTTGAATAGCTCGTTTGATTTTGAGCTCAATGATGATTGCACGCTACTCATTTCTTTATGGAATGATTCAAGTTCTGCTAAATGCTCGCCCTCCTGTTTTTGAAGTTCATCATCAAGCCTTTCAAGCTTCGAGTTCTTGGATTCAAGGGCATTTGAAGATTCAGCAATGGTTTCATTTAGTTGATTGATATGGTAATTTTTCTCTTCAACAAGTGATTGTAGGTTTTGAATTTCAGTTTTGGCTTGTTTTAATGCAAGGTCTAACTCTGTGACTTCTGCCTTTCTAACTGTCAAAATTTCATTGGCTTCATCTAAATCTGTACTGAGCTTGTTCACCAATGAAGTGTTTCCATTATTAGCAGCTTTCAATTCTTTAATGGTGTTTTGCAATGTGCTTATACCTGCTTGAGTACCATAAATTACATCTTGATGAAGTATTCCACGTTTTATCTCTTGATGCAACCTATCTTGAAGGTGATGGTTTTCAGCATCTTTTTCATTCAACTGGGAGTTCAACAATTCGATATTTTGGGTCAAGGCGTTCACTTGGCTTACCAATAAATCTTTTTCTTGCTCAAGACCACGTAAATTTAATTCTCCAGAGTTGAATTTTTCTGAAAATCCATTAATCATGTCTTCTTTTTCTTTTATGGTGGCTTCAGCAGCTGCCAATTTCCCAGTCAATTCAGACTTTTCATTATTGAGATTCTTGACTTCTGCCTCCAAAGCTGTGATTTCTTGTTGGAGGAAGTTTAATTGTTCTTGAACTGATTTCTTTTCTTTGGCATCAATCTCCAAGGTAAACGAAAGATGATGAATTTGTTTCTCATACTGATCAGAGCGTGATTTGAATTCTTTCTCTAATTCAGAATTGCCTTCTTTTTCTTTTCTTAAACTTTCAATTTCGATTGTCTTGTCCTTTATAGTATCATTGAGTTCTTTGACACGTTCCTTAAATTTTGTAATAACCAGTTGATGTCTTCCCAGTTTTTCCTCTTTAGCTCTGATAGTCAATTCCATATCTGAAATATCATTTTTGAAAACTTCAAATTCCGTCTTCAAAAGCTCATTTTCCTTTTTAATTTGCATTTTTTGCAATGAAATAGTATCAATTTCATCCTGTAATTGGAACAACTTATTTTTTGAAGAATTAATTTCTTCATTAAGCTCTAAGATTTTGACTGATTTTTCCTTAATGGTTTCTTCTAATTTACTGGACTCTTTTTTGAAATCTTCTTGAATTTCATGAACTTGAGCAATTGTGAAAAATGGCCTAGATTTTGGTGTTGATATACGAGCACTATGTTCATGAACAATATCATCTGGTAACTCATCAAGCTCGTCCAAACTCTCCAGGACGTTTTTGTTGTTTGTATCAACAATGGAGTTGTTGTGTTGGGATAATGGACTTTCAGGAGCAGCATAGCTATCATCAACTATTGGTGATTTAGAGGTATCGAGTAATAATCCAGATTCATCAACAACTCTGCTGCATTGTTCAGTTTTTGGACTTATAGCAATTGGTTCAGTCAAACGAGATGGTGTAATTGGTGTTTTTGAGCTTATACCTATTTGGACTTCATCAACTTGAGTTGGAATGACTTCAGATTCAACCTCCTTGAGATCAAATGCCTCGATTCTTGAAAGTTCTTCTGGTTCAACCGGATCACTGTTCAGTTCATTCAAATCTGACTTTAATTCTTCTTGATTCTCATTTGCTTGATCATCTAATGTACGATCCCCAAAGAGGGAAGATGGGTGCTCTGGAATCAAAAGTAGGTCATCATCATCATCAGCGGCAACAGCAAGATCTTGTGGATGTGTAGTCTTTTGGTGCTTGTGGTTGGATTGAGGTTCATCTGGTGAAGAACGACGTTTGTTACTTGATCTTTCTGGACTAGATGGTGTGGCTTCCAAGTTTAATAATGAATCGGTGGCCTTGTTTTCAATATCGAATGTCTTGAAATGGGTCTTAACAGGAGAAAAGTTTTCCTTACCACCTTTCACAGCTTTCAGTTGATCAATCAGTGACCTTTTAGTTTGGTTCATTGGACTAAAACCAATTGGACGGGAATTTAGCACATTTGGTCTTGGGGCAGTTAATGGTGCCCTTTGAGGAGTGTATGAAAAGCTAGCAACTTTTGAAGTACCAGGTTGAAAACTCTTACGACGGTTCTTTTTAGCAGTTAAACCATGCGGAATCTTTTCTAAGATATCTTCATCTTGATCCTCAGCGATTTGAAAAGGTTGGGCTTTTAATGGGGTGAATGTTTCTGGAGCATCAGACAAATGGTTCAGGTCTTGAATCTCCATGATTCAATGTTAATTGATTATAACTTTTTTGTTGCTGTGTTTGAAAAGGTTTTGTTAAAAGATCAAAACAAAGGGAAAAACATCACAACTTTTTCTGAGGCAGTCGTACTCCTTTCAAAATGTAAACAAAAACATTTATGTAACCACGGTAACCAACTGGTATATGCACTACTTTGATGATATTTTGGATTATTTTGCTTTCAAACACAATTAAACCCACCATTTAAAGCTGAGTAGGTTTGTGATAGTTTTGAAACCCTTTTTACTTTATTTTAATCATTAAGTTTTTGAATCTGTTTGAACTTTTTGCACATTTCAATGATATTTTAATCAAATGGTCACATGACTTTGCTGTCTAAACCGATTGCCACTGAAAAAGTATAAAAAGCAAATTGCAAATTCAACCAACTCCTTTAAAACATCAAGAGAAGCTGCAATTTAATCATTGAACCTCAATTTTAATTTAGTTTTGGTGATATCCATTGCGCCTTATTGTTCTGTGACTGTTTTAATTCGTTTTTTAGCAATCTCAGTATCGGAATTGTTGGACCAGGTTTCAAAGAAGGGTTTAGCGAAAAAAAAATAATTACTAGTCAAACATGTCAAATACAGAAGCCGTAAGTGCTCAGTCATATACAGGTCATATTGGGCCCAAATATTCACTGTACTAACATCTTTTGTTCAGGCACGTATATATGAGTCCATCATTGATGATGTTATAAATGATTCAAGACAAGATTTTGAGGACAGTGGTATTGATGAAGCTACATTGCAAGATTTAAGAACGGTATGTTTGAGAAATGATATTCTTTAACGCTTCTCTGGATACTAATTGACAAATAGATATGGCGTGATAACCTAACGCAGACGCGAGTTGCAAACTTTTCATGGGCTCCAGATGCTATTGTTAATAATGGATTATCCACAGACCCACAAAACATTACAGAAGCATCAAGTATTACAAGTGATGTTAAAAAGGAAAATTCGGCAGTACCAATCCCACAAGAGTCAACCACTGGTAACTTTGAACTAGAACTACAGGGTTCAAACGGTGATATTGCCAAATCCCTACAAAAACAAAAGGAGAATATAGAGAAAAAGGAAAGAACATTAGCTTCCTTGGATTCTGATGATATAAATTCTGATCTTGATGATTCTGACGAGGAAGATTTGGGCTCTGATGAAGATGGTGATGATGCAGAAGGTATGATTATTCTATGTTTGTATGAAAAAGTTTTGAGGGTTAAAAACAAATGGAAATGTAATTTAAAGGATGGTGTTGCTAATATAAATGGGAAAGATTACGCATTTGCAAAAGGTACTGGGGAATCCGAATGGTGAGTGTGAAGATATTCATTGAATTTTCATAAGCGTGGATAACAAAATAATTTGCAATATTTACCATGCTTTTATCTTTTTACTAATAAAATCAAATTTTCTAGATACACTCTCTGTAACCAGGATTTTTTTTCACCCTCTTTCCCTTGCCAGTCATGAATTCAATACATTGCTCTTCAAACTCGAGCTAGCACCTCTTGAAGAAACTGACATCTCATCTCTGCTTGATAACGTATATGAGCTTCACGCAGGCGCGATAAAAAAAAAGTTACCCCCAGATTAATGCGGTAGGGCCAGAAAAGGTAAACAAAGGTGAAACCACTGTTTACATCAAGAATTCTATTTAGCAACTCTTCCCATTGGCAAAAGAGTACACTAAATCTAAAGGGAATCTCAAGAAATCATACAATTTAAGAATCAGGCTCTACAATAATGAGTGAAGACGCTGACCTTTTATCAAACATCTTGTCAAATCTTGAGATTGGAGACTCAAGTGCTCAATCTATCAAACAATCAACAGAAGGTGATACTGACTCCTTGGAGAACTTCAAGAGCCAATTTATTGAATTTCTCTCAAATAATCCACACATTGTTACCAATTCAAAGTTTGTTCCAAGTGAGGAAAAGGCATTGATCATTTTATCACCTTTATCTGTTAAGCACTCGTTTGGTAGAACGTGGGTAACAAAAAGCTATGTATCAACAATTGTTGAAAGACCACAAAGATTGTTGGCCTGCTCACTTGGAATTGCTGCAGCTCTATCTATGTATCCCTCCAATTATACCCTACTTTCCTCTACAAAAAAATCACCATTGCATAGTCCTCATGTGTTGAAGATTCATGGTAAAAACTGGCCAGCAGATCTTGAGAAAATTTGCAAAGAAAGTGAAGCAAAACTTGCTAAAGGAGAAGTCGAAGTTCCAGCAGATTGGAATAGTGGTGACATTTACTTAACTAAGGATACTTTGGATGCAATCTCTGGTGTTATTGGATCTGTGGAGACTGCAGTTGATCACATTTTCAAGCAAGACGGTGAAACCCCAAAAAGGGCATTTGTTGCAATTAGACCACCAGGCCATCATAGTCATCCATGTGTTCCTTCTGGATTTTGTCTTTTGAATAACGCTCAGATTGCTATTGAATATGCTGCATCCTCCCATGATGTTACACATGCTGTTATTCTTGATATCGACCTCCATCATGGAGATGGTACACAGGACATCTGCTGGCAAAAAGCTGGATTTGAACCTGACTTTGGTGAATCTGCAGCAGGTTATGTTGATGAGGAAGATGATGGTATTAAAAAAGAAGCTAATGATCCAAAAGTTGGATATTTTTCATTACATGATGTAAATTCTTTCCCTACTGAATTGGGTTATGCAACTTCTGGAAACATTAAGAACGCATCAACGTGTATCATGGCCCATGATTTAGCTATTTGGAATGTTCATTTACAACCATATGATAAAGAAGAAGATTTTTATATTGCTTACCAAGAGAAATACACTCAACTGCTTAAAAAGGCAGATGAATATTTATCAAATGCTAAGTTAGATTATGAAAGAAGTAAATCAAAATCACATGGGAAGGAACCACACCCTCCATTCAAAGCTCTCGTTGTTATAAGTGCTGGTTTTGATGCTTCGGAATATGAAGTTCATACAATGCAACGTCATGGAGTCCATGTGCCAACTTCTTTCTACTCAAAATTCACATCAGATGCTGTTAAATTAGCAAACAAACATTCGAATGGTGTTTTACTTTCACTATTGGAGGGTGGGTACTCCGATGGAGCTCTAACATCTGGTGTTTTCTCTCATTTAATTGGTTTACAATGTCAAAAATGGGACCATGGCTGGGGGAATCAAGAAGTTGTTAAAGAATTAGTTAAAGGCTGTAAGCCAAAATGGACACCTTTGAAAACTCCAAATACTGACATTAAACAGTGGGCAAATCAAGTTTGTAAATTGGGAAGATCAATGTTACCTGAAGCTATTATACACCCTCCAGCTACAAGCACAAAGTCTTCCCCTGAAGTTCTAGAGACTCCAAGAAGTACAAGAGTGACTAGATCCCATTCAAAACTGCCAGCTCAGAAAATGGTTCCTGATGAAGTTGCAGTGCCTATTGATGATACAGAGCTTACTACACCAAAAGTCAAGAGTGCACCACTTGAAGAATCTACCCCAACTCCAATACCCAAAGAAGCTGCTGGAGCAGGTGAATTTAAACACAAGTTCATCAAAGTGGATGGTGAATGGAAAATTATAAGTCCAAATAAGGTAGAGCTTTAAGTTTTTTACAAACTAGTATCCAATAAATCGTTAATTTAAATTTGTTTATGTGTGTTTTTATTTTTTCCTGAATTGAAGTTTATGTGATCTGATCTTACTCCACTATTTTTAACGTACTGTTTTGGCCATCTTCTTGAAATTTGGTCTTGTATTCATCGAAAATTCTTTGCAACTCGTTCACGTAAAGCTCATGGTAGTAATCAACTTCAGTCTTTTTTGGACTTGGAAGAAATGGAACAGGTATTGGTTTCCCTGTAACAAGGGTAACTTCTTTTCTGAAGGGCAATAACCCAAAATCATAATTAAAGACACCCCTTGCATGGAAAAATGGGATTGTAAATCCAAAACTTTTTTTCAACCAGAGTTGCAGCTTTCTCCAATAGGAGTCCTCATCTGGTTCTAAGATATTGTATAGTTCATTTTCACCAAAACAATAACAAGGAACAAGTGATACATTTCCTGTTTCAAGAGCTAATTTGATGAATCCTTTTCTCTTTTGAAGTACAATCTCAGTAGATTCAGGTCTTGCTAATAAAGATTCTTGGGCGCCACCAACGACAATTGCTAAGGAGAATCCTTGCTTCAATATTTTGAGGGCATTATTACGACCTGCTGAAGTTATACCAAGGGCCAAAAGGTAATCTCTATAAAGTGGGATATAGAATTGGTTCAAAAGTGTCAATAAACATACTGGAATTCCAGGAAACAGCTTAGACCAATTAGCTCCGTCAGTTCCAATACCACCAAATCCACTCAAGGAAACAACACCATGGGGATGCAGGCCAAATATATATTTAGGACCAGTCTTTTGAAGCTTCTTGTAAGGTTTTTTATTGATTTTGAAAAGGTAACTCAAAGGTGGTGGCAATCTGTAATAATCATCTTTAATTTCCACTTCTGTGAAAGTTGGTTCTAAATTATGAGTCTTGAATAGCTTGACTGGATAATAATTGCAAAAATACTTCCAAACACTCAATTTTCTGAATCTCTCCGAATATCTTTTGGTGACCTGGCCATTTGAAGGTGTGCGATCTGTGAATAAGTAGAATAAATAAGGAACCGCAATCAACCAAAAGATGGGAATGGCTAATGAGATGAAGAAAATAGTAATGAAAACAGGAATTGAAATGGTATGCCACAAGACAGCAGCAGTTTGTAGTCTTCTTGGTAGAGGTGTAGATAATGGAGCGACTCTGACGTTTCCAATAGAGGATCCCCTTGTTCTTTTTGGATCTGCCTTCTTAAACACTCGACCATCATTTGGCACAACTATGTTCTTTTCAAGACTTGAAGCATCATTGTCTGGATTTTTTGAAGGGAACTCATCCTCGTCAGAAATTTGCGATAGCTCGTTACTCTCTAACAAGTCTTTTGCAGGCATCATGAATTGGTTTTTGGATGCTGATTGGGTTTGTAATGGTTTATGGGGTAAATTGAAGCAAAGGATTATTTAACTGCCAAACAAAAAAAATTGATTGTAAAGAAAAATCACACAATGGCTTTTACTGCCTCGACACATGCACTTGTACAAATCTTCAAACAAACAGCAAATTAAAGGATTTACCCAATTATATCTTAAAGATGCTTGGATAATTTATAGCTGATCTTGGTTAAACGGATTTGACTTCCTTGTCCAGGTGGACCTGTTTCTTTTGGACACTTGATGATTTGTTGGCGGGTCTTTTTTGGAAAGCTTTGACTGAGCAAAAGTATTGGGATGATTAGCAAACAAGTAATGAAATCTTAATATGAATGTCTCTATTACCTCCCATATCCATTTGCTTGGATATCTCTATTGTTCAGATCTCGCTGTTGTTAAATTGCGGCTGCTAATTTTCATGAACCACAAAATCAAATATTTCCATCCAGTTGATTGATTTGCTTTGACCCAACAAGCTAGTGTCGTGCGACCAGGCTTTGGTCTGAATCTAGTTCAAGTCTGATAAAGATGATAGAGAGAATTGTTCCTGTTGGCCAGAGAAACCACAGATTTTCCTCAATTTCAATTAAGGCTAAAGTACACCGGTTCACGAAATTTATTAGACGACATTCAGCTAATTGGTTCAAGTTCATATTACTATTGATTGCAGTTTTCATTCCACTATATCTCATACAAGATCTTTTTCATCCCAATCCAAGACATGAAAACCACCATTTCAACAAACAGGGAAACCCAGGTCAATTTTATCAAGTTGATATGTTGATCGAACAAATACCCAGTGAGCTTGATGATGAGCCATTGTTCAACATCATGAATGAGCCGTCCTTACGAGGAGATTCTGTGAAACAGTTATCATCAAAAGATGCCAAAGCTTTTGGGTATAAACTTGAAGATACGTTGGCCATTTATATATCTTATTTGAAAGTCTGTCTTGAAAATGGGAATTTCAATCCTGTTCTACCATTCTCTTGGAGTGACTGGTATCAGCTTAATTATAACTATGAGCTTGGTGATATTCAAGATGTTACAAACAATTTCAACTTTGAGGTTGCGGAATCTCAAGAAATTAAAGCTAAAAGGGGCTTGGAGTATATTCAGTTCTTGAATTATAGCATTGAAAGATTGATTTTCATGGACTCTGAGTCTACAAGAAATTTCGTGGTTAGAGTTGATAATGATTCGAGTGGAAAGAGCTCCGTGCGTGACTCAGTCTCTGGTCTACTGGTGTATTTACAGTCCAAGGGAATATACTCAACACCTATCAACTACCAAAGTGATCTTCGACTGATTTCAAGAATTCAGCAAAATAATGAAAGATTTTTAGAGTTACCAAAGTTTGAAACGCGGTCGAATATGGATTATGATAGCTTTGACGGTGACGAAATGTTCATCAACTTGCATGAATTTGATTTTGATTTCAACCTAACCCAAAGAACTGAAGAGCTCAGAAATTTTGTATCAGATCGAAATTCTAATGAACTGGTGAAGCTTTACTACAATAACATTCATTTTGTGGAAATGCTGGCTGAGACTGGTAATTTTGAAAAATTCTTTCATGAGGTTGAGCTCACTGAAGATCCATCACTTGCTGGTTCTCATTATGACTGGAGGTTCTTCAAACACGTCTTGCAAGAAAAGCAAAAATATTTTGTGCTACATCATTTGATTAGAACATGGCAAGAGTTTGCAAATAAAGAAAAGCTAATATATTGGTTGTCGCATGGAAATTTGCTTAGCTGGAGATGGAGCGGATCCTCTTTTATATGGGATCATGATTGTGATATTCAGCTTCCCATAAAGCACTTGGAATTCCTTGCAATAAACTTTAATGGCTCGTTGATAATTGAAGATCCGAAGTATGGTTTCAATAGATATTTGATTGAAGTGAATCCTTACTTTGCAGATAGATTAAATGTTGATGGAAAGAACTCAATTGATGGTAGAATCATTGATCTAGCCTCCGGACTTTATATTGATTTGACTGGTATGTCAACAATTGATGATGATACGGGTATTATATCTGACAAACATATCCATAGATATTCCCTACAATCATTATCACCACTCAGAGCAACTTTATATGAAGGGAAACAAACATGGGTGCCCCATGATGTTGACTATATCCTTACTCAAGAATACCCAACTGGCTTGTTTGATACACAATATCATGATTATCAATATCTTCCAAATTTCAAAGGGTGGTTTAAGAATCCAGATGATTGCCTCGAGAAGAGTTTGTTAAGTGTTCGAGCATTTCATATTCCTTCTGTTGATTCTCGAGATCATTGTATTGACTTTACATTTGCTCAGTTAAATCATTTGATGAAGTTCTGGAATCTCAAAGCTATCGAGGAAGAACTATTGTGCTTCAACAAAATTCATTGCAAGCTTCCATTAGATCAAGAGGGACTCAACTCCATTGAAAACAGTACTTATATTGAGGCTAGTTCCAATATCCAAAAATGGGATCTAGATGATTTCGCAGCAGAGGGGCTTCGAAAACTTGTGAACTCTTTCACTCTTGGACCAATACCAAGTACAGATATGACTGTGAACTGTTTTCAATGATAACTAAGGTACAGAATGTTTGAAAAATCGTAAATATAACAAAAGGGTTTCATATTGTAAATTTTCTGGTTGGGCCACGCGTTTTGATTGGGTTGACATATCTAAAAAATAACAACTTCAGAAGATGCCTCGCTGGCGCAATCGGTAGCGCTTACGACTCTTAATCGTACGGTTGCGGGTTCGAGCCCCGCGTGGGGCTTCTTTCTTTTTACCAAATTTTTTGGTTTGGGCCACATTAATATAGAGAAAATTACAATGGTTTCTACAAATGTTTTTTTTTTCATACTATTAAGAGTTTAATATCATATACGTTCTATGACCCCCTAGTATGAAGTGTCAAGAACATAACGTCCCAAAATTTGACCTTCTTCCATCTTTTTGAACACATTGGAGGCTTCAGATAAACCAGCTATCTTTACAGGAATTTCCACCTTACCTCTAACGAAAAAATCAATGGCTTCTCTTGTATCAGCTCTGTTCCCAACGACTGATCCTTTGATATTAATAGCTCTGTTAATATGTGAATAAATATTTGAGCTCAATGCTGCATTATCACCAGGGAATCCAACTAAAACGACAGTTCCTGTAGCTCTGACATATTCAACAGAATCGTTATATGCTTTCAATGAATTTGAAAAATTGATAACAGCATGAGGTCCATCTTTACCAGTAATTTCTCTTACAGCTTCACCGGTATCAGTGACTTTACTAAAATCAATAAAGGCATCAGCACCTTTACTTAAAACGAATTCTTCTTTATTTGGACCATCAATTCCCAAGATTTTAAATCCCATAACTTGAGCATATTGAACAGCTAATGAACCAAGACCACCACCTGCACCAATGATTGTAACCCATTGACCGGTTTTTATATTTGCATGTTTCAAAGCGTTATAAGCAGTTAATCCAGCACATAAAATAGGAGCAACTTTTGATAAATCAGTACCTTGAGGAATTTTAGCAGCTTGTGTAGCATCACCGATACAATATTGTTGGAAAGTACCTTGAACACTATAACCGGAATTTTTTTGCTCTGGACAATTTGCTTCATTTGATTCTTCACAAAAATCACAAGAATTACAAGTTGAATTTAACCATTTTATACCTGCATAATCACCAATTTGGAAATTTTTAACATTATCACCTTTGGCAACAACAACACCTGCACCTTCATGACCCACAATCAATGGTAACATTGGTTTTTTATCTAAATCACCTTTCCAAGCATGATAATCTGAATTACAAACACCAGTGTATTTGATGTTCACAAGAATATCATTTGGACCTGGTGTTGGCACTGGAACATCTTGATAATGAAGTGGACCTCCATGTTCATAAAAAATGACAGCTTTTTGAGTTTTAGGAATAGCTTGAGTTGCAAGACCACGAGTTGCAGTTGATAATTTTGGAGTAATTGTACCCATTATAGTTCTTAAGGACATGTTTCTTCTCCTTTCAATAATGAAAACGAGGGTTCAATTTGAATAGTTATATACCCTTTGGGTTTGAATGTAATACTTTATAAGCTGTGAGAAAGTGTATTGGAAACAATAGAAAATATTCATTAAATAATAATTGTTGAGGTGGGTTTTCGAGGTTTTAAGAATTTCAGCATATTTCTGAATTGTGGGTAAATCATTAAACAGGCTAAAAGGCCTATCCATACCATGGGGAAGCTTTGGAAGCTTTAACTAACAAAAACATTCTGAGAATTAGTAGGTCATAGCATTATAATACATGACTAGTGGATAGTTTATAGCTGACAAGTTCTTGGGGTAAATTGTAGGGACTTCTAAACTGTAGCGGTTGTTACAAATGGCTGACTTGAACCTTGAATCCTTGAAGCTCGGAGTTTTGGATCCAAGTTATGTAATCTTCTGCGATGAGATCGACCGTTTCAGAATGACAGACGTAGATCAACGATCACCAATTGTAGATTCAAAGAGCTTGAGCCTTGAAGCTTGAACTGATTTGTGTATTTAACTTATCAGAGTGTTCAAGATACATAAGGTTGTTTATGCTCTATATCTGACACCATTTCACTGTTGAGCAAGCTATCCTTTAAACATTCGTCAATATGTCAAATTACGATACACTCAACCATGACAATTTTAATCAATCAACCTGCATTACATTAATGTCACAGGCTCACAGCTATAAATTCATGAAATTACTCAATATGATCGGCCTACCTGCTGGTTAATTCAAGAGCTGTACGTATAGTAACGTAACACGTATGATTATTAATGAGAGTAAATATTCAAAATAGCTACGAATTAACCTTGGATTTCCATCAAATTATAAAGCCTTATAATAGAAATTTCTGAGCTTTTCAACTTTTTTGTATGTATCTGGATTCAGTAATACTTCTGGTATATCTTTTTTAGGGAAAGCATTCCCTAGAGTCTCTGACGAATAGAGTCGGTGTATTTAATTAGCTTATAACCTTCCTATTTACAACAACCCATACAGAAAGCAACCTAGCCGACGTTCAAATGTAAACAAAGTGAAAATTAGCCCTCAAAATTTGAGGAACAACCAAAACATCTCTTGCGTCTTGCGTTTCCTGTTTAGCGCAGGATCTGCTGTTTAGTACCTTTTTTGAAAAAATTGTAACATTTCGAATCGTCAAAATACAAATGGTTAAATAAACGTTCAGGATTCATCATGTCTCCATAGATTCAACTAAAGGGATATATCACATCGTAAAGACTAATCCAGCTAAACAATAAAGAGATTCTTGATTCTTGAATTTGATATTTAATTAAATTGGTTTCCATAGTCGACGTTGACGTAGAAAAATGTCAATGTTGACAACGGCCGTCGGCCATGTTTGATTTTCTCATCAGCTTCTATCGGAGCTCGGAACCACTAAAACACAAACTTTGAACAGCAATAACTCAAAATAAATTTAGTCATTAGCAGTCAATATTCCAGCACAATTATTTTGAAATTGGTCCGAGTTTTTCCATATAGGTTTTATGATCCCAGTATACATAATTTATTTTTTGTCTGGCCTTCAAGACGTATATGAATTTAAATAATAAGATCATCAGAGATATATTCGCGGTTAAAAACAATAAATATATTTTATAATAATTATGAATAATTATCAAAATATTAATATCCAATTAATTTTTTTGATAGAAGAGCAGAACATTTTATATATAATAATCATAGAATCACTCAATATAGCAGCTAATTCGACAGCATGTCAATTCAATTATTTTTGTGTTACCCGGAAAAACAGTTTTTAGTCGAATGACTGCCCACCAGATTTTCAGGACCAACAACCGCCTCGCTGGCGCAATCGGTAGCGCTTACGACTCTTAATCGTACGGTTGCGGGTTCGAGCCCCGCGTGGGGCTGTTGTCTCTATTTTTTGCCGCGGATTTCGCACTCTTTTTTTTCGTCTTAAAAACTATATTTTTGAATAATTTAAGGCTCAAATTGTGCTATACCTTTTTTCTAGGTCCTTTAAGTGTGTATGAAGCGTTTTTTGTTGTTGATATATGTTCCGAGAGGTTTGTCACTTAAAAAAAATTTAAAGCCGATACCTCAAAAAATGGTGCAGGTTGCAAAGATCATGATCCTAGATACTTTCAAACACCAAGTACTCGATCTGTACGATGTATAGCTGTCTACAGATGGTTCAAAACTATTCTATCAGGTTCTGTGCTTGATTTCGAAATCGAAACAAGTCAAACGTTCATTTTGCGTCTGTTTTCAATATCAGATCAACTAATTCTAATACATCGTCACCTTTTTTGTTCTCCTTATTTGAAGAATACGATGGATCTTCAAGCTTCAACTTGATAACTTGATCCAACAATAACCGAAGCTCTTTAATCAACACAGCATTCTTACTCCATGTCTTTATAGGTAACCAATTATCAAGAACAATACCCGGGGATTGTCTACCTGATGATATAGAGCTCAAATCATATGAAAGAGGGCCACCAAACAGTAATGCAGAAAGTGTACTTGTTGGTGTTATATCTCTCAAAAACAGTTTGGAGGTAACTGTTGAAGAATTGTAAACAATGAAACTTGATTTCAAAGCTTTACTTTTAGCATTTCTTAATGTTGGAGTGAAATCTTTTGGTCTCATTTGCTGTATTTTTTCAAACTCTATTAAACCATCTTCTCTATCACTTTTCAAATCTTGCGGGATTCCACTCTGAGGTGTAGATGAGTTCGAATTTGTGTCAAACATAACAGATGAAGGATGAATGAAAGCTCTTGTTGCAGGTAGTTTTTCATCTTCAACAACCCCTGATCTATTGAGAGCTGAAATGTACTCTTCATTTCTAATCCAATATTTAGTGGCTTTAGCTTCAGGATCAACTTGAACTGCACCTGATGAGGTATTTAAATATTTTGGATCAGGTAATTGTACTCTAGCAACCTGAGGATAAAATGAACCACAGATGATAGCTTTAATCACATTATAGTTTGAGCTATTTCTATTCAAATGAGATTGGCCTTCTTTATACTTCAAAGGTAAAAATCCAATGTCTTCCAAGATTGATAAATATTGAGTTTTAGCAGATTTGATTTCATTAATTTTGTTAAATGACAAATAATTCTTATTCATAAATTGTTTCTTTTCACTTGGTGAATGTAATTTTAAATATTGATCCACAATGATCACATTAGATAATAAATCACCCAAATCTTTTGTTTTTGATAATGTTTGTTTAATTTCATCTCTCAAATCAGCACTTTTGATAAACGGTGTGCCAACACTTAGGACAGAAGCTGTCAAGATACCAATATCTGTACATCCGAAAATAATTGAAAAAATCAAAAGCTTACCATGCTTTGGATCGATAATTGGCAATAAACTAATAAATTTTCCCAATTCAGTTAAATCATCATATTCATTAACAAGACCAGCACATTTCAACAATTCTTCAGATTTTATTAATGAATTCAATGGGGGTGGATCCATACCAGTATTTAAAAATGCGATAACATCCTTGATCCCCATAGATTTCACAACCAAATATAATGATTCTAAATTGATTCTTTTAATTTCCGGAATTGGACTATCCATCATTGAATCATACGTTTCCTTAGTGAATAACTTGTAAGATTTACCATTTGAAACTCTACCAGCACGACCTCTTCTTTGCTTTGCTTCAGCTTTAGATTCAAAGATCTCCACCAAACGAGTTGTATTATCAATTGAATTATAAGACATTGATTTCACACGACCAGAATCAATAGTGACAACACAATCATTGATAGTAATGGAAGTTTCAGCAATATTTGTGGATACAACAATCTTTCTTTTCCCAGGGAAAGTTTCAAAAACTCTGTGTTGCTCTTGTGGACTTAGGGCTGAATGAAGTGGTAAAATAACTGAAGGTGGATTGAAATTTTGATTCAATAATTTGACACATTTGTTAATTTCAGCAACACCTGGTAAAAAAATCAAAATTGAACCATCATTTGATTCATCAATTAAATCTTGATGGATTTCTGACACTAAAGAAGTTATTAAATCATAATTAACATTACCAGTTTGGAAAAATTTGGAATCAGCTCTAGGTGAAATCCACTCATCATTCATTTCAATTTGGAAATCAGTTTTTTGTAAAACATCATCAAGGTAAAAGTCCTCAATAGGGAAAGTTCTACCTTTTATATGAGCTGAGGATAAACCTTTGAAGAAATTCTGGAAAACACTTAAATCAACGGTAGCACTCATCATGACAATTTTCAAATCTTTATACTTGTTGAGTAATTTTTTCAATAAGATAATGATCAAATCAGTTTCCATTGATCTTTCATGAACTTCATCAATGACTAAAATAGCATTATTCAAAAAATCATCACCGTTTTGTAAAAATTTAACCAAAATACCTGTTGTTAAAAACTTGATTCTAGTATTCTTATTAGACTTGTTAGCACCTCTAATAATATAACCAACTTCTTCACCACATACACTAGCTCTTTCCTCTGCAACTCTTTCAGCTAACCCTATGGCTGAGATTCTTCTTGGTTGTGTACAGAAAATCTGAGTATGATAATTCCCCTTTGAATATAAATCATCTAAAAGAAATTGAACAAGTTGAGTAGATTTACCTGAACCTGTTTCACCTGTGATTAAACTAACTTTGTTCGAGTTGATAATTTTCAACAAATTCTCTTGTTCATTCCAAGCAGGTAATTTTGTTCTTGCCTTTATACTATTTTTCAATTCAACAGTTTTTGTTCTTTTTTCATAATCATTCTTGATGAAATTGATATCAGGATTAGATTTGAAAAACCGACGTTGTGTTGATGAGTTTTGGGAATCTATGTTCAAATCTTTAGTGGATTGTGCAATATCTGAGCTTTCTAATAACAAGCCAGGGGATTCAATGATTCTTTCACTATTTTCTTGTAACCAGTCAACTAAAGAATAGATATAACTGATACCCAAAGCATTATCAATAGCATAATGAGCCATACCTTTCACAAGATTCAATTTCACATAGTTTGGTAATTTATGGTTTTCATCAATTGTAGAAATCATCAACCCAGCCAAGTCATTTGGGTAACAAGGTGATTTATAAACCCTCAGACATAAGAATGAATTAAAATTTATTTGAACAGATGATTCATCCAAAACAATAATTTTACTTGGTTCATAAATTGAAGATAAACTTCCAATTTCCTCATTCCAAAGATCTTGAGACTCAATAGGATCTATGAAATCTTGATTCCCTCTATAATTAACAAGCTTTTGAGTCAATGAAATGATTGTCTTTTGTAAATCTTGTCCATTCCCATTCAATGCCATGATAGCTTCAGATCTCCCCACACCAAAGTTCATAATCTTCCTTACTAAACCTTCATTTTTCTCAGCAACTGTTATGGAATCAGATGAAGTTGAATCTTGGAAGAAAAACGGTAGATCATCTTCAGGGACATTGAATAATAAGAATGATAAAGGATCTTGATATTGTAAGGATTCATCGACATGTGAAGGTCTAAACCCAATGGATAATAATAATGATTTCATTTCAGATTCGTTCTTTGTTGTCTTTTGCCAATTAATGTGAGACTTGATTGATTTTTGAATTAAATCTCTTTGCTCCACAGTGAACGTGAAGGATAATGCAGTTTCCCAAACTTTTCTAGGAAAACTCACTGCTGATGTGGATTTTTTTGAAGTTTGAGGTTTTGTGACTTTGGATTCAGCAGTTGCTTTAAATTTTGGTAGTTTTGCTGTAGATGGTACTGAACTCTTGATTGAAGTTAACACAACTGGAGTTTTCTTAACTTTAGCTTCATTATTCAATTTGACTTGTGCTTCTTTTGATTTTTTCGCTTGTAGTTTTCTTTCCTCCAAAACAACTTTAAAAGGTTCATTGTTATATAACTTATTATGCTTTTCACTATTTTCTTTCCAAATAGCCTTTCTTTGATCTTCTAATTCATTCCAAACATCTTTGAATTCTCTGGGTAGAACCATATGAAGATTTTTATTAAAACAGACACGATGCAGAGCAACCGTTGCAGCGAAATATCTTGCCTCAATTGGTGTTTCTTTTGAAGGTAGTTTATGAGTAATCTTCACATCGATAAATTCATTAGTTTTTGGATCTTTCCATTGTAATATAGCAGAGGCAACAAATCCATCTTTGACTTTAAACATATCATATTGAACTTTTTCCCATTTAGATCGCTGTGCATGCTCATGGAGTAGATTTATAGGGGTTTTACCACTCGATGGTCTAGCCGTTGAGGCTGGACGTTGTTGTTGATTTGTAGCAGAACCTGGGGTAGATGCGGTACCATTTGATGAACTTGACTTGTTATTATTACTATTGGCCTTTTCATTCTTTTTACCCTTCTGCTTGGCATCATTGGAGGGTGCTTCCTTGGGCGGCTGTTGTGATTGCTTAGAAGGTTTCTTGGCCATCGTATTCCAATGTAATGAAGCCAAAGTACCTCGAAGGTGTGGAGGGATCAGTTGCGACTTGCTATAGATTTCATCGTTGTTGATGATGTTTTCGCTTTTCCTTCACATCGAAAAAAAAAACAAAATACTGCCGATGGTTAGCGCAGCACCGATTCTCAGTGTGCCTCGGATTTAAACTTTTTTCAGGGAATTATCGCCAGGAAGCAGTCTTCCGTGAGCGAATAAACTTCTTGTTAGCTCATACAATTGCAACGTAATAATTAGGACCTTTAATCAGCAGTATAGGGCTGCTCCAAATCGATGAAATGTATTCCTTTTAAACGTTGAAAAATTTCAGGCTACAATAGCCGAGAGTTGCTCTGAGACACCTAATTCATGATATGGTGGGATGGATAGCTGGTATATATAACGGCTAAAAATACTGGAGACTCCAGCCTCCCACACATTTTAAAGCTACAGAAACCTTATTATAGTTCAAAACAATCGGCGAAATGTATGTGGCTGTATAGCTGTTTGTTATCTTAAAATGCATCGTTTTCGAAAACCGGTGAGAGGCTTACACTCATGTTGTTTTTAAATGTTGTAATTGATTTACACATTGATCATTGTCATGATTCAAGAGCAAGATGATAATATAGAGAGCTTTCAGTTGTTAAAACACCGAGGACGACCAATTGTTAGTTAGTACTACTGGCTGAAACTTGAAGCAATTGAAATCTGGCACAATATTAATTTGAAGTTGAACAGCAGATATGACGACGGCTAGAAAAGCCTTGATCAAATAGCAACTCATAGAAATGATCAATGGATTGTAAACCATAGAAGCTAACAAAAATAGCTCTGAAATCTGGAGATACATACCAAAGATAGATTAGAACATTGAATACATCATTCTTAATGATTCATAAGTTCGGCCTCAAGGGCATTGTCTAGATTCTTGATTCATGATTTGAGCTTGTAGTACTCAATAGTGAAAAGTTGGCACTCCAAGACATTCACCATTATTTTTAAGAGCCTTGGGAGGGACATATGATTGAATATTGGAATTGAAATTGAATAACTCTGTAGTATAAGGACTCAGGATTCAAGACAATTGAATTGATTTATACGATGCTTTAAGTCCAACATCCTAGGAGTTTGTATAATAATTCAACATTGTGGTGAAGTAGTATTTGTAACAGGGACTATTATACTTCAAGATATGAGTACTTCTAGAACACAATATTTGTGATAGTTCACAAACAACTGAGAAGCTTATAATAAGAGACACTTTGGTGATCATAGAATGCCTCAGATTCATGTGGTAACACTTAATACTTGATAATCTTATCAAGATATCCATATATAACCATCATATAACCATAATGATCTTGACATTCTTCTTTCATGACATATTACCTTCTTTAACCTTCTTCCTTGATCACATTCTACCTCTCCATCACCATCACTACACTATCTCCATATAAAACATATCAGCCTCCATCCTCGTCGTGGTTAAATCTCTTTCCACAACCTTCTCTTCTCTACACTTCTCTTCTCTTCCTTGACAGGTCTTGCAATCGGCTAAAAACATAACTGCCAAATGGCCCCAAGCTACAAATCGAGCGTCTGTGTGCTCGGCGGCTAATCTGTGAGCAGAGTCGGGACTCGGTCCATAGTGCTCGAAAGGGAAGTGCATTGTAGAGAATAAACTGCTTTGCAGAAGAACCATCAATCATACACACACTACTACAAACCGTGGTACGTACAATATCACATTGCTTGTTTATTAAGCATGCTGATTGAGAGATTAAAACGTATTTAAACCCATCTTCTTGTCCGTTCCGTTTGAGGTGTCTATGGCCCAGGATGGCCTACGCTATTATGCTAAACACACAACTAAAATGAATGCTGGAGACAATAATTACAATAATACCGAAAGTAACACCAATGGTGGACTGAAGAAGAAAAGAGTCTGTAAGGCTTGTGACTCTTGTCGTATCAAGAAGACTAAGTGTAATGGAATGAAACCTTGTATGAGATGTATTGCCAATAATAAGATCTGTACTTATACTGAACGTCGTCGTTCAAAAGATAAAAGTTATCCAGCTGGTTATGTTGAATTGCTAGAGACAAGATTAGATATATTGACAAGATCTTTGAAAAAATTATTTGAATTGAGTGAATCTGGTCAAGATATTTCATTCTTAAGATCTGAAACTACTGGTGAATTGAGTATTAATAAGTTGATTAATAAATTGGTTGATAAAGAAGATTTATTTCAAAATCAGCCTGTTGAATGGGAACATGGTACTTCATTGGCTACGAATTTTGAAAATGACGAAGATTATCTTAGATCTGCTTCTGCTGAGTTTGCTGAACATTCAAGACAAATCATAAATAATTCAAATGATCACAAGATTGGTAAGAAAGGTAGAGGGAGATACAAGAGATCATCAAAAGTTAAAAGAGCTTCAAGTTTGACCAAGCATTTGAATAGTCCAATTGAAGAAGAGGATCAATTCTCTGAACATGAATCAAACATTTATTCATCTGCAAGTTCATTGAAATCCCCAACTGAAGTGAAATCTGAATATTCAAATGGTATTGAAAAACTAGGTTTCAATATAGATCTTGGTCCATTCAACTCTGGTTCTGCATTAGCTACTGCTGCCTTGATGAAAAATGATCTAGGTAGTCATGGTAGTTTACAATTATCAGATTTTGAAAGTGATGAAGTTGATGAAGATACTGGATACAATTCAGCATTTAGTAATTTCAGTCCATCTGATAATTATCAATATCAATTCCCATCATTTGATAGCGGTAGTAGTGGTGAGATTTCACCAAAGGATATCAACAATTCAATATCAAGTGTGACTTCTTTAGACAATTTAAATCATTTTGCATCATCATCTCATTCACCATTCAATGATTTATCATCTAATTCACATAGAAGACAAGCATCATTACCAAACCCTACATTAGTTTCACAAATCCATACAAGTAATTCAAATTCAAGAATGAAATCATCATCTCCGAAAATGGATGCTGCAAAGACAAATGAAATGATTAATCAAGCAATAAAGACTCGTCAATCATTTACTGAACAACCAGATTTTATGAGATTCAATGAGACTTCAAATGCAAGTAATGTCGTTAATAATGAGTTTGGATTCAATAGTATTAATATTGAACCTTCAAGAATATCATCAAGTAATGGGTTTGATGATTTATTCATGAACAATAATAATAATCCCGTACCGTACAATGTGTGATTCAACCTATTAAATATTCTACTTTTATGAACTGTTTTTCAATATTTGTTTTTTTTTGGACTTTTAATGATTAATGTAATATATGATACATATGATATACTCTACAAATGTAGTCTTCAAATTATTAATTCATTAGATTTCGAACGTATATAAATATCATAAAATTATAATAATACATAGCAAAGATCTCAAATTCACTTTTCAATCCTTTAATAATTTCTCAACAGTTTCTTTCAAACTTGAAGGTTTTGTTAAAGATGAATAACGTTCATAAACTTGACCTTTTTTATCAATAATAAATTTTTCAAAATTCCATTTAATCCCTCTGAAACCTAACAACCCAGCTTTTTCATTCTTCAAATAATTATAAACAGGATCAGCATTAACACCATTAACTTCAATTTTTTTCAAAATTGGGAATGTAACACCATAATTCAATTGACAAAATGATTGGATCTCTTCTTGTGTACCAGCTTCTTGATGACCAAATTGATTACAAGGGAACCCCAAAATGACTAAACCTTGATCTTTATAATCTTTATATAATTCTTCCAATTCTTTATATTGTGGTGTGAATCCACATTTTGATGCAACATTAACAATAATGACAACTTTGCCTTCCAATTGTTTGAAAGGGAATGGTTCACCTGATTTATCAGCTGGTGCTAGTTCATAGAATTTGGACATTATAGATGTAAGATTCTTCTGGTAATGGATATAGATTGATCAATTGGGAGACGTTGATGATCTAGTTATGGTTCAATCCTTGATTATTTATATGTTTTTTTTTGAATTAATTTTTTGACCATGTCAATTCTGTGTCAAGATAAAATTTCTTTTTTCCTCCTCGGCAATTCAAGATTTGAGAAACCCGTTTGGAAATTGAAGTACGAGATTAAAGTGAAACGAGATGGACATTATAATGGAAGGAAAAGGAATTAATGTGAATATTTACTATTTACTGAATCATTGAAAGCTATAACCTTTTCATTGGTTGTTTATGTCTAGTTGTTGATCAATCTGCTGTTAAAGTGCATAACGGTTTCTTCAGATTTGAAATTTTCGAGAAGGTTGTTGATGCATGTCAAAGAAGTTTTCTGTACGCTAAAATTCTAGATCGAAAGATGCTGAGAAATAAATATATGGAATTCCAGCGGACTCTAATTTGACAAATACTTCAAGGATCTAGAATGGTGTACATGTTCAATCTTTTTCCTTTCCTTCATTAATATCATACACACACCTAAATGTTTATTGGCTTTTGCAATAAGTGCCCCATTCTTTCAATCTTTGTTCTCAAATAACCATCAACTTCTTTAGAATGTATCCCATTCTTACCATCTTTACCCCAAGCTAATGGAACCATTGGAACTCTTTCAACAACTCTAACTTGTCTTTCTTTACCCTCCACCGCAACAATTTTATCTGGATTATTTGTCAATAACTTGATATCTGTTAATCCTAAATCTAACAAGATTGCAGTAGCTAATGAAAATGATCTAGCATCAGCTGGATGTCTTAATAAAAGATTAGCTTGCACCGTATCTGCACCTAAATCTTGTAAATTATAAGCTTTTAATTTTTCTCCCAATCCAATACCACGGCCCTCTTGTCTTAGGTAAACAATACAGCCTTTCCCAGCTTTACCCATCAATCTACCAGCTTCATCAAATTGTTCACCGCAATCACATCTAGCAGACCATGCAGTTTCACCTGTATAACACTCGGAATGAATACGTACTAAAGTCGCCTCATCTTCTGGACTTAATTGATATAAAACATTCCCCTCGTCATCAAATTTCAACTCTTCACCAGTTCTTTCATCTTTATCAGCAATTATACGACCAGGTCTTAATTTCCCAACATAAGCACCTCTTGTCATTCTATCACTTTGAGTTTCACCAGGTCTTTTCTTGAATAATGTCTTGGATCTAATCTTTTCACCAAACACAATAGCCAAATGTTCTTTATTATCAACATTGTTTGTATATAGATGCAAGAAAATTTCTAAACCTTGAGTTGTTGGGATTCTTGCTCTTGCCATACACTCCACTATTGGTAATTCATCTGGGAGTAGTTGTCTTTTCCCATCTGATAAGTCTTCTTCATGGACCGGGACCCCTAATGGTGTCGATGGTATGGATCCACTTGGTGTTATGCTTGGTGAGACAAGTGGTATGCTCGCAAATAAGTCATCCTGTTGCTGTTGTTGATGTATAGGTGTTGGTTGTTCCATTATTGATCTTGTATCACGGAGCTGACTAATGGGGTATCTTGAGTTTGATGTTTGGATATGAATCAGTAGTGTACTTTTATTTGTCTATTTGTGTATCTTTGTAGGATCAGTATGGGTTTCCTGTGGTTGTTGTTTCGTCTTTATACAAAACTTCAGACTTTTCTGGAGTTGAATTATCAATCAATCACTCACCATTTTTGTAAGCACCAATTCTGACCCGATGAAAAAAAACTGTGGTGTATTTTGGCGCTGTTGAGTTACCGGTTTGGGAAGGGGTTGCGCAATGAGAAAATGGAGATTTAAAAATGTAATGAAACTTACTGACTATAAAGTAACAGCTTATATGATGCTACTAGAAGTGTTTTTAATAGCCATATATCTTACTTTGTAGCTGTGCGCAGCTGAACTCAAGGTGTTTAGCTTTTTCGTGTTCAACGGTGTTTCGCAAAACGGGAAACCCGAAAGCTCAAGTCCGCCAAATGGCGAATGAAGCTTCCGCATATGGAAGTTGCGCGATGCATTACACACAAATTAGTCAAGCTGATGAATAAAATTTTGGACAGTAGATGGAAACATGATTAGAAATGATTTGATCCTGGAGAAGAGTGAATGTCAAGATGACAGTAATAATCCATGGGCGATATTCCCATCTACTGATTTATACACTTTGTATTAGTTTCTCGCAAAATAAACCTTATCCACACTTTTATCATCATTTGAGTGACACGGGCTTTGATGACAGAGTGGTATTTTTGAAAGCTGGTTAATGGAATTTCAAGGAACTAATTAGCAATTACAAATGAACTAAACCCAATTGAAACCCAATTTATGAACATGATGGTGACGCTTACGAAAAGTCAAATACTACTTGGATCAGGGTTGATAGTTGGTACTGCAATTGTTGGAACCAGAAATTTTTGGTGGACTCAACGTAAAGTTATTGAACCACCAAGTTCAACAAAGCAAGGTAATAGAATTTTCTTACCTGTTAGATTCGAAAATGAATTAGAGGATTTATTATTGATCAAAAGACCATTATTGTTGAATTTCACTGTTAGAGGTGATCCTTATTGTAATAAAGTCACTGGGGCATTACAAAGAATAGTTGCTTATGAGACTGATAAAAAGATAAATATGGTTGATATTGAAACTGATCAACCTGATACTAGAGATTTATTACCAAGATTTGGAGTTAAAAATATCCCAACTATTATTTCTGTTAGAAAGACATTGCCTGTTGAACAATATGTGGATCAAAAATTATTGGAAAATCCAGATGGTGAAGTTGATTGGATTAAATTAAAAGAGTGGATTGAAAAAAATGCAGATCCAGAAGATACTTGATCTTTTTTTTATTCCAATTCATCTGGTGACCAGACTTGTACTATACAATCATAAAAACTACACGTTGCCACTTGATCACCTTTAGGACTCCAATCACAACCATAAACCATACTTTCATGTTCTTGTTTAAAAAATCTCTCCACAATTGGTTCAGAATCACCTTTAGCACCTATTATACGTGCACCATTATACATACAACATGTTAATAATCTATTATCGTTTTTAATAGTAGATGGAGTGAATCTCCAAACACCACCACCCAATTTAACTTTTTCTTGAACTTTGGGTATAATACCTGAAACAATCCCCACGTTTGGAACAACTCTTAAATCTAAACTTCTTAAATTATCATCATATGAACCTGTCCATAATGTATAAGGTTTATCACTGAACCAGTCCCCAGTACCATCTCTAATTGGATCACCTTCAGTACTTGTCTGTATAGCAACAACACCAGCTTCATGGATTCTACGAGCATGGAAAACAGAAAGTGAATCAGGCTCTCTAGTATCATGTGCGATCAATGAACCATCATCACCACCTGTGAATACTAAATTTGATAATTCAGCCATATTACCAAACGCACCAGTCCAACATTCTAAATCATGTTGTGTACCGAAAAATTGAGGTTCTGAAACACTTGTTTGAGTTAATGAAACCAGAGCAGCATATCCATCTGTGCATGTAAGAAGGATTCTATCCTGATGAACTTGTGAAAACATTATTGATGTGATCAAGACATCTTTATCGAAAACCTGTGCATGATGAATTAATGTTAATGATTGAGATTTATAATTCCATATTCTCAAATCACCAGTAGAATGGGCACTTATCAATAAGCTTTCATCAAAAGGTGAGAATTTTATATCAAGTATAGCTGATTCTGTTGGAGTTGAACTTTGTAAAATTAGTTCATCTTGATTTTGTTTATAGATATCTATTGAACCATGTCTTGAACCATCTTCTTCTAGCTTATATGTCCCCAAGAATATCAATGAAGGATCAATTGGATGATAACGTAGAGCACATGGCGGTAAGGCTGTTTTTGTTCTTGCTATTCTTTTAGAATTCGGTATTGGGCTAGCCATAATGTATTACACCTAGATCAATCTTTCTAGTTTCGAGTTGTGTCAAAAAGTTTTTTTTTCATAGAATTTTAAGGTTCGGAAATGTGTTTCCTTGAAGAGATTCAAGTACTGAATCCTGATTGTTTTGTAACAAGCGAATTGATATGAGCATTGCTATGAATGATTGTACAATTCTAGCCATTGATATTGTTCAGTTCTGCTACACTAATAATTGAAGGATCAATGAGCCGGTGTATGATGTTTGAGAATTTAGCTGATGTGCTTTAAATCGTTCTAAAACTGAGCAAAGTTTCGTATCTGCACATATAATGGATGATCTTGCTTTTGGCGAGCATTAATTCTTTCAACCTTCTTTATGAAATCAAAACATCGGCATTGGGTTTGTTTGAAGTTGTTTGAACTTTGAATTGAATCAGTGATGATTCCAAAAATGTCGGCATCTTTTGAAAATGGCTGGCTAATTCTTGCTGAAAAAAAGGAGTACACCTAAACCAAATACACAGAAAACATTGGTATCCTTATATTCTAAACATTTCAATCCACTCCCTCAATAAAATAAAACTTGTTCCATTCTTCTCCAAAAATTTGTACTTTAAAAGGGAATTCGCGAATTCGACGAACGCGAAAAGTAAACAAAAAAAATGACAACAAAAAAAAGCTCCAACTTGAAACGTTTGTTTACACGTAAGAATTAAACAACAGATCACAAGACAAGTACAATGGTATGTTAATTGGATCTCATAATACCGTGGTTATACTAACTCGCATCTCATCTAGAGCTCCAACACAAAGACTTATAAAGACGCTTTCTCCCTTTTCGATAAGAAAGGTACAGGTAAAGTTTCACCAGATGCTTTAGGTGATTTATTGAGAGCAGTTGGTCAAAACCCAACATTAGCTGAGATCTCTGACTTACAATCCCAAATTCAAGGTGACTTGGATTTTGATACTTATGTTAAGATCATAAATAGACCAGATGGGTTTAAACCATTAGGTGAACCTGAAGATTATATAAAAGGGTTTCAAGTTTTCGATAAAGAAGGTACTGGTTACATTGGTGTTGGTGAATTAAGATACATCTTAACTTCAATTGGTGAAAAACTATCAGACAGTGAAGTTGATGAATTGTTAAAAGGTGTTAATGTTACTAAAGATGGTAATGTTGATTACGTTGAATTTGTTAAATCAATCTTGGCTCAATAGATACTGTTTTTTAGATACCCTGGATGAACACTCTCAATATCTGCTCTTTACGTTTTAACTTTACTTTTTTATAAGGGATTATTTTTACAAGGTTACTTTTGACTACAGATTGTAGTGCATTCCTATATCATTACATGCATTCCTGATTTGTTCATAAAATTGGCAAGAAATTCCCAATAATCATCATTGGTATACCAAAAACATCTCTTTTCAAAGTCCACATACATGTAGTCTTCATTGTAGTATTTTCAGGTGTTAATAAAGTACAACCAGTCATTGTGGCACCTCTAAAATCACCATATGCAATAGTGGAAAACAAATCAAAATATTCCACAACTGAAACATCATCCATTAATTCCACGATAAATGTAATTTTATTCAACAATTGCTCTTTTGTCCAACCTGTCAATATACAAAATTCTTCAGAAACATAAGCAATCTGTCCAGTTCTTCTCCATACTATAGTTGGTGTCCCAGATATTGATATAAATTTATCATACTCTAGTAAAGTTCTTTGAAAGCATTGCTCCATGAATATCAAATCTTCTTCTTTTAAAGTATTTGTACATGCAATGAATGAAGGTCTATAATTAGCCATGCTCTTAGCCATCTTGACCAATTCTTTCTTATTAAACCTATTCCTTAGATAGTTAATCAAAGCATGGAAACCTGGAGTATAACTGAATGGTTTGTTAATCTTTGCATAGATATCTTCAGCTTCCTTGTACCTTAATCCCCAAAAACTTTGGGCAGTGGAGCTATAAGTTTGGTCATTTGATGCATTATCATCATTATTTATCCCAATAGCAAAACTTATAGCAGATTTTTTCTTTTCATTATCTATAAATTCTTCAGGGTTTGAGATTTTTTCCTCTTCAATCCATTTCATAACTTCAGGGAAAGTGACCAATTGATCTTGAACCACCCCTAACAAGTATTGATTTATTGATTTATCGCCCTGTCTATAAGTTTTGTAAATGTCATGTCCATGTAATGAAGATGGTGTTGGAGTAGATGTGGCACTGTGTGTAGAGTTGTTTCTAAATCCATCAAGATAAGTATTGTGCTGTTGTTGTTGTTGTTGTTGTGGGTATGGACCTGGTGGTGATTGTGTTTGATCTGTAAAGCTCTGGCTTGGACTATGTCTCATACCTGAGGGGCTTAAATAATCTTGTTTAATTATATCACTTAGGATGGAATATTCCAAGTCTGCTGCGCTTGATAAAAACTTGGATCTGTGGTTATTACCATTGTTATTGTTATTATTGTGCTGATTTTGAGCTGGGTATTGTAATGGTGGATAATTGTTTGGATCTGGATGTTGAATAATAGTATTACTTATACTGCTATTATGAGACAAAGGAGGAGGATACAAATCATTCAGTTGAGAAGCTGTGTTTTGAGCAGGTGATTCAATTGAAGGTGATATGTTCATGCTATAAGAATTAGGAGTAGTTTGTTGTTCCAATTCATCGGGTACATCCATCAAGTACTTCTTCTTCTTTCTCGGAGCATCAACACAAGTTTCTTGCCAACCTCTAGCAACACATCTTTTACAAGGCCTACTCTCATCACATGTCATGTGGGCCTTGTGACAATGCTGACAAGCTCTTGCAGTCTTCTTCCTCACTGGTTTGTTCCTTTGAGCAGGTTGTGTCTAATTATTCATGTTAGGCTCCCAATCGGAAATAAAAAAGTATGGAGAAAGGTTTGATACTCACTTTTGCAACTTTTGAGCTCATTATTCAGGGTCTTTTTTGGTGATGAAAGGGTGTTCTTTGACTTTTGGTATTATAATTTATGAATATAGGGGATAGTTTCAGCACAAATCCCCATTAGCCAGCTGTAGCTTCGTAAAACTCGAATTAGTCAAAGCTTTTTCCTTGATCAAAACAAAATTTTGGACAGCAAAAAAAGAGAAGAAAAAAGTGCCCGATTCGGAAACTGTGCCGGATGGGGAAAGAAGAGACTATTGGGAAAAGGCTGAGATTAAGGTCTTTTGATTGTTAAGGAGAGTAGTAATCTTTTGATTATTGCACTGGATGGATCTTGTTCTTGTGTTGACGAGATCTTGGTCTGCTTTGGTAACTTTTACTGGGGGATTTACGCGTCGATTAGTCAAAGCTGGAGTACAACTAGTTAAGCCATTTAAACTAGAACCAGTCAATAAATGGCAATCCAAACAATACATAATATATACATAGTGACATTATAGCCAATTTAAACTCTTCAACCTTTCAAAATCCAATTCCCTTCAACTTGAGTTAATCTCGCTGCCACCGCTTGACGGGCAAACATCCACTTCCAAAAATTTTCTTGAAAAAAGTGAGTAAAAGGTGTCACCGACAAGAGACCACAAAAGTTACAACAACAACAAATACTAGATCATACACCATGGCTGATTTGGCTGCTTCATTCCAAAAGCTATCACTTGCTGAAGCTGAAAAAGTATGTTTCACTCACAATTCGATTCCCCAGGTTCAAAAGCTAACTATTTCTCTTCTATAGGCTGATGCTTCAAAATTCCCTTCATTAAATGATGAACAAAAAGCTCTTGAATCACAATGGTTAACCCTTTCTAAAAGATTCCCAGAATCAATTGAACAACTAAATGATTCCCTTAGATCATCAACTTTCATCTTGGGTAATGCTCCATCCGCTGCTGATGTGGTTGTTTTCTCAAGAACTTTACCAATCGCTTCAAAATGGACATCAAAAGATTATGCTTCATACCGTCATATATTACGTTGGATCGACTTGGTTCAAAACACTCTAGTTGAAGTTCCAGAAGATTCAAAATTGAAGATTGATTTCTCAGTTGAAGTTCCTCGTGAAATAAAGGAAAAGAAAGAAAAGAAGGATAAAGCTGCTCCAGCTGCTGCTGCCCCAGCTACAACTACTGAAGCTAAGGAAGGTGAAGGTAAAAAGGAAAAGAAACAAAAAGGTGGTAAACCAGATGAAGAAACTTTAAAGAAATTAAGAGAAGAAGCTGCTAAGGCTAAAAAAGAGAAAAAAGCTAAAGCTGCTGCTGATCAAGCTGCTAAAGCCGCTGCTGAAGCTGTCCCACCAAACCCATCTTTAATCGATTTCCGTATTGGGTTCATCCAAAAAGCTGTTAAACATCCAGATGCTGATTCCTTATATGTCTCCACAATTGATGCTGGTGACGAAGAAGGTCCACGTACCGTTTGTTCAGGTCTTGTTAAACATTTCCCATTGGAAGCATTACAAGAACGTTATGTTGTCTTGGTTGCCAATTTAAAACCAGTTACTATGAGAGGTATTAAATCTACAGCTATGGTTTTATGTGGTTCTGATGATGAAAAAGTTGAATTTGTTGATCCTCCAGCAGGTGTTAAACCTGGTGATAAAGTTTTCTTTGAAGGCTTTGATGGTACCCCTGAAAAAGTTTTGAATCCTAAAAAGAAAATTTGGGAAGCTGTTCAACCTTCATTCTCAACTAATGAAGCTTTAGAAGTTATCTATAAACAAGAAGGTAAACCAGAAGCTAAATTAACAAACAAAGAAGGCCAATCATTCAAAGTCAAATCCATTGTCAGTGCTAATGTCCGTTAGAATACTCAAATAAATCAATCATATATGAAAATTCTTGTAAATATTCTGTTTAATTTACATAAAAACCTTTGATCTTTTGACAGCAAAAAAATCTCACTGTGTGGCGCAAACCGATGACTTTTTCATTTTCTGTTTTCGAGAAACCAGGCCATATATATAAAGGAATCAATTTCTTTGGGACATAAAGAAACTCTTTATTGTTAAAGATCACCTTAATATTATAACCTATTCAAACTATGAAGCTAATAAACAACCATTTTGAAAAAGATTCAAGTGGTTCAGTGACCTTAGTGGCCGAGGATAAAGAAGATCTATTCACTTTATACAATTTAATTCAAAGAAGAGATGAAGTTGAACTTAAAACCATGAGAAATATTAAAAAATCAGGTAAAGATGGTTCAAAAGGTTCAAAAGCCAAAACAGAGAAGAAACTATTAAGATTAAAGATTGATGTGGAAGAAATTGATTTCACTCCACAAGATGAAGTTATGAGATTAAGAGGGAAAACTACAGAACCTGTTGAAGATGTCCCCGTGGGTACTTATCATACTGCAGAAATTGATTTCAAACATCCATTCACTTTATATAAGGATGATTGGGATGAAATAGCATTCGAATTGATCAATAAAAGTTGTAGTATTGATGAAAAAGCTGAAGTTGGTGCTGTTGTGCTACAAGAAGGTGTTGCCCACATATGTCTAATTACTGAAAATATGACAGTACTAAGGCAAAAAATTGAGAGATCTATACCTAGAAAGAAAAGAGGTGATTCTTCTGCTCATGATAAATCTCTAGATAAGTTTTATGAATTGGTTAGTAATACATTGGTTAGAGATTTAAACATTTCAAAATTGAAAGCTATAATATTGGCATCTCCAGGTTTTACAGCAAATGGATTATTTGACAAGATTTTCCATATTGCAACTTTAAATAATGATAAGTTATTACTGCAAGCAAGATCAAAATTCATAGTGGCACATTCCTCAACTGGGTTTTTACAAGGATTAGATGAAGTTTTGAAAACTGAAGAAATTCAAAAACAATTATCAACTACAAAATTCGCAAAAGATGTGTTACTATTAGATGAATTCTTCAAAACACTGAATGCGGATGATGGTAAAGCTTGGTATGGTCCAAAAGAATGTGAGAAAGCTATAAATATGGGTGCTGTTAAAAATTTATTATTGACAGATTCATTATTTAGAAGTGATGACATAGCTGAACGTAAAAAATATATTGAATTGAGTGAGATTGTTAAAAACACTGGTGGTGAAGTTACTATATTTTCAAGTTTACATGAATCTGGTATTCAATTAGATCAAGTCACTGGTGTTGCTGTGATATTGAACTATCCTGTATATGATTTAGATGAAGATGAGGATGAAGAATAAATATGTCCAAATCAATTAATTAAAATAAATAAATAATATAAATATGTACATCAACGTAGTAGTAGTTGATTATGCAAATGCAGTAGTCATTGGGTTCTTTAGATACCATAATTCACCATTTCTAACATAATATAAAGCATCTTGCATAACCCCATTAATCAAACCAATAAATAATCCATTCTTCATCATTTTCAAAGTTGCATATTTACTCAATTGATGGTATTTAGCGTAAGAACCACCAGCAATAACTGTAGCAGCAGTTGTATTTATAAAGTCAATCTTTCCTCGTACATAATCGAAAAAAGCTTCCAATCCAAAATAACTAGTTGCAACAAACGAGTATTTAATACCAGTTTTCATACCTGCACCAAGTGACTCTTTCATGCAAACATAATTTTTCCTCTTGTGATAAAAATACCAATGCCCTTTAGTCTTTGGTAACCTATGAGAATTCTCTGCTAAGAATCTTAAACTTGTTTCGTTATAAGTCTTTCGACCACCGGATAGTAGCCCATAAAACCCTGAAAAGAATGCAATCCCACTGAGACGAATTGTAGGATGGAGATGGAATCTTTGTTCCTGATTCAGCTTATGGATCTCGTCCCATAGTTCTTGCTTAGGATCAGCCATTATACTGTAACTCGTTAACCCACCAACTAACAATAGTGCCTTCTTTTGAAATTTCCCCTTTGTAAAAAAAACACCAAAATAAATCCGGAGAAATAAAACAAAAACACAAGCAAAGAATTCACACTTTATCCAAATCCCAAACCCACCACATTGAAATGACTGAGGAAAACATCGCCATCAGAAACGATCGCAAATGGTGTCCTCACTTGATCTTCACCACCGCTGTCGCGTGTATGGCCTCTGTCCAGTACGGCTATCACATGTCTGAGTTGAATGGGCCCAGTGCGGTGTTATCGTGTCAAGCTGATATAGAGCCTTATCCAGGGGCAATTTATCAAGATACTTGGTTTTACAAAATGAGATTGGTGAAATGTATTGAAATGGATGATCAAGGGCTAGGTCTTGTTACTTCCATTTTCTCAATTGGTGGTCTTGTCGGCTCGTTATATGCTGGTCATTTAAGCGATAAATTGGGTAGGAAAAAGGCAAGTGCTATGAATGCAATCGTGTTTATCATTGGATCCATGGTGGAACTTTGGGCAAATAGTGTTTTTGGATTGGCCACAGGGAGATTCATATCTGGATTGGGTGCTGGTTGCTCAATTGTGGTTACACCTTTGCTAATTAATGAAATTAGTCCACATGGATTAAAAGGATTCTTGGGGAGTATGAATCAAGTTGCAATCAATTTGGGGATTCTACTTACACAAGTATTGGCTATCAGATGGGCTAACAGTTATGAATGGAGATATTTACTATTAGTTGGCTCTATATTAGGTGCTTTAAACTTCATTTTGGTATTATTTGTTGATGAAAGTCCAAAATGGTTATTTAGACGTGGAGATATTCAAGGAGCTAGATCTGTTGCAAACAGACTAAGAGGCGGTGATCCACTTTTAGTTGAAGATGAAGCTAGAGGCTGGTCCTCTTATGGTGGTCCAAATGCAAATCCAGAACAGGATGGATTATTATCACCAGGTACAAATGGCGATAGATTTCAAACTACAATTTCACTACTGGACTATGTTAAGAACTCTCATTACCATAAATCATTGATAGTGGTGTCTGCTATAATGTTGGGTCAGCAATTTTGTGGTATAAACTCTATTATTTTCTATGGTGTTAAAACAATAAGGAAAATCTTGCCAGATTATGCAGTTGTCATAAATTGTTTGATTTCATTAGGAAATGCTGTTATTACGTTCACTGCAGCTCCTTTGATAGATAGATTGGGCCGTATTCCATGTCTTTTACTTTCAGTTTCAATTATGGGTGCTTCTTCTATATTAATGGCTGTTGGTATCTTGCAAACAATTTCAATTATTTCAGTTATTGCAACTTTCTCTTATGTGGGATCTTATGCTATTGGACTAGGACCTATCCCCTTCTTGATGGTTCCTGAAGTTACACAAGTGGAAGCCAGAGGTGCTGCACAAAGTTATGGTACCACAGTCAATTGGATTGCAACATTTTTGGTTGGTTATTTATTCCCAATATTAGACTCATATATCGGTGGCTATGTCTACTTCATCTTTGCTATCATCTGTGGCCTATTCGCCACTTTTATTCATAATCAAGTTCCAGAGACCAAAGGGCACAAGTCGTATGAAGAAGTCTGGGGTATTAGAAATGATTGAATCCTTATTTATTTATTTACATATTTTTGTATAGAAATCACATGACTGTGATTAGGGCTTCGATTCAGTAGTACTCCACGTGATATGCTTTTTTTATTTTTACTCTCACATCCAAACACCACACCCTCTTACTCTGGTACGCACCACACCACCCATTTCCAATCGCCCAAAACATTTCTGGTTCCGCGCACGCCCCCGCCAGAAAAACGAACGTTCGCTGCCACTGCGATTTCGAGCTTCTGGTACAGCCCACAACATACTGTGTCTGGTTGGGACTCTCTAGTTTTTTTCACAACGAATAAAACAAAAATTCATTAGAAGAAACTCTCTTTTAGTTATACCTATAAACATCAACAACAAAGATGCCTACCAGATTAACTAAAACCAGAAAACACAGAGGTAACGTCTCAGGTATGTGAGAATGAAAGAGACTATAGAAAAGTATCAAGAGAATGTGGGAAGAGTACAAGTTCAATATGTGATTTTGCAAGAGAATATGAATTTTAAAGTAAAGAGTGAAGAGAATCGTAATAATAAAAGTAAAGAAAGACTATCAATCAGATGGACAGAAGCAAACCAGAATGAGTAAATGAACAACTGTATTATTATGGCAAGCTAAATCTTTGAAGTTATTTAAAGGGTCAAAATTGAAGTTTTGTTAAGCAATGAAGGAAAAGAACTAGAGCACAGCACTTTAATCTCAGAAACAATCTATTTGATACTTTTCTTTATTCAATTCAAGAAACTTACTAACAGTAATTTATAGCCGGTAAAGGTCGTGTTGGTAAACACAGAAAGCATCCGGGTGGTAGAGGTAAAGCGGGTGGTCAACATCATCACAGAACCAACATGGATAAATACCATCCAGGTTACTTCGGTAAAGTTGGTCAAAGATACTTCCACAAACAACAATTACATTTCTGGAAACCAGTTTTAAACTTGGACAAATTATGGACTTTAGTTCCAGAAGATAAAAAAGAACAATACTTATCATCTTCATCAGCTTCTGCTGCTCCAGTTATTGACACTTTAGCTCATGGTTACGGTAAAGTTTTAGGTAAAGGTCGTTTACCAGAAGTTCCAGTCATCGTTAAAGCTAGATTTGTTTCAAAATTAGCTGAAGAAAAAATTAGAGCTGTTGGTGGTGTTGTTGAATTAGTTGCTTAAGTTTTTCTTTTTATTTCATAATGTGTTCATAATTTAAAAATAAAGGAAAGTTAGGTTTTTAGGAATAATCACTTCTATGTAATTGTACAATGATATGTTTTCAACTTTGATGTTTATTTAAGACTTAGCAGAGGAGTGTAGAGTAAAGAAACTTTAATAATTATATTTCAGACCTTTATAGATGAAAGTGCATCTAACCAGCATTGATAATGCTTATATATTATAGGATGAAGTTTTACAATCTGTTATTCTTCAAACATAATACCTTGAAGTTTGAACCTTGAACCTCAAGAGCTGAAAAATTTCGCCTAAGAGTGGCCGTTTCCAAAAAAGAAATCTTTCTCGAAAAAAAATTATTCAAAATGTAAACACAGAATCAAAACAAAAACAATTTGGTTATTAAAGCTCGACTCTCATTAAGCGTTCAAGTGGCTACTTAGCTTTATGTTTCTCAGGAGGGCACTCATACAAATCCCTAAACCTATCATTAGTTCATTTCCTAAAAATTTCAGCACTTCAAGATTTTCGTTCATGAATAAGATGACTGCATCCGAGACACAATGGACTGTTGAATCAGCTATACCTCAAAATGTCAAAGATTTATTGACACCAGAAGCTGGTGAAACCAAAATAAATTACGTTCTTGTATTTTTACAAATCGTCAGCTTACTAAAATCCCAAAGAAGAACAGGTTGGGTTGATCATGGTATACCTGATTGTGAATCTATTTCCGATCATATGTACCGTATGGGGGTTACTTCATTATTAATTAAAAACAAAGATGTTGATACAAACAAGTGTGTCAAGATTGCTATTGTTCATGATATTGCTGAATCATTAGTTGGTGATATCACCCCATTTGACGGCGTCACTAAAGAGGAAAAACATCGTCGTGAATTAGATACCATACATTATTTATCTGATCTAGTTAAGAAGTATGATGAAGAAAATGGTAAAGAAATTTTGGAATTATGGTTAGATTATGAAAACATAAGAACCTTAGAAGCTAGATATGTTAAAGATATTGACAAATTTGAAATGTTATTACAAGGTTTCGAATATGAGAAGAAATTCCAAGGTACTAAAAGATTAGATCAATTTTGGGGTGCTAGATCAAGTGTCAAAACTGATGAAGTTAAAGGATGGACTGATGATTTATTTGCCAAAAGAGAACAATTCTGGAAGAAAATTGAAGCTAGTAAATCAGATTGATGTACTATTTCAAATTGCATACTGTAAATAAATTATATCTAGGATCATAAAAGACAGCATAACTGATACAATCGTTGGACTTCAAAGTTTTACACCATATTCCATGAACATTTGCTATATTGTAATATATATTAATTTATTTTGTTCAACTTATTGTACAACCCACAAGTTATCATAGCCAAATAACCATGGTCCAATAGTATGTCTCCCCACTATAGCTAACATTCCGATACTGAATTGAATAATTAACAAAGTCAAACATAATTTATCTTCTCTTAAAGGTCCAAACCAAACCAACACCAAGTTGATCAATGTAAAGTTGTTTGATTCTGTAATGGCCTTCTTTTTAATTGTCTTGCCGTTTTTTTCAACTTCAATTTCACCTTCAACAATCTTTAACAATTTCAAATTGTTCAATAAGTACAACACTTTTTCAATTACAGTTGGCAACGGTTTCTCAAATTTAGCATGAGATGGATACATGAATCCATCTTCCAAATTGAATCTTGGCATTCTATGTCTTGGGCAAGGAATTATTCCAAATAATTGAGGAACTGAATACATAAAGTTGAAAATTTGTGGTATGAAAAACAATAACAATGTTTTCGAGAAATGTCCCAAGATTCCAACAACTGCAAATACCATACCTGCAAAATAACAATAAGTGTCACCAACAAACACTTGTGAAGGCCACCAATTGTATTTTAACAATGCTAATGAAACACCCAAGAATGGGAACAATAGACAAGCTGAAAATAAATGCGATTCCCTAGCTGGTACTTGACCCGAGATTAAATAACAACCATCATTGATCAATAGAATAATGGCAAGAACAACACTTTGGCCAACTTCTAATCCATTAACACCAGCCAAGATGTTGATTGAATTTGGACAAAAAATTGCAACTGCAGCCATATAAACATAATAAAACCCACCTAATTCAATCAATGTAGTTTGGAAATAATCTTGTAAAAATTGGGTTGGAACCAAAACGTGTGTAATACCAAAATCAACATAATAGACAATTAATAATGGGATAGCCGCTATAGCTGGCAAGAAGAATTTATGTCTCCATCTAATATCAAACAAATCATCAGCAACACCCAATAAAACTGTACTTTCAAGACACAAAATGGCACTTAGATACCCTGCTAGTTTATCATGTGGAAACAATTCAGTATTATCATCACCGAGATTTGTACCACCTTCTCTATTACCACCACCTGTTGTTGAAGTGACAAGATATTTATAAAATAAGAATGGGATGAAGAAAAACATGACGAATAAATAAGATGTAGCAGCGACAGCACCAACCGTTTCAGGGATTATTGGCTTATTCGGTTTGGAGAGATCTTTACCAAAAAGACCAATTTTAGTAAAAGATGGTGCTAATCTGGGTATTAGATAGTTTGTTGAAACATAACCAAAGATTGCAAACCCAATGGAAGCTTGGAGTGATCTATTAGCCCCACTGGCAGACCAGACCAGTGCAATAGCCACAACCAGGAGACCAAGATCCAAGAATGCCATAGTTGTTGAATTGGAAGTGATCTTTGAAAGTATTAAACTTCAATGTTTTCATTTTGGACAGCGTAAGCTTTTTGAATATTTTGGCAGAAAACCGTGTTTCCTCAACGCGCGAAACCGTTGAATAAAGAGGAAGCTCAGAAAATTATGTTAGAAGGCTATAGGGATCTTCAAAAAGAATCTAGAGACCCCTTGATATTATTACCAGTCTAATATTCAAAGAAGAAGCTAAACAGTAATGAATCGAGAACTTTATTTCGCCTTTTTGAATATGACTAAGCTCCTCATACATTCCTGACTAATATGGTGCGAAAAAAAAATAGGAGGTAAACGCGCGCCAAAAAATGTATGTTGAAAGAAAAAAGAGAGCTAAATTATAAACATTGAAAGTCAACAAGAGCTGTTTTCTCTGTTGTAACTCATTTATATCAAGAGGGAAGGGGGCTCAATAGACTCCAAATAATCAAGAGAACAATTGTCATAGGTGGTACTTGAGCTGGTCATTCTTTTTACAGTACATTTCCAACAACAACAAGAACAAAACAAGTCGAATCTTTTGGACGTGGAAAATAGGAGAGGACTATTACAATTTATACAACAATGTCCAGAGTGATACCTCAAATTGACCTAAGTGGATTCTCTGTTGAAGATAAGAAGGAGAATGAATTCGGTGCGCTAACATCGGATGAATTTCGTTATGAGACAAAGTCTCGTGAAGGGAAACCATTACCAGATCCTATTGAAGATGAACCTCCATATCATGTTTTATTCATCACTTATTTAAACTATTTGATTTTGATTATTGTTGGTCATATTAAGGATTTCACAGGTATATTGTTTAATCCAAAAAATTATCAAGAAATATTGGAAAAAGATGGTTTAGCACCTTGGTATAACAAGTTTGAATCCTTTTATATTCGTCGTATGAAACAAAAAATTGATGATTGTTTTGCAAGACCAACTTGTGGTGTTCCAGGAAGATTAATCACATGTATTGATAGAGATGCACATGATTATAACACTTACTTCACATATCCTGGTACTACTTCAACTTGTTTAAACTTGTCATCATATAACTATTTAGGTTTTGCTCAAAGTGAAGGTGCATGTACTGAAGCTGCTTTGGAAGCTGTTGAGAAATATGGTGTTGGTTGTGGTGGTGCAAGAAATCAAATTGGTACTACTGATTTGCACGTAAAAACTGAAAAGACCATTGCAAAATTTGTTGGGAAAGATGATTCTATATTGTTTTCAATGGGGTATGCTACCAATGCAAGTTTATTCAGTTCATTATTGGATAAAAAATCACTAGTTATTTCAGATGAATTAAATCATACCTCAATCAGAACAGGTGTTAGATTATCAGGTTGTTCAGTTAAAACTTTCCCACATAATAATATGGATGCTTTAGAAAATCTATTGAGAGAACAAATCAGTCAAGGTCAACCAAGAAATCATCGTCCATGGAAAAAAATCGTTGTTGCTGTGGAAGGTCTTTATTCAATGGAGGGTACAATGGCAAATTTACCAAGATTAGTTGAATTGCGTGAAAAATACAAATTTTACTTATTTGTTGATGAGGCTCATTCTATTGGTGCTATTGGACCTTCTGGACGTGGTGTCTGTGATTATTTTGGTATTGATCCTTCAAATGTTGATCTTTTAATGGGTACTTTAACTAAATCTTTTGGTGCAGCTGGCGGTTACGTTGCAGCTGATCAATCTATAATTGATCGTTTAAGATTAAACATCAACAGTCAAAACTATGCTGAATCTATTGCAGCTCCAGTTTTAGCTCAAATTATAACCTCCTTAAGAATTATAATGGGTGAAGTTAATCCAGGTGAAGGTAGAGAAAGATTGGAAAGAATTGCATTCAACTCTCGTTATTTAAGATTAGGATTACAAAGATTAGGTTTCATCGTTTACGGTGTTGATGATTCACCAGTTATCCCATTATTGTTATTTGCACCAGCCAAGATGCCTGCTTTCTCAAGAATGTTGTATCAACGTAAAATTGCAGTGGTTGTTGTTGGTTATCCAGCTACTCCATTAACTTCATCAAGGGTTCGTTTATGTGTTTCTGCTTCATTGACTAAAGAAGACATTGATTATTTGTTGCGCCATTTGTCAGAAGTTGGTGATAAATTGTTTTTGAAATTCAGTTCTGGTATTGCAGGTGGTACTTTAGATGGTAGTCCACCAAGATGGAATATTGAAGATGTGTTGAGGGAAACACCAAAAGATTGTAAAGAATCCAAGTTTTTCGTTGCAACAGCTTCTAGAGAATAAGTTATACAAACCAATTATTAAACCTCCATTGACATTTTTGTCTACACTATAAACAATTACTTTAATACTAATTTTAATACCATGCATTTTAATTCAAAAAGGAGGTGGATGTAGATATGAGAGATGCAATGGGCCCAAAGTACGTATAGCTGCTACGCTTTTGGTCTTGATTTCGACAATTAGTAAGCGCTCTATGAAATGACTTTCTACAGCTACCTGGTTACCTACTAGACCATTTTTCAAGTAACTTCCAACTTGATCTGGATAAATAGAAGTTCTCGCGTCTGATCTACACCAACCGTTAGATAATCGCTACGTTCATAGCCTCTGAGTCTCTTGATACACTTTCTGAGCACACGTTCGCAGAATAAATGTCCCAGAGACTAAGCCTGCGCGATAAACAGTGCTGTGTTGTGCTAGATTAACTTCGAAGTTCGGTTACCTGAAAACTTCATGGTGTTAAGCTCTAACTTCTTTGGGAATGAGAATGCTACCAAAAAGAGCCTCAAACTAAAAGAAGAATTCTATTGTCCAAATCGAGTCTCTGGGCTTTGAATTAGTCTTACTGTAGTGCGACGTTATGTGCATGCCCAAGCCATTAGGACCTATGTCTTTTTACTCTTCCAACAGTGCCAACTTGTTTAGTGGCTCTGTCCAGATTCTGGACTCCAGAATACATTCCTTCAGGGTCCCAGCCAGCCTAGCTTCTAGAAGGGCCCTGGCCATTAAAGTCAAGGCCCCTAGGCGAAGACTCTCCACCTGTGCATCTACCGGAAACACAACTATCTCAGACCAAAAAAAATTTAAAAAAAAGTCGCGTTGAGGAACTCCAAAATTCACGACATGCAAAAACAAAGCAAAAAATAGGTTGATCAATAAAATTTCAACTGTGTTGGCATTCTCACGAGTCACAACTTCTTTGGCAGGCTATCCATACACAGTGGCTGCTTCAAACCAATTACCAATAGCTAGAACCAAAAGCTACTAAGCTCACTAGCCTTTGCTCACCACTTCAAGCTTCAAAGTCCAGCTGTTAACTACGTGCGACGATCAGGTACAAGTTTCGCTAACAATAGAGTGTAGGTGATAATCGCTCTTGATCAAAAAGAAAGGACACCTGAGCTGAAAAGCTTTATTCTACTCACAAGTCATACCCAAGAGCTCTGTGAAATGCAACAGCCCATTCTCAAGAGGGTGAAGATTAAGATACGCTCATTTGACACCAAACTATCAGAGAATAGATTATACCACATCATGAAGTCAAGACTTGCTACTGTGGTTATTGCCATACTACTCGTAACATTCTTCATAATAGGTCCATACAATATAGACAAGATCAATTACAAACCACTAGCGGAAGACGCGACTGAAACCATATCGAGTGATGCTAAAGGTGATGTAACCCCAAATGAGAAGGAAAAATCATCATCTGATAAATTGGACATATCTTATGAATTATTTGATTCTAGCTTTCTCGGAAATCATAAATTGAGTAAAGGTGATGACGCCTCAAAATTCATCTTTGTTAACAACAAATATCCAACTGCAGCTGGTTATGAAAATGTCTTGAAAGCAATTGACCCTGACACTTTTATTCATTATCCAACTTATAAGAAATGTGAAATTTATTTTAAAGAATTGTACAACAAGACACCAAATTGGGCATTGGAAGAATTGGAAGCTGGTTATCCTTACAATGGTTATATTTTTGATACTAAACAAAGTTTCCTCAATGATAGAAAAAATGAATTCAAGTCTTCATTGAAAAAGGATGATAAAGATGAGATAAGTGATGAACAACTTAATAAACAAATTGAGGAAAAGGGTAAAAAATATGAATGGGATGCAAAATACGCGCAAGCCTATAAAGAATCAGAGGATTCAGAAACTTATATGACTGGTCAAATGACAAACCTAAGAGTTTTCAGTCAATGTTATCTGGATAGTTCCATTGACCCAAGAGAACAACATATCATTGATAATATGCATCCAAACATTACATGTGAGGAAAATGAGAATAGATTGTTTAAATTCTTGACTAAAAAATTACCATCATATACAAGATGGACAAATGAAACAATTAATGTCTTGCCAGACATGTCCAAATATTTAGCTGATGTTGATTACAAAACCAATATGACAGTGCCAAAAACCAATGAAACTACTTGTTTCACACGTTCTTTAATGAATAGTTTTAATGGACAAGGTATTGCTATTTCGGCTGCTGATAAACATGTTGGTGAATTATCAAGTTTGATTCTAGTTTTAAGAGCATTGAACAACAAATTACCAATTCAAATTATTCACAGAGGTGATTTAAACTATACTTCACAAGCTGCTTTAGTAAATGTTTCAAGATCACTAAATTTAAACCTTGAAAAAATCAATTCATTTAAAGCTTATGTTCAAGCTAATTTTGAACATGTTAGAGATTTGGATGTTGAAACAATTTTCCCTAAGCAAGAGATTTGGTTTGTCAATACCACTTCTGCTATTAATCCTAATGATAGAAGATTTATCTCTTATGGTAACAAATTGTTAACTTTGCTGTTTAGTTCATTTGAAGATACCGTTTTGATTGATACTGATACTGTTCCATTTGTTGATATTGAAGAGTATATTTTAAAATCAGATGTTTATCAAGATAAAGGTGCATTTTTCTTCAAGGATCGTCAATTATATGATCATATAACAGGACCAGAACTAACATATTTCAAAAAATTATTACCAAATAGATTGGATAATGCCTTTTTCCAGATTCCAGAATTGACAAATTTCACAATGGATAATAGATTTTTTGGTCAACATTATAAGCATGTTCAAGAATCCGGTATGGTTGCAATCAATAAGAAAAAACATATGAGAAGTACTTTAACTATTAATGTCCTACAAATGTGGCATGCAGCAACCACGAGAGTGCATGGTGATAAGGAATTATTTTGGTTGGGATTTTCAATTGCAGGTGATGAAGATTATTATATGAATAAATATGGTGTTGGTGCAGTGGGTCAATTAAATCCAAATTCAAATAGATTATTGGGTGATAAAGATGATTCAAGAAGGTCTAAACTAAATTCCCATCAATTATGTACAACACATCCAGCACATTTATCAGGATTAGATGATACTACATTATTATGGATGAATTCAGGTTTCATCACATGTAAGCGTGAAAATGAAGCTGAGAAAGATATTGCAATGGATTTATACAAGAATGTCTTTGATAATGCTGAACAGTTGAAGAAAACTTATGTCGGTCCTTTGAAGATTAGTGCTGTTTTAGTTCCACCACCTCAAGAACGTGTTAGAAATAATGATTTAGGTGAACCTGCTTCAGGTTGGGAAGTTATGTTTGGTTGTGGTGGTTATCTATATTGTGCTTATGATAATGTCGGTGGTGGTAATGATACTTATTACCAAGGAACTTTAGTTGAATATGATTCATCTCAACAATTGTTGTATGATTATCTTGGTGAACTTTGGGTTTACTATCAAAAGGTTATCAAGAAATGAGTGTTTATGATTTTCTGCTGTTTTTTTACTTGCTTTTAACATTGATTTGAAGGTGATATTGTTGTTGTTGTTTTTTTGCAGCACCCATACACTGGTCAAGAACCAGTATGTTTGTGATTTCTGTTTATTTTTTTTAAGTATGCATTTAGGGACAACTCTTTGAGAATGTACATAGATTTAATAGTGCTTTTTATGTATGTTTCATTTTATTAATTATACAAACGAACAAAGGCTTTTCTATGCAAGTTAACGAATATCACATAACCACACAATCAGTAAGACCTAATCCATACATGGCTTTCTCAACATCTTTTTTAATTTTGAACCAATCTGCTCTTTTTTGAACAAACTCATAAATCTCCTCTTGTTTGAAAATACCATTGAATTTACTCAAATCACCAATCAATTTACCCAACTCTTTAGAATCATCAGTAGAGATCAAATATAGTTGACCTATTTCTTTCAATCCAATAAACAATGGTGTAATGTTTTTCTGTCTTAGTGTATTGACAACAAAATCGTAATACAAATTCAAATCACTAATCAAGATAATCGACCCGCTTGTGGAAATGATTCTCTTCTTTATATTCTTGACAATCACTTGGAAAAATCGTTCACCAATTTCTTGTTGGAAGATATCAATTATACCCTTTTCGGTAGATCCATTCAATAGATTAATATGATTTGATAATAGGGTCACCACTTTTTCGGCACACTTTGTTGGGCCTGTGAATAAAACTGCTTCATTCCCATTCGTTGTTTTAGGATTGAAATCATTAGGTAGTTGTAATGTGTTGTATATGAATTCAATCTCAGCCATAAGTTTATCAATACCAATGTTAAGCCCATTAGCCACAAAATTATCCAATGATGTCTCGAATTGTTTCTTTGTTTGATTTGCATTGTTTAAAAATTCATCCTTGTTCAGAATCTTCTTCATCACTAATTCATTTTCATAAAAAATTTCAATCATTTGCTGGATCAAATCTCCAATGTTTATTAGTTCTGTAAATTTCTTTAATGGTTCCACAGTTGATGTTGATTCAACACTTTCCAGAGATTTAAATTCAGTTGGATCGTATCTTGATAAAAAATCTATAGCTTTTGTAAAACCTGGCCTTATATGATACTTGGATATTATAGTGACAAGTTTGATAAATATTTCTTCAATTTGAGAATTTATTTTGGCTTGATCAACTATTGAATGTTGTGATTTCCCAAATATTGCAAAAGTTTCAATTTTTGCCTTAGCAATTTCAATAATCTTGTAGCATAGTTCAAAATTCATAAAATTTTTCAAATTTTTCAAATTCTTGTTCAAGATTTCAAAATTAACTTTGAATTTAATCTCGTTTGAATCTTTATTTGACTTGCTAAATATCTTTGTAAAACTTGATAAAAGTTCAAACTTGTTTGTTTTAACATCTTCACTACTATATTCAGTCAAGACCGATTTATAAATATTATCTTGTTCAATCTTCTCTTGTTCAGATAGTTCTGTTTCAAATTGTTTAATCTCTTTGATTGAATCCTGTTCAAAATTAACAATTTCCTCGTTCAAAAAGTTGATCACCAATGGTTCAAAGTAAAGGTTTATGAAAGTAATCATCATATGTCTATAGTTGTCACCAGCATTCTTTGAGTCATTCAAGTTTGGAACAAACGTATTCAACAGTTTCAAGTAGACTTTTGGTATAATCTCTATATTTTGTTCGCACTCTTTAGCAAAGAACCCACTAACAATGTTCTTATCTATAATTTGCTCAGAATATAACAGCATTATTGGTAGTTGGTCACCAAAACTTTCATCTATAATTTTTGATTTTGAATTGAAGAATTCGGTCAAGTCCTTTATCACATCATCCAATGATCCTTCTTGTAATGACTTGTCTGTGTCTAATATAGTTGGTGGGAAAAAATCCATTGGAAATTTATTCTCTTGTTGGAAAAATTCAACAATCAGGTCCTCTTGATCTAGCAAGTTTAAGCATGCAACTAATCTATGGACATTGTAATAATTCTCGTTATCAAAGCTTTCCTGCATCTGTTCAAATTTCAACTTGGTGTACTTTCTAGTCAAGTCTCGAAGTCTGGCGCTCATCTCATCTTTAACAAATTGATCACTATCATCCATTTGAACAAATTTTGACAAGTTCTTTAAAACCTTGGCTTGATCATTGATATCATCGTTACCATATCCAAAGAGCTCTTGAAAATCAAAATCATCTATATCAATTCCATCACTTTTCCGTATTATCGAAAGATACGGTTTCAATAGTCTAAATATCAAAACAACTGTTTTCTTTGGATTTGAAGTGCTTTTGATGGAATTGAATATGTTCGTTGCTTGGAAATCTGATAGAAGGTCATCAGTATGTGTAGGATCATAGCTTATAAAGACATTCTTGAGCCTTGCCTTGAAATAGTCTTTATCTATTGAAGACAATGATTGATTGGTGAATTTGGATACAGAACTCAAGCTCAAATAGTCCACAATGGAAAGGTTCTCAGCTATTGAGAGTACAACATTTCGCACCTTGAAAAGTTCAGCCATCTTTGATATAAACCACTTATGAAATACCTAACCAAAACAGCTTTGGGCTTCGAGTTTTTGACTGTCTTGGTTGTTTATGAAGAGACTGTACCTGTTTTGATCCAAAATTCCAGCCAAGGTACCCGGTATCTACAGAACGCATTCGCGAAAGGATGTTTTGCAAATTTAAGCTGTCGGGTCCAAAACATCATAAACAGTAAACAAATCAAATTCATCAACAGCTTGGGTACAATTAATAGGCTAGACGGTTTACTAAAGATGAAGCCATTTTCAACACAACACGAGGAGCTCATACACGATGTTTCGTATGACTTTTATGGAAAACAGATAGCGACATGCTCATCTGATCAACATATAAAGGTTTTCGATTTGGATACAGCTACAAATGAATGGATATTGAATGACTCTTGGAAGGCTCACCACTCATCAATTGTCAAAATAGACTGGGCGTCACCAGAATTCGGTAAAGTGATAGCTTCTGTTTCACATGACAAGACTGTCAAGATCTGGGAAGAGGATTTAGATGAGCAAAGAGGAAGCGGTCGCCGTTGGAAACATTTAGCTACATTGAATGATGCTAGGGGTCCATTATATGACGTGGCTTTTGCACCAAGTCACTTAGGCTTAAGATTAAGTGCAATTGGTAGTGATGGTGTTCTAAGAATATATGATGCTTTAGAACCTGCAGATTTGAGATCATGGACATTAACATCAGAAGTTTCAGTTTTAAGTGTCCCACCAGCTTCACATCTACAATCAGATTTTGCCCTAGCTTGGTGCTCATCTAGATTTTCACCTGAAAAATTAGTGGTTTGTGCTTTAGATCAAGGTTTTATTTATCACCGTGATGCTTCAGGAAAATTAGTTCAAGCTGCCACTTTGCCAGATCATCATGGTCTTATTAGATCAGTTTCATGGGCTCCATCCATGGGTAGATTTTACCAACTATTGGCTACTGGTTGCAAAGATGGTAAAGTTAGAATTTTCAAGCTCACTGAAAGACTGGCCCAAAATAAAGAATTGGCCGAATACAATGAAGATGAGGATGAGAATGGGGACTCTAAAAAGACCTCGAATGTTGAAATTCAAGTGGAATTAGTGAGTGAACACGATGATCATAAAGGTGAAGTGTGGTCTGTTTCATGGAATTTGACTGGTACCATACTAAGCAGTTCAGGCGATGATGGTAAAGTGAGGTTGTGGAAGGCTTCATACTCTAATGAATTCCAATGTCTCTCCGTGATATCAGCAGAGCAAAAGGAAATTGTGTAACAATAAACAAAAAGTGATGATTTAGCTATTATACGTTGTAAATTGTCATCGAGGACATCGGTGTGTAACCTTTCCGAATCGAGCACCCGTAAAAAAAAAATTCTTTTGACATATAACTTCCAGAATCTGTTTGATGTATACTCAAAAACTTCATACTACTACACATCAACGATGAAAATTTTAGCAGCTGCCGACGATTCAGGTAGTTTCAAGGGTATGTGGACAATCTACTGGCTCAAAAGGACTGTCTACTAACAAAATTCAGAAATACTTTGCCCAAGAGGAACAGATACTTCATCTCAACAGGCACCTCAACCAGAAACAATTGAAACATATAATGGTGAAGGTTTGAAAAATAGAGTTCAAAGGTTTTTAGTCACAACTTGTAATGATGAAGAAATCATTGTATCAGCTAGGGCTAACGGTGCTATCAACTTCTACAATAGCAAAACCTATGAATCTATAAACTCAATCTCAAATAATTTGGAAACCTCAACAAAAGATGAATTTGTCTCTTTGATTAGCTCTTTTGGTAATATATATGCTGCTTCAGAGCAAGGAAAGATCACAATTATTGACTCAAGCTCTATTTCAAGTGAGAAAGTTAACTACATTACAACATCAGTTAAAGCACCACTTTCAACATTCATATCACATCCAACACAAGAGGGTGTTTTTGCTTATGGTGGTAAAGAAAATGATGTTAAAATTATTAGATTATATAAAGAAGGGACAAGCATCTTTGATAACGATGAAGTTAAACCAGAACAGTTATTTCAAGGTAAGAATGTTAAAAATGACAAATTAGATCTAAGAGTCCCAATATGGATAACAAACATCTTATTCATTAAACTTGAAGATCATACAGAAACAACATGGAAATTCATTACAACAACAGGACATGGTCAAGTTAGAAAATATGATACTTCACATGGTCGTAAACCAATCTTGGATAAGAAACTTTCAGATAAACCATTAGTTAGAGTTGCCGCTACACCAAAAGAAGATGAAATAATATGTGCAGATACCCATGTTACAACTGCATTATTTAATATAGAAAAAGGTGCATTGGTGGCTAAATACAAAGGGTCTGTTGGTGCTGTTCAAGCATTATACAGTCATTTGAAGGGTGACAATGGTCTTTTAGTGACTGGTGCTCTTGATAGATATGTTCGTGTTTTTGATATAAACACAAGAGAACAAGTTGCAAAAGTTTATATTGGATCGAAAATTAGTGCTGTTTGGTTGTTGAGTGATGAGAATACCGATGCTGAAAACAAAAAAGAAGAGGAAATTGACCCAAAGAAACTCAAGAAGATGAGAAAGAAAGCTGAATTAGAAGACGAAGATGAAGATGAAGTTTGGAACCAGCTAGATAATTTGGAGAAGAAAACTACAAAGAAAAGAAAAACCTGAACTCATGATATGCATTAATAGAAATGTGCTTCCACTATTTTTTTCTATATTGTAAGTCCATTTACTGTAACTCTCTAGCCATTTTCTTATCATGGCCCGACTTTCTATTATGATTTGCTTTTGAAGATTTATTTTTTTCATTTTTGGCGTTTTGTCTCTTCACATTTGCAGGATTAGCTTTAACTGTTTGATTTGGCTTCTTTTTATTTTGATCATTGTGCGAATCTGTGGATGATGAAGGTGGAGGTCTACGTTCCTCTGCAATTTCTTCATCCTCTTCAGTTCTTCTCTGTGGTTTGTTGCCTCTAAACTGGTATTTCTGTTCAAGAATCCTAACACGTCTTGGTTCTTTCTCTAACATACGTGCCCACCCTTCAATTTGTTCGTGTGACCAATGTAAAGTCTGCACTAATTGTTGTCTTTCATTCCAGCGTCTGTTCGGTTTTGCAAAAACATTCGGATCCCTTTTGTAAGCCTCCCATAATATCTTTTCTGCTTTATCGAATTTACCCTTTTCATCTGGTGTTACTGCTTCAGCTTCATCATAAGTATCATCATGTTCATCTTCATCGGCTTCATACATCAATCTCAGTGCAGAAGTTAATGTTTTGTTTTTCAATTCATCAGGAACATGAAGTTCAGATTCCTTTTGAAGTTTGCTTCTGTTCGACAAAAGTTTGACATTCTTTGTTTTGTTTTCCATAACATGACGGCTCTTGTCTTCTTCTTTTTCAATAGCAGCTTCTGGGTGTTCAAGTAAAAGCATTGTAACTTCTTCAACGTTATTGTTATGTTTCTTCAATAGTTTCGCAGTGTGTGATATTGAAAGATCTGGGAATAGCTCTGTTAAAGTCTTGACATCTGCTTCATTAACATCTGATTTTGGTTGTTTGATCAAAAATGGAAATCTCTGTTCAATACCTGGGTTTAATTCTTTAAAGCTCTCTGATGCAATAATACCACCGAACAATGGATATAGTCTAAGTGAGCTATACGTGTTTATTCCTAATTCAGTTCCTATTGATGCAACTTTAGCAATGGGTACTGATACTAATGATAAAACTGCAAGATTTCTCACCAATTTTGAGAATTTACCTTCTCCATTTGCATGTAACTTTTCCAACATGTCAATCCATGATAATGTAACAAAAGTTTCACCAAATGATGTCCCTTTTTTAGCCTTGGTCTGCTTTAGGAACGGTTCTTTGGTGGCTTTTGACTCTGTTTGCACTTTAGCCGACTTCTGTAGGAGTACTGCAAGTGTTTCCAAATCATGTTTTTCGAACTTTCCATTAGTTATCAAATGTTCAAGATGTTTATGGACCAATGATATGGAATTTATGGTCTTTTTATCTTTAGGTTTATATGTTCCATCAATAATACCTTTCACAATTGTAGCATTCTTAGCAGCGTAGACTTTTGCAAAATGCCACAAGGCCGCACCATTCAACTTCAGGTTCAACACACCCAATTGTTTAATCAGTTCTAAAATCCAGCTTCTTAGAGTATCCAAATTTTGTGTGATCTGAACGTTAATCAGACCCAGTGATAATATTTGACCTTGCTCTTCTGCAATCTCATGAAGGTAGCTTTTCAAAAAAAGGCACAACTGCTGCTCAGATCGTTGTGATAGCTGCCTTTTTAGCTGTAGTAGTGTCTGGATATAAGTGATGTAAACTTCAATTTCATGAACCCAGATGACTGGATCTTTATCCACCATTGAGGAACGCAACTTGAAAGGTGGGAACTGAGCTACCGGTAGCTCGACATATACATTATCCTCTTCGTCTGACATATCAATTAGGCTCGTTGAGTTTTGTTGCAGTCCTTTCTATGAATCATTGATTTTGCCATTCAAAAAGTGTTGATGATAGTAGAAAAACTTATTGATCGGGACACTACTATTATTCAAAATTCGGACACTTTATGTACAAGAATTGTAGATTCAAGGAGCCTATCTACCTATTAAAATCTGAATTTTCCTTGAGAGTCTTTATCTTGAAAGCAATGTAAAAGATCACAGCAAGAAAAATGGCCCCAGTACTAGCAAAAACAGGATATTTGAACTGTTCAGGTTTGTGAAATATCAAGGTCAAAATATGTGTACTTAGTTCAAACAAATTATTCAAGCTCTCTTCAAATGTTGTCACATTAAATCTTTCAAAATCATCAGTGATGTATATCTGGATGGAATTTTGAACAGCCAAGTCGAAACACCATAATCCAATTCTACTCCAAGGAATACAAAAACATACCAACCAATGAGTCTTTGAATAATTTATGATGAAGGAAGCCAATATTGGGGTTAGCGATAGGAATTGAAACACAACAGAAATTAATCCCACGTTAATGAAATTAGTCAACTTGTTTAGAAATGGGAATATGACTAAAGTACCGAAAAGTTCAAACCCTGTAGAGATACCTTTTAATAACCCGATTGAAAAATTGTTGATGTCATCAAATGAAAGAAGATATGCAATTGTAGTGTTCCCAAATGACAGAACCGTTAAGTAAACTAGTGATATTGATATAACTTGAAGAGCTATTGGATTCTTACAGAACAGCTTCAAGCTTTCCCAGTAGGTTAGTGGTTGAAACTTTGGTGGGTTTTTGGTTATTTGGTCTTCTGATTCCTTTAAAGCAGGTATTGAATGGTACAGCTTCAAAATCATGGAAAATTCAATTTGGCTTGAAATGAGAAACACTAGAATGATGAATGCCAGTGTGATTTTGAAACCTGCAATTGTAATGAATGATGATATGAAAAAAGGCGCAACTAATTTGCAAAAAAGGTCAATGCCTCTCAATTTTGTATTCAACTCGATCATAAACTCTTCGTCTTTCAGACAAATCTTCACTATCCAATCTCTCGAGATTGATATCTTGTTTGCAATTGTAGTTAATTTTTCAACAACCCCACAAACAATAACCACAGCAAGACAAGCTTTTTTCAACAAGGAGTGATCTTCAAAGAATTGAAATATAATCAAGAGAATTGTAGCGGATAATACTGCAAAGGACCTTTGGATGAATATCGCTTCTTCAATTATTTTCAATCTTTGGCCATGATTGACCAAGTTTGTCACAGTATTGGACAGCAAGATTCCTGACAGACTTGAGCAAAACGCAAACAGCGAAGATGGAAACAAAGTTCCTGGGTAAAGGTTAATGATGAATAAGACAATCCCAAACTCATACATTCTTGAATTCCACACATATAAAAAATGTGAAATGTAAAGCCTGTTCTTGATGAGGCCCTTCAAGTCCGATGACAAATGGTGGTGAATTGCATCTGGATTTGGGTTATCTGTAGCCCCATGATTTGATTCTTCATCTTCTGGGTTGTGAATTAGGTAATTTTGTTCATTATTTCTAATCAATTGTTCTTCAATCCTGGCCTTTGAAGGTGAACTTGATGATCTTCTCGATTTTGTCATTGAGAAATCCACAAAACTTGACCAAATTTTCCCAAGTCTCAGATATGAATATTGAGCAGTAATTTAGTTTGAGCCCAGTTAAAATGTTATTGTATCAGCTAATTGAATTGCGTAAACTCTGTGCAAGGTTTACAAGATGAAGCGAGTCTTTGAAATTTCACTGAATACGAACGACTTGTTAATATGTTTCAAAACCATTGATAAAATAACCCAAACGATCAATCAAAGCGTGAACCCCCTTAATCCAAAGACCAATCTGTTTGAGCCCTTGATTGAGAGATTTATTGGAAGTCCAAAGTCATCATATAAACTTTGCATTCGTCGTTTAAACCAAAAAGTGTGAAAATCACGTGCCAATCATGTGACTCGTTACCCGGGCAAGCCACCTTATCAAAGCTGCAGCTTATCAGTGTGCACAAGTGTCGCGACACGGTGCCAGCCAGCAGCACCGGCCAGTGCGCTAACCAGCTTTGTCTTTTTGGTGGGCCGAATGAGCTCATCGCAGTCTGTCATTTTTGTTGTAGTGTGCAAATGAAAGCTATTTAAAGGGCTTGCCACCCGTTATCTTGTTCTTATCAACATCCCTTTTCTTGAACAACAAATAACCAGTTTGCAACACAACAACAGTGGACTATAAGGAACCCAAGTACCAGATAGTCATACTCCCAGTTGTAAATTGATTATAATCCCAAAGCGCTATTCAAGTTTATTACATTTTTGCACACTCTCAAAAACAACCACACCTCCCTATTTGAATCTAGATTAATATCACCATTATGAAAGGTTCAACTCTTTTACCAATCACCGTTTTGGTTTCAATTGCCAATGCTCTTGTTATTCCAACTATCAACACCAATGATATCTTCTCAGTTCAAAACGTTTTGAACCAAGAATCTTTGAACAATGGTGCCACCCCAGCCCCAGCTGCTCCAAAAGTTGACTCATCAATCTTGAAGAACAACTTGTTGAAAGCTGAAGATGCTGCTGAATTAATCTCAACTGAATCTGCTGGTCGTAATATCATTCCTCATCGTTATATCATCGTTTTCAAAGATTCTGTTAAACCAGAAGAAGTTGAATTTCACAAATCATGGGTCAAGGATGAACATATCAATTCTGCTAAGGCATTATATGAAGCTAACCCAACACATTCATTCTTCCAAGAAACTAACAAGGAATCTGCCACAGAATTAGGTGGTGTTTTAGATGGTTTCCACATTGATGGGTTATTATCTGGTTACTTTGGTTATTTCTTGGATGATACCATTGATTTAATCCGTCGTAACCCATTAGTCAAATTTGTTGAAAAAGATTCAAGAGTTTTCGCTTCTGAATTTGAGACCCAAAATGGTGCTCCATGGGGTTTATCAAGAATCTCTCATCGTGAAGCTTTGACTTTAGGTTCATTCAACAAATACTTGTACGACAATGAAGCTGGTAAAGGTGTTACATCATATGTTATCGACACCGGGGTCAATGTCAAACATCAAGACTTTGACGGCCGTGCCAAATGGGGTTCAACAATCCCACAAGGTGATGAAGATGTTGATGGTAATGGTCATGGTACTCATTGTGCTGGTACCATTGGTTCCAAACATTATGGTGTTGCCAAAGAAGCTGACATTGTTGCTGTCAAGGTTTTGAGATCAAATGGTTCAGGTACCATGTCTGATGTTGTTAAAGGTGTTGAATATGCAGCAAACGCACATGCTAAAGCTGTTAAAGACGGTAAAAAGGGTTTCAAAGGTTCTACTGCTAACATGTCTTTAGGTGGTGGTAAATCCCCATCTTTAGATTTAGCTGTTAATGCTGCTGTTCAAGCCGGTATTCATTTCGCTGTTGCTGCCGGTAATGACAACGCTGACGCTTGTAACTATTCCCCAGCTGCTGCTGATAAGGCTGTTACTGTTGGTGCTTCCACTTTATCAGATGCCAGAGCTTATTTCTCAAACTACGGTAAATGTGTTGACATCTTTGGTCCAGGTTTGAACATTTTATCCACTTATATTGGTTCAGATTCAGCCACTGCTACTTTATCAGGTACATCAATGGCTTCTCCACATGTTGCAGGTTTATTAACTTACTATTTGTCATTACAACCAGGTTCAGATTCTGAATTCTTTACTTCTAAAGGTGGTGTCACCCCAGCTCAATTGAAGAAAAAAATCATTGATTACTCAACTAAAGGTAAATTGACTGATATTCCAGATGATACACCAAACAAATTGATCTACAATGGTGGTGGTCAAGACTTGAAATCATTCTGGGGTGAAGAAGTTAACAATAAAGAATCAAATGTCTTAGCTGGTATTGATTCTGAAGCTGCAGCTGCCATCATTCATGATTTGGAAGCAAATGTTGAACATATCATGGAAGATGTTAAACAATTCATCAACAACAATGTTTAATCAGGATAACTCATGAGCTTTATGAAATTTTAATGCTAACCGGTTAGTCTATTTGCAACTAGCTACTTTTTATGGTAAATTTTCAATTCTGACTCCTTGTGAGTCCTTCTTTCTTTCTTTTTTATACCACACTGTTTTGTCATTTCTAAAGGGTACAAGATACTAGTTTAGATGAAATACTACACACTTATGTTAATTAACTCATACGCAGTAAAAAGTTACTTTATTAGCTAAAACTTTGTAAAGGCTTAGTCTGTGCGCGTAACAAAATTTCGGCCTTTCATGTTAAACCGTAACGACTAACCAGCCATGTTCAAAACAACATTTTATCAGATCAACAAGAACTCTTTCTCTTCTTTTATAATTATTTCTATACATCTTGTTCTCTATGGCAACCATCTAGAATAGAAGTCCATCAAATATAGAAGAATCCCTCAAATGCTAGACACTTTACCTACTAGACACAGAAAACCTCAACAACAACAACTGCAACTGCATCATCATAGAATCCATTCTTCACCAGCTCAAGTTTTTGAAAACCCACCAAGTAATCAATCATCAAAATGGCAAATACTGAAACATAATGAAAAGCAAATATATGAACATACAAATAAAAGTGATGATTCATTAGAACTAATGCCCACTATAGCTATGGGTTATGAGAATTCAATAAATAAGAAACTACAACGTCATCATGGTGAATTGAGAATTACAGGTGATGGTTATTTCTTTGATCATGGATACGATGATAATGATAGAGATTATAGATACGGTCCTAGGCAGGATGATTGGAGATATAACCAGCAATATCAACAGCAACAACAAAGTTCCAGTGGGGCTTATGGAAGAGAAGGCCAATTTATTCCTAGTGATGGTTACTATATGAGAAAGAGCTATGAACAGTCGAGGCCAGAGTATAATAGGAATAGGGTGCATCCAGTTTATGATCAAGATGATAAAAGATATGGTGATGATGGTCCAAATAGAGGCGAGTACAGAGCTGGTCGTTTTGATTCAAGGGATGACTTTCCAAGATCTGTTGAATCCTCACTAAGGCCACCAGTTGATGCTTCTGCGGTGCATAGATCCAAAAGGTCATATGGTGAGTTACGCCCTGTGAATTCAAGAGAAAAGAGTTTTGAAAGAGTGATGAGTTCAGAGCGTATAAGGAGCCCTAGTCATGAGCTTGATCATAGAAAAGCTAGTCAAAATAGTGAATATTATGAACCTGTTGCTATCCCTTCTGAAGCGGCTCTAGTCCTTGATGAAAAACATCTCAATTCACAAGAGCTCCAGCCTATGATGATAAAGTCACCAAAGAAGAAAGGATTTTTCAAGAAAATCTTTACAAATAATGATAGTAAATTAAGAAAGAAATCCAAGAGCAAGAAACTTGAACCATCATTAACACCATCAACAAATCTAATACAAGAGCCTGGAAACACCCCAGGCGAAGGATCTATCCAAGAAGATGATATCTCAGATAATGCACCAATAGATAATGGAAGTTCAATCGTTAATTTTATGGAGAATTTCCCAATAATATCAAACATTTTCAACAAAATTGATGAAAGCCCAATACCACACCAATCAAAATTGATATTAAAAGCATTATTATTATTTTGGATCCTATATGAAATCAATACATTGTTTGAGATTATTGGTGATTGGTTTAGAATGTTTGGTTCTGTGTTTACAAGCGGGGATGATGAAAGTTCATTGGGCTAGAGATTCGAGTGATCTGATATTGGATAGTTTGAGAATCAAAATAATGATAAAATATTGATTTTGTCATCTTTTTGTGATGTTTAAACTGATCAGATCATATGATTAGTTACCTCTCTTGAATTATTATTATAATCATTTATACTTTGAATTGAATTGAAGCTTGAATTCAATGATTAATGGAAATAGAATTATAGTTATACTGCACATGAACCAGTTGAGAGGGGTGTATCGTTACATGGAAGGTTTTGCACCAAGTTGTTCATTTGATTTGGAATAAATCAATATTGAACAGCAGCTCAAACAGTCGCGGAATAATTAATGCTTTGCAGCTATAGTACATGTTGTTTATAAAATGATCATAGGCTGTATCTCATAGTTTATCATGGCATGAACTTATTGTTGTAGTGTTCTCGATTCTTAAGACAAGGTGATGCGGTCAGTGTTGGTAAGTGTTGACATCACAATGATACTATGTTGATGTAAGAGAAGCTTGGTATATACCTCACCCATGACACCTCTCTGCTGTGATAGATCTCTCCAGTAGTAGTTACTTGTTACTGAGCAGTCTGCTTCTTTGTATATTTATGGGTAAAAATAATTTCAAGTCAAAGCAGTCGGTGTTCATGAACTAATATTCGTGGTGCTGCTCCAAGGGTGTACCGATGGAGCTTGAGGCTTGTTCCTTGTACCGCTACCTGTATCAATTGAGGCTGATCAGAAGACGGAGAAACTTTTCCCTTGATAACCAGACAATAGCCATATAGGCTATCTTTGTTCAAGCCTCTGGTTGAAAGTTAAAACGTTGAGAAAGTACATCAACATGGTAGCTCTTCTAATGGTAAACCCAATATCTGAATCCTTCTTGTAAATTTTCATCTCAAAGATCTAGATTCCAATTTCCAAGTCAAAATTTTTGAGCGCCTTCGACACGGTTAACGGACGCACAATCTCAAACGCACCTCCGTTAGTATGGAAACTTCTTCCAGAAGGGTGCTTTCAAACGGCCAAAACCTGAAGATTTCCAAGGTTTGTCGAAGCATGGATCAACTAAATGAGCTCAAGGGTAGCTTAATTGAATAGGCTTAAGCGAGCTTCAACCAATTAGAACGGGATAGGTCTTACACGCCTCTTTAACCCTCAGGTTTGTACTAAACAAGTACAGCTATTTGGTATCGCCTAGCCATAATTCAATGAACAATGATCTGCTCAGTATCAATGTTGAGCTAATTTCATGGAAGTTGCAACTTGTTGAACACTACAACATAGGTACATAATAAACTTTTACGAACTTTTCTACCATACACAAAATTTCAGACACTAGTGCCGATGTATGTACAAATTATCAAACATCATGAGTTCTATTGTGCAAACACAGCTTCAAACAGCTTTTATCCAGGTGACTGAAATTTCAGCTGATTGGCTATATTTGTAACATTTGATCTATTTAGCCAGGATTGATCACCAATTACACTTTTGATTGTTTTCAGAGAGCCCTCTCGATTGAAATTCGTACATGTATTGGTACATATGCAACTGAAGAGCCATTCGTTACAAACAAGTATAAAGATCCTGAGCTCTCCGCCATTCAATCACCTTCAAAATCACCACAACCTAGAGAGGCTACCACTTGCAATTTCCAACCTTTCCAGGATCAACTGCTGCTGACTTTAGCCCATCTCGCGTCTTCTGTCAGATTTCTCTCTGTTGCCCCAGTCTTCAGAGCCCAAGAGCGTACAGCTATCAATTCCTCCAGCAGGTATTATTGCTAAAACCAGAAACAATCTAAGAAAAGTGCCTTCTTTGAAATTGCATCCAACGGTTCAAATTCAGAACAATCAGCTTCCTCAACAATTACCTCAAAACTCGTTTAAGCGCCTGTCATCTACCAAAAAGCGAGGGCACCTTTATCCAACAAGGCCATTTTGAACCAAAGGCGTCACAACTCATCAGTGCACTGATTGGCAAAAGTACTGAAAAAATAATAAGGTTTCATCGAAGCTTCTCTCCAAATATTTAAGCCCATTTTTAAAAGAAATATACCTTATACCAGTCAAAAAAACTTTTTTTTGTGGGATTATATACTTGACTCGCACCTCATCAACAAAAGCCAAAACAGTGTATGGTGAACTTGTCAACGTCACGATGAGTGATACAGATCAGAAGGAACCCAAGAAGGTTCTTCATCGTAAGAAACACAAAAACTCAAGACTAGGTGCGTATGGTTTTTCTTGTTCTGTTTACTGGTTTCCAACTCTGTGGGTTACAAGGTTTGATGTCGTGAAGAAAACGTCAAATCATTGGCTTCAATGAAAGACTTTGTCTTGAAAATGGTGTTGTTTACTCAGTGATGGAAGTTATGCTTCAAGAAAGTTCTTCTACTAACTTTATATGACTCTAGGTTGTCCACAGTGTAAACAAAGAAGAATCAAGTGTGATGAGACGTTGCCATCGTGCAAAAAATGTTCAACAAGAGCAGTAAGTAAACATCTATATTGCAAAATGAGATTACAATGTTACTAACCAGGGACCTAATTTAGTTCAGGTGTGGTTATTTGGATTATACCCCTCAAGAGTTGAATATAATAAGGCAAGCTCATATGAATGATGATGAATTGTATCAACATGCCATGGGTCCAATGACACAGTTAATCAATCAACAAAATAGCTTTATGCAAATTCAAATGCAACCAAATCAAATGCAATCATTCCCACAACAGCAACAACAAGGTTCGTTGTCTTCAGATCAACAAATGACATACCCACCACCACCACAACAGCAACAAGTACCACAACCTTTTTATAGACCTGTCAACCCTCCTCAACTGTTCCCACAGCATCCAGTTTATTTACCAAATCAACTAGCTGAATTTCAAAGACAGCCTAATCAACTAAGTGACACGCAACAGTATGAACAATTGAATCAATATAATGATATACAAGAAGTTCACTCGGGGAGTGAGTATGGTGGAGGACAATATCAACCACTTCCTATGCAACGAGGACTTGAAGGGCACTCTAGTTCAACTTCAACTTCAGAGCTATCACACCCAATACAAATCAAATCAAGCATGGCACCAATAATTCAAATCACTGGTGAACCACCAACTACAGTGGATAGCTCTACCACTCAGGCGGGGACTTCATCAATATCCTCCTTCTCATCCAAGAATTCACCATTCAATGGAGATGATTTGGATCGTTCCAACAATATGGAACTTTATACAAAGGATTTGGGACATTCACCATCAAACTCTGTCCAGTCTGGGAATCCAAATGAAATTACATTAATACGACACCAATTGAATGAACCACAGTTTGATTTGAGCAAATTTCCTGAATTTTTTGATGAAACTATTCCTAATGCATTTGCTAGAGTGTTTTTATTAAAAGAGGTGCATTCAAGATTACAATTGGCTACGTCAAGTAAAACATTATTTTACGGTATGTTATTGCAAGGTGTTGGTAAATTATCAGTGACAATACCTGAATTAGAGGCTGTTTTCTTGAAATATAGAGGGAAGTGTATGAATACAATCAGAAACCAATTATCAGATATTCAAGATTCAAATGCTGAACAATTGTTGATTTTAACTAGTGTCTTGAATAGTTCATCAATCTATATTGAGAATATCACAATGAAGGATTTTTTCTCATTAGCTTCAGGTCCTGCAGCATTGTTGAAAACTGCATTTGAAGATCCTTCGAAATTTCAGAAATCTTTTATCAAATTGAAGAACCATGCTGATGGATTATTGTTCACTGCAAGATCAGTTTGGAATCCAAGGTATAATCATAGAGGTTTATTTGAATTTTTAGAAGTTGTTAAAGAATTCGGTGCCAAATATATTGAGGATGAAGATTTCTATAATGATGATGATGTGATCAAAGTTCAGTATAAGAATTTGGTGGACTTTATTGAATTTGCATTGAATTTCTTGGAAGGTGAAAAATCAAACAAACATGTTTTGTTATATCCTGTTAATAAAATTTATAAATTGGTTCAATTATGGTATCAAAAAGTTCCCTCTGAAATTTACACATTTGGTTCAGCTACTCCACCAGTTGAAAAAGTGTTCTATGTTTTTTGGTTTGCACTTGGTGAAATTATTGAAGATATCCTTGTTGGTGGTCGTTATATTTTCACGTTTCTATTTAATGGGTTCTATCTGCTATTCCCATTCAATAAGCACCATCTGTATCAAAACTTGGAGGATGAAGATTTGAGAAAACATGCAAATTATCTATGTCGTATTATTGCATTCTTGAATAGAAGAAAAGCCTACATCGTGAGAAATACTATTTTGAACGATCCAATCCCATCATTTTTTGATTCAGTTGATAGATTCAAGCCAAGAGCACTGGATATTCATGAACGTTGCATTACAAGTTTCAAAAACACAAATATTAAACCATATCACTATCCTAGTGAATCAACAACTAGTGGTAACTTGATAAATGGTACAAATTATTATAAGACGCAAACTGATTTTGAAGATGGGAACTTGGCTGCTCAGCTATTTAGTGGTCTCAATACATCCTTGGATGCTGAACCTGTCGCAGAAGAAACCATAGAAGTTGATCTTTTAGACGTTGATCCCAAAACAGGTTTATTGAATGATGATTATGACCCAAGATTTAATGACCCTATTTTCCAAAGTAATGTTCTTTTCCAGAGTGCGGACTTGGATTTCCTAATTAAGTATCATGAGGATAGAAAACTTATTATTCAATTGGATATGGAGGATTAAATTTAACGAATTTATGTTTTGAAATTTACACTGTAGTTTATATTTCCGGGAATTTGTCACGTGAATTGTCCTCGGTGGAATCAAAAAAAAAAAAAAAAAAGTAAACAAACGAAATCAAAACAAATTTCAAGCTCACACCGATCTTTAATTGATCCATTTTTAACATTATCAAGAGACAATTTGATCTTTCCAAATTAACTACACTCACTTGATATATCTGTCAGTACTTTCATCATCATTCATTGCATTATTGTCTAATAATTTATACACACTCGTACCACTCGCTTGTACATCGGCTATTCAGATTCAAACGTGATTTTTTTTTTACAAGAGATCAAAAACCTCAAAAAGATTATAAGTCATTTCAAATTTATCAAATACGTTTGCATTCAAAATGAACACCTTACAGAAACCATATTATAATAATAAGAACTATCTCAAGCCAGTGCTGAAAGAACCATCTTCCGAAGTTACCTCAAAAGCCACATCGGATGACACCTCTTATGAAACCCCATATGATATAGCTAAAAAGAGACAATCACAAGGACCAGAAGAACCATCTATGAACCAAGCAACAATCCAACGCTCAGTAAGTGATGTCCCAGATTTCGAACTAGATCCACAAAGAAAAAGAGCAGATTATCATATCAAATTAGTTGTTGTTGGTGATGGTGGTTGTGGTAAGACATGTTTATTAATTTCATATTCTCAAGGTGAATTTCCAACTGTTTATGTTCCAACCATTTTTGAAAACTATGTGACCAATGTTAAAGGTCCAAAAAATAAGATCATAGAACTAGCCTTATGGGATACTGCTGGTCAAGAAGAATATGATAGATTACGCCCATTGTCCTATCCTGATGTCAACATTTTACTAGTGTGTTATGCCATCAATAGTATTACTAGTTTACATAATGTTAGGGAAACATGGACACCTGAAGTTAAGCACTTTTGTCCTGGTATACCCATAATATTGGTTGGTACAAAGATGGACTTAAGCTCCACGAGTGATTCTATTGTGGATTTCCACGAAGCTGAAAGACTTGCACAAGAAATTGGTGCTGTTGAACATATTAGATGCTCAGCCAAGACAACAGAGAATATAAATCACGTTTTCAATGTTGCCATCACAAGTGCATTGAAAACCATTGATGCTAATAATGCAGCAGTTTCTGACAATAGAAAATCACTGAAAAATAGATTTTCTAGACAATTTGTCAAAAAGAATGAAACTCAGGAGTTTAAAGATCCAGTTCCTCCACCAATGGTGTCAGATTATTACAAAAACTCAGAATATGGCTTAACTGATGTTCCAGAAAAGAAAAAGAAGAAGAGAAGATGTGTGATTCTGTAAATTTAATTTTCAATATCAGTGTGTATCTATTGGTTTGGGACTATTTCCATTTTAATTTAGGCGTTTTATTTGATGATCCAGGCTTTCCCTACAATCCAATACGTAATACAAAATCTATTATACATAAACTAAATCGTCATACGGTCCCAATTAACAGTGTGTTTTGAATCTTCTTCAAGTGAAACACGAATGATGATACCATGGAAGTTAACACTGAAAACCTCTTCAGAATCTGAGTTGAAAACAGACTTGAACACATCATCTGAAAGATCAGTTTCGTCATCACCAAGATCATCAACTTTTAAAAAAATGTTATGTTTATTAGCAAGCAAACCACCACCATAATACAAATAATCTTTTAAATCAATAACTTTGGTCTTCACTTGATGGAATAACTCTTCTGGACTGATTTTGTCCAACTGGTAGTTAATTTCTTCTGTATCAATCTTCATAACATAATGCCAGTGGTATTTCTCCATTTCAAACCATGAACCGCTTTCAGCGATAGTCTTTGGAGCAGGATCCCATGGCTTGGAAATGAAACTGAATCCAAGCTCAGAATCTTTATTACCTGGGAAAATGGCTAATGAAGCATTTCTACCATCTGGATCACCGTAATTTGAGAAGACATAGCTCAAATCGAAATCTTTAGGGATATCTTTCAAAGGAACAACTTCACCAGTGTGACTGACAGCATTATAACCAGCAAATGTATAGCCCACTTTAGCGTAGCCGTTAATCAATTTGGCAGCTCTAGCATAAAATGGCTTCCCTGTAAACTCTTGATAACCATATGACAACAACCCTCCAAAGATAACTTCAGTCAACTGTTTTTCATATTTCCACAAGTTACAATGAAAATAATCTCTAATTGGATCAAATATTGACCAGTTACAGACATAATATTGGACAAGATGGGTAACTTTCATTGTCATGTAGCCATGAATTGGCATAAAGACACTTCTGTAAAGATGCTTTGAAGCCCTATTATTGTTTCTGTAAACAACTTGATTCTTGGAATTGAGACAAAGACCTTTGAAATCATTTGGTGCAAGCTTACATTTGACTGTCTTTTCTTTTCTTTCAATAATCTTTACAGCTTTGTTGAACTTTTTCATAGCTTCAGCTGGGATAATTCCTGTATCCTTCGCCATGCTTTTGTAAATTTCATCTTTCTTTGTCAACTTTTCAACACTTTTCCAAAAAGATTTGGCATTTGAATCAATCAAACCGTTTGCTTCAAAAGTAATATTATTTTCATCTGAAAGGTCAATGTCTGTTAAGTTGAGAGCTGGATATGAGTAAGTATGCGGTTTTGGTGTTGCATTTGGAGAGCTGGTGTTTGCTGGCTCGGGTAAAACAATTGTTGGAGTATCAACAAAGTTTGGAACATCAGCAGACTCTTCAGGGGCTGGTAAAACAATTGTAGGAGTATCTTTGAAGTCTGGATAAGTTTCATTGATGCCTGGTAGTTTGATAGTTGGTGTATCTGTAAAGTTTGGGTACTCGGTATAAACACTTGGGGCAGTTGAGGAAGTGTTGCTTGGTCTGTCAATTTTCACGGGTAAACCTTTAGTACCAACTGCACAAAGTGCTAGTACTGAAACTTTAAAAATATGCATTCTGTTTGTTGTATTCAAAAGTGAGGTATATTTGGAATATAGTTAAGATGTTTAAAGACAGCTTTGGGGCTTCATGCCTTCTTTTATAGTGGTATAAACCGAAGCAGAAATAATAATAGTTCAAGTAGCTGACAGAAAAAAAATTGTATCAACATCTGAGAACATTACCACTAACAGAAAACAGACGCCAATTGTGAAAGCATAGTCCGTGATCGGTTTTTTGGCTCCTACAATATGTTTAAATGAGGAACAGAAAATATATATTGATATTGGTACTTATTGGCGGGAAAACAAGACTTGAAAGTTGAAAGTGATCAACGTCATTGAACCAGATGTTGTAAAAAAAATAGCATATTGTAATAAAAAGTGAACAGATGTTATTGAATTTGAGTAGCTTTTGACATTTTCATGACTTAAGCAATAACGCAACCACCATTTTTGACGACTGAACCGATGATTTTGGTTAGGTTATCTTTGTCTTCAGATTGGTCTTTTTGAGAAGCGTTTGAGATTGGTTGCATTTTTGAAGATTGAGTGATTGTTATTTGTAGTTTTTGATACTTTGTTAGTACTTACAAACTGTATTCAAAGGTTATTTTCACCTTCTTATATAGTTTTCGAGTGTCAGCAGCAGGTTTATTGGATTGTATTAGTTGACCTTATAGCAGTGTGGTCCGTAACATCACAGTTCCACTATGTTTTGCCCGATCGGGAATTAACAATTGTGTATCTCATAGTTTCGATACAGATCTAATACATTGACATTTAAAGTTTGGAAGCTGGTCATCTGGACTTCTTCATTAACAACCCATTTGGAAGCATAGGCTTGACAGGTTTCAACCCCGTTTCAAAAAGCTTGAAATTTCGGAGCAGCTAGAGAGTGACTTGATCCACACAACAATTTCTTTTACAACCTCCATTGAAGGTATTGAATTACCCAAATTGAAACAGTTTGTACGGTAAGGTCCATGCTGTTTCACAATTCTACAGCTTTTTCATTGATTCGAACAAAAACAATCTATTCAGATACTATCACTTTGTCTACCTATAACCTTCAAACCATCCCTAATTTTAGCTCTCGACGTACATCTATTATTCCCATAACAATCCAATACTCTCAACTGAGGACAATTCTTACCAATCAACTCCAAAATATCGTCATCCACAGCCCTCACAAATCCAGTATCTAAGTAAGTCAAATTTGGAGATTTCATGATTTGAAATGTGTCAACTGTTAAATCTTTGATGGAATTTATTGATAGTTCAACTAATGATTGGCCTGAATGTAGTAAAAACTCTATGATACCTTCATCCCCCAATGAAAAACATTTTCTCAAATAGACCTCGTTCAAACCAAAATTTGTATTCCATTCATTGAACAGTGCAACGAACCCTTCGCTGGTGATTTGATCCAAGAAGGATAATGATAATTTTCTGAGATTGATACAGAAAGGCTTTATACCATTGACAAGAAATTCATCAGTTAAAGCAGAACATCCATCTAAAACAAGTGTTTGTAATGATTCTCCATTGATACTCAAAAGGTTTATCATAGCAGAATCTGAAACTAAATCTTCATGATGAGGATATGAAATCTCTAAGCTTTCCAATTTGGTTAAATAAACAGCCATGAGATCATATGACTCTTTTTCAGTTATACCATCTAATCTTGATAAACCTAACTCAGTCATGTTCGGTCCACATTTCTCTAATAAAGTCTTCATAGTTTCATCATCAAACCTATGAGTATTTGAAACTTTGAAACTTGTTAACCTATCACCCACAGTTTCAAAAAAACTTCTCCAAGTTTGATTGTTGATCAAAAATGGTCCATCTAGCTCAATCTTTGTCAGGTTTTTCAAATTAGTTCTGAAATAATTTAGATTATCATTGTGAAATTTACCGCACATCAAAAGTTTCAATTCTTTGACATTTGGACAATAGGAACCAATTTTATCGTAAGCATCTTTACTTAATCTTGAACAATCCCAAAATTCCAATCTTTCAGTCTTGACATCAAGAAACAATTGTAAAGTATTATCATTAAGCGATCTATTCTTGCAAAGAATTTTAGAAATCTTTTTCATATTTATAGACCCGATATCACCAAACTGATCAACATATTCAATCTTTTCACTAACTTTTTTGATTGCCAAATCTTGTAGAGTTGAAATTTTCACATCTTGCCTATCCAATAGCGCAGCTGCCAATTTTTGTCTCTTCTTTCTTGAAATCAGTTGGTTCTTCTTCATTGCACGTTCTTTTTCTAATTGTTTAGTGGTACAGTCAGGACATAAATAGCCTCCGGTTGATGCAATCTTGGAGTACACATTAACGACAAATGTGCTAAAACATTGAGCACAGGTTTCTTCTTCACCCACGACTTTTCTTCTTGGACGTCTTCGTACAACAACATCATCCACATCTGAGCCAGGCTCTTCTTCCGAGTCAGTGTATTCATCACTATCGTCTTTACCAGCAGCAGCTCTTCTCTTCCTTCTAGCTGCAATCCTTATCTGCAGTTCCTCTTCATCATTCTCCTGTTCCTCTCTAGCTCCCGACTCAGCTTCACTCTGATCAGCACCCGTAGCCTCTGGTTCTACTTCATCGGTATTTTGAGCACCATCTTCACCTTCCTGCTGCTCGCCATCTGGATCCTGACCTCTAAGTCTTCGGAGATGTCTCTGTCTAATCTCCTCAGCATTGATCCCTTGCTGCCTCAAGAACTCGGTCAACGCAGAGTTTGGGCCTCTGATTCCACGAGTATCTTCACCTTCAGTCTCTCCAGTCGGAGCATCAGCTGATCTATACCTCAACGGTCTTCTACTCATGGTTTTGTACTGGTTCTTGTGGATTTTTGATGTTTAAGCCCTTAGAAAAGTTGAGAGAAAGTTGATCTGGTTGGGATTTGCCACTAACGAAGAAAAAAAAATCTTGAAAACCGAAAACATCAACAAGAGGTACGTGGTGACTTATCATTCAACAACAACCTCACGTTTGGGAAAGCTGCTTCATATTGAATAAAAGACTCTTTCAAACCGGCCAGTCATAATGCAAATCATATTCAAAGATTTTAAGAAGGAGAAGATTCCAATTGAAGTGGAACCTACTGAAACAGTATGTCAAGCTACGTGATCCTTTTAATGAAAACATTTCTAACTAGAGATCTCAGGTTCTACAAGCAAAAGAAAAGCTCGCTGAAATCAAAAAAGTTGAAGTCAAACAATTGAAATTCGTTTATTCAGGTATGTGTTTTGTCCCGGTCTGTCTAACATTAATCAGAAGCTAACATAATGAACAGGTAAGGTCTTACAAGATGATAAAACCATAGAGAGCACAAAGATCAAAGCTGACGATCAAGTCATTTTCATGATCTCAGTAAGTACCCTTGATACAATTGAATCGCCAAATCACAACTAACATTCTTTCCAGAAACCACCAGTAAAGAAATCAACTCCAACTCCAGCTGCCACTTCTACACAAAGTTCAACCCCAATCCCAGCACAATCTTCAGAACCAGCTGCTACTTCTCAGCCATCCGCAGCACCAAGTCAAGCTCCTTCTGCAGCACCTGTTGGCGCTTCTTCTACTGAAGCACAAGCTGGTGATTTTGATGCTTCAACCTTTGCCACAGGTTCAGCTAGAGAAAGAGCCATCAATAACATCATGGAAATGGGATATGAACGTCCACAAGTTGAACAAGCTTTAAGAGCTGCTTTCAACAATCCAGATCGTGCTGTTGAATACTTGCTAACTGGTATTCCAGCTGAATTCCAACAACAAGCTCAAGCTCCTGTCGCTCCTCAGGAAGGCCAACCACAAGCACCAACTGCTGTTGAAGAAGCTGGAGAAGAACCTACCACTACAACTACTGCTGCTCCTGCTGCCCCAGAAGCTCAAGAGGCTGAAGAACATCAATCAAATGAACATGGTGATTTGTTTGCTCAAGCCGCTGCTGCAGGTGGTAACACTCCATCTCGTCCAGCTGGCGGTGCTCCACAAGGTGCTGGTTTAGATCAAATTAGAGAAATTGTCCGTACAAATCCTGAAATGCTGGAACCATTATTAGAACAATTAGGTCAACAATACCCTCAATTGAATGGTTTGATTCAACAAAATCCAGAAGAATTTATCAACATGATTTTGAATGGATTAGGCGATGAAGAAGTTGGTGCTGCGGGCGCTGGCCTTGAAGGTGAAGCAGCTGGTGGTGATGATGGTAGAGTTGAGATTCCAATAACTGAAGAAGATCAAGCTGCTATAAATAGATTAGTTGAATTGGGTTTCGAATCTGATTTAGTCATCCAAGTCTATTTTGCTTGTGATAAGAATGAAGAATTGGCTGCTAATATATTATTTAATGATCATGCTGAACAATAATTTTGATCATATCCTTAACTACATTTTTGTTTTGAGTAATTTATGAGTTTTGTATCATTTATTTTTAGAGATTTAATCTGTCATAGCTGTAGTTGATCAAAGTTATGGATAACTTGAAATTGTGATTTATCTTCGGAACTCAATTCTGGATTCCCTGGTCTAATCACAATAACAGAATTCAATCCAGCTTCGAGAGCTGCTTTGACTTCAGCGACATTATCACTCAAAAACAGTAAGTTCTCAGCATCAATGCCAATATCTTTTGTAATATTTTCATAACTTGATTTTTCATACTTGAATCCTGATGTTGTTATATCAAAGTAACCACTCAAGAAACCATTCAAATCAGCACTTTCTCCATTGATATCAACGTACCCAAATAGTAGCTTTTGAGCTTTTACACTCCCACTCGAATAAATGAAAACTTTTTTTTCCTTGTTCCAGCTTTTGATGGAATTGATTGCATCATCATAAACTGGGGCTTTTAAACTGCCATCTTCATAACCTTTTTGCCAAATATAACCTTGTAGGGATTTCAATGTTGAATCTTTGACATCTTTATTAACCAAGTCATTGATATGAGATAATAAGGTATCACGATCTTTAGTGATAGCTGTTGGGAATGCAGAAACTATTTTAGTTGTTGGATCATTTAAATTGGAGTCTATTGGATATTGTAATTTCGATAAAACTGAAGGTACTTCTTTAAGAAAATATGGGAACAATGTTTCCTTGACAAATGAAATCGGGGCAACAGTTCCTTCTATGTCCAGAATAACAGCTTTAATGGTTTTGCTAAAAGTAATTGAAGACATTATTGTCCAATGTTTGAACGAGCTCAGGTGGATTGTTTAAAGCCACTGTTATTTTTCAGCACATGGTTTTACTGATCTGCCAATTTCCTACGTGTTAACATCAACATAATCTCGTTCAATTCATTTATTAACATGCTAATCTATTAGAGGTGACTATAATATAGGTTACCAGAATGTACTTTTTCTTCTATTTCTTAAGCCCTCAAAACTATCGTCTTTGTTTTGTGAAGCATCAGTATCAAATTCCCCATCTTCATCTTCCTCATCTTCTTCTTCATCCTCTTCAACATAATCAGGATCTTCTTCTTCATTGTAAGACCCCTCGTCATCATCTTCGTCTTGTTCAAAGCGGACCTGGTAGTTGAGACCATTGATACCTGAGTGTAAGTCATAATTACCATGCGTATTTCCTGCATCATCAATATCAGACTCACTAGAGAATAACTTTTCCACTTTTGCAGCATCTTCTTGGCCCAATTGTGATTTTTGTAATTGACGAACTTGTTTCTTATACTTTTTCAATCCTTTTTCAATGGTTCGTTCAATGTTTAATCTATGTTTGATAAAGTGCAATTTAGGATAAGTTGATAATTCACCATTTCTAATCATCTCCGCTAACCTTTCTTCAGTTGGGTCACTTAAAATGAAGTAAAAATCTTTTAACTTGATCTTTGGCCATAATGTTACGGTTCCACTAAATCTTTGTAACCAAACATTAGACCAATCTTGATCCATCAAGTGTGGCAGCAAATCTAACGATTTAATGAACTTCAACCATTTCTTATTCTCCAACTTGATAAAGTTCTCTAATCCAGCTCCAATGAAACCACCTCTTAATCCAGTCTTCTTTCTTGACACAGGTCTACCAACGGAACCTTTTGGTGCAAAGAAGAACAACGAAATATGAGGATTAACTTGACTCACCACTGAAAATTTAACATTAAAGTAAGTATTCAAAGCTTCAACAGGAATGTCTGTTCTTAAACTACCATCTTTATACTTTGTACCAAAACTGAATGGTACAACTTTCTTAGTCTTTGGATCTTTCATCATCAAGACAACAGGGTTCAAAATACCTGGGACAGCTGATGAAGCCAAAACAGCAGACCAAATAACACAGTTTGGAGAAGTGATATGGTTACATAAAATCACTGGAGAATGAGGATCAGCTGGTACAGTTGAAATGTTCAAAATTTTCCCGGTTCTTTCATAAGCTTCTTTAAAAGTCATTGATCCCCTAGTCATCCAAGCTGCTTTTCTTGCCCAGTCAACTGCATCGAATCTAGCACCTGTTTTCCACCACCTTTTCACATAAACACTGAAAGGTTCATTACATGCAGTTATCTTTTGTGCCAATTCGGGTACCAATACTTCTTCTAATTCTTCATTTGTTCTTGTAGTTGCTAGTGCTGCGACAATACCACCTCCAGAGGTACCACTAACAATTTTTGGTAATAAATCACTTTCAAGTAGCGCTTTGATAACACCGAAATGATTATAAGCAAAGCATGCACCACCCGAAAGACATAATGCAGTTTTCCCAAAGTTTTTGTTCAAAGATTTAAATAAATCTTTCTTCAATAATGGTGATATCTGATCATCTTCTATGATATATTCTAATGCTTTTACAACTTCTGTGTTGTATTCCTCAACAATCTCTTTAGTTCCATAATATGTCTGAGAGTATAGGATTGGATTCTCAGTACCTGCGAAATTAGCCTTAATGCATCCTTGTAAAAACAGTGCCAACTCTTCTTTCGAATTTTCAGTTCTCAAAGCTTTCAACTTCTTGACCGTTATCTTCAAAGTTTTGTAATCATAATAATAGAAGTTTGGATGAGTTTTCCATTTATCTAGTTTTAAAAACTTGTCTAGCTTGATGGCATTGGAAACCCACTCTGCATAATCTTTTGATTTCCTTAAAGCTAATCTCAATCTCCTTCTTTGACCAGTCCAAGTGAAGAAATACTCATAAAGTGCAATGTACAACCTTATAAAAAAATACACAATAACCAAAAATGAACACCAAAGCAAGATGAATCCCAATATTGGATACCGCAGTATTCTATATGAATAACTTTGAAAAAAATCATCAGTTTTCTTATGAGTTGAATGTTTTTTCTTCTTTTTGGAACTTTTCTTTGAGGACAATTTTGTGTATATTGGGGTCCAATCATTCTTTGATGTTATCTTTTCCACCGTCGGCTGAATTTGATTTGAAAGCTCACTAGAGCCGACTATTTCATTCTGAATATCTACTTCATTCTTGTAGTTTGCCAAGTTCACTTGTGAGTTGTTATTATCTGTTGGTAGTGAGTCTTCATAAAGAAGCGCTTCTTGAAACGCCTTAAGATCTGGGGCAAAAGATGTCAGTATGAGCAAAAACCACAGTTATTTTGGTGGTAACCTGGTGGTAACCTGGTGGTACCTCACTCTGAAAATACTCACGATCCTCATCTATGTAGTTTATGTTCATTTTGTTCTTTCCTTTGAAGTCTTTCCAAATGAATTACTGGCCAGTGATGGCTTGATGCCCTTGTGTTTCTTACAAAACGTTCCATCTTCCAAATTGCTGACGCTATTAAATTTTGAGCTGGGGACACATCCCAGGACACGTTCGCGAAAATCGGATTCTCCGCGAATGCGTTTTGCGTTTTCCAATTCAACCGGCCAACAAAGAAGTTTTTAAATGCCCGTGAGGAACAGAACGCGTGCATGAGTTGGACTGTTTGACGCGATGAATTTTGGTTTCAAGTGTTAGCTTTTAGCTTCTATTTCAAACCTCTTGTGATTCTATTGGTCTCTTGCGTATTATCTGAAACGGATCATTGATGTAGTTTGGTCTTGAATCTTGCTTGAAGTTTTCTGTTCCTGGCCTATTGTTCCAAGCTGGTACCGGCTTTAAACCAATACAGTACGCTCGGCAACCAACTATAGCCTGAAGCACCAATCATTATCATGATAGGACCTCTAATGCCAGGTTTAAGTCAAAGAGTATATTTATGTAATAAATGATCCTAGGTAAAGTTGATTATAGATTTGTCTCCGTATACATTTCACTTTGATTTCGCCTTTCAAGAGCATAGCCAAATTCAAAGATCACCGTACTATAATTATTAGTCCCCGAAAAAAAAGGTGAGCAGCCGAGAGAACCTCAGGCACACGACGACATCAACTAAAAAACAATTTTACGTTGTAACTTGTTCCATCATAAATAATAGACCAAGGCTTATCGTGTCAACAATAACTGGCTGCTTACAGATCCCAGAGTCCTCAGCGATCTCTGACTTCACTCACTTTACGCATCAGAGAAGATTATACAGGTGCAAGACATTTACATGAGACAAAACTTCAAACAAATTACCTTGAATCTTGATCTCACATAAAGCCATATATACCATTCAAATTAACGTGATATTCAACTTTTGATAGCAGGGTATGATCTGGAGAAGGATGTTATTCAGAAAAACAAGGTTGCTCGTCATATTATCTGTGATAATACTAGCAAATTTAGGGTTATTATCCATTTTGAACTATGATAAGGAAAGAATACTTGCACTAACAAGTTTGAAATCAGTGTTGAGAACCTCAACAGATCTGAAGAATGAAGATTTAGACTTTGAATTTGTGAAGAACAACTTCTTAGGTACAGAGATCGTTTCAAAATATTACATACCCGATTACTTATACAATTCAAAATCCAAAACATACAATCATGACCCAAGATTGACATCTGGTATCTATTTGAACCATATAACCTCAGAATTTAAAAAGCATAATGATCTTGCCAACGTGAAAGTTCCCTTCAGCTGGTATGATTGGACAGACTTAAGCAAAGACCTAAATAAGTTGATCAACTTGCCCCAAAAATTCAAACCTGATTGCTCATATGTTTGCACAAATTACTTCAATAAACAACTTCAAAAAGAGCTGGAAGAGAAGATAAAAGGAACATTTGAAGAAAAAGAAGCGATAGACCCAAACAATGATGGCAAAGTCAATAAAAATGGGAGAAAAAGGAAGTCAACAAGGTATCAAATGCAAAAATATTCATATTGCCGAGATGATAACTCTGAAAACCAACCAGGTTTTAGAATCTTCAAAAACCATTTAAAGTCAAGGCCAGATGTGAAGGCATTGCAATCTAAATCATATCTATACAGTGAAGCGTCAGCGCCAGTCTCACTGGTGTTTCTAACCAAAAATGGGAACTTACAGATTGAAGTCTTGACCAATGAAGAAAGTGAAAACAAACAAGACTATGGTTTGTTGAAAAACAAAATGATACAAAATTATGCTGATTCATTCAGGGCCAATAATCCAAAAGAAGAAGTCTATGTTGATTCACGAATTGAATTGGGTGAGTTATTTGAAACGATAGGAAATATTGATCCAGTCTCTACGCCACTATCATTAAAAACATACCAACTTGATCTCAACCATTCACAGTTTGAATTTGACGGACCTCAATACCTAAACTCTTCGCCAACTTCTTCCCTTTCGAAACATCAAACCAACTTCCAAAACTCTATCAAAAATTCATTACAAACAAAAGAACTTTTGGTACCAAAATATTTCGAAGAAGTTTTATTAAGTCGTACAAGGGCAAGTCTTCAAGGTGGTCATTTTGATTGGAGATTTTTCTCTGGTGATGTACCACTAGATCAAAGACAATCTATCCTTTCAAGATTATTACAAAACTGGTTCAAATTAACAACTAATGCTGGTCTTCATAGTTGGATTGCCCATGGTAATTTATTAGCATATAGTTTCAATGGGTTGAATTTTCCTTGGGATGACGATATTGATGTCCAAATGCCTTTCAATGACTTGGCCAAGTTTGCAGAACGTTATAATGGAAGTTTGATTGTTGAAGATCCTGAAGAAGGGTTTGGTCGTTATTTTATTGATGTCACCTCTTCATTGACTCATAGATTGAAAGGAAATGGTAATAATCATATTGATGCCAGATTTATTGATGTTGATACTGGGCTGTTCATTGATATTACTGGACTGGCTGTTTCTGCATCTGATACTTCTCAAAGATTTCAAAATCGTTATGAAAAAATGATTCGAAAAGGAGAAGCGGTTGAATATTCTGACCCTAACTACTATGAAGGTATCTATGAAGATATAAGTAGGGATGATATGAGAAAATTGGCCAAAGAAAACTTGGTTCTATACAAACAATTGAGGCAATTTGAAAGAGAAAACTCTCGAAGTCGTGGGAACTTATTGAAAGATAAATCATCTGAAGAACGTTATGACATCAACTACAAACTTCAAACATACAACTGTCGTAATGATCATTTTGTCTCCTTCGATGAACTGTCACCTTTGAAAAGAAGTTTTTTTGAAAAAATCCCAATTTTTGTTCCAAATAATGTTTCAGCTATATTGTTGGATGAGTATAAACCTCAGAGGAAGCTGAGTGCTGAACATAGCGGATTCTGCTATTTACCTCAAATAAGGCTATGGGTACCAAGGAAGACTGTTGCTAATATTGTTCGTAATGAAGATAAAATGGCAAACTTGAACCTATTGACTCAAAATGACATTGAAAAATTACTCGAAGATGAATCCATTTTTGCTGAATATTTCAAGACTTTTGATGCAACATTAGTAAGGGAAAAGGAAAAAGAAATCATTAATGATGAATCTATTGAACAAAAAGATCAATTGTTGTCAAAGCTGGTTCTTGGAAAGAGATTTCCAAGCTTGAGAAAAGATGTTCATATGCTTAGATTGGAGAATAAAGTTGCTGAGAAGTTCAATATTAAATTCAGTAAAGAAGATATTAGTGATCAAATAATATCGCAACTACGTTCAGAGTATTCAAAAACAGTTGATTATAATATTCTTGGTGCAGGCTCACCACAAGATATCAATTTCAACAACTATGGTCAACTTTACAAAGATATGTTGAAGAAAGCTCAAGACGAAAACTATGAACCTGATTTTGAAATGAAGAAGGAAGAATTACAACAAGCTTTATACCGTGCAAGAAATAATATTGAACGTGAGCAGAAACAAAAGCTACTAGATCAGCTGTTAGATACTGAAATTAAAGAGAAGTTTGACAGCAACATACCCAAACCTCCATTATTACAAAAAGGGCAAGTTCAAGGTGTTGAAAGGCCAAATAATAGACCTATGGATGAAGAAGATGATCCTGGTGTTGTTAACGATGCCCAAAATGATGAAAAATCTCCAATGGCACAAGAAGTTAATCAACTTCCAAGGTTGGATGTTGAAGTTGATGAGCAAAAGGAGGCCGAAAAACTAAAACAGTTTGAAGCAATTCATGGAGAAATGATATCATAATATTTATACTTTATTTATTAAATAAAATGAGTCATGAATGTATAGTAGTTTTCAAATTCTCTATTAAAGTTCAACTTCTCTATACAATAACCCTTCATTCCCTTTACCTAATGCACCCAACACATCCACGCTTTTGTTTGTCAAATCTATTGAATTATAGCCCACAAGACCTTTAGTACCCAAGAATTGAACAATTGAACTAGTCCCTCCAAATAGCACATCATCTTCAACACCTGATCTGTTACAGAAAAGTATTGTAGCTTTGTCCTCATAATAGTATGGTTTCATCATATGGTTCATGAATGGGAAAAACCTCAGAAGCCAATAATTCAAATTGTTGTAATCTGGTTCTTTTAATTGTTCAAACTCTTTCAGTTCCTCGAAATTTTCAATCTTATCCCCATTTGTATCTATTTGATATTCACCTTTAATTTCCTCAATTTGTGCTTTGAATTTTCCAGCTAGTTTTAATTTTTCGTCTTTGGAAAGTTCTTCATTAATACTTGGGCTTTTAGAATGCAGCCATGCCATTGGACAAATCACCAATTTAACGTCATTTTCCAAACAATGACTTGAAAATTCAAATTTGTTAAATGGTGCTTTAAATTTATAAGGATTCAAATCCATACAAATCCCAATACTGGCTTTGATTCCATTGATTTCAAAAGTCTTGAAGCCCTCACCTTCAGAAGCACCAAACTGATCATCGGCATCATATAGAAATGACTTGTTGTAATTATGAATGATTTCACCATTTGGATTGATCACTATTGCAGAATTGAAGGTTGTCTGTCCTTGTGATTCAGGATATCCTAAAACAGTGAAACAATTCAACCTTTGGGAAGTCTCTTGGGCCCAAGAAATTGAAGGACCAGGTTTGGAAGTTTTCTCTAGATAAGGTGATAGTGTTTGAGCATCTGGGAATTTGTAACCTGTAAATGCAAATTCTGGTAAAACTAGTAAATCGATTGGTTTGTTTGAGGGGAGTTTTGAGAGTATGGTGTCTGCTCTGTGAATGTTTTCTTCAAGTTTATGAATCACTGGGTTTAGCTGAAGGAGTGCAACTCTTAATTTGGACATCTTTTGGGTGTGTTGTTTGATTCTTTTTTGAATGAAACTAGTTGGATGGTAATGCTCTTCTCGGGTTTACTTTCATTGAATTCAATTTCGCGAATCTACTATAAACATTTCAGCGACAAAAGTTCAAAATATCAACACAATTAAATAAAAAAAGTCATAATAAACAAAATCAGATAAAAATTAAACAAATCCCTTATTTTTTACCAACACTAACTTTTTTCCAGTGTTCAACTTCCCTGTAGGCTCTCTCCAATTCAGCTTTCAATTTTTCGTTAGAAGCAGTCAATTCAGCAACAGCTTGATCTGTTAATAATTTTTCTAGGGTCCATTTTTCAATATTATTGTTTTCATTTTCTTTTAATCTTTTAATGTATTCAATAGCTCTTTGTAAAATTTGAGATTTATTTGAATCTTGAGTTGGTAATAAACTAGCCAATTCTTTGATACCAGTATTGATATTTTCACGTCTACGTCTTTCAACTTCCTTATGGTTATCTTTTCTTATTCTGTGCCATTCTTCAGTACCAGCTAAAGGTTTTTCAGAGCTTTGATGAAGTATTTGAGTAGTTGGTTGTGAAGGGGTACTTTGATGACTAGAAGCTGTAGGCGATTGTTGAGTATGTGTTGCTTGTTCATGATGTTGTTGCTCTTGTGGTGTACTTTCCTCTTGAGATGGGTGTCTTAAGGCGTTATAACTTGTTAGTTGTTCACTCAATTGAGCGTGTTCAGCATCTTCTTGAGCACTCTTTGCAGCATTTTCGTTGGACTCAGAAGCATTCTCGGCAGCATTATCATTTTGTTGACCGGTACCTTCTTCGCCTTGTTCGAAAGAGGCAGATTGATGTGATAAAAGTTCAGAATCTATGTTGTGACTATCATGGTCCTCACCATCTGTTTCCTTTTCTTGAGCTTTACCACTATTGTTGTCGTACTTCAAAGCAGCTTCAGCAACAGATGACTCCTTTGTCTTGTATTTCTTAGAATCTTGTTGGTCAATGTCCTCACCAGCTCTTTTGTTGACTTGCATTTTGTTGTTGTTGTTGTTGTGCTGAAAGTAAACAAGGAATCGTGATATCCACGTGAATTTCGCCGCTTTTTATAATTTTTTTCTCCCGCTCAGTTCCGAGGCGAAAAAAATCAGGTGAGTTGCCCCTCGGAATGGAAATTACCCTCCCGGAAGTGTGCGCGACCTCAAAAAATCATGTGACGCGGAAATTGACGCCGGAAACGGCTGTTCGCGACTTGTTTATTAAAAAAAATTGTCGAACAAACCCCCTTTGGCTTTACATAACAACAACGTCAAGGTTAGGTTTCTGGTGCTGGGTATCAAGTATTCATCAAGCTGGATTTAGACGGTATTTCAAAAGGCACCCTCACAAATTTAGTCATAGCTATTATTTGCTGAAAGAGTAACAACGGTTGCATCCACAGGAAAGTTTATTTCGAGGTTTTACCATTGAATCACTTGCTATATTAAAAACATCAATACAATTCAATCATGTCTTCACTGCCGAACTCTAATAATAAGAGAGCTGTCTCACAAGAAGCTAATGGCTCACCAAACTCTTCGGCTGCCGGTGCAAAAGAAGCTAAAGACAAAGCTGATAGATTAGCAAAGAGACAAAAAATCACACTATCTTGTACAGAATGCAGAAGAAGAAAAATCAAGTGTGATCATAAGAAACCAGTTTGTGAAAATTGTATCAAGAAAAATTTACAAGAACAATGTACTTATTCAACTTCGCCTTGGATTCAAATTATATCAAGTGAAAATCAAATTTATGAGGAAATTGAATCTTTGAAAAGAGAAAATGATTTATTAATGAAAAATATCGCGTTGTTGAAAGAACAATGTGGTAAACTAAATGTTGATTCCAATTCATTGTTAAGTTCAAATAGTGCAGGTGAATTAAGCAGTGGTAGTACTGCTTCACCAATATCAAATTCTCAATTGACTCCATCATCAACAACGTCATCCGCACAATCTACAGCTCAATCAAAAGAAGATACAATTGCCAAACAACTATCAAACTTATTACTCAAATCTATCGTTGGTAGAATTCGCTCACAAGATGTTCAGTTGATTAATATTCCACCAAAGTATAATTCCCCATTAACTCCAATGTTAACTTTGAAAATCAATAATGACAAAAATTATAAATCAATCTTCTTGAATCAATTGTTGATCAACTATTTACCAAATTTTCAAATGATTGAATATCATATCAATTATTTTTTCAAGTCAAATTTCCACAAAAACTTGCAAATTATAAGTCAATCTCAAATCATGGAAACTTTTCATAGAATTTTCAACCAACATTCAAATAAAATTGAAATTGATTCCAAAAGAGAAATTCAAGATTTTTTACAATTGGCAATCATTTTAACGATTTTGAAAATCACTTCAGTTTATAAAGATACACCATTTAATGATCCAGAAAATAAATTGATTTTATACATTGATGCAGCTTTGGGATTTGGTGAATTGATTACAAGATCTTCAATTCCTGCTTTGCAAGCTGTTATTTTGTTGAACTCTTATAGATTGTTTGTTGAAGATATGAATGAAATTGATTTATATTTCTTGATTCAACTATGTCAAGACTTTGCCATTGCTATCGGTTTACATAAAAACATTGATGTTTTGTATGAGGATAAATCAGTTGAAGAAAGAGAGATGTTGAAGACAATTTGGAATTGTTTGAATGATGAATAATTTATTGTTTTTTGTTTGAATACTTTTTGTGGTTTATGTTTTGGTTTTTGCTCGAGAAAGCAAAGGATTAATGGCCCTTCCTTCACTAATGTTGTAACTTGTTAATAAAACTCTGCTTTTTTAATGTACACCATTTACATCTGTAGCTCGTAAAATGTTTTTCTCTGTCATTATCTCGGGTAAACAAAATTTCTACAGCTCAATATTTACTTTCAATTTAGCCGTGTTGATCCATCTATAAAAAGGTTGAAGAATCTTTGTAATTTCCTTTCCATCATCTAACCTGATCAAAGAGACAAACATGAGGCCAACTCCTTCCTTATTCAGAGTAACAATACAGCAAAGGTATCAACTAGTCAAAGACATCCCAAGTCCCACAATCACTCCAATAGCATGTCAATGTACTTTTCCTGAGTCACATCCGATAAATCATGATAAACCCTTATTGAATACAAAATCACCAACTTATAAACATGTTCTAATACCTACAGATGTTCCAGCTACTGAATGGCCTTCAAAAGTTGAATTGGTTCCGGGATCATTGATCTCTGAATTCACAAGCTTGAAAAGAGAGTCGTTGGATCCAATGTATCCTGTAATGATTTCAAATATTCAAGTTCAAGATCCACAGGGTGATGTGTTGGTGTTTCCTGATAATGAATGGCATGACGTGCCTTATGTGTCTAAATTTATGACTGGTAACTTGACGCCTAATGGTATTCCTCAAAAGGGGATCCAAAACAAGAACCAGTATGTATTTATATGTGGGCATGCTCAAAGAGATATAAGATGTGGTTTGATAGCACCCGAACTTGCAAAAGAATTTGAGCATGTCTTGAGACATGAAAACTTACTTTATGATAAAGCTACAAACCCAGAGGGGGTCAAAGTTGGTATTGTATCTCATGTTGGGGGTCATGCTTATGCTGGTAATGTTCTCTACTTTGATAAAGAGGGTCTAGGTATTTGGTATGGAAGAGTTGAAGTTGGTCATGTTGATCCAATAGTGAAGGAGACTATTTTGGGAAGCAGTATACTTCAGGAACTTTATAGAGGAAGATACTGAACTACATTATAATATTGTACATAGAAATAAAATATTTATTAACATTCTATATTGACATTGTTCTAACTTCGTAAATTTTTTTAGACACCTCTCTTGGTGTTTTGTCCAATTCATTTGCAATTTGAATTTTCAAATCATCACTCAAAGTGTTGAACGTCTCTATTAAATCACCATCAATGACATTTTTCACTGGTTGATAATAGCCTCTAAACATCAAGTTCATACGACCTAACAAGTCTTCCTTGTACGTTCTCATTGCCTTTTCTAAATTATGGAAAAATTTTATATCTGATTTAGTCAATAACGGGATCAATGCACCGATAGTTCCTTGTAGACCCGAATAAATCACAATATCACGACCACCAATTGTAAATGAACCTTTTGAAAATGATGTTGGGATGTCCTCAATATAAAAATTACAAATATTTGATAATTTATAAGGAGCCCCATTCAAAACTTTGTCTTGTGTAATCAAAAAAGTTGAATTTGTATCACTGACTTTTGATGCTTCTTCAGTTGCTCTCAAGACAAACAAATTACCAAATTTGTCACCTCCAATAACAGTATTGTAGTCCAGCAGTTTAATGCTTGTAATATGACGAGGTAGAACATCATCAGCAAATGGTAAAAATTCATTCATGTTTGGCTTGAAAATCAAAAATGTAACAGATTCTCTAATATCACCAATGACAACCCTATTCCCTTGAGACTCGATTCTAACAATTTGAGAGACTGATTCAATTCTTGAATTAGCTTTACTTAACAACTGTTTCAACCCAATATCAACTAAACGCAAATGGTTCCCAACACCAATCAACACTTTACCTTGAAACTCAACAATTGAATAAGCTGCATCAGCGATTTTAGTAGCGTGTTTGAAATTCAAATCGATATCATAAGTATTAATGTAATACTCTGTGGAGCTTTCGACTGTTTTGGAAACTGATACAACAACATATGAGGCATCTTTGGATTGGAAATGAACAACGCCAGATGTAATTATGCGCTCATTAGGTGCTAATTGTTCAGACTTTACCAACTCCAATGATTCATCAAACTTTTCGATAAAGCTAGCTTCCGAAGAGTTCTGTGCAACAATTGTTGATTCTTTGTATCTTAATAAATTTTTTGGTGTGGTTTTAAGTTCAGACGAAGTGATATTGAAATCATGAACCAAATCATCAATAGTGAAAATTATCAAATTTCTTTTGTAAATACCAACAATACCGTCAGTACATTCTTCACTATTGAAAATGAAGCCAAACTTTAGTGGGTTTATCAGCAAAGAGTTGATCTTAAAAGCACCATTTTTAGTTTCATGGACAACCCATGTCTTGTTTGATAAAGCTAAAACAACATTTATACCCGAAACAACAACTTTGCTCAACACAACAGGTTTATTACCTAGATATTTTGTTCTTGTATCTGATAACTGACCAGTTCTCTCATCCAACAAAGTTCTAACGTAAACACCATTCTCTAAACCTATATTGACAAATAGTTGGCCATTCATAGTGCATGTTAAAATATCATTTGGAGCTGAGCTTAAAGCTTGTAAAGATAAAGATTCCAAAGTTGATTTCGGATCAACTGATAGCACTCTGATTGTGGAATCGTCGCAACCAACCACTAAGAAAGGTGATCTTAGTCTTCCTTCAGAAATATCACCTAATGATAGAGAGACAGTTCTTGTATGTAACTCTTTACGTTCACCATATTCAATCAATCTATCCCTTTCATCAACTTCAAAATAAACCAATTCATTATTTGATAAACCAACAGCAATTTGTCGGTTTGTTGAAGAGCTAACTATGATCTTAATCCCTGCTGGGGGAAACCATTCACTAACAACTTGTCCATTTTTGATATTTCTTACACCATTGGAATGAACCTGCGCGATGGAATGAGCTCCAATTTGTTGGACTCCGATTGTTTCTTCATTTAAAGCAAGTCCTGAGTCTGTTATTTCTTCAACACTTTCACCAATCGATAACACTAACGTAGTATCAGTAAATGAAATCACCAAATATCTATCAAATTGGTCCGCTTTGTGAAGTTTTGTAGTCCACACCTTATTAGCAACACCTGGTAAATCACTTTCCACAAGTTCATTGATTGGTAAACCATACTGTAAAACTTTCAATTGTGCAGAATCCTTATAGCCAGATGCTGCATAGATCTTAGTGAAAGCATCATCACTAACCAATTTTGAGTCTAATATTGGGTTTAAAGATTCTTGAATATCCACTAATAACAAATTTTCCAACTCCTCTGTTCTTTCAAATGTTAGTTCCTCAATAGGTTCATCACTTGAGGAGGTAAATGGATTTTCATTTCCTAGTTTTTCAAATTGATAAAAGGCTTTAGAACTATATTGAGTATCAGCATACATAAACCCTGAACGTAAAATAATTAATGAAGTGGTTAGAGGTATAGTATCAAAATAACTAATAGCGATAGAACCATCTTCTAATAGTTCAACTTTGAAAAGATCACCATTATTCGATTGGACAATGAAAAAGAATTGATTTTTCATTTTATGCAGCACCCCTGACACTATAAACACATTTGCTTGATCATTTTTCAACTTGGGTATATTGATTGAAACTTTTTCACCTTCTAACCCTCTATAAGATATCATATTTTGAGAGCAAATCAAAACCCCAGAAGGACCATCATTACCACCTGGTACTTGTAATAACAAGTTTGAAGTCGGACTGATTTTCTCAGAGTTTTTCCGAACAACATGGTTTAAACCAAGGTCTAGTTCATAATATGTCAAGTATTTTTCATATTCCGTCACTTCATTATATTCATAATCGGAATAATCAATCTCTATAGTGGCAAACAATGGATTTTCATAACCAACATCTAGCCCAACTGTATTTATTGTCAATATTTTAGATCTGTTTGCTTCTAAAGGCGATGATATCGTTAAATTATTTTCCAAATCTCTATTCAGCACATAACAAAGTTTATTCTTCTCCACTGCAGTTGCCAAAATAGCTCTACCTTTGGGGTCAACTGCCAACTCTTGTCCTGGTGAAAGTCTCCTTATACCACTTTTATGATATGGTTCATTGAATAATGCATTGAATTGACCATTAGGTAAATCTAATTCCAATATTGATAAATTACCAGAGTCCGAAGTTACAGCCAAATAATCTTTTCCTGCACCAGCAATTTTGAAATTTGCCACACTTCTGATAATTCCAAATATTTGAGTAGTTAGCACGTTGACCAATTTCCCCGTATCAACATCAGGTTTATAAACAGTTAAAGAGTTTGAAGTAGCTGTTATGATTTCTTGAGACTTCTTCCCGCTGAAATTACCAACACATGAGTTAATGGATGCACTTTGCTTCTGAAGAGTTAGATTGTAGAGACAAATGGATGCGTCTAGTGACATTCTTACTCCAATATGAGCTTCTTGCTTCTGAAGCGCTGTGTTGATTCGTTAAACTCTACCATTTCAATTTCTGGTTTGTAGATTTTCTTTGATTTTGGCACTTTTTCCCAGAACGCATTCGCGAAATTGTGTATAGGAGGGTAAATTGGGCTACTTTTTTTTTGAACTGCGCACAGGCTGGAGCCTAGGGGGACCCTTGGGCTTAGGCAGGAGACCCTGGCCAGGTCTCTCCCTAGAGATTAGTTGGGTCCCAGGCGGCTCCAGTTGGTCACCGAGCCCAAACAAAGACGAGCGCGTGGCCCCACACTCCAAAAAATTGGGCATTCTAAACTTTCTGATGTCGATGAAGACTTTTCGCCTTTCTCTCTTCTTTTACACAACAACAACTAGCAAAGTGTTCAATTGATTGTTAAATATTCATCTTTTTGGCTGTTGTTGATCATATCTTTCAATTTGTTTACAAAAAAATGAGTGATCCTGCTGATGTTATCGATGCTCAAGATGCTGTCTTTGAGATTTATGTTCGTATGAATGAAGAACATGAAAAGGATTATTGTTTCAATGTTGGTATAAATGATACTTTCGAGTCATTATTTAAGATCTTTGATTCTTTGAAGATCAGTTTAAGACCAAATATCTTTCATGAACAAAGACCAATTGGGTTCAAAGTTTCTGACTCTCCAGGTTATTTAACTGATAATGGTGGTTTGTTATTCAGTTATAATGCTGATAAATTCACTAAAAATGTCAAGTTAACTGACAAGATTAGTGATCATTGTTGGCCAGGACATTTGGTGTTGCCAATTTGGAGAGAAGATTATTTCACACATTATGCAATCATTTCTTTAATACTCGTTTGGTTATACACTGATTTACCAGATTTCATTAGTCCAACACCAGGTATTTGTTTAACAAATCAAATCAGTAGAGCTTTGGCTCGTGTTGCTGTTCGTTTTGATTATCCCCAATTAGCTGCAGATTTAATCACTGAAACTACACCAAACTCAACTTCCAAAACTGCACAAATTATCTTCTTTATCTTCCATATTGTGAAGAGTTTGATGATTTACCTTGTTTTATACAGTGGGTTATTCAATCCATACTGTTTAAACCCAATTAAAATGCACAAAATTGCTTCTAATGACAAGTTGGATGAAAAGAAGAAACTTGAATTGATTTCATTAGGTTGGACCGGCACAAGAAAAGCCACTTTGGATGAATACAAAGAGTTTTACAGAGAATATAAAATCAAAGAAGTTGGTGGTATTGTCAAAGCTAGTAAGATGGGATTATTTGAAAAATTAAAAGAACCAGGTGTTAATTTAAAATTTGGTGAAGGTTTCCAATCAGACTTGTCAAATAAAACTACATTAAAAGATTTAGAAGCCAATCCTGAAAAATTCATTTTGAACTTTGATTGGTTTGCATTAGTTGGTGAAAACTATGAAAATTATTTAGCCACTGAATCAACTGATAAAGCTCAAGATGTCAAGAATTTCAGAAGATATGGTCCATTAGTTGCAAGTGATCGTATCAAGAAAATTGTTGAAGGTAGAAAAGATAAACCAGAATTACTCAAATTAGCTGAAGGTAAATCATGATCCAATGAATGGATTTGAGTATTATACACTAGAAGAATGTTGTATGTTTTTGTAATTCTAATGGGTTTTTATTTCAATAAAGAAGGACCGTTCATTCGTTAAATTCAATATATTATACATCTGGACTTTAAAATCAACCATGTAGCTTCGTAATATTTCTAGAGTCCATTTTGAATATAATATGTAGTGCAATTAGGTGAAAAAAACTCTCAATAAAGCAATAAACTTTATTATAATACAGCAGTATGACTATGGTGATGATCAAGCTCATCATCATGAAACAAAAATGACATATAAAAAAGCAGCAACAAAAACATCAAAGACAAAATAAAAACCAATAATTAACTAGTCATGCTAAAGTTGACAGCCTAATACTTGAGAATGATGTACAACGCGTGCAAAATACCTGGAATGAAACCTGTTTGAAAAAGTTAGTAAACGTTTGTATACTGATTGATTGAAACAAAGACATACCCAAAATTGTGAAGATGATATTCAAGAATAATGGAGTTGTACAACCAACTTCTAAGAATACACCTAATGGTGGGAAGATGATAGCAGCAATGATTTTAATGATATCTGAACAAGTGAAAGCCATTTTGTAATATAGTTGTTATTTAATTAATAGTTTGTAGTAGCTGGTGTTACAATATTAAAAGAGGATCCATTGACACTTTATATACATTTTCAACTCTTGTCAGTTTGCTACTGTTTGATCCAAGATAAAGATCAGCTAATTATAACGAACGATTGCTTTAAAGTTCATGCCCTTGACAGCAAAATGAAATTTCATCAACATGAGCACACTAAACCAAGAACAATAAGCAGTGCCTCACGCTTGTGGTCTCAGACCATGATTGATTTCAAAGAAGACCTACGCCTCTACAGCCCATGAGAGCATTTACACATTCAAATTGACCTTTATATAACTCGATTCATGATGTCTATTCCTATAGCCTGAAGAGGCTGATCCATACTACATTTTTTTATGACACGCTCGATGAGCATGTTAAGAGCAACAAAGCGGATTAAAAATTCTGTAATGTTGCTAATAAAAACAGTTTTTGCATTGCTTTAAAGTTTTTGCTCTTTGCAAGGGCTGGAAAACTGACTCTTTTTTATGGTTTTCAGGTACAATAATTCTTTTCCTTCACCTTCTTTACATACTTTTCAGCCGTTGATATCACGATTCTATTGCTCCACCTTTTGCATGTTTAAATAATTTTAAACCTGTCCAAGATATAACACACCAAAGCCAAGCAGCAACAGGTATCAATAATATTGCATGCGTGTAATAGTTTGAGATTGGGAAGTCACTGTTTTGGGGGTTTGGTATACTCCATAGTTCAAACAATGAACCAGTAGATACAATAAAGATAAACCAAGTAGATATCAATAGGATATAACCATTTCGTACTTCTGCTTCAGGATTCCCAGATCTAAGCTTATGCTTGAGGCTTCTTGGTTTGATCAATGGCAATGGTACTTCTGCTTCATCTACCGTTGATGTCATTTTTCATTGACATCAGCTATAGAAGATGTCAAAGAGTTTGAAAAATGTGAACTTTAGGATAAAAATCAAAACATTCGCGAATTCATTTTGTATTTCTCTAGACTACCCTTTTAGGAAATAAAAACGTCACTTCTTCTATTATACATAACAAGCCTTGATTATATATTCACAAGTTTAGTCAATGCAATCATTGATCCGTCTTCAACTTTTGTACCTGAGGGTATTTTAACTTGTCCATCGAAAAACTCTTTAGCATTACTGACACCTTCCAAATTTTTAGCATCTTGACTAAATGAATATTCAACATCATTCCATTTCCCAATAACTAATAACAAATTTGATTCTTTTGAAGTATCAATAGATCCAATCTCTTTTAGCTCAACATCCTTATGATGATGGAAATAATCACCACTATTCACATAAATACTCTGTGAATAACCATCTGGATAACTAGATCCTGTAAAGATTGATGTAAAAGTCTTTGCAATTCTGACATGATAACCATATGAAGATTTGGCACCAACTTGATCTTGATAAGCTTCTAATGGTGAAACAACTTTCTTGGTCTCTGTATCAACTGTAACTCTAACATTTGTTGGAACTTGTTGTCCTGATAATTCTAGATATTTATCGTACCCAATATTAACATATTTTGTATTCTTTAATGGTTGAGATTTTTTATTCTTGGTTAATGGTTTAGAGGATTTACCCATTGTTACAGTCAGCCCTTCACGATATTTAGATTCAACTTCATCACTCATGAATGGTAATGTTGTTAGTTTAGGAAAAGTTTTAGCATATTGGAAATTTTTGAAAAATTTTGTTTTGAATAAAGTTTTCGTTAGATATGGTGGTGTAACGAAATATTGTAAAATAGTTGCAATTAACATAGCATCTTCACTAACTTGATTTTTCAATTCTGCTTCTTTTTTAGCATTAGAATCTATATCATCAAACTTTATCTTCTTTTTAGCGTTTTTATCTAGAGCATCATCTAAATTGACTATTGGTTCAACTTCTTGTAATGAATCCATTATCACTATTTCTCCAACATTATATATAGTGGCGACTTTAGCAATTTGATACAATATCCCTGTAGCTTGTTGTAAATTTTTAGCATTGGATCTACTTATGATACTAGTTGGGATGCATAACGTGTAGTTGATTGTCTTTGGAGAAATTTTTTGCTTCTTTTCAGTATTCTCTTCTTGTTGACTTCTTTTCTGGGCACAAAAAAAGTTAGTATGTAAATTTAGTATACTCTATTTTCAGTGATCTTACCTTTGGAGCCATTTTGTTTTGGTTTATATTCTGGTAGTTTTAGATCAAGTTGGTTTAATGAGTAGAATTCTGCTTAACAGAGATATATGCAAAAAAAAAATTTGATGGGTTTGAAGCCCCGTTCGCGATGCGATGCACTTCCACCCTTGGCCGATAAAGGAACAACACTACAAATTCAAATTAAATAATACATGTTCTAAATGCTGTTAATGCTTTTATCAATCGAGTTCATCTTGAAGTATTCTCGGAGTTCTGGTTCCCTTCAGGTTTGTAAACCGTCAATCGGTTTTTCCAGAACGATTTTTCACCTTTATGTGTCATTGGCTGAATAGCTATAGGATCATCTTCATCTTCTTCATTCTCCTCAACTGCCTTCATCCTGATTGAATATTCATTATCACTCTCTTTTTTTAGTTTATACTGAGCTCCCAAAAACAAATCTTTAGCAACAATCTCTCTTGTTCTTCCCAAGGATTCAATATCTCCAACTCGGTCTAATGTTTCATCCAACAAAGCTTGGAATCCAGGTTGAGATTCAATCTCCAGGAAACCTCTCATCATTGGAACAGAATCAGCTCTAACAAATGAATTGGAAGAATCAATTGTGAAAATATTCAAATTATCATAAGCTTGAATATAATCATTTCTTGTCATGATTTGTCTTGCTCTCCATAATGGTAGTTCAGGTAATTTGTGATCTTCTTTAGGGCCATGTTTTGCCAAATCTTGATGATACATTTCCACCAAAGTCTTCATCAATAACATAGCTGATGTGGAAAATTTACCACTTTCATTAACATCATCATCCATATCTTCACCCAAGAGCCCACATTGGTTTAAAAACCATGTTTTTTCTCTATCAATCAATTTATGAGATGCCCTAATCATATCAACTTGTTTAGAAACTTCAGCAAGATGCTGTGGTCTACCACCAATAAGTTCATAAACTTGATTAGCAATAGTCATATCTACATTTTCATTGAAATACCTTTTTCTTGAAACTGATAAGGCTTGGATTGCTTGGTCTCTATTAAAATCACGAACATTTATGACTTCTAATCTTGTACCTAGTTTCTTTAAACGTTCATATAGCCAATAATCATCAGAGTTGAAAATCATCGTTACCAATCCAGCACCACTGAGAGATTCTGCCTTTTGTTGCAATAATTCAACAAGCTTCACACCTTCTTCATCATCTTTGATTAAATGAGTGTTGTTGATTATTATAACCATCGGTTTCCCATATTTCTTAACTCTTCTCACAGCAACTTCTTCCAGCTTGTTAAAAGCACGCTCAATATCTAGTAAAGCTGTAGTATCCCTAGGTCCCCTAATAGAAAACAACGAGCCGATATAGTCTTCATGATACTCAAATTTCAAAGCTTTACCTAATCTTATTCTAAAGATTTCAGGATCCGAATGAGCATCAATAAAAGTACAGTTGAAGCTATCAACTTTTTTAATAGCATTCAAAATCATTGAGCTTTTACCACAACCTTTCTCACCAGTGATCAGGAAATATCTACCAACCAAATTACCTGCAATTATATCATCCAATAATTTTTGTTCAGGTCTTTCAACCCAATCACCTTCAATCTTTGTTGTTCTTTTATGCATGGTTAATTCAAATGCAGCGTCTCCTTTCTCAAACGCCTTGGACATCTTGTCAATAACATGAACATTGTAAAATTTGTGATAAGAAACACCAGCAAGACCAAGAACTAATAATGAAGCAAATGTTATACCTGATGTTTCACCACATTTGGTCAAGAATGATTTGAACCTTTCCCAGGCCTTATTCTTATCATCATGTTCGTATCCAGTATATTCATCATGGTCTTTATCCTTGTTATTGTCATTGTTGTTGTTATTGTTGTTATTGTTGCCATTAGATCCATTCTTATCACCACCATCACCATCACCATTCGACGAGCTCTTGGTCTCTTTATCACTGACCGTGTAATGCTCCACATCCTCACTCAGCTTGAATCCATCAGACCCAGCAGGAATTAGGATCTTTGGCTTCTTTTTGGCTCTCTTCTCCTTTTCAGCCTTTTCAACTTTCTTCTTGAGTTCATCGTTATCCAGTTCTTCTAGAATGCTGTCAATTGGTAGCAATGGATTGATCCTCAGTGGCTTTGATGTGGAAAAGACCCTGGCACAAATGCGATTCCTTGGAGCAAATGCCCTTAGCGCAGCTCTGCCAACGTTCATTGATTGCGTCTAGAGCCAAAGAGTATCAATTGGCAAGGATTTGACTTTAAAGTTGTTGATGTTCCTTGAGCGTTTCAGTGTGGCCGTGGCCAGCCTTGATGTTTTTTGAAAACAAACGTTTATCAGATTTAAGGAACATTGAAAAGACACAAACGAAAATTGTCTTCTAGGTTCAAACGATAACTCATTGTTCTTGGAGTGGAACGTAGGAACTATGCTTGTGGTACCCAGAACGTACCTTCTCTCGCTATTGTCCTTGATCTTGGTGAGTCTACTGTGTTTTTTGTGCCATTTTGCGGGCTTTATGGTAATGAGTGGTTTGAACTAACAAGTCCTTCAAGAACAATATTCCACCAAGTTTGTGGGTGCTGATAGACTTTATCTTTGATATAAGTACTTTTTGGTTGAGGGTAAGTATATCATGTAGCTGATTTGTGGGAATAGGGCATTAACATTGTGTCTAGAAAGCTATACAGATATGGAGAAGAAAGAATCCAATAAATGTTGCAAAGCAAAACCTACTCAAAGCTGAAACTTATGAAGAATGGCAAGTAGGTGCTTATTATATTGATAGATTGACTGGATCAGATCTATGGAGACATAACTTTACAAGCACAAAGTACGACTATAGGTTGATATCAGAGAGATTGAAAGCTTTACAAGAAGCTAGAGAAAGTAATGACATTCCACAACTGCTGAAATTGTTTAGAACAGGTGGGTTTTTAAGAAATTTTGGTGGGATTTCAAATAAAGAGTTATTTAATAGGGCTTATGCTGGTACAAAGACCCTAATAGAAGATTATATAAGTGAAATATTGCATTGTCTACACTACTTAGATGAGGCAGACATAATGGAGCATGAAATGTCCTCAAATCAATTAAAACTTGACTTTTTCCATGATGCAAGACAAGCTTTCGGATCTACTGCATTGATCTTACAAGGAGGCTCTTTATTTGGACTATGTCATTTAGGTGTTGTTAAAGCATTATACTTCAAAGGTCTTTTACCAAGAATAATATCAGGAAGTGCTGTTGGAGCTGTCGTTGCATCTTTGATATGTTCATTGACAAATGATGAGCTTGCTGATATTCTACTCACTATCACTGAACATCTTGGAAACATTGATAGATTGAATCATGATGTTGATGAAAGATATGGTTCAGTTATTGAAAACGTTATAACGAAGGGATATTCACAAGATATTCTCATTTTTATGAAATACGTTAAGGATTTGATTGGTGATATGACATTTGAAGAAGCTTATCTCAAGACTGAAAAAATTTTAAATATTATTGTTCATCCTACTGACAAAAATATTCCATCATTATTGAATTATGTCACTGCACCAAATACCGTTATATGGTCTGCAGTCTATGCTTCAATTGGAACTGGCATTCTTTCAGACAACGTTATGCTCTATGAAAAAGATTTGAATAATAATATTGTTCCAAGAGAATACACAGATAAAGAGTTCACATTTCTCACTCCACAAAAGGCCAATGAAAGAGGTAACCCAGAAAGTCCATATACAAGAGTGACGGAGCTTTTCAATGTTAATAATTTTATTGTTTCATTGGCAAGACCATATTTGGCTCCGCTAATCGTTAATGACATTAAACATAAATCTGGTTGGAAACCTAAAAGGGTTCTCCAAAGATTATTAGGTTTAGAACTTCAGCATAGGGTTGAGCTTATGGATAGAGCTGGTATATTGTTTAATTTTGTGAAAAGGATGGCTGTTGATGAAAAAACTCCAAAGAATTCAAGCGATATTACTATTGTTCCGGAACTTCGAACATTAGTTAAGGACTTTGGGAGAGTTTTTGATGTTCATAGAACTATGGAGAATATTCCATATTGGATTTTGGTTGGTGAGAGAAGTCTGTGGCCAGTATTGCCAATCCTGTGGACAAGGTGTGCTGTTGAGTTTACATTGGATGATTTATACAATAGAAGAAGAAGACACAGATAGGTGATTATTATTATTATCTGAAAAACAACTTGGTGGTTTCCCTATTTATGAAATACAAATACTCTTTCTCTGAAACAACTAATGATTCGAATGGAATTGTACCTTTTGATATTGTAAGCGTACCAGTAATATCTTTTGCTCTACCAGTTTCTAGTGGTCTTAGTCCCATCACTATATTGGAACGATGAATCAATCTAACGATAAAGTCTAATGTTTTGAATTCAGGAAGGTTTTGATTTCCTTGACTAGCTTCAATCAATTCTTTATCTGCGCTGGTAATGACAAAAATACCCTTTGCTAATTTGTTCAATTTGTTGATTTGATTCAACAATTGGATTGTAGAGATGCTAGTGGCAGATAACAAGAATTCTATACCTTCAATCAAAATTATCTTCTTTGTATTTTGATATCCTTGAATTTGAGTAGCGATTTGATCAAATAATTTACCAATAGATTCAGGTGTACTAATTTCTTGAAATAAATCTGTAAATAGATCAATGAAATGGAATTGCTTATTATCATTGAGTTCAATACCGTTTCTTTTCAAGTCCTTTTCATAATAGTCATAGTCATGTAAGAACGATATCACAACAGTATCAGCTCTGATTTGTCTATGTTGATCCTTTTCATGATTTATAACACAAGTTCCATATAATGAGTTTTCTATAAGTAAATTGACTAGCCAACTTGGAGAAGTACCTTGAGTGTGCGTTATTGTCCCAAACAAAGGTTCTGAGGTGAAAACCTTTTCTGGGATGATGGAGTTATCTATGAATAAGTTAAGATCTTGCTTTTGAGCCATCCTTGAGTTGCTTAACAATTATTTTGATCAAGTTGAAACTAATTAATCAAGCTCATCTCTCTTTTTTTCCCTATGGACATTTCGCGAATTGATTCTGCAATTCCTTGATAAAAAATTTTTTTCATAAAATTATAAGCTCAACGAAAGAGTTGAAACCTTTTCTACCATTCAAAATAATCAACACTACAAAAGATGTCTTTACCATCCTTACCAGCTAACTTTGGTGCTGAAAACTTTAAGGCTTCAGCTAAATACACAGCTCCAGTCCGTCGTCCAATTGAACCAGTTGGTCGTTACTTTTTAGCTCATGCTAGTCGTGCTTTAAGAGGCCACACTTGGTCTGAATTTGAAAAAATTGAAGCTGAAAAGAATGTCAGTAAAGTTGATGAAACCAATGAAGATGCTGATTTAGGTGATGAAGAACAAGATGCTGAATTATTGGCTCATGATCCAAGAGACTGGAAAAGTGCTGATTTGTACGCTGTCATGGGTATCTCACATTTACGTCACAAAGCTACTGAAGATCAAATTAGAAGAGCTCATCGTAAACAAGTTTTGAAACATCATCCAGATAAAAAAGCCGGTAGTGGTGGTTTGGATCAAGATGGTTTCTTCAAAATCATTCAAAAAGCTTATGAATGTTTATTAGACCCAACTAAACGTTTACAATACGATTCAGTTGATGAAAATGCTAATGTTGAACCACCAGCACTAAAATCTAACTACGATTTCTTTGAAGCTTGGGGTCCAGTTATTGCTAGTGAAGCTCGTTTCTCTAAAAAACAACCAGTTCCATTATTAGGTGACATCAACACTCCAAAACAAGAAGTTGAATCATTCTATGCATTCTGGTACAGAATTGACTCTTGGAGAACTTTTGAATTCTTGGATGAAGATGTTCCAGATGATTCATCAAACAGAGATCACAAACGTTACATTGAACGTAAAAATGTTGCTGCCAGAAAGAAGAGAAAAACTGAAGATAATGCTAGATTATTAGCTTTGGTTGACAGAGTTAAAGCTGAAGATCCTCGTATCAAACTATTCAAAGAAGCTGACAAGAAAGAAAAAGAACGTAAGAAATGGGAAAGAGATGCAGGTGCTAGAGAAGCTGCTGCTAAAGCCAAGAAAGAAGCTGAAGAGGCTGCTGCTAAAAAAGAAGCTGAAGAAGCCGCCGCTGCTGCTGCCAAAGCTGATTCTAAAAAAGCTAAAGAAGCTGCTAAATCAGCCAAAAAGAAGAACAAGAGAGCTGTTAGAGGTGCTGCTAAAGAAGCCGGTTACTTTGGTGATGCTGATAAAGCTGAAGCCATTGATGCTGATGTTGCCTTATTGATTGAAAATTTCGATGATTTACAATTATCTTCAGTCGCTGGTACTGTTGCTTCAGGTGATGCTGCTGCTATCAAATCTACTTTATCAGAAATTGCTAAAGAACAAGCTTCTTCTGGTAAAGTTCCAGCTGCTGCTTTGAAATATTTCAATTAAAAATGTTGATCAGAAATATGTTTAGCTAAATGAATTGCAGGCAGTTTCTTAGACGTAAAATTATTCTATGTAAGTGTTCTCGATCTTTATACAGATGCTTGAGGTTTGTAATATGGGAATTAACTTCGGTAATAGAGATGCTTTACACTCGAAAACATAGTGTAACACTAACCCTTCTTGGAATCTGAGCTGTGATCACAGAAAATAGGTGGACAACCTTAGATTTCTACATTTGTCATTGGCAGCTGGTATGGTTTCATTGCACTGGTAATACTTTCTCGCCAATCAACTACGTTGCACCTTGATTCGCACCACTCTTTTGAAAGAAATTCCAACTGTCCACAGAAATTTCTGTTGTTATAGCTTGTAACTTGTAACTTGTTGAACTGGAATACTATTATCCCGGAGATAAAAAGGCCAATTCCGATATTGCCGGGACTCTAACATACAAAGCATTTCCGCCAGCTAAATATTGAATAATGAAACCTGAAATACTTCGGCTATATGAGATGATGCTGATAAATTACCACTAATTATTTTTTAGCTCATTTTAGAGATTTTTTATTTTTTTTGATGTTTCTTCGTAAGTTTTAAACTTAAATTAAAATATTGTAGGTTGATAAAATTTCACTCAAATATAAAATTTGTTAATTTTTCTTTTTAAATGACAGAATAACATTAACATAATAATACCAGCAAGATTTTAACTCATTATATTTATTTAAATATAAAAATCTTCGAGTTACAGTGTTCGTATTAAAGGTTTTTTGAATTTTGTGATTACGTAAGCAAAAATATAATTTAGAGATCAAGAAAAATTTAAAATCACAAAAAATCCGATGTAGTGTAACGGCTAGCACGGTTCGCTTTCACCGAGCAGACCGGGGTTCGACTCCCCGCATCGGAAATCCTTTTTTTTTGCAATTTTTGAGTCCCAGGGAGCTGTATTTGAACGCTTTTTTTATAATTTTGAAGTGATTCTTTCTTTGTTGATCTGTTTGTGCTTTGGGAGCGATTTTCTAGCGAAAGAATCAAGCTTAATCTCAGCTGCATATCATAAGCCGAGCTGTTGACAGATTGAGTTTCAAATTTCTTGAACTTCAACTCACCTTCTACTTATCTTGGAAACCAGTAAGGACTGTAACGTATCACTTATTAAAAGCGATTATTCTGCTCAGAACATTGGTTATTTCGAGTTCAAATTGCTGATGTAGGCATTCAAAATAATGCTAACGTACCTAAAAAATAAAGTGCCACTAACGGCGTTTAGTCCTAAAAGGGTATCTCGCGGCCGAAGCAATTGAAAGCTGATTCATTTATAACCACCGATGCCAGATGAATACGAGTTGATTTTGACTGATAGGTGAAAAAAAATTTATTTAAATATATTATTAACCCTCTGTCTCCCAAAAATCATTGGAAGAGTCCTCTACTCGCTAAGGACAGTTAAGAATAGAAGCTGAACACTTTAAAACTCTATCTCATCGGTGAAGCTTTTTTTTTTCATATTTTCTGATTTAGACAGGATGCCATTTTTCAAAAGGAAGATTTCACAAGAGACATTCAAGTCTAATAAAGAAAAGGCACAAGTCGATAGTTCAACTGTCACTGATATAGAATCAAATGCAAATGAGGTGCTGAAAAATCCAACACTAAAGAAGACCTCCCCTGTTATACGAACAATCATTGGGAAAACGCCTGCTCCAATTGAACAAAATCATGAAACTTACCCATTTTTAAAAGCCAATTTTTTTCAAGCTTTAACATTCACATGGGTTGCTCCATTGATCAAGAAAGGTTACTTGAGAAGGATTGAAGATGAGGACCTATACCAGCTGGATGGTGATTTGAAAGTTCGAGAAATGACGGAAAAGTTTGAGCAGAGTCTAGCAAAAAGAGTTGAAGAATGGAAAAGGAAAAACCCAGACAAGGAGAAATACACCAAGATAGTTGTTATTAAAGCTATAAATGATACTTTCAAGACAAGGTATTGGAAAGGTGGTGTCTCAAAAGTTTTTGCTGATCTCTCACAAATTTTGAATCCGCTATTGGTTAGAACATTAATTAAGTATATTCAACACAAAGGTGATAATAAAGTTGTACCTCAAACTGGCCACTCAGTTGGTACTGCAATTGGTATATCAGTAATGCTAATTTTTTCAAGTTTGATGATTAGTTCCTTTTTCCACCTCTCTATGTTGACTGGTGCTCAATGTAAAGCTTTATTGACAAATGTGATTTACAGAAAAGCTTTCAAATTAAGCGCTAAAGCAAGATTAGATTTTCCTAATGGTAAAGTGAATAGTTTAGTCATGGCGGATTTGTCAAGAATTGATCTTGCGGTTGGTACTTTCCATTTTGTTTGGGCATTTCCTATCTCATTTATTGTTGCTTTAATCGTGTTGGTTGTCTATCTTGGTGCTCCTGCGTTACTTGGTTTGGCTTTAATTTTGATTCTTCTAGGATTCATGATGTACGCCACAAGAAAGTTAAAGAACTTGCGGAGACAATCAACTGTTTATATTGATAAAAGGGTTCGTTCTATTAATGAAATCATCAATACATTGAAGATGATCAAATTTTACTGCTGGGAAAAACCATATTATGAAACAGTTGAGAAATTTAGATTGAATGAAAAACGTTTTATTTTGAAAATGCAACTATTGAAGGCTATTTTGAATTCTGGTGTTTCTTCTGTTGCCGTTTTAGCTACAATGGTTGTTTTTTTGACTATGCAAAAAACCAGTACTAATTTTCAATCTTATAACATCTTCTCTGCTGTCACATTGTTTAACACCTTGAGGTTTCCATTGAATGTCTTACCTATGGCTGTTGGTTTTCTTGTTGATGCATTACTAGCTATGGATAGAGTTGCTGAATTTTTACAAGCTGAAGAAGGTGAAGATACGGTTGAAAGATATGAATATGATGAATCTGATAATGCTATTGTAATTGAAAATGGTTGCTTCAAGTGGGATGTTGAGGAAGACGAAGATTTCAAGTTGAAGGCCCAAATGACCAGACAGTCGATGAAACCACATCAAACCAATGAAGATGAAGAAGGTGAAGATTTGAGTTTTCCTGGGCTACTGAACATTGACTTAACTGTTAAAAAGAATGAATTGGTGATTGTAACTGGTTCTATTGGTACTGGTAAAACTTCATTATTGAATGCCATTGAAGGTTCAATGAGAAAAGAGTCTGGGGATTCCAAAATTTATGGTTCTTTAACATTTTGCTCGTACCCTTGGATACAAAATGAAACCATTAAAGAGAATATTTTGTTTGGTCTCCCATTTATTAGATCCAAATACGAATCAATTGTGAAAGCATGTGCATTAGACGTTGATTTTGATGTTCTACCAGATGGTGATCAGACTGAGGTTGGAGAGCGTGGTATCACTTTATCAGGTGGTCAAAAGGCAAGAATCAACTTGGCTAGAGCTGTTTATGCTGATAGGGACATTATTTTATTGGATGATGTTTTAAGTGCAGTTGATGCTCGTGTTGGTAAGCATATCATGAATGAATGTATTTGTGGATTATTGAAAGATAAAACGAGGTTACTGGCCACTCATCAACTTTCATTAATTGGTGCTGCTGATAGAATTATTGTTTTGGATGGCTCTGGATCGATTGATATCGGTACTTATAATGAATTGATGGCCTCAAATAGTGCCTTTGCCAAATTGATGGAGTTTAACAAAGAGCAAGAGGACGAAGAAGAGGAAGAGGAACAGTTAGAAGAGCAAGAAGAAATGGAACTCGAACGTCAAAAGACACAAATTTCCAGAATCCAATCTGAAAAACAAGAAGATGAGGACGCAAGAAAAGAAAAGGGTAGAATAACCGTTGCAGAAGATAGAGGTACACAGAACATCTCATTTGGAATTTATGCCAACTATATGATTTTGGGTAGTGGGAAACTTGGTGTTGCCATTGTACCACTATTTTTGCTGATTGTTGTTTTGAATGGATTCTTCCAACTATTTTATTCCGTGTGGTTGAGTTTTTGGATTTCTCATAAGTTTGATATTTCAGACTCTACTTACAAAGGGTTATACATTATGTTTTGTTTCTTGGCCACATTTTCCTTCGTAACTTTGTTCAGTGCAATGGCCGCGCTAAATAACAAAGCTGGTTTACATTTATTCAACTTGAGTGCGCAGAAACTACTAAAGACACCAATGTGGTTTATGGATGTTACACCAATTGGTCGTATTATGAATAGATTCACGAAGGATGTCGATGTCTTGGATACTGATATGATTGAACAACTTAGATTGTTTGTTCAGTCTGTATCTTTGGTTGGTGGTGTTGTTATTTTATGTGGTGTTTATATTCCATGGTTCTTTTTGGTGTTACCATTTGTTTTCACATTATATTACTATTTGGCTCATTATTACAAGACATCAGCGTTGGATATTAAAAGATTGGAATCTGTCAAAAGATCATTTGTCTTCAGTCATTTCAATGAATCCTTGAGTGGTATGAAAGTTATCAAGTCATACTCTTCATCAGAAAGATTTAAAGACAAGTACGAAAGTCTGATTGATAGTATGGATGCTGCTTATTTCTTAACGTTAGCAAACCAAAGATGGTTGAGTATCAGATTGGATTGTATTAGTTCTTTGGTCAGTTTTTTCGTTGCTATGTTGTGTATCTTTGGTGTTTTCAATATGGACGGTGCTTCATCTGGGTTATTAGTGTCCTATATTATTCAAATTGCATCTATGATGTCACTTTTGTTAAGATCAATGACCCAATTAGAGAATGATATGAACTCTGTTGAGAGATTGTTTGAATACGCCAAAAAATTACCAGAAGAAGGTCCATTTGAGCTTGAAGATAACAAGCCAGATGAAAGCTGGCCAGAACAGGGTGGAATTGAATTTGACGATGTGTGTTTGAGCTACAGAGAAGGACTACCGCTAGTTTTGAAGAATGTTTCTTTCAAAGTAAATCCTAGTGAGAAAATTGGTATAGTGGGTAGAACTGGTGCTGGGAAATCCACAATCATGAATGCCTTATTCAGAGTCACCGAGCTAGCTCAAGGGAGAGTCATTATTGATGGTGTTGATATTTCTAAAATTGGGTTAAATGATCTGAGATCTAAATTGTCAATCATCCCACAAGACCCTGTGTTATTTCATGGTACAATCAGACAAAACCTGGATCCTTTTGGTGCCAGTTCAGATTTCGATTTATGGGATGCTTTGAAAAGAAGTTGGTTAGTTGAAGATGGTGCTGCTGGTACTGGCCAATTTGTTGCTGGTAAATCTGACATTAAAACCTTACACAAGTTTCATTTAGATCAAAAAGTTGAAGATGATGGTGCCAATTTCTCGTTAGGTGAACGTCAATTATTAGCGTTGGCTAGAGCTTTGGTTCGTAATACCAGAGTCTTGATTTTAGATGAGGCAACATCAAGTGTTGATTATGAGACTGATTCTAAGATCCAATCCACAATCATTAATGAGTTCAGACAATGCTCAATCTTATGTATTGCGCATAGATTGAAGACGATCTTGAACTATGATCGAATCTTGGTTTTGGATAAAGGTGAAGTTAAAGAGTTTGATACACCACTAAATCTATTTAAGCTTGGAGGGATATTCACTGAGATGTGTGAAAGATCCAACATTACGGAGACTGATTTTGGAGCATAAATTTATAGATTATAACAATTCATAGTCATTAGTATAATGAGCACCCAGTGTAGTATCTTTTTAATAACTTGCTAAGCAAAAGGGTCAAACCATTCTTGAAAAGTATGTCTAGGCTAGGTTCGCGAATAAAAGCTTATCACAAGTGATAACCAGATCTGTGTACGCTGGAAACTTGCGTTGTGACTAAAAATAAAAAAATACTGACACAACAGCTGGCTTACATTGTTATTTGAGCTTATTAGACTCTAACCATCTTCTTTAAAAAGACACACTCAAACTATTTTCCACAAGGCCCAATATTGAGCTGTGTTTGTTTCGAAAGGAAACCGATTGTTTTTTGTTTGGGGTACGTTTCCAGGTGCCACTTTTTGAAATTTGCCTCCAAATACAAACCACCAGAGGCTAACTTTAACCTGTTTTATTCAACCTGAATAGTGAAGTGTAACTGGAATAATCCTCAGAGATACTGAGAAATGTCAGATGTGAAGAAAAGAGGAACAATATACCAATTGAGACCGGATCCGCCTTGTGAGTGCTCCCCTGAGCAAGATGCTTTCACTGCGGCTAAGTTGATGTTTGATAATGGTATCCATTGCGTGTTGGTAAAGGAACTAGATACGTTGGTTGGACTTTTCACTGCTAAAGACCTAGCCTTGAGAGTTGTTGGAAAGAATTTGGATCCTAAGCTAACCAAAGTTAAAGATATAATGACCACCTCTCCGTTGTGCCTTCATATGAATACACCAACCACAGATGCATTGGAGACTATGGTGAAGAAAAGCGTTAGACATCTTCCACTACTTGATGATGATAATAATATAAAAGGTGTTTTGGATATAACTAGATGTTTCCATCAAGCAATGCTAAGACTAGAGAAAATTTCATTGAATGCACAAAAAGTGAATGAGGTATTGAGAGATGTTGCTGAAAACTATGAAGATATAAGAACTTCTAAGGCCCAAACTATCATAGATGATATAAAGAAATTAATGAAGTTGATCGAGGTTCCGACTTTGCATTCTATTGTTCAAGTCTCCAAGCCAGCAGTTTATATCAATTCTAGTGCTTCTGTTAGATCTGCTTCAAGATTAATGATTGAAAACTCAACAACAGCTGTTCTTGTGAATGATGATACAAGTTCCACCAGAAGAGTGATTGGAATTTTCACAAGTAAAGATATAGCTTTTAGAGTTTTGGCGAAGGCCTATGATCCAGATACATGTACAGTGGCTAGGGTTTTAACTTCTAGTCCAGAATTTGCAAAAAGTAATATGAATATTAGCTCAGCATTGAGATTGATGTTTCAAGGCCATTTTTTGAATTTACCAGTGACAGATGTGGTAACAGGTGAAATCATTGGTATTGTAGGGGTTTTACAATTGACGTATGCAGCATTGTCACAGCTAGGAAAAAGAGATAATATTGATAAGGAATCCTTTGGAAAGACGATGCTTGAAGAAGTTACCAATAGATTGACAGATGAAGAAACACCTGCTTGGGAGTCTTTTTGGGATTCTTTAGATAAATCAACAGATGATATTCAAGTGTTGGAGTCAAGTGTTACTGGAAAAACTACTAGCCCAGTTCTTTCAAGATCACAGACACCTCGCCTGAGTCGTCATACTTCTTTAAATCAACTGATAATGGCCTCAGGTTCTAGACGGACTTCATTCAATAGGAGAGTATCTGAGGATTTGGAATCTTTGAATCAGTTCAAAAGGACACATTCTTCTGAATATTTGGCAAGAACAGATTTGCTCATAAAGAGAAGGACCATTGTTTTCAAAATTAAACCTTCAAATTCTTTAAGAAACCATAAAATAAGTGTTACCATAACAGATGGTGCTTTGTTGAACAATGAATTGAAATTGTTTGAGCTGATAAGGAACGAATTAAGTGAAAAAATTGAAATTGAAGCTTCAAATCAAATACTTCTGTTCCATAATGATGAAGGTAATTTGATTGAGATCACGAATGATTTTGAATTGAGTGAAGCTATTGCTGAAACCGAAGCTAAAAATGCAAAGTACGTTGAACTTTTGGTGAAGGATAGATCAAACGGATGGATTTCATCACTTCTTTCCTTCTTTTCCACCGTGAGATCAAAAGCAAGAGAACTATTTTATGAATCATCAACATTATCCGGAGCCATTGCTATACTTTCCGCAGGAATTATTCTTGGCTATACTATATCCAAGAAGTGAAGCATAACAACATATTTCCTAGTAATAAACAAGATACGCGTAAAGGACATTACTGATTTTTTTTGTATAACATTTTGTGATATCGAATTTTGGGCTTTTGTCCTTACAAAATTTCGCTTCTAAAGCAAAACTTACGTAAGACTTGAGACAAAAAAATTTCGCGACTTTTTTTTTTGCCCAAAGAAAATTTCGATTTGGCGTGAAAAAAAATTACATACGCTTAAACTTATTGAACATCATCAACTTTTTGTACAAAAAGCTTATTTATTTGATCTATCAGAATAATTCTGGCCTCACACAGTACCCCTTTCCTTTTCCATACTGCTGGCTATTGTCTTTTTTCATCAAGAAGGATACTTGAGCTCAAACTAACGTTCTGGTATGTACAAGTTTTGTTTTTAGGGAATGATATATGGTTCATGAAGACAATATATAATTACTTCAATCATCTTTGTGCTCGTTTTATTAACCTCAGAAGTGCCTTGAGTTTTTAATCTTTTCTATTCTCAATTGAATATTTTTTTTGATAGAAGTTCAAAAGAATTTTATTCTTGCCAAAAGATGTCTTCCCTTCCAAACGACATCAACGGTGCTCTTTTAGAGCTTTTGGCTGGTCTATCATCCTCTGACAACAATGTTCGTTCACAAGCTGAAAGTACATTATACTCATCATGGACTGTTGCTGAACGTGTTGATGTTTTATTGATGTTTTTAGCTGAACAAGCCACTGGTGGTGCAACAGATGAAGCTAAACAATTCTCAGCTGTTTTGTTTAGACGTCTTGCAATCAGATCTCCACAAAATTTGAAAAGTGTCACAGAAAGAACAATTTCTAACATCAATCAGCATGCTTTGACTCAAATCCGTGCTCTATTCTTGAAAGGTTTCATCTCTCAACAACCAAATAACATTAGACATAAATTGGCAGATGTTATTGCTGAACTAGCCAAAGATGATCTTCCAGCATGGAATGAACTACTTCCAACTCTTTTAGAAGCTGCCAAGAACCCAGATGCAAGCTTTAGAGAGTCAGCTTTCAGAATTTTTGCTGCTACTCCAGCTTTGGTTGACAAAAGTTATGTGAACGAAATTTTACCAATCTACCATTCAGGTTTCGATGATGTGGATGATGATGTTCGTATCGCAGCTTGTACTGCATTCGTTGCATTTTTCCAAAACTTACCAAAGAAATCATGGCCATCAGTTGAATCATTATTACCAAATTTATTAAACAGTTTACCAAGATTATTACAAAACAATAAAGATATTGCATTAGCTGCCGTCTTGGAATCACTAATTGAGTTGGTTGAATTGGCACCAAAAATGTTTAGAAATATGTTTGAAACAATTATTCAGTTTTGTTCAGCAGTTTCTAAAAACAAAGATTTGGATTCAAGTGCAAGATTAGCTGCTTTGGAATTATTAACAACATTCTCAGAATCGAGTCCAAATATGTGCAAACGTCAACCTCAATATACCCAAGCTATTGTCGTTATAACGTTAAGTGTCATGACTGAAGTTTGTGTTGATGATGACGATGCAGCTGAATGGAATAACGCGGACAACACTGAAGATGATGAAGAAGAACCTGAATATGATTCTGCTCGTCAAGCTTTAGATCGTGTTTCTTTAAGATTAGGTGGTGAATGTTTAGCCTCGCCATTATTCCAAATGATTCCACCAATGTTGAACTCTGCTGATTGGAGAGAACGTCAAGCTGCTTTGATGGCTTTATCATCCGCTGCTGAAGGTTGTAGAGATGTTTTGATTGGTGAAATCCCAAGAATTTTGGATATGATTTTACCAGCTTTGAATGATCAACATCCAAGAGTTCAATATGCTACTTGTAATGCTTTGGGTCAAATTTCAACAGATTTTGCTGATCTTATTCAAAAAACTGCTGGTGACCGTATTGTTCCAGCTTTGGTTTCCAAGTTGACCAACCAATCAGTTCCAAGAGTTCAAGCTCATGCTGCTGCTGCCTTAGTTAACTTTTCTGAAAATGCCACTAAAGAAACTTTAGAACCATATTTGGATGATTTATTGACCAATTTGTTAACTTTGTTGCAAAGTCCAAAACGTTATGTTCAAGAACAAGTTTTAACAACGATTGCTATTGTTGCAGATGCTGCTGAAAAGAAATTTGTCAAATATTATGATACTTTAATGCCTTTATTGATTAATGTTTTGACAACTGATATGGGTGATGAAAATAGATTGTTGAAAGCCAAATGTATTGAATGTTCTACTTTAATTGCTTCAGCTGTTGGTAAAGAAAAATTTGCACCACACTCAAATGATTTGATCCAATTATTTGGTATGATTCAACAATCATCATTACAAGAAGATGATCCAGTCAAGCCATACTTAGAACAAGGTTGGGGTAGAATTGCTAGAATCATTGGAAAGGATTTCTTGCCATACTTACCAAGTGTTTTACCACCATTGATCGAAGCTGCTAAAGCTCAACAAGACATTAACTTGTTGGAAGAAGATGAAGCTGAAGAATTCAACCAAGATGAAGATTGGGATGTTATTCAATTATCTGGTAGACATATTGCTGTTCATACTGCTTTGTTGGATGATAAAGCTGCTGCTATTGACCTTATTGCAGGTTATGCTGATATTTTGAAAGGTGATTTCTATCAATACACTAGGGAAATTGTTATCGATATTGTTTTACCAGCCATTGATTTCTATTTACATGATGATGTTAGAAGAGCTGCTGCAAGTTCCTTACCTTCATTATTAATAACTAGTAAATTTGCTACAGGTGAAAAATCTACACAAACTTTGGAACTATGGCAATTGATTAGTGATAAATTGATCAAAGCTATTGGTACTGAACCAGTTCAAGACCTATTATTCATCTACTATGGTGCTTTTTCAGACTGTATCCAAGTCATTGGTGATGATGCTTTATCCCCAACTCAATTAGCAAGTTTCACAAAGAATGTCAATGAAGGGTTGAAAGAAATGTATGAACGTATCAAAGAACATGAAAGTCAAGATGACGAATACAACGAAGAAATTGATGAGGAAGATAGAGATTATTCAGATGAAGAATTAAGTGATGAAATCAACAAAGTTTTGTCAATCGTTTTCAAATCATCCAAGACTGCCTTTTTACAACCATTCCAAACTTTGGTTCCAACTATTGCTGCATACATTAATGATAGTAATGTTACTGCTAAGCTTTTTGGTCTATGTGTTGCTGCTGATTTGATTGAATACACTGGTGAACACTCTCAAGTTTTCCAAGATTTGTTTTTAAATCAAGTTGGTGAATCATTGTTGAATCCAAACAGTTCTGTTCGTCAAGCTGCCGCATATGCTGTTGGTGTTGCAGCTCAACATGCTACCTCAACTTACCATGACTTTATCTTGGCTTCATTAGAGCCATTATTCAAATCCACTCAATTTTCTGATGCTAGATCTGAAGATAACATTAATGCAACTGAAAACGCATCTGTTGCTATTGCTAAGATCCTACATTCAGCTGGAACATCATTGCCAAATTTCGATGCTTTTGTTGATAGCTGGATCAAAACTTTACCAGTTGTTCAAGATAATGAAGCAGCCCCATATGCTTATAGATTTTTGTCACAATTGATTGAATCTGGTCATGGTGCTATTCAATCTCAAATTCCACATATTGTCGATTCAGTTATACAAGCATTGATCTACAACTCAATCGGTGGTAAGACTGCTGAAACAGTTGTCGCATCTACCAAAAAATTATTAGGTTCTATACCTCAAGATGATGCTATGAGCTTATTGCAAAGATATCCTGTTGATGCTCAACAAGTGATTCAAAAATGGTTTGCTTAATGGAAACTATCTCACCTTTTCCTACTCATACTTCCTACTTTACTATTTTTTATATAAATATTTGTGTTTTTTAGAGTTTGTGTTCTATTCATTATATGATTTTTTAATTTTGTATGTGGAAAAAGTCAGATGTAGTTTTTGGATCTTTTTAGTTTCCTAATCTGGAAGTCAACAATCGTAGGCTCATCTCACTATTTTTTTTTTTTTTAATTTTCTGAAATTTTTTTTTCCTCCATACAAACAATATAAACTAGCTGATAGAGAGACAGTAATCCTTCTTGATAGAGAGATAGAGTTGGAAAATATAGATATAATCAAAGATGGGTCTAGCAGGTACTAAAGTGAAGCAAAGATTTGGTATGGATCCACGTAATACCAAATGGGCCAACAATACAGATAGATTTGGACATCAATATATGGAAAAATTAGGTTGGAAACCAGGCTCAGGGTTAGGTTTAGTTTCTCATGCTATGACAACTCATGTTAAAGTTGCCATTAAAGATGATACTGTTGGTTTAGGTGCTAAATTATCCAAAAAAAATAAAAAGGATGAATTTGATAGTGGTGAATGTGCAGGTTTAGATGTTTTTCAAAGAATTTTAGGAAGATTGAATGGTAGAGAAGATGAAATTAGTAAAGAATTAGATATTCAGAAGAGAGAAAACATTATCAATGGGAAATGGGGGATGAGTTTTGTTAAAGGTGATGTTTTGAAAAGTACATGGGATGCTGAATCTAAGAAGTTGATTGCAAGTAAGAAGAGAAGTAGAGATGATGATGAAGATGATAAGGAAGATGAAGTTCAAGAAGAAAAGAAGACAAAGAAGATAAAGAAGGAGAAGAAGGAGAAGAAGGAAAAGAAAGATAAGAAAGAGAAGAAAGAGAAGAAAGAAAAGAAGGAAAAGAAAGAGAAAAAAGAGAAGAAAGAGAAGAAAGATAAAGATGAAGAAAAGAAAGATAAAAAGAAGGATAAGAAAGATAAAAAGGATAACAAACACAAGAAAGAAAGTTCTGAAGAAGCAGTTACTCGTGATAGTATGTTGGCACCAAGTTCAAGAGAAGATACACCTGTTGGTCTTCGTCATATAAGGTCCAGATGGATTAAGCAAAAAAGAGCAGCCACATTAGATTCAAAAGCACTAAATGAAATCTTCATGATAACGAATTAGAAAAAAGCATAAATACACATAAGTTAGCATTATTGAAGGTATTACAAGTAGTCAACTTTTTTAACAAACAGGAAACTATATTTATTGATATCTAATTTGTGATAACTAAACTAATATAAAAACTATGAAAATGAAATGAAAAAGAACTAGTGTCTATTGAATCATGAGTCAATCATAACAAAACAAAACCTAAACCACCAAAGAAGAAGGTAATTGTGGTTGTTAAGAAGAATAATTGAGCATTGTCAATAGATGGTCTAACGACATGAGCTGAAGATCCACTGTTTCTTGAACCAGATGATGAACTTGATGAACCACCACTTGAGCTTGAACCTGAAGAACCAGAAGAACCAGAACCACTTGAACCACCAGAGCCACCAGATTGTGATTGAGAAGCTGAGGCAGCACTCAAGACACTTGAACAAGATGAAGCAGTTGAAGCACCAGAGTTTAATGAAGCAGAACCATCAAATGAACAAGCTGAAGCTTTTTCACCATTTTGTTTATAGTATTCATTCAACAAGAAGGATAATTTAGTTTCATCATCACAATAAGAGTAAGTACCATAATGACCAGATGAACCATTTGCAGTTATACCTGAACAATCAATTTCACCACAAACAGTACCGTATAAATCACCAAAATCTTCTTTTTCAACTTTACTTGACAAGACACAAGATAAAGATTCTGATAAACAAGAACAAACACCTTCTTGAGGAGTTGGTGGCAATTCAGTAGCAGCTCTCCAAGTATTTGCTTGAGATGGACAAGATAATGAAGTTGCTGAAACTTCTGAAGTTTTAGCAGATGATGGAGAAATACTAGCCAATTCACTCTTCAAATAGTTGAAATCTTCCAAAGTGGAAACATCATCACCTTTAACTTTAACTAAACCATAATCATTATCTTCTTGGAAATACATGTAGACAATACCACCAGACCAAACATCAGTCATTTTATCAGAGTATAAAGTGGCAACATCTGTAAATTCTCTTGGTTTAACTTCATTACAACCATATTCTGAAAAGAAGATTGGAATTGACAAGTTTTTGAATTCTTCAGTTCTTGCTTCATAACCAGATTTTTCAAAAGTTGAGTTACCACACCATTCATACATGTTGATACCATAGAAATCAGCTTTTTCATCATCATCACCACAAGAGAAATAATCAGCAATGGCAATTCTAGTATCTGAATCATCATTTGAAGAATAACCAACTGGAATATCTCTGTAACCTTGTTCTTTGATATAAGCTTTTGTGTCTCTGACAGCGGCTTTGACAAAAGCTGAAGCATCTGAATTGGTCTTGTTGTTTGTAACTTCATTACCAGCAAAGAAACCAAGGACATTTGTATAATTGTTTAAAGAGTCAACAACATCAGTATAACGTTTGTATAATTCCAAGTTCCATTCTGGACTATCTCTATTGATTGAAGTTGATGGTTCAGACAAATCAGCAATAATGTAAATACCATGTTGAGCAAACATATCCATACAATCACTATGATCAACAGTAGTGTTAACAGCATAAACTCTCAAAACATTGGTGTTTAATTCCAATAAATAAGGTAAATCTCTTTTACAAGCATCTGAATCAGCTAAAGGATCAACGAATGAATCATCTGTTGAGTTTGCAGTATCTTGTTGGTAAGCAACACCTTTGATATAGAATTGAGTACCATTACCTTTGTAGAAAAATTTATTACCAACAACTTCAATTGAAGGAATATTTTCACTTGTACCTTGGTCTGAATTAGCTAAAGCAAATTTTGATGAAATGCTCATAAAGATACTCGTCAAAAAGACAAGTTGTAAAAATTTGAAGTTCATAATGAATATATTAAAGCAACTAAATTACCACAACGACAACAGCTATTAAAAAATGATGATTGAAATGTATAATTAAAAAATTCAACTCAATAATAGTAACAAAGAAGTAAATCACAAGCGAATGGATATTATTGAGTGTATGTTGATCAGTTGTCTGTGTATGAACGTAAAGAGTTGAAGTAGAAGTAAATGAGAAAGAAAGTGTTTTCAAATGAGAATTTAGGAATCTGGGTTTGTTATATAAATGGTAAAAATTCGCAGAAGCACGGTAAAGAGAGATTTTAACAAGAATGTAAGTTTAATTGGTGTAAATTGTGGGAGAAATGACACGGTTCAAAAATTTCGGCAGCGTAGCATTGGCTGGTTTGAAAAGGAGAATTTGCATTTTACGTGTTTCTGTTTACCATATGGTGGCTATGAGATCAGGAACTCTATTTTTTTGTAAACAGTTGATCATTTCCTACGCGATGGAATTCTGATTCATCAACCTCGAGATGCAGATATCTAGCCAAATTTAGAAACGAGTTAGAGACACTACACTACAACACCAGGTTGTTGGCTACGCGAATCTGATCTATAACCTTTCAGGAAGAAATACCAGCTGGTTAGCTCAAGATACAGCCCAGGTTTGAGTCTTCAAAGATGATTTCAAGTGAAAAATTCCTCGAAAAAATGTCAACAAAACAAAAACTGGACCTGGCTGACATAATTCTGCATGCACCCCTGACATAATCTCCCAAGCCTGGAATTAATCGGAGGCTTTTGCACTAAAAGCACAAGACACAGTCAAGAGTCAAGCGTTGGTGAAGAGCTTAGTTTAAGCTTAGCTTTAACGGCTATGGAGTGTAATAGATCAAGAGGAACAATCCTTCAACTTTTGTAGCTTCAACAAGTTGTTCAACTCCTGGTTCAGGAGAGGTCGCCAGAGTCGAGGGCGTGGATTTGCAATGAGAATCATTTGCCCTAAACAGCAACCTCGAAGTCTAGAACTGGAACCAGTAGTTCATGAACCGTGTTTGTGCTACATAAAGCTGAATATTTCAAGAGTGCCTTGAACCTGAGCCCTTGTGATAACCATCGAATCAGTTTCAGGTTTCAGGTCACAGTCCAAAACTCCAGCTTTGTTTGATTCCGTTTGTAGCTACAAAATCTTATTCAAATAAATATCTTGCGAATTCCAAAATTTCGCTGTTTAACAAAAACCTATACGCAAAACAAATGTTGATTGCAATACTTTTGAGAGTTGATTTAAAGATGGTTTGGAATTGTGAAAGACATATTGTGAAATAGGCTATATGATTTGCTGATTATTAGGTTCATTTGTTTGGCGCTCTATGTGTTTGTTTCTGGTACTTGGTTGATTTAACCGCTGTCAACGTCAGGGTCCTTGGATTAATTTAATCTAGATATTGAAGAGGGGGCTTGTGATTTGTGATTGTTCATGTATCATATAAGATGCAGGTTTTGTTGCTACTGATGTTTGTATCGTATTGGTGGTGTTAGTATCTTTATGATAACTTGCTAGATTATATTCTACAATGATGGTACTCTTTGGATAAGGCTTTGAATATCTCTGGTGTCTTTTGTCTGATACATGGTTTGTGATACTGTGCTCTTGCTTGTTCAAGTTTGTTCTTATGTTGAATTATGGTTCTACAAGTTGGTTAACAAAACTATAGTATATTTTTTTTGAAATTTAAAGCAAAAACTGTCATTATTTATAAAGAAAAGTTGTTGTCAAGCTTAGATCAAGATTGAAGTGAAACCACCAACAACTAACAAAGCCATGACTGAAGCAAAGACTTTTTCACCTCTTGGAACAACTGGACCTGCAGCACCAGATCTTGATGATGAACCACTTGAAGATGATGAAGAACCTGCACTAGAAGATGAACCACTTGAACCATTTGATCCAGTTGCAGTTGATCTACCTGAACCACTAACAGTGGCTGAAACAGTACCTAAACCAGATGCACCAGCTTCAGCTAAGGCTGTTGAACAAGCTGCTTGAGTCGATGCTGATTTAACAGAGGCTGAACCACTGAATGAACAAGCACGGGCTGCTGAACCTTGAGCTTTATAGTATAAATCTAAAACAAATGATAATTTTTGTTTTGATGAACAGAATGAATAAGCACCATATGAACCAGTGGTACCGTTAGAGTTAATACCATCACATGAAACTTCACCACATACAATACCAAACAAATCACTATAATCATCAGAATCAACACTGTCACCAACAACACAACTCAATGAACTTTCCATACATGAACATAATCCATCGTCAGGAGTTGGTGGTAAATCAGTTGATGCTTTCCAGTTTTTATCTTCAGTTGGACATGATAATTGATGTGCTGATGCTGATGCTGCTGAAGATGCAGCTGAAGTTGGGCTAACTCTTAAAATTTCACTCTTATAGTTGTTATAATCATCTAAAGTTTTAACGTCATCACCATCAATTGAAACTAAACCATAGTCATTTGCTTCTTGGAAATACATATAAACAATACCACCAGACCAAACATCAGTCATATCACTACCATACAAAGTTGCAACTTCAGTGAACTCTCTTGGTTTGACTTCATTACAACCATATTCTGAGAAGAAGATTGGAATGGTTAAGTTTTTGAAATCAGCAGTTCTATCAGCATAACCAGATTTGGCAAATGTTGAATTACCACACCATTCATACATGTTGATACCATAGAAATCAGCTCTTTCATCATCATCACCACAAGCAAAATAATCAGCAATTTGAATTCTGGTGTCAGCATCATCATTTGAAGAATAACCAACTGGGATTGATCTATAACCTTGTTGTTTGATATAAGCTTTGGTGTCTCTAACAGCTGCTTTGACAAAAGCTGAAGCATCGGTGTTTGTGTTATCATTGGTAACTTCATTACCTGCAAAGAAACCTAAAACATTGGTGTAATTGTGGAATTCATCAACAATTTTGGTGTAACGGTTATAAAGCTCAACGGTCCAAGATGGAGAATCTCTATCAATACTTAATGATGGTTCAGATAAATCAGCAATAACATAGATACCAGCATTAGCTAATTGTTGCATACAACTGGTGTGATCTTGTGATTCATTCAAGGCATAAACACGGATAGTATTGGTGTTAACAGCTGATAAGTAAGGAATATCACGCTTACAAGCATCAGCATCAGCTAAAGGATCAACAAAACTTTCACCACCAGTGATGTTTGCAGTATCTTGTTGATAAGCAATACCTTTGATATAAAATTGTGAGCCGTTGTTGGAATAAAAGAATTTGTTTCCAACGACTTCAATGGCTGGTAAATCTGCTGCTGAAACAACAGAAACTAATGAAGCTGCTGCAACGAAAGAAGAAGCAAGGTTGAACAACATTTTGATTTGGAAAGAAAAAAAAACAAAAGCGAATGTGAGAGCTGATCTAACTCTGGTATTTGTTGTTGTTGTTGTTCAACTAGATCAAATGGAAATCTGGTGAGAAATAGGGATGAACTCAATATTTATTTATTTTCATTTTTCAAAACAAAAAATGTTGTCGAAAGGGCGAAACCAGGCGCAGATTTTTTTTTCACTTACCCAAAACGCGGCCAAAGTTGATGAAAATTGGGCCAGATGTAAACAAACAAGGACGAAAATTGATCCTTTTTCACCGGAAACGTTTAATTCAACACATATACAGTATTCTTGAAGTACGAGAAAGAATTGAAATATAGTGATATTTCAGACCTTTTTTTTAGGCTTTATAATTTTGACACAATCAGATTACACCAATCTACAATACTTCCATATTTGTTCATCATAATCATCACCATCATCAAAGATCCACAAAATTTTTAGCGCGTGTTTCGTTTTTTTTTCAAGATCCCCAAAATAAAAACGCAAAAAAAAAATTACACACTCCTGTAAAAAAAACATGGAATCATGATTTCCGAAATAGGAAATTTAAATCGAACATTCCTGCCAAAACACCAAAAAAGAAATTTTCATATCCCGCAAATTTGGTGCAGTGTAATTGACAGATAGATGAGTGTAAGTTTAACTGATGCTATCAATTCTTTAATGATTTCAAGTATTAGAGACTATGATTTAACCTGTTGTGATTCATTCTCAACAGGAAAGAGATACGCGGTAGCTTCTTGGCCAATTGTGAACATGGCGTTGGGGTGGAGACAAAGATGGTGATTTTGCTAAGCCTGAAGTAGCATCAACATGTATAGCTTGTCGCCAACAAAATATCATACCAGTCTTATATATACCTCCAAAATTTGAACCACGCGCTGAAATTACTGGCCATGGCTTAGTTCGAAGTACAGGACGTATTGAATACCTATGATTTGATCTTGCCAACTTTCATGAAAGTATTATACGTCGTTGAGCGTGAGGTAAGAATTAGTTTTCTCGCTATAATTTTAGTGCCAAACTAGTCATGTGTGTTCTACAATCGTACAAGTGTACTATGATTCTCTAATATCATACAACTTCATATATTCGTATAATCAACTATTTCAATCGATCTATAATGAATCTAATTTTAGAGCTGCCAGTAGTTATATTTTTTCCCAATCCTAGAAATCAGCCTTTAACTACTTGGCTATGTAATATACAAGCCCTTTCTTCTATCTTTTATTATAACTCCATAGTACATACCCCGGCATTATCTTTTTTCTTTCATGATCTCTCATATAACATCTAGTAATTATCACCATACTGTTTTGAAAACTGGTTTGGAAGGCGTAGTTGTCAGAATTGTTGAAGGAGCATTTGTCCCAGTATCATCTTTATCTTGATAATTTGGTTGAATTAAACCAGATGCCATTGTTCCTTTGAATGGGTCCTCAAATGTTGGGATGAATCTATGCGTAAGAGCTGGGACAATTATGAGGGAAAGAAAAAACAAAAAAACTATTGCATACAACAGAAGATACCTGAACACTATACTTCTTCTTCTCCGTTGTTGGCTCTTGGAAAGCACCCTTCCTTTCAACTGCTTACTTGGCCTCAACCAAAACAAAACCATTGAATGCCATCTATCAATAAATGGAATGAACACAAAAGGTGTTTGAACAAATAAAAGACAATGACCTAATATAAAATCAACCGCAAATAAACTCATTTCTATAATTTTAACCAAGAATTCCCTAGATGGTTGTAATATCACTCTCCACCCAACTTTGCTTTTATACCAGTTGCCTGACCACCACGATCTATTAGCCTTATCATTTTTATATTCCCTCGAAAGTAAAAAAATGACAATAAATTTGAATATCACATTTTGTAACGATACAACACATAAAATGCAGACCAATGTTCTAACAAAATTACACCCTTCCATAAACCAAATCAACTCAAACACCAAAAGGTGAACAAGAACTGATACCATGTGAGCTATTCCTGCAAGTACACCTGAAATACCTCTAAAACAACAGCAGCTGCTTACGATAGGTCCTATTAGACAAGACATACCAAATAAAATACTCAAGGAGATAGCGTTTATGATTATTGGAGCAAACACTAAGATCAATAGTCTCAACAAAGAACTTGTAGCTTCAACATTTCTCACTCCATTTTGTGCATTTATAAAAGTGTAAGCAAAAAACAAAAACACTGAGTTGATGGCAGGAACGAGTAATTCTGTCAAAAATGTATTATCAAAACTTGATTTCCTCAAATCACCTACTGCTGCATTTTCTGATACATGACCAATGATTCGTTTTTTGAAACCAGTATATCTAACTCTTGATTGCCTCACATATCCGATCCAGGAGTTTACATGCCATTTGTTGTTTCCTCTTGATAACCAGTGGATAAAGTCTCTGTAATCAACAAAAAAATCATAAAAGGAAAACTGATGAGGATTGAAGATAAATGGGGCAAAACACATTGAGATTAACGTTATCCAAAACCACAAGAGAGCAGGCTGCCAAATCGACATGGTCGCAATCAACAACATCAAAAATAATTTGGCTCCTGAATAAATTGACGAACTTGCAAACTTGGAATATAAGTAGAAAAACTGAATCCTTGAAACCGCAAAACCTCTACCAGTGCTTATATAACGAGCACCACCAAATGTTATATCTGTAATCAACGAAGTTGCATATATCTGACAGACAAACACCTCAAAAAAAGGTGATAATGAAACTAAATGATGGAAAAATCTTGAAAATGCTCTCCAAATACCTCTTTCTGTCAATTCTTGAACTAAAAGTGGAACAAAGGAAATGAAAAAGACAATAAACACTGAGAGGACAAAGATTGTAACCCAGTTCAACACAGGCTGTAAGTTGTAACAACCTAAGGGGACTTCGGGATCTGTAAAAGGAATGTCTTTATCATACGTGCATATGATAGATTCATGAGCTAAAGCACCAAGATTAACTAAAACGACCATAAAAAGCTGAATTGATAATATGATAAAAAGATTATTGATATGGAACCCAGGGTGAGCATAGTAAAATGATAAAAATCTATCTAATGGTAATTGAGTCCCTAGATAATAGTATTCTCTGGATAAGATTTGTTCACCCATTCCTGCACCAATCTTTGTTGTAAAGTTCAAAATAGAACCGAACCCCAAGTCACGGCCTTTCCCACATTGATAGTAATCACAATGTTTGATCCTACCTCCTCTAACCAACGCATTCATACCTGCATATATATCCTCATTTAAATGAAGACCCTTTTGTGCCTTTGATATTCCTCCCCTGGTTGTCATAAATATACCATTGAGAAAATCTGGGTGACCGTAATGTAATTTACCACCTATCTCAGCCAATGTACGTGCGAACAACGTTCCAAAAGTCTGTTCTTTACCTGCAGCAACATCACCCAAAACACCAATGTTTTCAGAAAAGATGTACTCTCTAGCACCCACGATTGCAACTGGAGCTGGACCAGTATCATACACAATACCAGGCACATATGGAGGTGTAGTATCAATATCAATTTCCTCAAATTCCGACAACACAGATCTTATCTTGATACATTCCTCCAAGTAATTATCCTGGTTGGCATCGACAACCTGAATATATTCACCTCTGTAGAAAACTAACGCATGATTTTGGTTATCAGACTTCCCATCACCTAAAATTGGATTTCCAGAAAGCCTAATCCTATAAGTTGGAATTCTATTACCATTTTCGTCTTTCTCTGAAAACCCATCAATCAAACACGAATAGAATATTTTTTCACCTTGTGGATCCTCTGGATTTACCTCTTCATCAAGGTACGCAACTCTAAGCTCAGGGTAGGCTCTCATGAGAAACTCAGCATCTTCCTTCTCAGCTTCGTTAAATTTTGCATACCTTTGCATTGCAATCACAAGCTTAAACTTTCTATTAGCCATTGCTTCTAAATCATGTTCCAACCCAACATAATCATCATAATAATGCTGAACAATTCCCGGATTTTCTATTCTGTATAGCAATTTCAAGGCGCGAACATAGTTTGTGAAGCCTGATGCAGTACGATAAAGAGTTTGTGTTCTCAAAGATGCCCAGATTCGAGTTCTTAGAATATATTCAGGGCCTGCAGTTTTGAAACCCACACAATAAAATGGCAAGTCGTTGATTTTCCCCTGAAGAAACTCATCATTGGGCATTAATTGTAGTGCTAAAGTCTCTGGGTTACTATTTCCCATTGCAGGAAGTTCTTCAGCCTCCTTTTTCTCAGCTTCCCTGGTTTCGTCATTTTCCTCTTTCTCCTCTGTAATTTCTTCACCAGGCAACTCTTGATCAGGCTTAGCCTCTTCATCTTTTGCTTTAGCTGCTTGTTTCCTTTTAAAACTACTTGTATCTGAAAATCTACCGGTTAAATCCACCTTCTCGTTGGTTTCTCTCAATTCTCCATTTTCCAGAGCCAAAAGCTTTGTATCCTTGACAAAGCACTCCCACTCAGTTGGATATAACTGTTTCAAATACTCCAATAATGTAATTCTTGAGTTTTTGTTATCTTCTCTGATGATCTCTTTCAATGAAAGAATAATTTTCTCTCCATAATGTGGAACCAAAACTGTGAATATTGGCATACTTTCTACCGCAACTGGTTCTGGTATTGGTGTGGATAATGATTGGGCGAAAAAGGCAATCCTGCGTTCAGCTTCAGAGTTTGGAGGAAATTCATCATCTAGTTTCTTGAAAGCACTATCATCATTTGCAACGAAAAAAGTTGGTGCTTTAAGGGTTGTTTTACCACCAAAATCTGCAGCAACCTGTTGATACAACAACTTTGTTACAAGATCAATAGGTAAAAGGTGCTCTCTGTACATAGAAATCACAATAGCATTCCAAATTTGTGACACCAAGACCTTTGGTTTATATCTAACCTCCATCTCACTTGTAGCTAAAATCTTCGAATAAATCCTTTTTGGTAATCTTGAATAGACATTTCTCCAGGGTGATAAAATGGAAATTCCCAATGAAAATGATAACGCAACACTGAAAAGACAATTGAAGACAATGTACCAAAGATAAGTATCAAGGAAAAAAAGAACCAAATCAGTCAAATAAATCAAACCTAAAGTGATTCTTGGTTGCTGCCGACATAAGAAGGCACCGAGAAACTTGTCTCCATTACATCTTGTCATTTCCATAATTGATAGCACCCGAATTGGATCTCTTAGGGATAGGGTCAAAAAAAAGTATGATTCAAGAAACTTGGCTGTAAAAATTGTGAACCAAAGTAAAATTGAAAACCATCGGTTTCGACCAGTCAACTTTGAGAAAGAGGCAGTAAAAGTTCTGGATGAAACATACCTTCTTGATTTCGATGTTTTGAAATAACGGCCAAATAGTGCACCTAATGGCTGGAAGGAAAAGAATAAAAATGTCAAAATAGCTATCACAAATTGAATGATTGACAGGATGCAAGCAGAATTTGAATGAGTTTCAAGGTCAAAAAACCCAAATGTATAAATAGAGGGAGCGACATTGATCGCCGTTATCACCAATAAAAAAAATAGTCTTTTTGTTAAATGTTGGGCACCAGGCCATTCCCTTGGAACAAAAGACCACTCAGCTAATGTTGCCACGATTTGGATCAAGCAAGCAACTGTACCCCCAAGTGCAATCGCAGACCATCGACTCTGAGGTGTTGGTGGGTTGTCTAACAATTGGCTATAGTCTTTGGTGTAAAGGGTTGGAGAATTGAAAGCAGTGAAGAACCAAAACGAAGAGAGGTGAATAACCCATATTCTATTGAAATTTGTAGCAACATGCATCCAAGTTCTTTTCTCTTTATATGTTTTGTAGCAGGCTTTTTTCCAATCGATATCTTTGAGGCGTAAGTATCTCAGAGATATTCTAAGATCAACTATTCTTTCTTTAGAGTCTTTCAATTTAAGCCTTTCAATTCCTTCAGGATACCAAAACAATTGATTTATATCATCATACCCAATAATATCTTTATGATCCTTTTCCTTTCTAATCAATTTTCCGTTTTCCCCCACCGTGTAAATTTGATCTCTAATGAATTGATAAATTGGAGTTATCACATTATCTAAAAAGTAAAACTCTGGCAATGTGCCTTTATAATCTTCTGATCTCATGTAATCAAAAGCACATTTATAGATGAAACAAATACATTCAGGTAAAAATCTAACTTGATTCGCTTCACCCCATATTAATAAATACAAAGCAATTTGTTCAACCTTCTTTTTAGCGTCTAAAGCATGCATCCTCATCTTCCATTTATAGTCAGCAACTTTAATATCATATTTCCTTTCTAATTCTTCTGGAGTAAAATCATATTTAGCAGGTTTGATGCCACTATCTCCAGCGGGTTGACCAGTTCCTGCTTTTTTGTATCTCTTAACTCTTTGCTTATTCCGTTTTCGTGATTTCCCACGAAGCTTCATGTATGAAAATCCAACTTCTTCGTCAAGGTCCAATTGTGCAGCAAAAAACCATTTCTTATAATTTGCATTTTCGCCACCAATATAAGAAGCATGTAATGAAGTCAAAGCCAGACTAGGATTTAAGCGACTTGCTCTTGAGTCCAATTGTGTCAAAAAATGATCATAAACATTCTCCATCGAAGATTTTTGAAAACCAAATATGCCTGTTAATTCGCTGAACACTTGTTTGATTTCTTCTTGCGTTATTGGGACATTTTCAGTCCAACAGGGATAGGGGCCTAATGATGAAAGGTTTTTAAATGATTGGACAGCATCAAAGGACTGACGAGGTACCTTGGTTGACCCTTGATCTTGATCAGTATGATGGTAGATATTGAATCCTGGTTCATCAATTTCTTGATTAGTGAGCTCTGGAGGAACCTCTGGCGGTATAAGATTTGGATCGTTGAAATCTTGCTCTATAGGAGTTGGTAAAACCTGATGGCTCGTGTGACTATCCAAGTTTGGCAATTCATCTGGATCAATATAAACGCTTGGTGATGAACTCATAGCACTTCTTCCCGTAGCTGATTGAGTAAATGTTATGGGACCAGCAAAGACTCTTTGGATGAAGTCCTATTGGAATGTGAAAATTTATCATTTTGAGTTTCTTCCTAAACGCCTTTCTAAATTGATCTTTTCAGCTAGAGTAAAAGAGTTTTTGTGTCACAAATTAGTGGTTTTGTGTAAATGTTTTGAAGAATTGTTTACACTTTGAATCACGGTCACGTGAATGTGGCACATGCCAAAGTTCAGTTGCTATAGAAACAACAAAATTTCGTGCGCTATAAAAATGCAGCCAATTAAAATCGTCCACACTTGAACAAAGCTACATCACATCCACAAATTTTGCAACGACGTAAGTCTTTCAAGCAAAACCAAATTGAAGAGCTTCAAATTTGGTGTACTGGCTCTTCAGTCTTGACGTTAACTCTCGACCAATGGCCTTGTACACAAACGATGCTATTAAAAATTTTCGCCAACAAAGACCTAAAGAACCAAAACAAACAAATCCCTTCCTACAAGAATGATGTTGCACAGATCAACTTCTGATCCTTGCGACGAAAACTTGAAAATCATAGAGATTCGAAACTAGTGGGATCAACGACGACAAAGAATGCTAAAAACATGAAGAACCAGAAGCTCATGATTCAAAGTTAACCTTCAATTTCACAAGTAGATGTAATTGTCGTGAAGTTCATGATTGATAAAATCACGATGATTTATTTTTCGCAATTGGTCGCCCAATCGAGTCAAAATTTTCAATCGCGCACAAGAAATTTTTGAGTTTAGGCCTGGTGCACCACGACGTGGGAGGGCAACCCCAACAACTGGCTCCTTTTACCGAGACACGTCAACAAGAAGATTCCTGCCTAGAGGCTCCCTCTAGCTTTGCGGTTCAGCCTAAGCTCTAGGCAGAGGATTGTCAGTTCAGGTGAGGCACCGTCAAGAGGTTTCGAAAATCTGTTTGGTGTTTACCTTTTTGAACAAGAACTGAGATCGATCCAAATCTAAGCTCAAGGGCTCAAAAAACAAACAACAAATGTCAAATAGATCACCAGGGTCTTTATAATTCCATAGCAGGAATGCCCAATGGTACCATCACCATCACAATTCAATTAATCTGGTTCTATTACTTTAGCTACTCTCTATTCGAATTCTGGCCGTGTTTTTGCGCATATTCCGGTAATGTTTACTCCCTTCCCGATCAGGCATCTTTGCGGCTACTGGCACGTTGTTTTGTGACAGCTCAGGCTTTTTCGTGCGTTTTTTTTTCCATGGCATTTTCGTTATGAAACTTCAAATATTTTCAATCCCTTTTCCTTGATATCTTTTTTACACCTTTCCTCTTTCTCTTCTTCTTCCTTTCCTTTCTTTACAGAAAAGAGTTCTTTCAAAGCACTACTTGCAAACCAACTTTGTTCCTTCCTTTACACAGAGTTACTCTCTTTCTAAGTCATTCTTTAAATATCTTTGTTTACACGTTCGTTTATTACTATAAACAAGGTCTCCTAGAAAGAAAGTCATCCAATCTTTGAACAAAAATGCTTTTCTCAAGTTTAATCAAATCTGCTGCTGTTGCTGCTGCTTTAATCGGTTCAACCGTTGCTCAACCAGTTCAACATGCTCATAACCAACACAAACGTGGTGTCGTTGTTGTTACCCAAACTGAAACTGTTGTTGTTACCGCTGGTCAAAACCAAGTTGTTGGTGGTCAATCAACCACTTTGACCTTCTCAACTGTTGATACTGCCTTAGGTGCTCCAAGTTCATTATCAACCACTGTTACTAGAGGTGCTCCAGTCGCTGATGCTTCTTCAGGTTCATTCTCATACTCTGCTGACCCATCAACCACTACTTTATCATCATCAACTGGTAACGGTGAATCTTCAACTGCTCCTTCATCATCAACATCTTCTGCTGCTTCAGTTCCTTCTTCTTCAGGTTCATTCAAATCTGGTAAAGGTATTACTTACTCCCCATACACTTCATCAGGTCAATGTAAATCATTAAGTGAAGTTCAATCTGATTTTGAAAACATCAAAGGTTACGAAGTTGTTAGATTATACGGTGTTGACTGTAACCAAGTTGAAAACGTTTTACAAGCTAAAGCTGATGGTCAAAAAGTTTTCTTAGGTATCTTCTTTGTTGATTCAATTGAAGCTGGTTGTAACCAAATTGCTGACGCTGTTGAAAAATACGCCTCATGGGATGATGTCTACACCGTCTCAATTGGTAACGAATTAGTTAACGGTGGTCAAGCTTCAGTTTCTCAAGTTGGTCAATACGTTAAAGCTGGTAGATCCGCTTTATCCTCAAGAGGTTACAATGGTCCAGTTGTTTCAGTTGATACTTTCATTGCTACCATCAACAACCCAGGTTTATGTGAATTCTCAGACTACATTGCTGTTAACGCCCATGCTTACTTTGACCAAAACACCGTTGCTGAAGATGCTGGTGAATGGTTATTATTACAAATTCAAAGAGTCTGGACTGCTTGTGGTGCTAACAAAAACGTTTTCGTTACTGAAACCGGTTGGCCATCAAGAGGTGACACTTACGGTAAAGCTGTCGCCTCAAAAGAAGCTCAAACTGCTGCTATTGACTCTATCAAATCTGCTGTTGGTGATGATGCTATCTTATTCAACGCTTACAATGATTTATGGAAAGCTCCAGGTGCTCAAAACTGTGAACAATACTGGGGTCTTTACTCCAACTAAATTTAAATTGATCTATTCAATTTTGATTTACTTTTTTTTTATGTTGAAAAAGCAACATTTTTTTTATTTCGTTCTTGCTGAGATAATCGTTCAAAAGAAATTCTTTTGAATTGATTGTGATTTAGGTTTCTTTTATACTACCCTTTATTATTATTTAACTATCTTTGTTATACCATATTTTATATTGTTGTGATACCAAATGTATGAAATGGATATGATATCCTTTTTATTATTTAAACATTGTTATATAATGTAGAATTATTCACGAATATGTGAGATCGTTTCAATAAACTTTTCGAGGCTGATTTTATACGAAACAAAAAACAAGTGTGGTACATTCGCGAACACCACCTCAAGCTTCAAACAAGCCTCAAACGTTCTTGAGGACGTTCGTTAGCCCATGGCTCTCAAGAACACTCTGCGTATAGATGATAGTATCAAACAATCGTGTTACGAGCTGAACTGCTACAAAATATCAAAGACTTTTTAACTTAATTTCAAATTGCTAAGCATTTTCATGGTCTATAACTAGTGTAGTCTCCCCTACCACGACCTCTACCTCGATAATTCCCTCTGCCACGAGTATTGAAACCAGCCCTTCCGTTGTTATTGTAACTGTCTCTATAACTAGAACCTTGGGACCTAAGGGGTGACCTTGGGAAGCGTTTTGGGGGAGATCTGGATGGTGTTCTCGATGATTTTCTTGGGGGAGTTCTAGAAGGTGTTCTTGACGGTGTTCTGGAGTATCTTCTTGGTGGAGATCTCGAATAAGATCTTGATCTTGAGTACACTCTTCTTGGTGGTGATCTAGAGTAAGAAGGTGATCTGGAATAGTTTCTTCTTGGTGGTGACCTTGAGTAGGAACGCGATCTGCTGTAACGGCGAGGAGATCTTGATCTTGATCCTGAATAGGATCTGCTTCTTGAGTAAGACCTACTTCTTGAATATGATGGACTTCTAGTGTAAGACCTGCTTCTTGAATATGATCTTGATCTGGAATCCGAGTATGACCGTGACCTAGAATATGATCTTGAATAAGAACTTGATCTGGATCTGGATTTCGAGCGACCCCGGGATTCCTCTTCTTCTCTCTTTTTGTTTGTCAAATCTTGGAGTGTTTCTCTCATAACTTCTGTCAAAACACCTAACCCAATAGCAGTAAAATAATTGATCGAGAATCTCAAGTCATCAGCATTTTCAACTGGGAAAATGCCATGCAAAAACGGTTGAATATACTCTTCATCTAATCTCTCTTTTAGACCTGGGATTCCTAGCTCTTCAACCAATTCTTGAAAAATAAACTTTATGAAAATACGACCAGCAGAAGTAGTATCGTTTTCTGTTAAATGAATAACTTCTAAAACTTCCCAATCAAGAGCATCGCTCGATAACATATGACCCCAGAATTTTGAGACGTTTCTTAACGGGTTTGATTCAAACCTGTGGATTGTGTTGTAATTCTCAGTGAATATCTTTTTGAATGCATCACTCCAAGTTCTTCCTTGACGACAAAGTTTCTCCCCACTAACACCATAATATTTGGAATAGGTCGTTTCTTGCGAGCAAGCTTTAACAACCATATCTACCACTTTATCTTGATCTTCAACTTTAACCTGAAGCTTCAGTAGCTTATGAACAGCTTCATCTGCAGACATACTACCTTTCAATATCAAATAAATATTTTTTCTGAAATTGTTCAAATTTGTCTCTGTCATGTCTTTGATTTCAAGTTTCCCAACATCGTTATCTTCATCTTGATTTTCATCATTTGAAACATTTTCCGCGGCCACTTCTTCGTACTCATCATCTTCATACTCTTCCTCTTCATCATCCTCATCTTCACCCAAAATCTCTATTCTAATCTTAGCATAATCCTCTTCATGTTCCTCATATTGTTCATCAAATTGGAAAACATTTAAGCCATCCTGTGCTTTCAACTTGTCATCTAGGCCTACCTTATGCGTAACTTGGTCATCCTCTTCCACTAAATCTAGTCCTTCTGGAATGATTGGATATTCCTTGTACCCGTCTCTTCTAATATGGAACAGCACTTCAATCATATATTGTGTTCTTTTCTCCAAAACCCCCTCTTGCAAAATCTGTCTCAACTTCTCAAAAATATCACTTGTAGCAGCTGGTGTAATTTCTGAAAGATATTGTCCAATTTGCTTTAATAAACCAACAGCAATATCAACAGAATCATCGGTTGGGTTATTCAGTAATAAATGTAATATCTGTAATGCTAGAATCTCATGACACACCTGTTGGTTGCAGAGATGAGCCAAAAAAGTTGTTGATGATATACATAGGGCTTTGTTATTTCTTTTAAATGCTTTTCTAAACTGGATAACCAATCTACTTATCAATAGGTCACCAATTTGAGGTAGTTTGGAGTTCAAAACTGCTATCAACCCAGCATAAACAGGTGTGAAGGTCAATGCTAAACTCTGAGCTTTCATGACACTTCGTATGAGTAGCCCAAGCCCTTTATGAAGATTCAAATTGAACAAAGCAACAACAATGACTTTGATATTACCGGTATTTGCCTTATTCACTAACCCGTTTATATTCTTCTTCAGTTTTTCCCATTCCATCTTTTGATAGTCCTTGGATCCCTTGGAAACATTTATCTGATCCAAAAGCGCCCTTAGTTTAGCTGGAGGCACATATCGACCACCAGACCTCAGTTCTTGTAAACGCTTGTACTCTTCTAGTGGATCAATACGCTTTGATTCTTCAGGCTCTGAGAGGCCATTACTGGGAGCACTTTTATCCAAATCTTTGACCACTTGATCAAGAAATCTCTGGGTCTCTGACATTTGGATGATCTATTTACCTTTTGCTATAAAATTGGCTTGGTATCGTTACTTAAAACTTGTGTTTATGCCTTTCAATTCACAGGTCTCTCTAAATTTTGAAGCATTTTTCAAAAAAAAATGTGTCCTTATCGAATATTTTTGGCTCCGCGAAATTGGAATGCGTATTAACAGCGAACAAACTTGAGTAATAAATATTTTGGCAATTATCGTTAACTTATAATAATCAATTAAAGGAATGAGCTCCAAATCATCGATTGTCCTTCTGAAGAATGTTGACTCTATTCAATCATATGCTCCATTGATTGCGAAAGCTGCAGAGTTATCAGAGGAAGATAGCACTCTTGATATACTAATTCTACCTCAAATTTCAAAATTAAATATATTGGACGTCTTACTAGCAGAAATCTATACACTGGCCACTGAAATAATAGAAAATTTAGGGAAACCACAAATATTTACTCGTGTACTGTTTAATGAACACTACTGTGTTCTGAAAGAGCCAAGTTGGGACTTATTAATACTGGATAATTCAGACAATTCATATGATGATTTCAAATATCAGGATAAGGGAAGTCTGGACAATGTCAATGTGCAAAGAGCAAGTAATGACCCCCATCATTTGAAAAAAGATACAGATGATTCAGAAGCATCAAGTGAAAATGTTGTTGCTCTAGGTGGTACATTTGATCATTTCCATGACGGTCATAAGATTCTTTTAACTGCTGCCTTATTTTTGGCTAAGAAGAAGATTATTGTTGGAATCACAGATGAAGAACTTTTGGCAAAGAAAAAATACAAAGAACTACTACAATCTTATGATTACAGAAAGAAAATTGTTGTCGATTTCCTGAATTATGTCAAGCCAGGTTTAGAAATTGATGCAATTGCAATCCGTGATGTTGCTGGTCCAACAGGGTACATTGAAGATATTGATTCATTAGTGGTGAGCAGAGAGACCATATCTGGTGGGTCATTTATTAACAATCTGAGAAAAGAAAAGGGATTCAGACAATTGAAAGTTCACGTTATCAACGTCATTGGTGGCGAAGAGGAAGATGGGTTTCAAAACAAGTTGAGTAGCACACAGTTAAGAAAGGAAGAGTATGAAACCATGCTCGCAAAGAAAACCGAATCTACAACAAACCAATAAGTTCATAATTTGTGTACTGGAAATCAATTAAAAAATCAACATTAAAAGATTGAAAGAAAGAAAAATCAACTAAAAAGAACAAGCAGGTGAATGTTATGAATATTTTGTAGTGAAATTATGCAACAATAAAACTTTACTTGATGGAAATACCACCACCCTGTAAGGAACCTTGGCGACTTGTACGATTTGGATGATCCATACAAAGATAATCACTTTCTGTAATCTCATCATAAGTCACCAAATCATCATCTTCAAGATAAAGAGGCTTCTTGAACTGTGTATCCCATGCACACAATGAAACTTTTGAAAACTCTTTTGTACCTAATCCAAACTTCTTTTGTAAACGTTTCTTAGTTTCACTCAACTTTTCTCCTGGAATCAATTTAAAAACAAAAGAAATACCATGTTGTCTGGTTGGATCCTTGTTAAATTGAATAACTGGAACCAATTTTTCATGATCTGCTTTATTGCCATTGTCGTCAATTTGATCACCTTCTTCAATAGCAAATTGTTTTTCTAAAGTGATGGTTTCTTCAGGTAAAATTGCAGCGAAGATAGTCAATGTATTTTCCAAAGAAGCAACTTGAATTTCAGGATATAAAACTTGGAAAAACTTGAAATTAACATTAGCCCAAACCATACAATTTTCTTTATCTTTAGCATCAAAGCCAGTCTTGTGTTGAATTTTATCAATTAAATCTTGAATAGTACCAGTTTTTGGAATCAATATGTCTAAAAGTTGATAATGAAAGTAACCAGATGTTAGCCAATGAACTTTGATTGACTTCATATTTTCCAATTCGTGTAGGGAGATATTTAATACTTCATATTCAAACAACGGTGTTAATGCTGATACTGACTTTGGTGTGACGTTCCCAACAAACATATCGGTACGTAATGGAATTCTATTTCCACTATAATTAACAAAAATTCTCAAATACTTTGGATCAACTTTTGCAACTTTACTTATTCTTGTAGCCAACTCTTCATATGGAGCATGTGTTGAAATCCAAAAATCAAACAACTCATCAGTGTCTTTCTTCTCTTTTTCATCACCATCTCCGTTCACAACAACATATTCATCGTCATTTGAAGTATCTGCTAATGGCTGTGCTTTCACGTAAATTCTTGTACGTAAATATTCATAATAAAGATTTGCTGAATCATAAAATGGATAGATATCCCTAGAATTTGATGAAAGTATGTCTTCATTATTATTGAGAACACTCTTTTGAACAGTGAGTATATCACCATTTGAAAGTTCAGCTTTGTAAAATGAATATGATGGAACCAAAACTTCAATTGATGTTGGCTGTATCTCTTCAAATAAATCTAATGTTTGATCTGGATCAAAGTTCAAATACTTGTTGATTTTTGGAATCAAAGACTCAATGGTTGCATCAGAATCTGTGTAGAAATGTGTTAAACCCTTCAATGATTGATTTTCAGGATCAAAGTATTTCAAAAACATTAAAATCTTTTCAGAGCTAGTGACTAATTCAGTTTCTTGAGTTTCTGCAACAGTGGACTCCTCACCAATGGCTGTGTTCAAGTCATTCTCAGGTTCTTCGATCCATAAATTAGCAGATGAATGTTTCTTGGACAGAAACTTTTCATAAATCTCACCAACTGTCAAATTGTCATACTGGAGTTGTGATGATGGTCTTAAGGTTTGGTTACGACGATAGTTCATAATCCAGAAATTAACGCTCTCTCCATCAATGTCCAAAGATTCCTTCAATTCAGTGAAGATCTCAGTGAATTTCTTCTCTTTCAAGACTCTTAGTGTATAAGGTGAATCTTCTTCAGTGTAAGGACCTGTTGGAGCTAATCTTTCACTTGCACCAAGATCAAAACCTTCATATTTCTTGAACAATTTGTTTGTGTAAAAATTGATATTCAAATACAAATAACTTTCCTCCAACTCTTTACGTAGTCTTTCACGTTCTTCCAATTCCTTTTTAACTTCATCAACAATGTAAGTAGGAACATCACTTTCAGTAACCTCCTGTAATATATTAGCCGACTCGTTTCTGTTGATATAAACCAACATATAAGCACTTGTATGACGACGATATTGGTAGTTTTGATATTGAACCCTAGTCATCTTGGCCAGCTTGGTATTGTCCAATGGATCCAATCCAAAATTCTCATCAAACACTTGTCTTCTAGTAACTTTCCAAACTTTATCATCATCAAATCTATACCAGTTATTGGATTGGTCTGGTTTGATCATTGCATAATAATGACCAGTGGTGATATCACCAGCATGAACCAAGACCCCATGTAAGTCATAAATCAAAGGATCCGGGTTTGAACCTTCTTGATGCTCCAGGTATGGGCTTAAATCAATTGATTCAGGGAATTCATGGCGATCATTAACCTTAACTAATTGATCATAATTGAAATCATATTCAAATCTCTTCAATTGAAGATGTAAAACGTTTGGAAATGATTCAAAGATGACACCTTTCTTTGCATCTTGTAAACCGTAATCTTGGGCAGCATATTGATTTTCACCATTCATCAATTCCACTTCAATATAATTTTGAAATGATTGGGTCAAATTGCTTAAATTTTTAACATTCAATTGAATATCCCAAAAATCTTCGGTTCTTGAGGATTCATAATCAACATTGATACATTTGATATAACTTTTCATTTTACCAACAAATGTATTGTTTAATGAATTTTCTGCAACGGTGCCTTTCATTCTTGCTTCTAATCTATCCATTAGAATTCTATTCATTTCTTGAACATCATGTTGAGTGAAAGCTTCACCAGTATCCCAACCAAAAGACTTCGTCAATTCAGTAGTATCTAATGGATCCTGAGAATGTTGCAATTGATAAAAGATTCTTTGTAAAGCCAAGGCAACACTATCATTTGGATCTTCACCTTCTGTGGGGATTTGATAAACTGCTTTTCTAAAGCTCTTTGTGAAAAAATAAGACTGTAATAAAGAATTCAAATAACATGTAGCACCTTGATTTTTGAAACCAACAAATCCAGTTTCTTTTTTAGAATCATAATCCAAAAAGTTATGCCACAATACACCAGTTGGATCTTTCAACACTTTAACAAAAGCCGTTATATTAACTTTATCCTCCCAAATCAATGGACCATGATCTTTACGTGATTGATATAATGCTTTCAGGTCTGTAAAATTAGAAAATCCCCAATCAGTTGCATCTTTATTAAATCTTTGATGAGAAGTATTTAAAATATAATTCTTTGGATCTTTTGGATTTGAAATGACAAGAGTAAATTGGGCACAAACATACCAATTCGGGTCTAATGGCTCTTCTTCACCTGTTTCAGGGTTTGTTTTCTTTGGTTGAACAGGTTCTAAATACAACGCCAAATGTTGATTAGAATTCCCACGAGGAAACAATAGAATATTCCACTCGACACCACCAACAGTAAATGTTGGACCACGTACCTTTGCTTCATTAAGCGCCCTGTATTCTTTGATCTCCCATGTGTATTGTCCCTTTTCTATGATTTCCTCATCTTCTAAAGGTGGTAAAACTTGGTCCAACAAGTGAGAGAAGTCATGGGTATCTGCTGAAGTTGGTGATGTATAGTAGTCAGCTGGAGACGCTGTGGTTGATGCTGTTGATTTTCTCTTCTTCAATTCCACAGATGATGTATCAGTTGAGGATGATAGCGGAGTGTTTGTATCACTCATGATCTCATCCTCTTCATTTGGGTCCTTTGTGATTCTTGTACTCATTGCTCTGAGGTGTTTATCTATGTTGTATTTGTGAGTGAATCTAGCGGAGGATCAAATGAAGTAATGCAATGGTTTGAACTGTTGTATAGAGTTGATGGCAACAATATGTCACTTTTAATTTAAACCAATAGAAAAGTATTGCAATTGAATCTATTGAGTTGCTTTTTTGATGCCAAACTTTCAATTATATGAGAGAGCTGAATGAATTCCTGAGTTAAATATCGTGACAAGTGAGATGAATATCAAATTTTGTTTTGATCCAAAGTAAAAAGAGATCTTAATTCATTCATGGGATCAATTTCCCATTACACGTCAGAAAAGGGATAGGGATAGAAATTACGTAATCAGCAACCCGCGAAAATAAAAATTAGGCTTACTCTCGAAATTCTTTGATCCCATCAGGTTCGAAGCGACGCCTCACCCCCACGACCCACGAACCCCCATGTCTTTTTAAACACCCTGGTGAATAGTAGGTGGATCTAAATGAATATTTAGCTTATAAGTTTCCGGAAAAACACTATTCGTAACAAGAACCCGAGTTTGTTGTTCCGTTAACTGTCCTCGATGATTCAGTTGAGACATGTTGAATGTGTAATCTAGAGACTAGTGTAATCATGGTTAACCGTTTCATCGTTTGATGATTCAATCATACTAATCTTCGGTGATTGAAGCATGAAAGTATTCACTTCTCAGCTACGCTATATGTAGACTTTTGGCCGCCAAATTGAATATCTAACCAGCTATTCGAGAAAAGCAGTACACAATCAGCAGAAACAGTAAACTTGACTTTTATTTAGATCTGTTCTTATATTAAAGCTTCATACGATCGATTTCTGATTGTTCAGCTTTTGTTTCTCACGACAAATATGTCAGTATTTTCGCCATGGAACAATTTATCAGCCCATTTCTCAAACTTGAGAAACGTTTGCCGGAAAAACTCGATATTAAAGTATTCGATGTGAGATTTGAATCATCCTGTGCTATAAAGCTATGGTTGACTTAAACTAGTGAGAGATCAAACCCTAGATTATTCCATCAATTGTTGTTGGTAATCCTCTAGAGAGCACACATGTGTTCACAAATTTTCGTAAAGAGCAGGTTGTCAAAAGAAATTTCTGATAACTGAGCGAAAAAACCTGGGGAGAACATCAATTTCAAGGAAGTGTATCGCTTTACACCATGGTCCATGCCTATAAGTTAGCACGCTTTTTCTCGAGGTTAAAGTTTACAATTCACTCTGTAGCAAGTTAAACTGTTGTCAAGGCTCAAATTGAAATCTTGCTATAATTTGCAACTTCGTGAGATATAGCTTTTACTATTGTCTTCAGCCCGATTCCTACCTATTCCTCCCTATCCCTCCGTCTAGCTTTTAGGCGGGATTTTTGGCCTTGCTACGCGTCAAAATTGGCTGAGATTGGAACATGCCATTTGTGCGAAGATCAACTGCTTCACCAGCAACAACCACAAGACCAACTGAAGAAGCAATTACACTACAGTCAAAGTGGAGAGTTGAAAGTACTGAAATAGAATTGAAGCTCTGTCTAAGAATCAGAATAGCAATTGAGTGTACGCTGAGCCAGGTGTTAATTTGTTACTCCCCCTTTAACTCTCGGAAATACCTTTTTGTAGCAGCTCAGCTCGAGGAAACCACCTCCAGCAACTACAACATGAGCTACAACTTCAATTGATCCTTCGCAACCTGACAATAGTAATCCCCTACAGACACTACTGAAATATTCATCTTCTCTAAAGTTTAAACCTGTTATTCATTTACATTTCACAAAATTATGCGCTTAGACTGGATTCAAAAGAAATCCAACAGAAACTTCGAGGAAAGGCCAAAAAAAAAAAAAAATCGCGATGAGCACCATTTGATGTCAATTTTTTTCCACTTGCACAAACTGAGGTACGATTTCGACAAAGAAAGTGGCCTTTGATATGCGCAGTCTCAACTGATTAATATGCCATCTGATTTTAACTATGCTGTGTGGGTGGGCTGCTCTGCATGAGGGTGTTATGATACACAGGCTTTGACCCTTAATGGCGAAAACAAGTATAAAAGAAGTGATTGATCCCCTTTAACAAACATCAATCATCAACCTTTTTAATTTCATCATCAAGTTTTATAACTTAGAAACACAAACAAATTATCAATTTACAAATATAAACAATGTCTGACATTACTTTGGGTCGTTATCTTTTTGAAAGATTAAACCAAGTTAAAGTCCAAACCATTTTCGGTTTACCAGGTGATTTCAATTTATCATTATTAGATAAAATCTATGAAGTTGAAGGTTTAAGATGGGCTGGTAATGCCAATGAATTGAACGCTGCTTACGCTGCTGATGGTTACTCAAGAGTTAAAGGTTTATCAGCAATCATCACCACTTTCGGTGTTGGTGAATTATCAGCTTTGAACGGTATTGCAGGTTCTTATGCTGAACATGTTGGTGTTTTACACATTGTCGGTGTTCCATCAATCTCATCTCAAGCTAAACAATTATTATTGCATCATACTTTAGGTAACGGTGATTTCACTGTTTTCCACAGAATGTCATCAAACATTTCTCAAACCACTGCTTTCATCAAAGATATCAACTCTGCTCCAGCTGAAATTGACCGTTGTATTAGAGAAGCTTATGTTTTCCAAAGACCAGTCTACTTAGCTTTACCAGCTAACTTGGTTGATGATTTAGTTTCATCTGATTTATTATCAACTCCAATTGATTTATCATTAAAACCAAATGATCCAGAATCTGAAAATGAAGTTGTCAACACTGTCTTAGAATTGATCAAGAAAGCTGATAACCCAGTTATTTTAGTTGATGCTTGTGCTTCTCGTCACTCTGCTTTAGCTGAAACCAAAGATTTAATGGATCTTACTCAATTCCCAACTTTTGTCACTCCAATGGGTAAAGGTGCTGTTGATGAACAACATCCAAGATTCGGTGGTGTTTACGTTGGTACTTTATCAAAACCAGATGTAAAAGCTCAAGTTGAAAATGCTGATTTGATTTTATCTGTTGGTGCTTTATTATCAGATTTCAACACTGGTTCATTCTCATACTCATACAAAACTAAAAACATTGTTGAATTCCATTCTGATCACATCAAAATTAGAAATGCCACTTTCCCAGGTGTTCAATTCCAATCTGTTTTACAAAACTTGAACAGCAAAATTGCTCCAGTTGTTAAAGGTTACAAACCATACCCAGTTCCATCATTAAAATTAACCACATCTCCAGCTTCCCCAGAAACTCCATTAACTCAAGAATGGTTGTGGACTAAATTATCATCATGGTTAAGAGAAGGTGATGTTGTCATCACTGAAACTGGTACCTCAGCCTTCGGTATTGTTCAAACTAGATTCCCATCAAACACCACTGGTATTTCCCAAGTCTTATGGGGTTCTATTGGTTACTCAGTTGGTGCTGCTTTAGGTGCCGTTGCTGGTGCTGAAGAAGTTGACAAGGAAAAGAGAGTTATCTTATTCGTTGGTGATGGTTCATTACAATTGACTGTTCAAGAAATCTCCACCATGATTAGATGGGGTTTAACTCCATATATCTTTGTCTTAAACAATGCTGGTTACACCATTGAAAGATTAATCCACGGTGAAAAAGCTTCTTACAATGATGTTCAACCATGGGATCATTTAGCTCTATTGAAAACTTTTGGTGCTAAAAACTACGAATCCATTAGAGTTTCAAATGTTGGTGAATTTGATAAATTGGCTAAAGACAAAGCTTTTGCTAAGAATGATAAGATCAGATTGATTGAAGTTATGTTACCAGTTATGGATGCTCCAATGAACTTGGTTAAACAAGCTCAATTAACTGCTTCAACTAATGCTGAAGCTTAATTTATGATTAAGTAACAATGAGTTATGAAACAAAAAGAATTATTTAGTGGTTTTTTATTTAATTAATAGGGTTATTTTTATAGAATGAATATTTCAAGTTAAATCTTTTTAAACTGTAGCGCCTTATATGAAATATACTATATAGTACGTCTTATTATAATGGTGATTTCCACAAATTTTACAATTGCTCCGGCAATTATAACAATGGCCAGCAGCTTTTTTAGTTCATTCTTACTTGTTTTTATTCTGATCATTTATCCCTTTTATTATAAATCCACTGTAGTCATTATAGACTGAGCTGTCGACCCCAGTGATTTTGTACATTATTAATTTAGCATTTTATAAATTATACACTGCAATATGATCGGCAGATAAAAAAAAAATATATAAATATATTATAATTATATTCTCAGCTTATATATAGTACCGTCTAGTGTACTAATTACTAGTACTAAAAACGTCTTTAGTATATACTAGAGCGTCGTTAAATATGATCCAGCTGTTATCATAATAATAAATATATTAATTACTTATAATACAATATTACATATTAGCTGTTAAAGTCGACTCCGGCGGCGCATGGGCCCTGTTAATATATTTATACATATTGATAATTACGTACATCTTTAGCTGCAGCAATATTATTAATGTTAAATATTATATATTTAATGTTAATTAGCTAGGTACGTAGACGTAGTACTAGTAATAGCTAGCTGGCGCTTTCTACAATTTAATTAATCTCAGCAAAAAATATAAATAATATTATGATCAAATGATCATAGACCACAAGTTAATCAACTGATCATTTAACATCCAAACCTGCTTGAACACCATCAATGTTTTTGATTTTTTCAATCCAAGCCTTCAAGTGAGGGAATTGATCAATATCAATATCATTATAAGCATAAATTTTAACCCATGGGAAAGCGGCAATATCAGCAATATTCAAATGATCACCAACTAACCAACCATTGTTTTCTTTCAATCTCAATTCATAAACTCCAAAGACTCTTTCAGTCTCGGCTTTGTATCTCTTAATACCATATTCAATTTTTTCTGGAGCATAATGTTGGAAATGATTAGCTTGACCTTGATATGGAGCGTGGGAGGCAATTTGGAAAGTTAACCATTTGATTTGATCCCAATAATGTTCATCATTAAGTGAATAATAGTATTTACGTTCCTTGTCATATTTTTCACCTAAATATAACAAGATTGCTCCAGTTTCAAATAAAATTGTTTGTTTCCCTTGAGCATCAACATCACTTAAAGTTGGGATACGACCATTTGGGTTGATTGCAATAAACCAAGGTTCTTTTTGGATGTTTGTTCTAATATCCAATCTTCTTAGGGTGTAATCAATTCCTAATAGTTTCAAATATAAAGTAGCTTTTTGACCATTTGGAGTTTCGAGTGAGTATAATTTCAAATAAGGAGCTTTTAAATCTTTTGGATGTTCCGGATCAGCCAAGTCTAAGTTTGTTGAAGACATTGCAGTTGAGAATTGACGTTTGATTGACGATTGATAAGTTTTACAATTGATGGTTTGTTTCAATGAATTGAGTACAAAAGCTGAATTGCTGCACTTTATATAATTATTTGAAACTCTAGTTGAAATTAGTAATCTTGGGAACCACAGTAGAGACATTATGAGACCACAATTAGAGAACTAGGGTGGATATAGACCAATTGAGCATTGGGCCCAACAGAAAACGTATATTGTTTTATAGGGGTATCTATGCACTCTCAAAAGAATATTTAGTAACTTGCTTATAAATGTGGCTTTTGGAGTATTGGTCCTTGACACACGGTTATATGAAACGGCTATTTGAATTAATCATCACGTGATATCACTGATTACTAATTCAGACACGTTAAATTACATAATTCTGGAAGAGATAGAGAGAATTGAACAATAACCATTTGATAGCTATCACTGTGCCTTTATTCAGCCCTGGATTCTGTAGGCTTCTGACTTGTGAAGTGTAGCGTCTCACAGGCTGACTATGTCCCACTCTTGGTCCTAGTCTAACGGCTCCCTTACAAAGAGATACCCTTTCAACTTCACCAAGCTGTGTACCTGACACCAGAATCCAGATGCACTCTTCTGGATCTTCAGAGCTCTTCCAGAATCCACAGCCCTGGTCCATCTCGATCTCTACCCCTGGGACACTCAGGTACCAGACAAGGTCTTGCAAAAGGAATGTGTTGATGTTGATGGGAATTTAAAGCACTGAGAAAAAAAGGTGTATGTAGTACTAAAGGCCATTTAGGTACGTACGTTGAACCCTGCTGTAGAGACTCGAGAGCTGTTAATAGATGAAATTCAGATGAAACTGACACCACGCGCAAGCAGATTCCACCGTAGCACTTTCGAGCCTACGTCGACAACTACAACCTGCCTAAATTCTACAGGCCTGAGCCGACAGGAGAGGTTTCAGCACCAGTGCTTTTAAAGTCTGAAATTTTAGCTCGTGATTTTCCACGCTCTGATCTCTATCAAGCCTTGGGCCAAACTCGATTTCCTCTTCATCGTCAACGTTTTCAACTTCACCAACTTTCCAACTTCACCAACAACAACCAACAGCCAACGCTACAACGGCAGTATACACAGGGTCAGCCAGATCTCACATCAGCACCAAAGCAGAAATCCCACCGTTGCTTTTGTCGAGCCAAAAGCCAAAATCCAAAATCTCAAGGCCCACGAAAAGTTTAAAAAATAAAATTATCAGCTTCTTCCAAGGATTAGAGAAAGAGAAAAAAAATCATCAAGAGGAAAAGAACAACAACCACCTCTTTGCAAGCGCTTCACTACCACTTTGCTTTAAGATTAGCTACTCTACTTGATATTCCATACTCTGGCTTCTCCCTTCATTCCTCCCACAGAACTGGCATATTTTACCTAAAAGAGTTGATCTCTGACCTATCCATTTACATCATACTTAGCGGATTACTGGTGATTCAATAGTTGAACAATGGTGTCTATTCTCAGGTTGAACTACCAAAGAGTTCTTCATCAAATTGCCACATTGATGCCTCTCAGACAGCTGAAAAATATCTTTATTGGCTCGATCTTGATCATATTAGCATTACAGATTTATCTATTGAACAAATCATCATTCACTGGTACATATAAATTGGGCGGTTCAAATGAGATTGTTATAGTGGATAAAACAACCCCTGTCTCGTCTCATTACAAGTACATATTGGATAAATATTCAGAAAGTTTCCCTGCATTACCTTTCAATAAGAAATGTGAATTATATTTTGATGAATTATACAAATTGAATCATGATTGGGAAGTTGTCGACGTTCAAAAAGATACAAACAAAGATTACAACAAGGATGCTTTCAACCATGATCAATTCATGAGAAACAAGATCCAAGAATACAAGAAGAATAATGAAGATAAAGAACCATCAGATGGTAAAAAAGCTGAATTTGAATTAGATTTCCAAAAAATGGTTGAAGTTACATTAGGTGCAGAACAAAATATGATTGATGCCGTTACACATTTGAGAGTTTTCGGTAAATGTTATTTAAATGACAATGGTGTCTCAAGTTCAGTGTTGAGTAATTGGTTTAGCGAAAAGGAAGCTAAAAAGCAAGATGAAGAAAAAATCGATATGTGTTATGATATTGAACAAAGATTATTCCCATGGTTAAGTAGAGAATTACCTGTTTTCAAAAGATGGAGTGGTGAATCAATCATTGGTATTCCAAAAATGTCTAAATATGTCGATGAGATTTATGAAGATGTTGATTTACCTTATTCTGTTAAAAATGGTGAAGAAGTTTCAGATGATCAAACAACTGATAAAGATACCGGAACAAAAGTTGATAAGTTCAACGCTAGACTATTAAGCAAAAGATATGCCAGATCAAATTGTTTTTTAAACACATGGAGATCTATGCTTAACGGGAAAGGTATTGTTTTGTCAGCGGCTGATAAATATGAAAGTGATTTGGTTGGTTTATTAAGAGTCCTTAGAGCATTGAACAACAAATTACCAATCCAAATTGTTCATAAAGGTGATTTGAGTGAAAAAGTCCAAGATAATTTAGTTAAAGTGGCAAGAGCTGATGATGTTCAAGTTCCAAAATATTTATATGATCAAATCAAAGATTTCACACCACAAAATTTCCCAAAACAAGAAATTTGGTTTGTCAATGCTAAAAGATGTATCAGAAATGAATATCGTGGGAATTTCAACATGTATGCTAATAAATTGATTGCATATTTATTCAATTCATTTGATGACATTTTATTAATGGATACTGATTCCATTCCATTAGTTAAACCAATTGAATTATTCAAATCCGGTCCATACCAACGTACTCAAACAATTTTTTTCAAAGATAGATTTAATGTGGAAAAAGTTTCAAAACATGATTCTGAATATTTCAAAAGATTGATGCCTTCCAAAATTGATGAATCATTATTCACAATCCCTAAAACTACAAATCATACTTTAGAGAATCGTTATATTAAAAACCAATTCCGTCATGTTATGGAAGCTGGTATGGTTGGTATTAAAAGATCAACACATTTCATTGGTATTTTAACTTCAATCCAATTAAATTTCTGGACTGCAACAAATTCAAGAATTTGGGGTGATAAAGAATTATTCTGGTTAGGTCAATCAATCTCTGGTAATGAAAATTATGAATTTAATAAATATGATGTTGTTGCAGTTGGTGAATTAACTCCAATGGAAGATAGACCAAGAAATACCATTGCACATGAATTATGTTCTACACATCCAGGCCATTTAAGTGGTGATGATGATTTCACTTTATTATGGATCAATTCAGGTATGAGATATTGTAAAGTTGATACTTGGGAAGGTGATATGGATCAAGAACGTATAAAGAAAAAATTCAAATCAGTTAAAGAAGTGGAAACTTATTATAAAAATCCTGTCAAGATCAATGCTGCTTTGATTCCACCAGGTGGTGATCGTTCAAAACCTAATGGTAAAGATGAACCTGCATTTGGTTGGATCATGACACCTCCATGTAAAGGTTACCTGTGGTGTGCTTATGATATTTTGGGAGGTAGTACAGATCCAAAAGATCGTGGTGCATATGTTGAATATGATAATGTTACTGAATATAGAAATGAATATCTTGGTAAATTATGGTTGAATCAAGATTTGGTGGATTTAAGTAAATATGAAGTTCAAATTAAGGTTGATGAAGAGAAAGAAAGAGTCAAAAAGGTAAAGGAAGATAATGAAAAGAAGCTAAGGGAAGAAAAGGAAAAAAAGGAGAAGGAAGAAAGAGAAAGAAGAGAGAAGGAAGAAAAAGAGAAGAAAGAAAAAGAACAACAAGAAAAACAAGCACAAGATGGTAATGATCATCTCATATAATTTGATTTAAAAACAAAGTCATGACTTTATATAGTACGGTTGGTGTTTAAATATGTTAGGGGTTGATTTAATTCGATTGATAGAGGTTTTATTTGTATTTATTTAATATTAATAATTTGATGTTATTCAGATATTGTAAAAATTCAAAACCTGTAATATCACGTCTGCTACAAATTTCCCCAAATTATTCCTTATAAATAAACTATATTCATTTTTTTTATTCTAACATAAACCGTATAAATCTTTTCTCACCAAGAGGGGGAATATAAACAAAAATGCAATCTCTTTTTTCAACCATAATAACGAATGAATCTATTGTGGTAAATCTTGAGGATCTGGGTTTGAAATCCAGTGGTTACCAAAGTATGGGATTTTTTGGAAAAAAGTAGTTTGGAAAATTGGAACACCTTCAGCAAAGACGAAGATACCCATTAATGAAGCACCACCCCAGATGGCCAAGTTTGGAGTGTAAGCTAATAAGTTTTGTAAGTTAAGTTTACCCAAGTGTGGTAAAGTTTTGTAAACTGGTTGAGCAATGTACTGGAATGAGAATAGTTAGTGCTTGTTCATTGGATCCATCACTGGTTTGTCATCCTGAAGATCAATAACTTACTCTGACCATTGTGTATGATTATATGTGATGTATTTGATCTATTAAATACGTTGTTATACTCGAAAAACAACCTTTTTTACTTCATTTTCAAAAATGTGTTGAAATTTGAAAATGATAACCTTCAATTGGCTGGGAGAGAAATCTTACGTAATACACGATCATGTGATATATCACATGACCCTGAACTGATGATCACATGACAATCGCGTTAAAAAAGCTCTCAACTTCAAAAAATAAATAATTCGGAGACTCAACATGTCAAAAAGTTTGATCAAATTGTTAAAAATTGCATCAGATTAGTGACTGCATATGACTATAATTGATATTTGAGGTTTGAACTTTGAATTGATCGTGTAACGGGTTGTACAATCCTTTAGCTTTCCTGTAACGGTCATACTAGGTGTTGAGTAAGTTGTGTAGCTAAAATGAGACTCGTCGACAGAAGGACTCGGAGAGTATTCTAACCAGAAAAGTACAACTAGCGTAGATGACGTTGTCTATGCGCTTTCTACAGCTGATACAAAAAATAAAAGGAAGCCAATGAGGTTAAAACTTGGCTCCAATATAAGTTAATGGTCAACGACTCAAGAGTCCGTGGTCACTGGTGTAGTCTTATATTTCGCGCCAGCTCCATGATGGATTTTCGACTGGTAGTAGGTAGTAGGTACCACAATAGTAGTTCGTGTACTATGTATTGCCAGAGTGCGGCCGTTTATTTTCGAATGTGGTACATTCTTTAAACAATAGAGAAGCTGAGCGCAAACTTACAGGTGCAAATATCGTACAACTTCGATATAAGCTAACAGGTAAACACCATCTTTATGCTTTACAGAATCACAAGATCTCAAGTTTTTCCTTCTCTAAACTTATCAAGGTTTTCAACACAAAGAAACCTTTCTGCAAGTGTACAATTTTAATCTTGCTTGATTCAGTCTCAGACCATCCAATTCAACGTCCCTTTTCTTTTGCTCACGAGTCTTCGGACATTTCTTCTCACAAAACGCAGTCCCACACTGTAGTCTCTTCCTTTATAGGGTGAGCCATGCGCATTGACGCAGGGAACCCCCTGGAACATGATGGAATAAAATGTGAATAAATAAGTTTTAGCTCATTGAACGGTTAAATTTGACGATGATAAAGGTCAAAATTCACAGGTGTATAAAATTAGCAATTATAAGTATGAAACCCTTTTGAAACCTGATAAAAATTTGATAAATCAACGATATTTGGATCCCAAACTGAGAATTCTAGTTTTAAATTATTGGATTTACCAATTATCAAACACCCGCCAGACAAACAGTAGTATAAATAATCAACAAGCCTTGTGGTTAAAGTAATAATTTTTGGTTTAGCTAGCAAGCAGGGCGGTTCTAATCACGAAGAGGAACTCAAGCAGCAGGAAGGTTCAACAACAAGCCCAGATATAACTTAGCAAGAAGTATAACAATGGTATCGGTAAAATGAGAATGTGATAAAAAAGATCTTTCGAAACTGTTTTTATAAAAAGATTTTGATCTTCTGTGAAATTGGTTCTGGTTTTTTTTTTTTGTAATCGAAAACAAGTAACTTGTCTCTTGACTATCTGCGGATCTGTAGACTCGAGACCTGGGACTTGTACCTTATTTGGAAAACCTTGTTTCAATCAAGAAGGCTTCTCAATTCTTTCATATCAAAACCCATTGTTTATTTAACAAGTCTGGTGAGCTCGTCCAATTTTGAGAGAATAAGCTCAAACACTGGTAACTACAACTACCAAAAACAACAAAATATCTACTTCAAATCCAAAATATTAGTCCTAATAGGGTTAATTTTCCTTGGTTCCAACCTATTGTTATCAAGTCTGATATTCAATGTCAACAATTATAATGAATTCATTGAAATAACAAAAAATCTAGATCTTTATTTGAATTTAAACAAAAAATTTTTCCAATCTAAGGAGTTTTTACAACATTTCAAAATCCCATCAACTTTCAAAGAAAGTTTCATAAATGATAATTTAGCACATCATGAGTTTAATCAAAATTATTCAATTTCTGCATATTTGAACCATTTGGTTGATGTTTACTCAAATGAAAGAGACCCAGAAGCATATTTAAAGAAGAATCAAATTGATTTCCATTGGGGTGATTGGGTCGATTTAGCTCCTGCAAACCCATTTGTTAAAAGTTATGATGATTTCTTAACAAAGTTTGGTAATAATGAAACTGAAATGTATTTGTTTATGAAAAAAACATGTTATGATAAATTATATGACGTTAAAGATTCTTGGTTAGATGGTGAAACTTTCAACCAGAAATTATTTGTTACTGAACACTTACAATCAATTGGTATTTGCTCTGCTATTTTTAAGTACTATTATGCTACAATTCCAGAAAAAGTTGTTATTGAAACTGACTTCAAATATTTTGAAATGCCTGTTAACCAACACCGTAAAAAAGATCCATTTGGAGTAGATGGTTTATCCAAGATTTACTACAACATTGATAAGGTTTCATCAAAACAAATTGCAAACTTCAATCCAAATGATCGTGTTACTTTAGTTGACAAATTGAAAACTACATATTTTGATAAAGGCTTCAATGCTGAAGATCTCAAATTGAAACCAATTTTAGATCAAAGTCCAGATGATTTCAAACAACCAGATGTCCCAGAATTGATTAAAAAATATGAAGCTATTCCAAATCCAACAAGAGAAGAATCAAAATATTTAAATTTCTTGAAATATTCAAATGCTGAAGTTGGTAATGCTAATAAGTTCTATTTCATTTTCCCTTGGATTCAGATTGATTCAAAAGCCGAACTACATCATTATAATTTCCCTTGGATCAAACAAATCATTTCACATGAAGAACGTATTCAAGTTGTTCATCATCTAATTAGATCATGGTTCAAATATGCCGAACATGCTCAAATCATATCTTGGTTCAATTATGGTAATTTGATTGGATGGTATTTCAACGCTCAAAATTTACCATGGGATAATGATGTTGATGTTCAAGTTTCCATTAAAGATATCGATAAAATTGGTCGTTATCATAATAATACCCTAGTTGTGGAAAACCCAAAGAATGGTGATCATATCTTTTGGATTCAAACAAATCCTTTCTATTTACAACAAAATAATGCTCAATTCATCGATGCCAGATATATTGATGTTAAAACTGGTATTTACATTGATATTTCTGCACTATGGGAAACAAATATCCCATTACCTCATAATTTCAAACCAAAGGAAGGTGAAATTGCCATTCATTGTAAGCATTATAATTGGTTTTCATTTAGTGATATTTTCCCATTAAGAAGAACAATTTATGAAGGTGCTCAAGCATATATGCCAAATGGTATTGAACCAATTTTGAAAAGATTTTATGGTGATAAAGCCATGAATAATTGGAATATTTTTGATCATAATTGGCAACCAGATATTGGATTATGGGTTCCTAATCAAGTTTGTGAAAACGCAATGATCCCTGCAACTGAAACAAGATTTGATGAAGATGGTCAATTAACTTTATATGGTGCCTGTAATAATACTGAATTGTTGCATGAATGGAAAGCTGCTAAAAAAACTCATCAAAATCATTTAAAAGAGCATGAAGCTATCAGAAACGGTGAAGATAGTTCCAAATTTAGTGAAGTTGATTTCCCAGTCTTTAGAGAATTCAACTATGAAGAGTATAGATGAACAACCAGATACGAACGTGTATATTAGTCATATAATCATATATTAATTATAGGAAAACAAATGTACTTTTCAACTACACACAATGTCCAGCACTGTTGTGTCAAATAAGAACTCAAACCCAACATGTGATTTATCCGAGGAATCCTCATCCCATATGATTTTCAAATATTTCAAAATCTTTAAAGTTAAACTTGAATTAATTTTTGATGCAATGTTGAGAAACCCATAAGTTAAATACTCTCTTTGTTCCATTGTCATTGAAGCCGAACCTGAAACGAATAAACACCAAATTGATATCAAAACTTCATGTGGTTCATATAATGAATAACAAAATTTGTATTCTTCAATCATCTTGTTAACTTCATCTTGTAACTCCTCTAATTTGATATCCCAATCACATATCTTTTTGGTGATTATTAAACAACCGTATAAAATACTTTTAGCAAAGCTTATATTTACCAATTTTCTTCTATCTTGATTTTTCACTTCATTCAAAACTTTCAATTCTTCATAACATTGGAATTTCAAATCTGATGATAACAATAAATCTTGTTCAGGAATCGGATGTTGCAACAAACGACAAATCCAAGTACATTTAGCACTTAATTCTATTGCTTTCAAAGTCATACCCAATAGTGGATGATTTGTCCAAGGATCATTAGAATTATTGTTAATCATTGGAACGGTTAAAATCTTGTCAAACTCTTCAAAGAATTGGAAAGGAGAAGGAACCGAATTTGATGCTAATTTATTATGATGACATAACATAATAGTAATTGGATAGTTGAAAACAAAATGCTCAATTAATAACCTATCAAGAATACTTGGACCTGGTGTTTCAATTCTTCTTTTTTTCAAAATCTCATAAGCTGCACTTAAATGAGATGCACTTTTGGTTGCGTTCAACCCAATGTTTTTATCACGAAGGCATAACGTTTGTAAGATTTGAACACTAACGAAAAGATGATCCTCACAAGCGTTTGGTGAATTTTGTAGATCTTGCACCAAGAGATTCACACTATGGACATATTTATCATGAGCTAATTGATGGAATTCATCACTGTTGAAGCATAATAAAGTAGCACCACAAGCTAAGAATATCTCACGAACTAAAGGATGCGTGGCAGCAAATGGGGTCAGTATATTGTAAGGAGAAGCTGGACTATCATCCTCACAGTGTAATGCTGTGACTGAAGGAATGAATTTCTTTATAAATTGGTTATAACACAATTGGTCTTCATGAGATAGTTCAATGCCGGGGATTGTATAATTCTGATCACGTATTAGAATTTTGTTAGACTCTGCAGCTTGATCCACTTCATGAAGTAGAGAGTCTGGAAGATCAAAATCAAAACTCTCAACGGTAGATGGAGGCGATTTAACGTTTTCATTCTCCAGTTGAATATTCAAGAGTTGAGCCAATAATACAAATTCATTTTCACCATTCTTTCCATCATCAACACCATCCTCTTCTTTCACCAACTTCACCTTGACATGCTTGGGCCATTCACAATCTAGCCCATTTCTGTCGCATGCCTTGCAAATAGGTTTGGATTCATCACACTTCTTTCTTCTTTTTTTGCAACACATGCACCCATCTAAAGATTTCTTGAATTTCTTACGTGCTTTCCTCTGTTTTAACTGAGACTCAGGTTTTTGAAAATCGAGGATCTGCTGGTAATTATGATACGTATTGCGTTCCATTGTATTCTGTTCCATAGTCATGTATGCAGCACAATGTTTAGTGCATAATTAGCTTGTGTATACAAAGGAAAACATTGTTTTCAATTTCCTTGAAGTTTCAAGATCAGAGCGCGCTTTCCTAAAACAGAAAGCGCCTCGAAACTATGATATGAACGAGGACGACTGATGAGTATAAAAGGACAAGGAAAGCTCAGAATCAATGGATTGGTTTCAATAAAAGAGATGAATTATATCAAGGAAAGATGTCCACTATCACTGAAACTGCTGCTACTACTTTGAAACTCAGTGGGAACCCGGTCAGGGCTCTCAAGGTTAAGCCAAACAGATTGATTAACACTATCCACGAAACTGCAAAATTTGGGGCGAAATTCAAATGGGGTCCTCTTGAAACTGATACCGGTGTTTGTCGTCTTGCCTTATCCGATGAAGATAAAAAAGTTAAAGATTGGTTCGTCAATGAAGTCAAATCATTAGGTTGTAAAGTGAAGATTGATCAAATCGGAAACATATTTGCAATCTTCCCAGGTCAAAACAACGATGCCAAACCAACAGCTATGGGATCACACCTCGATACCCAACCAACAGGAGGTCGTTATGATGGTATATATGGTGTGTTATCAGGGTTAGAAGTGCTGAGAACTTTAAAAGACAACAACTATGTCCCAAAATATCCAATTGTTTTGATTAATTGGATGAATGAAGAAGGTGCTAGATTTCCATTGAGTATTATGGCAAGCTCAGTTTGGTCAGGTGCTTTCAAATTGGAGGATATTTATAAGGTTGAAAGTGTTACAGATGAAACTCCAGTTACCGTGGAACATGAATTGAAGAGAATTGGATACCTTGGAGATACTCCAGCTAGCTATGAAGCTATGCCATTAGCTGCTCACTTTGAAATTCATATTGAACAGGGCCCAATTTTGGAAGCTGAAAATAAGAAAATTGGGGTCGTTGAAGGTGTTCAAGCTTATACATGGTGGAGAATCAAAGTTACAGGTAAAGCTCAGCATACTGGTACTACTCCATTGGCTTTACGTAACGATCCTTTATTAGCGACTTCACAAATGATTGTTAAGGCGAATGAAATTGCCAAAAAGCATGACGGGCTAGCAAGTATTGGTATTTTGAACTTGGGTCCTGGTGTTGTTAATGTTATTCCGGATGAGGTCTCATTTGCTTTAGATATGAGAAATGTTAAAGATGAAGTGTTGAATAAAATGATTGAAGAGTTCAAAAAGGAATTTACAGAGATCACTAAAGCTACTGGTTCCAAGATCAATGTTGAATTTGAACATTTACATACTCAACCAGCAACTCATTTCAACAAAACTTGTATCAAATGTGTTGAAGATAGTGCTTTGGAATTATTTGGAGCTGATCAATACAGAAAAATTACAAGTGGAGCTGGTCATGATTCTTGTTCAACTGCAACTAGATGTCCAACATCTATGATTTTCATCCCAAGTAAAGATGGTGTTTCTCATAATCCTGAAGAATATAGTACACCAGAACAAGTTGATGAAGGTTTTAGAGTATTATTAAGCGCAGTCTTGAAATATGATCAATTGAGAACCGAATAAATGATGTGTTTTTTCTCGTTAATTGCCTATGTAGTTTACACGTTTGATTCAATATAAATAATTCCTGTTATATCCGGATCTAAAGATAAGCTATCTCCCTAAAACGGATAACGCTGCAATTCACTCAAATGCTTTAATAATTTAGTGAAATTAATTGGGGGGCAAAGAGATGAAATACAAAGGGTAAATGTTGCGAATGTAACACCGTCGTATCTTTGCATTGTTGGAACGGTTTTACATTTACGAGATAAGTGTTTGAATCTAGTTTGAAGTTTGACCCTGCGGATTTGTGATCTACTAGATCTATTATCTACACTTATTAAAGATCATAATTAAACAGCTTGTCAACTTCTATTGAAAATATCTCGATCTAATCAAACTAGCAAAGGGTTTAGCTCTTTCAATTTCCCTCCAAGGGTACTTTGCCCTCTTTTCAAATAATCACCATAACCTTTCTTTCCAACAACTCCTTGATCTTTCTCAAAGACAACTTCACCTCTTAGCAATGTATACTTTGGCCAATTAAGCACTTCAACACCTTCGAACGCTGTATAATCAAATCTATGACCCAAGTCTTCATTCTTCAGATTATACTTAATCTCTCCTTCTGGATGCCAAATAACCAGATCAGCATCATAACCAACACTAATACTACCCTTTTTACCATCCAATCCGTACAATTTAGCAGGGTTTGTACTTGTAACTTGAACAAACCTTTGAGGAGAAATACGGCCTTTGGAAACACCATGACTCCAAAGCAACGGTAACCTAACTTCAACACCTGATAAACCATTTGGAATCTTTTTGTAATCTGGGGCTCCTTTAGCATCAAGACCTAATTTCTTACCAGAAGGATCATCATAGTTTGATGGAGCATGATCTGAAGCGAAAACAGTAACAGTACCATTGGTTAAAGCTTCCCAAACACCTTCCAATTCTGAAGATGAATCACGCAAAGGCGGTGAACAAATATATTTGGCACCTTCGAAAGGGTCTTCATGATGATGAGATTTCATCAATGAATTTGTAAGGAACAGATATTGAGGACAAGTTTCAGCATATATTGGAATTAGTTTATCTTGTGCCTTTTTAACATGTTTTAAAGCAACAGGTGAAGACATGTGAACAATCAAGATTGGGATATTGATGATCTTAGATAGCTGAATAACTCTATAGCTCGCCTCATCTTCAGCTTCTATTGGTCTTGAAACTGCATGGTAATATGGATCTAATAATGATTTTGCTTCTAGTTTGTTGTTCAAGAACTGAATGATGTCTGTGTTTTCAGCATGAATCATTTGTGTTATTCCCAACTTTCTTGTCTCCAATAAAATGGTTAATATTTGATAATCATTCAATTTCAAAGCATCATAGGTGGTGTAGATTTTGCAAGAGGTTAATCCCATTTCAACCAATTTCCCCAATTGTGAAATTAATGCTAGTGTTGGGTTTCTAACAATCAAATGGAATCCATAATCAGAGTAACATTGACCTTTTGCCCTTTCCATATAAGCTAGAGTATCATCCACGATTGATGATTTTGAATCATCATCATTAGAACCTTGTAAAGCAAATGCAATGACAGTTGTAGTACCACCTCTAATAGCTATTTTGGTTGCATGTTCAAAAGTATCTGAATAGATCGAATTGGGTTCCTCAAGATGAACATGAGGGTCAATACCACCTGGAGTAACATAAGCACCTTTACAATCTATGATCTTGTCACCTTCCAATGGAGATGCAGAGATTGTATCAAATTTACCATTGAGAATACCAATGTAAGTTGAAGTTGGAAGGATATCCGAGCCTGTTACAATAAGACCATTGTGAATAACTGTATCAAACACCATCTTTGAAGAGTCAAGGGAATATGAAAAAGAATGAGCCTATTGTCTTCAGACATTTTTTTGTGGAGCTACTTTTGAGTACAAGCTGATTCATGCATAGGATTCATTTATCTTGATGAACTCGACGGATTTTAAGTCGATGTCCACATTCGGAAAGAGTTTCTTAGGGCAACAAATAGAAGGATAAGATCTTTTAGATTTAGTGGCTCAAAATAATCATGTTGACCGAGTTAAGTTGATGTAGAAAATGATGAATATTTAAATTATGGCCTTATAAAGGCTTATAGCTTTCAGAGACATCATTAACGAACTTTTACGAAGCATATGCCGGGAGTTCTCCATGATTGACACCTTAATCTATGTGGCAGTTGACAGCCTTGTGTGCCTGATTCGCTACACACAGACATCTCACTAGTGCCACCAGCTCAACATCAATAGCTTTTCATTACTGAAATTTGGCGTATCATAGTTCTTTTTGGCTCATCAAGAGTGAATCTTACGTAATCTTTGGTGTGCTGCTGACGTAACATTGAGGACAACGCCGTAAATTTTATCATCGACCAAAGAAAACGTCCGCTTGGGTTCAGATTCTTATCAGCGTGAATAAAAAACTTGAGAACGAGCTCGAGAAATGGCACAACTTGAACTTCGCTGCTCGACATCAACCAATCACAGGCTGACAACGATGATGCGACTATAGAAAATAAAAATACACTTGGAAATGGTCAACTCTTTATGAAACGCTTATCGTATGGTATGCCAGGCCACACATCCTTCATTGCTCTTATCAAAGGCCATCGCGAAAAAACTTTGACATGAAGGTATATATGAATAGAAGTATCCTTATTCCTATAGCTGTGAAAAGATTTCAGATTCAGTATCTCTCTGATCAAGATGTCAAGCACACAATATGATGATGACAAGAAGCAACAATCTTATGAACTAGAACCTCTAGATCAAGATGTGGGGACTTCCTCATCTGTTGAAGCAAAAGATAAAAACATATTTCAAAAGTTTCTTTACATGATTTCATTACAAAAAGGTTCACATCTAACTCTTTCTGAGATTTTCTTAGTTAATGAGGATTTACAGCCTGTTTTTGATCCAAAGGATAGACCATGGAGATGGTGGAATTTTGTTTTTTTCTGGGTGGCTGATGCCTTCAATGTCAATACCTGGCAAGTGAGTAGTTCATATGATGAATATTTTATACAAATTACTAACAAGATCAAAAGATTGCAGCTACAGGTGTTCAACAGAAACTATCTTGGTGGGAAACTTGGATCTCTGTTTGGATTGGTTATAGTTTGGTTGGTTGCTTTTTGTTCATTTCTCAAAGAATTGGTTCCCACTATCATATCTCATTCCCTGTTAGTTGCAGAACTTCATTTGGAACATTCGGTTCAATCTGGCCTATTATTAACAGAGTCGTCATGGCAATCATTTGGTTTAGTGTGCAATCTTGGCTGGGTGCCGAATGTGTTGCGTTGTGTTTGAAAGCTATATTTGGTGCTAATTTGGAGACAAGAATTCCAAACAAAATTGCCAGTTCAGGTACTTCATCATTTATGTTTTTAAGTTTCTTCCTATTCTGGTTGTTTCAATTACCTTTTATTTACTGCAGACCTCAAACAATCCGTCATTTATTCACAGTTAAAGCTTATACATGTGCCACTGCAGGTATTGCATTTTTGGTTTGGACCATTGTCAGAGCTGGTGGTATTGGTCCAGTTGTCCACCAAAAGACTGAATTGACAGGTTCAGATCATGCTTGGGCATTTGTCAACTCAACCATGAATTGTTTGGCCAATTTCGCTACATTAATTGTTAATGCTCCTGATTTTTCAAGAATTGCTAAAAACCCAAGAGATGCATCACTATCTCAATTTATGGCTATTCCAATCTGTTTTGCAATCACATCATTGATTGGTATTTTAGCTTCAAGTGCCTCTACAACAATGTATGGTGAAACTTTATGGTCCCCATTAGATTTATTAGATCGTTATGTTAACGCTGGTACTTCAGGTGATCGTGCAGGTGTTTTCTTTATTGCAGCAGCTTTCGCCCTTGCTCAAGTTGGTACAAACATTTCAGCAAATTCCATTTCAGCCGGTACTGATGGTTCAGCTCTATTACCTCGTTTTGTCAATATTCGTCGTGGTGGGTTCATTTGTGCCGCTATTGCATTCTGTGTTTGTCCATGGAATTTCTTTACATCTTCTTCAAATTTCACAACTTATTTGAGTGCTTATGCTGTCTTTTTGTCATCTATCGCAGGTGTTGTTGCTGCCGATTATTGTGTTGTCAGACGTGGTTATATCAATGTGTTCCATTTGTATTCAAATGGTGCTAAGTACAACTATTCATACAACAAGTTTGGTATTAATTGGAGAGGTTATGCTGCTTATATCTGTGGTATCTTACCAAATGTTGTTGGTTTTGCAGGTGCTTGTGGTAATAAAGTTCCAATTGGTGCAACCTATGTCTATAACCTTTCATTTTTCACAGGTTACATTAGTGCTTTCTCTGTTTACTGTGCATTAGTTTATTTCTTCCCAGTGAAGGGTATGCCAGTTAAGAAGTTCCTCAGTGAATCAGGTTGGTATGAAGAGAATGTTAACTACGAATTAGAAGAGGACTTTATGACTGAAATCAACAATGACCATCCAAATGATTATATCAAAGGTGGGAAGTTCCTCTAGTTTGTACCTAACGTTTTCATAATTCTTTTATTTTTTAATGTTTGCTTTTTTATTTAGCTCTAGAATAGAGAGATTAATATCTGAATAAATATTGTGGGCCGGGAGCTCATTAGATTGTTTAATATGTGCTGTTATAACATGTAGAGTTTACTCATTTTATTGATTATTTCATTTTGTATCTAAGTGACACGGTATCTGCCACTTTCGCGACTCTCTGCCTACAGTTCTAGGCAGATGCTGCCCCCAGAAGCCTTTCCTAGGAACGGCTCCTAGGCAGAGTCTCTCCTCGCGAAGGACTGAAGTCTGATGCCAGCCTGGCCGGTGATTGAACTTTGCTTGAAAATATTCTCACAGGGCCCGAAAGTTCCCAGTAAAGCTGTCACTGGATGCCTACTTCTCACTTGTCAAACTAGGATTGCCCTTTCTTTTGAAGGGCTACCTATAAATTCAGCGATGAGATTCTGATTAAAATTCTCATTGGTTGAAAAAACAAATGAGTTAAACTCCAGGAGCCTTTAAAACTTCTCAGCTAATTAATTTCTTATCACACTTTAGCTTGGTTTGAACTTTGGAGTTTCAAGCTTTCTGAATCTTTTAGGGCTTCACCTGCTGACCACTAGCTCAAACTCGGGGAGCCAACTACGCTCCACTCATTATTCACCAGGTTGCTTCAAGTTTCAGCCTTTAAACCCCCTTTAACCAGTTTTCCTAAAGACATAGAGCACTTCTCCACGTCTTTCATGTAGCTGCTACTCGAGTAAAAGCTATATACGCTCAGTTATTTGAACACTCTTGTGACTTGAATTCGCTTCAAGACGCTCAAATCTCCATACAAATTTTTTTTTCAACGCCGTTTGTAAAAATTTCTTTTTCAGACACCGAAAATGCAAGATATCTAACGAGCGAAATTTGTGTATGGTGATATACATGATAGGAAAAAAAAAATTTTCATATAAAGAAACTCATCTCTGCTCTTCTTCGACAAAGCTCCTCTTTTCAATGCTCTTAGTATTGTGATAATACCAAAGAGGTTCTACAAGCTATTGTTGCTGCTGATACTGCTGGATCACCTATCGGATAATTGCCCCTATCACTCTTATCTATAAAACACCAGTTTCCGGTTTAATAACTAATTACGATAGATACCAAGGAGATCATATTAATTCCATAGGATATATCTGACATATAAAGACCAGTTAAAGTCTGCAAAAAACTAGGAATTTTAGAATCTTCTATTTGTCACAATCACCATTTTATTACTTGCATATATTACATATTTGATACCCAAAAGATGTCATTAGATTCTGAAGTTGAGTACAAGAAGCAGAATGTTGAGTTGAAGAATTTAGAAGGTGATGCTGATGCTGGCAGTGAATCATCTTTGAGTAATGGATTAATGAAGCCAAGAAAGTCGTTTTGGCGTAGGATTCATGATGATTATATCTCATTACAATCTGATACTCCAGACTTGACTGTGAGTGAAATGTTTTTGGTGAATAAAGATTTGCAACCAATTTTTGATAAAGCTGATAGACCTTGGAAATGGTATAACTATATCTTCTTTTGGATTGGTGGTGCTTTCAACCTTAACACATTTCAAATTGGTGGTTCATCAGTTAGTACAGGTTTATCATGGTGGGAAGCTTGGATTGGTATCTGGATTGGTTATTTCATGGTGAGTTTTGTCTTTTACATTTCTCAAAGAGCTGGTTCACATTATCATATTTCATTCCCTGTCAGTTGTCGTGCAACATTTGGGACTTTTGGATCAATATGGCCTATTATTAATAGAGTCGTTATGGCTTGTGTTTGGTGCAGTACGATTACATATTTAGGTGGTATGTGTGTTCAATTAGTCTTGGAAGCTATCTTTGGTGGTGATTTGGATACCCGTATCCATAATGGTATTCCAAAATCAGGTACAACAACTTTCCAATTTATGAGTTTTTTCATCTTTTGGGTGATTCAATTGCCATTCATTTATTGTCGTCCTCAAACCATTCGTCATTTGTTTACAATCAAAACCATTGTTTGTCCACCAGCTGGTATTGCTTTATTGATCTGGACCATTGTGAAGGCAAAAGGTATTGGTTCAGTTGTTCACGAACAAACCAAATTAACCTCATCAGAACATGGCTGGGCTTTTGTTTTATCTATTATGAACTGTTTTGCTAACTTTTCCACATTGATTGTCAATGCTTCAGATTTCTCAAGAGTTGCAAGTAGTCCAAGATCATCATCCATTTCCCAATTTATTGGTATTCCAATTGCATTATCAGTCACTTCATTGATTGGTATTTTATTAGCTTCTGCCTCTACCCCATTATATGGTCAAACTTATTGGAATCCATATGATTTGATGTTACGTTATGTCCAAGAAGGTACACCAGGAAATCGTGCTGGTATTTTTTTCATTGCAGCTTCATTTGGGTTGGCTCAAGTTGGTACAAACATTGCTTCAAACACAATTTCCGCAGGTACTGATATGTCTGCTTTATTACCTCGTTACATCAATATCCGTCGTGGTGGGTTCATTTGTGCAGCTATTGTCTTATGTATCTGTCCATGGCATTTCTTTACATCTTCTACAAACTTCACAACTTATCTAAGTGCTTATGCAGTTTTCCTATCATCAATTGCTGGTGTCGTTTCTGCAGATTATACAATTGTTAGACGTGGTTATTTGAACGTTTTCCAGTTATATTCCAACAAGATAGAATACAATTATACCTATAACAAGTTGGGTATCAATTGGAGAGCTTTTGCTGCCTACATTTGTGGTATCTTGCCAAACATTGTTGGGTTTGCAGGTGCCGTTGGTAGAGATGTTCCAAAAGGTGCCACTTACATTTACAATGTGTCATATTTTGCAGGTTATATTGTTGCATACGTGTCTTACTGTGTGTTTGTTTACATCTCTCCAGTCAAAGGTATGCCAGAGAAGAACTTTTTAACCAAAGGTGGTTGGTATGAAGAAAATATCACTTATGAAGTTGATGATTTCAGTATGGAGATCAACAAGTATCATCCAAATGAATATGAAAAAGAAGGGAAGAAGTTTATGTGATTTGTGAACTTTGTTTGTGCTTTAATTTTTTGATTTCTATTACACTCTTTTTTTGTTTCAACTTTGAGAGGTTCCTCTGTCATGTTAATACTTAATGCATATGAAAATTGTTCATGGTTCAAAGCTACACTCCTGTTATTCTCCCAAAAATAACGTACCTACATATGATATTTTCGAATATGTAGTGAAAGTATCATTGTTTCCACGAGAATTGCGTTATTACAGGGTGAAGTACGTTCAGTTCATTTTTTTTGTGTTGGGTATGTTTGGTTTATTTGATCTTGGTTAACGAGGCCGTTAATCAGAACAAAAACCATTTGATCATTGAAACTTCTGTTATCGAGTTCTCCATGATTTGGTTTAGAAATGGTCAACAATCACTTGATATGAAAGGCTCCAAAGTCCGTCATCAGTGATCACCATTTTTACGACTATGTACAACAAAGATTTTTTCGTGTCGCGCAACACGCCCGCTTTTTTCGAAAATTTTTACAAGATTTCAAGCTATTAAAAAGCTGCAAAAAAGAAAAAAAGTCTATCTATAAACTTCATAGGTCTCATGAATAGCATATGAATATCAGTTTTCTCGGCTGGTTAGTTCATAGCTTTTGTTTTGAGTGAAGAGTGTTTGATGTTAGTTCACTGACTTCACCAACTCTCTGCACGAAAGCGGAAAAAGAAAAAAAAATATAGTGACACTATTAGTGGGCATCACTACTGTACAGTCTACACAGAGTCAGAAGACTCTTCTGTATACTGCTTGAAAAAATTTTCAAAAGTATATAAGCTTTCAGGGATCCTCTTCATAGTATAATGGTTGGTTACTGCTTGAAAGGTTATCTCAGAGATCAAGAGATCAACCAATAGACCCAAATACCACCAAATGATTGAAGACGTGAACTCTAAAGAGAAAGTCTCCATTGATGCTGAAACAACTACAACTATTGAATCAAATACTAGGGATGATAATTCAAATGTTTTCAAAAGATTCTTGAATAAGATTTCTTTACAAGATGATGACTTGACTTTAAGCGAAAGTTTTTTAATCAATAAAGATTTACAACCAGTTTTCGATAAAACTGAGAGACCTTGGAGATGGTATAATTTTGTATTTTTATGGGTTGCTGAATCTTTCAATATCAATACATGGCAAATTAGTGCCACTGGTATCATTTCTGGGTTATCGTGGTGGGAAACTTGGATCTCTGTTTGGATCGGTTATTCTATCGTTGGTGGGTTTATTTTCATCTCCCAAAGGGTTGGTTCCCATTATCATATCTCATTCCCTGTCAGTTGCAGAACTTCATTTGGGACTTTTGGCTCAATATGGCCTATTGTTAACAGAGTTGTGATGGCTTGTGTTTGGTACTCAGTTCAGGCTTACCTGGGGTCACAAGCTCTTTCTTTATGTTTGAAAGCTATATTTGGTTCAGACTTGGAGACAAGAATTCCAAACAAAATTGCAAGTTCAGGTACATCATCATTCATGTTTTTATGTTATTTCCTTTTCAGTTTGATTTCCTTACCATTCATCTATTGCAAACCACAGAAGATTCGTCATTTGTTCACAGTCAAAGCTTATACTTGTGCTACTGCAGGTGTTGGATTTTTAGTATGGACAATTGTTAGAGCCGGTGGTATTGGTCCAGTCATTCATAAAGAAACTTCATTATCAGGTTCTGCTCATGCATGGGCTTTTGTCATCTCTACAATGAATTGTGTTGCAAATTTCGCAACTTTAGTTATTAATTCACCAGATTTCTCAAGATTAGCATATTCACCACAATCATCATCAATTTCTCAATTGGTTGCCATTCCTGCTTCGTTCTCAATCACTGCTCTTATTGGTATATTGTCTTCAAGTGCTTCAACTACAATGTTTGGTGAAACTTATTGGTCTCCATTAGATCTATTAGATCGTTATGTCCAAGCTGGTACTCCAGGTGACCGTGCTGGTGTGTTTTTCATTGCAGCTGCTTTTGTTTTAGCACAAATTGGTACGAATATTTCAGCAAATTCCATATCAGCTGGTACTGATGGTTCAGCTCTATTGCCTCGTTTCATCAATATTCGTCGTGGTGGATTTGTTTGTGCAGCTATTGCCTTCTGTATTTGCCCATGGAATTTCTTCACATCATCTGCAAATTTCACAACTTATCTAAGTGCATATGCTGTTTTCTTATCATCTGTTGCTGGTGTTGTCGCTGCTGACTATTGTGTTGTTAGACGTGGGTATATTAATGTTTTCCATTTATATTCAAACAACTCAGAATATCATTACTCTTATAATAGATTTGGTATCAACTGGAGAGGATTCGTTGCTTATATTTGTGGTATATTGCCAAATGTCGTTGGGTTTGCAGGTGCCATCGGTAGAAAAGTCCCAATAGGTGCTACCTACGTCTACAACGTTTCATTCTTCAGTGGTTATATTGTTGCATTTGTTGTTTATTGTGCATTATGCTGGGTTAGCCCAGTACCAGGTATCCCAGAGAAGAAATTCTTGACAAAGAGAGGTTGGTTTGAGCAAAACGTCAATTATGATGTTGACAACTTTTTTGAAGAAATGGGTAAACCTGATGATTTCATAAGAACTGACACCAAGTTCTAAGGCTGTTGTATATAGGGTGGAGGTTTTATTAAATGATTAACGTATTCTCAACTTCTTAGTTTTCGAGCCTCAAAATTTCTTATTTTTTGGTGATAACTACGTTGGGTACGTTAAGTGCGTTTAGTTGGTTTCAAGATTTGTTACTGGTTGTCTTCTGAAGTTTCAAGAGCTACAAGTAATTTAAAAAGTTATCTTTTATTTCATCAAATCATAAGAACAAATAAAAAAGTAAACAAGAAAGGAAAATCAACGTGGAAGCAAAATCTGATGTTTTGTTATAGATCAATCATAATTTTGATTTATCACCAACTAAATTGATAGCAGCATTATTGATAACAACAACATTTCTTTCAACAGACAAAGTTTGGAAAGTGACCTTGTTACCTTCTTTCCAGGCTCTAACCTTTAGATGTTCACCTGGGAAAACAACATTTGTGAAACGAGCTTTAATTTCACCATACATACCAAACTTTTCGTACAATTGTTTAGCACTGATACCAAATGAAGCCAAACCATGTAAAATTGGTTGAGGGAAACCAGCCTTCGTACCAACTTTTGGATCAATGTGTAATGGATTATAGTCACCAGAAAGTCTATAGATAGCAGCTTGATCTGGAGAAGTCTTCACTGTAGTTTCAAAATCCGGTTCTCTTGATGGAATGGTGTTTGCAGCAGTAGCAAAGCTATTTCTATCTTTATAAACTTTAGGTTCTTTAGCAGCTTGAGCTTTTCTTATGAAGGAAGTGAATTCATTGTAGAAAATTTGCTCTCCAGTATTCTTATCAAAAGTTTTGAACCCAGCAACAACAATAGCGGCCTTTTTACCTTTGTTCAAAACAGCAATTGGGAATGCTTCTGTTTTCAAGTCAGCAGCAGTTGGAATAGGAAATTTATTGATCTTCAAATATTGTTCACCATGTAATAAATAATTATAGTCAAAATTTTTCAACAATCCTGAGTAATCAAGACTATTAGTACTCATACACGGGATGACACCATAAGTTGGTAACACTTGGAAATCTGGATGCTGTTCATAAACATATTTTAGTTCCTTGGCATTAGCACCAAGACCCAAGTTATACAAAATTGCATCACGATCAGTATATTTAAAGACCTCAGTATCTTCCTCATCCTCATCTTCATCTTCATCCTTTTCATCCTCAGCACCAACTCTTTCAAAGATACCCAAATATGATTCTTTTGGACTTTTGATTAACTGGAACTTTGTAAAATCAGTGATTTCATTGAAATGATCTCTAACAAATTCTGCTGAAGGATTCTTGTCTTTTGATAATGCACCCCAAGATCTTTGAAATCTTGTATTACCAATCCAACCAGCACCAACTTCAAATGTTTCACCTGTGGTTTTAACATGATCAGAGGCCAACACAACATAAAATGGAGAAACTTGTGATGGATCAAACTTGTTAAATTCATTCTCTTTGAAACTTGTTGCAGTCATTGCAGTTTCAGCATGTGGTGCAATAACATTGACTCTAATATTGTATTTCAAACCCTCTTGAGCTAAAGTCTTTGAAAACCCCAACATGGCTGATTTAGCAGCAGAGTAGTTTGCTTGTCCAAAATTACCATAGATACCAGTGGTTGAAGTGGTATTGATGACGTTACCAGATTTTTGTTTCAAAAAAATTGGCCAAACTAATTTAGTTAATCTATAGGTACCCATGACATGAACATCTTGAACTGAAAACCATTCATCATCAGTCATTTTACCGAATGAACGATCTCTCAAAATACCAGCATTGTTAACTAATATATCAATGCGACCATAAGTATCTAATGCTGTCTTAACAATTTGATCTGCTTCTGTAACCACGTTCGCCTTAGAACCAACAGCTTCACCACCAGCTTTTTTAATTTCATTGACAACGTCATCTGGATTTTTGAAATCATTAACAACAACTTTTGCACCGGCTTTGGCAAATGTAAGAGCATGTGAACGACCAAGACCAGCACCTGCACCTGAGATAATCACAACTTTACCCTTTAATGAAACTTTTTCTTTAGATTGTTTGTTTGGAGGTTGTGATTTTTGAGATTCAATCAAGGTCATGAAATCACTGACATGACTTGGATATGTAACTTTATTGAAAGGTTTATCCTCAAATTCAAAAATACCATTCCATTGGTTTAAAATAGCTTCTGGGGTATAGGTATCATCCAATCTTAGTAAGATACCTGAAGATCTTTGCCAACGAACTTGACCGTAATAACCAGCAGCAACTTCAAAGATTTGATTTGATGCCTTTGAATCTTCATGAGTTAAATAGACAACTAATGGAACAACTCTAATTGGGTCTAAAGCCTCCAACATTGGTTTTGGCAAGACATCTTCAGTCATTCTAGATCTAGCCAATGGTGCAATGATGTTTGCATGAATATTATATTTGACACCTTCCTTAGCTAAAGTCTCACCAAACCCAACCAATGCAGATTTAGCAGCTGAATAGTTAGCTTGACCAAAGTTACCATATAACCCAGCTGGAGAAGCAGTATTGATGATTCTACCATATTTTTGCTTTCTGAAATAAGGCCATGCAGCTCTTGTCAATTTGTATGCACCATTTAAATGAACATCGTACACCAATTTGAAGTCTTTTTCACTCATATTCTTGAAAGAAGAATCTCTTAGGATACCAGCGTTATTGATCACAACATGAACAGTACCGAACGCCTCCACGGCGGTCTTGATGATCTTGTCACCAAATTCAACTGAATCATAATTGGCCACAGCTTGACCACCAGCTTTCTTGATTTCATCGACCACGACATCTGCAGCTTTTGAAGAAGTTCCGTCACCTTTCAATGAACCGCCCAAGTCATTAACGACAACTTTGGCACCTCTCTTACCAAACTCTAACGCGTACTGTCTTCCTAGACCACCACCTGCACCTGTCACAACGACAACTTTGTTATCAAATCTCAATTCTGACATGTTTAAATTGTAATGCTTTGAGAATATAAGCTGTTGAAACAATATTTTAGATCAAGTTTTGGATTCTTTGGGGTTTATATAATTGATGATCATGGTTTCTAATTAGTTTTAGCTCATGGTAAATAATGTATTGTTTTTGCGGGGTGGTTTGGGCTTGACTGTTGCCGATTCAAACCAGCATTCTAGTGACACAAATTGAGCTCTTATTCGCATTGGACTTTGGCCGAGGAAGTGTGTGCTCAGCTTGTCAACTCTTTTGCTCTTCTCCAGTTTTCGCTGAGTGACTCCAGAAACACCAAGCCGAGGGAAGAAGATTACATAAAATAAGGGGGAGTGTTACGTAATATTTAACCGATGAACTTGTCAGACATCATCTTGTATAAAACTATTTGCCTGCGAATAGACGACTCAATGTATCATCCATAGCTTCATATCTCACTCCATCTCTCTTCTCAATACCAGCATTCAGCTTCTCTAGTCCATTAACCTCAAAATACTTGTTGATGCAACTCCATTTGTGCCATGTAAAGTCCTTTTCAGGTCTGCAATTACAATTCAATTCTTCACGAATTTTTTCTGACCTTGGACAATCTTGGTTCGGCTTATGGTAATACCCTGTGTATGGAACAAACATCAACTTATCCGGTGGTAATAACGTTGAAACAGCTATGGTATGAAATGGTGCATCTCCCCATCTTTCATAGAAGAACCCACCTTTCTTATCCATATATTGGAAAAACTGTTCATATGCTTCACTTCTAAAGAATCTCAAATCGCCAATCTCAAAATTAGACCAAAAATGACAAAGATTGTAACTTTTACCTTGATCATCACTAATGAAGTCCATATTATTTGGCTTGCTTAACATTTTTGGATTCTCTTTGAAAAATTCAACAACATCATCCCAAAGTGTCCTTATCGTGCGACTATCTTCAGCTAATCCCATATTGAACCCATATAATTTACCTTCTTCCCTCATCTTTTTAAAAGGATCATGATTAATATCACATTTAAACTTAACATCAGGTTCAACTCTCCAGTAATAGTCAATATTTTCCAATTCTTTCAACTTATAGAAAAAGCCAGAGTTGAATCGACACATATGTCTATATGATTCAGAGCTACCATACATTATACCTTCACTTTGTGCTTGCATCCTTGATTTGTCAGCTTTATCCATATCAATAAAATCTGGGTATGACCAATATTCAGTTGGAATTGTGATGAATTTTGTTTCACCAGATACAGCTTCTGATATTTTACTCTTGAAATCCTCTGTGAATGGCTCATTATTTGCAAAATACCAAGGATAATGGTAATTCTTGTTGAATCTTGTCTCTAAGAACTTGATTGAATCAATCATCCCCTGTAATTCTGAGTTACGGACTAAAGAAAATATAACAGCATTTTCTAATCCACTCTTTGAATCTTGTTTTCCATCAGCTGCAGTTGAGGTCTCGCCATCTGAAGGAAACAGCTTTGTGATCTGTTCATTACCAAAATTATCTATAATCTTTGTCTTGATATCCTCAATATTATAATCATAGGTATAAACAACAGTTGTACTAATCACAATTATACTAGCAATTACCAATCCCAAGATACCACTTATGATTTTACTCTTTGTTGGCATAATATAAAGATATTTTTTGGGGATCCATTAACGATAAATACCCTCCAAAGTTCTTGGTTCTTGGTACACATGATTTGGTCCTGTGTATTATTTGTTATACACCAGTGTAATTGCTCGAACAAATTCGCGAATCACTAAATTTGACAAGGCCACAATAAAGGAATTCTGAATTAATGTTCAAAAGTTAAAGTACCAGGAGACTGGAAAGATTATAGTTGTCTAAATGCTACATTTTCCTCTTTTTTAAAATAGCCAGAAATCTAAACATAATATTAAATGAACCATAATATATATAAGCTGATAGTTAGCAGAGGTATAGAACTGCACAACCTAGAGCATCAAAAAAAAATTAATTCAACATCATATTTAAACCTCTAAACCACATTGTTTGCATCACTAATTAAACATACTCAAGTGATTAAACTTAAGCAGCAACAGTGACTTCGACATCCACACCTGGTTCGATAGTGATTTGAGTGATTTTTTTAACAATAGCAGCTGGAGCTTGTAAATCAATAACACGTTTGTGAATTCTGAATTCATAAGTATCCCAGGTTTTGGAACCTTCACCATTTGGAGTTTTTCTGGTGGAGATTTTTAAAACTTTAGTTGGTAATCTAACTGGACCTTTTTTAATCAAATCATAAGTTTCAGCATTTCTGATAATGTTGGCAGAAACTTTTTCTAATTGTTTAACTTTTGAAGAAACTAAAGTGATTCTGATTTTGTGGATTTGTGGTTGGTTTTCAGTAACCTTGTCTTTTTGAACGTCAGCCATTTTTGTAATAATACCTTTTACTTCTTTGTTTGGTTGATCTCTTCAAAAAGATGTAATGTTGTTGAAGTGATAAAGATGGATTTTTTTTCACCATACCCATCCAGAGTTCGCGGCTGATGATGAAAAAAAAAAGTGACTTCGGTGGTGTTAGGGTTTACAAAATTTGCAAGTCACATGATCAGTCAGAAAGTCATGTGATCATTTTCATATAACCGGCGGCGATAACAGATAACGGCGGGAAAGATTCTTGTACACGGGGGATAAGATGGATAAACAAAGACAAGTATAAAGCCAGCAAGATATCCATAAACATTATTCAAGTTAATAGACTACGAGCCACTCAATTATAACAATGACAAAGCAAGAGAATATCAAACACCTTTTGACTATCCAGTCGGTTAGAGAGCGTACTCAACCAATCTTCAAATTGGCGCTTGATAACAATCTTGATTATTTTGATGTTGATTTAAAAAAGATTCCAGATGTTATTCAATTCGTTACAGGAGTTATTGTTAGAGATTTCAAAGATTTAAGTACAATCCCACCGCATGGTCGTTGGGGTCATTTGAATGCAGGAGGTCATGATCGTGTTGAACAATTGATTTCAAAATGGAGAGCTTCACTGTTTGATGATGTTGAGATTGGAAAGAAATTAGTTGATCTATTCGTTTTTAGTGTCTTGGTTGATGCTGGTGCTGGTAATTCGTGGAGCTATACTGAAACTGCAACTGGTGAATCTTATAATAGAAGTGAAGGGTTAGCAATTGCTTCAATTGATCTATTCATTAATGGTGAACTGAGTGCTAACACAAAAGATCCATACGTTGTAAATGGTTCAAAACTTGTTGAATTCACCAAAGAAGATTTATTGAAAGGCTTTCAAATTTCTGAATCCAATCCATTAAGTGGTGAAGATGGTCGTTTAAACTTGATTCAAAATTTGGGTAAAGCATTAGTTTCAAATAAAGAAATCTTTGGTGAAGATGGAAGACCTGGTAATTTGATTGATTATTTAAAGAAAAAGACATATCCTGATGGTAAAACTATAGAGTTCCCAATAATATGGGATGCTTTGATGGAAGGTTTCACACCAATTTGGCCAAAGGGAAGAGTAGAAATTGATGGGATATCATTAGGTGATGCATGGCCGTTATCAACGACTTCTAAAGTTGGTGCAAAAGAGTTTATTGACACAATCGTACCATTTCATAAATTAACCCAATGGTTATCATATTCATTACTAGTCCCATTACAAAAGTATGGTTACGAGTTTGAAATTAAAGAACAATCATTACAAACAGGTTTACCAGAATATAGAAATGGTGGTCTCTTTGTTGATTTTGGTGTCTTGGATTTGAAGAAAGAGCATTTGGAACGTGGCCTGGAATTATCAAAAGAGATAAACTCTAAAACTCCAGAAATACCAAGCTTCAAGCCTGATGATGGTGTTATTGTGGAATGGAGAGCTATTACAATTGGATTTTTGGATTATATTTTACCTTTGGTCAATAAAGAGTTGGATTATGAGCTTTCATTACCACAGTTGATTGAAGCTGGAAGTTGGAAATCAGGTCGCGAGATAGCTGCTAAACTAAGACCTAGTACAAAAGGTCCACCAATCGATTTGTTCAGTGATGGTACAGTTTTTTAAATTTAACTTGAATGTTGATTATGAAGCTGTTTGGGGCTAATTATGTGGTGCTGTATAACCAACTGTTTTTATTCAAAGATTCAAAAAGCATGTTTAGATAAATGAGACAGTATTTAAGTTTAGTCTCCACTTTCCCTATACTTTAGCATTTGTACTTATCATTTATCATAAGTTGTGACTTATTGTAGTTGTAAGTTGTAACTGCTACGAAGTCCAATCATATACCAAAAGTCTTAGGGCATGGTGGTCAATCTGATAATTAGCTAATTATTAATCATTATGACATTCGTTTACAATGTCCTTACAGCGACAATTATATGGGTTGTAACTTGTAACTTGTAACTTGTGAATCGTGATTCAAGTTGAACTGGTATTTCACTTTGAAAGTACGAACTGGAAGTAAAGTGTAACATAGATTGTTTGAACTTGATTTTATCCGTGAGCACCATACGCGTTTATAAGGCTTGGGCTTGAAAAGGAACCTAGTTTCACTGATAAGGTTTCTACACCTTGATTTGTTTGACTTCTTTGGGTTGGTGCATCAATAGCTTTAATTCTGACTTTTTTTTAAACATCACAAGACAACTTACTCAAAACTTAAAAACACGGTCTTGACTCTTGAGTCTTGACATATTGAAAATGGTTCAATCTGAGACCTACAATATGTAATTCTGGTCAATGCGGTTAATTTGAGATTGAAACACTATGGTCCCATGGAGGTAATTGGCGGGCTGCCATTTCAAATTCATTCGAATATATATGAGCAGCTAGGAATATTCTTTTTGAATACTTTCTTAACATCAGCTTACTTAGTAATGATCGCTAGACTGCACAATGCTACAGTCGGCCAGTGTAGTGATCTTGAAACTTGGAAGTACAAGTTGTTATAATGCTTAGACTAGGAGCACCAGATCTCAGTGATTAGACCCAAGCTCCGGCTTACTGATTTCTGAATATTCATGATCATACATTCATTATTTCGATCTGACCTTTCCAGGTACACTTGAAAGCTCAATGTAATAACGGCTTTTTGTATTTTAATAATTGAACATTACGTTTAATGCCAAACTCGACGTTAAAAAAGGAGGCTCAAACTACAGTGAATTTGGTTGTATCTAATGAATTCTAGCGAGCACCTTAGCAGTTATAACAACTAAGATCTTACATCCTTCATTTTGATTGTGTCGTGTGACCCTTGAACATCTTCAACCTTGGCACAAATTATCAAAAGAACATATACATATGCTTTGTTTCTACAAAAGATATTGGGCGGTCGACAGAGGACCTCAACAATTAGATGTGATTTTTTGTTCTGGATTCAAGATCTACAAAGCATGCATACAATATGAAGATCAAGAATGATAGTTCACCAACTTGAAAACAAATCACTTGTAACTTGTAACTTGCAACCCTGTATTTAAGATGATTACTACAAGAGGAACAGGCCTCGTCTTCGAAGGCTGGTCTAAGTTTTAATAGACAATTCGTTAAACGTCTTGTGTGTACCTGAAATCATATCTAGGTCTAAAAAAAACCCTTGATGAAAATCAAACAATAACCGTCGAAACGGAACCTTATTTAACTTTTCTTTTTATCCAAATTCTCACCAGAGAAGTACTGAAATGTATCTGAAATCTGAAATGAGTTTTTGAACCCAGATTAAGCTGTTTAAGAGAAACAAACATATGAAACTGGTCTAATTATATGAAACTTGATGATTTCATCTTATTCCACAAAGAAAACCATGCCGGCAAAATGCCCATTTGGGTAAAGCCGGTAGACTGGTCTAGTGGCCTGGTCTTGGTAGAATTACAAGCGCAGGGTCTGTCCTGCAGGTGTGGGACTGACATCTGGGACGTGCATTTATTCTACTGGGACAAGTCTCGCTCCATAGAGACTGAAGTTTGGAAGGTTTTAACAATAATAACAGGTAACACTTTGGCTATACAAACCTATCCAAACTAACTTTTGATAGTGGTCAGTTGATTGATCTGCTTTAGACTTCCATTTTCACTCCCAAATTACAACTTCACAGATGATTTTTGGATAAGTTATATTTATAGGGTAGTCCCACTGTGGTCTTGAGCTGTCTGCAAATGTCTGACGCGTTTGTTCCAGGGACTAAACGTTTTTTTTTTTTTTTTTTTTTTGCTCTGGTGTTTGGTGAAATTGTTGTAAAGGTTAAAAATGGTTTATCTGCTTGGATAAATAATCAAATATTTCCCAAACTACATTGTTAACGTATTCCCACTAAAAGGTCTTTTCTGATTAAAGCGTGCTGCTGAGTTGATACCACCTATTGTTGCTGCTCCTCATTCTAGTTTGCCCCTTTCAAAGCTGCTCCACAATACCCTCAAAAGCATAGGTAATTTTGATCTTTGGATTGTTGTGTTATTTTCCCAAGAGAAAGACCTGTACATTCAAAAAGAATTATACCATCTTTTGAACTCAAAAGGAAATTCCTGAGGCGCTTCAAACTTCACACCCTCACTCTTGGATCCCATCTACTCTTGTTGCTAAAAATTGATTCAAGTATCAGCTTTCTTATTGTCGAAGTTTTTTCACAAAGCACCATATTTTATACACAACAATGACTCTAATATCACAATTATTGTTGACTACAACATTGCTCACGTCGGCGCTCGCCAGGAAATATTTCGTTAAGGATGAATTTGTCCCAATAACAGTGAAACCGTTAACCCCTGGTGGGAATTCTTATGATAATAAGTTATATTTATACCCAATTGACTATTACAACCCAACTTTAGGTTCATGTCTACCTGTGGATCAAATGGATCCTTATGGCCCTGAATCAAACTCATCATACATATACCAGGAAGATGACTTCTTTGGGAACCATTTCAGCAATGCTCCAATCTCAACAACATTTTTAAATAAAACTGCCAAATGTGCTTCAATGTGTGACAGAAATTATAAAAAGGAGAATGTCACATTGATTAATGATTTGATTAAAAAAAACTATAAATTGAATTTTTTCATTGATGATGTTCCTGTTGGACGTGAACTATATGATTCTCAAACAAAAAAATTCTATATTGATAATGGTGTTCCATTAGGTTATTTGGATATGGACAGAATACCTCGTTTATTCAATCATTTCCAATTTGTCGTCTATTACGTTTCTTATGGTTTAGAATATGAAATCTTATATTCCACTGTTAGCACAAGATCAATTTCAAGGGTTCCAATTGTTCCATTAAGTTGTGAATTGACTCAACCTTTATTGTTGCGTTATAGTGATTATTCTTTTAATGGTAATAGAATCAGTTATGATATTATTTGGAAAGAAGTCCATGTCAACAAATGGAATAACAAATGGGAACTATACACTAATGATATTGTTCAACCATTTATTTCAAATGCTGTCGTTATCATTTTCACCATTTTAACAATTATCATTTCATTTTACACATACTTGACAATTTCAAATGCATTCAATACTGAAAAATTGGAATTTATTTATAAAACAAGACAACAATTGAAAACCGTTGATGAATCAACTAATAATGGTACTTCTTCAGAAGAAACAAAATCATCAGACGATAATATTATTGAAGATTTTGAATTTTCATGGCCTTCATTAATTAATGATGTTTTCAGATTACCTGAATTTTCACCATTGCTATACTGGTTAGTTTCAAATGGTATTCATGTTACAGTTATCGCATCAATCATTATTATCTTGTTAGCTATTGGTTTGTTAGATACTCACTCATTTGATGATGATGTTAGCTACACCGCTGCCGCTGTCCACACCATAACTTCACCATTACCTGCATTGATTAATTGTTATTTCTTCAAAAAATTTGATTCTTCATCACCATCCACTGTCGAATCTTTCAAGAAAAAATTGACATTAACTGTTTTGTTGAATTCATTCGGTGTTCCAGCTATTTTATTCGTTTTGATTAATATTACAAACAAGACATTTGCCTCTGTGGATTCTCCAACAAACATTTCCTTATGTTTTTTCAGAACTTTAGCAACTTATTATATCTTGATAACATTGGTTAGTTTCTTTGCTGGTTTAAGATTCCTCAAAGTTCAACAATATCCATCATCAGACATTGCTAAAAAAATTTCATCACCTCCAATCACATTCCAAACTATTCCAAATATGTTTATCTCTGGTATTTTCCCATTTGGTGTTATTTTGATTCCATTATCATCAGGTTATATCACTTTATGGTATTCCCATTTCTATTCAAACTCAACATTAACCATTTCATACATCTTGTTGTTGTCATTAACCGTCTCAATAAGTATTTTAAACATTTACCATTCATTATCAATTGGTAATTGGAAATGGCAATGGTATAGTTTCCTCAGTGGGTTTGCTGTTGGTGTTTATACATTTGCATATTCATTCTATTTGACTAAGTTCAAATTCGGTGATCATGCCTCACTTGTCATCTTTTTATTACAAAACATTACAATTTCTTCATTATTAGGTTTGATTGGTGGTTCTGTTGCATTTAGTGCTTCATACATCTTTGTTAAGAACTTGTATTCAGGTATTGTTCATTAGATGGAGAGAATAAATTAGAGAATGAAGCAGATTAGAGTCTGTATTATAATGTATATTAACGAGAGAAGTCAACAACCATACTATAGTGAGTCTATAGTTATTTAATATTAATGATATCTACTATAAAGACTGTTTGCACGTAAATTTTCATATATAGTACCTCGGAAGTCTGCTCATTCACGTGACTTTATGGCAATGCTTATCACCTAAATCCGAGGACTTGAATTTCATTTGAACAACAATTCAAATTGAAAGCAAAACTTAAAGTATCAATTGGAAGGCAAAAAGCTCATACGGATCGATTAATCAATTAGGGGGAATTTCAGAATGAGTGTTTATATGTCGCTTGTAAGTGTTCCGTGAATTGATTCATAATGAGGTTCTTTTGGTTGCTAACATTCCAAATTCTATAGCTTTTCACTGTGTTATTGACACAAATGTTCATCACTACGGTATTGGTTTTACCATTACCATTGGCATTTCGTAAGCAATCCTTAAAGATTTATGAAATGCTATTCAATTCCAAAGAAGTTAAAACTACTGTTTATATTTCATTAACATTGGTTGGTTTACTATTTATTGATTCTTTTCAAAAAACCTTCAAATTTAAAACTTCAAGTACTTATGATCCAAGACATTTACAATCAACTTATTCACAAGGTTCAGATGCTATGGCAAAGATTTTCTATAACCAAAGAAATTTGTATATTTCAGGTGCTGTCTTGTTCTTTGGAGTTGCCATTCCAACTGTTTTCAAAATCATTAGACGTTTAGTTAAATATGAAGAATTCAATTTGGAGAAAACTTCAAAAGAAGTTAGAGATGCTAAGATTAAGGAATTAACTGATGAATTGGCCAAAAAGGAAAAAGATATTGAAACTTTTAAAAGTCAGAAAAAAGGGTTAGAAAAATCATATGATGAATTGAGTGACAAGTTGAATACAAATGAAGGTGTTGTTAGTGATAAAAAATCAGATTAAACTCGATATTCGCTGAAATATACACACATTGTATCTATCATTATATCTATCAATGTATCTAATGTGGAATTCCGGATTCCCAAGTTTCATTCAAATGTTCACCAAACGCCTCTTTAACTTCTGTAACTAATTCAGTATCATCAATTGTATTGTCAACAACATTCCAATATTGTTCAATTGCATTTGTTAATTCTTGAATATTGGAAACACCTAATACCACAGGTCCCTTATCTTTGAATTCTCTAATAGCATATCTTGTACCTAAATCCGCCAATTCAACACCTTTAGAAGCTGTTAATTTAGCAATCTCTTGACATTTATCCCTTAGCTCTTTTGAAGCTGGATGAAATTCATGTGTTGATCCAGATCTTAATAGTGACATACTTAAAATTGAACCAGTCAATAATTTGGTCAATTTTGCCTCATTATAAAACTTGTCAATATAATCTCTCAAGATTTCATTTTGTAAATTGAAATTTGAGTAAGATAAAATGGCATCTAATGGACCAATTTCTGGTATGTTGACCACTGTTTTAGCAATATGATACAAAAATTCAACAGGATATCCACTTATACCAAAATGTCTTATAATACCTTGTGATTTCAAGTTTTTCAACTCAACTAAAGCTTTCAAAATTTTATCTTCTGAAACAAATTCAACATCATGCAAATAAACAAGGTCCAAATAATCAGTATCCAATCTTTCTAAACTTCTTAATACTGATTTTCTAATTGATTCCGGTCTATAATCAAAATCATTTAATTTAACTCTTCCAGCTTTTGTAACGATATAGTAATTTTCTCTAGGAAACTCAGGTTTGATATTCTTAAGAGCATTACCCAATATTATTTCAGATGGACCATAGTATGGAGATGTATCAATAGCTGAAATACCTTTACTGAAAGCAATTTTCAACATTTCTTCAGCTGGTAAATTTTCTGGATTATCATTAAATTGTTGATTGAAAACTGCACCGCCTAGTAATAAAGGTGGCAAATCTTTTATTTTCCCAGAGACTGGTACATTAGCTGGTCCTATTGGTTTCAAATCAGCAATAGTCATTTTCGATTTATATGAGTTCAGGGAGGTCGGTTGGTTGGGATTCTTGATTTGTAATTTTGGATTGTATAGTTTTGAACGTTTCTCGAAACTTTAAAGGTTGGCTTTTGGATTTTCACAACATTTCAGCCACGATACGTCAAGAGATAAATTTGACACAATTTGGAAGCTGGTTTAGATCAAGAAAGGATTGAAATAGGATTCAAGTTATAGAATTATTTAATTGTCAGGATAAACCACATCATCGTCAGTTTTTCTTGCAATCAAAAGTGATTACATTTGATCTTGATAGCAATTATATAGAAAGGATCACAGAGAACACATATTCACCACAATGGCTTTCAAAAGAGGAGTTAAAAGAGAATTGGAGTCAGCAGAAGCACCATCATCATTAGGTAGCTCGAATCCAGATAATACAACGGTGGCACAAGTGAGTTGACACAGGTTTTTGATTGTTGATTGATTGTAAGTAGAAGAAAATGCTAACTACGTTCTCCAGCTTGGGAAAAACAAAAGAGTATCTGTTAGAAAGTTCAAAAAGGTGAATCTAGTTGATATCAGAGAATACTATGAAGCAGATGGTGAGATGAGACCTGGTAAAAAAGTAAGTATGTTGATATTGTTTGATTGAATATTTAGCTAATGAACCTAGGGTATTTCCCTTACAGAAGACCAATGGTGGTTACTCATTGATAACTTCGATGCTATAAACGAGGCCTTGACTAAACTAGGAGGAGGAAGTGCTACAAAGAAGCCTAAACTGTCCAATGAGTTTGTCACTGAGGAGGAAGCTGCTGATGATGTCAAGAAGGAGATCAAGGAGGATGTGAAAAAGGAGGTTAAGGATGAAGAGAGCGAAAAAGAATGAACGCAGTGAAAACTCTATAAGCCAATATTATCCTCTAATAGTAGCTACAAATTGAACTGATTTTAATCAATTAGCACCACTTTCAATTGTATGCCAATGTCTTTCGCGAATTCTCTGTATTCGAATTTCAGACAGAAAACAAAAAACTAAACCCAAAAAAACCATCAGATATTTAAAAATCAGCTAAATCGTTTTTATTTGTTTCTTTCTGGTCTTTGCTGAAGTGCTTCTTAAGCTCAAAGTGCCATCTTGCTAAACAGAATGTCTGACAGATCCATTTCGCCAAACCAGACAGGCGACAAACAGCCTTTGTTAGCGTCTCATGATCAAGATCAACACCATCAACACCATCATCAGCATAATAAACACCATCAACAACCACCACCTCAAAGAAGAAGATTAACATTCTCAGGCCCCTCATCACATCCAACTTTCAACTACAACACTCATAACGATGGTGCCTCAGAATACGAAGTTGATGCCTTGGGACAAATCGTTTCAAGAACTAGTTCAGTTGGTAATATTGCTAATTTTCAAAACCCAGTTAGAGATTTATCAAATTATGATCCAAGAAACTTACCAAGTGCCAAACCTCATGCTAGAAACTCAGTGTCCGGCTGGAGAGGTGGTCGTGCAAGAAGTTCATCATCTACCGAGAATGCAAACCCTTTCAACAAGTTTGGTAGTGGGTTTAATCAACCTTCAAGTAGTCCGAGTTTTGCTGAAAGATGGATTAATAGACAATCACAGATTAACCACTATGGCTCCACTAGTAACCCGGTAAAGATTGATATGGAACAGTTTCAACATTCAACTTCTGATAAGAATAATCAAAATCATAATAATAATAATAATTCGCATGGCACTGATAGTGATTTTGATTCAAAACCTTCCTCAAGAAGAACTTCTGAGAGTTCATCATTAGCAGATGTTTGTTTCCCACTAGAACCATTAGATGATGAAGAAGGCCCAAGAACATGGCCTGATTTAAAAGTTTTAGAAGAGTTTTATGAAGAAGAAACAACAAGATTAAAAGATGAAGCCATTAGAGAAACAAATGAAGTTAATTTTAGATTTGATAATAATAATAATATCGATGATAATGCATCATCATCACAAGTTGGTGAATCAAGTTCTGGTGTTGGGTTTTCTCATCCAATAGTGACGAAAGTTGATGCTCCAAGATTATTAGGAAATCAAAGAATCAATGAAACTGAAACTATGGATGGTAGATTAAGACCACCAAAGATTAATCCATGGGATCGTAAAAGATTGAACAATAGTGATTTTCTGAAAACTATAAATTATCCACCACAAATTGTTAATAATAATCCTGAACATTTTAGATTTACCTATTTTAGAGAAAATTTGGATTCCACGGTGCATTCTCCAACAATCTCAGGCTTATTACAACCAGGTCAAAAATTTAGTGATTTATTCCTATCATCAGAATATACAAAACAGGATAATGCTGCCTTGGCTGGTGGTACTACTGGTCATAACAACACAAATAATAATTCCACGTCAAATTCAGTTAAAGAATCAACACCAACAATATCAGAATTGAAAGCTGTTGAAGATTCAATGGATTTAGATGATCATATATCGCCATTTTGGTTAGATGTTTTAAACCCAACAGAAGAAGAGATGAAGGTTTTAAGTAAGGCTTTTTCAATCCATCCATTAACTACAGAGGATATCTTTTTAGGTGAAACTAGAGAAAAAGTTGAATTATTTAAAGATTATTATTTCATTTGTTTTAGATCATTTGATATAGTTCATGAAAAAGCCAAGATTCGTGAACGTTTAAATGAAATTAAAAATGAAGCACAAAATAAAAATGGTGGTTTTTTCTCAAAATTATTTAATAGAAGACAATCTTCAAGTCATTCACAAAATAAAAGAAATAATTCTCAATTTGACAACATAAGTGAAACTTCAAGTTTTAAAAGACGTGCAAGAGAAATTGAATTGGAAAAATTCAAGAAAAAATCAGGAGATAGACATAAACCAAAAGGTGGTGAATTAGAACCATTAAATGTTTACATTTTAGTTTTCAGAAATGCAGTGTTAACTTTCCATTTCGCACCAACCCCACATCCGGTTAATGTTAGAAGAAGAGCAAGATTATTACGTGAATATTTAACAGTCTCTGCTGATTGGATCGCATATGCATTGATTGATGATATTACTGATGCTTTTGGTCCAATGATTGAATCTATAGAAGATGAAGTCAATGCAATTGAAGATGCCATTTTGAGAATGCATCCGGGAGATTCAGATGATGAAGATGATTCAAGTGATGATGAAGATGATTATAAATGGGCTGCAAGATCCGTATTATCAAGACGTGATTCCCAATTTGATGATAAAAGATCAGTTAAATCAGCTTCATCAAGTTCAACAAGATCTACTGCTTCAAATGTGGTTGAATGGAAAAAGAAGGGGGACATGTTGAAAAGAATTGGTGAATGTCGTAAAAGAGTGATGAGTTTATTAAGATTATTAGGTTCAAAAGCTGATGTTATAAAAGGTTTTGCTAAAAGATGTAATGAACAATGGGAAGTTGCACCAGTATCTGAAATTGGAATGTATCTTGGAGATATCCAAGATCATATCGTTACAATGGTTCAATCTTTAAATCATTATGAAAAATTATTGGCACGTTCTCATTCGAATTATTTGGCACAGATAAATATTGATATGACTAGAGTTAATAATGATATGAATGATGTTTTAGGGAAGATTTCCATCTTGGGTACTATTGTGCTACCAATGAATATAGTTACTGGTATGTGGGGGATGAATGTACTAGTTCCAGGACAAAATTATGATGGATTGGCATGGTTTTGGAGCATTGCAGCAGGGATGTTTTTGTTTGCCTTTTGCTGCTACGTGTATGCGAAAAAGGTTTCAGGTATAGCATAGAGAAATTGAATGGAAATTATGTAATTGAGATGTAGTTTATATGGATGTGTCCCGATGTTCAATTTTTTTTGTATGAGCATTTTTTTTAGACCCACAATTTTCAAATTACAAATCTTCAAACGAGCATTTTGTCATAATTTCGATTGGGAACAATTAACCCTGGAGGTCAAAGCACAAATAGATCAATTAAGGCAGAGCCAGATCTTGGTGAAAAGGGGTGTTGATAGAATTGGATCTTATAAATACTTGGAAAAATGTCTTTTGAAGTGAGTATTTTCGTTTATCATAGGTATATTCCTCGGATGACAAATTAGATATACATTATTATGACAATAGAAACACTAACAGAAATTGAACAGACCGTTTATAACGTTGAATTAGAGTGTCAAAGCTGTGTTGATTCAGTCAAGAAGGCATTGCGTGATGTTAATGGATTGACCAAATTTGATATTGATTTGAAAAATCAAAGAGTTATTGTGGAGGGTTTAGCACCACCATCTTCAGTCGTCAAAGCTATTCAATCCACTGGTAGAGATGCTATTATTAGAGGTACTGGTAAACCAAATTCAGCAGCAGTTTCCATTTTGGAATCTTTTAATGAACAAGATAGATTAGCCCCTGTGAAAGGTCTTGCTAGAATTGTGTCTACTAATGATTCAAAATTATTAGTTGACATTACATTGAATGGATTACCAAAAGGTGTTTATTATCCAAGTTTTAGAAAAAGTGGAAACATTTCAAAAGGTGCTTCAAGTACAGGTGATTTATTTTATGAATTCCCACCAATTAAAGTTGAAGAAGCTAGTGATTTACCAAATTTATTTTCAGGCCAAAATTTTGCCAGTGCAAATTTACAAATTGGTGATTTGATTGGTCGTAGTATGGTTGTTAGTTCTGAAAAAGATTCCATTACACCAAATTCATTAGCTGGTGTTATTGCTAGAAGTGCAGGTGTTTGGGAAAATGATAAACAAGTTTGTAGTTGTAGTGGGAAGACTGTTTGGCAAGAACGTCAAGATGCAAACAAACAAGGTCTTCATATTTGAGATGAGGTAATGAGATATATTCATAATAAATGTGAAATGGATAAGTATTTTAAATCATGTGTATTCATTATTTTGTATGTATCTCTTTATTATTCAATCTTGTGATTTGAATCCATATGAGCATCGGCAAGATCAATATCACCCAATTTTTCTTTATCAATCACATTCTTAGCACTTTTTTGATTCTCCTGTACTCTAGCTTGAGAATCTAATTCATATTTTGGGTCCTCTTTTTCAGGTTTTGGTGAAATTTCATAAATAATGTAACCAAAGATGAGCAACACGAAGATGTATGCAATTAGTTTCTTCATTGGCGTCGTTAGAAAGCCCTTGTTTTTGGGTTTCATGTTGTAAGGCTGTGGAAGCCCACTTTTGGTCTTGACTCCCTGCATCTTGAAAAATAAAGTAGGTGGTGATTTTGGCTTTTGATGGTGTTAAAAACTTATTGTTGACGTCGTCTGAGTTCAAATTAATCTTGCCGAAAGGGTCCATTATTGTTCGCGAATGCGTTCTGTGATGAAAGCCATGAGCATTATACAACTTTTGCTCTGGAATGAGTACAATTAATAGAAAATCAACATGAATTCTTGATTGGAAACTAAACTAGATAAAAAAAGGAATAAAAAAGAAATTGTTTTGTATCTGTATATAAAAAAATGGTGATAATAGCCTTGTCTCTTCACATAAAGAAATAACCCAATGAACCAACAGAAACTAACCCAATAGAAGCATACCACCAGAAATCATGATCAAATGTAGATTTACGGATAGCTTTAGTTCTATTCTTGTTTTCCAAAGATCTTCTAACTCTTCTCTTCAAACTTTGGCCAGTTGGACGAGTATCAGCATTATCAGTTGGATTCAAAGTTTCAGTTGGCAACATTAATGGAGGTCTATAAGCCAAATATAAAGGTTGCACTGGAGTACCATCCCATTCATATAAGTTTAATCTATAACGTCCATGATAATCATCAACTATAACAGCGTGTTTTATAAAAGTGGTCTTTTGCGAGTAACGTGAATATGTTGAAGCACCACCATCTTTGCAAGGTTGTGATAATAATTGACGACCATCAATATCAATTGGAGTCAGAACTATAGTACCATTATCTAAAGTTTCATAAGTACCATGTTGATAAATTAAAACAGCTGAAGGACATGAATGATTTTTTGGATTTGAAGTGATACGATATAAAGCTTCTTCAAAATGACCATCCTCTGTAAATGAATATGAAACACCTGGCAATGAAGGTTCAATCAATAATTCATCAACTGGATCGAAAAAACCTGGACCTGTAAACACAGTATTTGATTTTGAAGACCAAGTACCAACGATGGAGTTTTCACTGTCATCAGCTTTGGCAAGGGATACTAAACCAGCTGATAATACCAATAGACTATTGAGTATTTGCATTGTGTGTTGTAATTTGTTGTCTATTTATAGCTGAATTGTATAAAGAACGCGATCAAAGAAGGAAACAAAACAAGGAAAAAATTGGTTTGAACTTGAACTTTGGGTGAATTTTGAACCACTCTTTTGTATGAGAATAATAACGATGGGAGCTGTGATAGAAATGGAGATGATAGAAAACACTGAAACCACAAACCACTTCAAGATTATCTTCTCAATAATTTGTAATTTGAGTTGTTTTAAAAAGTGTCAAAGTTGTTCTGAATTTCAGTTTTTTTTTTGGCGAGAAAAAAAAAAGCGCGACGGTTGGGACACTGCCTGGATGAGAAATTGAAACAGTTGGCAGGCAGATTTGGACAGTAATATGGTGTTTTTTTGTGTTTTGAAAGGTGTGAGTAGATGATATTATTTGCTGTGATTCTATCTGTTTTTGAACTGTTCGATTTGGACAAGTTTTAGCTGAGATAGCTACCAAATTTAGTATATGTCCGTTTCGCTCAGGTACGGTTTTTAATGCGAATTACTAGGAAATTGTACTACCGATATTAGCTATGATAGATTAAAAGAACTGAGTAATGGGCATAAGATCTAATAGATTTACTCACCAGAATACACTTCGTCTATTTGCTTCAAGGCAAACGATGTGTTCAATCCAGTCAATTCAGAGGTGCTACTGACACGTACTGAGTTGACAGCTGGCAGGCTCCTCATGGTTATTAACTTTTCCATGAAGCCTTGGGATAGAATCACTTTGTTAAGCTGTTCGAGAAATTGTTACCAAGGCTTGTATCTTTAGTCTTGAATCCTATTGGATTGTCATATTTTTAACTTAAGTATCATTATCCATGAACATTTAGCTTTCATTCGGAGTAAGATCCAGACCTTCATACGTAATGAAAAATATCATCAATTACTAGTAAACATTTTGTGTCCCCATTTCTTTGAAGTCACTTGAAGTAGTCTTAACCATCTGACCCTGATGAAGATTTGATCTTTGGCTTCTCTTACCCAACAGCATGCAATAAAGATAGACACTCCACTACAGCTAATCACATATCTCATTTATTAGTTTCTATCAAAATTATTGTACACTAGTTCAAACTCCTCTTCTTTCTTCGATGCTAATACCACTATGCTTCATTTTGTCCCATAATTTCCAATTTCAATTTAAGCTAAATGTGGAGGTAACAAGAAATTTGGAATAGAATTCTTGATATAATAAATATGCTGACAATTGTTACAAATCATTTCACCTTCAGTGATATTTGTTTCCAATAATAAACTGTGTAAGTCTTTCAATAATGGTAAACTTTCTTCAGATTCTAAATCAATGTTTTCTGGTTTAACTGGTGGTAATGAAGTATTTCCAAGCTAAAACAAGAGATAAATTAGTATATATGAACATAACATCATAAATCATTTGGATACTTGCATCTTGAGCAACTTTCAGTGTAGCATCCCATTCTAATCTATCCAAAATGGAAACAATAAACTCTGGGTTAAATTCTTGTTCTTCTTGCACTAACGAACAGTTTTGGTACTTTAGAGGGAATGAATCAGTGGTGCTATCACATGTCTTGATAGAACATTTCACAAAATTAGTAGTCATGAACTTCATCTTGTCTTTATTATAATTTTATCTGGTCGAATCTTTTAATCAAGACTTGATATTTGGTGTAGCTCATCTCTTTGAACAGGAAAACGTCTTAAAAAAAAATCTGATTTGAAAAGCACACGACTTTTGCCCTAAATAAAATTCGCGAATTCCTTATTGTACTAGAACAAGGCCAATATTGTAGTTAAACAAGAGGAGAAAAGGATATCTGTACCTTGGAAAGGTTAAGGTTAACTTTTAATCAGTTTTACTCGTTTAAAATGAATCAAGAAATGCGCTTTTAATTGTTTGACCAAGTTCTATATTGAAAATGGTAGGTGCAGTATTACCCGTACTCTCCATTTACAATACAAAAATTTATAACTGTTGATGAATTTTCTTACCATCTTTACCATTCTTCAGGAAGCTTCATCGCTTAACCGTATGTTGTTCAATTGAGGTTTAGAATTCATAGATCAAACTTATATTGATGATTAAAAACTCTGTCAATCCACTGAACTATTCCTTATGAGCAGTTCACAAAAGATGTTCTGTGAGATTTGGAAATAATCGGACGAAACTTGTGTCGCATGAAATATTGTTATAAGTTTGAAGTAAATTTTGAAAGCCTTTTCACGAAATTTGAATGATTTGTATACTAACTATTTCCTGAAGGATTCATATCTTAATATATCGGTTATCTACATCTTGCCAATACTTGTAGTTTGTATAATCTCATTACCATTTCGTTAAACATTAATATTTTCTTCTTCCAGCTTTATAAGCATCATCAATCTGTGCCAACAAATCCTTATTACCCATTGAAATTGCAGTTTCTCTTAGTAATTCATGAGATTTATCATAAACTGTTGAGGAAACATCATAATACCTATTCATAAATTTGAAACACCATCCCAAAAACACATTATCACTATATTCTTCTGCAAATCTAACAAATAATTTAAAAACTTCTAAAGGAATTGAAGAAAACAATGAATGTGAATCTATATTGACTTTGTCTTGTGTTAAAACTTTCAATTCACCATCACTGGACACTAAACTTTTCAAAAGTTTACCAATGACTCCATGAATATGTTCACTTGATGCTCTAAAATGTAATAAACCTTCAAGGGCTGTTGCGTATGCCTTGATTGAAAATTTGTCTCCGAATTTAATATCTCTTGGTGTAACTGTTTTGATATTATTATGCTTTTGCTTGTGTAATAATGATGCTTCATCGCATTTCATTTTTCTCAATGCAGAATGAAATCCAGTTTTATTTCCTAAACGAATAGAAGATTTCATCAATTGTGTAAATGGATCACCCAATTTTTCGATTTTGAGTTGATCTAAATGGAAAAACACACTGTTCAACACATTTGTTATATTTGACAAATTTCTATGTTTTCTATTATTCCCCTTTTCATTATATTGTTCAACAATTTTCGCACAGACGTCATAAGTTGGAGATTTTGCCAATGATTTGGTGTTGATTAATAAAACAGCAAGATTTAAATAAGCTTCACAATCAAATTCATAGTCTTTTCTTATTATCTTGTTAATTTTTTCCATTGAAAGTGATTCAAGATCAGCTGCTTCTAATGAATTTTCCAAGTATTCATCTTTTATAAGTGTATTGTTGTATGCGGTTCCTTGATATCTCAAGTCACTAGCAAATGCATCTTCAATAAAATGTTTAATCTCCTTTACCGGTAATTTATCGAAAAAAGCTTTGAAGGAATCAACATTAGCACATTCCCCATCATTTTGTCTTTCTAATAACCCATAAAGAGCAAGTACTAATGATTCTTTAGCTGGTGTGGATAATGTTTCTAAGAGTTGTAGGTCCGGTTCATTCTCTCTGAATATTTGGCCCAAAAAATCATTCACGTAAAATGAAGATAATAATTGTGATATCAATAAGCTTTTGAATCTCTCATCTTTAGCGTCTCTCACCAAAGGTGGACCATATTCATCAAGTTCCATTTCTGTATATGGTAGCATTTCATCAACTTCTTCTTCATTTAATTGACTTCTTGATGTCATCAATGCTAAATCTTCCTCTTCTTGTTCCAATTCTTTTAATTCAGTTTCAAGAATATCCTCTTCTTCATACTCTTCTTCTAATGCTGATAATTTCAATTCTTCTTGTTTTAATTCTTCAATTTGTTGCTTCAATAGATTAAATCTATCTCCTGAAGAATCAAAATTAATTAGTCCATTCATGGTATTATCCAATAAAATGTTTGTTTCAACGTCTTGACTGGTTCTGTTTGCCACTGCAACTGATGAAAAGCATCTATAAGTTACCAAAATCCCTAAACCAATGAAATTTGTAGTTAAAAACAACATGTTCCCAGGAGCGTTCAAATAATGCCAAAATAAATTACCACCAGTAGGACTTTTCAATGCTTTATTTTGTAACGAAGGTCTAACATTCCTTTGACTATGGAAGAATCTGTTTTCAATAAACAACCTGGTATTATTATTTGACCGTATGTTTTGACGAATCGTATGAGACGACCGTAGAGATCCTCTCATACAGATCTGGGACAGAAAAGTCATAATGAGTTGTTGGTATGGTTTCAATTCTTTATGCACTCCAAATGTTTTGATTCCTTATCCTCATGCGACTTCCTCCAATGTCCTCTCTCTTCTTGTTCATTCAATTCTGTTGATATCTCGTTTGTATTTATGATTCCACTTCTATGTTTTTCATGAAAAAATTCAAGCCAATCGCTTTTCTTGAAAAAACTATTGCAGAATGAATTCGCGAATGCTGGAGATTACCTGCAAATTGGCAAGGGACACTACTTTTGAACTTTGGTATGATTTAAACGTTTTAAACCATCAAGTCCGAAGAAACATTTGAATCATTTGAAGTCAGATTCCAATTGATTGAAAAATGGGTTATAAGCTAGTGTTGAAAGCCACTCTTGAAGGTCTAACTGTTTTACGTCCAAAAGACACAGAACAAACTCCATTCGAGTACACTTTTGAAATTGAATGTACTTCATGTCGTGAAAAACATGATAAAGAAATCACAATTAATAGATTTGAACAACATGAAATCTCTGGAAGTAGAGGTGAAGCAAATTTTGTGTTCAGATGCAAAAACTGTAAAGTAAGTACTTCACACCATATTGCTTGGAGAATTGATAACTAACGTTTTACAGAGAGAATCTTCAGCTTGTAAGTGTGGATAAATTGATGATATTAAACAAAGCTAAATATTAACAATGAAAACAGCTATAACGAGAACAAAGAATAATTACACTATTGAAGACAGTGGCAAAGCGGTGTCCCTTTTGGAAATTGAGGCCCGTGGTATTGAATTTGTCCGTTTTGTGCCTGATGTAAGTCTATACCTTATGATTATGATGAAATGGTGATTTACTAACATTTGATATCACAGGGTCTATTTGAAGCAAAAGGTGCTGAAAGTACAACAAAATTTGAAGAAATTGAACTAAATGAAGACGAATTCTATGATTATGATGATAATGCTGGTAATGAAGTCTCAATAACTGAAGTTTCATGGGATGTTGTTCGTTCCTAAGTGTTTACATGGTATAATCTAATCAAACATTCAATGTACATAAGTTGTGTTATTATTATAAATATCAAATTAGAAAAAAAGCAAAATCTCTATTTAAAATGTCTTTTGGGTAAATTGTTATATCATACCTATATCAAACTAATCAACAGCAAACCAATGGTCAAAACAACGGATTTCGAACTTCTCTTGTAGTCAAATCCACTACCTTCAAATTGTGAAACTGAAGCAGCAGTAGATGCAGGAGTGTTACCAGTGCCTGAATTTTGTGTAGCAACAACTGGGGTATTGGTACCATTAGAAGCAACTCCTGTGGTGATAACTGGAACCAATGTACTAGCTGTTGAGACTGGTGTAGATCCTTGATAAACAACTGAGTTGGATTGTGAGTATGAAGCTGTGGTATAGCTTGATGGTTCTGCTGGATTTGATGAATTTGGAGTATTTGTTGAAATAACATAACTTGAACCTGTTGAGTCAGTAGTTGTGTAGACTGTGTTGTACTCGGTTGCATGTTGGGTATTGGTAACGTCTGGTTCTGAAACAGTTGATGTTTGTTGTTGTTCAATTGGAGTAGAAGCACTTCCTGGAGCTGGTGGATTGGAACCTTGTAAAGTTGAGACAGGGGTTGAAGTAGCTGGGGTATCTTGAATAGAGGTGGTTGAAAATGTAGTTCCTGGTGTTCCAGCTGTAGTTGATGGTTGTCCTTTTGGAGCAATTGAAGTTGTTGAGGAAACTTGAGGCTGTGAAGTAGTTGGAGTGTAATCACTTAATGGACAATAAGTTGTGTATAAGGAATCGACACCTTCATGTGTACTAGTGACAAGGGAAACAATAGCAGCTGAGCTTGATGTTGTACATTCATTACCATTACAGGAAGTGACAGTGACAAAAGTTGAAACAGGGGTATCAAGAGGTTTGGTAGTTTCATCTTTTGGAGCGGAAGCAGATGGTTTTGATTGAGATGGTGCTGGTGATGATGATGGTCCTTTTGATTCTTCAGGTTTGGCACTAGATAGACCTGGAGTTTGAGCAGTGGAAGCAGTAGAGCTTGAACCTTTGCCTGGAGATGTAGCAACAGAAGTTGAATCTTTTGGAGTTTCAGTAGCTGATTCAGATGACAATGGACAATATGTGGTAAATGAAGTGACAACACCTGAATGAGTTGATGTAACAACTGTGACCAATGCAGTAGTGCTTTCAGTAGAGCATTTTTCACCTTCACAAGAGGTAACTGGAAGAATAGTGGTTGTACCTTGAGTTGAATTTTTTGGAGAAACAGAAGTTTGAGTTGTTGATGAAGCACCTGAAGCAGTTGGTGTGGCGGTTGATTGTGTTGACTCAATGTCTGATGAAGTGGTATCTTGTTTAGTCTTGTGTTCAGTTGATGATTCTTCAGAGGTTAATGGACAATATGTAGTGTAAGAAGTGACAATACCTGAATGAGTTGATGTAACGACAGTAACTAAGCCAGTTGAATGGGTTGAGAAGCACGAGGTTGCATCACAAGAGCTAAATGTTACCAATGTTGTTTGTTGTGTTGAATGCTTAGGAGCTTCAGATGTGGAGTGCACTGGGGAAACTGGAGTAGTTGAAGAACCATGTGGAGCAGAAGCTGGTGTAGTTTCACTAGATTTACCAACGATTGGAGTAGTACCACTTGTGTTAACAGAAGTAGTGACATGTGAAGTAGAGCCAGTTGATGATGATGGTGATGTTGACTCTGTAGAGGTCAATGGACAATAAGTGGTATAAGAGGTAACAACGCCTGAATGAGTGGAGGTGACAACAGTAACTAAAGCAGTTGAGTGGGTTGAAGAGCATGAATGTTCATCACAGGAGCTGATGGTCACCAATGTTGTAGTATCTGAGGTGGTTGGCTTTGGAGCTTCAGAGCTGAAAGTTCCAGTTGAAGCAGATGAACCAATGGATTGAGTAGTGGAAGATTTCATTCCTGTTGATGTAGTACCAGAAGTAGCACCTGATGATGTAGAGCTCGAGCCTGTAACCTTTGTGGAGTCTGACTTTGGAGCAGATGAACTTTCAGTTGAAGTTAATGGACAATAAGTTGTGAATGAAGTAACAACACCTGAATGGGTAGAGGTAACAACAGTGACCAAAGCAGTTGAATGGGTGGAAGAACATGAATTTCCATCGCATGAGCTAATGGTGACCACAGTGGTTGTTTGAGCAGTGGTGGATGAAGTTGATAAAGAACCACTTGATGAAGCAGTTGTTGATGAAATTGATCCATATGATTTTGGTGTAGTGGAACCAGATGTGACAGTTGAGCCTGGTTTTGTAGGAGATCCAGATGAAACGGTGGTAACAGATGATGATGAACCAACAGATTCTCTTGATGATGAAGATTCAGTAGCTGTTAATGGGCACCAGGTAGTATACTCAGTAACGATACCAACAGAAGTTGTAGTTGCAATGGAAACTAAAGCTGGAGAAGTTGTTTCTTTACAATCAGTATGTGAGCAAGAAGTAACAGTAACAATTGTTGTTTCATTCAAGACTCTTCCCGTAGTGTGAATGGATGTTGATGATGATTCTGGTGTATAAGTTGTAGCATCACCTTTGATTGTAGTTGTACCATTTCTTGATGAGGATGAATTCAATGAAACTGATGATGAAGAGATTGGAGTACCTGATCTAGTTGAATCTGATGATGACTTTGCAGAACCTGAAGTGGATGATGATCCAATAGTGCCTGATGAACTGGAGAAGCTAGAAACACTAGACCCTGAATATCCTGAAGTTGCAATAGAAGAGCTTTCGGTAGCAGTCAGTGGACACCATGTGGTATATTCAGTCACAACACCGACTGAAGTGGTAGTAGCAATTGAAACAAGAGCAGGTGAAGTTGAAGTATGACAGTTGGATTCTGAGCAAGAGGTGACAGTGACAATTGTTGTTTCATTCAAAATTTTTGTTGTTCCAAATGTTGATGATTCGCTGGCTGATGAAAACAAAGATGATGTTGTACCATTTGAGCCAATTGAAGTCGTCATAGAGGATGAAGATGAGGTCTCCAAAGAACCAGATGATGAGCTAACTGTTGAGCCGGATGAAATAGCAGAGCTTGACGCTGAACCGGAAGCGATTGATGATGATACTAAAGATTCAGATAAGTTGGTTGATAGAGCACCAGAACTTGAGGCTGAAGAAGCTGAGCCAATTGTTGAGCTTTCAGTGGCAGTTAATGGACACCAAGTTGTGTATTTGGTTTCAATACCATATGAAGTTGTAGTTGCAATGGAAACTAGAGCTGGTGATGTAGAAGTGCGACAGCTAGATTCTGAACATGATGTCACAGTTACAACCGTGGTGCTATTCAAAATATCAACTTCTGTGGAGATTGAAGAACCAACAGATGACTCTGAGCTTGTAGCAACAGCTGAAATGGAAGTGACTGAAGATGATCCAGAATTAGTATTTGTATGATTTGTATGTGTTGATGATGATGATGAAGCTTCTGATAATGGACACCAAGTGGTTATAATTGTTTTAGTTGTACCCAAGTCTGAAGTGGTGTATGAAATTAAAGCTGGACTCTTTGTAGCAGAACAACCCCCATTTGAACAAGATGTGACTGTGACTGTAGTGGTTCCATAAGTTAAAGCACCAGATGATTCAGCGCTTGGAGAGTAAATGAAATCATCTTCTGTTGATGATAAACTAGATGAAGATGAAGATTCAATACTGGAAAAAGTTGAGTTGGAATAGAATGGAACACTCAATCCATTAACCAAAGCCAAAGATGATAATGTGATAGCAGCAGCTGAGAACTTCATTTTGGGAGAAGGATAGTATTGATGATGATTAGAAACAGCATAGTGAATTATTTTGAGAAGGATTTCCAAAGTTATAAATATCAAAGGGTGTATCAGATTGATACTTCAACTTATAACAACGATAAAACAACTGAAGATCTCTTTGAATCTCGACCATTCTCAAAACCCAATAGCTAGCCCGTACCCAATAATGCAAATCCAAGTAGTAAATAATACCAGCACTCACTCCAGTGACCATTAATAGATCCCTTTTGTATCCAAATTGTTTCATATCTGGTTAGAAATTTTGATACGTGCCACACCAATAGCCATCAACATGAAACATCTTCAAAACAATTTGACACATAAAAAGACACAGTGCACATGAATTACCCAAATGAGCTAGAAAAAAGCCTTTTTCTCTGTATTTGTGATGTCATTTTACCAGGAGCTGTAGCCTATCTAGTAGCCTGCCACCTTTGGAGAAGACAGCTCATGCACCGAACAAAAGTAAGCGAATAAACAAAACCAAGTAGCTGGAACAAGTTGAGTCAGACCCTGTAGTCAATATGGATGTAGCATATTTGTATGAAGTTGAAATTTGCTGAAAGATACTTAAACAAAGTTCCATCATGATGAGAAGTTGTGGTCTGTTGTCGAAATTAATCCAATTTGAATTGCCACAAAACCAGAATAATGGACACAAAACCAATACCATCATTTCAAGCCATCAACGAGCAGTATGTCATGTTCAAACTAGAAGCAGAGGTGTTCAAAGTGTCACTCCAGGTCAACGACATGCTACTTGATACGTTCCACATTCAGTCTGTGCCAACTCCACAGTTAAATCCTCAGTATCCTATAATCCCAGGAAACAACAACAACAATAGTAACTATAATAACATGGATGATGAGATTGCTCTACTGAGGACACTTCACAGGATGAAAATAATATAGAATTTCCTTTTTCATAGCACCATTTTGTAGTTGATTTTGATTTGGTCTTTTGTTTTGTTATTTTTAGTGTCCCCGAGTTTTACGCTTTCTGGATTCGTTGTCTCGAGGCGATTTCCTGATGATGATGAATTTTTAAGGGAAAGCAAAAATCAACACTCTTTTACGAGGAGAACCAGTACAATTCAATCCAGAGCAGCAAAGTCTTTTCCATCGCAAAGAGAATCCACTTCAATTCCAAAGTCTATTAGACTCGCCTTCCCACCAATTCACAAACAGTTCGAGGTTTCCCGCTACAGGCACGAGACGCTGATTGATTGATTACTTTATCCTGGCAGTGTTCATCCAATTTATCATCATCAACATCAACATCAACAATCTCCATCAACTGCTGATTTATCGGTCACAAGACTCCCAAATACCACATTTCACGCTCCCTCAAGGCCTGTTTTCCCACCTTTGATTTGTTTCTTCTTTGGCATCTTCGCTATTGGGTCGTTGCTTACTTAGCTGATATGACGAGCACAGCGCTACGTGAAAACAATCGAAACTTATTTCTAAGTCATGATTCAATCAGTCAAAAGGGCTCTCCATCGCCAGCTCCAGCTGAAGATTTCTCCAGCTCGTCGAGTCGAAACGTTGAAACAGTGCCACAATCAAATAATGAGTCTACCCAGAATCTACAACCACCAACACCTCCTTTATCTAAATTGAGATCAAGATCAATGTCTCTGGGCAAAATATTCAACTTTGGCTCCAATAAAGCTGACCAGAATGATTCAAATGGTCAACCTCTTGAGCAACCTCATGAAGCAAAGATCCACGAGCCATTATCACCAAGTGTGGAGCCGATATCTGATAATCAATTTCATCAACCAACTGATACGGAAAAACCACTTGATCCAACACATGAAGAGAAAAAATTAACTACAAAGATCAAAAGTTTCTTCAAAATCAATTCAAACTCGGCAACAACATCTCCAAATTTGACAAGTACTAAACCTGAAATCAAAATCAATAATGATGATGACAATGAAGAAGATGAAGATTTCAAGTTGGAGAACCCATCTAAAATCCATGAATCAAATCTACACCATGAATATCCTATCAAGGAAACTTTAGATCCGCCTACTGAAACCCTTGAAGAACAACCTCAACAAACACCCACATCCAAGACTAGTTCTGGTGGTTCCAAATTTGCTCAGGCTGCAAGAAGATTACGTTCACCTTCATCACCAAATCCACCAAACAATAACAAAAAAGAAGCAAGTTCAAACAACAATTTCATCACGTCACAACCATATTTTGCTCATCAAGGTTTACCTCCTCATGGTGATGATGAAATTCACAAGGAGATCATTGATAATAGTTCCTCGGGTAAAGGTCATGGTCCAATCCCTTTTGCATTGAAAAAAAACAACACAAATTCACAATCATCACTTAATCAAATTATTGAAGAATTTGATCAAAGATTGAATAGTTTTGAAATACCCGAGAACCAGAAGGAAGAAGAAGTCCAACAACAATCAGAAGCACAACAACAACAACAGCAGTCAAATGGCCAACCAAAACCACCATTGAGGAGAGTTGCATCAGCACCATTAGGGTTAAAGAATGATTCAAGTTCGAATGAACATACACATTCAGATTCTGATAAAAAACTGGAGGAAATTACAGAATCTAAAACACGACCACGTAAGAAATCATTTTTATCATCAAATGCTATAAAAGTTTCAGAATTACAAGTTGGTCCTCAATCTTTTGAAAAAATTAGATTATTAGGTAAAGGTGATGTTGGTAAAGTTTATTTAGTTCGTGAAAAGGAAACTAACAGGTTATATGCAATGAAAGTTTTGAGTAAAAAAGAAATGATTCAAAGAAATAAGATTAAAAGAGCATTAGCTGAACAAGAAATTTTAGCAACATCAAACCATCCTTTTATTGTTACGTTATATCATTCATTCCAATCTGAAGATTATTTATATCTTTGTATGGAATATTGTATGGGTGGTGAATTTTTCAGAGCTTTACAAACTAGGAAATCAAAATGTATTCCTGAATTAGATGCCAAATTCTATGCAAGTGAAGTTGTTGCAGCCTTGGAATATTTACATTTGATGGGATTTATCTATAGAGATTTAAAACCTGAAAATATTTTATTACATCAATCTGGTCATATTATGTTGAGTGATTTTGATTTATCAAAACAAACAGAATCAATTAAAAACCCTTCAATGAGTTTTAATAACAATAGGAATTATCAAACTTTAGATACCAAGATTTGTATTGATGGGTTTAGAACAAATTCATTTGTTGGTACTGAAGAATATATTGCACCAGAAGTTATTAGAGGTAAAGGTCATACAGTTGCAGTTGATTGGTGGACTTTAGGTATATTGATATTTGAGATGTTATTTGGTACAACACCTTTTAAAGGGGCAAATAGAAATCAAACATTTTCAAACATTTTAAAATCAGATGTTTCCTTCCCAGATACTCAATTAATTTCATCAAATTGTAAAAATTTAATCAAAAAATTATTAATTAAAGATGAGAATAAAAGATTAGGTTCAAAATTAGGTGCATCAGATATTAAAAATCATGTTTTTTTCAAAAATACTCAATGGGCATTATTAAGAAATCAAAAACCTCCAATGATTCCAGTATTGAGTAAAAATGGTACAGATTTCCATAAACCAAACAAGAATAACAAACAATCATCAATTGATATATCAAATGAACAAATCTTGAAAGAAGTTTCAGACCAGGAAGATTCCAATGTTGATGATCCATTCGGTGATTTCAATTCAATGACTTTAATTCATGAAGGTAATAATGATGATGATTCTTTGATTTATGGAACTGGGAATTCTTATGGTTCAATTTCTTATACTGTTACTAGTGGTAATAGACCGAGAACAAATAGTAAGAGTATTTTCAAGACAAAGTTTTAGAATTAGGTGATTAAAGGTGGTACTGTTTTTATACAAAGTTTACGAATTTTATTTTGGGTTTTGAGATATGGTGCAAAAAATATTTATGAAAAATAAACGCTTGATTTAGAGAAATGAAAACTAGTACAAACTGTATGACTGTATTTCGATCTATTATTATAACTAATCTAATTCATCAACAACATCACATAATTGTTCAACATTAATGTCTTTATCATCATTCATAATTTTTTGAAACATTTCCACAATTTTATATTCATTTTTAACTTTTGCCCTATTTTCCACTTCAAATTGTCTATTTTGTGAAATTTTAAAAGCTTCATTAATAATCTCATCATCAATTGAAGCTAATTTTGCAACATTCAAACCATAAGAATTTTTAGAAATTCCCTTGACTAGGTTATATAAAAATGTAACTTTTGGCCATTTTTTCTTATCATCACCATCATCATTTTGACTTGTTTCGATATAACCCATATGATAATTTTCAATTTTCCCATATTTTTTAGACAATTTACAAATTGATGGGAAATGAGTTATAAATAAAATCAAATTTGTTTTGGAAGTTGATTCTTTCATCAAATATTCCAAAATTGATGAAGCTAAACTTATCCCATCAACAGTACCGGTTCCTCTACCAACTTCATCCAATATGATTAAAGATTTCCCATTGGAAGAATTTTGTAAAACATTAAGCACTTGAGACATTTCTGTGAAAAAAGTTGATTCACCTTTAATTAAATCATCTTTTGAACCCATTCTTGTTAAAATTGAATTGAAAACACCCAAAGTTGCAGAATCACATGGAATAAAACAACCACATTGTGCCATGATAACCATAAGAGCAACTTGTTTAACATATGAAGATTTACCACCCATATTTGGACCTGTTATTATAAAGCAATTTTTCAATGAAGAATCCATTTTGATATCATTAGGTACATAAGTGTTTAATTGTTCAATTATTGGGTTTCGACCATTTGAAATATCAATGATTTGTTTATCCACTAAGGTTGGTCTTTTATAATTCAATGAAGTTGAAGTTGTTGTGATGGATAATAAACAATCAAATTTTGCTAAATTTTTAATAAATTGATTTAAATTTGAATAATTTTCATCTAATTTCCGAACAAATTTTTGAAAAACAGAATGACAAGCATTTAAATATAATTCATTATGATATTGTAATAATTTCATCAATTCTATTGTTTTGGGAGTTCTAAATCTTGACACTAATTTTGATCCATTAATTTTAACCCAATCTTTCGGGATGATTTTAACAAGACCAGTTCTAACTTCAATTAAGTAAGGTTCTCTTGAACTTGTAACGAAATCCAATGAAGGTCTTTTGAGAAAAGTTTTAACTCTTGTTAATTCTTCTTGTAATTGATCTTTAATTGATGAAATTTCAATATCTTGAGTAATAATTTCATCTTGATTAATTCTCAAAGTGTTTAAATTGAAATATTTTAAAATATGATCATCATTTGAATGTTGATCATCCATTGCATATTGAGAGTTAATCATGGAGATGAAATTTGAAATGTTTAAATCAATTGAAATTTGAATTAAATTTTGAAATAAATCTTCCAATAATGAAGATTTTAAACTGTTTAAAATTTCATATTTACCAAATTTAATAATTAAATTCGTAATTTCTTCAAATTTTAACAAGAAAATGTATAATTCTTTTCTCTTAACTTTCCCATAATGTAATCTATTCAAAATTTTCTCCAAGTCTGGTGAATTTTTCAATAAATTTGCCAAATTTTCCAAAAAATGATTGAAATTTGATTGAATATTCTCCACGGCATCAAATCTTTTTTCAATTTCCTCTCTATTTGTTAATGGTTTTGATATCCAATTTCTTAATAATCTATAACCAAATTTAGTTCTTGTATGATCCATCAACCAAAGTAGAGACCCAAATTGTTCATTATTTGTTGAATTTGTGAAAATTTCTAAATTTGTTAGGGAATTTGAATTTAAAATCATATGATTTGATTGAACAAAATTTAAATAATTTGAAACAATTTTGAAAGAAGAGTCTAATTGAAATTCTTTTAAATAATCTATTAAAATTGAACAACAAATTTGGAAATTAATTGATTTTGTGGAAATGAATTCAAATAAATTAGAATCATCCAAGACATAATCATTTAAATATGATTCATAAAAATTTTTCTTCAAGAATGGAATTTTATTTATTCTGATATTTTGAGAATTTGATGTGATAAAATTTTCCAATGTACGATTTGTTAATTCACTTAAATTATCTTCAAAATACATAAATTCAATTGGTTCCAAATGTAATAATCTTGTTTCTAATTCATTTCTAAGAAAATCATCTTCGAACTCATCATAAGTGATTTCACCAGCTAAAGGTTGGATTGAAACCATTGTGAAATGAACCATATTATCATTTAATGGTGTTTCCAGAATTGAAATTAAAGAATCTAATTTCTTATCATTTATTTGGTTATTTGAATCATCATATTCAATATATGTTCCCTTTGTGAAGACATTTGATAATTGTCTTTTAAACAGATTTGAAGATTTAGATTCAACTGATTTAATTGCACTTGTTTCAGTTTGATCCACAATGCCAATTTTTAAACCTTTATCTAATAATCTTTGTAAATGAATATGCAATCTTGGTTCAGGGATAGAACAATAAGCTAACTTATTGTATAATTTATCAGTTGGGGATTCATCAATGATATTTAATTTCCCTGGAACCAACATTATATTTAAAATTTTATGAACAATAACAGCATCTTGACAATAAAATTTATATTTATAACCAACTTGAATTGCCAGTATTTTGTCCAAATGTTGTAATTTAAGATCTTTAACTTGTTGATCTAAAGGTGTCAGTTTTGAAGTTGCCTTTGTTTTTTGCCTTTTAGTTGGAGGTGGTGTTGGTTCAGCCTCATCATCATCATTATCTGAATCAATAGGTGGCTTTTCAACTTTTGAATTAAACACCTGAGATAATTTTTCCTTATAGTTTTCTCTCCTTATGATTTGATCAGTTGTTGGTTGTGAAGGTGGCGAACTTTGAGATTTATTGTATTGGAACTGAGATTTCCTCTGTATTGCTAATTCAGCATTGAGTGCATCTTGCCTTAGCTCATCTTGATCCACTTCTGGAGTCTTTGGAGGCTTTGGAGTTTCTTTCTTTGGAGATGGTTTGAAGAACCTGCTGATGGATGGCTGACTTGGTTTGGGCTGAGAACTCTTCATGATATTGGTTTCAGAAATTAGACGCCCATCTTTTTCCAATAGTGAAAATATTGAAATTTCGTGTTGTTTACGATTTGAATCACAGAACGAGTTCGCGGTAGCCATGTGACTGGTCATGTGATCATATTTTTTTACATTACATTACGTCAGCTTATGTAATACTCTCTATTTTTCTCTCGGTAATCGGATAATCGCAGACACGCCTGTGGCGCTTCAAATTGCCAAAGGATTTCACAATTTTGAGATAGCGAAAAAAAGAGTTGAGAATAAAAATTTTCATGAGTCTGTGGCTGCTTTGGAGACAACGAGATGTTGCTGACAATAGACAATACATTATACAATACAATACAATATATCCTAATTACTATACTCTATTCTATACTATAATCTATACTCTATACTATTGCTATTACTCTCTCCTCTTATCATCGGTCAGCCACGTGCAGTTACCAAATTGCAAGTGCCGTTTTAAAATACTTGCTGACATAAGCCCTGACTCAGCTGTGGTGGATGATAGCTCTCGAGACAACCATTTTATTATTATTAAACTCTCAATTTCCATGAAAATCCATATTCACTTCCACTCTCTTCTCAGTACATGGAATACAAACTACAAACTGAATATAAAGAGATCACTCCTCTGCTGCTACTGCTTCTGCTTCCCTCCACTGCCTCCTGCTCGTTAGACCCTTCCACCGTTGTCAAGTCTACTGCTGCTCATCCCTGATTACCCATAATTATTACAAATATTTATTGATCAAGAAAGAAAGCGTACTTCTTCAGTATGATGCTCAAGACAAACCAATACCAAGTCCCTTTCCTGTATCAAAATAATAGTCATGATTCTGAAAATTCTTCAACCTCTTCATCAAATATCCCAAAGAATTTTATCCAACATCCAAATTTATTTATAAATACTGAACATCATCCTTCTTTACATCGTGCTGATTCTTTTAAACCTGTCCATAATACAATCAAACATCGTCATAGTTTTAGTAATACCCCATCTCAAAAAAGTTTTGAAATCCCTGAATATGAATCTGAAGATTATGAAGATGATGATGTTGAATCCGACGAAGAAGAAGAAGAAGTTGATTTGAAAAATGAAGAGGATGAAAATGATTATTGTTATGGTGGTTATCACCCTGTGGAAATTAATGAAGTTTTAAATCAAAATTATAAAATTATTCGGAAATTAGGTTGGGGTCATTTCTCCACTGTTTGGTTAGCTTATGATCAAAGAAATGATAATCATGTTGCTATTAAAATTGTCAGATCCCAATCCCATTACACTCAAGCTGCCCTTGATGAAATTAAAATCTTGGAAATCATTAATGAAAAAAATCCAAATCATCCAGGTTATAATCATTTAATTAAATTACATGAATGGTTTTATCATAATGGTCCAAATGGGAAACATGTTTGTATGATTTTTGAAGTTTTAGGTGAAAATATGTTGGGTTTGATTAATAAATTTGGTAAAAATACTGATTCTTCATCATCTTCATCAACAGCAGCACCAATTTCAATTAAATTATCAAATATAGAAAAATCTTATGGTGGATTACCAATAACAATAGTTAAACAAATTTCAAAACAATTGTTATTAGCTTTGGATTATTTACATAGAGAATGTGGATTAATTCATACTGACATTAAACCTGAAAATGTGTTATTGGAGATTAAAAATGTGGAGAAGTTTGTTAAATTGTTAAAATTGGATCAATCTAATCAAAAAAAGAAGAAAAAATCATCAAGATCAAATTCTTCAACAACTTCAAATTTAATCAATTCAAATAAAAGAAAATCAAGTTGTGTTTCAATTAATTCTCCAATTAAATGTTCAAAACCATTACCTTCACCTTTAACCTCTTCATCAACTTTTGATTTCCAAGATTATTTTGCAACTTATAATAACAATAGTAATCAAAAAGTTAAAAAAAATTCAATTTCAAAAAATTCTTCATCAAGTGCAGGTTCTATAAAATACTATGATGAGTTTAATAACAATCAATATGAAGAATCTCCAGTTTTCTCAAATCATCAAAATCAATCAACTTCGCCTTCAACCTCATCAAATTTAACCTCATATGTTGTTTGTGCCTCAGCAACAAATTCAGATGATGAAGATGATGAAGAGGAGGGTACAACAACTCCAACAAACTATACATACATTCCAGAAGATGAATTGGCACTACCTACAAGATTCTCATCAATCTCCATGGAGGATTCCTCCACTTCATCACAAATTGATCAAGAATTATCATCAATCATCAATGTCAAATTAGCAGACTTGGGGAATGCATGTTTTAATAACCTCCATTTCACAAATGACATTCAAACTCGTCAATATCGTGCGCCTGAAATCTTATTAGGTCATAAATGGGGTTGTTCGACGGATATTTGGTCTGTTGCATGTTTGATCTTTGAATTAATCACTGGTGATTATTTATTTGATCCAAAGAATGGGAAGAATTATAATAAGGATGATGATCACATTGCACAGATTTTAGAATTGATTGATGATAAAGATGTTTCTTATCAATTTATGATTGATTGTAAATATGCATTGGAGTTTTTCCATTCAGATTTGAAAAGTTTGAGAAGGATTAAAAATTTAAAATATTGGGATTTGAAAAATGTATTGATTCAAAAATATAAAATGAATGAAGAGTTGGCTAAGGAAATTGATTTGTTTTTATCTCCAATGTTGAAAATTGATCCTCAGTTTAGAGTGGATGCTGGTGGTTGGTCAAATCATGATTGGTTAAATGATGTTAAGAATTGTGCTGGTTTTATTAATAGACCTTGTGGTTGTTGTGGTGAAGATATTAAAGGTTGGGATAAGAGATGTAATTAATGAATTGAGAAAAGATAATGATTTGAAAAAGTGCTTGTGATTGGTTTTTGGTTTATTTTTTTGTATTAATTTAATCATCATCATGTTGATTTGGGTTATTTTTTTTATATTCGGTAAAGGTATTTGGTAACTATTTTGGTTTTGAAAACATGTCAGTAATATATGTTTGATTATAATTTCATTGTAACTACATTTCTTTGTATCTAAGGATTTCAATTTATTTCACAATACAAATAAAAAATTCTTTGAGATAACTCAACACAACATAAAAGACAGAAGAAAATTCCTTAGAAACATTTATGATGAACAATAGCTGGACCAGATTCATCATATTCTTGTTTTGAGATCCACATTTGTTGGAAAGTTGATAATGAGGCCAAAATAGAACCACCAATCCAAACAGAATATTTACGTTCTGGTGGAGCAATGATTTTAACCTTCATTGAAGATGGAGCTAAAGCTGTAATTTCCTTTTGCATACGTTCAGCAATACCTGGGAACATGGTGGTACCACCAGATAGAACAATGTTACCATATAATTCTCTTCTAACATCAACATCAGTCTTGATAATAGAGTTATAAGTGGTTTGATCAATACCAGCAGCTTCTAAACCTAATAATGATGGATGGAATAAAGCTTCTGGAGCTCTAAATCTTTCATTACCAATGGTGATGACTTGACCATCTGGTAATTCATATGATTTTTCAATAGCTGATGATTGAGCTGAAGTTTGTAATTCTTGATCGAAATCTAAGGCAACATAAGCCAATTTTTCTTTAATATCACGAACAATTTCTCTTTCAGCAGTAGTGGTGAATGAATAACCACGTTCTGATAAGATTTTCATCAAATAATCAGTTAAATCTCTACCAGCTAAATCAATTCTTAAAATAGCATGTGGTAAAGCGAAACCAGCATAAATTGGAACAACATGGGTAACACCATCACCTGAATCTAAAACAATACCAGTGGTTCTACCTGAAGAGTATAATGATAAAACAGCTTGAATGTTAACATAAAATGCTGGAACGTTGAAAGTTTCAAATAAAATTTGAGTCATTTTTTCTCTGTTTGTTTTTGGATTCATTGGAGCTTCAGTTAATAAAACTGGATGTTCTTCTGGAGCAACACGTAATTCATTGTAAAAAGTATGATGCCAGATTTTTTCCATATCATCCCAGTTGGTAACAATACCATGTTCAATTGGATAACGTAAAGTTAAAATACCTCTTTTAGATTGGGCTTCATCACCAACATATGAATCTTTTTGACCCATACCAACCATGATACCTTGATGTCTTGGTCTACCAACGATTGATGGGAAAACAGCACGTGGAGCGTCATCACCGGCAAAACCAGCTTTACACATACCAGAACCGTTATCAATAACTAACTGTTGTTTTGTTAGTATGGCTGATGAAAAATAAAAATATTATACCTGTGAAAATAACTTCATGGACAATAAAGACACATAAAGAATTAATCAATGAATGTTACTTACAGCAGCAATTTCTTCTGTTTAAAATAGTTAGTATATATGAACCATTATTGTTTCCTCAATTGTCCAATTGCCATTTAGATGAGGGCAAAAATCAATGAGATCAATGGAACTATCAACCAGATAAGAGAACAACACCATTCTGATGGAATCTAAACTTCATTGTACAAAGCCTTCTTGTTCCTTTTGATGTTTTGAAGTTTTCCAATGGATTGAAAAAATTTCACCAAAAATGGAAAAACTCAATCAGCCGCCATCACCGTGATCCCTTTGGAAAAAACTGAAAATTCAAAAGGTTTCAAACAAAGCAACAAAATCATCAAATCAAATAGAAATTCCATCAAATTGAATCACGAAATTGTCTTTCAATTGATTGAGTTCTTTGATTGATCTTTTTTGATTGTTTTCTCCTTGATTCATCATCAGTTGGGTGTAGATCAGATCTTATCTTGCGACGCGTTTTCCCATTGAAAAGAGAGGCAAAAAAAGGCAAGAATCCCAATTTGATTCATCAATCTAGTTCATACTAGAGAGTCTAAAGAGTCTCTTGATGGAATCCCTGTTTTGTTCTACTTTCTTCGATAAAAGAAACCTCAGTTGGAATCTAGAATGTACTATATCTCTCTCTGATCCCAAAAACTTTTCTCGAATCTCTCTCTCAAACCCTTCCTCCCCCTTGTGGCAATTGGACATGATAAAGACGGCTAGAGCACTTACCTCCTTCCATTGTGAATGATTTATTATTATAAGATGAGTACAACAAGTGGAAACGTCTTTGTTCGTTGTTGGTGGGAATTGAAAGCTGTTTAGGGGGAGGGAATGTTTTGGAAAACGAAAATGAGGCCAACGAATCGAATGGGGTCGGAACTGGGTGGGCAACTGGGCGAGGATTGGAGGGCGGGTTACCCTCGTATGTCATATATTTATAGTATAAGCTATTTAAAGTACAATAAAGTCATGTTAATTACATAGCCTTGGTGATTAGGTACTAGACTGCTGTTTATGATGCTTGATTATGGCACTGATATTCAGTTCGTGTGTTTTATTGCCGTTGTTCTCAATCTTGAAATCAATTGATCTATTCTGTTTTCGGAAATTAATTGCACCAACATGAAACATTTCAATCAATTAACAACAATTGACTTTACAATTGATTGAGTGAATGGATTTCTGAGATTGGATGGCATTGGTGTCCAATATTTCTAATCCCTTGTTATAACATTGATCCCCCAAATATTATTAAAGTCAGTGACTTCTGGCTGTGTCTGGTATCAATTATGAATCGAGTGACTGAGCTTTGAATCCCAGTCAAAATAAAGCGAGAACTTTCAAAAAAATAACAATAGCCAATCCTTTAATACTGGCTATCGTATATATTAGACCACTATGTATTTCAATCAAGTTAATTGGACTTCTGATCCATAAACTAGTCTTTCTTGATTATAAAACATTTGGAACTCAGCACAAACCGGATCAAATCTCTTCAAACTCTATATTCATAACCATACCAACTATAACTTCATAAATCACCATTTAATTCACCTTTAACTCTCTATTTAAGCTTCAAACCACACTTCTTTAATCAATTCATAGCCATTGTTTACCCGGAATAGAGCTCTATTACGTGAGCAGCTCCGCGAAATCGCGAAATCGCGCTTTTGATATTTCCAAACACGCTTTTACAAAATTAATAAATTAATGAGTGGTATTATATGAACGAAGCTGTTTTCCAAAGTTAAACGTTGAAGTCGCAAGCATCCGCCATGGATTCAAATATAGACCCCAATATTGACCCCTCTATGGAGTCTCAGTCTGGATTATTCTCAAAATTTTCAATCAATAACGATTTCCATTCACATCAAGATGATACAGAACAAGTTCATGAAGCTGATGATTTTATAAATCAACAATACATAGATGATAACGGTGTCTCAAGCTCAAACTCTGCTAATGCTGTTGCCGTTGCCGCTGCTGCAAATCTGTCGAATATTATCAATTTCAATCATTTACAAGGTCTACATGATCGATCAAATACTTCATCACCTCCACCATCAACAACAAATGCACGTTCTCAAGATAATTTGATAACTTCACCAAGTCAATCAAATGAGAATGGGAATTCTTCACAAGTGCATCATCATGATCATCGTGAAAACTCAAATCAAGATCCTTTGAACTTCATTCATGACACTTTATCTTCATTAGATCATGAAAATGGGTCAACAACATTACATACCCAAGAGCAGCAACATCATCACCATCTTCAGCAACACCAATCCCCTTCCTCTGCCTCATCATCCCCATCTTCAGCTGCAACAACAATATATTCAAAGGATAAACAACCAAAACAACGTATTATCCATGACTCAGAATCTCAAGTTAGTATAGTTGTGGTAAATCCAGCTTCTAATGAAGGTACACGCCGTTTAGGAAGACCAAGAAAAAATATACCGAAACAAACAAATTCACCAGCAAATTCTTCTACTCAAAATTTGGATAAAAGTTTATTATCAAGATTTAGATTTGATTCATTACCTGTTATTGGACCTGGTTCTAGAGGTGGTCGCAAGAAAAAAAATGGAATCATTACAAAACCTGGTAGACAAGCTCGTTTTGAAAAAGGTTCTAAAGAATTGAAATTAGTTGTAAAAGAAAGTTCTGAAGAATTAGAAGAACCAGATGTTAAAGCTATAGATGAAACCTCTCTTATTAAAAAAAATGATGAAGATGATGATGCAGATCTAATAGTTGTGGATGAAGTTAAAAATCAAACTCCAAAATCACAACCCAAGATCATCCTAGAGGATTATTATTCTCTGAAGGCAAAGGGCAGAAGTACTGCAAAAGACACAAATAATGCATTTACAAAATTAGGTCTTGCTCCACAGACTAATAAACCACAACCAGTCATTAAGAAGAGAAAAGATACCCCTGGTGCAATAGTTGGTGCTTATTATGATATCTATGAACCAGAATTAGTGGATCGTAATCATAATGATCAGGATATGAACTTGATTGCTTTAGGTTATGAAGTTACACCAGCCCCTTATGCTAAAGACATAATGACAATTTTAGAATTTACAAACAAATTTAAATCAATCTTTAGTGAATTTCATAATTTGGGACCTCAAGATTTTGAAGAAGGTTTAAAATTGCGTCCTTCAACTGCTTATCCCTTAGATAATGCTAAACAATCCACAAAGGAGAAATTATACGATGATGGTGATGAAGGTGATGTTTCTCAGTTAATGAACAATTTATTGTATCAATTGTTAACGTTGGTGTTGAATAGGAAAAGACCAATTGATCAAAATGGATTAACAAGAGCATTAGAAGATTTGAACAAATTAGTCTTATCATTTGGTTTACCAAGTGAATGGAGAGATGATTCACAAATTTTCAACAATCCAAAACCTACAATTGTTCAAGAACAAGAGGATGAACCTGTGGACCCTGAAAACACCGAAATTTTGGATTCAACTCATTATCAATTTGATACAACTAAACCATTAGCACATACACCTTTAGATAATGAGAATTTTGAAATTGACGGATTGATTGCCTTGGAACCAAAAGATCGATTGATTTTTTTGAGAAGTTTGGTACAGTGGTGCTTATCAAATTCAGATATCATAAAGCAAGAACTCGCCTCTCAATTATCAAGACAAGAATCTTCAGGAGAAAAAGAAACTTATTATATCTCAAGATTCATCAAAGATGGTTCAAAGGGAATCGAAACTGCACTTCAAGAAAAATCTGTAATTAAAAAGAAAAACAAAAAATTGAAGGAAAAGAATCACGAACTCCAGAACCTAAAGAACCTTCAAGTGAAACATTAAATACAAATCCAACTGTGAATCCATTAGATCATCATATGAGTTTTAGATTATTAGACTTCTATGCCGGTGATGGTGGTATAAATGGTCGTTTTTATCTATGCCGCTCAGCTAATTCCAAAACTGGTGGATTGGCATCATATCAAGAAATAACTTCAATATTGGAAGATTCAAAATCAATTCATGATCTTTTAACAAATGAACAACCTTCAAGATTCAAACTTTATGTCCAGGATGTTACCACTATGCTTTCTGAAGTTTATAAACTGGAGAGATCAGATGAAGAATTATTAGATCCGTGGTATGAAATTGCTGGTAATACTGAAGAATTGAATGATTTTTTACAATACTTGTCAGAAAAATTGAAGACTAATAGATCAAAACAGTTGAATAATTTATACAATTATTTGAATGCCCTGTTGCCAATATTGGTCAAGTATGAAACTTTACAAAAAGATTATAGACCAACAAGATCAAGTCGTAAAAGAGAACAAGTTACAAATTATCGTGAAAATGACAAGAAATTGAAACAAATGTTGGCTGAAGAAGGTGATGAAGATGAATTTTTAAATAATGATAGTGAGGATGAAGAAGATGAAGGTTTTGGATTAGTGGAAGCTGATGACGATGACGATGATGATGATGATTATAAAGAATAAATTAATTTTAATGATCTGATTTTTATTCTACAGTTTTAATTAATGTTTGTGTAAGTACATTGGATTATAGATCACTTTTTTGCCCTTTTTGATAAAATTGAAGTAGTTTTTTCGTTTCTATAAAAATCATCATTTCTTCTTTTTTTAAGTTCTTTATCTTTGGATTCATCAATTGTGATTAGAAGATCTTCATTGGCTAATGCCTTATTTTTTTCATTGTCATCAAATTTTAAAGCATGAGAATAAAGATCAATGTCTGAGTCTGAATCTGAATCATCAAGGTTATCAAAATCATCATCTTTATCTGAATGAGGCTCCTTGGTTGGTTTTGGCTTTTTTGTGTGTTTCTCTTCTGATGGAGATGGTTTTTTTATTTCAATCTTCTCTTTGAATGATTTTAAAAGTTTAAGAGTTTCCAATTCTCTCAATTCTTTCTCACTCTTTTTGGAAACTTTCAAAGTTGGGTTTTTTGACAAGTATTTATTTCTTTCTTGGTCAATTATAGATTCTTTTTCTTCAATTTCTTTTGTTTCGTCATTGTTTAGCGAAGACTTTAGATTATCAATCTGTGATCTAATTTCTTGAAGTTGGACATCTCTGTCTATGGTTTTATCCTGCGCCTTTTCCTTTTCCTTCAGTACCGAGGGATGATCTTGCTCTGGTTCAACTATATCTATCGATGCTTCTTCTTTGGATAATTTTTTATCATTCAATAGCTCATGTGCACTCTTCATTTTGATCTTTACACTCTGATCAACATCTTCTTCTTCACCATCTTCACCATAGTTAAGCTTAACTTTATTCTTTTTCTTTTGCTTTGACTTCTTTATCGGCACTTTTTCCTTTACTGAAATAAATTCCTCCTTCTTCAAATCTTCAAAATATGGGACTAGAACTTCACTACTCAAAATTTTCACTGGATATAAAGGAGTCTCACCATCTTCTGATAATTCACCTTCACTTATTTTGATCACATTGAAAATTGAATCACCAACAACTTTACCAAACATTGTATTTCTATTATTCAATTCACTTGTCTCTTTCAAAGTTATAAAGAATTTCCCAGTATTTGAATTTCTCGTGTCAAGATTAACAGATCCTAGTAAGCCACGTCTGTTGAATCGTATTCTTGTGTTGAACTCATCTTGGAAAGGTTCTTGATTCAAAACACCATCAACTTGGGCAATAAAATTTGGAATAATTCGATTAAATAACCAACCATTAAATTTTTGATTCAAGATATTAGTCAAGAAAATTCGGCTTGTTATAGGGGTTTCTTTGGCCCATAGTTCAATATCAATAGCACCTTTGGTTGTGTTCAGTCTTGCCTTTGCAGTTGTTGATGGTTCTAAACTCATAATTTGATTGGATTGGCTGAAGTTGTTTATGCTGATGAAATGAACTTTTATGTCAAAATTGAAGTGCACTATTTTTTTTAATCGTGTCATGTGACTTTGAGCCAAAAGCTAAACATCTATGATAAAAGCATCTAATTCAGAATAAAGATTGCATGTATTGTAAATAAATAGAATAAATAATGTATTTATACCTTTGAGATATAAAATAAATAAATAATAAATAACTTATGTAGATAAATAAATAGAACACACCTCAAGCATCAAGAACAGTAACATACTTTCTCTTTTCTTGAATCTCCTTTTCAGTAGGTGGTAAATCTTGAGCATGTAAATAGTTTCTTCTGTCATGAGTGTAACGGAAAACAAGATCTTCTAATCTATCAGGAATGATTTGCAAATCAGCAAAAGTCTTTGCAGTTGGATCAATTTCTTGATTGATGAATTGTTTTTCTATTTGATCAGTATTTGGCCATATAAAGTTTGGTAAATATTTTGCCAATCCTAGAGCAAGACCTTTTGGAAGATTGACATTAATATAGTCTTTCTTAGTGACAGGTTCAATCATATTTCTGATTTCACGAATACTATATCTTTCATTACCAAACAATTCAAAAGTTTGACCCACAGTTGAATCATCGAAACCAATTCTTTCCAAGGCAGTTGCAACATCTAAAGCATGTGCTGGATAAATTGTTTCCAAATTATTGTTAACAGTCCAAACCAATTTAACATCTGCCAAGATACTTAACAATCTATCTTCTCTACCATATAATGGAGCTGGTCTAACAATAGTAACATCAGGATAAATTTCACGAACAGCTTGTTCTCCCAGCCCTTTTGTAGCAAAGAAGATTGAATCTGATTTTGGGTTGGCATTATGAGAACTAACATGGATAAATCTTGGAACACCGGCATCTTTTGTTGCTTGTGCAATACGTTTGGCAGCTTCAATGTTAACATCAGCCATCTTGAAATTTCTTGTATCATAATCAACACCGATTAAATTATAAACAATATCTGAATACTTGACCGCTTCTTTGATTGATTCTAAATTTCTAACATCAAATTCAACAAAATTAACAACACCTAAATCACCAGGAACTTTTAAGAATCTTCTCTTGAGGTCATCTCTATATGGAACAACAGTGATTGTACCATTTTTAGCTAGCTTAGAAGTTAAATAACGTCCAACAAACCCAGGAGCACCAAACACTGTTGCTGTATAACCAGTTCTTGAGGAACGACCATTATGGCCAACAGCAATTTTAACATCACCAGTTCTGGTGATGTTGATATCACTCTTCAAGATTTGAGAGGATTGGAATCTCACTTGGATGAATCTTCCCTTTGCCAATGAATTCCTCAACATGGTTGTAGTTTTTAGTTTGATGTTTTTGATTCAAACTTGTTTAGTAGTTTCCTGTTTTTTTGTTTTCCTCCTTAAATTTTTGGTTTCACTGGCTGGAGAAAGAAATCGGTTGTTGCACTACTTTCTTCAAGATTCACGAAATTCGATTAAACAATACATTTTTTAAATAACAGAAAAAAGAACTAAATATTGAATTAATAGCTTTAAATTATGATACAGTGGATGGGTTCATATCCCGTACGTGATTTTGATGGTTGTTGTACGATGTTGTGGATTTTTAATTGAGTGCAAATGTTGAAATATAACCATATGTTTAGCATTGGGATCTATTATATTTTGAAGCATTGAGCAACATTGTGGAATTGGATTCATTAGACAAAAATACGCAAGATTTCAAGAACAGCACCACCTGCAATCAAAAATGCAAGCAAAACTAGAGAAATAGGTTAGTACTGATTCATAATGATTGTACTATCCAAAAGAAAGAGAAACTGTGGTAAAGAAAAACGTGAATGGCAATAGTCATATTCTTGGTTAATTCCAGCATTATTCATTACTTCCCATCAATCTCTAATTCTTCAAAATTTCACTTACTAAACCATCCTTTTGAAATTGGTAATTCTTTTTTAGCAGCAGGTTTGGCTTTACCTCTTTGCTTTTCATGCTTCTTGTAGTATTTTTCATTAGCAATACGTTGTTTTGGAGTTTGAACGGCCTATACAAAGAAAAAGTTAGTTGATTTTTGAACAATTGTGTTGATGATTGATCTGGCACGCTTGGGGAAATGTGGTACACCACCTTTGAATGTTAGGCAGCATTCCAAAAAGATCCACCTAAAGCCACAGGCCAATATCCACCGATTCAAATACTCACCATCTTGAATATTATGGGAAAGGAACGGTTGCTGAGCTGTGTATCTTCAAACTGAACACTCTAGTTTTACGTATACGTGTTGATTTTTTCGAACTGCTGAAATAAACCTGGCGATTTTCAGGTACGCGCCACACACAAATAAATTCGCGAATTTTTTTGATTTTTTTCCAGCCTGGGTGAAGCTACTTAATTACTCACAACATCTTCAACACTTCAACTTTTAAAAAAAATGAATAAAAATGATGCAAAATTAGCAAAAAATAACGATTAGCGCTGCTCGGTTTCGATCCGAGGACATCAGGGTTATGAGCCCTGCGCGCTTCCACTGCGCCACAGCGCTCTAAAGAGGAGTTGTATATGTCGTTGGAATTTTAGTATATCTAGCAAAACATTTACATTTTTAGCCCGCAAATTTAGTTTATTAAATAAATATCGAGTTCAGTACCTATATAAGTTCCAAATAAACAAAATGTGCAAAATTTAGAAAATTTGAGCCAGTGTTGAAGTTTTTACAGAGGTTTCAATTCTATACTTTGAGATCACTAATTAAATTTCGAGCACCGCAAATTTCCGAAACAAAAATCATTTCGAAATGGTACAATAAACCTATCAAAATGTAGCAAAGATAATGGTTTCCTGAAAAAAAAAAAACAAAAGTCGACGAAAGCCGTACAACAACAATATTCAAAAATTTAATCAAGTTCCGCGAGTTCTACGAGCGGGACTTGTTAAAAAAAAAAAAAAAAAAAAAATACAAGTTTTTTTAAATCGCCAAAATAACCACTTTTACGTTATTTTTAAAAGATGATATCAAAATTTAGGAATTTGGTCGTTTTTTTTTTGAAAGGTGATGTGGTTTTAAAATCCCTTTATACTACATTGTGTTTTTACAGAATAAAAAATATAACCATTAATTTACTTCAATGTCAGAAATATCGAAACTGATATTGTTGATTGAGAAAGTTTCAGCATTAGGATCGTTTTGATTGTTGGTATTTTGATCATTGTTGAATAACAGATGAATGTTTTTTATTGATGAAGCTCTTGAGAATGCAACGTAAGCTTGACCATGTGCAAAAATTGGTGATGTTAAATCTATTCCTAAGTTTTCAATTGATAAACCTTGACTCTTGTGAACAGTTGATGCAAATGCAAGTTTAATGGGAAATTGTTTTCTTATTAAAACGTTTGGCAAAGCTAAAAAGTCATTTTTGAATTCAATTCTAGGTATATCAAAATTTGTTGGTTTGCCCATAAAATCATAGACAGCTTGAATGACATTCTTAGAAATCTTTTTAATAATCATTTTTGTTCCGTTTGAGATCTTCATTTTTGGATTTAAGTTTCTTGTTATTAAAATAGGAGCACCAACTGATAATTTTAAAGTGGATGGAGGTAAATCATTTTGATTCAAAACTTGTGATTCCAAAGGTGAATTCAATGGAGTGAGTGTGTCTTCATTGGGGTTGAGATAGTAATCATAAGCACTGACTTCTATAATTGGTTGTTGGGAGATGTTATTGGAAAAATGAATTAATGCTTGATCATTTAATATATTGGCATTTGCATTGGTTGGTGTAATAATTTGAGATTTAGAAAAGTAATTTAAAAGTTGTTCAAAATCAAATTCAAGTCTGTATTGAGTGTATCTCTTCAAATATTCTTCATCGTAAATAGAGGAAATTAAATCATTTGAATCAGATGATTTATTTAAGAATGATGGAATTTTAAAGTCAGTGGTGGAATGTTGTCTTAGTTCATTGAGGAAGGATAGGTATTGATCCTTGTGTGGTTCGTTGTCTTTGATTCTGTTGTTCAAATTCAATTCCAACCTAAAAGAATCAGTGAAAAGTGGAGTGGAATAGAATGAGTTCAATAGAGGTGAAATTGAAGATGTATTAGATGTTGATACTGGAGGTAATTGTTTAATATCACCGGAAAAAATAATTGTTTTACCACCCATATGATCATTTGTTTCATTAGCAATTTTTAAACCCACGTTGATGTATTCTAGATCCTTTTTGTGAGACATGCTAATTTCATCAAATATTAAAATATCAAATTCGTCGGAAATTTTTTTGAATAATTTTTTGGATTCTTCATTATGAAATTTTTCATTGTTATCTATTGGTATAGAGAACGTTTTATGGGAAGTTCTCCCAAATAAAAGATTTGTGGCTGCAATACCTGTGGAAGCGCATACCAGAAATTTCTTTTTTTGATTCAAAAAGCATCTAATCAATGAGTTTAATAAAAAAGATTTACCTGAACCTGCACAACCATTCAAATAATAAATTTGGTGTGAATTAGCTATAATTTCATCAAAGGCATGTTGTTGTTCGTTATTTAAATTAATGGTTGTTTGAATATTAGGATGGTCTTTAATTTTATTTATTGTTAATAGCTGATTAATCTCATATTTATTGAGCCATTTGAATTTAGCATCAAACAATGTTTTTAAATATGTTTTGTTAATCATTGATGAATAAAAATTGTTGCATTCTTTATAATAATCTGACAATTTCGATGGGAAGTTGAAAAAGTTGAAATCATAGGTTTGATGATTCAATGAAATTAATAAAGCTGTTTTTAAAAAATCTTTTTTTTGTGATGGATCTTGTGGAATATTGATAGTATTGGGATATGTTGTATTCAAAAATTCTAATAAATTCAGTGTCATAAATTCAAAATATTTGTTAAAAAGATCAGTTGCATTTTCATCAAAAAAGGTTGAATTATTCAAAAAAATGGAAAATGTTGTCTTTAATCTATCAGGTGTTGCTGTATTCTGAATTTCTTCAAAACATAAACTCCAAATTGAATTTTCTTGTGATAAGAGATTATGTTGTTGACATGCTTCTTGAAATGTAGTAGCTAATGACCCGTCAGGACAAATTTTTAAATCTGATAATGAAGTTGGTGATTTCACAAACTTAAGGAGTAAAATAAAACTGAAGCCTTCAGTTCTTTGAGGAGTAACCACAGGAAATCTAGTAATAAATTTTCTATTATTTCTTCTTTTCATCCATTTTTTATTATTGAAATAATAGTGTTGATGGAAATCTTCATAAGTTAAGTTCATTTCGCGAATTTCGCGATTCTCAGCATTGAGTTTGAAAAATTCAATAAGTGGGAACTTTTTATTTTCATCTAGTATAAAGTAGTTTTCTTCATAATTTATTTCATCAACCATTTCATTGTTATTGAATCTTTGACCATTCTCATCATCAGTATCAACTGAGTTATTTTCAAGATCAACTTCAATATCTCCATCAGCATCAACGTTGTTTTGAATATCAACATTAGCAGCATCATTATTGTTACTATTATTATTTTCATCTTCATCTAATTCACTTTCATCTTCACCTTCAAATTCAGCAATATTATCATTTCCTTCAACATTATCGTTGCATTCATTGATATTAATATAATTTCTGAAATGTTCATCATATAAATTTTTCGGTAAGTTAATGTCAATTCTAACCACTTGCAAAGAAGTTTTAACCATCGGTATTTTCAGTAACCTAACAGCAGCTTTTTCAACAGAAATATATCTTCCATTCAAGTATTTTTGAATCTCATCAACGTTTGATTTAATTGTTGCAGATTGGTCGCTTCCTTTGAATATATACTTGAATAAGTATGGTAACACAGATTGATCATTAACATATTCAATATTAATGTGACATTTGAATAAATATGTTAAGAATTTATTATGGGGAACACAACGAATACTGTCAGCAGTTGAACGTTTATATTGAATATGTCCAAATTTATCCACATATGTTTTTGAACATAAAGGTTTTGGGTAACCAAATCTGCAGTATTGTTTTTCATTCACAGAACCATCATTTGAAACTTCCAAAGTTTTACGATGACAATAATCAGAGCAGTTATGGGTGTAATTGCTTTTGAGGAATGATTTGAAATCTTCAGAATAAAGGTGAGAACCATCTTCAACAAATTCAGCTTGAATGTATTGATCAATGTTGGCAATTGTAACATTTTTAATCCACAGTAATACGTGTGCGTGGATATTACCCCTGCGCTGAAACTCGATGGAGTATGTATATTCCATACACTCACCAAGGACTTGAGTAGTTTTGATATAATGCAAAAGAAAATTCAATTTCAATTGGAAAATTCGAATGAGATGAGCTTTTGAATTAGATTTTCCATTAAATTCAGGCCAAGAAGGATTAGCAGTCATTGTTAAAAAAAATGTTGGTTTTCCTAATTTTTGAGAGATACTAATGGTGTCTTTATAGTATTCTTTAAAATAAGAAGATGATCCAATTGTTCTTGAAGGTATAAATGAAAGGTTGGGTGGTATATTCAAAGATTTATGCTGATAATATTTCATGATATTCAAACGATTTTGTTCCAGCAATGCATAACCACATGCTATAAATTCATCTAAAAGTCTTGAACCATAATAAAAAGGATCTAATTGATTTTTTCTTATATGATTTCTGTGGAATAATACCGTAAGTAATTTTTTATATTCGGTGATTGCAATATGTGATTGATTGATTAATTCCTGATTAATACTAATTGTGTTTAGACCTTTTAACATGATAAGAGGGAAACTTAAAGTCAAAGTTTCAATAACATTTTTGAAATTTACCTTCTTTAATTCTTCATCATTCCTGCACCATGCCAAATAATAGTCTCTAAGATTTTCATCGGGTTTTTGTTCAAACACAACAGCACCAGTTTCGTGCAGTATCGGTGAATCGTTTTGTTCATTTTTGTTGAACTCAACCACATTGAATTTAGTGACATCTTCAGATAATCTAAATCTTATGACTTCTTTAAGTGAAGGCTCATCAACAAATGAATCAATTATTTCATCAACAGTTTTATATTGTTGGAATATGGGGTGATTTTCGTTGAAATATTCTTTCATAAAAGGTAAATAAGTTTTAGCTTTTGATTCTTGGTTAGATCTTTTCTCAAAAGAATTCAGAATATCTGAATTTATGGTCTTTATTGTTTTTTGAATTGAATAATGTCTAGAAATCATTAAACCTTTAACTCTAAATGATTGTCCTGGAATATAATTATCATACGTGTTAGAGGTATTTGATGTTGATAAGAAATTGTTGTTCAATGGTAGGCAACGAAAATGGCGGTTAATTAATCTTTTGGCAGAATTAAAATTGTCGTCATTTTCATATAAATCAAAGAAGTTAAAGAATGATGTATTATTTGTCATGATATAATGTTTTGTTGGTAAATTTATTGAAAGTGTACCATAATTGCAACAATAAGGATAAGAAGATGTTGATGAACCTGGTATTTCATATTTGTATATTGATGCACCACAATATTTGCAATAATAATCACCTTCAATAGGAAATTCAATAGGAATAACTTTAGGATTTGGAATTAAAGTACCATTCATTTCAATATATGATTGTTGGTTCAAAAGTTCTCTGTATTTTTTATTGATTTCATTTTTAGATGTAAAGGGAATTAAATTGTTTTTTAATGTTTTCAAATCTTCAAAATGATAAGCTGCTCTATTAACAACATGATCGACATAATAATTGATATGTTGGTCTTGTAAAATGTTGGAATTTTCAATATCATTAATATTGAAGGTGTAAAATCTTGAAGTATCAGAATTTGAGGACGGCATTAATATTTATGATCCTAATTAATTTTTAATATTAATATTAATGTTAAATTAATTAATAGTGTATTAAGTACTAACAATATATAATATAGTTGATAATATTTGAGAGCTCTTTGATTACTGATGAGCTGTGTATTATAATGAATTCCATTATATTGAAAAATATTATGGAGATTAAAAAGTCGATGAATTTTAATACTTATGAAATATATAATTGCTAACTATATTTTGATTACACTACATGAAGGATAAAATTAACTGAATTAAGTGTTGTTTATACAGAATTAAGCGTTGTCTGGGGTACAGTTAATGACGTACTTCGTAAATGTTTAGATCATCGCGAATTGGTTTTTTTCGCGAATATTTAATTATATAACGCAATTGATTTTTCAATCAGCTGGCTTTTAAAATTAACCAATTATAAATTATATTTTACAATATTTTCAGCTACAAATAATATTACAAACAACAATATCAATAAATATTAAGTACGCACGTATTAAATAAAAAAAGAAAGAGAATTAAAAAGTAGAAGAATAAACTATATAGGGTTTTTTTTTAGTTGATGTATTTGATGAACTTGGATGAGGAATAGTTAATTTTCATTAATTTCCAATTTGATTTTTTTGTTTCTGTTCACTTGTTCAAATTTAGTGGCATGAATTTGCTTAAGGACATTATTTTTGAATTGATTCTTTTTAATGGTAATTGTGATGTTAAACGTTGAATTTAAAGAGTCATGAATATTGTTGATTATATCTTCTCTTTTCAAATTCCCATCAATTACTTTACCATCTAAAATTTGTTGTGTTGATGCTTTCAGGTATGGACATAAGCTTGTGGTAGAACTTTCGAAGGCAGTGATATCTAATTCTTGTTCATTTGCATCTTCACAATCTTTCATTAAAATAACATTTGGAATTCTTAAATGTTTCTTTCTATTCAGTTTATCTTCATATAACAGGGAATTAAAATCTGCAAGGATATCATTAAATAGTTCATTAGCATTCTTGATTTTAATATCTTCCAATAAAACTAATTTCCCTTTAGTATTTCCTAAATCTTCAATTTGATAATCTAATACTTGATCAATGGTGAATATGCATGAAGCATTCAAAGAATATTGACTTACCTCAGCTGTACTAATTGAGTTACTCTGATTCACCCCAGACTTCATTTACCATTAAACTCAAGTTACCAATTAATTCATTTTCTAATTCATTTTCTAATTCATTCCTTGATTTGATTTATCATTCTCTCCTTTTGATTTTTGATCATCATATATTGGTTAGAAAACAATTCATAGAATTTTTCAAAAAATACTGACTCACCTTCATTTTAGTAACCGGTTTATTCTTTCATTTTGATTTAATCATCATATATTGGTTAGAAAATAATTCATTAAATTTTTCAAAACTGACTTACCTTCTTTTTACTAACATCATGTTCACTTCATATACTTGATTTATCCTCTGATTCATTCTCTAATCCATCCTTTCAGCTAGTTAGAAACCAAATCCTGAAATATTTAATAGATTTTGACTTACCATTGTTGTATTAACTGCGTTATTCCGATTCACATCAACTCTGATTCAACCCCAGAATTAATTTATCATTCTGATTCAATTCACTCCTTTTGAATTTCCAGTCATAATATATTATTGGTTAGTAAACAGTTCATTGAATTTCAAAAAGAAGATACTAACTTACTTTTATTATATTAACTGGTTTTATTCTGATTCACTTCAATCTTCATATATTTGGTTAGAAAACAGATCATCAATTTTTTGAAACACACATTGCAAACTTACCATTAATAAATTTGTATGCTAATTTTATGACAAATGATATCAATTTAAATAGTTAGATAGGGATTCACAATATTTCAAAAAGCGCTGACTTACCAATGTACCAATAATATCATGAACTTTCAATTATTGAATTGAATGCATCTGTCATAACAAAACAATTCATCACAGAAAACAATAAATTTGTATGCTAATTTTATGACAAATGATATCAATTTAAATAGTTAGATAGGGATTCACAATATTTCAAAAAGCGCTGACTTACCAATGTACCAATAATATCATGAACTTTCAATTATTGAATTGAATGCATCTGTCATAACAAAACAATTCATCACAGAAAACAATTTGACGATTCCTATTGCTTTCTTCCAATTATATAATCTTTTTTTTCATGATTGCTGGATTGCTTTAAACTTTAAACATTAATGTTGATTTCCTTATTGATACCTTTTATGGTTTCAGTAAAGGTATAAAGTTTAATCATTTGGTAAATGTCAAAGATTGTCATGTGACCAGTTTGTTAGTGGCACGTGATCACCATGCTTTTTCCGTGGCTCTACTGATAATTTTGTATGGCGCACGTGATCAATTATTGCTTAAAAGCGTAAAATATCTTTTTTCATTATTCTTTATAAATGTATCTGATATTGTGTATTTATAAAATGCTAAAATAATGTACAAAAATATCACTGAATTTTTAGATTCAAATATTTGAAATTATAAAACAAAATTACAACATTGCCAATTTACTCATAAATTATTACATTTTTTTGGAAAACTGCGCCGATTGCCTTGAGATTTACTAGACTAGTAGTTCTGTACTCAAATATGATCATTATTATAATATATTATTCATTTTATCTTTCTATTGGTTATCTCCAAAGTATAATATAAAATTGATTCAAAAGTGTAATTTGCCTATTTGGGTAATTCACCAAAAAAGGTAAAGTAATTAGATTTATGGGTTGTTCCCGTGCATTAACCTACATTAAGCTCAAAATTTTTTAACACTTTGAAACCGTTACGAAACGTTTTGCAAACAGTAAGATACCTTTTTTGTATTGAATTATACTAAGGGCTATGTGATGTTGGCTAAGTTCTCCATTCAAGGTTTGGTGGAATGTGTATGTTGAAGTTATTCGCCAACTTGATTAAACTTTCATTCGCCAAATGAACACCGAGTATGTCGATCTGTTTCTTTTTGTTCAACGGTTTTTTGAACCGCTTTGAATTTTTAGTGTGATAAACCATCGATGTTAGAGTAGGCTGTTGTACTTTGACTTTTATTAGGTTAGTTCTTGCATACACGATGTAAAGTCTAGCCAACGTTCCCAAAGCCACGTTGTACACGGTTTTATGGGCATTCTCGATTTCTGAAGTAACTTACGAATGTTCAGACCATAAGATATGTCGTAGTCTGTGAATGATTGAAAGGAATGGTTCTTTAAAGATGGTCGAGAACCTGTTCTTTTGAAATCGTGAATGGAAGAAACCAGCTGGCAGCTGTTGAGATCTCTTGAACCTTGATCTAAACTTTAGTCTTTCATCAACGAGTTTGATTTCAGAAACAAGAAGAAAAGAACAGGTAGAAGGAAAGTAACCATCTTTCTGATTAATTCTCGTGTATTCAATTTAATCTAGATCATGTAGGGGTTAAATTACACACCGATAAGCACATTCTGAAAGGAGCATGCAGAACATGTTAACTATAATTAACGACCCCGTGATTAAGCAGAAACCGTTTGATTTCTCTTCAAATTAGTTTGATTAAATGCTTTACATGATGTCATGTTCAAACGTTAGAAGTTCTAGTTCTCAAATAAGTTAGTATATCTATGTTCCAGATTCAATTAATTGGTCAAAAATTGTGCAAGTTGATGAACCAAAAAGTACACTTCAAATTGTAACTTCAAAAGAATGTGAGTGATCGCGGTCTCCATTTCTTCAACACGTACCCTACAAACACGACTGGTATTTTTATAGTTAACCCAAGTAGGCAAGTAGGCTATAGTTGCGAAATGAGTAGTTTTGAAGGATCAACTTAGTTGTTGATCAGGTTTCTTGTATATGATTCACCAAAGGGAAAACAAGTCAGAATTTTTTAGATCGTCATAGATCCTGCGTAAATATCTGAACGGAATCTCTGCCTAGCTCTGGTGGCGGGAGAGGGTAGAGTCAGCGTAAAACATAGCACAGCGCTGGCTAAGAATTCAGTCGCCTCTTGCCCAGCCTTGGTGTTGTAGTTGAGCCTAGCGAATCAAATGTAAACACCTGTGTATAGGACGACGGACATCAGCTTGCAAACTGATTAGGTCCAGACTCTTTCTGATGGAAAAGTGAATGAAATCAAATCATTTATTAATGAGCCCATGAATAAGGTGATGATGAATGATAATACCAGGTGTATGCTCCCTCCCACTGGGGCTGGCTTCCAACTTTTCAACCAGCTCTTCAACTCGAGATGGGTTTTGATGGTTGGGCAAAGAACCCAATTGGGAAATAAAATTTTCACCATGGTTACCAAATTCTTTTGAGCTGCATAAATACACGTCTGACGAATGCCTGAAAATCGGCGATTGATCCTATTTCGACTACCGGATTGGGCAATTTTGCGATCGAGTTGTTTACAAGACGCGGTACAATGTTGCATGGAGGTGCATGATTCAAAACTAGTTTTTTTTTTCTTTTGCAATTTTTGCGGTTGAAGGTTGTTTACATTCCTTGGACGATGATATAAATATGAAACGAGTTCGCTCCTTTCAAGAAACATAAACATATCCCTTTGGATTTTTTACACTTCTGTAACTCGTGTTCTATTGTCAATCTAAATTAAATACATTTTTTATTTGATTTGGTTAAAAAAACAATCTCTCTTCTAACCTTTAGTCATTCCTTATAACTTTGAGAGATTTCAATTAGAACTTACATCCATTCCTTTTCAAACAATCGTTTTAGTTTTTTAGTTCAATTCAGATACCCAACTCAAGCTTAATTGAAGAAAAGAAGAATTAGTATGAGATTCACTAATACTATTTTATTATCATTATTAGCTGCCTTCACTACAGTTGAAGCAGGATGTTCATTCGTTGGTGGTAATTACTACTGTGATGAAGTTGATGCTGTTGTTTATTCAAATGTTGGTTATTCAGGTTCATATTCAGATGTTACCAATATGGATGAAAAATCTTGTGAATGTTCCCAAAAATCAGTTTCATTTGAAGGTTCTAATTCTCCATTAGATGAAGAATTATCTGTTCATTTTAGAGGTCCTGTTAGATTATTACAATTTGGTGTTTATTATCCAGGTTCTGGTTCAAATAATCAAAAAAGAGATGTTGAAGAAGTTGAAGGTTGTACTACAACTAAACATGTTCATCATGCTCATAAAAGAGAAGCTGCCACCAAAGTTGTTGAAGTTACTCAAACCGTTTTCGTTGATGCTAATGGTCAATTAGTTACTAGTCAAGGTACTACTGAAGTTTCATCAACTCCAACTGAAGAAGCTACTTCATCATCATCATTTGAAGCTATTGATAAGAAAGTTTCAACTTCTTCATCAAATGGTCAATCATCAGCTACTGATTCAACAACCACTTTATCTTCAACTGGTGCTCAATCATCATCATCAACTTCATCCTCATCTTCATCTCAATCCTCATCATCTTCATCATCAGGTTCAGGTTCAGGTTCATCATCAGATTGGAACAGAGTTGCTTACTACCAACCAGGTTCTACTCAAAACTGTACCTTCTTGAACACTAAAGGTGGTTCAGGTTCAGGTACTTGGTCTTCATGTTTCGGTAACTCATTATCATATGCCGCTTCAAATGGTGTTGATGGTGCATCAAGTGCCAATGCCTTAGATAAAGTTTTATTAAAATCTGATGAAGAATATGCTATCTTCAGTGGTTCAAAATGTTCAGGTGATAGTTGTGGTTATTATAGATCTGATATTCCAGCTTATCATGGTTTTGGTGGCGCTGAAAAAATCTTTGTCTTTGAATTTGAAATGCCTCATGATTCTTCTTCTTCAGGTGCTTCAAACCCAGATATGCCAGCTATTTGGTTATTAAATGCTAAAGTTCCAAGAACTTTACAATATGGTAACTCAAAATGTTCATGTTGGTCCACCGGTTGTGGTGAATTAGATTTATTTGAAATTTTATCAAAAGGTGATGAAAGATTAATCTCTCATTTACATAGTGGTCAAGGTTCAAATGGTTCTCAAAGAGGTGGTGGTGGTTCTCAAGATTATTTCTCAAGACCAACTTCTGGTTCATTCAAAGGTGCTGCTATCTTTACAAGTGATGGTGAAATTCATGTTGTTAAAGTTGATGATGGATCTGATTTCAGTTCAGGTTTAAGTAAATCAACTGTTTCATCATGGTTAAGTCAAACTGGTGGTGATGCTAAATTATAAGTTTAGTACTCTTTTTTTCAAAAACTTTCTTCTTTTTTTTATTAATAGGAAAAAGTGTATTATAGTATAAGACGCTTGATTATTGTTTTTTATGTTATTGTTATTGGTTTTAGTTTAATGTATTGGTTTTTTATGGTTAATTTTACATCTTTTGCAGTAGACATAACAGTAAAGCGACATTTATGATATTGATTTCTCAATCAACTATATCTCTAATTCATACGTCTATTCATGAAGATGATTCATTTATGTTTTCTTTAATCAATTTCTCTCATGTGACTTGTGCATTTTTCACCTAGGTGATATACTGCAACTGTATTGTCCCCAACAACAAACTGTTATGTAAATATTGAAAACACGTAAACAACGGCAAAGACGCGATTGAAAATTAACTACAAATTCAAATCTGTAAACACTCATGATTCTATTTATTGATATTTAAACAATAGTATAATAAAGATTGAAACTAATATACACCTGAAGAATGAGAATAACTTAAAAAACAATGTGAAAATGAAACAAAGTGGAAATAAACAATGTATTATGACAGAAAGTGAAAAAAGTATAAAAATTATGAAGTATGAATGAAATGACATTAAAGTAGTGTTTGAAGTGTATGTGTGTAGTATGAATTGTTCATGATCATTAATAAAAGTGATTGTTTTTTTTGTTGTTTTTTTTGTTAATTTTTTCTGTAAAATGACTAAATGATTTAAACTTCAACTTCTTTTGAATTCAATTGAATATATTCAGAAGCTGGTAAGTTACTATTTTTTCTATTTCTTTTAATATTTGAATTTTTCTTGATGACTTTATTCCATAATTTTCTAACAAAGCATTTCTTATAATTCCCATTAATTAACCAACAATATAATCTATATTCACCATATAATAAGATGGCAGCTAATGTAAAACCTAGGAAAACACATAATCCAATATGATTTGCTAAAGATTTGATGAATTTAGCATCATCAAGGTGCCATGAATTACCTTCAGTTATTGAAAAAAAAGATGAAGCATGTTTTTTATAATCTTTTGGTAATAGGATTCTAACTCTTTCAGATTCTGGAATTGTATTCCAACGTCTATATTGTTTCCAAATAACACTTAGGAACAAAGGACCAGTTGAATACATGATTGTTAAGTAAGGAATCAAATAATTCCAATCATATCTTTGTAAATTATCAACAGCTTTCAAAAAGAAAGGATGGTTTGGAACACTACCCATAACATCATTTGAAATACCAGTTGGTAAAGTTTTCCGAGCAAAAGCAGGAACAGTTAATAAAGGATCCAATTTTTTCTCACAAGCATCATCTAAATCAATATAAATCCCACCGAAATGACTTAGAGCGAAATAACGAATAGCATCAGCTCTTTCTATTGGATATTTATAATTATCCCAAGTGTTTAAAAACCATGGATATTCTTCACTTATGAATTCTCTAGCCATATCATCAGTCCAAAGGATATACTGATAATCTTGATGTAAATTTATACAATTTTGTTGACCTTTTTGCCATTTCAAAGGGATATTTGTATCTTTATAAGTTTGATGAATGATTTTAGGGATTAGTTGATCTTTTGGAGATGTTGGATTTAAATCTATATCTAGTAAAGCATCTTGATAAGAATCATCATAAATCAGAGTAATCAAGTCAAAAGTTTGGTATAGTAAAAACAATACTATGATGAGATGTATTGATATAAGGAATTGTAGTTCTTTTCTCATACTTTCATTGGGGATAGTAAGCAAATAGAGTGATATAGCAAAATATTAAATGAATGAATGAACGATTGTTAACTATTTTTATAACTTGTGAATAGGGGTAAACAAAAAATTCTCGATGGTTGTTTTTCTTTTGGCAACAGCAAAAAAAAGCCCAAAAAAGGTCGCGAAAATTTGAAATTTGAGAAATTGGCAGAAAAAAGGGCTGTGTTTTGGGCCTCGGCCGAAGTTTTGGGGGGCATTTGGAAATGGGCAGTTTATTTTAAAATGGGATGGATTATTTTTGGATTAGTTATTTTTGTATTGTTGGTTTATTTTATTTTAAGATGAAGGGTTTATTTTATTAATTAGTTAATTTTTGATTATGATGCAATGATTATGTAATATTATATGAAAGTATTAGGTAATCGGTATGATATCACATGACCAATCACATGACCATTTTTTTCTATAACCAAAATCTCAAAAACGGACTTTAGAAACATGATTTAAATAATTTACCCATTCACATTCCAAATGCTAAGATCTATTAGATCATTCCACTTTAATATGACCACAGCTAAGGCATTCACCTCCAGAAAGAGACCATCTGGTAATACCAATAAGAGAAATACCAAAAGATCTGATAATAATCAACCATTTATACCAAGTGCTGCTGTTAAGAAAATTTCACAAATTCAATTATCTGATGAACAACAAGTACTAAAATCCAATATATTCAAATTCATTAATGATAATCTTGAGAATTATACTGGTAATCCATCAGTTTATTTGATCGATGGTGATGCAGGTACTGGTAAATCAGTTATATTGAATTCATTATTTAATGAGATTCAAAAGATTTCAAGAACTAGTAGTGATGCAGAGAAACAAATCTTAACAAACACAAAGAATTACCTTGTTGTTAATCATCCTGAAATGTTGAAACTATATCATCAAATCTCAAGACAATTCCCATATATTTTGAAAACTGATTTAGAAAGACCAACTTCATTGATTAATAAATTTCAAAAGAATAAAGACACTGATAAGGTTGATGTCTTGATTATTGATGAAGCTCATTTATTAGCCACTGCAAAAGATCCATTCAAGAGATTTAATCAAGATAATCATTTAGAAGAATTGTTGAAAATATCTAAAATTGTTATTATTGTATTTGATGAGAAACAATCATTAAGAATGGGATCATATTGGTCTTTAAATGATTCAAAAGATGGTGCTTCAATTTTGCCATTTTTGGAAACACAATCTTTACAAAGTTTCGAAAGTTTCAACTTAACAAAACAGTTTAGAGTTAGTGCTAAACCTGATTTGATCAAATGGATCACTGAATTATCTACAACAAAGGCATTATTACCATTACCAATTGATGATTATGAATCTAAAACATTTGATTTTAAAATATTTGAAAATTGTCAAGAAATGTATAACTCAATTAAATTACAAAATTCAAAATTTGGACAATCAAGAATTTTAGCAACTTATGATTTCCCATATAGACTAGATGGGAAAGATTATTTTGTTTATTCAGAATCTGATGATTTCAAATTACGTTGGGATCGTTATTTACCACAATTGACCACTCCATGGTCTGAAAGAGATGATACAATTGATGAAGTTGGTTCTGTTTATACTATTCAAGGGTTTGATTTAAATTATGCAGGTGTTATCCTAGGTAGAAGTATTGGATATGATTCTACTAAGGATTGTATTAAAATTAAGCCTGAATTTTATGATGATAATGCTGGGTTCACTAAAAAGAAGAATATACATAATGTTGATAAAGTTAAGGAAAAGATTATTTTGAATAGTGTTAATGTGTTGTTGACTAGAGGTGTTAAAGGGTTATATATCTTTGCCTGGGATAAAGAATTGAGAGAGAGATTGATGAAAGGTGACTCCAGGGTGCTCGTGAGGAATAGCTGATTGATAGATTTTAGATAGAAGTTATTGTTATATTAATAATTGTATAGATTGAAATACGAGATGAGATCGACTATAACAATAGCGAGAAGAATACAGGCAGTACCAATAAACATCAAACAACCAAACAAATACCAATAACCAATAGCTGACCATTAGTAACTTATAGCATAACTATTTAATATCTAGTAACCATTAAATAACTTATACTCATTCAACCTCATCAACGGCCATTTTGGTTCCGAAAAAAGGCGATGCTTAATTAAGACAAATGGCTGAGCATTAGCCATGACTACAGTGTTCGGAAAAAGAAAAGGAATGGATACAAATAAAAACAAACTAAAGAGTAAATTGAATCAAATTAAATCAACATATTAACCTATTAATCCAATAATTCTCTACTACCAACTCCATAATCAATTCCAATCAATTTCCCATACTTAATACTGACACGTGTTCTACTGACAGAGAGTTTTTTTTAATTAAATTTCTTGGGATAAAAAAAAACAACATCAACAAGATCAAAATTAAAGAGAATTTAGAAATCAATTAGACTGGATTAAATTTAGTACTTGATCAATATGTCTGCTGAAAAATACTACAACGTGAGTATTCCTTGACTACTGATTACATGGGGCTATACTAACACATTCCCTAGTCTGCTCCACAACAACAATACCAACCACCTCAGGGTCCACCACCTTCAGCTGGAGGTGCTGATGCTTCAAGAGGGTTCAACGACTATCAACAAGGTGGTTATCCTCAACAAGGATACCAACAACAAGGTGGTTATTATCAACAAGGACCTCCTCAAGGTGGATATTATCAACAGCAACAACCCGTTTATGTTCAACAACAACCTCAAAGAGATAATAATAATGATTGTTGCATGGCCTGTCTTGCCGCTATGTGTATCTGTTGTACTCTTGATGCTATTTTCTAGAGGATCAATAATTAATCCAATGGTCATGATTAGTTTTTTCATTTATTAATGTACAAGTAAAGTGTCATAAGAGGCTAAAGTTTTTGTTGTTTACTACTTTTTTTTATTTCCAATATGTTTATTTTTCTTACTCTTTCTTCTACACTCGTTTTAATTACAATTGTTTAATATTGAATCCATTTATTGTAGTTATATTTCTAATGATTTTTCTTGTCTCTTAAACTTTTCCTTTTGAATAACCGACATCCATTCCATCATTAAGCTATATTCCCATTTCAACAATTCATAATCATCATTACTTTCAATTAATTTAGGTTGTATTGTTTGATAAATTGGGTTTAAATCACTTGAACTCAGCATTCCTTTTAAATTTCTTAAAATTTCCAAATCATTATTCAATAACTCATTCTCTTTTGTCAAACATTCATTCTTGGTTTGTAAAACACTTAATTGTCTTTTCAAATTTAAAACTTCATCATTTTTAATCTTTAACCCATTATTAAATTCCAAATTCAAATTCACATCATTTTGATTTTTCAAATACATATTCTTTTGCAATTCAATCAATTCTTTATCCCTTGATGAAATTTTTTGTAACAATTTCCCATTTTCCAATTCCAATAAATTTACTTTTTGATTTAATATCAAATTTTTACAATTTAAATCATCTTCATCATACATAAATTTTTTCAACTCTTCTTCATCACTTTCATTTAATAAAGAGATTATTGATATGGCAACACTTGATTTATAACAATGGAACCCAATCTCCAAAAAGATAAAACATAAACAATTCAAACTTAATAAATCTCCTTTACTCAATTCTTCAAATTTTAATAAATCCAAATATTTATAAAATTTTTTCCTTGAAATCATATGTTGTTTATAATATTGTTTAACATTATTGAAAATCAATTCATATTGTTCCACAGTATCCAATCCTTTAACAAGGTTAACCTCAAATGACGAATCTAGGATAATTTGTAAAATTTCAACAACAACATCAGGTTTCCATATTTCATTGAAAATGTTTGAAGTTATGGTGGAGTTGGGGAATAATGATAACCAATTGATCACCGCAGAGATCAATTTTAGATTTGATTCTTCAAGTGGCATTCTTTAACCTTGATCATAATGAATATAATAATTGAAATTGAATGAAAATTGTTTATGTGATTTTAAAATCGCGAAACTTAAACCACAAAAACCAATGGAAATCTCTTAATCAGTTCTTTTCAAAAGCATTGGCTTTGGTTTTGGGGTTGAAGTTGATGGTGCTGGTGATGGTGATGGTGATTTTTTTAAAATTTTGGTTTTGGTTTTGAAGCAGTTGGTTGGTCTTTTGGCTTTGGGTCTTTTGGTTTTGAATCTTTTGGTTTTTGATCTTTTGGCTTCTCTTTTGACTTTTCCTTTGGTTCTTTTGGCTTTTGATCCTTTGGCTTATTCTCCTTCCGTTTATTCTCCTTTGGCTTGTTCTCCTTCTTATCATCTCCTTCACTTGTCTGTTGCTTTGGTTTACGTTGTCTTTGTCTTTTTGGTTTATCCTTTTTCACAACATCACCTTCATTTTGCTTCACTTCAACAACTTTTGGTTTATTTGATTCATCAGTAGTCTTTATACCTTCATCCTTCTTCTTTTTATCCTTCTTTTCTTGCTTCTTCTTTTCCTTCTTCTCCAATTTCTTCTTTTCCAATTTCTCCTTCTCTTTTGAATCCTTCTCTTTTAGGTCCTTCTCCCTTTTCTCAACAGTTTCAGATATCAAAAAACTTGTAGGTCTTTCAATTTCTCCATTGAGAAATTTAAGAAAAGTCTTGTATGATAACATATTTTCCAAACTTTGCTTTGGTTTAAGATATTGTCTTGAAGAATCTGGAACTCTATTAAGTAAAGCCAATTGAAATTGAGGAATCATACTTTCTCGATCATCTTCAAACGTAACATCTTTATACTTGGCGACGAATTCATCTAGTTTTTTGGAATCTTTGAATTGAATATAAGCTCTTGAATAAATTGGTAATTTGAATGGTTTATTTGAATATTTCCCCTGGACAAAATATTTCTCCAAAATTGAGTCTTGATTAACCAAATCTGAAACTTTATTCCAGAATTCATCCTGTTGTAAATTTGGAGGTAATAATCGAATTGATAGTTTGATACCTTTACTATTACTCTTTTTCTTATTTCTACTCTTGTTGTTTCTGTTTTTCCTTTTAACTTGACCAGTACTTGGACTATTTGAGCCAGAATTTGGTGCAGCACTAGCTTGTTGTTGTTTGGCGAAGTCCTCACGTGTAAGGATCTTGGGTCTCCCAGCAGGAGCTCTGCTACCGGCAACGTTCATGTTTTTAGATGGTTTTAATTGATGTTTTAATGAGTATTAAAGATTTTTTTCATGAAAAAATTCAATTTCTCGATGAAATGAAAACAGAAAAAAAAAACATCAACAAAAACGAATATTTCAATTTTGAGAGGGCAAAAAAAAGGTATTTTTGGTTAATGAAAATGTCACTGGATTCGTTTTTGGGAAATGTGAAATCATTGACTATTGACTGCGCAAAAACGGATGTTTCGACTCAATTGGGAAGCTTGTTATCCATAAATTTATCAAATCAATCAATCGCATCTCAAATAGCTTCATTACAAATAGAATTACAATCAAATCAATTAGATATAGACCAATTAGTTGAGCAACAATCTTATTTCGATGGTGATTGGAATGCATTTACTTCAATAGTCACATCATATTTGAAATTTGCTAAAGATGTTGAACCAAATTCAATATTGAAAAGTCATGATTTATTACTAAATTATTATAATGATTTATCAATTGGATTTTTAAATAATTCATTTGGGAACCATCTTAGTGTGTTGATTTATGAAACTACCAAAATTTTAGTACCCATGATGAAAAAAATTGATAAATATTTAAATTTATTAAACAATGGTAAAAAATTCAAAAGATTAATATTTATTTCAACAATATTAACCAAAATTTTCAATCATTTAAGATCCTTAAAAGGTGATTCAAATAAAAAAAATCTAATAATATTCATTGTTAATAATCTAAACAAGATTTATTTCATCATTAATAGTCCTTTATTATGTGCAAATATCTTTGCCAATATGAATTTATTAAATTTAAATTTCAACAAATATCCAAAATCTCAACAAATTGAGTATAGATACATCTTGGGAAGGTATTATATGATTAAAAATCAATTATACAAGGCTTATCATCATTTAAATTGGAGTTATATGAATTCTCACAAGGTGTATAATCCACAAAACACTATAAGGATTCTAAGATATTTAATACCAATTTCAATTTTAATTGGTAAAATCCCAAGTTTACAAATATTAAACATATCAATTGAATTTCAACAAAACTACATCCCATTGATTAAATATTTAAAACAGGGAAACCATTTACAATTCCAAAAAACTTTATATGATAACCAACTTTATTTCAAATCAAAATTCATATTAATTTTATTAATTCAAAGATCAAAAGTACTCATATTTAGAAACCTATTTTATAAAATCATGACAATAACACAATCCACCAGGTTTAGCTATGATGAACTAGCAACAAGTCTTTTAAAATCCATTGGCACTCAACAACAACAATCACAAACGTTGGGGAATGATTCAATAATGTATCAAATTTTAAATGAACCTATAGATGATTTATTTGTGGAAAATGTGTGTGTTTCATTAATAGAGAATGATTTAATCCGGGGGAATGTGCTCTCGAGGGCTAGGACTTTGGTCCTATCTAAAAAAGAACCATTTACTGATATTCCAATGGTTTTTAAAAGGAAATTTGGTGTAAATTCAAGTGAAAATTGGATGAATTGATGTATATATTTGATGTCTTAAAAGCGTAAATTACCCGATTGGGATGTTTTTTCGTATTTGTTTTAATTTTTTTTTGATTTTCGTCGAATTGTAAAAAAAATGAAAATGAGTTTTTAATCAAAGGCGAATTGACCAAATGAGAAGTTTAGAGAAAGTGGTTTAAATTGAAGGAATTGGTTAATTGAGAAGTGAATATTGAAGAGTTGAATATTGAACATACTCAGATTGAAAAAAAAATCACCATCAAAGCAACATTTATAACGAAGTTACGAATTAATATTACAATATCATGAGTGAAAGAGGACCAGATTTATGGCTTGAAGAAGTCAAGAAATGTCAATCATTACCAGAATCAGATATGAAGCAATTGTGTGAAATGGTTAAAGAGCTATTAATGGAGGAGTCAAATATCCAACCAGTGCAAAGTCCAGTCACTGTTTGTGGTGATATTCATGGACAATTCCATGATTTATTAGAATTGTTTAGAACAAGTGGTGGATTGCCTGATAATGTGAATTATATCTTTTTAGGAGATTATGTTGATCGTGGTTATTTCAGTTTAGAGACTTTTACTCTTTTGATGTGTTTAAAAGTTAAATATCCTTCAAGATTAACTTTAGTGCGTGGGAATCATGAATCAAGACAGATTACTCAAGTTTATGGGTTTTATGAAGAATGTTTAACCAAATATGGTTCGACAACGGTTTGGAAATATTGTTGTCAAGTTTTTGATTTCTTAACATTAGCTGCCATAATTGATGGTAAAATATTATGTGTTCATGGTGGGTTATCACCAGAAATTAGAATGTTGGATCAAATTAGAGTATTATCAAGAGCTCAAGAAGTTCCTCATGAAGGTGGGTTTTGTGATTTAGTTTGGAGTGATCCTGATGAAGTTGATACATGGCAAGTTAGTCCAAGAGGTGCCGGTTGGTTATTTGGTAGTCGAGTTGCTCGTGAATTTAATCATGTGAATAATTTACAATTGATTGCTAGGGCTCATCAATTGGTGATGGAGGGGTTTAAATATCATTTTAAAGAAAAAGATGTTGTCACGGTTTGGAGTGCACCAAATTATTGTTATAGATGTGGTAATGTGGCAAGTGTTATGAAGATTGATGATGATTTAGTTCCAAAATTTAAAATATTTAGTGCAGTACCTGATGATACTCAAAAGATGGCTCCGCAAAAGACTCAAAGAAGTGAATATTTCTTGTAAGAGGAATAGGGCTTAATATTTTAATGAAGGATATGATAATTTTGAAAACAAAAACGTACTATTACTATTTATAAACTTGATGAATTTTATCTCTATAAAACAATTGGATCATTCTTTTCTCTTTTAGCTTCACCATATTTTTTAATTCTAATTGCTTGAACAGCAATGAAACCTGAAGCTTCTTGAGGTTGGAATCCAGTTAATTCATCCATTGAAGATTCAGTAGCATCATATAATTTTTCAGTTGATGAAGATCTTCCTAAAATGATCAAAGAACCTTTATATAATCTAGCTCTAACTTGACCATTAACAGTGTTTTGAGATGGTTGAATCATTGATCTTGTATATTCACCTTCTGGGGTGAAATATAATCCATTATACAAGATTTTTGAATAAGTTGGAGTAACAAAAGTATCTCTAATTGCTCTAACTTCTCTATCCAGGGTTAAACCTTCCAAATCAATATGAGTAGATCTTAATAAAGTTAAACCTGGAGTTTCGTAACAACCTCTTGATTTGATACCAATGAATCTATTTTCCACAATATCAATTCTACCAACCCCATTTCTTCTAGCCAATTTATTTGCAACAAGGAATAATTCCACTGGATCAACAACTGAAGTTTCTTTACCCTCTTCAGTATATGTTAATTTGACAGGTTTACCCTTTTCAAAGAAGACAGTGAAATCTTCTGGAGTATTTGGAGCATCTAATGGATCAACAGTTAATTTCCACATATCTTTTGGAGGAGTAGTATCAGGATCTTCCAAGATACCAGCTTCAAATGAAATATGAGCCAAATTTTCATCAGTGGACCAAGGTTTAGCAGTGGTTTGGGTGACTGGGATGTTTTTCTCTTCAGCATAAGCTAATAAATCTTTTCTACCAGCAAATCTTTCAAAGAAAGTTGGATCTCTCCATGGGGCAATAACAACAACATCAGGTTTCAAGGCATAAAATGATAATTCGAATCTAACTTGATCGTTACCTTTACCAGTACAACCATGAGACACGGCGAAACAACCTTCTTGTTCAGCAACTTGGATTTGAGCTTGTGCAATAACAGGTCTAGCTAAAGAAGTCCCCAATAGATAAACATTTTCATAGATGGCATTAGCTTGGATAGCTGGGAAGCAAACATCTTCGACAAATTGCTTTCTAACATCAACTAAAACATATTTAGTGGCACCAATGGCTAAGGCTTTTTCTCTAGCAGCTTCGAAATCTTCTTCTTGACCGATATTGGCCATGAATGCTATAACTTCGTAACCTTGTTCTAATAACCAGGCCAAGATGATTGAGGTATCCAACCCACCAGAGTATGCAAGACAGACTTTTCCTTTAGACATGTTGAGATTGATTTGGTTTGATTCGATTAATTAGTTAATTGAATTGTTAATTGAAAAGGAGAAAAGAATTGAAATTTCGAGATTGATGAGTTTATATAATTTTTTTTCAACTGTCGAGTCATCGGTGCAGGACATAAATAGGGAAATGGGGGATAATGGTGATTTTTATATAGACAGTGGTGGGATATTATGAGATATGTTGGTTAATTGAGTGATTCTGATCTTAAATATCTGATTTATTTCATATAGTGTCATACAAATATTGTGTGTAAATGGGATTGTTGTGGTGGTGCTCGTGTTGAATTGTGTCTTATCGCGTTGACTCATTTGGGAAGTGAAAAAAATGGTGAAAAAAGGGAAGAGTCAGAATAAAACAGTAACAGCTATAATAGTAATGTAATAGTAATATAATGATATAGTAGTAATATAATGGTAATATAATAGTATAATAGTAATATCCATATTCCATTATCTCATCCTTCTCCAGGTTTTCATCTGTGTTGAGTCCTGCCTTTAACTGACGCTTTTATGTGTGACAGATTCGACAGTTAAGTGCAAGTCACGTCGAGAACATCAAGATGGGTACAATTGAATTACATCAATAATAGATCATATAATAGAGATATAGATGATTAATATATATAATAGATCATATAATAGACATAATATAAGATATACTTAATCTATTCACTCACCCAATTGCGCCATAGCTGCATGCTCCTTCCAATTGTCTGGCTTCTTCAACTTCAACAAGTCATAGAACTTAGGCGTACACGAAAATGGTCTAAATGTGACATCCATCCATTGATCACATAAACAATTGTTCTCTTTCCAAACATCATCATTTATAGGACAATTAGATGCTGGTTTATGATAGTATCCAATATCTTCGAAATAATGGATTTGTTCTTTATTTAAAAACAATGCAACTGCTATTGAATGAACTGGTGCATCTCCCCATCTTTCATAGAAAAACCCATTAGCCTTATCTAAATAATTGAAAAAAGTTTCATAAGCTTCACTTCTCAGAAAATTCAAATTAACAATTTCAAAATTTGTCCAAAAATGACATAGATTATAAGTTTCACCATGATCATCTGATAAAAAATCAATCAAATTATTTGGATTTATGAAATGTGGATAAAATTCAATGAATTTTTTAACATTTTCCCATAATGTTGGTATAGTATTGGCAAATTCATGTAAACTTATCGTAAACCCATAATGTTTATTATTTGAAACCATATATTGGAAAACATCATAATTTATATCACAATGGAACGTAGTTTCAGGTTCAACTCTCCATGCATAATCATATTTTTGTAATGATTCTAATTTATAGAAAAACCCTGAAAAAAACCGACACATAAATCTATAAGTTTCTGAACCTCCATAAATTATATCAGTTCTTGATGATATTCTAACTTGTTTGGCACGTTCTTTATCAATCCAATCAGGATATGACCAAAATTCTTGAGGGATAATTTCAAATTTAACATTTCCTGAACATAAATTATTCATTGTTCTTTTAAAATCTGGTGAAAATTCTTGATTGTTGAAAAAAATCCAATCATAATGAAATTTTTTATTAAACCGATCTTCAACTGATCTTATAGTTTTACCCATCTCTATTAAATCTTCATTCTTGGCTAATGTGAAAAAAGTGGCATTTGCCCTTTGATAATTCTTTAAATCATTTGTGGAATCCTTGTATATTATTTTCTCTTGGGATGCTGAATCGTGTATGTTCAATTGGCTATTTATATCATATTTTGTATTTGCTAATTTGGATTGAAGATCAAGGACATGTTGATATTGCTTTTTCGATATTATTTTATGAGATATGAAGAATATTATCAGTATGAGCACCACTGTGAACCTCAGAAGTCTATTGAATCGTGACATCTTGAACTTTTTGGGATTTCTAACAAGTTAATTTTAGATCTGTATACAAATTTTTTTTTCAACTAGATCTAAAAAAATTCGCGACGCGTATAGCCTACAAAGCTTTAATCAAATGTACAATTAATCTAAATTAATCCAAGAACTGAAATTTGTAATGCTATTCGATGGCCAGATTCTATCCTTAACCAGTATGCTTATCCCATCCTTTTGGTTTTTGCAACCCTTTAACATCATAATATAATCTTGTACATGAATAATCCTTCCATGTGAAATCATCATTTGGATTACACATACATTTATTCTCATCACGAACATCATCTTCAATTGGACAATTATGATAAGGACCATGGAAGTAACCAATCTCCTTAAAGAAATGAATACGATCTTGAGGTAAGAATAATGAAGCTGCAATTGAATGAACTGGAGCATCACCCCATCTTTCATAGAAAAACCCACCATTCTTATCTAAATATTCAAAATATTTTGAATATGCTTCACCTCTCCAGAAATCCATATTACCAACTTCAAAATTTGTCCAAAAATGACATAAATTATAAGTTTTACCACCATCATTTGAAACAAATTTTTCTAAATTATCCTTTGCAATATATTGAGGAAATTCTTTAATGAAATCCTGAGTAGTTTTCCATAAGGTTTTAATAGTTTCTTCAAATTCATGAATTGTAATAGTGAACCCATAATCTTTATTATTATCCTTCATAAATTTGAAAACATCATATTTAACATCACAATGTAATTTTGTACTTGGTTCCACTCTCCAATAATATTTATAATCAAGCATTAATGGATGTCTATAGAAAAAACCAGATTCATATCTACACATATGTCTATAAGGTTCCGAGGACCCATAAATGATATTCTTCATATCTTCTCTTGTCTTTGCAGCTTTTTCAGTAGAGATCCAACTAGGATAAGACCAATGATCTTTTGGAATCAACCCAAATTTAGCCTCACCTGAAACCAAAGTAGTCATCACAGTTTTAAACTCATGATTAAATTCCTCATTGTTTAAAAAAACCCAATCATATTTATATTGACGATTAAAACGATCCTCAACAGATCTTATAGCATGAACCAATTCCCATAAATCTTCGTTTCTGGCAAGGGAGACAAAAGTGGCATTCTCACGAACATAGGTTGTTTCAGCTAATGGGATATTAATTAAATGGTCCCCTGTACCTGATTGAGCATTTGAAGCTGGATGAGTTGTAGGCTTCTTGACAGATCTAACATAAGTTGGACCAGAAGTGGTGTTTGAGAGAAGGAAGATAAGACCTATGATCCCTGCACTGAACACGGCGATTCTGATGATTCTCTCGTTCAACCTGGCCATGGTGATTTAGTTTGGTGAGTTATGGGTATTAAAGTAAATGAGTGAAATTTTGACGTGTTTTTTTGTTTTTTTTGTTTGTCCAAAGTTGAAATTCTAAAAAAAGCCCTGGAATTGGGTTTCCCCTTTAGGAAATACTCCATTTTGGGACAGGAACGAGATATGCTTAGTCATGGATTACGTAACAATCCAATTCAATTTTCAAAATTACTTTAAACGGAACAAATTTGAACTTGTTGATTGAATTTTCAACATGAATTGTTTGTTTCTTGTTTGGAAAGGAAAAGTATTTAAGGATGAGTTCAATTCTTTTTGAAGGTGAAGATGGTTTTAATGAAGAGTAACAATGGCAAACTTCATTCTACAAATCAAACAACAGCATTTGTCCCATTCGGCAAAGATCAAGATTGATAACTTGATCAATGATACAATCATCAACAACGGTGGCAATAACAACAAGAATGAGGTAGCTGCTACCCATCCTCCTCATATCATCCTGATCCAGGACTTTGAACCCCTAAGACTAGCCAAAAAGAAACACTATGTTCCTTATCAATCAGCTCTCAAGATTCAAAAAAGAACAGGTTCAAATAAACCTCAAGGTAGACCTTTCAATTCAAATTTAAATGCAAGATTCTTATTATTCAGCAACATCAATGATTTGATTTTGAACTTGTTAAACATTAAAGAATTGAAAATTGGTCATTTAGGTTCAAATAATTTTGATTTATCTACAAATAATATGACAATTCAACCAATTTGTCAATCTTCTGATCAATTAACTTCAACTCATCAATTGAAATCAATTTCATTTGAAAAATTTAATGATCATTCGTCTAAATTTGAGATTTATAATGAACTTTGTAAAATCTTTAATGTTAAAGAATTATCATTTATTAAAACTATTAGAAATAATAAAGGGAAATTAATCAAATTTGAAATAATGTCATTTATTAATTCAAATGAATTAAACATTGATTTCATCAAAAAATTCATAACTTATCCAAGATATAAATCTAAAATGAAGATTTTTTTAATTAACCAAAAATTCGACCAAAATATTTGGTTTTATAATGATTTAAGAATGTTGATTTGGGATATCAATAATTTGAAAATTGAAAACACAAATATTTTAATCAGTACAGAGATTTTGAAGTGAATATCCCAATAATTGATCAAGTGGTGATTTGAGATCATCCCTTTTAACTTGCTTTATGAAATTGCATCAACTTATTAATTTGCTGGCCAAATAAAAACACAAACATGAATTCTAATGACACATTAACAACACTTGAAATATTAGCTAATAGACAATAAACTGCATCAATTAACCAATCACATGTAGGTCTTATTTCAATAATCAACATCCTGTTGCTTTGTATCTCTTGAGTCCTCTCTTGATCTTCTTGATTTATAACCTTGCTTTATATTAAACTCTTTAATTAACTCTTCTTTATACTCTTTACATTTAGCATCAATCTCATCATCATCCAAATCTTCATCCTCTTCTTCCAACTTATCTCTATATTCACTAACTTTCAACTCTATACTTCTCTTCTCATCATGTTTCACTAGTTCTTTATCTTTTATCAAGTCACTATTGTTTATTAATGCATCCCTTTTAGCATCGTTTTGTTTATTCTTTAATCTTTTGGAATATGAAGTTTCATTGTTTGATCTTGTATAGTTTTTCTGTATGAACCCATTAGTCCCTGATCCTCTAGCTGTTGATAATCCGATTCCGTTATAAGACATTATGAGGATGATCCAATAAATCAATAATCATTCATTGATTCATCAACTCTTCAACTCTTTCATGTATTTGTTTCTTTAATTATTTCTCTTTGGCTTAATAAGCCATTATGTAACAATACGAGGTCATATCACATGACAGAATATTCGAGAATGGTCGGAAATATAAAGAAAAGAAATTACGACAACTAAAATTTGACACATAAATTTTCTTTTCGATTACAATTAATTTAGATCTAGGCTATTCAGATATCCGAGTAATAGTTCATAGAATCATTAAATTAGCCATGTCATAGCTTACCGAAGATGATGAAGATTGAAGTACCGTTGATTCCAACGGAATATTGATCGTTAACCTGAGTTCCTCATGAAGCCGAAACGCTAACGGTTAACGTTAAGATTCCATAAAACCCTTGAAAAAAGAAGAAGCTAGAAGGATTAAATTACACTAGGAACGTAGAGAATCATCAAGCATAGCCTTTGAGAATTCGAATATGATTGTTCGATTGTTCTGTACATAATTTGCTAGTGTAGGATACCCAGATATGAACATGGTAATACACTTGATGATGAGCATTGTGGGATTGCTAGCATCCTAGTAAACTTCTAGACGATTGATCAACTTGTGTAATATTGATGTAGAATGATTAAAACTAGGGACCAAGTACCATTCCAGCTTAGCTAAGGTCTTATGTTGCTTTATACTGTGATCTGTCGATTTGGAGCTTGAAGATAGCAACTTTGTCAAATTGAGAGATATGGGTATGGTTCGAGGTTTTGATTGATTGTTGGTTGAATTTCATCAAGAATAGTGGTGTTTATATAAAATTAGCATTGGTATAGGGATAGTTAGTATCTGAGAGTCCATGATATTAACTACTTAATATATGCTATTTAATTATGGCTTGTGGTAAAATTTTTCACTATTCATGTTGAATCACCACCATCACCTTCACAATCATCGCCTGACCAAGCACCCCCAGCTAAGGCTGTGGAGTGTCCAATTTCACATCGTCGACAATATCCGTATCCCAGTTAATAATCAAATTAAACTCAGTTAAACTCAATTCACGGGTTTTTTTGCATCTTGACGTTTTAATTGGAAAGCCGAGAGTATATGATATTAATTAAAACACGAAAAACACGAATAACTCAACAACCAGAGCAGCTTTACACACACGGACTAGATATGCAGAATTAGCGACTTCAGATTGACCTTGGACGAGGTAATACCTACTCATTATCTCTATTTCTTTCCATGTTATTCCAGCCTGTAATTACATAACACATTACATAATACTCTGCCCCTACCGCACTTTTCTTTTGCTTTCGATGACTTCGGTTACATCAAATTCGAACAATTTACTGCAATTGATCATGTTGAGTTTGGCACCATTGTCACTCAGATCACAACTTCCACAAACATGAGCGTACCATCCAGGAACTAGACCGTTTTGCCCCAAAAAAGAAATGAGCTGGGGGCATGTTTAGAGGAAAAAAAAGCCTCCATCTTATATATAATACCCATGTTCTAGAGAATTCAGTCACAGATCAATACATGGTTCTATTGAACTCTTTAGTTCAATCAATATCATTTATATATATCCAAGACCCATACCCACTTTGATTAGTCTTTAATCTCATAGAGTTTATTGAGAAAAAAAACTTTTATATCAACAAAATATACTTTAAACTCAAGAGAAATCATTTATACCCAAATTGAATATCCCATCCAAACTGTTCATGATATTAACCTAAACTGGTTATGACTAGTTCTTCAAATACTACAATAAACCCCAAACCAACAAAACTCAGATCAAGAAATGGATGTTTAACTTGTCGTGATCGTCATATTAAATGTGATGAAAATTCACCAGTTTGTAATAATTGTTTGAAATCAAATAAAGTTTGTAAAAGAGGTTCAAGATTAAATTTCCTTAAATGTGTTGTTTTCAATCCTGAATTGGAACCAAATTATAATGAATTTAAAATTGTGGATCAATCATTTACAATTCATAAATTTTATAAATTTAACAAGTTTCATAATTTTACAAATTGGTTCAAGTTCCATTCATTAGATGAATTATTTGAAAGTGATGAAGATTTTGAAAAATCTTTAGATATTATTAATGATCCTTTCAACAAGAATCAATTGAGATTAATTTCAATTGTGGAATTGATCAATGAAAATTTCAATATCAAACAATTTTTGGATAAGATTTTATTAATTAACTTACCACAAGTTGATCATTCTTTATTCACATTCATTTCATTACAAAGATCATTATTAATTAAATCATTCAATTTAGAAGTGGCACCTTTAAACAATAATGAAGATATAAAATCAATGAGAGATCAATTGTTAACAATATCAGATTTCACAAAATATATGGGATTTCTTGATACAATTGAACAAACTAGTGAAAATTTTGAAAATCATTACAATATTTTCTTAAATGCATTAAATTTATCAATGAAGACTAATAAAATTGATGTTTTCAATTGTAATGAAACTAAACAATTTGTTAACAAGTTGAATTTGATTACAAATGTGGAAGTTTTACAAAATTTTGATAATTTAATGTATTGTTTTGAAATTTGGTTATTAGATTTAAACAATTCAATTTCAAATAATGTTTCAACTTTTTTCAGTCATTTATATGAAGAAAAAGTGGAATTTTTGTTAAACAAGATCTTACATTTGAATTTATTTAATGATTTGAATTATTTCTTGATCAAAATATTAACAATCATGTTGAAATTGAATAATGTTTATCATGATACAAATTCAACTCATTTATCTCAAAATTATGAATTGTTTTTATTAATTAAAGACCTAAAGAATTTTGAAAATAATCAATTCTTATCAATGTGTTTCCCCAAGATTGTTAATCATAATTTACAATTCCCAAACTTGAAGACAAGAAAATTCCATATTTGGTTCAATTTTGTTATTGTTTTCATATTAACAAGATTTCATGTTGCTTCAGATTTGAAAAATTTATTATTAACAGATACTGTTTTATTAAATTTTTGGCAAAATTTCGAATCAAACCCCTTCAAAAGATTATCTATATTGATTTCAAATTATGATTATATTAATGATCCATTCATGAACTTCTTGAGAAATTATATCCTTTATGAAACTGATGAGTTGATGATTGAATAATTAGTTATTAAAAGTTGTTGTTTATTGTTATTATAGTTGGTATTTTAATGGACACATTACACTTAAGCTGCCTTTCTTTTTCAGAATCTTATCCTATTATAGCTTATTGATGATTTTTGTTGTTGTTGTTGTTAATATTGTTGATTTTTGAACATTCATTCGCTTTTATACTACCACTGTTGTGTTTTTTTGCTTTACTTCATGTGATTTATGTATTAATTAGGACGGGCGTTAGTAGATAGACTTATTTGAATTAATGCATTTATACTGTTATCATGTTCTAGTTGTTTGTATATATACCCAGTACTTTAAAAGTTATATGTCTCTGAAATAAATTCTGAATCATAAAGTTTGGCTAAATTGGAACATTCTTTTACTAAACGGGAGGGTCCACAAGCAACCAAACAGTTGGTGCATGTGCCTGTTTGAAAATCCTCATTCACAATAGCTTTCAGGCTTGGTCTTCCTTCATGATGTATAAAACAACAACTTGTATCCATAGTACTAATTCCCATTTCTTGAAGTTCAACAACATCATCTTCTTTCATCTCTGTATAATCACCATCATTCCATTCAAATAATTCATTCAAACTCATCATAGAAATAATATTATCATCATCTTGTTGAATCTCTTGAACTGGTTCAAATGATTCTTCATTACAAGTTATATATATATCTAACTTCCCACTAAAATTCTCAGATCTAATTGAATAAGCACCAAGTTCATCAACATCCAAAACACCCATATTAACAAGAACATGTAAGTCCTCAATACATCTAACTAACCAAACTAAATGAACAAAACAATCTGGATTGTTCATTCGATAAAAGGGCAAACCAAATGCTATACCCGATCCACCACATATAATTGTAATGTTATCATAGCCATGTATTGTACCGGTTTCATTATTAAAAGGGGACGATATACTATATCTACCCAGTGAATGTATCTTAAACTTTGTTTCTTTGATAATTAATTTGATCTCTTGATCGGTATCCAATGATGCAATTGTATATGGATGTGATGGACTAATCCAAGATAATGGATTGATAAATCTATGATTGATTCTAACATGAGAGCCAGGATTGAAACGTAATTGCTTCCCACGATAATATGACTTGGGTAATGTCAAAACAATCAATTGACTATTTATATGCCTTTCAATATCGAGAAATTCCAATCTTTTGTTAATCACTGCGTAATAGTAAATTTTCGAAAAACCCATATATATCATCAACACCAAATTAACGACATTAATGAAATGGGTACGTGGTCTAGAATGAATTCCAATCAATGGCACTGTGGTCCATATAGCTATCATATGCAAACAATAAAACACTTTATAAAGCCGAGTTCTAAAAGGTCTTAAAGACACAAGGGCAAATATCAACCAAATAACAAATGAAATGAACCCAGTAATTGGATTAACCTTCCAAAACAGCTCACTAAACCTACTTGAACGACCCCATTGTTGGATGAAATAAACACTATGCACACAGATCAAACAAATATATATCCTTCCAAGCCATTTATGTAATGGTAATAAATTGGCGTATAAAACTTGAGGTAATGGATTTGGTCTTAATGATAATAATAGAATGAATGGAGTTAATGAATAGCCAACTGTACCTGTTCTTTTCCAAAAAATGACCCAATCAAGCTCTGTACGTGAAGTTGATGTCAATGGTATTACATTTATCAAAACAGCGATGATTATCCATATGGAAACTTGAATCCAGAGTGGTGGGTCAATTAATGATTTGAATGTCCTCCACCAAACAGATTTCCTCTTGATTGATGATAGTCTGGGTCTCACTAGAACGGTATTGATGATTATCAACAAGGCATGAGCAAAACATATTCCCAAAGTGTAGTATCTATATTGAATATTATCTTCAGTAACCACCAGAAATTGGTCTAGTTTATAATCAAGACTAGAGCTATTGGTAAATTTAACCATATCATACGGTATCTCTAATGGTACAACTTGAAAAGGGTTTCAACATTTTAAGGGTCCTTGAGCACGATGAAAAGTTTAAATACAGCTCTTGAAATGCTGGGGGTATCATGCAGAGATAAGAACTTCCCAAAAAAAAAACACAATCAAAATCTAGTAAAGCACCATCAAATCCATTAGCGCAGCTCGTTTTCCTGATTTTGAATGTTAATTGTATGTTTTTGAGCTCTCGAGCTGCTTTTTCGTCCAATAGATAACGGTCTTTATCTCGATTACAAAGCCCCGAAAAAACCAGACACGCAGGATTGTGCAGCCGCATCTCTTTCTCGGAATTTTAACCCTTTTAGGATTTGTATTAACACAAGCTAATCAAAGTGTAACAAAATTGTTCAGAATTCATTAGGTTCTGTTATGAATTCAGCATTGTGTTCGAGAGCTAGTTTAGAGCACTCGTCCAACAAACCTTTTGGTCCACAAGAAAACAAAGAATTGAGTGGAATGTATTCAGCATCGTCCTGATCAAAACGATCGAAATCTTCATTGATAACAGATGGAAGATTCGGTCTTCCCCTGTGAATAAAGGTTACCGATGGTTTATTTTGAACACTTCTCAATAAGGACTCATCAACAGGATAAACATCTAATTCCAGGTTATTAGTGGAATCATCATCCTTCTTTCCAAGTTGTTGATTCAGATGTCCCACTAGAACATCCCTCTCACAATCATCTTCTTCCTTCAAGTCAGCTGTAATGTAAATATTAATGTTTTCACCATCACATCTTTTGAAATATCCACCATTAATATCTTTAACTAAAACTCCAAAATGAAGTAAAATGTGTAAATCATGTATGGTCTTGGTTATCCAGACTAAATGAAGACGTCCAAGCTCAGTGGGGGTTTGAGATAAACAGTTAAGAAAATGATGAAATATAGGTAAGCCAAAAGCAATACCAGAACCACCACATACAATTGTGATATTATGATCTTCAAAGTTTCCAGTCAAATATTCACACTCTAAACCATCAAACGGCAACGAAAAATTGTATGTTGACAAGGGTAGGATTTTGAACTTAATCTCCTTTATGACCAGGTTCACTTCTAAATCAGTATCTAGCGATGCAATCGTGTAAGGATGTGACGGAAATAACCACGAAATAGCATTTAGTAACCCATGATTGACTCTGATATGAGACCCAAGATAGAATTTCAAACCTTCTTCATAATAGTCTTTCGGTAGCGTTAGAATGATAAGTTGGCTATTTGGTTTTCTAATCACTCTAAAGGGCTCTCCACCAGATATATGTGATTTGGTTACTGAAAAGCAAACCTTTGAATATAACATAAACCCAATCATCACAAAATTCAGATAGCTAAACGCCTTGAAATTAGGAGCATGGATAAGCATCAGCGGAGCAAGAGACCATGTTGCGATCATGTGTATCATGTAAAAGAGCCTGTAAATCCTAACTCTTATCGGCTTTATAGAAACCAACAACACCATAAACCATAAGACAAACGAAATCACACCTGGGAAAATATCCAATCTTGAAACTTTTTTCCAGAATTCATCAGACTCGAACCAAATAATGGAGAAAATAACACTATGATAAACCATGACAATAATAAAAATTCTCGAGCACCACTTATGCAATGGAAGGAGCTTAGTGTAAATCACTGTTGGCAATGGATTTGGTCTCAAAGCCAAAACAAACATGAATGGGGTCAACGCGTAGCTTACCACACCAGAACGCTTCCAAACCTCAACTTGAAGATGAAACAGAGAGCCATTCGATCCAGAAGCAACAGCAGACTCTTTATAGTAAGGGAAAGCAATTAAAACAAAAACAATGAATACCCATAAAACCACCTGAGCCCAAACTGGTATTGAAATAAGCAAACACAGACACTTCGTGCCAAATGATCTCTTAACCAGATGTCTCCCTTTCACGAGCCTAGATTTCAAGATAGATGACAACACAATAGTGAGAGCATTAACACAACACAAAACCAAAATGACGTTTCCATATAGAGAGTTTGACACCCCATGATGCTGGTATTGATGCTGGGATGATTCACTTGAGGAAGAGCCAACACTGAACTGATTGCTTCCAGCCATTTCAGTAATACCACTAATTCAAGAAGCACAATGAAAGTAAACAATCACGATTGTATCAAAAGTTGGATTGGGAAAAGCAAGCATTGAAAAACAAAACAACATTGGAAAAGGAAATAGAAGCAGAGACATAAGCAGCAGAGAAGCATAAAAACATGGACCAATTCCACACCTTTAGCAGCACCTTCAAGTAAGAGCAGCAAAGCGTTCAAAATTCAAATCATCTGATAGTTGAAATCATTTATTGGCACAAAAACACCTTCGACCAAATGGCCCATAGTAAAAAACACCCATGAACCAAAATATTCCCCATCCTCATGAAGCATAGAGCATAGATCAGCATCTGCCACTATATCACACCTGAAATGCCACTACTATGGAGTAATCAACTTGTTGGATTTAAAAGTGATGATTTATGAGGAATGTTCAAAGTAGCGCTGAATGTTTCATTTTGTAGTTTTTTTGTTTTTGTGGTTTTTGGTATTTTTTGTTTTTGTGGCCTGAGAAAATTCGCGAACGAGTAGACTGCCACGACGAGCCGTGTCTTTTGGAGATCAGCTCGCTGAAGTACAGCTAGTACAACAAAATTGAAACGCCAGCTACATGAATGGTGTTATATATAAAACAATTTCAGGTATAATGTATATCAATATAGCATACTAAGCATAATCGAAGTTGATTAGCAAAAAAATTCATAATCATAACAAGAAACAAAACATAACAAAGATAGAAAAACATTTTCAAGTAAAAAGTTGTTTTAAATCAAAAGGCATGTGATTTGATTGCACTAGCGAGTAAGCTTCAGGGAATCACTGTATCTGGTAGCCTATACCAAATAGTCATATGTGTTTCCCTATAACGTTTGACGGCTAGTTATATGAAGAAAGCAGCAACACCACCAAAGGCCAAAGCGCCAAAAGATAACCCAACAGTTTTAGCAGCACCTGTATAAGTGGAAACCCTACCACTAGAAGAAGATTCAGACTCAGCACTAGTAGCAGAAGATTTGGCTTCTGCTTTGGAAGATGATGATTGGGCAACTTCAGTTTCAGTGGAAGGATCTCTTCTACCGGTAATAACTTCAGTATATTTTGGACTGCCATCTTCATTACTAACAACAATAGTTCTTGTTTGATATTCAGTGCCTGATAATGGAGTAGACCCTTGATATCTTGTCACAACAATGGTTTTATCAGCCAAGCTTTTGGTGTAAGTAACCCATTCAGGATCAGAAGATGACTCTTCAGAAGCAGCTGATGCCTTTGCAGTTTCAGTAGCAGGATCTCTTCTACCTGTAATAACTTCAGTGTATTTTGGACTGCCATCTTCATTACTAACGACAATTGTTCTGGTTTGATATTCAGTACCTGTTAATGGTGTTGAGCCTTGATATCTGGTAACAGTAACAGTTGTATCTGGTAAGTTTTTGGTGTAGGTAACCCAATCAGGATCAGAAGACTCCTCAGAAGTAGCAGCTCTTTCTTCAACAGCTTCTCTTCTTCCAGTAACAGTTTCAGTATATCTTGGACTACCATCATCATTAGAAACAACAATAGTTTTGGTTTCATATTCAGATCCTACCAATGGAACAGATCCTTGGTATCTGGTTAAAGTAAGTTTTCTACCTGAACCAAGGTTTCTAGTATAAGTGACCCATTTATGGTCATCATCATCATCTGATCCAGCAACGAAAGAAGAAGCAACAGCAGCAGTAAATATAACGAACGTGGAGAATCTCATTATGATTTTTAATCAAGTTAATACACCAAACTATTTGGTCTTATATTGAAATAGGAAATTAGGAAGGGCCCTGCATTTAAATATGATTTTCCAAAACATAGGTCCAGTTGTATCGGTGAGACAAAGTGCATACTTGCACAAGCTGGTACTAGCAACATCCAAATAAGTTTAAACATGTCTTGTGACCCTACGCTTAACACCCGGTTTTCTATTTCAGCCCTTTGTATCGTACTACCCTGGATATTGATTGAGCAAAATCAGTGTTGATAAAATAAATAAGCCTTTCCCAGTAACAGCTTTGCAAATAATCATACACTCAACCAGATATTCAACCAAACAGTTCATTTTAAAACCTTATCGCATTCCTCTATGGTAAAGTCTCTTTGGTCCTCATCTGGAGTTACTATAATTAGAACAATCTCAGTAGTTTAATTGATTGAGCTAACCATACACTGGTCTTTGAAGTTGGAGTTTCGACAACTTTGTGACGAATAGCATTCAAAATAAGCTCTGAGGGCTCAACTTCCCGGCCAAATCCTAGCTTCAATGAAGGTATTGGCTATTTTTGATTTTTAGATGGTACCTGCTCCAAGAATCTTTTCTGTTTGCTCATTTTGGAAACGTTTGTACAACAAGTTTACAAGTCATTCACAATTGAATAGAGCAACGTCCCATAACCTCAAACTCTAATATAGGAAACACCACATTAGCAACGTTAAAAATCTAGTCGGATGCGATAAATCTCAAGAGAGAGCTGATGGGAGGGTTGATAGAATTTTCAATTTCTTCATTCGTTGAGCAAGAGAGTGTGAATTTTGAAACAAATTTGAGCTTGGCATCGCTTTTTAGCGTCTTCGCGCTTTCATTTAACCGGAAGAGTCCAATAGTGGTCACCGAATCATCGTTAAATTATATTGAAACACTGGTTTTTTAACAAGATAGATATGTAGAGTTAGAAATTAATATCTAGATAGTTAAGTGTTGAGTACACAGGTAAAGGTTTTACTACAAGAGAACAGACGTTATATACAGAATGAACTTAGTACACTCAAAAAGTTTACGCTGTCCTGCATGATATATTCAAAGGGTCCACTGTGCCCCATCAATAGAGCTGGATTAATTCTGATCGTATGGATTTGGCACGTCAAAGCATAAACTGATTGATCAAAAATGGTTTGAAACTCCCAGACAATGAACTTGAAGAAGTAGTTTTCGGGTGTAATATTTGTGGGTAATTTGTACTCATCCATTAGTATCATGGCACCTATAACCAGCTATAACCTATAACCCAGGACCCAGGACCCATGAAGACCCAGAAGGGTATCTTTAATGAATGTGATAGTACATCACTGTGTAGTAAATATAGCCATCTGCAGTTAAGTACCAAAGCTCCAAGATTCAGCTAAAGGTGTACTAGTGTAGGCTGTAGGTGCTAATAATATTGATCTCACATCAAGCTACACTTAATCAATTGATCCACAGAAAAAATAATTGACTTATGATATACCTGGCGCTGATATGATCATTATTCATGATCGAGTACTTCAAGCATTGACTAATACAACAGTTTATACGCCTGGAGTAATATTTGATAAGGTAGTCGCCAGTAACTTTGATAAAATTATCATGATCATAATGATTAATAATGCCACTCAAGCAGATCTGGAATACTGACCATCAGCAACCAGCCACCTGAAAGCAGCTCAATAACCAGTAGTCCAAACCAACATCCAGTCTGTAACCTCGGTCCTCTACTAATCATCATGGACTACTCATGGTAAAATATCAGCGGCTTTAGGCGGAGAACTGAACTTCAGATTTTTCTGCCACTGAAAGTCGTGTCGCCAAGAACTACAACTTCGAACTCGCGATATACAATTAACTAAATTATAAACGGCCAAGGTTCATTCAACCATCTAAAGAAGGTATCTACACTAGAGGTCAACCAAGCATTTTCAAAAATCACCCAATTATTATACGTCTATCGTCTATCTGAAGGATTATCCTCAACTTTACACCCATTAATAATGAGCTATCGATAAAATCAATCAGGTTTCAAATCGCAAACGTGCACTGAAGATGTACAGTTAGGTTCTTCTGTATCATATTAAGTGTGTGTGTCAATTAGTCAAATTTATCATGGTTAACAAAGGAATTGGTCATACTACTGTAAAATGTCTTTCATGAATCGTGAAATAATGGTACTTATTTGGTTGGTTTGGGTTTGCAGGGTTTCTCATGTGAGCAGATAGAAAAGACTCGACTTGATCATATAGTTCCAGTACTTATAATGAGGACTCAAAAACTATATAAATGTGTCCAAATCCCTGTTTTCGTACTCTCAATTACCAGCATTAAGCTCATAAACATATACTATATTTTTATTGTTTCACAGTTGATCTAATATTGAAGTATTCAAAGGGTCAAATCCAACATCCACTAACCTCTGAAACTAATTGATAGCCAAAGTCCAAGATGCAACTATTCAAGTCATTATTATATGTTCTCTTTTTGAGCTTTGTTACTGCCCAGTCCACCAGCTCGTGGATGACATATACCAAAACCATCACTAACCATGGAAGAACTTACACTAAAACTGTCAATGAACTTTACACAGGTCAGGAAACAACTTTGCCAACTTCTGGAACTGTTACTACCACAATCACTGTTTCAAATTCGAAAGAAACCTACACTAAGACAATGGTCCAAACTTATGGTCAAGCATTAGGTACAACTACACACTTGACTGTGAAGAATCCTTCAGAAACTTACACAAAGACGTTGTCAACTGAAATTGCTAAGAATGAAGCATCAGCTGCAAGTGAGTCTTCAGGGTCATCCAGCTCAACATCTTCATCAGAAGCTGGTGCTGGGCCATTGAAAGAATTTAATAATATGTTCGCCTATGCTTTTATTATTGGAGCCATGTTCTTTTGATGACCTATAAGAGACACATACGTTTTGAGAGGCTTTAATATATATTTTATACATGTAAACTTGGTATAACACTTACTGATCAACCATTGTATTATTGATGTATTTAAGAGCGCCTAAACCCGATTAGCTGTCACTGAATATCGGGTCACCAATTAATGAGTCGCGAATCAAATCAATTTCATGAATCGAAACTGGTGAACAAAAGCTTGAGATTCAGCATTCAGTCGAACATTCAAGTACAAACTAAAATGGTTCGTCCTAGGTATGGTACTACACTAGAACTGGAACCTATAAGAAGGAGCAAAGCGCAACTTTGAACAATCAACTTCTTTCTGTTGGTTTTGGGTATGGTCCTCATGGTCTCAACTTTAAAGAAGGGTCCAAAGATCTCAAAACACCCTCTTACGATTCATCACACATTACCTTGGTTGACCTGACTATTGAAGTGCTGGAAGTACAAAGTCATAGGTTCTGAGTTATAGTGTAAAATTTGGTGCATGTCTGGAGGAATAAACTATATTTAAAGAGTGATGATTCCTACGTTGGAGGTTGGAACCCTATACTCTTGAGTAGGAGGTTTTTTAAATCAACATCATGAACATTCAATTATTTTTTGCTACTTTCTTTATTATTAGAGTTGCTTTAGCTGCCAGCCTTTCAATTTCATCATGGATGACAAGAACAATTGTGGTTACAAATTATGGTGCAACCTATACAAAGACACCCGTCGAACTCTACACAGGGCAACCAACCACTACACCAACTTCAGGTACCTACACAACAACAATATATGTCTCAAACTCAATGGAAACCTATACCAAAACAATGTTGAAAACATATGGTTTGGTTTCGGAATCTACTGCTTCAACTCATTTAACAGTTAAAAACCCATCGGAAACTTACACAAAGACATTGTCAACTACACTTGAAGTCTCATCTGGTGGTTCCAAATCTGAATCTTCAACAAGTGCTACTGATGCTGAAGCGTTGACTTCAGGCTCCACCTCATCCTCTGCTGATGGTGCTACTGGACTACAAGCTGTCGGTAGATTGGCTGGCTTTGAGGCATTATGTGCAATAGCAATGATGTTATTCTGAAAACCAGCTCGGTGCATAATACCTGGGTGGCACTTTGAGAACATTGGTTCCTACTCAGAAACACCGGTAGTTGTATAATTCAATAATATCTTCTAATTTATACGTCCCAAGAATATATATTTAACTGATTACACTGTATTAACTGTATTAGATGGCGGCCGTATAACAATCTGCGTTAATATAATGTTGAACAGCTTGTATATTATATGTGATTAATGGTATTGATTCCTTCTGATCTGAGCTGTATCACTGCAAACCAACATCTATAACTCGCTGATCGTACTTCGATTAAAACTGATATACTTATACTTCCTATTATTTTAATCAAAGGTGACGTCGTTGATCGAAGGACAGCTATAAGTGACTTGATTAATGGGTAAGCAATATAGGTATTAGTTATAGAATTATAGAGTAAGTATACTATATAAACAACCACTACATCAGGTATCATCAACTGAATAATATGATCATAATATTGTTGATAATATATCTTGGGTACGTTGTCGTACTGACATGATGGCAAAGCAAACAGCTAACAGACAGTTGTAGTTCACCGACCTCATATCGAATACTAACCAAACACAGCGCTGATATGCTGATTCAGCTACAACATTACATAATTCAGCAATCTAGATAGCGAATATAAATAGAAAATGGATCATGATTCATGATGGTCCTTATGTGTAATTGTAACAACTGCCATCACACTTATGCACTCATGCTTGGTATGCGCAACACTAATTTCAATTCCGGGGCCGGCACGTGACACATTCGAGTTCCGGTTGGCACGGATCTTAATGACAGAGTGAAAAAATTGAAAAATTCGTTGAAGAAAAGAAGGAAGGGGTCATATTATGTCTTTCTCAGCTATGGCATTGTCCACCACCCCACCATCAGGACTTGTGAAACTCAAGAGATAGCTTTTTACTTAGAATCAAGATTTTGTTTTGAGCTAATGCTTTTCCATTTATTGCATAATTTCATGGTCTCAGTTGCAATGCCTTGTTACCAGTGATGACATTGTCTTTCCTGAGCACGCGATAAAATGGAGACTACAGCTTCTCAGAGGAGCTCCCATGTGCAAGGTGGTATTACTATGGAAAATAGAGGTGGAAATACAACATCTGGAGTTGAAATTGGTGATCCAGTGTTACTTTTTGGAAAGTTATGGCAAGAACTTGGATGTGGTGAAAGTGAAAAATTTGGTTACTTTTGTTGATATTTTTGAAACCAGAAACGGTTTTGAGGGAATTCAAAGAGATTTAGGGAGCTAAGCACATGGATTTTCCATATCCAATCCAATTTCTCTGATACAAGATACTTTGCTAACAAGTTTTCAGCCAATAAGGGGGTCAAGTGGTGGAAAGGGGGTTTTCAAACCCGATAAAATGGAACCCAGAGCCATAACTAGCTAACCAAATGAGAAACTAAGAGTTTTATTGGAATCTACAGGTCGGAATACAACTTATGAACATGTTATTGGAGTACCGCTGAGGTGTTGGAGGTCCAATTTCAGCTGGTATGTACCTCATTTTC